GCCGCCGCCAGCTTTTCCGGGAAAATCGTCGGTGGAAAGAAGGCAAGGTGAGTCCATCGACTTCTGCCGCCCCCGAAACAACTTTCTCGCGCTCCGCAATTTATTTTGGCAACCGAATTTCGGGGGAAAATTCAGTGCCCCGCGTGTCGATAATGCATATATATATATGTATATAAAGTGTGTGGGTTGGTGCCTCGGAGTGTCTGGCTGGCGGACTGCTGGCGTTGCCTCAAGTGCAATTCCAGAACCCTCGTTCCGCACTGGCTTTCGCAATTCATTTTCCGCCGCTTTTCCGCGACGCACAAGCTCGGACTGATTTTGGGCGGTGCCTTTATATATATTTCTCTCCGTCCGATAGGTGCAATTTCACTTTCGACCTCCGCACCAAAATATTGCACACGGCGGAAATGCACTTTTATATTTAGGACACAAAAGTAGCAGATATTTTTAAACAATGTTCGCCTTGCCAAAGCGTGCTTGTGTGAATCATTGAACAAAAAATTTGCGTCACTGGGGGTTCCCTTCACGCGGTTCCGTCTATAGGAAAATGAAGAGCAAAATAAGTATTCAGAGGCGGCGAATTTATTACTTTCAAAATGATTTCCTTGCGCCTTCTCTTTATTGCTTTGTGAAAGTGACTCTTCATGCAATTCGTATAATTATAGTACATAATTATAATTTTTGATCATGATTGAATTTTAAAAGTTATACTTTGAAATAAAACTTATCAAAAATATAGACTTAAGACGTCTAGATTCTTTGTAACTTCCGTGAGGAACTAGATATTTTACTAGAATAATTTATTCTTTAAATAAATAATTCTTCGTTTTGTTTTGAAATTGATTTATTTCTGTAGTTAAATTTTTATTATTATGCTTAAAAAAACACGATGCTGGTAATTTCTATATCCTACTTATAGGTGTGGCTCGATAAAAATTTATTTATTTGCAAACAACTTTGAAGCTGCTATAGAAATCTCTGAATTTAACAAAAATTAACTATGGTGATTTGAATTTAAATTCGGCTATTCCTCAATGGGTTTTGTAAATTGTTTAAGAAAAACAATATCCTGTTCTGGCTGTTCTACATGTTTCGGCTGCGGTCTGCAGCCATAATTCATGAGTTGTGAAATCATTTTGACAAAATTTGTACAAAAATCGATCGTTTTTAATTAAATATTTTTCTTTCAAAGTATAACAATTTTCCGTGAAAAATAGGAATCCGAAAAATAATTTAGTCTTCTCTTGACCACTGCCAAGAAAGGTACGCTCAAAATCCTCGTCTCAATATTCTGACCAAAATTATTATAAAAATTAATTTGCGGGATACTGTTTTTCTTAAACAATAAGCAACTCACAAAACCCACCCATGAAAAGCCGACTTTAAATTCAAATCACCATGAATCAACCCTCGATCGTGAAATTTACTTATAAAATAATAATAATAATTTGAAAAAATAAGTAAGCATAGTTTTTTTTTTATTTAATAAATCTCACTGATTACTTACTACTATTTTTAGAAATCTAAAAGCGCAACAAAAGAAAAGCTTATTATCTACTTATTATTAAATACAGAAAATAATCACAAAACGTTTTGTCTGAAAATAGAGAATTAATGAAAGAAAAAACTTAAATTAGTTCTGATCTGAATAATTATCCTCTTTTAAATAGATTCTAATAACCACAGTATATTGATTTTTCATTTTAACTGCATTTTACGAAAAAATTAACCCTTTTTTTATATTTAATTTTTTTACATGAATTTATTTTTTAATTTATTGTCAAACTCATACTCCTCTCTTATCGGCCATTTCTTGCTAAAAGCTAAATTTTATAATCCAAAATAATAATTGTGATGCACTTTTAAAAGATTAAAAAACTCTTCCTTTTCACAATTTAATTCGAGCGAGCGCTTTTAAAAAGTGCAGTCGGGGCCGCCTTGACGTGGAAGTCGCGAACGCACCCCGCCTTGATCGCGTCGCGGCCCGCGAGGCCTGTCAAAAGATGGCCCTGGCAATGCACACACCCCTCGTGACCTTGAATGCACTTCGTATCGATCGGCAGCGCCTCTCTTGGGCAAAATGTTGATCAATTCGCTGGGCACGGGGAGTGCGGTTGGCAAGGCAGGGATGTTGTGAGGTGAGAGAGAAAGCGAGGCTGCATCGGGTGCGGGTGGCGAATTCTGAATTTCGGCCCAAAAGTGCATTCGCGGACGGGGGTGACTAATTCCAAGATGGAAGACGAGCAGGACAACTTGCAGCGATGCGCGATGCACTACAAAAGCTACGACGGCTCGCCAAAAGTGCTTTTCTACCGGGCCAGGGAAGAGGTTCGAATTTTATTTTGATGCATTTTTCCGCCGGTCGCATTCGCTGCAAACATGGCCGCCCATTTTGGCGATGCACTCTCCCCATTCTCGGTCGGGCGGGTGCATCCAGCATGGCCAACGGTGCGTGCAACGCCAAATGCTCGCCGCCGACTTCGCGAAAATAAAAATCAATAAAATCGTAGAGCAAGAAGTTCGGACTCGCGAGAAGTGGCTCTGCGTCGCCGCCGATGCGCCCTGTGCGAAAATCGCATTTCCGCACTCGCCACTTCCGAACGACGCACAAAACTCGCTCGAGAACCAAAGCGATTTTTGATAAATTTTATCAAACAACCGAGAAGTCGCCCTAAAAAACGCTTGTTTTTCTGACAAATTTTGCCACTCGGGGCATTTAAATGTCAATAAACATTCGCACATCAAGTAAACAAACACGTTTGTAACACTCGAAAGAAGACGCAGAATTTTGGAAGGCAAACACGCGCTCACAAAATTCATTTCAACCTTATAATTTCCAACGTTTTTACTTTTTATCTCTGCTTTTCCTACTGCACCTCTACTTCCGTTGTTTTTAAGTTGCTTTTTTTAACGAGGGCTCGAAATCTGATTATTTTAAATTTTTCTCTAGCATGTTTTCTACAAACTCTCAGCAGTTAGTTTGTTATAAAAGCAAAAATTCCCTTGGTGTAATTTTTGAAAAAAATGATCAACGTTGAATAAATCTGTAAACAAATAAAAATTGTAAGCGAACCAATAGGAAATTAACAAAATAATCCATTCCAACTTCTCTTGCATTTTCTTATTGCCACGTGTTTTGTTCTTATCTCGTGCGCGAAATGTGGAAAATTTCGCAACAATCTGCACACGCCACTCTCACGTGGCTCCGCAGTGCAAAAAATTCGCCAGCATGGAGCTCCTCCCTCTTGATAACCTAGGTCGTGGGTTCGAACCCGGCCGGCCTATCGCGTAATTCTTCACCCTCTCTTTTCATTTTTGCGACTCTACTGACTAAAATTGATTTATTTTTTGGAAGAAAATCATTTATAGGGACCGTTCATGAATGATTTAAGATGAATTGGACAGATTTTTTTTGTTACGAGCACCACTCTGATTTTTAGATATGTTGTTAGGGTTGATGAGAAACTACTTTGACCAAATTTTGGGACAAAAATTTTTAATACTTTTTGAAATATTCGGGTTTTTTGAAAAACTAAAAAATGCTTATATCTTTGCTCGTATTAATTTTGAAGTCATGAATTTTCACTCTAGTAGGTAACTTTTTGTTCTGAACAACTTTGCTGTTGACCAAAATGTCGTAGGTCAAAGGTCAAGGTCACTAAAATGCATTTTGAGTTTTTAAGGCCCATTTTCTCAAAAAAGTATATTTTTGATATTTTTTGTGTAAATGCAAAAAATGTAGGCCGTTAAATTCTACATCTGGTCAGCAAAATTCGCGATGGCGTTATTTTTAGTTTTTAAGATATTTTCATGTAAAATTAAAAAGATGCGTTTTGCCGATATGCCGTATTTTGATATTTTTCTGTTTTTTTCATTTCTAGGAGGACTAGAGCAATGCGGTTTTCACTGTTATACCCAATTTTTAATTCTGAACAACTTTTCTGTTGAATAAGAATACCTAGGTCAAAGGTTAAGGTCAGTAAAATGTATTTTTATTTTTCAAGGCCATTTTTCTTAAAGAAGCATACCTCGGATTTTTTCCGTGGTATAGGAAAAAATGTAGCCCATTAAATTCTACATCTGGTAGGTAAAATTTAGAATGGCGTTATTTTTAGTTCAAAAGATATTTTAATAAGTTTTCAAAAGAGCAAAAAAAAGTTAGAATTTACTATGGAAAATATGTACGGAAACGAACTTTTTAAATACTTATTGAAATATCTTTTGAACTAAAAATAACGCCATTCTGAATTTTACTTACCAGATGTAGAATTTAATGGGCTACATTTTTTCCTATACCACGGAAAAAATCCGAGGTATTCTTCTTTAAGAAAAATGGCCTTGAAAAATAAAAATACATTTTACTGACCTTAACCTTTGACCTAGGTATTTTTATTCAACAGAAAAGTTGTTCAAAATTAAAAATTGGGTATAACAGTGAAAACCGCATTGCTCTAGTCCTCCTAGAAATGAAAAAACAGAAAAATATCAAAATACGGCATATCGGCAAAACGCATCTTTTTAATTTTACATGAAAATATCTTAAAAACTAAAAATAACGCCATCGCGAATTTTGCTGACCAGATGTAGAATTTAACGTCCTACATTTTTTGCATTTACACAAAAAATATCAAAAATATACTTTTTTGAGAAAATGGGCCTTAAAAACTCAAAATGCATTTTAGTGACCTTGACCTTTGACCTACGACATTTTGGTCAACAGCAAAGTTGTTCAGAACAAAAAGTTACCTACTAGAGTGAAAATTCATGACTTCAAAATTAATACGAGCAAAGATATAAGCATTTTTTAGTTTTTCAAAAAACCCGAATATTTCAAAAAGTATTAAAAATTTTTGACTCAAAATTTGGTCAAAGTAGTTTCTCATCAACCCTAACAACATATCTAAAAATCAGAGTGGTGCTCGTAACAAAAAAAATCTGTCCAATTCATCTTAAATCATTCATGAACGGTCCCTATAATTTTGTCTTTATTTGTTTGTCAGATTCGATTGTGCGGCGAGGAAGGAGGTGGCGGCGAGATGGGGAGTGCGTCGCAGCAATACTGCCTGCGCTGGAACAACCACCGCACCAACCTGCTGACGGTCTTCGACCAGCTGCTGCAGAGTGAGGCCTTCACCGACTGCACCCTGGCCTGTGAGGGTGCGACCATCAAGTGCCACAAGATGGTGCTGGCCGCCTGCTCCACCTATTTCCAGATGCTGTTCCTCGAGGTGGCCTGCTCGCACCCGGTCGTTGTCCTTAAGGACATTCGATACACCGACATGAAGGCCATCCTTGAGTACATGTACCGAGGCGAGGTCAACGTTGCGCAGGACCAGCTCGCCAGCCTTCTCAAGGTTGCCGAAGCCCTCAAGGTTTGCAATAATTCATTTTTATTATTTAATTGGGAAATAAAAGAAAAAAATTAACATTAATTATTTCTTTTTAAAGACAAGTTAGTTCAAATGATATTCTTTAGAGGAAACTTTGAAATAAAATTTAATTTAAATTTAACAGTATTACTTTTTTTACTATACTAAAAAATATTTCTGATTGTTTCATGCAATATTAAAAATTTTCAGGTGAAAGGTTTGGTTGAAGACAACAGCCAGAATTTAGCAAGTAATGGAGAGCCTGCCGCCCCATCATCCCCACCCACAATCAGCACTTCGGCGAACATCAGCTCGCTGCCGCCGAACCTGTCGCCACCGCACTCAGCCGGCCTGCTGAACCCGTTCTCTAAGAACTACATGTACAGCAAGTCAATACTGGGAGGCGCGGCGGCGGCCGCGGCTGCTGAAAGGGCGCGTCTGGGGTCGTTGCCCATGTGGGCAATGCCGGGCCTTCCACCGGGCATGCCCCCGCTGGCCAGCCACTCTCTCAGCAGCAGCTACGACTCGCCGCTGAAACGCAAGAAGCTGCAGAGTCTCCTCAACAACAGGGACACGCCCATCCTGCGCACCGTCCTTGGACAAAGTCTGCAGCAGCCGGCCACTGGCAGCTCTGCCTCGGCGTCGCCACCTGGCAGCAGTCAGTCCCCGGCCGCCGACTCCTCTCAGCAACCCGTCTCTTTAGTGTGCCATCCCGAACGAGCCCAGTCTAATGGATCTGCTCACAGCAGGGTAATTTTTTCAAATAATTTTATTAAAAAAAAAAAGACAATTGATATTAGGAAAATATAGTTATGTTTTTGTTATGGCTTGGCTGAAATTATTTCTGCACACTTGAGGCACAAACTAATTCATGTTGACCTAGTCATTGGTAAACATGCTATTTATTCTCGGAACTGTTAACTGTTTGGTGCCAAAGAACTGTTTTGCTTGCATTTGACCTTCGGGCATACAAATTCCTAATGGGTTTGTAATATTTTTGCAGAGTTACAAAGGAGAGCCTTCAATGGATGACGACCAGCATTCGTACTCGGACATAAACGTGGATGAAGAGATGAATGAGTCTGTAAGTATTGTCTTATTTTAAATATTCAAAAATATTATTTTTTCTCATAAAAACAGGTTCTTATGAAAGCTAATTTGTTTCAGGTGGGAAAAATGATGTTGCCTGGATCAACGCACCCGACTTACTCTGGGGACATGAAAGGTAAGAAATATTCTATTTTAGCGTAGTAATTTTTGTCTGTAATCGGTATTTATTGTAAAATATTTCATATACTTCCGTTGCATTTTAATTTTATGCTTATTTTAGTATTCAATTTTTACTAGTAAAAATACATTTTCTTTAAAGGAATTAAAAAAAGTTAAAGATAATTTTAATAAATCTCTCTAGACACATTTCTCATTTTGCAAAAATATTTGTTTTTATCAGGAGGAATTGCGCCATACGTGCCAGCACAGAAGCCTGAATGGAAACGATACAAGCAGTACACACGCAATGACATCATGTCCGCCATCGATGCCGTCCGCAACGGGATGAGTGCCTTGCAGGCTGCGCGCAAATTTGGGGTCCCTTCACGCACGCTGTATGACAAGGTCAAGAAACTGGGCATCACCACGAGCCGGCCTTTCAAGCGGGGTAGCTTCCAGTTTGGAGGCGGCCTCAGCGCCAGCCAGGAAAACCTGAACCACTCTGGCGGAAACTTCTGCAGCCAATCAGACGCCGAGGAACAAGTTTCGTCCGACAACATCATGGGCAAGTCTGATGACGGCCGGGATGAAGCGACAGCCGCCAGCGTCCTCATCAGGGCGAGTCCGTGTCGAAGTCCGAGCCCCCCGGGACTTCAGGGCCACTTCATGAGCGGGGCCTCCGGCCACTTCCGGGCCAGCAGTAGTCCGAGCCCAACGGCCAGCAGCGGCCACAGCCACGACGAGGTTGAGGACCTGTCTGTGTCTGGAGGACGCAAATCTTCGCCACTGCCACCTGCGGTGACGCAGGTCGCCGTGCCCATCACGCCCTTGCACCCGCACATAGTGTCCCTCAAAGAGAGCACAATCGACGACTCATCGGCCGTGCGGACAACGACGGTCGGTGGTGGAGGCGACGCCGAGCACGACTGAAACTTGTTAGTTGACTACCATTCCCTCCTCCTCTCCTCCTTGCTGCCTAAGACTGCTTGCCAGATGATTTTCCACTGATTATTTACACAGTCGTTTGGTTCGTTGATTGATCGAGAAATATTATTGATCGATATTTTGCTGAAATGTAACACACAGACACACTTTTGATTAAGAACGGACCACTCTGCCTCTCAATGTCATTCGTGGAATTTCACACAGACCAAGTTTTTAAACAATGCGCGTCATTATTGTTGAGATACACACTATATGAATATTTAATCGTTACGTTTTCGCGGGTGGTCTGAGTAATATGGTATATTTTTAACGTCTCTCACGCCAGGTCTCTGCTGCATTGTTTAATTTCGTTCACAAAAACAACAACTGACACACCAGAGTTTTGCCTTGGTCATGGACAATTTGCAAAATGGGCAAATTCAAGTAACAATTTTTGGGTAGAAAAGTTATTACGCAAACACTTTAAACTTTGGCAACAATCACACTTATCTTGTTTGCAATTTTGCAAGTTGTCTATTCACGGGGACCAGTTTATCGAAGTGAACTTAGAAGCTCCATCAGTGATTGAAAAAGACTTTAAAATATGCATTGCTATGATTTCCTTATTTTTTTCCTCCCGAACGGGAGGCACAAACAACCATAAGACTGAGAATCACTTTCATTATAACATTGCTAATCTTATCCTTCAATTTCTAATTCACACACTGTTGTTTTGGGAGCTTAAACTTAAATAGACTGAGAAATCACACACACACACATACACACTTGAGACACAAAAATGCAACGTTTGGCCCGGTACGGAGATTTGAATGGACAGTTTGAAGTAATTAAGACGGAAATGTATATAGGTAGAGAGCTCTGCAATAGAGCTGGACAAGCAAGTGCGTTGGCGATGAAAGCAAAAATTAATATTTTGACTGCACATGAACTGCATTGATATGTAACACACAATATTTCGGGGGGCTTGTAATCGTTAATAATTTTAGATTGTATATCAAACATTATTTAATCTTGAAGTTCTTTGAACTAACGTTTTTGAAGGTTTTTTTTAACACATAATTGTAGCATATAATTATTACTGGATTCAAAAGTTGGATTTTACAGTTTATCCGCCATGTTTTGCAATCGCTCAGTTGCAATTTTTTTCTGTTTATTTTAAAACGAAATAAGCGAGTTTGCTGCTTTTTATTGACTGATTCAGTTCACAAAGTGTGTACCACACGTGAAGGGACGGCGGCCGCTGGTGACTGAAATTTGAATCAAAACAGCGCCGCCTCGAGTGTACACGCGCTAGTCAATGAAAGCTTATTATATCAAGTAATTATCACTGCCAGAGATCAACTCACGATTTTGTAAAAGAGACACTTACTACTCTATCATGGGCTTGCTTTTCACGTTAACAATTGTCTATGAGAATGTGTTCATGTTGATATTTAAGTAGCGCTTTTCTTGAATGGGAAACTGGAAAATCCAATCTTTTTTCTACTTTATTATACAAGCAAATGGGAAAGAAAGAAAAATCAATCATACACACACATGTTGCTTTGTTGGACAAGAGATGAGTAAAATAAAACTTGACAATGACACGTTGTTGCGTTCAACATCCAATTTGGAGTGCACCAGTTGTATAGAAATATTTTTGCTCTTAAGTATACATACATATATGATTATATTTAGATCTAAAGACTGAACTACATCTAGTGGTGTTAAGCGAGGGTTACAACAGCAACAATTGTTAAAATTGTAAATTTTTGAAAAGAATATGCCTTAGACGAACCACACGCATTATATATTTGATGGAGCAGAAATGAGAGTTAATTTTAAATTAATTAAATTACAGGCACAGTTTGCTAATGGTGGATGAGATAAAATTTGATAAATTTACAATAATCACTATATATGTACTAATGATAACCTCTCAGATGTGCTAATTGCTGACAAACCGATATGTAAGCAAGCAGTGCCCCAAGGGCACAGATTTGGTGCGCCTGTGATTGGGTGAATGGCATAGCTTCGTGTTTAAAGGAAGGGGAACTCAGTTAAATGAGGCGAGCATCATAAAATAATGTAAACCACACATGATTAGACAAGGGAGCAAATTCGATATACCTTGCTTTTGTTGGGGAAGAAAAATCCAAGTAAAAAAAACGACGAAAAAGAAAATTGGACTGTGTTAGTGTTATATGCCATTGTAAAAGGTTTTGTTAAATTGAATTGGCAAAAAAAAAACTACTTTGTTGTGCTGTAGGTTTTTACTGTGCCTTGAAGAAATGCCGGGACGAGCATGAGAACTTATCCACATTCACGCGTTTTGCTATGAGTTTGTTCGCCAAAGGGTTTCAATCCCGAAGTGCGTTCGAACGTCCACCGTCTGCAAAAATTAGCTCGTCAAGCAAAAAAAGTAAAAGATTCTCACCGGGGAGTTGAATTAATTGTGAGACAATTATGACTTAAGTCTATTACATAAAATTAAAAAAGTGTGCACCACTCATGTTTGATGCTTTCTTGACGTTGCACCAGGCGAAATTACTACTTGTTTTTTTTACATATGCTATTATATTGAAAATTATCAAATTAAAATTTGAACAACTCTGTGCAATACGATAGACTTCGGAAGAAGACGCATGGCTTCATTATTAGTTTTCAAGAAGGTGTTAAGTTATTTTCCAAAGACTGAGACACATGAAGTGTGTACACAACAATTTTTAAATGTATCGAAAGAACTGCTGCTTTTTCACAAAGAAGACACTCACACTCTGGAAACTAACAACCAAGAATATTATATATATTATACCGTGCAGACTCCTCTAATCAAACTTGGACAACTCCATCCGTAACAATAGCTGAACTGTTATCAATCAAAACCGGAAAATCAAACCCAATAGGAAATAGATATAAACTCTATAATTATTATGTATTTAATTGGAATATATTTAACATATTATTTTTCTCCCTCTGATATTTGTATTTTCTTGTTTGATTGGCATTAATTCAACCCTGTGTGGCGCTTCGACTCCAGATGCCTTAACGAGATCACAATACGAAGCGCCGCATGCCATAGACGATATTTATACACACAGATAATATGTACGTTAAGTAACTTTTGATTTTGGCAAAGTCATCGGGGAAATTGTGTCATGTAGTGATCTGTTTTCCTTTTATATATTTTTATATATATCAACTCTGTTTCATTCATGTAGGTGGAAAATATTGAAATGTTTAACTTCAAGTGATTGTTGATCTACCTCATTAATTAATTTAGACAAACTGCGTTGGAAATAAATCATTACATTGTGTACTACCGCAGGGCATGTATAAAATCAGAGAGAAACAATGCCTTATTTTGACCAATCGATAATAGCTTAATTAAAACTAAAATTACAACTTTGAAAATTGTTCAATCGTCACTCCCAACAATCCTGTAGATGTACACACTCACACACATCTAGATACACGAACGAACACTCTTGACATAAACACATTCACGACATATGTTATTTTTATTGTCAATAGATTTGTGCGCGCGCGCTTTATATTATCAAAAAGTGTAAAATAAAGAAAATGTGCTACTTTAGTAAAAGTTTCTTCTTTCTCTTGGCCAACCCTTCATTATCAAACAAATAAACTTCTTATAACCCAGAATCCCAGAAAAGAAAAAAGGTTAAAAATTTATAACTTATTGGACTAATTGCAAGAAAATCTCATTGAAATTGAGTTAAAAGAAGAAATTAATGAAGATGAGAAAATGAATTTAAAAGTAAATTTCAAAGGATGCACCAATCAGGGAAATGGGGGCTACAAAATGAGCTTCTTCCTTGGCGCTGAGAAAATGTGCACCGACCTCATGGGGCCCTATCTTAAGGGTGGAATTTGAATTACGGAAAACAGCACTTCAGCTCCTCAATGGATTTGGGAATTTGGGGAAATAATTTGTAAATAAGTAATTATAAAATCTCTATTCCATCCAGCGCAAGAACTAAAATAATTGAGTGCGCCATAGTTATTTAAAATTAAAATCTTCTTACCTAGATTTAATAATTACATTGGGGAAGAATAAATTCTACAGCTGTTACTGTAAATTTTGAGCATTATATTTATTATTTTGAAATATACATTTCATAATACTATATAGTTGCTGTTAAATAATCAGTCTCCGACTGCACATAGGAAATAATTTGGCAACATATTCTGTATTAACTTTATAAGGCACAGGTAGCTTTCTGACGCATCATTTCAAAATCTTTCTGGATAAGTAAATTCAGTCTACATCATTCATCAACAGGTCTGGATCAGAAGAAGTCAAAACTGCATGGATTCTGCGGCTCAGAGCGGGACCAACTCTTCTTTCTGTCTCTACTGGACCAACGCCTTTACGCACCTACAAATTTGTTTATTTAATGCATTCAATTCAAATAAAATGAACTAACCATGATATCTTCAAGAAGAAGTTTTGGATCAGTACCATCAGCACACTGCTCATAGGCCTAATAATATTAATGCATAAATGAGAAAAAAAATTCATTTCAATTTCTTATTATACTTCAATTAAAGCTGCTGGAGTAGGATAGATAGCAGCAATAGCCTGGCAAGTCTCCAAGGGCATTCTTTTAAACTTTTTCAGTGACTTTAGCCAAATATTAGGGAAGTCGTCTCTAATTCCATTGCTCTTTTCAGACGCCAAATGGAACCGAAAGTTGTTCTGCCAGCTGTTTTTGATTTTCCTAAAAACAATTGGTTTATGTTTGGCTAGGGACGCATTTAAATAGATTTTACTTGAAAGGTTCATTAGCAACTGCTTTGGTGTATCTGTAAATCCATTCGCTAACTTCCTGCGCTGTCTCTGCGTGAGTAAAAGAAACTCCCAATTCAAGGTGGCATTCTGCAGTAGCTTCCTCCAGCTGTGTTTTTGTGATTCGACCACCACCTTTTTTCCTGCAGCATAAAAAAATAGTAAATATTTTGAAATTGAAGTTATTAATAATTATGAACAAAAATATACTCACTGTATTGCAAAATACTGCTTTTTTCCATATACAATCACGTTGAATCTTTCAATGCTCTTGTTAGTTCGGAGGATATTTTTCAGGTGATTAAGGAGTTCTCCGTCCCGGACAAGAGTCTCCATCATGGTCATCTCAAGCAACTGAAGCATGTAAGGTGTTGGTTCTCGGGCACAATGATCCTGACATAAAGAAGGAAAATGAAATTTGTAACATTATTTTTTTTAAATAAATTTTTACATTTTTATCAGGCATCAATTCTCTATGCCAGCATATTGAAAACGGGACGCTGCGACTTTTCACTTCACTACGAATTTGGTCAAGTGGAGTGTAGATCAACACATCTTTAAGTGTTGGGATTTCCACCAAATCCTTATCAACCTCCAGAATGATGAACTAAAAATAAAAAGAATTTAATTATTACCAATAAAAAACAGAAAAAAAATCACCTTTAAACAATTCGCAGGCCTCTTCCTTCTCAGTTCTTCTTTTTCCCTTTTCTTAGCTTTCTTTTCAGCTTCAATGGCAGCCTTTTCTTCATCAGTGTATTTTCCTCTTCGTTTCTAAAATCAATTAGATGCATTGAATACATAATTGAATATAAAACAAAAACAGCAATGTGGCACCTGAGGTTTCTTGGTGGCTTGTGTAGCAGCAGTAGACTGAGACGAGGATGGCCTGGGAAATTTGACATTAAAATATATTATATATTTATAATTTTTTTTTTTAAATTTTGGAGTAAAATGTAAAATAGTAAAAAAATAATCATACTTTGGGTCATCATCATCATCACTGTCTGAGAGTGGATGGAATTTTTTAGCGTTTTGTGAGATATCTTGACTTTTTGAGAGATCATCCGACAAATTTGAAGCACCATCAGCTTCTCTCAACGCTTCTTCCCACAAGTCTTTCAAACAGTCATCACTGCTATCACTAGCATCCTCATCTTCATCAGAATGCTGTTTTCTTAGACTGTTTGGGGACGAGCTGATAGGTTTACCGTTTTCTGAAATAAAAATACACACATAATTGTACAATTAATATGAATTAAAACTTGGTTTTCTTTTAGAAAAAATCAGAAAAATATAAACTTAAGTCATGAGAGTAATCACGGATTGTTAAATAAAAAAATTAAACCGAATTTACTTGGGCGCTATAGCCAATCCACGTTTTTCTTGGAAATTTGTTATCAATTAAAAAAGGGACAATTTACAAAGTCTGCATAATTCCGCCAAAGATCATTTTGAAGAGAGTAGAGATAGAGACTATTAAAAACACAGTAACAATGACATCGGCTTTGGTTGATCAATTTCAATCATATCATTACCTTCACCAGAAGGTCCAGGAGCGTCGTCGTCGTCGGAAAGAATAACAACATCATCTTCTTCTTCAATCATTCTGAATGAGATTGTTGCTGATTTTGGCACGAAAGTTGGCGCTCAACGCGCTTTAGCTGCAATGATCCACAATCGCGTGGTTTGGGTCAAAACTTTCTAGGAATTCTTATTCTTATGTAACGAAAACATTCCGCTGCTTTTGTTGTTGTGCTTTGTTGATCCGCGATCCGCTGGCTGCTGCGCCGGTTTTCCACCTGCTGATAGCCTGATACTTCTTGCTGCTGATGGCTGATTGGATTAAAAGTTAGTGGGCGTGGCATTTTACGTGCGCAAACAACAAAAAATACATATTATATTATAATTATTTTACTATAGTCCTTTCATATTCCATCAAAATGTATGCACAGTTAACAAACAGACAGGCGCACAGCATTCTTGGCAAAGAGAAATACACAATTGATTTCTTTCGAATTTTTACAAATTTTATTTCATTCGAATTAAAGCAAGAATAAAATCAACAATAAAAAACAATAATATTAAAATATATCTAGTCTATTTATTGAAGGAAAAAATAAAAGTAAATTGAATTTTCCAAAATTCTGCTGTAAACATATTTTTTTTTTAACATGGTTGATTTTAATTATATATTTATTTTTCCTTGTATACCATATACGCTACAAAAATAAATATTTCACTTCACATGAATGACATGGATCACATGATTGTTGGATTTTTTGCCCAAGCGGTACTCTCAAGAGGCACATTGAGATTTTGTATTGGCTTGCGATGCAGCAGTAGACCAAGCTAAGGCTAGCCTGAAAAATTTGACATTCGAATCAGTTAAAATATAATCATATAAAATTTATTTTAAAGTTCTGATTTAATTAATTGATAATAAAAAATTGGAAAATATCGGTAATATTGGTGGAGGAAATAGTATAAAAAGAACCATACTTTGGATAGTCATCAACATCACTGTCTGGGAGTGGACGGAGTCTTTTAGCGTTGTGAGAATTCTTGACTTTTTGAGAGATCATCCGACAAATTTGAAGCAAGACGAGCTTCTCTCAATGCTTCATCCCACAAGTCCTTCAAACAGTCATCACTGCTATCACTATCATCATCATCAGAATATTGTTTTCTTGGACTGTTTGGAGTTGAGCTGCCAGGTTCACACTTTTCTGAAATAAAAAAACACACATAAATTTGAAAGGAATCTTCTTTTAAACAAAATAAAAACCTAAGTCATCAATACTCATGAAAGGATATTCATAATCATTAAAAAAAATGAAATCAAATTTACAAAGGCGCTGCTAGGCACCCTTATAGCCAACCCATGTATTTCTTGGATTTTTGTTGTCTATTAAAAAAGGTACAATTTACTAAGAGTTTGCTAAGGGCCAAGTGTTTTTAGGCCAAATGTGAGTCACAGTAGCCGTTAAAAATTCAAAATAAATTTTACCTGGCAATTGAAATTTTAGGTAAAAAGAAATTTTATGTAGGAAAAGATGCATTTCCAGACTTTGATCCGAAAAGCAAAGCGAAGGACTCTAATGTACGGGATATTTAAAAGATTTGGCCCATCCCATCATCATACCAGGAGGAATTTGCTGTCCTTGCTGAACAACCTGACCTTGCATTTTCTGCATCTGAGCTGCGGGGCCAGCAGACATTCCAGCCACCATGTCTGGATTTGCTCCTGAAATTTCCAAAACAAGATTATTTTACTGCCAGGTGGAACTTAATAAAAAGAGGAAACATCTCTCTGGAAACATAAAAAACTTTACATCTCAAAAATTACTGATTGTGAGAGGTAGATAAAAAATTTGGATTGGGCGCACGTTGAAATTTAACCTTCCTTTTATCTGGTTGATTGATATGCGTGGTGGGCAAAAGAAGGGGTTTTGTTAAGCAGATATCAGAGGTGAGTGTTTTAGTACTCACCCTGCCGAGCGAAAGTCTGCAAAGCATTAATTTGGTCTGCAATATGTTGCCGCACACCCTGGCCGATGGTAGCACCACCAGTGCCAGTCCCTTTTTTTCTCTGTTTAAAGGAAGCAAGATAAGACATATAATAGACATATAATTATGTAATGAAATAAATCCGTTTCAGTAAACAAATCGGATTAAAAAAACTAATTTACTCACGTAGTTCTTGCGTAAATGAAGAAACAATCGAGCAATAAACCCCAGGTATTCATCCTGCAAATTAGTACATAATGTAGCTAGAAAAACGTTCATGTTTGAAATGCTTTTTGTCACACACTTTAGTTTTGGCTTTTTGGAAAATGTGACTCTCAACCTCCATGCTGGACCTACTCATCGGCATTCCACAGTTTTGAACTTCTGTCTGACTGCAATTTACAAGAAATTAGGTCTTCATAAAATTGAAACATAATATTGCAGATTTTTGTACATTTTGGTGACAACGATCTGCCGGAAAACAGGAGTTTTCCACGAGTTGTCTTCGTTTGCAGCCATTTCCCCAATTTGCTTTGTAAATTTAATAAATAATACTTCGCCACCTGCCATTGCCACCTGCTGATTATTTATGAAAAGAAGTGGGCGTCGCATTGCACGTGCGCACACTGACTACATTCCTTTCTCATGCCCATCAAATTTTTTTCATTTCCATACAGGTAACCCACAGAGTTGAATTAACAGAACCCACAATGTTAAACTGGTACAAGGGCGATTTAGCATGGATGCTCTCTCTCTGTATATAATACAACTCTGTGATTTTGTACCTTCAGGGTAGGAGTTCAACAATGGACAGGATGGACACTTCCAGCATTTTTCATTTCCATTGTAGATTATAACAAAATCGCTGCCTACCTGTACCAACAAGGACTATATTAAGCTAGCATTTAAGCAAAAATATGAATTTATTTTTATTTTTTAGTCAAATATATTATTTCGAAATTGAAATATGAGCTTAAGAGCAAGGAACATGCTTAACAAAAAGAAGTAGCAAACGCAGCAAACTAAACACATAAATCATTACAATATAAAGTTTTGGATTGTTCAAGATATATTTCTGAAATATCCTAAATTTAACATTTGCTTCAACAAAAATAAGCATGTTAAGAAATTTTTTTGATAGCAAATCATTTTTGAAAAATTTTACTCGTAGTTTGAAAGGTCAAATTCTTTGCCCCCTAACCCTCCTTCAAGGTCTTTTCCAACAGTTTCAAGAAAATCATGTCTCTTTTTCCTTTTGCACTTCACAGTCATCTCCAGCAATTGCATAGTGTCTTTGTCAGTCCAGTCCTTGATATCAGCTTCAATGACAGTCTCAGAAATGGTAGAACAGATTTTACGAAGCTCTTGCTGGAGTTCTTTTTTGTCGCACGAGTTGCGCACAAGGTCAACGTAAAACATGACGTTTTCGAGTAAATTTGAGACCTTGGGACGGACTCCTTCGAAAAAATCGAGCCGGCGTTTCTCACCTCTCTGTCTGTGGTTGGGAAAATTGATTAGAAAAATTCGATTTTTTAACAATGATAACATTACGGATGAGGATTGTACTCAGAATGGAATACTGGTTGTTCATGCATCTTCTTCATACGCTGCAGATGGCGTTGACCTTCGGACGTTAAAACTGTCTCCACTAAATCTTCGTAGCTTTCAAGGTTCTCTCCAAAAAGGGAACCAAAAGGAACCCACCACTCATCCGCTGTGTAGTCTAGTTGAAATATAATATTTTTTCAAGTTAAAGCAAACTTCAATTTTTATTAATCTTACCATGTACTTCCTCTTCTTCCTCACTTTCTTCATCTTCATGTTGTTCATCTTCACTTTTTTCATCTTCACTTTTTTCATCTTCATTTTGTTCATCTTCATTTTGTTCATCTTCACTTTTTTCATCTTCACTTTGTTCATCCTCACTTTTAGCAACCTCCGTCTTCACGAAAGGAATATTTATATATCTATCAGCCTCTTCAATCGCAGACATCAGTTTCTTGGATTTGTGGTATTTGGAAATGAAGGTTTCTCTTTCAGATAAAAAATCTTTCAAGTCGCGTTCTTTTAGTTTCGCCCTGCAATGTTTTTTTTTAAATACAAACAAAGCATTGTAATTTCAAACTTCACACAAACAAATTATACTAACGTATCATGTGTTTCGAAGAAGAGCACCGAGTACTGCCTGCTGGAAGATTGTCCATTCTTGCCTTCAATTATTTCCTCCACCTTAAAAATATGAAATGGTCAAAAACGTTAGCAGCAATTTCCACACGTTTTATTACCCTCGAGGGCCACGGAGGGAACCCCTTCAGCCTGGCAAAAACAATGTGTCCACGTTTGAATGGAATCGACTGCTTCTCCTCGACTGGCTCCACTTTCTCATCACCAGCCGAGTCTTCCATCTGCATCATCTCGTGACGTGACAGATGAGTCTTCGCCTGGATCTTGTCTCAATTTATGGGATTCTGAGTGGAGATCTAAAAAGGAAACCAACTTAAAAGTGAAAAAAATAAAAGGCTCTATAAAAGTGGTACCGGTCGACTGTGTCAAAAGTGACAAAACTTCTCAAAACGGAATCAAACGGAATTATGTGAAAGAGGAAAGAACCAAACCAGGCGAATGTGTGTGTGCAATATACAAAATGCTAAGTCAAGACTCGAGAAATGTTTTTCGTTATTTTTTGTTTTAACTCTGATGTCTCTGATCTGATCTCTGATGAAGGAATTTGGTATTTGATTTGGTAAACATCAACTGCAAATGCAATTCTTATTGGTTGGTTGTGATCACGTGATTAAATTCTCGTTTATTTTATGCCTGATAGATGGCAGAGCGAGCAAAAAATCTGATGCGCCGTTGGTTGCGCCCTGTGAGGTAAACGCAACAGGCGCACAGGGGCACAGGTACATAAATGATAAACGATTAACAACGCAAAAAGAAAGATGAATACAATTTATAATCTTTTAATAATTATAGAATTATTGAAAAAAAAGTAAACGTTAAAAATTATAAAAAAAAAATTTTCCACATTCACCGAATAAACAAAAATTGTTACTTAAAATTGATCTTAGAATTAAGGTTAATTTTAATTTCGTTATCCTTTTTTGAAACCTTTTTGGTTATTCAATTCAAAATTAAAATAATATTTCATTTGAACTAATTGTGGGATTTTACATTTTTAGCCCTAATGACCAACTAATGACGTTCGCCCGTCGGCCCATGGCGGTGCCAAGCGGCACTCTCACGAGGCACATTTGAGGCCGCGGAGTTAAAAAAAAAACTGGTCTCGCGGCGAACGAAAGAAAAGAACCCAACGCGTGCAGCCGCCGTCTCTCGAGAGGGGAGGGCGCTCTCTGCGGCTGCCTGCATTGCTCTCCCGTTTTTTAGCCTTCCAGTGCCAACAAGCAAGCAAGAGAGAAAGAGTTGCGTTCGTCGCGAGAGAGCAGAGCTGCGCGCGAGTAGAAAGACGGAAATAATAATATTCGGTCGGCGGCGGGCCTGAGACTGCCGAAATGGTGATCGGCCGCCGACTCCGAATCGGCGCCGACGCGGATCGGTAACTAGAGACGGACACGGAGCGCGAGGGCAGGACGAGATAGACAGGTGTGTGTCATGCGTCCGGACTAGCGAAGAAGGAGGAGGTGTCCATCCACCTGTCGAGAAGATGTACAGGTCGTCCGAGTGCAGAAAGTTCTCGCCGAACATCTTCAACAAGAGCAAGTGCGCGAATTGCTTCAAGCAGCGCGAGGAGCACAGCGCCGAAGCCTTGGAGTCGAACAGGGTGAGCAAAGCAGAGGCACACGTAGGACGCGACCTCATAATTCCGAAACACACACATCATAATGCAATAACATAGCATTGGGCTGGCTACACGGCCGTTGCGTGCCGATCCATCGGCAATTACCATTCATTCGCTCGACCTCGCGTAATTGTCGTGGGCTGCCGAGAATCGCTCTCGGGAGCCGCAAGTAGGAAGAAAAACTTTTGCTCTTCCCCACAGAGACGTGTACGAAAAGAAACATAAATAATTTTTTCAAGAGGCCCTGCCCGATTAATTAGGTTATCGCTCTCGTCGTGTCTATTTAAATCTGAAAACAATGACGAGAATTATTTCGTTTTTTTTTACAGTGATGAAAGTACATTTAAATTGGATACGTGTCTTGATTTTTTTTTTTTTATAAATTTGTTTTGTTTTTCTCGCTCTCATCGGAGAAATTGTGGAGAGTTGAACGACCGTCGTGGAAAGAAATTTATTTGTATTCTTTGTATGCTTGCTCGGTCGAGAGGCGAAAGGCATCGCCTGTATTGATATTTTGGGATCACACACACATAGTTGTGTGACGTCACCCGCGGTTACAAATATTTTTGGATAATTATATTATTTCGGAGAAGTTTTGAATTGCCTACCGCTGCTGGCAGTTTCCCCCCTTTTGATTACGATCAAATTTTCTAGGCACCTAATGATGGGAAAAACATTTCTGCAGTTTTTTTTTCACTCGTCTAAATAGAAATTTTCGACATTTATTATTAATTACATAACGTTTTATAATTAGTAAAAAGTTTGCAGTTGTAAATAATTTTTAGAGCTTTTGGTATATAATTGTTTGTGTTGAGTAGAATAAACAGCAATGATAATTGAATTTTGTGAAATGTTAAATTGAAAAAAAAAACAATTATCATGTGATAGGTAAGGTTAATCATGAAAGGGGAAATTTAATTTAAAAAAAAAAAATGGAATTTTCATTTATTTTTAAATAATTCAAAACTAAATTCCCTCCAAAAAAATTCCCACATTTTAGTTCATGAATTTAAAATTAAATTTGCGGGTTAACAGACATTAAAATTGATTTAGAACTAACTGGAAATTTTTCGTTGTTCTTATAAAGGTTGTTTTTGTTTGCGTTAATTTTGTTGATAGAAAAGAGAATTATTTGAATGCAGCAATTTTTTCTCATTACAGTTATATTTTAAGGAAATAATCGATGAAATTTGATTTAAAAAAAAAAAAGTTATCCAAATTTTACTTCTGGATTACAATTCTTGCTAATCCCAGATAGAAAATTAGAAATTTTTTTAGAATTTTCAATTGACATGAATTTTTGTAGAACACATCCTTTTGCTTACTTTGAAAGGTTCTCGATTCTCGAGTAGATTTTTCAAACAATATTTTTCAAGATACTGAAGATGAATCTAAAAAATTATTCAAACTTGATGTAGTTATAAGTTTTTCCCACGTATCGTGAATTTTTTAAATTTTCAATTATTATTTCTGCTGTATGAATTAAAAAAATTCATCCATCCTTAATTGCATATGCAAAAATCTCACGCGATTGTGATCGAAAATCGTGCACTGCTGCACTGTTTAAAATTAAAAAGTCTTCGCGAGAGTGGAGAATTTTAATTAGCGCGTTTTTCGAAAGTCCCTCTTTGTTGACTATTGCCAATGACGAACAGGTTTCAATGGAAATCAGATTACTTTTCACTTATTCATTGAGTAAAAGCTCTTCATTGAATACCCCATTCAAGTGCAGCACACAAAGGAGCCACCGCGCCATTTAAAACTCGCGTTTCTGATCGAACAGAAAAATATTCAAATTGAATTTGGCGAAGAAATCCTAGCAGATGAAAAAATCGAACCAAGGCCGCGTTCAAAGAAATAAAAGCGATCGTTTGCAGGTTGCAACACACTCGGCCGTGCGTAAGACTCGCTCGCACACTCGGACAGTCTGTTTGCCGAAAGGGCCATAATTCAAATTGCAAATAACGGAGCCGGCGTGCAAATGGGCCGAACCGCGAGCTGGGCGGGCAAATTTCTCGCCAAACTTATCTCCGAGTTAAATTTCCAACTGCTAATTGGCGAACAGAGACGCCGTTTTTTCTAAACGCGTTCTCGGCCGGGTCAATTTGCTCGGTTATATTTATAGGGAGGTGACGTTCATTCGAAAAATAAAAAAATAAGAATTGAAAGAAGGAAAAAAATGTGCAATTTTATGCCTGCATTCAATAAAAAGCAGCGGGCTGCGTGAGGGAAAAGCAGGCGTAATAGAAAACCGAGTGCAGCCGCACAGAATCCTTACATCTGTGAAACCATAGAAGAAGGCGGTTAGCGAGTGGAAAGGAAAGAAACGCTCTGGCTGCTCTTTGTCGTCCGACCAGCAGTTATAATTCAATTAAGTGCCTTTATTGTTGGTTAATATTATTGCACTTGAGGCTCCGTTTCAAACGGAATTAGATTAGATTAGTGCGTCTCACAATGACAGCTAGCCAAGGAAAACGTGTTTTCGCTCCTTGCTTCGTCGCGAATCTGTGCACATCAATAATTTCTTACAATAAGCAAGTGTGTCGAGACTCGGATTAATTTTATTACAAAATTATTTTATTGTTTTATTAAGACTAATAATTAATTTAAAACGCAAAAGAAATTAATCTTGTTCAATATTTATTATTGCTCAAAAGACCATAGGAATCGAGATATATTTTATCGTAGAAAATTGTGTAAATCCGAAATCAGGGCAGATAAACATTAATCGTGATGAAAGAATTTTGAAGTAATGATTAGACGATGAAAAATAGGCTGTGATGACTTATGGTGAAATGAAATATTTTAAATGAAAAGAAAATGGACCTCAGAACAAATTCTTCATTTATTTCGGAAGCGCATGCAATTTTGTTTTTCTTTCTTGTTAAATTAGAGCAGAATTTGTAGTTCTTCTTGTTTTCTCGTTTCAGGTTTTGACTAAATTTTTTTTAAATTGCAATTAAAAATAGTTTTGGGTGAAAAAAATATTGGATAAAATTCTTATAACGGAAGGAAGATTTTGCGAATCGGCAATATCTTGGAATGATCGTTGACAAAATATCTTTTTTATTTTGGCGCATAATTGAATATTGATGTATTTGTATTTGAAGAATAAAAAAATATTAAGCTTTTTTACTTCACTTTTCTTTATAGTGTGTCAAAATGATATCCGTTGTGAATGAGATTTCTCTTCAGCTAATATGTTCACATCACAGATATCAATATGAAGCATTTCGATCGCAAAGTGCAAAATGTTGTTCTGGAAGCATTTTAAGTGCATGAAATATTTGCGTAATAAATAAGATAAGATTATGGCTATTTTGGTTGGTGGCTCACTAATTTGAAAATTTACAGAAAGTATTCAAATTTTATGGTTATTGGCTGCAAGATTTATCAGCTCGTTATTTACATAGCAAAATTTAAACTTAATAGCTCCGGACTTATACGAATTAATAAAATCAACTTTTGCTCCTTTCCAGGCATAAATTAATTGGCAGAATTAATTAATTAACCACATCAACGTTAAATGGCCATCTTAAATTGCAATAAAAAAAACTCTGTTCTCCCGCCAAGGAATTCCTTTCTAACCTTTTAATTGCCTGTTAGGCAAAAAATAAACAGCACAGAGTTTCTCACTTGTCTCGCTTCATTCGCGATTCGCGTCGCTTCCGAGAATTTGAAACCGTTTTTCTCAAAATTTTCATTCATATCGCATTCCACTTTGGCACGGCGGCAATTAAATAGTTGGACTATTAATCTGGCAGGCACTTGCAGCATTTCAAGCGTGCCCTGTGTGTGCGGACATTATATTATTTGGCACCTGTCGGCATTTTTGTCGTGACCGCCTTTCGGAAGTATGTGATTTAATTTTTCGACGTTGCTTGTTGCAGGCGAGCAGGAAAGTTTCCAAGTGCGGTTATTTGTTTGTGGCGCCTGGATGGGATTTCTCCGACCCGATCAACAGAACCAAGGTGAGAATGTGTATTTATTACCCTTCTTGTGATACTCCTCTGATTCAATCCACCGCGCGATAAGGTGATGTCGCGATTTGCGGATTAGTCGTCACCTCTTCATGTCATTCCGACTTGATTGATGCACACGTGCTGCTCGTTATTTAGTTGCGCAACCAACTTCGCAGTCTGCCTTGCCATTCAAGGCTTCTTTCTTCTGGGCGGCGCGCTTTTAATTTGCATGAATTTGGCGACTGACTCATTTGCAAGCGGAGCACCTTCAAAGTACAATTATAATCAAATTATAATGCAAATCTAAAATAAATTAAGTTTCTTGGATCAAAAATATTTTATAAGTTCCTTGAAAAGAAGTGGAAATTTGTCAGCCTTTTCGTTTCGCCTAGTTAAAGGTCTTAATTAACATGTCAAAATGGCCCATATTTTAAATTTTTGCCTAAAAAATGTTTTCAAAATATAAAAATTAGGTCTCCCAATTTTATTTGTTTACTTATTGTATTTTTGTAACTTGATGAAAATGTGTCCTCAGAGGTGGCAGCGCAGGTGGTTTGTCCTCTACAACGACGGCGAGTTTACTTATTCTGTGGACGAACATGTATGTATTTTATTTTATGCACTTAGTTAACAACCCTATTACTTCATAACAATTAAAATTTGAGAACATCGTCTCTATAAGATAATGGCCTAGTTGGGAAAATTATAGCTTTTTAATTGAAGGCCGCAATTTTCCAATTCAGCCAAATGATTAATGATAATTTCGCAGCCGGAAACGGTCCCGCAATGTATCATCGACATGAATTGCGTTCTGGAGGTCACCCCGGCCGAGGACATCACGGGGCACCCACACAGTATCGCCCTCACAACGCCAGAGGGTGTCCACTTTGTCAAAGGGATGGGTCGGGAGGAGTCGCGTTTGTGGTGCGATGTCCTTTCCGTCTTCATCCGGTCAAAGGTACATTAACAAAGTTTTCATTTTAATTTGACGCCAAAATATAAATATTTTTTTATGATAATTTATTCCAAAACTTTGGTGCTAATAATTAAAAAAAAATTGGTGACAAAAATACAGCTAAATTTTCTGTCAGTATTTAAAATTAAATTTAGAGAAATTGAAAGCAACAACTGGTGAGTCATGATGACTACAAACGAGAGCAATTTATTCTTACTTTTCCCTTTTGATAGTTCTTCCATTACCTATTTTCTTTTTAAACTTTTTTAATCTGGTGCCATCCGTCTGCAGCCCCGTCACAAGAGGAACGCCACTTTCCCCTGTGGCAAGTCGACCACAATGATCCACCAGCCACCGCGCATTGTGTCCGTCACGGAGAAGTCTCGCATGGCCGCCAGACCTCGCTTCAATAGCTGCCATACAGATATCGGATGCCGAGTGTCTGAGAGCGCTGAAACCTCAATACCTTCATTCAACTCCGAAGTCTTCACACCACAACCTACTTTGCTCACTCCAGGTTTGCACTTGCATCTTTTCGTATTTTTTTTCTTTAAAATTTCATAAAAAAAAAATTTGTCCTTCTAGCAATTTGATAAAAATACATGTGATTTGTTCCAATTTTTAACACAATAGAATCTACAAGACCTTAGTTTTATCATCGATATAACTTTTTGTGTTCCTAGATTACGAGGATCAGCCTGCGTCTTCTGATAGTCCTCCAACTAGAGATAAGTTGCAAACAGAGTGTAAAACACGCTACCGTCGAGCTATGGCCAGAGAAAAGCGGGCTTGGAAGACTGAGCTTGCCAAGTCATCGCTCAAGGAAGACGATTGTAAGAGATCAAATTTTCTATGAAACATAAAAATAGCTTAGAAATAACCTTGCAGCACCCGCCGCTCACACAGCAAGACACCTGTTGCTGGACGATGAAACGAGACGAGGTGAGAAGCTGAAAGACATCGCAGACTGCATCACATGGCCGAGAAGGCCAACCAGTTTGCAGATCACGCCCAAGACCAGTGTGATAGAACCGACTAGAGACAATCATAACATGGTTACCAAAGAGAACCTGGGCATCCTCAACACTTCTTTCGCATCAGATACTGCGGTAGGATTTTGTGAAATTCTTGTTGGACATGTTTTCAAAAATTTTCATTACAGGTTCGCAGTGAGCCGGACGGGCTAGACTACTCAGTGAGCAGCTATGCATCACCAAATTCTGCAAACTCGTCTGCAGAATTACGGGTGGAGCTGCCTGCGGAAGATTTGTTGCACCTCAAGAAAGGCTGGCTCATGCAACAAGGACCCGACAAAGTATGTTTTCAAACTTAAAAATGTTGACTGAATTGTTTGTAACTTTTAATTATTTTTAGGGTTGGGGGAAGCACTGGTTTGTTCTTCGAGGATCTGCTTTAATGTACTACCGAGATCCCAGTACCGAAGACAATGGCATACTCGATGGAGTTATTGACCTGGGCATGGTTCGAAGTGTGACTGAAGTTCAGGAAGCAAGAAATTATGGCTTCAAAATAGTTGTATGATTCTCTTGTTTTTATGCCAATTTCAAATGCTGATTTTTGCATCTTTAATACAGCTTTGGGATGATAAAGAAGTTGTTCTCTCTGCACTGACGGCCAATATACGCGCCAACTGGCTCCAAGCTCTTCGACGAGCTGCTGGGCTTCCTTTATCAAACGCTTCCATTCTAAGTCCAACCAATTCTGAATTCAGAACACCAACTGGAGAGGAACCACCAACACTGCTGCAGCAGCCAAATCCAAGAGTTGTTCTTGGATCAAATCTTGAACGGCAGCTGGAATCGTCAAGCAGTTCCATCTTGTTATGCCCAGTGCCAAAATCGCGTCTCTCAGAGTCGAGTTTGCTGTCCTCCGACGAGGAGTACAGAACTGCGTCTTCAGAGACTTCTGCTGAAGTAATCAGTTTGTGGGCTGACCCTGAAGACGAAAATGTAGCCATTCCCTTTCCATCTTCGTCACCTCCTCTTAACAGAACACCAATATCCAAGGTTAAAGAAAGAGCAAGGTACGCCCCTATTTGAACAATTTTTTTTTATGATTTGGTGCTATTCTTTTTATATCATGTGTAATAAATACATTGAAATCAAGGAACCGAGTGGCACGACGCTCAAGAACCTCACCCCCACTGCTGGGATCCAGAGTACAACTACGAAGGAGAACTCTTCCCCTCGAGTCATCTAATATTTATGATAACCGTGACCTCTCACCAAACGCTCCAATGTCAGATTCTCCGTCTTTGATGAGTCCAATTTCTCCCATTTCACCTAGTTTTTCCAGCTACAAATCAAAATCTCACCAAAATGACAATATTTTTGAAACCAGATTAAAGGCTCTTGAGAGTCAGGTATAAAATCAATCACTTTTTTTGTAAATAAGTGGGCATTCATATTTCTCTCTTTAGCTCAAAGACACCATGACTTTGCTTGACACCAAGGAAAACGAATTGAGACAGAAGACCATTGAGCTTAACGACTTGCAGCACATTTCTCAGAAATACCAGAAGCTGCGACAAGAGCACCAGTCTTTGTGCAAAGAGTGGAGAGAAAGAAAGGTTTCAGAAGAGCGTTGGCGCCACAATTGCCAGCAATCACAAGCCAGGTGAGCTACCTGGATTATGAGTATGATTTTATAATTGCTATATTCTTCTTTAGCCTGGTGTCTGAAAGGCTGGAGCATCAGTTGGCTCTGGAGAAGCTTGAAATGGAGAGCAACAAAAAGGTTAAAAGACTGAAAGCAGAAATCTCATCTCTAAGGGAAGAGCTTGAGTGCGTCAAGCTCAAACTCCAGAGAGAGATTGAAGAGAACGGACTGAATGCAAAAATGAGAGAAGTCAAGGCCAGTCCGACTTCAACACCGCCCATGCGTAGGTGTTTTAGCCAAAGGTCTCTCAGAAAGGTCAACTCAATCAGTGACCTTGCATGCAGTACCAGTTTGACAGACTTGGGAGAGATGGAATTGTGGGACAGAGACAGGTAGGCACATAATTTTGGTATAATATTTGATGCTGATTTTCTATGCATTCCAAAAGGCTGCAAGAAGAATACTCGGAAACATTACGGAAGCTGCAGCTTGCTATGAATGAGATCCATGCAGCCAGAAAGGAGCTTAGAAATTCACAGGCTGAGTGTGATAAATTGGAAATACAATGTGTTGCGATTCGACAAGCAGCTCAACAACAAACTGATGACGGTCAATGCAGGGCAACGTTGCTTGCAAGAAGGGTAATTTTCGTAAATAATGTACTCGTCATTATTTGAATTCCTTCTGATATGTTAGGTTGATGATTTGACCATGAAACTTTCGGCTGCTGAACGCCAGCTAAGGCAGCTGCCACCAAGCATTGGATCTCCTCAGCTCTCAAAGTTTTCTCGAGTTTCCGAAAAAAGGCGCTCGCTCTCTCTGAAAGGTCGAGACTCTATGAGGGAAAAGTTCTCCGACCAGGACAAAGCTAGTCTGATGCAGCAGAGATCTGCTTCGACGGACCAAATATCAACAGCTGGTATCGGGGAGGGTTCTCGATATGCTAAGAAGTTAGAAGCTCTGTGTCTGGAGAACAAAATGAGCCCACGGTTACCACGTAAAAGCTCACGACGTAAATCAGACTTGGGGCCTTTATTACACAATAATCTACCACAGTCGCCACCTCCTCAAAAGGTATGTATTTAGCCATTATTATTATTTAATGAATTATTCTAACTGAACAAAAAATTATTTTAGACCAGAGCTCATCGACGGAAATCATTAGACAACGCGTGTCTTGAACTGCTACTCAGGTTAAAAATGATCGGACCAAAGTTTCCCCACTTAGAAGAAAATCCTCAACTCGAAGGTCTCCACATGGTGGTGCCGGAACTGTTTGACTTGGATGGAAGCCAAACACCATCGTCTTCCACGGCGTCTACTTCCCAGAGCACCGAAAATATTTCCAAGGAATCAATGCTGGCGTCTCAGAAATTGGTGAATCAGTTCTGGGACATCATTGCAAAGCGTCCAGAACTGAATGTGACTTTGGAGGGGGTCGAGGGACTTGAAGATATGGAGGTTAATCATTTGCTGGATCAGAAACTTCAGTTGCCCAGCCAGCCAAGCGAGATTATGCAAATGGCCACTATTGGAGCGTTCACGTCTTTGCTTCGGCAACGCTTGATGACTGAAGCTGAGAATAGCAGCGAGAAAATGATTAATATTTTCAAGAATTTGAGGTATAATATTCTCTTGGTCAGTTTTTTAAAATCATTGAAAATTTCACATCATTTAGGATCAATGATGTTCAAATATCCGATGTTGTTGAACTGAAAGAGAAGTTGGAAAAGGCAAAGGATGCTTTTCTGAATGAGTGGCAATTCATTGTAAGTTAATTAGCCTGTGTATGTCTATTTTAATGACCAAATTCAATCAGGATTCTCAACATAATGCAAAAGAAAGGCAGCTGCAGGAGGTACTTGTCAGACTCGAAGAACGTTTAGGAATCGTTGGTGAATATTCCCAGCACATGGCCAGTCTACGTGCCTCATATCAGCATGGTTTGGAGGAAGGCGCCAAAGATGGTGCGAACGGAGATCAGAGGCACCATAAACAAGTCCAACAGCTTTTAGTAGGAAATCAAAACTTTGCTTATAGTATAATTATAAATTGTTCAACTTTTCAGGAGCTCTGTGTGAAGGGCTTGGTTGCAATGGAAAAATCCCATAATGTGATCATTGCAGAGCTCAGAGAACAGCACGAACAGAAGATTCTCACTTTGAAGCAGGAAAAGGAGCAAGCTCTGGCTGAAGAAACTCGCGCCACGCTTACAGGTTTGTTTCTCATTGCCAGTTTTTAAATATTTGATTGATTAACTTTAATTGTAGCTCTCGAAGCAATGAGAAAAGCGCATGAAGCCGAAGTTCGAAAGGAGAATGAAAAATTCAAGACCCAGTACATGGAAAATATGAAATCATTCATAGACGTCAGACTCCTTATGAAAGAAAATGAGTAGGCGCTTAAAATTAAATTACAAAATATTTAGATCTATTTTAAAAATTGATTTAGGCCGGAGGTGAAGTTAAAGCAGAGTGACCCGTATCAGGAAAGGTCTTCATCAACGGTAATTTACAAAGAGACTGTTCGACCAGAAGGCCAAACGACTGTAAATTCGAGGCATTATCAAGATGGCCATCATATTACTACCTACGCCGAAAACAGGTCAGTTTTAATGTTTCGCTAACCTGTTGCAACAAAATGTGCTAAACGGTTTTTTTATCTTAGAAACAAGCAACTACGGCATGCGTTTTTATCCGAATCTCAAGATTTGGCTGCAGAAACCCCATGCAGCACAGTGTCAGATTCGAATCTCCTCCAGTCTGTAAGTATTTAGCGCTCTTGCCTTTCCTCTCACTTTTCAATGTAACGGAATGATAGACCTTGCTCGAGTTTGTTTACCAGTCGATTAGAATCCTTCTCTATATTAGTTGTAGATTTTGTGACTAGATCTCAGGGGTGGCAGTTTGAGGGAGTTTTGAGAAAAGACGAGTGTAATTTTGATTCACGCTTAGCACAAGTTCATCTTAATATAAATAACCAATCACACACCCGGCACAATTTATTTATTCACTTGCATGTCCGATGCATTTTGATTTTTAGCGAGCACTTAGTAGTCCTGTGAAGAAAGGAGCACCCGTGTCGGGGGACTCGGGGGTCACCCTGAGCATGCATGCCTCCAAAACCCCCCATCCACAACACAGTAAGTTGAGTGACGCTTGGTGATGGTTATTTTTACACCCCACATTTTAATTGTGTGTTTTCCCACCCATTCTTGCTTTGCATCCTCTAATGATTCATCAGATTTGACATTTTTACTTTCAATTTATTTATTCTAATTTGAAAAATTACCTTTTTTAGCTTTGAACCGAGCCCTTGACAAGCATTTTTTGAGGGAAGCATCATTACAGGGCATGGTTGCTCAACGAAAGAAGCTGTTTGAAAACTGAACGACTTAATTCTTTACCCTGGTAATGGGTTTTCCGCCGGTCCTCACCGTCCACTGCAGTATTTTTTGTTTTAAAATTAAGCTTTGAACATGATCATTTACAGTGTTAATTTTTTTAGTAGTTCTTATTCGGCACTTGTTTATTGTGCACTGCTAAATGTTATCCTGAACAGCTTGGAGCCCACCTAATTTATCAAGTCAACATTTTAATTAAAATATTATAGCGTATAACAGCACATTTTTTTTAAATAAAAATTGCTCATTGATTGTTAATCGATTTTATAATTTAAGGACTTGCTCACATTTTGTAACATTAGAAAAATATATAAATTACAAGTAGCAATTACACAGTATATCAATTAAATATTAATCAACATTAAGATAATACTGTAATCGGGTTCATTAACCATTCTTGTCGTGCCCAAACGGGTATATAATAATTAAGAGAGGCACAGTAATAAATAGAACTTGTAAGAATTATATTGTTGAAACAAAGTGTAGAAAACTGCTCATTGTAAGTAATGTGCAAAATTATTGTATCAAAATTTTGTCAACTACATATGATTGTGAGACTTGATCCGAACATTTAAGCACAGAATCAAAGATCTATAGGGTTACCAGGTGATTTTTGCAATGCTTATTCCAAAAATACATTGCTTTTTATTACAATTATGAGGTAAAAAATTCCTCTAGGCAAAAAGGTTTCAAAAAGGAAATTGGAAAAATTATTGTTGAAACTTTAGACCCATATTTTCATAGGTAAATTTATTCTATGGCTATCACTTACTTAATATTCGACCAATTTTAACCATTAAAATTATAAACGGTGGTACTATGAAAAATAAAAATTAATATTTGTTGAGAACTTCCAAGTTTTAATTAAGATTCACCTACTTTAATTTATGGTCAGTGTTTTATGATGTACAGAGGAGAACAGATATTTTTCTACGCTTGAAAATCGCTGGAAATCTTTGATGGCTGAGTGAGGCGGCCAGGTTGATTTACAGCGCTTACAATTAGTAGCGTTGCGCAGCCTCTGAAAGTGATTGACGCACGGACAGTCTAGGGCCGTGGAGGAATGCAAGGGCCTCAAAGAAGATTGGCATGTTCCACATTTCGCACGGATTCCAAATTTTGTTGTTGAATTTAATTTGAAATTTTTACAAAAATTAATTAATTTTGTCAAATCCTTTAAAATGTAATTATAGTGCTGCTCCGTTTCTGCTCGCTAATCACTTTCTAAAAGGCCTTGCGACGCTGCTAAGCGCTGTAAAAAATCAACCTGGTCAATGGAAATTGTAATAAACCACTTAATTTTACACTTAGATAGAGCTTAATTTATTGATCCATCATAAATTTTGCTTTAAACTATAAGTTATCAATCGGGAGTGTACTTACAAAAATCAAAATGTCTCTTAAAATTAGTGCACAGTTGAAAGTCTATCTCCGCTTGAATCCATACTTCTTCCGCTCGTAGAAGAGATCTGTCTTTGAACTTCCCAAGTTCACAATTTTCGGACAACCATCTCTCTAAAATATGATTTTAATTCATTATTATAACCTTGTTGAGTTTTTAAATAAAAATAATTACATCTTTCTCCTGGATTGTGCACTCTTTGCAGTAATAAGCGTCTGAAACACCTGGTCCTCCGCAAATAACGCAACGCCCTTGATAGGATCCGTAGTTGCACTCATCGCAAATTCTCACCAATGTGCAGGGGCGCACATAAGAGTCGCAGATGACGCATTTGCCGTCGCATTTTTCACAAAGTCGTCCGATAGCTAAAACGGATTAATATAATTATTAAGACATTATTCATTATATATAGTAATGGATAATTTGAGAATAAAAGGAATGCAGACACAGAGTTCGCAGAGACTCTGCCGCAGAGACACCAGATTTTAATTTGTGTATACAGTGTACATACATATTTAGGTGCTTTTGCACACAAAAATAACATAAAAAAAAAACAACGAATTTCTTACAAAGCTGGTTATTGTTATTTCTAAAATTTATTTTCATCAAAATTATTTAATGAGACTTCAACACGTCAACAGAGATTAAAAAGAATGTGTTAAAATTATGGAAGGCTCTGTGTACTAACCTACGCCGGGTTGTTTGCGGCAGAAAATCAAATCAGGGTGGTGCTTAGCCATGGTGTTTTAGCAAAAAACACGTGCGAAGGATCAAAATCCTCTGCCTGTGCCGCACGTCTGGTTCGAATTGCTCCTCGTTTCACGTAAAATTACAAATATTCTTGCACTTTGTGCTCTTTGTTTACCATGTGGACCGGCAAAAATTTGGAGACAACAACAATAATACTTTCTTTGCTGTGATTGGTCGTCAGTGGACGAAATACCGAGCGGCCATTGGACGAACGGATTTTACCGGATTTTACGGCTTTTATCGTGCATATAGGAGCTGCTAAAGCCACGTAAAAAGCACGAAGACGTGTATTTAGCAGTGTTTTGATTCTAAGGAGAAGCGGTGTGCTTGTCGAGTTATTATACATTAACTACGCCGGAAAGTTGATTCAAATTTTACTTCAATCAAATTCTCAGCAATAGTTCACACTCAGGTAATTTTATTTTGGAACGTGTATTTTTGTTTAGTATTATCAATTATCATACATATATGTATACCACACACACACGCAATAATATGTAATCGCTTCATAATATGGATAAAATATTCACTAATTTTTTTTCAATTTAATTAAACTCTCAGAAATATAAAATAATATCATAAAAACTTCGTGGAATATTGATTATGTTGTACTGCAGGCTTAAAATTCAGCGTTTGCATAAAATAAGGCAAACATGTCTTTGGCGGAAGAACTTTTGGCTGACCTGGAGGAGGACCAGGATATGAAAGAGGACGAGGAATTGAAGGATATGATTTCAGCCTCAGCAGTCAAATCTGAAGTCGATCGAGATTCTTTCATGGAAGATCTTAGCTCCACAAATCAGCAAAAAATATGTAAAGTTCTTTCAAAGGTTTTATAACACACATAATTTGACTTCAAAAATTTTCAGCTCTGAAAACAGATTCTATCCGGCAGTTAGCAAAACTGAGGGACTCAAAGAGACTGAACAGCATCATGGAGCAAATTGAACGCTTTTCTAAAAAGCCAAGGACTTTGGCCGAGATGAGGTCGACAGGTGCAGGCGAGGCAGACCCTGAGTACCAACTCATTGTGGAGGCTAATAACCTTGCTGTGGATATTGAGAATGAAATAGGTATGATAATATTCACAAAATAATTAATTTTTTTCAAAAAAAAAATTTCTCAGGAACCATTTATCAGTTTGTGAAGGAGCGCTACTCAAGACGGTTTCCAGAGTTAGATTCGCTGGTGGTGCAACCACTGGAATTTATCAAGACTGTTCGTGAGTTAGGAAACGAGCTGGAAAATGTGAAGAACAACGAGGCTCTCCTTCAGGTTCTCACACAAGCTACAATCATGGTTGTATCTGTCACCGCGTCAACCACCCAAGGGTATAATCAGTTGAAATTTTTATATTACTAGTAAAATAACTTCTTTCTTTGTAGCCATTATTTGAGTGAGCCAGAGTTGGATGCGATTCAAGAGGCGTGTGACATGGCAATCGAAGTCAACAACTTCAAGCAGAAAATTCTGGAATATGTAGAAGCGAGGATGGCCTTCATTGCACCCAACTTGTCAGCAATCGTTGGAGCTTCGACAGCCGCCAAAATGATGGGTCTGGCTGGTGGTCTGACGAGGCTGGCAAACATGCCTTCTTGCAACATTCAGGTCCTTGGAGCCCAGAAGAAGACCCTTTCCGGCTTCTCGAGGGTTGCTGCACTCCCACACACAGGATTTGTTTACTACTGCGAACTTGTACAAGACACTGCACCGGTCAGTTTGAATAATTCTTAACAATTATTTGCAAATTCATGTGGAATTTTTAGGACTTGCGGATCAAAGCTGCGAGACTGGTGGCTGCAAAATCAGCTCTAGCGGCGAGAGTCGATGCAGGTCAAGAAAGCAAGGATGGAACGATCGGAATGAATTTCAGAGACGAAATTGAGAAAAAGCTGGACAAGCTTCAAGTACAGCGGTTTTATTTTAAACATGAACAGATTAACTGATTGTCTAATCCACAGGAACCTGCCCCTGTCAAATTCATCAAACCCCTTCCAAAGCCAGTGGACCCGACAAAAAAGAGACGAGGAGGCAAGCGGGTGAGAAAAATGAAGGAGCGATACGCTGTTACCGAAATGAGAAAGCAGCAGAACAGAATGAACTTTGGCGATGTGGGTTTTTCAAATTGTTTGTATTTACAAATAATTAATCACTTTTTGCCTTCTTCAGATCGAAGATGACGCTTATCAAAACGATCTTGGCTACACAAGAGGCACAATTGGTAAATCAAGTACAGGCCGCATCAGGATGCCCCAAGTCGACGAGAAGACCAAAGTGCGAATTTCTAAAACTTTGCAAAAGAACCTCCAAAAGCAGCAGCAATGGGGTGGAAGCACCACAGTACGGAAACAGGTATCAGGAACGGCGTCCAGTGTCGCCTTCACACCCATGCAGGTTGGTAAATTTTTATATCAATTTTACCCAGGTTAATTTTTTATTGTATTCATAAATTATTAATTTTTTTGCTCTCCAGGGTCTTGAAATTGTCAATCCACAAGCTGCAGAAAGGACTGGAGGTGAGGAGAATGCAAAATACTTCTCCAGCACATCAGGATTCCACCAAGCGCCCAAGAAACCTTAAGGTACTTCTGTAATAAAAACTGTCTATAATAAACAAAACAAACTTCATTTGGGATTTAAAAAAAAAATCAAAACAATTTTTTTCTTTAAATTTTTTATAATGTTTATGTCCAAAATAGGACAAATTTTTTTGGAAATTGAAGATTCATTTTAGTATTAATTCCCATTGAGATGGGCTAATTTTTTATTTTTTATTTATTAACCAGTGGCAAACTATATCAATTAACATTGTTTGTATTGGAATTACGCTATTTATTAGAAATTATTGAAAAATACAATATTGGAGGAAAAAAATCAATCATAAATGTTAAGTGAGTGAAGAGACGCCGTCCCATATTGATGGCAAGTGGCGGTGGGAGTTGTATAAGAGAGGCAGGAGAACTCCAACATGCAATATCATATTTCATTTTCCCTCGCCGCAATTTTGTATGAGCAGAGCTGCTTGTTTCTGAAAGGATTGCGGCGCTCATGGACACGTCTTTCGACGGGCCCCTTGGGGACCCTGGCGACGAGCTTTGCTGGCAGTTCACACGCTGCGAGTCGCCCCCGCTTTTGTGTCGGGAGCTGCTCTTCAAATTCCTCATCGTAGGCGAGTTTGGCGTTGGTACGACTCTTATAATTTCCATTACTTTGTTTACTATTTTTAAGTCGTTAATTCTGCAAAATGCATAATTCTTTCTGGCAAGCGGAAGCCAAGCATTATTATTATTTTTTTTTTTTTGTATAAGAAAAATGTATTAAGGATGCAGTAATCTTGTGGACTTTTGCCAACTATAGCGCTCAATTATCTTGAATTTGTGACAAAAATAATCTTCCGGTCCCTCTATATAAACTTCCAGACCTAAAGAAAATCTATGACAAACAAAAAACGATTAATAAATTTGATAATTCAAAATACTTTTATCACGTATCTTAATATAATTTTCTCAATTCTTAATGCTCCAAAATTCTGACTAAAATTATAACATTAAAAAAGACTTTATTTCTGAATTTTAGTTATAACTAGATTACAAATTTGTTGATAAAACCATTTAAAATTCTTATTTTTTTAATTTCTCAAAATTTAGAAAATTGGCCAATTATAGTTCTCAAGAATAAAAATTGAAAAGTAAAAATGTTATAAATAATGTCATAAAATAATTGCACATCAAACAAGTATTATGATTATCAATTAAGTTAAACAATTATTACAACCATGCAAAAGATAGAACAACACGATAAACAATTTTGTTGGATTATTAAGTGATAATTAATTCAAGCTGGGGTGAAGCCGTAACTTCCTTGCACCTCTTTTATCTCCTCGCGCGCCAACAACAAACGCGGAATTGGAGCAATGCCCTCGCCATGCATTGCATTCAATACAAGTGCACGTGCTGCTGAGGCTGGTATGAATAAATCGCGGCCTTGTCAATGGCGTGATTCCAGAGTGGTTCGGACTGAAAAACGTTTTATGCATGGAAATTTTATAGCAAAAGTCTCTTGCACACTCAGCTTTTTCCGCGATTACGCGACGGCCTGAAACGGGATAAAACTTTTCTCCCGTTAAAAACATGAAAAGCCGTGTTCGACACGGAAACGAAAATTCTGCACCTCGTATTCCACATTGAGCCACGGACGGGGAAACACGATCTCACGTATCAGCGAGTGTTGAAGAGATTATTATACTTGGAGGTTATATTGCGTTAGATAGACCGAGGGTGCCCGCGGCTATAATTCGGCTCAATTAATTAATACTCTATGGGTCTGCTCTACTTCGCTTCACCACAACCAGCTAATTGATGACAAAACTTTCCGTTTCTAAGGGGTGAAAATATTCTCAAGTTTCACTGCGCCCAAGGCGGGTAAATAATCATGCTAGAATTTGGCAATAAATTTTTGCGAATCGCTTTTTTCCAATTATGAAAGTGAAAAAAAAATGCTAATTTTGCCAATATTTTTGCACCAATTGAATAGACGGATAATTAATTACAAGCAGTGTGTGTGTGTTATTTCATTAATTTGCACCCTCTTGAAATGGACTGCTGGAGATAATTCTATTTTTGGATCATTAAGCAAATTGACTTTATCTCAGTGTGAGGCTTAATGACTTAATCGATGATAAATGAAACTTAAAAGTCATTATTCATTTGGCAGAGAAAAAAAGTGAAAGAAACAACATTGGCCTTTTGCCATCAATATATAAATGGGACAGAGATCGATAGGGTCACTTTGCGGAGGTCTGAATCCATTTATTCACTTTTGCGAATATATCTTGATGCCAGCAAGTCGCGCACTCACCTGATAGGCATTTCGACGACGGTGACGCAAACCCGAAATTACAGGTTTTAATCAGGCTGACAAGCTCAATTACGTGAGTAGCGTTCATTCGACTGTGACAAACACAAACTCGCAGCGCGGCCTACAAAATAAAAGAGCCAGGGGAATAAATTTTCTTTCTGGAAATAATTACCGCGCGTATGTTTTCATTCAAAATAGTCGGAGCATCGCAGCTTTTGAGGTTGAAAATGATATTATTTCAAGAGTCGTCAAAAACCGACAAAAAGGCCTGTTTTCACGCAGAGCAAACCGCAGAGCCGTTTTTTCACGTGATGCTTTTTGAAGCGGGACAAAAAGCGGTTGGCGCCGTACAAGGCCCCATAACATTTGCATAAAACGCCGATTTTTCAGGGTTAAAATGAGCATCAAAAATAATGGCCCGTGTAAATTGCAGAAGTAAAATGAAAATGTAGCTCCTCGGTGCATTTTGCTGGTGACTTTTATGTTAATTATCTTGCGCGAAATATGTACATCGGGTCGCTTCATTTCAACAACTGTTGAAGCACAAAAGCCCGAGGGGAGGTGAAACGATCAAAATAATTTAATGCCATTGAGCGCAATTTTATTATTGTGGCTTCTCTTTGAACCGAAAGCGCGACAGCGGAGATAATGCCGCAGTCATCAAAACACATTGTGTTGCGCGCTCTGCACGTCGCGCGCGCGGCACACAAATAAAACAAATCGATTGGCTGCGCATAATCAAAACATTTAAACCAACACTTGATTTATTCATGTGTCACATGAGTCGCTTTTTCTGCACGAATCTCATTTGCAATCCTGCCCTCGTTTGCATTTTTATTATTATTTTTTTTTTTTGCAACACAACTGACAGAAGTGATGATTGGCAATTTTGCGCGATCCAGAGCCGCAAATTGGTTTCGCTTTCATTCAGTGATTTACTCCTGATTAGTTTAAATAAAAAAGTTGAACCGTCAGCAATCTGATGCCGGCCGCATAAAAATGCAAACCACACAACTTTATACACATAATCCGCGGCGCGCAGGAGATTTATTGAGAGGATTTTCCAGCTGACACTCTGATAATGCAGAGTCGTATATATTTGTGCAAAAAATTTATAAAAGAACTGACTGGTGTTTTGTGAATTTGCAGGGAAAACGGCCATTGTGAAAAGATACACCGAGGGTGAGTTAATTTGTTTGCTAATTTATGTTTCATAAAAAAAATACAAAAAAAAAGAACTTTCATTTCCAACTTTTCTTTTTTACCTACGAGACGAGAGCAGACGTGAAACGGCGCGTGCAATTACAGCCGCGGCGCGGCTGTCGCAAGGCAGACGCGACTTTCAATTAGCCAAGCACCACTGACCTTAAATTGATGATAAAAAAAAAAGGATGAGAAAAAGCTTGGAGAGAAAAAGTGGGTCGCACAACCCTTCCGTTCGACAAGTTGCTCTCTCAACCCCGATAGCAATCAGAGTTAATTACTTTTACCGCGCGCAGTTAAGCCACCAAAGACGCGTCTTAGCGGCGAGACGAAGCTGCTGGAAAATCACTCGCACGCAATTTAATTCCAACAAAACGGGAGCATGCGAAAGTAACGTTGGAAGCCTTCGTGCCGTGCTCAAAATGTGCGGTGATATGCAAATTCAGCGCAATCTCAACCCGTAAGGTTTGATCTGCAAACTCGCCGCTAATGCGCGAAACAGACTTTAAAACGACAGGCGTTTAATTAGAAGCTTGCAAAAATAGCAGATGGTTTAGCAAAAAATAAAAATTTAATGGTGAGTAAAAAATTTCTGCTAATATCCAATATTTTTCGATAAATTTATCATCTTTATAAATTAATTCTGAAATTTAATTTATCGTGGAATTTATCATGTAATTAAAATCTTCCTGATCCTGAATTTCTGTACAGAATTTATTATTTTTTATTCCGGTGTCAATCTCTGGAATTAATAAATCATATTGGCGAGTAAAAATTGGGTTGTTTTTTTAAAAAAAAAAATATTTCATACTTTTGAAGATGAGAATGATTAATTATTTTTTGCTATGTGGAGAGAACTGACAAATGTACCCTGGCTGAGTGCAGAAAACTTAGCATCAGCACTAATGACTATTGAGTAAGGACTAATCGTGTCGAGTGCATTTTTATTAATCATCGTGCATTTAATGATGTAATGTGTACTTGAAATTTTTCCTCAATAAAATTGCTGATATATTTTTAAAACAATCGCAAATTAGAAATTTATATTTTGCAGCTAATCGAACTAAAAATCCTAGTTTTGACTCAAAATTTAAGAAAAATCACCCAATAAGATTTAATTTTCCTAAAAGAGCATTATGTATTTGACAAATAAATGTTTACTCATTCCTCAGTGAATATATTTTTTCTGTTTTGATTCAGGTATTAAAAATTGTACAGAATTTAAATGCACAACTTTATTAAAACAAAACTTTTGCGTAGAACAAATTTTGGCCTCTCTAAGTCAGCTAATATATTTTGGTACCTTATTATATTTTGCGAAATTTTGTACGCTTGTTCTGCCGTGCGCCTACCGAAAAGGAGCCGTTGTAGTTTATTATTTGCTCAATAAATCAATCCCGCCGTGTATGTGTTGTGCGAGATAAGAAAACTGCGGCGCGCTCCCTTCACTCGAAGACACTTTAATTTGATACGGAGACTGTTTTCTTTAAGCAGCCTTAAGTCGCGCCGCGCGTATACATGAAAAACTCGTCGCCGCTCTCGGGGCCCCACTTTTTCTTCATCAAGATCAGTTTACACCAGGCTCTTTTTCGCCGACCGGTGACGTCACATTAAACGCGCTTAATGTATATTAAGAAGAAATTTTTCCCAGCGGAGAGCCTCTAATGCCCGATGCGGTCTCTCTGAGGGGGAAATTTGTCAAACGACACGTCGGCCGCAGCTGTTTTTGACACATTCGCACCGTTTCCATTCTTGGCATTTTCTTTCTTCCTCTGCATGGCTGCTGTCAGCCAGCGATACACACACATACATCACATGCAAAATTTATTGTTTCATGAATTTTACAGCAGCCGTGTTCCTTCCTTGCTTCCTTCCTTCCGCTCAAACGTTTGAATACATATTATATCGTTTTGTTGCAGGAAGGTTTTCGCCGACGTACAAAATCACAATCGGCGCGGATTTCTCTTTGAAGCAGCTCAGGTGGAACAGAACGACCAAAATTAACTTACAGTTATGGTAAATGCGATTGTCTCTGTCCAACTCAATGAACTCTCCAAAATTCTCTTTCTTCGTATTCTGCTGAAAGCTAATTTGACGCCTGGAAACGCAGTTTGCTTTGAATTTTTTTCTTCTGCTTGCGCTTGAATTCCTTTCTGTTTAAATGATCTTGCCCCTCAAAGGCAACTCAAAATAGCTCTACGAGACTAGTCTTAATTTTTTTCGTTTTTCCTGCTTTTTTAAGTGAAAATTAATAATCTTGGTGTTTATTGAATATCATATTTAAATAGTGCCAGAAACAGATATTTACTACCAAAAGTAATTAAACGGAATTAATGAATAATCAATTTTTTCAATTCAACCCATTTCTTTCATTGTTTTTCCATACTTTGTTCAAAAGCGGTAATTTTACGGAAAATAATACTAATTTAAAGAAATAATTGATGATTGATTATTTTTTTAAACATATAATTCTCAAAAAAAGTTATTGGGATATTTAATTTTTTTTTTTGTTCTTTTTGAAAAGGTTCAATAATATTTTTTTAAATAAAAAATGAACCTTCGGATTTCAAATTGAAGAAATAATTGTTTAATTTCTTTTAATTTTAAGAAAACCCTTTAAAAGCTGGTTAATCTGATTGTAGAAAAACAAACAAAAATCTGATCTCATGTATCTCCCCTTTTCAGCTTGATTAATTTCCTTGTTTTTAAAGCACGCAGAGCAAAGAGTAAAGCTGGGGTGAATTTCTTTTGTTTTATTTTCCAGGGACATCGCCGGTCACGAGAGGTACGGCTACATGACGAGGGTTTACTACAAATACGCGTGAGTGTCCCTCTCTCGTTTTCCTTTTTTCTAATTTCGGCTCCGAACCATTTAGTAGATGAGCCTTTCGAATTTTGTCACCGGTGTGTGTGGGGACAGCTAGTCACAAAAGCCATTTTCGATCCCCGCGCCAACAAAACTTGCCTATTTCATTAACTTGCCTGCGCACTCACCGAAAATGCCAGCGTTTGGCCCGCAATGCAGACGCAGTTTTTGCCTCAAAATAATGGACATTTCCAAAACAAGCAACGCAGGAAATTCTCGCACCAAACAAACATCAACTGTTGCACAATCACGCGCCCGCCCCCTCTGGCACCCTTTGTACGAGTGTGTACCCAAAAACTGGCACCGATAGACCCAGCCGGCGACTCTCGAACCCTAAAGCCGCACGATTTTCCGCGTCGACGGCTAACGCTCCCCGGCAGCGGTGGCTTAGTGAAAATAAACGGTTGCCGGCAGAGTGTTTTAATGAAGTTTGATGGTGCTTGTCGGCCGGATGAAGGAAGGGGTTAGCGCCAAGTTCGCTGCTCTATTCCTTCATTTCGCGCCGAATCAATCTCAAGGAGCCGCGAAAAGAAGAAGCAGGATAAATTATCCATGCGCGGGCGGGACATTCAATTTCAACCGTGGGCGAAAGTTTGCCAGCCCTGTCAGCTTTTTCGGTTGGCGCTGCAAATCACCGTCGATGATTTAGGAGGGCAAACTATAACCGAAGGAAAGCTCTTTTCAAACACGTCTCTTCGGCAAGTCTTTTCTCGTCGCGCTGTTTGTCTCTTTATATAATTAGAATGATCCGGTTAAACTTGATTTATCGCCGGATCGATTTAACAGAACTTCGTGTTCAATCCCCCAAAGAACTCGGAATTGGTTTAAATTGATTTCAAGGTTCGTGCGGAATATAGATTTCCTTATACGGGCTTCTTCTTCTTCACGTCAGAAGCTCGACAAAGTCTTACTCTTGTTAAGTCTTTATGGCGCGAAGTAAAACTTCTCAAAAGATCATAGTTAGCGTAAATTGATCCCTAAGTGCTGGTTTAGTCAAAGTATAAAGTTTCAAAATAAAATAAATTTGATTAGTTTTCACTCAGCAGAGTGAAACAAAATTCATGTTTTGGAACATGGATTTTAACATTTTCTTACAATTTTAATTTTATGTCTACTAAAACTGGCCTTGATGTCTCAAATTCTGGCGTCATAGTATCAATTTATGTTTGTATAAACAAAAAAGGTATATTAATTTAAAAAATTGATTAAATAGGGTTTTTTTAAATGAAGGTAAAAGTCGTGATATTTAATGTTGGAAGAATTGCACAATTTAAGTAAATACCAGGCTAATTTCTTTAAAAAAAAATTACATAAGTCACTATTTCTTTTCTTTTTATTACTAAATTTACGCTACTTTTTGGTTTTAGTCTGAAACTTCAAGATTCATCTTGATGAATTAAAAATTTTAACGAAATAAAATAAAATCCAACTTATGATAACCACAAAAAATATTCAATAAATTCCAAACAATCAAACAATTAGAACGTTAATAAAAAATCACGGTTAAATCGACGGGGGAAAAGGGCTCCATGGTAGTAAAATCTGCAATAAAGGTAACTTTTTATTATTCCACAATTTCAACTTTCAACAAATTATTAACTCACGTCTAATGAATAAACCATTGCGCACTAATTAATTAATTATCTGGAAATTTTCCACCGTATTTCCGGGAAATGCATGTGTATCATTTAGTGAGGAAAAAGTTGTTTGGCGTGCACGTCCACCGCAGATGGATGTTGTATGTGTTCATTTTTTATCATGCTAATAATTTTGATTTGGACGCTCGAATTGCACCCAGTGGGACGATAGCGCGATGCAAACGGTGTGTTTATTTACACACTCGCATATTTTTAGTCATTCACACTCATTTGCAGTGTAATCAGACCGTGGCACAGCAAAGGCAATGTCACGTACACCCCACTGACCCTCTTTACCCCTGGGTGATGCCACCAAAGCGATGACGCAAAGCCAAAACGGCCGAAAATTTAAGCCGCTTGCTTTTTTCGCTTCCTCTCTTTATTGGCGCGATAATTCCAACCGGCGAAAGTCATGGCCCAGCTCTTTGCCATCGAAAAACTTTTGCCGTTTTATTTTTGCGCTTGTGTCACAAAGCCGGCTCGATATAGATAGTAGTTTCGCCCACTAATGATGTGCCGGTGATAGGGCGATAATTGCGCACGTCCTTTTTGTCTCCCTTTGAAGAGATGGGCCGGGTGACGAGGGCGGTTTTGTCACGGAAGCAGTTTGCCTAAAACACGTCCCATCGCGCAGCTAGAGCGCCTCCGCCAACGAGAGAGAGAGAGCGAGCAAGATATATTGTGATGAAAGTGAAATCCGGGCCTCACCCCGCTGCTCCCCGTTGTAAAAACAGTTTTTTCCCGTCGAGATAAGGCCCGGATTTCATTTCCTCTCGTTATGAAGAAGCGGCGGCGGCGGCGCCTCGAGTGTCAACTGCTCGCCTTGCGAAATATTATATGCCCAGTGCAAGACTATTTTCACTCCTTGAGATTAAATTTAGGCTTTTTGTTTGTCGTGGGAGTTGTGCCGGTTGCCTATTTTCATCACGTGCAGGGGTTAGGGCGCGACCGCTGTGGGAGGCGTAAACAAGTTCCCCCGGTTTATGGCAGATAAAACTGAGAAATTGAAGGGGATGAGATTTACGCCTTGTTTTTTTCCTCGAAATTGCTGACACATTAAGGCCGCTTTTTGTTGTCCGCTTGAGCCAAAAGGCCGCTAATTTGGAATTCTCCAAACCGGCCCTACTTTCTCCCCCTTCTTTTTCCTTCTTCACTAACAGGCATTTCTCTTTTCTGACTTCTCAAGATTCTGTGAGAAACTTTCCACGATTTATCTCTCCGCGGACTTGGAAATTAGCTCGAAATATATTCCAGCAGACACAAAATTTCATTTTCCTAGTCCTCAAAAACTATTCCGCTTCTCAGACTAACGCGTTTTTGATCCCCGGCGTTGAAATTTATCGTCTTTTGGGACGAAACGGAAACACATATGCCTGGCGAGGAACATAAAGAATTCTCTTTTCTTTCGGAATCGTCGCTCGCACACCACACGGTCTGGCAAAGAGGATCGTCGAAATTTTGCATCTCTCTCGGCGATGAATAATTCACCGCCGGAGAAAAGTTGAAGTTTATAAAGAAGAACAATCACTTCCGCGGTCCCAGAAAGAAGAAGTGCGCTCCAGATTTTAGAGATTGGAAATGGCACTCGAGTGTCAGGCGGAGAAAAAGGTTTATGACGCTTATGCTTGAAAGCACTCTTCCCAATGCGGCGGCGGGAGCCTCTCCAGCAAACGACACATACGACGCGTGAGGGCCGATCTGAGCGCACAGCCAGACTGACGGCTTGTTACGAGTGTACCTTCCCTCTGACTGACAGCAACGCAAACACACGCGCGCGATATTCATTTAAAACACGTGAAGCACTTAATTTACGCACAAATGTAAATTTATACTTTTTATAAATATTGTACAAAGGTGGAGGAGAGCAAAAATAAACGACGTGCCGGCGGAATTGCATCAACAAAAGAATATTATTCTGCCGTGGAGAGGCTTTTGAGCAAAATGTGGCCGGGGCATATCGCAACAGGAGCTTGTTCAAACAATTTTCATTCATAATCACACCCCTTGAGTCACACGTACACGGGGAAACCACTCTCGCCTCCTGACAAAAGGTTTCAACAACAATAAGAAAATTTACCCATTTAGACGTTTCATTTTTTCAAATTAAAAAAGTGAAAGGAATTCATTTCTTTTGTCATTCATAAAAAAGGGAATGGTAAAGAAAATGGCTCTATATAAATATAAGAAAAATATGATATTTTTTCGTCATTTAGTTGTTATTTGCCAATTAATGAATAGCAAGGATTATATTTCTTTTGGCAATGCAAGGTTTTTTGGCATTTTGGCAATATTAATCATCAAAATGTACCTGCTCATGAAGAGTTAGGGATCTTTGCTTTCACCGTTCTATTATTATAATTAGCATAAATTATTATTATTTATTTATTAAAAAAAAAATATTTAATATTTTAATTTAATAATAATTAATTTATAAAAAATAACCAACTAGCCTTTCAATAGCCGAAGGTCTCAATTCCACTAGGAATAGGAATGAAATCAATTTTTGAAAAAATTTACTTAGATCGTAATAGTTACAGATTTTCAAGTGACAGAAAATGCACTTTTAAATTTAAAAAAAAAATCCCTTAAAAAAGTTAAGCTACTGATTGTGAGGTCAAATATAAAATTTGAAACTGAAAATTTTACGTGAATTTGGTTACCAAGGCGACGCTGAGCAAATATTATTCAAATTAAAGTCGCGTAAGGACCATCAAATTCCTGAATAACCTCATTTAATCGAGTTCCCAGGCAGCATTCCTTAATCCTTAAATAAACCATATTAATAATATCTGATGAAGTGTAATTATTGGAGTATTATTTTAGTAATAAACCAACTATCCTGGCTCGTATTGTGTTCTCATGAAAGAGCGGCTTATCATCTCTGAACGTGAAGGTTAATTCAAACCCCCATTAATTTTATGATTCCAGAGTCGCTGCGGCAGTTGTCTTTGATGTTTCCAGAATGGAGACATTTCAATTAGCGCACAAGGTGAGCTCTCTCTGTATATATCTCTGCAGTTTATCGCATTTCACCAACGAGCGCGAAATAAATCGATTCCTCAAATTGGATTCCTTTGAATGCGCTTCGGTGAAATGTATTCCACTTGCACAATGTAAACAGATTAGGACCGCAAAGCTCCCACCAAGTTTCTCACACGTTGATTCATTGCAGTGGATACAGGACATCAGAGAAAAAGTGACCATGCCGGACGGCTCACCGATCCCCATAGTGCTCCTGGCCAATAAAAGTGATCTCACCGAAGGGATAATCCAGACTGACGTAATCAGCAGGTATTGCAGGGAATACGCCATCGGTGCGTGGTTCATCACGTCTGCCAAGGACAACGTAAACATTGGTGAGTTATTGATGCTCGAAATGATTGCGAAACGCATTTACATTTTTTTTTTTATTTAAAAAAGAGGAAAATGAGATGGGACTTTATATGTTTTACTAAACAAATATCAGGGGACGGATTGAATACTGTGCCGCGGGGATTTGTGTAAAGCAAAATAAACTAAAAATCGTGATGTTTCCACGAACGTGGTTTTACAGATGAGGCGATGGGTTATTTGGTGGAGCAGGTGCTGGAGATGAAAGCAGTCGAAGCAACAAAAGACTCGATTGTGCTGCAGGATCCAGCTCTGGACCCAAAATCCCTCAACAAATTTATGCTCAGTGAAAAATCTTCGTGCGGTTGCGGATAAAAGCAATTGATTTTGAAAATTATAAAAAAAAAATATGTCTAATTATAATTATTAAAATTTTGTTTTTTCATTACACGAATAATTTTATTTGTAACTCCACTTAAGTGAATTAAAATATTTTCTTGTTAAAACTTTTTTGCTATTATTTCAATTAATTTTCCTACGTCTAGTGGTCAAGCCCTGATCATCAAACTCTCCAGATTAATTAAAATTTATATAATGTTCTTCTTCTACTTGAACAAGAACTTGGCGCAACAACTATGTTCCATAAATGATGGAGAGCCCCGCTTAGCACAACAATGATGATAGGCTGTGGTAATCTAATGGTTACAAGCTCGGCTATGCTCCAAGTCGGAAGTTTTCGCAACGGCGCATGTAACGTCCCGGTCGCTATTTTACGCGCTTTAACTGCTTTCCGATATTTTGCACACTGTTTGTAGCACTCTGCAAAGGAGGCTGCTCTCTCGTAAACGCATTTGCAGCTTTATAAGCTGTAAAAAATGGCTGATATCGATCGACACGTTGGCAAATGCAAATCCTTTGGGCATAAATTCGCCTATGAAAAGACCTGTAAATATGTATGCGGCTACCTCTCTGCTCCTTCTTGACGGTGCTCTTGAGTGACAGACAGGTGAACCGGGAAAATTTTTCTCTACAGCCCAAACAGGGCTGCCTCTATTTATCTTCATTGACTACAAAAAAAATCTAATAAAGAAGTCATGAGAGGGGAAATCAGTGGCAAAAAGTTTCGGCTAAAAGGTGCAACGTCAGCTATGTAAGCTATAAAAGCAGGTTTATAGCAAAACTGGAAGCAGTAAAATAAAAATTTTTAGGTCTATCAGCATTGATGTTTATTTAATCTTTCTTGATTATTAAAATAAAAAATAAATGAAAATCTTATTTTATATTTTTATGGCAAAAAAAGAGAATGAAAACACGCGGAAGCAATAAAGCAATAAATAAACTTTATTTGTGTGTTTAAAATTTCTTCGTCTTCACAAACAGAACAAGAGGAAATTCATACAATATGTATATAGAGCATTCTCCCCTTCCATATTGTAAGTATTAGCGGGTGCCTGTCGCCCTTGGGTGCGTGGGTGCCCAGCTAGCGGAGCCGGTGTGCCGTCGCTGAATCAGAATGGGGCTGCAGGACAGTCTGTTTCAGCTCCGAGCCGCTCACCCTCCGCCGAGCCCGCGACACCCACGCAGGCTGACCGGCCTCCGTCTACAACAATATATTGTAACAAGTACCTCATATCATATGCACACGGCAAATAGTACACTTATGGACCCAACACCACTTCAGTTTGCGCACAAACCGAGTTGGTGTGCTTTATTATTGCGACGATATATTTTTCTTTATCTTTTTTGCAACACCGGCAACTCAAAAGAAGAGTTTTTTTTTCTCTAATCATAACAATTTTCTTATTTTCGCCCATTTTATTCAATTATCTCGCTTCGCTACCTCCAACGTACGAGAAGAATGGAGCCAAGGGACGCTTACTTTTTTTCTCTCCTGGCATCTGCTTTTGCTGTACTCAAGGCGCGAGAGCAATTTGCCCGAGGACGTTTGAGATTGCTTGCTGGGCAATTACGCTGAAACTGCACAAGTTTTTACTCTATACCTACGCCGACGCACAGATTCAAAAACTGGATACATATTTGTCTTGCGTCTCCCTGGTTCTCCGCTCTTCTCCAAAATTTATCAATATAATTTCAATATCTTTGGTCAGGTTTTCCGTGAGGCCTCCTCTGACTGATATTTTGCGCACCAATCAGAGGACGTCGTTCACATTTTCGTCCCTCACAACTCTACGAGTCACTTTCAACACGAATGTATACTAATTGCTAGTTAATTATTACAAAAAATTAGGAGATGCGAGTAACATCAAAGTGTATGTTTTTCTCTCGTCTAAAAGTTTTGGCCGCTTTTTATATTATATCAATATATCAAGTAAGCTGTTTCATCATACATGATTCAATGAGACATTTAATGTGGGCAAAGGCCGATCGAGTGCGTCGGGTTGCGGAAGCTGGAAATTTTGAGCACACTTTCCTTGTAGAGTAGTGAAATGAGAGAGCTGAAAAACGTCGGCGGATCAATATGAATATATGTATGAGTTTTCAATGCATTTCCAGCAAATACCCTGAATTAACGACCCCAGCCGCTCTCTCTGGTCCTTTCGGCCCATTTATATATGCTTTATGAATGGATCACACGGCGAAGCGCCAGTGAAAGAAAATTATTATTTTTGCAGATCAAAAACGAATGTAAAACGAGACTCTTATTAATGAAAAAATTCCAAAAAAGTAGAAGAAAAAATTGAGCGTTTTGTTTGCTATTAGAAACTCTCTCTTACAATCAGTGATTGTTTTTTTCCATACAATGTAGTCCTAATTTTTTTGAGTTGCCTCACAGAGGGGATGATTAAGTATATGTGTGTGTAATCGATCGGAGCCGACCACCCCAAACAAATCTGCCGCTCCGTTTGCTCGGCGCGCAGCTACTTACTTAAAAAACACATCACAAAGAGGAAAATTATGCGCATAATATCTTTGACAACCGTACCTGCCGTTTTGTGGCAGAGAGGCTACATGTATTCTGAAAGAGCTGCGCTATACACTGTTCCCTGCACACGTATGAAGCACATTAAGGCGGAAGGGCCGAGCCCAATGCACTCTCACATTGTTTTGATAGGTCTATTTTAAATAAAGTCGACCCTTCGCCTTGCTTGACAACAGCCCGGCCACCGAAAGTCGATTTCGGGCAGAATCGACGACGGCTATTTTAGGCGGTTACGTCGATTCCACGCAGAAAAAGAGCGTAGTTAGGTGGCCGGGCCACTCCGTACTTTGCGACGAACGATTTTTTCTTTAAACTTTAGAGCTGGTGTAAGAAAATATTTGCCTTTGAAACATATTTTGCGCGTCCAACAGAAGAGTGTCATTTCCGTCATTCTCTCGCAGAAGCTCGTATATCACGTTTTTTTACATGTTCAGCAGGGCGGTTGAAAAGTTGGCCCAAAACCTTCTTTTTCTTGATTTTTTCCTCCTTTCACTCCAAGGTACGAAGACTCAGTAAGGGTTGAGCGCGTCATTAAGTGCCGCTGATGCACAGTTTTTTGAACGCTTTTCGGAACTCGGGATTGAAGATGGTGTAGATGACCGGGTTGACGAACGAGTTCATGTAGCCGAGCCAGGTGGTGACGATGAAGGCGGCCACCCCCGGCTGGCAGGTGGCGCCCAGCTTGGTGCACATGGCGTCCATGATGTTGCACGTGAAAAACGGCACCCAGCACACCAGGAACACCCCTGCGAACACAGGCCATTTCTTTATGGAGCAGTAAAAATGAGGTTGTAAACTAATTAGGGGCCAGTTTTTGAAGTTCGTGACCTAAATTAGAGAGCTCGGGTGCTGTGGGACTGCTGCGGAGAGAGAGCGCAAGCACGCCTTAATAATGGTGGCAGTCGTAAAGTTCCCTCTCAGATAGAAAGACCGCCGGCTTCCAAAGATCAAATCTCGAGTTAAAGGAAATTGGCCACGAACAGCCGCTGAAAAGCTTTTTATCGAGTTTTGCTTGATTAAATGCGAACAGCAACAAACTGGACGTGCGTTGGTTTCCTGCTAAATTGGGTTTGCTAAAGAAGTTTTTCGGTAAATTTACTTTCGATCCAGGGGCTGATAACTTTCATGAAATTAAATTCCATTTACTTCAGGCCCAAAGTTGTCGAGAATTTTTTTCGATAATTTTATTTTAAGTAATCGAATAAGAAATCCCACAGGAATAATGAGAGAAAAGCTCTGGGAAACTTTGCTGAAAGTCAATTAAGGAAGCGGCAATATGGAATTCAAAGTTTGCCCCAAAAGTTTTACAAATTCTATAAAATATTTTACTTTTGGATAAAGAAAATGTTTTAAAAGGAAACTGCTTATTGGAGATTGCCTCGTACTGTACATCTTAATCCACTCTCCGACTAAAATCGATAAAATACATTTTCTCAGTTCAATTCATCACGTAATTCAATTCCTTCCAGCTCAGTTCATGACAGACTGACATGGAACAACGTGCGGCAGCGACTAAAATTTCATTCCCACGTATACACAAGCAATCCATGTTTAATAAGTTTATTTTTAGAGAGAAGAAAAAAGAGATGTTAAAAAAAGCGGCTCACCTAACACGATGGCGAGAGTTTTCGTGGCTTTGCGCTCCTTTTTAGCGGTTGACTTTTCGCGTTTCTTTTTACTGGCCTTGTTGACCTTGTAAATGGTGAACCTGCTGCCGGTGGACTTGCGATCCTTCTTGGTGTCGGCGCCCACGGTGGCAGCTGACACGGCGGCCACCGTGCCCACCGTTATCACCGCCAACCCAGACGTAGCGCACGGCCCTGGGGTTGGCACTGGCATTGCCATACTGCGCGAGTGACCCGCCGTCGATTTGAAGCTGCCGTTTCTCCGCGAACCCTAAAAATTTCACAAAACACAAGCATTGGCACCATTTCTAATAAAAATAATTTGAATTGGAAATTATTTTAACATAAAAATTCAAATTAATACAAATTTGACTGAATTTTTAGCTCATTATATATTTTTTTTCTTCTCAAATTCTTGTTGTTACGTCGAATAAACTGTTAAATAGACACCTAGCTTATGACGCATCTCATGATGCAAATTACGGACTGAATCATTCAACAAATTGCAAGGAAGCGGCGCCTGAAATAGTCATTCGATTGCTGCGCGCTAGACTCTAATTAGGCCCAAAATGAAATATTCAACAAGTCTGGCCGTTTAATAATTTAGGGTTTCGCTTTGTATTAAATTTGAAAGCGACAACCCGAGCTTTACCGGCGCGTCAATTATGAACGAGCCCCAACAGACGTAATTGTTATTTAATTTTCTTGTACTCCCCGTCAGTCAACAGTGCTGTTGAAAGAGAGTGCAATGCAGTGTACTTACTTTTGCGCGCGGACTGCCCGCCGGACTGCCCGCTGGCTGGACGCAGGCAGGCTCCTCGATGTGGGACGCCGCGTACCCGGAATCGTTGTTGCCGTTGGCATCGCGCAGTTTTGCTGGCAAAGGGTTCCTGCGAAAATTATTGCATTTTGTCCTAGAATTAGAGCAAACCAAGAATATATGTATAATGAAATTTCGTCAAATTTTTATTGAAGTAGACTAAAATGGTGCCTGAAGCGATAAATTAATTTTAATAAAAATTGTGCTAGTTCAGCTAGTTGTAGATCTTTTGAAATCATTTCAATTTCAGTTTAAAAAAAAGATAATTATGACAACTTTACCAAAAAGGGTATAAAATTTATCATAAATAGGGTATATCCGCAAAAACTCATTTAAAGATGTTCCCCCTTTTCGTGAAGTTAAGCAAACAGAAAATTTTAATTTGATTCAAATAAGCTGCTGTATACTCGGTGTTCAAGCAGAAAATTGGAGCCCCATGCATCCATGCCATCCCCCCTCGGAAATAAGGGAACCTCTTGTTGGTATGTTAGGCACAAAGTTTTGATTACAAGTATCGATTTCCCGATCACCTCTGGCCAAAGTTAATGGTCCTTGTGTTTGTTTGTGTCGTTACAGAATCAAATTAGATACAGCCGAGTGTCGTAAAAAGTGCAGTAACTCGACCTCGGCCACGCACAAAAAGGCGCGGTATTTTCTTTTTATCAGCAGCTTTTTCTTGTAAAAACGAAGCTTATTGTGCGCAAAAACTCAAGTGTTTTTGACACAAGCTTAGCAAAAAAACGTGAGTCGATCTATTTTGCCTCCCGTGGACATTTGTGGAGTGGTGTAGTGATAGCTGTGTGCGCAGAATACCAAACACAAAACACCCTTGCAAGGAGGGTGTGTGTGCGGGTATCAGAATCCATTTACATAAGGCAGCGCGCCAGAAAGCTTTTAGGACATGGGAAACAAGTTTCGTCTCGGAACACGGATTACCCCGGCAACATATACACACTCTGCATAATAGAAATGATATACGCAGGCAAAAATATGAATGCACACACACGTACCTGGCCGCTTCCTCCTCGACCACAGTGGCCAGGATGAATTCAATGGATTTGTCGTTGGCGATGACGTGGCAGTCGTCGATCGACTGCTCGTTCTCCTGCTCGTCGTCCTTCTCGTCCTCGTCCTCGTCCTGACAATTACACGGAAAATTGAGCACAAGACAAAACAACAGATCGACTAAGGACAAATTATTAGACTAAACAGATTTTTTTACTTTAGCTGACGATAGAACATCAAGAAAAACTTCAATTTTTAAAATTTTTAATAAGAAAACGGAAACGAAGAAAGTGTAAAAATAACATTCATCGATTTTGAGATGGAGAAAATTTGCGTTTACTTTTTAACAAAAAAAGTTCTTATCTGCAACAGTTTTTTTTCCCACATAAATTGATTAGTTTCCAGAAGAAGAAATTTAAAGTTCTGTTGGCCATGAAAGTGAAGAACTGGGGCTTTTTCGTCGTTGTGAAAAATTGTTTTTTCTTTTCTTTAAAAACAAGACGACTCTCGGTCGGAAACCCTATTTCAAGAGCAAGAAAAATAAAAAATTAATCAGCAAATTGAAAAACCAGATTTTTTTAACAAATTCAGAATCTTAAAACTAACAAATTCAATTATACAACCTATTTTGACCTATTTCATAAGCAAATGCCCTGCTCTCTGACTATAAGAATGAGCTAGCTAAAGAGAGATTGATTAATAGTTTTAAGATACTGAATATTTTTGTTAAAAAATGTGATTTTTCAATTTGCTTTTATTTTTTGTATTTTTCTTGCTCATGAAATCGCGTGAAATAGGGTCGCAAACTGGTAGAGCACTCTTGTTTTTGAATAAAAACAGTTTTTTACAGCGAGAAAAAAGTCCAAGTTCATCACTCGTATGATCATCTTCTCAAGTGTCAATTTCTTCAAACAAAATTCTTGAAATTCTGTTGACCAAATTATATTCTCGTTTTTCAAAATTTTAAACTATTTTAACGAGATATTATTTATCCAATTTATTTATGATGTGGGTAAAATATTGTTTATCTGATTTGCAGGAAGGGCCTAAATATGGTAAAACTTTAACAATTCAATATTGTATTTTATTTTATAATTCTTAAACTAGCTATTTTTTTTAGGATGAAATTCGAGGCAAAGTGAGAAATTAAAAATTGAAGTTTTATTAATATGTGTCTAAGACATAGAAGTATGTTATTGGAGGAAAGGGACAGGAGTGATGAAATTATTTTTATAGTAGACGAGGATTGCATGCACAGCGGCAGGTGCAAACGACAGCAGCGTTTTAATCCCTTCTTGTCAATTTCGTTCATTATTTAGTTATCTGAAGAGAAAGAGGAGTGCACGGAGATGTGAAGACACAGCTAGAGCGAGGTGAAGTGCACCTGAGATCCGCTGCCGGTGTTTGTCGGCTTGTCCTCGTCTAGGGTGAGTGAGGTGGTCGAGGGCAGCGGCAAGGCCGCACTTACCCCTGCGCCGACGAGGGCCGTCTCAGCCAGTCGGCGCGTCTGGGCCAAGTTCTCGATCACGGCGCCGGGCATGCTGTCGGCCAGGTTGGACCTGCGGGCAGCTCGCTGCTTCTGGGCCCTCTTCCGCAACGCCTGCAACACACACAGATTGTTTTTGCATGTTTTATTTTTGCGGCGGCGGCAACTCATTTCGCTCATTCCGCGCCGACTGCCCGCGGATAAAGTTTTGTCCGCAGGGGGTATGGCGTGCATTCAACTTTTCAGTTGAAATGTCAAAGGCCAGTCGACTGGAAATTAATTCAGATATTTGGTGGATTCGGAACGCAGTTGCTGGCTTAACCGCAGCTTACGAAGTATTGATCTGTCTGTTTATTTGCAATCATAAAACAATACCGTGCAATATGCCCGTATTAAATATTATTATATGTGTTTTGACATTTATTTGCATGTTTTAGGTTCAAATGAAATATCTTTGATGTTCCGTAAAAGAATATATGATAATTTATCTAGCTTTGATATTATAAAATTTAATAAAAATTTCTTTAGATTGATGTGCGCTCCAACTAACCTGGTTTGAAATACTTAAAATACGATGAATTTTTTTTATTTTTATTATATTGAAGGTTATAACTATGCTGTGGAGATTATAATTTATGAACTTCTAACTTTGATTGATAAATTAACCTCTTTTAAATAAACAAAAAACCATCAGTATTTAATTATCTTAAATGTGTCTTATTTTGAACAAAAATACACTCATACTTGTTTTAATCAGTTTAAATTAGCCTTGAAAACTGAAAGTCACCAAAAGTTATCTCTTTATCTTTACAAAAAGTCCCAGATTTTTAAAAGCTTTTAATAAAAAAAGCATAAGTTTTTTAATACAAAAGAGCCTGGAGATATTACAACGAATACTCAATAATTAATTGTCAAATTCATTCGTGGAGCACCGTGAGCGATGAAAACACCATAATATTATCTTTGAATATGTTTGCCGTGGCGAACTCGATTCTAGACAAGTGTTTGTTTAATTTGCTAATTGACTTGTTAGCGGCGAGCACTGCTTTTTCTCTCAACATGCAGCCCTCTCTCTTCGTGCCATTCAAGCAAATCACATCCACGTTCGTACTACGGAAGGAAACTCGTAACAAGCAGAACGCCATGTAAAATTAAGATGGATGGATTTCACTAATAGTGGGAAAAGTTCTTCCGTGACTTACTTAATGGTGTGTTGGAAATGAAAGGCCCTTATACGTGTACATTATAATGATACACGGGCTCTATTCAATTCAATCCGATATAGCCTTGACGGTAAAACTGACATAATGAAATATAGGGCTGAATCAACCGCACCACGTCCCGTGCATATAATCATATTTCAGATTGATCCGATTAATTTCGCCCACGGTTTATTTTTGACGGACAACTTCATGTACTATGGATGTGTAACTGAATTTCGCTCTGGCGTGTGTTGTGTTTCGTCTCGTTTCATTCAATTCCTGTTTAGCGTGCAAACATCAACACTTAGACGGCATTTGCATAATGGCTGCAAAAACTAGTTAACACGGTCAGCACGGTAATTAACCACCAGCCGTCTGGTGTGCTTAGTGGTGATCAGCCACTTCAAACGAACGGCCGACGGACCCTTGCTCCTTGTTTCGAACAGAGAGCGATGCAAAAATCGGACCGGACCATCTGCTCGCTACACCCAATTTGCGCGCCCAACAAAAAAGGTACTGCTACGTTGGCTAATAAGCTGGCGACTCGTGAAGGCTGTGGCCGCACCGCGGCTAACCCCGCCGACACACTGCGTATATATATGGAGAAAAAACCCCCGTCCAACCTACGACTAATGCTGCAGTGCAGATTGGGGGCGAACGCCGCTTCAAAGTACATAATAACTCGGATGCTTTATTTGATCTCTTTCGAATCCCATGAAGTGCTTGCGCAATCATAGAGGTCGCATATGTGTGCCGGGGCTTTTTGCTCCGCGCTCACGTGCTGATATATATATTTCGCCACATTTTTCGCTGAGACTTTTATATGATTTTTGTGACCCTTTTATCGGACGGCCGGGGAAAAAGAGCGAGGGCCTGATTTGATTTGACGTTCGCAGCAGGCAAAAAAAGATTGCGAATGAAAGCTAGTCTCTCTGTCTGTCTGCCTGCATGTGGAGCTCATAATTCTCCACAGCATGCGTATTTACTATGCACGGGTGATTGAGTTCGCTCATTTTATTGCTTTTCAGCGAGAGCGTGCTAGCGAGAAGAGAGGGGGCTGTTTCGAACGATCAATGCCGACCCATCTTTGTCGGCTTTGTTTTTGATCATGCCGGTGCTGCTGTGGCACAGAGAGCGGAGCTTCGAAAGGGTTCAGGGGGTACTGAAAAGCGCAGCCAAGCGAGCAAAGCGAGCGATCATATATTGTAGCAAACAAAGGGTACATTTTACGAGTCTTTTGCCGCGATACTTCATAAGAACGAGCAGCAAAGAAGCGAAAATAAAAAGAGTGGAAGAAAGTGGAGTGGCTGAGATTGATTTTATTGCGTCGAGCTGGCAATTTTAGTGCCAATAAATATCGCGGATCCGCAAAATATCGAGCCTACAAGGGACAAGTGGACGGCTGGTGGGCGGCGATGAACGTCCCCTCGCTCACTCTATCTGCTCTCAATTAAACCGAGCGAGCTTTTGCCGGCCTTCACCGCTCTCTCTGCAGCTAGAAATGACAAAAGCGTTTGTTTGTTCCACACTAGCTGTGCGCGTGGTTAAATCGAACGTGTGGAGAGAGCGGCCAGATCTTCGCACCCTCCCGCCCGCAAATTCGCTTAATATCTCACTCTGGGCTGGCGCGGACGTTGACATATGTGGTCACACTCACCAGCAGAGTGGTTAGCTCTCGCCCGTTTTTGTCCCTACCTTAAAAATGTTGTAGTATAGGAAGACCATTATGATGCACGGGATGTAGAAGGAGCTGAGCGACGAGTATATGATGAAGTCGCTGTTGTAGAAGACGCACAGGTCCGGCAGTCGGTCGGGCGTGTTGTTCAGTCCGAGCACGATGGGCGACCCAATGGCCGCTGAAATCACCCACACCAGCCCGATGGTCAGCCACACGCGTCGCTCGTTCTTGTGTTTGGCGTATTTGATCGGCTGAGTGACTGCTATGTACCTGCAAAAGCGACACGCCAACTCAAATTAATCTTTCAACGCAGAGCTTCCGAAAGTTAGCGGCTACTAACAAACGCACAAAGTTTCGCACCGTATATATGTACGAGCGACCGGGTGGCAAAGATTGGATCGTGAATTTTTTAATAAAAGCCCGAGCGAAAGAGAGAAAGAGAACTGGGACAGGGGGAAAGCTTCTCTGACGTTAGTACACATTAATTGCGAAATTTAATAAGTCGGACGGGTCCTTTGTGAGGATGTGTGGTCTTTATTGAAAAAATGCCGCGTTTTATTAAAAGTGTGGGGATGAATTACGCAGAGATTTTTTGCGCGCGCCAAAGTGGCCCTGCGACGCGCACCTACCTCCACGGTCGGCTGGGCTGCCCGAAAGTTTTCTGCTTTTATCAAACGGATGCCAGGGAGAGAAACGAGGCTTTTACGTCAATCCATTTTTTGCGTGCCGCGTGTGTGTGTATCTCTCAAATCCCCTGTCCCATCTAGAACTTTTTCATGCTGTGGAGAGAAAGAAGAGAAAGAGGCAAATACCTTTTCTGCCGAGAGAACCAAATCCGCGCGATTGAAGAAGGAAATTCTGCGGAGGGTTGGGCCATTCAAACGCGTTTACATCGCGCACACATGCACACGCGGCGCAAATGTTTGAATACTAATTATGACGTTTATTGTGTCGTTCCACGCGCGCGTGTGTGTAATGCAATGTTGTTGGTAAACGCACACAGTTCCGAGCACATTACCCGACACAAAAGACGAACTCGTCGGAAGTGTGTATCAAATTAATCTTTGTGTCCACCCCGTTCTATGTTGTTGTTGCCGGGATGAAAGCAAAACTTGTGCGTGTAGGTACGTACCTGTCTATGCTAATGGACACCAAGTTGAAAATGGACGAAGTGCTGCACGTGACGTCCATTGCGATGTACAAGTCGCACACGAACGTAGGCAGGCCCCAAGTCCCATTCACCTGTCAACACAAAAATGCGATTTCAGCACAAAAGAAAGGAAGAAAGGGAGAGAGCGGGTAGGGAAAGAGGACCATTTAAAAACGTCAGCCGACGTGGTCAGCGTGAAAAATTGTTGCTTGTAAGCGTTTTTCATTTGCCTTTTACCAGAAAAAAAAGGAGCGCGAGCGCCGCGGCACGCTTGAAAAAACACGGACAAAACGCGCGCGGGACAAATCTTCGTTCGTTATACACGATACAAATGCGCCGCGTAAATAAAGCGAGGGTATATAGTCGCTTTTCATTTTTTGCACGGTTGCGAGTATTTTTCTGTGGAGCCAGTTTTTTTAAATGGGGTCCCGCTTTTTGCTGTTCGTCAGCGGTTCTCGAGCAGAAAAAAAGAGCTGCTAATTGTTTTAATAAAGTTTGTGTGACAATGTAAATCTCTTGTTAACAAGGGTGAATATTTTTTATTTTCACATAGGTTTTAAATAAACAGTAATTAATTAATTGTTTTTAGCCGTTTATAGTACTCCTTATATTAGAAAATCAATTTACAAGTCTCGAAATACGCTGGGAAAGGCTCACAAGTATCTGAATTATTATTATGATTATGATTTATTCCTCTTGGTCAATAAAAATGTTTTTGTGTTAACAAAAATTTATTCAAATTACTTAATTCTGTTTGCTGCTAGATTTAAACGCAAAAAAATATCAAGAGAATTCTAATTCTTTCACCGTTGATGTAGCACTCTAAGAGAAATTTATGCTTTAATTGGAAAGAATTATGAAAAGAAATACTTTTTCTTACATTACAGTTTGTTTGGCAATGTAAATTGCGTTTATTTTGTTTGAAGGGCTAATTTTTTTTACATATAACTTACATAAATGTGTTCAAGATATGCATTAATAATTAATTTTTTTTCTCCCTACATTTAAGCTTCAATTTACAATTCTTGAAATAAACTGATAAATTTTTAAAAGTTTTTGACAGTGTTTTTTTGTTTTTCAAAATACATACATTTATGTTTGTTGCGCTAGAGTTTAACGCAGAAATGATATCAAGGGTTGAATATAACTCTGTTAACGTTGACGTAGCGCTCAAAGAGAAGTTTATCCTTTGAAAAGAAATAATGAAAAATAAAATTAAAAATAAAATTCTTTTTAATGAGAGTTCACTCCATTCACGGCATTCACAATTTTCACATTTTTGTTAAGCCAGTGGTGCGTGCGTTATTAAATTTGCCTACCTCGCAAATGGACAAAGGCTGCAAAAACAAGACCACAAATCTCTCGCTTACCTGCAAAGTGGCACGCAAACAAACTCTTAATTTTTTTAAATCGGCCAAAAAAGACCTGCATCGTGCGGTGACGCACAATTTTAATTCCGCGGAGACTCGGGCAGCTCATCATAAAGCGACCCGGAGAAAATGAATAAAAAAAAGAGTGCGCTGCCAGAATAATTTCATTTTTGTATAAACGAGGCAGCGGGACGCTAATTTTAAGTCATACTAACAAGCATAGGCCGCCGCGAGCAAAAAGGTTGAATTTCCTCTCGTAAAATTTTACACTGCGCATCCGTCTGTCTCTGCCCGGTGGAAATTCGAGGTGACGCACGACATAAAAGCAGCGAGCACAAATGCTGCTCTCTCTCGCTCGCTCGCAAAAATTTTCATGAGATCTCTTGTTGCACGACGTCAATTGCTCCGAGATGCGCACAGCCGGCACACAGGGTGCGGCCCTCTTCGCCGGGGGCGAGTGGGTGGGTGGTGCGCGCCCCCTCGCCGATTCGAGATGTCCTACTCGGGCCCTGACGTCGCAGCTGCTGCACTTTTCTCCGCATCACCGACCACACCGCCCGTGAGCCGAACTTAACGACGATGAATGTGCTCCACTCGAGGTGTCGGTCGGTCCGACCCGGCCTGTATTGAGTGGGCAACTTTTCAAGAAACGCACAGCGAGGGTCGTTGGGCGGAAAAACTGCTGCTCTTGGCGCGGGCCTGCGACTTGATTTGCCGACTGCCGCTATTAATGGACTCGTTCATAACCGAATTTACGGCCTCTGGGCCGTGATACACTCTCAAAACGTCGCCAAGGTGGATTTCAGCGGAAAAAGTTTGCCGACGCTCGTTTGAATAATTAATGGGCAGGCGCAGTTAAAGGTGTAAAAGCTGGAGCCACTTTTCTCTTTTGCTTCTCTCTCTCGCTTCAACGTGATTGAAAGATTGAGTGGTTGATTAAGATGGGGCTGTTAAGACTTTACGACCGGAGTTGCTAATTTAATTTAGTCATTATAAGTGGCCACTGATGAACGCTTGTGTAAAGTAGTAATAATAATAATTTATGCATGGGTTTTTTAAACTCGTGAAAGGCAAACTTTAATTTTAAGCGTGCGTGTTATATGCATGCACGATAAGTCTGCCACAAGCTTCTTTTAATATATTTAAGTAAAATTACCATAAAGCTCAAGATAATTGCAAAGGAAAAATGTCACTAAGTAAATTGAATTATAAAGATTTTAATCAATAAAGAAATGAAATTTTTACCTTTTTTTTATTTGAGGTGTTTTATAAATTAATTTTAGGCGAGCTCAATTTCATTTTCTTTTTTACTCGAAATAAAATAAATGCTCTGAGCCAGAATATAAATTGCAATGAAGCCATCATCTCCAAACAAAGTTGCCCTTGCAGTCCTTGCACGCTAATAAAATCTCAATTCTGCAAACTTGCCCCATCTCTTTTAGCTCGACAGACATTTGAAAGTCCGAGGCGGCTGAAATTTAGGGATCTAATTTCCTTCTCTGAATAAAACTAAAAGTAGCAAGGAAACGGGTCGTTGTTCCACTCCAGCGTATTTTCAAATTAAGAATTCCAGCGGGAAAGTGTGTGTGTTCTCTTTGTAAATGAGAGTGGAGGGCGACAAACGCGCTTCGAGTGCGCGCGAGAGAGCGTCGCGCAGACTCATTAAAAATTGCTGCGTATTTCTCTAAGTAGTCGTTTAGGCAACTCGTCCAATTAGGATTTCAACGTTTAGCCAATTGGCGCTCGCGTATCAGACAGTGAAATATATATAGCAATTAGCAAGTTTGAACACCCCAGACGAGCATCAAAGTTTAAACAACAATATTTGCCTTGAATGCCCATCCGCCGCTGCGGATAAGGCCGAATTTCCACGGGTCTGATAATATGGAAGTGGGTGTCGAATCTCATAAAGGTGTCTTCAGGGATGCAACCGTCGGGTTGAAGATGCAGTGGGGACTTTGGGATTTGCGACCGGCGAACGTGCAGGCCGGGCCCTGCTGTGCGCTGGTGAGCCGCAGCTCGGCCACATTAGCGGACTTTTCGGCCTCTACTTCTTTCCTCTGATTAAATTTGGGACAATTGAGACCGGCAGGAAGCCACCCTTTATTATACTTGGTGACTTCTGACTTACGACATTAGCGCCGCAGAGCGAAAACGCACCCTTAAAGCGGATGCGAACAAAGCTACTGACCAGACAAAGGGATTAACCAGCTTGAAAATTTCTGAAATCTCCGCCTTTTCGCTGACAAATTTGGAAATTAATTTCAGCTTATTATTTGTAATTTTTTTTAATTTCTATTTCATGATCATTAAAATTATTCTATTATTACTTTTGATTATTCTACTCAAGATGGTTAGCAAAAAAAAAAAAAATGAAATTAAAAATAAGTATTTTGTAAGCAGACTCATTATTTTTTTTTACATTTTTCAGGCAAAAATACACATTTAAAGAGTATTTTAAATGTTAAGATTAAACACAACTTTGATATCATGTACTGTATTAAAAGCTAATTTGTTTATTCTATTCAACCGACCATAAAATTTATTTATCAGAATTAGATAATTTTTCTGAAATGTTCCTTTAATTAATTAATGGACTTGTGTTTTGTCTGAATTTCGAACCGCGATACACAACAGATCAACTCCCATAAGGTGTTATTTTTAGCTTTTACCACTTGCTGTGTTTTCCGTTTCACATGGTAATAATTTTCTTTGGAAACGTGTATTATTATTATTTATTCTTCTCGGTCAATACAAAAATTTAAATTGGAACAATTGTACAATAAAATTGTATGTTTATTTAGTTATTACCTTGCTGTTTCGTCCCATTACTGTTCAAAGAAACATTCCAACAAAAATTACTTTGACTTTCATGCTACACACGACTGACGGCTTTGTCAGCAGCTATATCAATAATTTCTACCTCGCCACATGTTATACAGCTCACCTATCTCTCTGTTTATTTTTGTTCAAGAAGCCCTTTTATCTCGGTATACTGTGAGAATCGCCCGGTCGGCTGCCAGCTGATGGAACAATTAAATTAACAGCTCCATCTCTTAGAAGGACTTTCATCTTTATAAGAAAAATATTATACTCAATTTGTAATCCAAAATAATACAAAAAAAATGTATATATGTATGAAGAAAGAAACCGCAGGGGGAAATCGTAAATCCTAATATCTCTCTTGTTCCCGAAAGCGGCGAGGTTAGACCCCTCCTTGTTCTTTTCAGCTCGGATCCACTTTAAGTACGGACTGTCAGGTATTTTTTGATTATCTCGCTGTTACTGCGCTCTTCTCGTGAAAACGGCGGCAGCCAACCACAGCTATTTAATACTTTTTTTTCTGTTAACGTCGCTCGTAAAGCACAGATTAAATATACGTAATAAAAAGGCAGCTTGCTCTGGCAGAAAAGAGAGAGAGAACGGGAAGCGCAGCCGGCTTTCATTATTTTCTCTTCTCGGATGACCATATTTCCAAATCTCAGGCGAGCTCTTTTCATGCTACACTCGTGTATATCTGGCAGGAAGCACGCGCGCGGCCCGCCGGAGTTTAATTCACTCGTGCGAAACAATAGTCGTAAAATATGATTAGACAGTATAATGCCTTGGGTGTGCGTACCGGTCGGCGGCTCCTCTCTCGCCTCCTCCGCCAGTGCCAATTGTTGCCCGCGCGTATATAGTGCTATGTGCATCTGGCATATCGACCCGCGAAAGGGCACGTGATCGAGTATTCAGTGCGCGCGCGTGAGCACCACACACACACATACATACGGGGCCCACTTTCAATTTTAGATAACTCACGCCTGAGCTCTAACTTTATTTTTTTCTGTTTTTCCTCCTTTTTATGTCTGTGTCAACGTGAGAGCAGCACTGCATTTATGACTGTGATGACTACTTTGAGGCAGCATTCCTTTGCCGACGGCCACACGCACCGAATTTTTAAATTGCGCCAAAGTTTCCTTCAGCCCGTTTCTACTTTTGTGCGCGACCAAATGAAATTTTGCATGTGAAAAAGCGCTCATGAAAAATAAATTTACTTTTCGCAGCTCTCCGCCGGCTCTGGCGTGATTATTCATATTTCTCTTTCACACGCCACCTCTGAAGCACATATATTATGCAGATGTTTGAGTTTTCCCCTAATGCGACATCAGGTAATTGTGAGCGCGAGCGAGCAGAGTGGCGGCGGCGGGCGCGCCGTGCTCCGCTGTGTGCCGCCGCCGTGCTCTCCCTCGCCCTCTCGCTCGCTCTGTGCTCGCAGGGAAGATCAAAGATGGTCCATTGCAATAAAAACCAGCGTCTGCAACAACCGACTCAAAGCAGCCGAGCTTTCTTTTTATTTCCCACACATTCTTTCTTGTGCCAACTAACGCTTTTTTCGGCTTTTCACACTCGCGAGTCAATATTTAAACAGCGCCGCCGTTTTAAAATAGTTATGTACTCGCGGTACACACAGAGAGACGCGGAATGAGGGCGAATCGTTTTATCGCTCACTCTCTGATTAAAAACGATTCGACTTAATTAGCGCGTTCCTCCTTCGGATGCAGATTATAAGAGGACGGTTGTTTTCAGCGGCGCATTTATTCGCAGATTAAATTTCATAAAATAACAGGGGTGGTTTTGTTATCATCATGAATCCATTACGACGCGGCGCGCTAGTGGGGCGGGCGTGCAGAGCAGTTGAAGCGGCCAGTAATATTCTCTCTCGCGAGCGCAGATAATAACTCGTTCGGATACAGAATATTTAAAGAGCTGCTTGCCGCAGTTTCCGAGCTATCCATGAACGGGCATTATTTTCACCCCCAATTTGCTCGGCGGATATGAAAAATTATGTATGCCTTTCCGAAAATTACATCGCATAAATTCTCGACGCCCGACAGCCACGAAATGATACGCTTTACTTTTACGAGAGGCGAAAAATTTTCTTCATTTTTTTTTTGGACCAGGAGGGTCGTGAGCGCGATCTAATTTAAAATTTAAACTCTCCAGCAATCAATATAATGCGCCCAGCAGCCTTGACCTCTGCCCCTTTGCCGACGGTGGTGGTCAGAAAAAGCCTTGCTCTCGGCGAAGCCTTTGAAGCGAGGCGATTCTCGAAAAGGGTTAGAGGTTTGCAGCTGCTCTCTATCGGGACATGAAGAGAAAGGTGCTGCCTGCGTCGATTGGGGGATTTCGATAAGGCCGTCCGCAAAGTTGGCTCGATTGTTGCTTTCAAGTGTGTTATGTGTTTGTATTGGGACGCCTCGGTTGGTTTGTGCTCTCCCTCTATAGCTGTGATTTAATCCGCATTCCCCACGTTCTCTTCCACCCCGCTGTGAGTTGTGAATGTGCCAATGTTGGTCGTTGCGTGACCATTGAGGAAGCCGCCCGTGCCGGTCGGCGAAGCACGCGTGATTGCGGCGGCAGGCGGCGCTTAAAAAATATAGCGTGAGTTCTTCTCACTGGGCATCAGAGAGAGTAAACCGACCGGCCACTCGCCTCAAAAGGTGTCGAGGGGCCTTTTCGGTTTGCTTAAGTGGGCAACAGTGTCCGATGTCACGCACCTTTCGCGTTTTTTCAATAGTGGTCGTTTCGGGGAATTCGTTTACTACGTGCCGAGGCGAGGGCGAGCAGGGCCGGTCGCTTACCCGCTTTATTCCCTGCAGCATCGAGCTTTTGGGCTAAAACTGTAATTGTAATTTGTTTTGAGAAGCTTCCTAGAAAGCGCTTAAAAGTTGTTTTGGCCCGGCAGGCATTTGTGTAATTATTATGGGTTACCCAGTCAAACTTTAGGGTGTTTTTAAACATAAAAAGCAACGATAAAAAGACGAAAATGGGAAAAGTTTGAAAAGTACACAAAATTTTGTAACAGATTCCTTCTGAAACCAAAGGAAAAACCACACTTTCAAATTATCTCGGCTTTTGTCTGACTTTTCTTCTCTACAAATAATCAAATTATAAAGTATTCGGAAAACGTATTTACAATTGTTCTCGTCTTTTAAGTGAGCAAACAAAACTTAATCTTTCCTCTTCGAGTAAGGTTTAAACGTTTCCCCGCTGTAGACTGTGGGGTAATTAAATTTATTAGTGTGTAAAAGCTGTGCGTGCTTCGTTTAATAAAATCTTGGAGCTAACGGTCTGAATTTCCGAAACAACGATGCATCCCCCACTTCAAAGTTTAAAATTTGCAAGCTCGCATTATATTGTCTGCAAAGTCATCTCCCGCTCGCTGAGCATGAAACGAAGCAACAGCTTAAAGCATCATGCAGCGGGCAAAGCCAAGTTAGGCAAACATCTCGTCACGCGTGTTGCGAGTGTTGCATAACTTTGAAAATCCCATGCGAGTGCGTTGATGGTTGCCGCTTTCATGCTGTCTAGCGGGTGGACTTCTGAGGGGAACGTCAAAAGGCATTTCAGGGCCTCAAATGACACCGATCGGCTGCGAAACTTTTGTTATAACACCGCCGAGCAAAGTGAGTGCGCGTCGAGCGAGTGTTCTCGCAGTTGATGCGAGCCTGCCAATTCCAATGAAGAGAGAGAGAAAGAGGCCCTGTGTGCATGAATACTCTCTGGGGTGAGAAATTCAAACAAGATCGTCGAAGTTCCGCCGCGGCCAGATCAAACGGGCGACAGGTTGCCACTCAATGGCTGGGGAGTTTTAACACCAATTGTCCGTGTGTTGCCACTGAAAAGGCCTCTTTGCAAACTTTCAATCGGATCATTCAGTGAGCGCCGTTTGTACAGATTGAGAAGTGTCGGTCGCATTCAGCTCGCTGCTGCTCCACTTATGCGGGCTTAACAGGAGGATCATGCTGGTGCTATACGCGCCGAAATTGGATTTCGGCCGCTCGGATAAGGCAGAAAAGCTTACGCTTGCCAAAGACGACGACACAGCAGACGTTGAGGTTATCGGAACCTGCGACCTTGGCGCCAAGCCAGTGTGATTCCCTTCAGCTGTGTGAGACATTCAGCAACGCCTCGCTCGCCCTTGATTTAGGGCCCCGACGGGGCACTTCCCAAGATCGTCCGGGACTAATTTGGCGGGTAATAAGTTTCCAAAGAAGCCATCCTTGCTCTTCTCCTGCGCCGGACCGTCGTTTTCTTAGGATTTGCGTGCACGTTCGGAGAATGTGGAGATGAATTTTGTGGGATTTCCTTGACGCTTGCGTGCCGGTTTCGAAATCTAAGATCATGTTTCGCAATTTAATTATTAGCGTGAAGTCTTGGGAAATTTCCCTTTGCTCAAATATTCTCTGTGGCAGACATTTAATTACGTTTTTCGTCGCACGCGATCGAAGAAAACGGTGTTGTAATTTTGAGCTTTTGGGTGGAAAGTTTGGAAATATGCTTAAAAGAACAGCACCAATTAGCATATAAGAATGAAAATCTTAAGTAATAATCTGCAGCAAGACTATATTAGTTCATATTCAAATTATTTTAAATATTAAATTGCTAATTATTTTTGTTATTATTTAATTAATTAGTGTATTGTCCACTTTTTTCAGCAATTTATTTTATATGCTTTTAAAAGTTTTGTAACTTTTTCTCATCACTTTATTGATGAGTAGGCTTCATTCGAAACTTAAATAAACAAATTACAAATTTTTTGTATCAACTGAGAACAATAAATAATAGTAATAATTAAATAAAGAGAAATTAGTTCATTGTCAATATTGTATCCTTGTTGACATAAGACAAAAATAGGAGGCTAAAGATACACATTGCATCCTCTTATTTCGTTTGTTTTCTTAATAAACACAAACAAAAAGCACTAAAAACTGCCGAGCAAAATTCTCTAAATATGACACCAAGAGATTCAGATTAATCAGCGTCTATCATTTTCCCAATGGCGAAATTTTGTTTGTCATTCCAGGGCCGGACAGCTTAATCCGCAAACACTTGGCCGTAGCAACTTTCAGAGCTTCCCTTGTTAGTCTTTGTTGAGCTCTTTTGATGCAGCCGAGCGAAATGTATTTTTATTAACAATAACCCTTTCTTATTCATCTCCGTCTCCTTTTCTTATGGCAAACTACGCCTCTCTCTTCAGCGTCAACTATATTTATTTCTTTGTATTATTATCGCTGAAGAAGCCCAGCAGTAGTTCTTAACATTTGATTGACTCAAAGCGAAATAAGGAAAAGGCGACGGGAGAAAAAAATAAAATTTCCCTCCGCCAAAAGCGTTTTTAATGATCTTCCCGGATCTTCCAGCAACAGTCTCGAGAACAAACTAGCCCAATCGTGCGGCTCTTTTTGAAGTACTCGGATCAATCCCCTCGGGTAAAAGAGACAGAAGAAGACAATATTATATTCTTCTGTGGCTTCTCCTTTTTCATTCAGAGATAAAGAACTAACTGGGCGGAGGGCGAAAAGCGATATGCTTAAGGGAGCAACTCACCAGGACGTAGACGGCGAAAGGCATGACCACGACGGCCACCAGCAAGTCGGCGAGCGCCAGGCTGACAATGAAGTAGTTGGTCACGGTCTGCAAGGTGCGTTCCCGCCGCACGGCCAAGATCACGAGCACGTTGCCAAACAGCGTGAACACGGGGAACAGCACCAGCAGCAACGCCCAGTAGTTTTTCTCCGGAGGGACGCCGCCCATCGAGAGCCCCGTGTCCGACGCATTGCCCAGCGTCGCGTTCCCGAGCGTCCCGTTGGTGCAGTCGGTCTCGTTCAGCCACAGCTGCTGGGTCGCGTTCGATGTCCACAGGCCCACGGCCATGATGTTGTTGGTCATTTCCAGGCGGCGGAACTCGCCGCGCAATTACATCTTGTCTCCAAATCTGGAAAAAATGAGGTTTGGGAAATGATGAAAGAATTGTGATTTTTATTAATTTAGCTTTGTGCATAACCATGCATTAAATATAGTTGAAATTTGGAATTTTTAAATGATAAACCAAGTCAACCGAGGCTCACTGCGGCGGACGGAGTCTTTTTTATCTTAGAAGTTTTAGCAAAATTCTTGCTAGTGGTGGTGCCGTTTTGCCCAACAATACTTTTTTTTAAAAAATTGTTTTCAGCAATTCAATGTATTATGTATTTGTAACAATGTGAAAAAATAAACAACAATAATAAAAAGGTAAGGATTAAAATTTAAAAATATCTCTGCCTAAACTTAAAATACAAAGTATGAACTTGCTGAAAATTAGCTGTTTAAGCTTTAATTAACTTCAACCAAATAATGAAAAAGAAAAAGAAAAAAATAGATAAATTTGCAATCTTTAATCATGTAAAAGAATTTTGTATTTTTTCCCAATATTATTGAATGGTAACAGTTTCCCTGTTGCAAAATTTGTGATAAGTGATAAGAACAAAAACTTAGTCAACTGAGGCTCGCTGCGGCGGATGGGGTCTTTTTGATCTCGGAAGTTTTAGCAAAATTCTTGCTAGTGGTGGTGCCATGTAACCAATAATTCCTTTTTTTTAAAATAAATTACTTCCAACAATTTAATGTAAACAATGTATTTGTCACAATGTGGACAAATAAACAACAATAATGATTTTAATCTTTCTAGCTTTGACTTGTTTTTTATATTAAAATCATTTAACTTAACTTTACGTTTTGAAATTTTCATCAGAAAAAAGGCATTTGTGTTTAGGGACCTTTTAGATTTTCATTGCTGGTCTTCTCCCACCTCTGCATTTTTCTAATGTTTTCCATGATGATTTTTTTTTAATTGAAAATACTGAGATTCAAAATCAAACCTTTTTAAACGGATTATTTTTAGTTTCTAAGATTTAAGCTATTTGAATTTTCTAGTAATTTTTTTTATGAATCTTTTCCCTCACTACTTATTTTAAAACAAATATCCTTTTAAAGCCCAAGAGTTTCAATCTATCTTACTTTAATAGCTGCACGCCTTTTCCTGGTGTTTGGTTTTTGAGGATAATTAATTTAATATTCTACACTCTGAGATAACATTTACAAAATAGCCTTTCTGTGAGCGGCTTCAAACGCACCCTTGAAGAGCGCACGCACTCGCCAAGGTAAGTTTTAATGAAAATTTCGGCGTTGACCTTTGGCATAAGGCTTCCAGCTGAAAAGATTGCGCGTAAAGCCGACTTGAAAGACCCCCGTTGTGCCCCAAGGAAATCTTCAAAAGTCTCTTTTGAACCTGCCCAAAAGCCTTGAATCACAACCACATTTTGCGTTTTGAGGTGAGTTTGCGTTGCTCCTTTGTCTCAGCAACTCGCGCCCGTGTTTGCGAGACGAGACTGAAAATGACGATCGTTGCATTTGAGTTGAAATCCACCGAGAGCGAATCTTGTATGAGCCGCAAATCCACACGCATTTCGCGGCAGCTGCGAGAAAGGAAAGAAAGCCCGACGGGCGGCCCCTTTTTTACTCTCGTTCGCCCTCCTTTGTGAGGTCAATCAACAACGGCACACTTAACCGGCAGACGTGGAATTCCATCATCTTGAAAGGATCAGTTCGAATGAAAACTGACAATGCCGAGCTGTGATTTATTAGTGCGTCCGAAAGCGAGAGATATACAAGTTTTTGCCCATCGCATCTCTCTACTCGCGCGTCCGCCCCGAAACTTTCCGCAATCGACCACGGTTCTCGGATCGCGTGACACTTGGGCTGATCCGCCGTGTCCTTCCCCCATTCATTTTCGCAGGTGCATTGTTTCGGCGCGTCACCTGTTTCCCTCGGGAACGTGTCAAAAACTTTATGAATGAGCCCGTTCGCCGCGGGGGAGCGAATCAGACAGCTACTGTCCCCCTGATCTGCACCGCGCGCGCTAACCAAAAGTGCCGAGTCAAAAGTCAACTTTGATCGTGGGCGAGCCGAGACGCAGCTGCAACCCTCGCAGCGGACGTGTTCGTTTGTCCACAGCTCTTCCTTCCTTCGTCAACATTACGAACCACTTGCGGATTCGAAAGAGTCAACACAAACACAACACGGACGCGGTTTGCATTCCAAATTGCAGGCGCGCCTCAAACTCTTTCGATTTATGGCCACAATTTTTACATCCCCTTTTTCCGAAACGGACGCCCCATATCGGTATACGGTGAGTTGTTCCAGCGGGGAGTTGTTCCATATAAAACGGAGAGTTATTCCAGCCAATCACAAAAGAAAGTAGTTGTTCCAAAGCTATATTTAGGCGTTGCAGGTAAATTTTTGATACAATTAATATCTAATTTAATTAATTAATTAAAGTTATTTTTTTAACTCTGAGATGATCGTGAGTCTTAAAAGTCACGTGATTAAAAAATATGGATTTGGAAATCTAAAGTAATAAAAGAAAAACATCAAACATCAATAAATAAATATGAAAATTCTCAAACTTTGTAAAATTAGTTGTAATAAAAATGTTTGAACAGCAGCCATTAAAAAATTTAAAAAGCATTTAAATAATTTAATATCATGTACAATATATTATAAAAAAAAAATAATAATCTCTGTAACGTTTTGACTGCAGTCTCTAATTTCATGAAATATTAGAGCAGCTACAATGTTAAATAATTATTATTTTAGCGTTTCAAGTTTTTGTACGAGGTTTACTATTTACTATACAGTAGATTAAATTTGATCAGAATTGTTTTTTTTCAATTTTTTTCGTAATTTACCTTTTTAAAAAAGCGAAATTTTTTACTACAATTTCCTAACTACGTTGATTTTTAAGAATTTTTAGAATTTCATGGTTAAATTGTTGTTCGTTTTACATCATAAAGTTATTTCATGAAAAAGTTCAACTTTATTCATGGTGCTCGTTACATGAAATTATTATTTTGCAAAATGTCCTTGTTTTGATGAAGCCGGAAGAACCGGTACAATATGCCCAGGTTCTTTTACTTATTGGCATGCATATATAATTATTCCCGCCTGGAACAACTCACCGTTTTTCTTCGGAACAACTCCCCGCCGGAACAAATCACCTAAAACCTATCTGATGGCACGGTAGCCGCGGGCGAGGGCCTCCCGACAGGTGGATCGACGTGCCCCGAGAGGACTATTGCTGCCGGAAAAGCTCGATTTCAGCATACACGAGGAAAAAGCGACTGCTCCTCGGTAAACAGGAGAAATTCTAACGGAAATAAAGGAAAGGGGTGCGCAGCGAGAGCAGATAGGCAGTCGCGAGTGCATGAAAAGTACCGTATCCGCAAATGTATAAAATATCCAGTCGAGCAGGAGGAAATTCCTCTGAGCAAATGCCCCTGGGTGTAATACGGTAGCAATAATTTCGACTCTTGTTCCCAAGTCGACACTTCTTTTTATCGCCAACCTCAACATTCGTCGAGGCGACGGAGCCGAGAGACGGTGTGTTTATTTTGTGTTTATTATTAACAGCCGTGTTTTAGTCCAATTCATTGAAATTGTATGAGCCATTCTCGGGAGCGGCGTCATTAAATATTAATCGCACCCGCGCCGAGATGCGATTTTATTTCTCCGTTTAAGAGGCCGCCCTGTCGAAATGAACTTCTCTCGCTTTCTCCCATCTACCCTCGTTCGTGCGTTTGTTTACCACCGTTTGCAAGTTTTACGACCGCGTAGAGTATCTCAATTTTGTACGTGTTTATACAATTGGCAGCTGATGTTCCAGCCAGCATTTTTCTAGCACGCGCGGCAGCTGAGAAAATTACTGATCTTCTCATGCAAATTCCTGCGGCACTTCCTGCTGATAATTTGAATTCTCATACATTTCAAGTGACGTCCTGATGATTTCGCACTTTCAGCGAGTTTTATATGCGCAGCCTTTCACACTTCTAAAAAAAATAAACTTTCATCTCTGCAAAGCAAGAGGGCTCTTTCAAAGTTCCGGCTCGCAGGCCTTTCATAGAGAGAATGCACGCTCCACATTGCGATTAAAAATCAATTAGGGCGATGTATAACTTTGTGCAGAGCAGAGACATTTTACAAATTTAATCCAAGCGCAATCCATCACATTTTAATTAAATTTCATCCACCTGCACTCCCATCTCGCGTGTATTAAAAATTCATGCAAAGAGCGTTAAAAATAAGCCTTCCGGCGGAAAGCAAAGTTCCCGCGAGACAGGCGGAATGAAGTGCAGCAGTGCAAAGAGGTGTATCGTGCAGAGAAATAAATAAATCAATCTTACCTAGCAGAGAGGAATTAAAAAGATCCCCAGAGGTCTCCGGAGAGGCAGTCAGAGTTGTGTCAAGGAAGAGTAAGAGAGAAGAGAGAGAGAGAGAGATGCGGCTCGGGAAGGTGAGCGTGCAACTGGATCGACCGACGGTCGGAACGCAACAGTGTGGCATCTACGGGAGCCTCCGTTCGCAGAAATTAAGGGCGCCGGCGCCACCGACCAATCCAAACTACCCCTGGCGGCGCAATGAAACAGGCGAGCACACGCCCCGACCGAACCAAAACCCTACTAATCGAATCCTTAGCTCTTTTGACCATTATTTGATTGCGGCCTTTTTTGCTTCAGTGCGCGAAATCTGAAGCCCACATCTTGCGTGCTCACGTCCGTCTGATTAGCCACCGACTTTCCTTATTAATCGATTTCGCCTGCGATTTTCCTGCTGATGCGTCGCTCCCTCTATATAATCGCAGAAAGGAAATTTGCTTATCAACGAATCGCATTTGAACGGCAACGAAAGCCGAGCCGGATATTTTAATTTCCAAAGTAGATTCCGCAATTTCCCCAATCGACGTTGACGGCGGCAAAATTCTATAACGCTGACACCGGACTCGACCTGCAAATTTGTAAAGAAAAGTTTCAAATGTCTCCAGCTCACGTTTCTCCTCCTTCTTCGGTATTCCGCGGCTAACGTGAAAAATAATGCGAGCGCATATCCAATTTTCTCTTTTTTCTCTTTTCGCCCTTTCAATTTGCGACTTCGCACAGATCCACGCGCGTACGTGAGTAAATATTGTTCTCGGCACGCAGCGACTATATGCAACCCGCATCGTTCTTGCTCCAATTCCCTCACTCAGACAGTCAACGTGCTGCGAATTGCCTGGAAGTGAATAGAATTTTATTTCGCTGCTCGGCCGCAGAGCAGTTTGATTCTCGCGAGGAACTGAAACCGCAGGAGAGAGGAAAAGAAGATAAAAATATAAAATTTAATCTTCCAGCACGGAATTATGCAAAATTTTCCACAATTTGCTTTTCTCTCTCTCTCTCTCTTGGATCGAAAGTCGGAAATGAGTTCTTTTGTCAAGGGAAGATTTCCAATATACTTTCCCCCTTTTTTTTCTTTTCAATGCACCGTCAAATAAGCTTCTTTCTGTAAACTGGAAAAACATCTATCTATTATCGAACGAAAGGATTCTGACTGATTGTCGATCCGCGCAGATAAAATCTATTTATACGGCCAGTCTTCCATTCAGATATTACGTACTGTACATCTAATAGGAAATCAATGCGCATCAGCGGCGCATCACAAAGCGTTCAGAGTCATCGGGCGCTCTCGATACGGATGAGCAAATGTCATACATTCGAGGTGGAATCAGGCACACATATCTGCCGGAAAATCTGCCGGATTATTTCAAAACCGCGCTTTTGACTCGAATTCCTCTTCCGCAACCACCGCTTCTTTTCAACCGAAAAAGCTCAAGCACTTTCATATCTTTTTGTGCTATGAATAAATCAGTAACGCCGAGTCACTTCCCAATGCTTTGGAAAAATGCGTACATGTCGAAACTGCTTCATTAACAAGATTCAAAGGCACATACTTAGCACGTCTGGAGCGCATAATTGAAGGATTATTACGGCGCGTGAGAGCCTAGAGAGCGAGCGGCGGCGACGCGGCCAAGTGCCTTTAATCCGCAACGTATACCTTGAGAACACATACGTTTAGCACATATATAGCTGCGAATCGCTAACCCGCCCTGTTCTAACTTTAAAGCATTCCTTTTGTCGGATCTTATAGCTCGTTGGGGCGGTTAAGTGTGGGCCACACGCGCGCCACCGCCGACAATTAACAGTGAAATACTGAATGTTGTCGAGGGAACAAAAGGGCCGGTGTAAATTTGTCGCGCTTCGCTAATGGCAGCTAACGAGCTGCGTTCAAATAAATTACCATTTTCAGATTAATTTAATCCATAAACAAAACATTCAAATTAGTTTGATTTTTTTATATTTATCCTGTTAGTTTTTCAAGAGATGCTTAACTGCCGTCTCAATTTTTTATCGCTTGTTTATAGCAGCAGCTTTAACGGCAACTGTGGCTTCACGTGAAATAAAATCCCGCAACTTGGAGCTCAAGTTTTAACCGCCTCTAATCAGTATTTATCGCTCAGAGTGTGCATACCATGCTCAGATTCACAACATGACACAACTTAACCGCTAAATCTGAAATTCAAATGGTCGAGAAACTCGGTCACAGCTAGTTCACGATTTAATTAGAGACAAATTTAATTGTTGGAAAGTTTGCAAAGTTAATTCAGTTGAAGTTCCCTGTCCTGCAATTGAATGACAGGTTATGGGGGGAAAGCAACCAAGCTTTGTTCGATTTTACGTATTTGTGTTTGAACTTTGAACAGAGAAAATTTAACGCAAAGGCATGCAAATTTTATACACTACAATGCTATCGCCACACCCTGTGAGGCTTTAATCAATGGATGCGACCGACTCGAAGCGCGGCCATCAGTGGCGCCACCGATTCTGTGAAATTCGCCCCGCTTTTCGCAACTCGGCGCCGCTTCTCTCGCTAACCATGAGCCACATGCATACCGAAAGGCAGCTGGAAAAAGAGTTTAACTTTGCGACTGGAGCGGGTGACAGTCTTGAGTGGTTTCCAAACTAACTTTTACAACGGTCGTTTACGTCTCATCTGCATCTAAAGTGCGTCGAACAAACTTCAAAATGTATACAGTCAACTTTCCTCTGCGGCCAGGCTGTATCTGAAGTGTGCACCACTCTCAGAAATTTCAAGTTTTCTTCAACCGACAGATATTAACATAAATGAGAGTTCATGAATATTTCGTCGAAGCGAGCGTGTGCAGATGGGCCGGAAATTCCTGCTCGTCAACTCTGCTTCGATTAAAAGTCTGGGCGCCCTCAAATTCATTCATCAATTCACAAAATATGGACGGAGTAAATGGCTAAAAATGCAACATGTCATATTTATATGTTCATTTATATTTTCATTCTGAGTTACAATTGATTAAATACGCTCCTTTCAATAATTTTTTGAAGTTCCCAGTTATGGGAAAAACTTTTCATTTAAAACTTTTTTGTATGTATGGAGTCGAGGGCCAAAAATATACATATTCAAATCCAGCTAATTAGGAGTTTAGTTGACTAGGACTGAAAAGGAAACATGCTAGTGACGATTGCTTAATAACATTTGAAATTGGTAGTCCAGTGTACAACAAAATTAAGCAGATCATTTATGATCCACGTTAAAAAAGGAAAATTTCACAATCTGGAATTCAAAATGCTTGACGACTAAAGAATGGTATTAAAAAATAGAACATTTTCATGCCAACCGGCAAATAATGACATCATTATCCGTTGTGAGGTTTTAAACATCGCATCAGAAACAGACCCAGAGCTGCAGCTATTGCGAGTGTGATGCTCGTTTTCCACCACGAAGCTGTAATTTCTCGAAGTAACTTCAGATCTCGTAAATGCCTGAAATCAACATACATGTGTGTTTTGAAATTTAACGTTTGTATACGCGCGAGGTTTGTTTCCAACGCAGCCAAAACTATTTTAGTCTGCAGACTACACTGCAGTGTCAAACACCATCATTAAGATGTAGCAAAAGGCAGATTCCGAATGAAGATTCCGCGCTTCACGCTTTATTAATCATCACAAAGCTGGCCTAATTAAAAAGCGTAATTAGCTCTGTGATGTTGTTTTTTGTACAATTAAATAGCGTGGAAAATGCAAGATTCGGTATCACCACCATGAGTAGTCTGCGGTGGCACCAAAGAGATTACGATCTCTTTGTGCGGAGAATACACGAGACCAAAATGGTTTTGTCAGATGCGTTGGTTGGAAACCTAATACACGAGAAGCTATCTCTATTGATTTATTTCAAAGTGCTGTCATGCTCAATTTCCGTCCCTTCATAGCATACATTATCTCCTGGTTAACATCTTAGCAAATATGCGCGCTATTCCACGCACCGCGCGAATTTGGTGAACATTATTTATAGCGCAGGTTATAAAGAGGATTTCTTTTCAAATAATGTAAAACGTTGGTAAAATATATACAGGTAATAATAAATCTTGCGTGTCGTGCAATAAACGCCACCATTGTGAGCATGCTGCCGTGTAAGGTTACAAACCAAAAATCACATGATGACTGCAAAATGTTGGAAGGAAAATTTCATGCAAGTTTCAGAGCACGCCTCAGGAACTCACTGAAGCGTGCTGTCAGTTCCAGTGAAGAGGAGCACTATGTCTGTCAAATTTAAGCCTGGCTAAGTCCTCTAGGAATTCTCCACGTTGGCACTAATCACGTTAACTTTAAACTATTTATATTCAGCTAGACATTTTAATGTAAATTGATAATTTTTTTTGTATTAACGAAAGTTAAAATTAAAAGAATTTTTGAAAAGCTTTTTATACATATAGTATATGAAATTTTATAGATTTATTAATGGAGAACAAAGAAAGTTTATGAATTTATATCTTTATTTTAGTTCTAGAAATACAAGTTCCTCTCCTATTTAGTATTCTGCATTTAATAGAAAATTTTGCACGCGGACGCTTCTTGAATTTACAATTTTCCTTGTCCCTGTGCGCTACTTCGTGACCATGGTGGCCATTAATTACGCCTGGCAAACAGGCTTATTTATAGCAATCCACAAATCTACGTGTTTGCGCCAACGCATTGTGTGAGTCGCACTCTATTGTGCCATAGAAATAATTCGCGCAAATTTATTGTAACTCCGCATATTACTTTTACGGTTCCGCAGTCATGACCTGTTGCTAGCGTCATCAGGCTTAATGCTTTTTCAATTTGAAGAGTAGCCAAATAAACTTTCCCAACGGATCGGGTCGTAAATTCAATCCCGATCCTATCAATTTGCCAATGCGGCAATCCCAACTTTTATTTGCGTACGACCACAAATTGAACTGATCTAATCTAAACTATAAATTACGCAAATGGTTTTGCAGCCATCATGAATCCCCACAAAAGTGAAAAATTCAAAAATTATGTGCTCTGACTACACCAAAAAAGTCAACCTTGTGAGATTCTAACCTGGTTTTGTAGAAAAGTACCCAAGCTGCTTGAAACCGGCTTTAAAGATGAAATTTTTGATGAGCTTAAAATCAATCAGGCAACATTAAGAATACTTACGGGAAAGCGGCCATCGTTGCGAGCTTGAGGTAGATCTCCTTTTCCACATCGTGGTCCATGGCAGTGAAGAGGTGTGGAGGTGGGAGACGGTGTTTTTGGCAGAAAGCAGCTGGTTGCAGCAGGTAGTCCTGTTTGGCCCTCGGTAGGTCGCTTTTACAAGCCACGATCAATACTGGCTCCTTGCAGTCAACAAAATATTTCTAGAAATGGAAAAGCCGGTTTATGAACTTCTGGGCGAGCTCATTTGCTTATTAATTACCAGGAAAATGCGAGCGACATATTCAAACGAGGATGGATCTGAGTGGTTGTACGTTAAGCAAGTAACGTCCCCTCTTAAATCTGTGGCAGTCAAAGGAGTTGAAGTGCTCTCGAGGTCAACGTCTCTCAACACCAACACTTTGTCTTGGCCGTACACTTGAAGTGTGCATGCATACCAACTTGGAGTTGAGAGACAAGGCGGGTGGTTCGTGTCCTAAAATGGTAATTAGTTTTCATCTTCTTTAATCAAACAACCTCAGCCGAGACTGAAGAAGCAGACACCCAGTCGGTGACGGTCTTTACGACACTTGCAAGAACTAATTAATTGGCAGGTGAACGTTAACTTTGTTCTTTTCCCAAACTCATTATATTAACTTGCTTTGAGCAAAACTTTTGTATAATGAGTGAGCACACGGAATTTAATTTTCCCATTATGAATGAACTTAATTTAAAATAAGCGAAAACTTTAACTCATTCTTTATTCTTTACTCACCGAGAGTGAATGACCAAGCATTGAACGACAAAACGCGGTTTTTCCACAGCCTTTGGGTCCAATCACTGCACACTCGTACACCGTTCTGCTAGACTGTTTTTTCAACCAATCCAACTGCCGCTCCCTTGTGACTGCAAAAAAAAAATAACACGTAGAGTGAGAAACGTTCTCATTCACAACACGCGCAGGTCAAACAGCCTGGTCAAAGAAAATTATTACTCTTGGTGGTTTTTGTGCTTCTGGGCACGATTTCACATGTTAAATACTTAATCCAGTAATTAACAAGGGATTAAAAAGGATTACTTTTATGGGCCTACATATTTCATTTTACTCTTGCTACGGTGGTGCAGTCTCATAAAAGGAAAAATTGAGATATATCATCATGCGAGGGTGAAGGATGAGTTTTTTCAGAGAAAGTTTCTCTGGGTCAGACACACCAAATTTTTACCTGAAATTGCATTTGACTGGCTCTCCTGCTCCAAGTAAGGATACCCAAAGTAGGCCAAATATTCCAGGGTGGTGTTCACAGAGAGGAGGGTGATTAGTGCCCACTGACTCATAAACCCTTGCATTGTTATCCACCCCTAAAAATTAGAATCACTGTGAAGTGGGATTTAATTTATTTTTTGTTCAACTGCTTACTTGAGGAGTATTTTTGACCCCCTGCTGAGCTAGTCCATCCCATGCTTGCCGCGGGCAGGTGCTAAACAAATCTTGTAGCTCATCAGGATTCAGTGCACCATCGTGGTCTTTGTCGTGCTTGACGAAAAGTGTGCTAAGGAAATGCTGGCCTCTCAATGAGAGCTCTGTTGATGCTCCTGTTGAAATCCGTATCCTAAACATACCGTAATTCAATTTAATAATCTGGTTACGCACAAATAATAAGGGAGAACTGATAAATGAATATTTTGCATTCATACTTTGGAAATAAATAGTTGTCACTGAGCTCCAGCGAGTCATCGTAGCCAAATTTCCTCAAAACTGTCCATGTCGTTTCACTACGACCTCGTCTGATGAATGTGCAGTGCAAAAAAAGAAATCCTTCAAGCAAGAATGTTAAAATACTAATGATTTACAATTTATTGAGCTTTCTATGCGAACCTGATTTTGTAATGCTATTATATTTCAGTCCATTGGAAATGGAGCTGTCAATAATAGACTTCAGACCATTTATGGTGTTGGGATCTAAGGGTTCATTAAAGCAATGCATTTGGAATGCATTAAACTCTCGATCACTCAGAAGGTCATCATTATCCAAGTCACAGATTTTGAATATTCTGATGAGTGCCTCCTCACACGCAAACGTCAACTGAAATTACAAATTGAAATCAGTCTATGATCTGATATATTATCTGGTTCCGATACAAACCTCTTGGTCCTCTAACGAGTACAGGGGCCCTACGGGATGAAGTACGGCTTTCTGAGCATGATAGAACATTTCGGAAATGTTGAATAAACTCCTTGCGGAACACTGAAAAGATTAAAAAAATTTAATTTTTATTTGATTTACTATTAAAAGAAATAAAATCATAAATAATTATTAATACTCATTATAAATTACCTCTAGCCAAGCCTCAATTTCAGGGAAATCCTCCATGAACGGGCTGGAGGTCTGCAGAGTTGAGTATTCAATCAGGTCCGCTTTGTTCCCAACAAGGATGACAGGTCTGGTTGTTCTAGGTTGGCAGTGACGAAGCAGCGGCAGCCAGTGCACCCTGACCTGCTCCAGAGATTCGTCATCTTCAACCGAGTAGACGACGCAAATCACATCAGCCTTGTTGACCTCCTCGATCAGTTGCTCCTCAGACTGCTCGGCCGCTGTCAAGTGGGAAAGTTGCAGTGAGCAAATCAATAATCAATTTTGCAATGAGTAAACAGTTTCATACCTGAGTAATCAACAATGTTTGTGGGAATATGCTCTGGAGTGACGTCAGGCGGAATGGTGATCTCCTCCGCCTTGTATGGCACATCTTCAGCAAATTCTTCGCTGACCAGCGACAAAATTAGCGAGGTTTTCCCAACACCACGGTCGCCTAACAACAATATTCGCACATTCTGCCGCTGCCCATATTTTTCCATTGTACTGAAAACAAAAGAATTATTATTATTTATTCTTCTCGGTCAATACAAAAATTTTAAATTGGAAAAAAGAGAAGAAAGGGTTTTTATATAGTAATATAGTAGTTTTATAGTAATATAAAAATATAAAATAGGTCTCTGAAAATTGAGATAGTAAAAAGGCTGTGTTGTTACGTAAGAGACTTTGAGAGAAGGAAAACTTTTAATTTTATCAGTTAAAAAAAATAATTGAAAAAAGGAAAAATTTAAAGCAAAATAAACACAAATTGAGAACTAAAAAATTATTCAATTTAAGTACATGTTCAAAATTCTATCAAGTCATCTAAAAAAATTATGATGTGTGTGTAATTTACAGTTCACAAACCTAGCTATGTAAGCCCCTCTTCAAGAAACTTTAACCAAGAATTTTCACACGAAAGGCTGATGACCCCCCAGATGGAACTTTTGCAATTCGTGTGGTTTGATCATTATTGTGATATTGTTAAGAACTTTCAAAAATTCACAGAATATTTGCAGCAAGCATAGCTCGTATATGTAATCGGGATTTGGAAAAATCTTAAACGATTTGAGAGTTGATTAAATATTTGAATAGGTTCATTAAAAGTTTGAGGGCAGTGGTGCTTCAAAAACAGTGTGGTTACACTTTCACTTTTGATATTGATTTTTGAGATATTGTCACACAAAATACGAGTAAAAAAACACCAGAAAACACTGCTTCATTTACAGTCAAAAATAATAATTTAGTTTGGAGCTTCAAAGAGTTAAGAGAGAACACTTTTTCAGTATTGAAAAGAGATCACGGTCATACCACAACAAAGGCCAAAATCCAAGATTTAATTAACTCTTAATGAAAAACTTTCAAGTGAGACTGAATTTTCATGCATACCTGTCCTTGTTTGATTAAATCGTTGCTATCTCATGAAGGACTGCCAATTATTTGACTCCTAACTAGTGAAACTAGCTGCTTTTTCACATCATTTCTTCTTCAATTTGGTTCAAGATCAGTTTTTACATAAACATGCAGAAAATAAGGTTACTGCTAAATACACAATGACACGGTTTCACGGACATTTTGTGCATTTAGAACGAAACCTTTCCTTCTCCTCCCACCCCCCGAAAGTCTTTTCATCCCCCATTGACAATATAAAAACCGCGCGTTATTTATGATTTCAGTGCAGTATTAAATTTTATTTATTATTGTGTAATTGATTTTCCAATATATGGAATTAGATCATAAATATTAATTTTTTTTTCATATTAAAACATAAATATGTGAGTAGAAAAAGGTTCAAATGAAAAATGAAATTATAAAAATATATTTTAAAAAAAATTCGTAATCCCATAAATATAATAAATTAAATTTCTCTTGTTCAAATAAATATTTTGTTTATTGAAATACCTGCTGCGTTGGTCCGTTACAGGATATAATTTTATTTGGATCAAAGAGAATATTGTTCAATTATTATAATTTCTTTTAATTTTATGCAGTTAATTTTCAGTATCAAAAGATTATCTCAGGTATATTAAGACCAGATTATGCAAAAGTATAATACAATGCATCATGATAATTCAACATTGTCTTATATAATTTTTATTCCTTTCCTGATAAAAATTTTCTCAAATAACACTGCATGGCCGATAAAAATATATATTTTTGCCATACATTAATGGACCTGCATATATCATACTGTGTTCTTCTTTGATCATTAGTAACATTATATTTTGCTTATTTTATGCCCTATCTCCTTGGCCGCCAAAGTTCACAGGTCATCACTGGAATAGGACTGCATATTTTATAATTATTAATCCCAGAGTAAAATATCTTGATATTCCACTATCTAAGCACATAGCTTTTTGCACCGGTCGACGGCATAAATTTATATTCCCTTGCAAATCTGCAACTAAATTAACAATAAGCACATATTGCATTACAGAACTATAACAGGCAGACAGTACAGCACGGTGCAAACATATTATGAAACTACAATATTATAGTTCTAAATTAAATGGAATGAGCCCAAACAGACACTTTCATTAAATTCATCTATAAAAATTTAACAGGCCTCGATCTTTATAATCGACAAAAACTTGATTGGCATAATAATTATATTTCATTACAATTAATGGAAAAGACCAGTCAACTTTTTAACGCCACCGTCGGCAAACAATTTAATCCATAATTTTTTTTAAATAGAATTATATAAAATGTAGAAAGGTGGAAAAAGTAATGGAAGAAAACGGTCCCACAGTTCCTTTTGTACTGGAAATTATGACAGCAAAATACCGAAAAGGCATCTCATGTGATATTCTGCGGCAAAGCGTGACTAGCTACCGGAGGTGCAATTTGTGTTCCCTGGCCCATACAACATAGTTTTCTTGTGAACACGCCCACGTAAGAGGTTTTTCTTCTTTTCGTCACTCGAATATCCTGTGTCAAAGCCAGAGTCGTCGGGGTTTCCCTCTTGACTCACTTCCGCCAAGTGAGAGCTGTGATCTGCTATGGTCTTTTGTATACAGCTCAATAGACTTCCAAAAAAGTTCGGGTAGCCATCATAGCCTGTCAAAATTTAAATTAAATTTGCTGTCGCCAAAATATTAGATAAAAATTCTCTTAACCTGGATAGGCATTGATATCGATAATGGCATAGCGATTTGTTCCATTTTCGAGGACAACGTCTATGCCCAACAAGGCCATTCCTAGCTCCTTATTCAAAATCTCCGCTATCCTTGCAAATTTCTCTGGATCAGGCATGTTGATGTCGCCAATCGAATCTTCCGGATCCAAAATGCTCAGTGCTGAAGTTGAATCTGCCTTCGAAACATCGTGACTGTCAAAGTGAATAGTTTCTTGGTCTACAAACACAATATAATTTTATTTTTTGAATCATTTCAAGAACTTTTGGCATTACCACAAGAGTAGAAATTCTTCAATGAGGGTCTTTCGACAACGTAGTGATCATCACCAACGGAAAATATTTTGTATAGTACGGCGTTGTGGTTGATGAAGGTTTGGGCAACACAGGGTGGTTTGCAGTCTGAAACGCCTTCCTCGTTGAAAATTATTGACATCTGATAACAAAACTGACAATTAACAAATTTTCTCTCCCCTTGACTGGGCTTAAAAATTGCGAAAAACAAATTATTAGGCAATATTATTTTGCGAAAAATTTACTGTGCCAAATTTCCCAACTTGATAACAAAATGTCGTAAAATACCCGTCAAGTGAGCTTGCACAGAGGGGCCACTGTTAATCTACCAAAAAAGATAATAAGTATCACCTTGTGAGCATTGCTTGAGCCATGGGCCACCAAAGGTTTGCATACTGCAATAGTAAAAAGAACCTGTTAATTTCAACCAAAACTTTACCAAAAACTAATTTACCGAACGGGAACTTGACTCCAGCTGATGAGAGAGTAGCAATATTCTCCTGCACATCACTGGATGTCAATTCGACATAGGTGGGAGTGAACACATCTGAAAATTTTGAAACCGTATAGAGGAATAAAAATTTTAGAAGTCGCAAATGGTACCAATTGTGCCTAAGTCACTGGAGTGGATCACCGAATAGGAAAGAGATCTGTCAAGAAGCTGACGCACATTGGGTAGAGGATCGATGACTGCAACTTCTGGGTGGGCGTCCAAAAAACTCTCGATGTTTTCCATCATCCGCGTCGCCTGTGGCAAAATAAAAATTGCTAGCTAAATTTCTAAGGCAAAATTTATTATTTCTTGCCTTGGCGTCACCCTGCATTGCCAAAGCAATTATATCCGTCAGCTTGTGGAGAATGGCGGTGAAGGGGCCTTGCATTTCCAAAGGCTCGTTCAGGTCCAGCTTATATAAAGAAATTAATAATAAGAATTATATCCTCAACTTTCCAATAACAATGCAAATTTAAAAAATAAAAATTATTTTTACCTTTACAAGCTCAAGTCCATTTTCTCTGCAACAGGAAAGATATTTTTTTACTAAAAATTTTTATATTTCATGTGAAAGAAAATTTATTTATGTGATTCTAGTATACTTTTTTAGAATTTTTCCTCATCAGAAACTTAAAAAAAATGAGACAACATATACAAATTCCCTAGGAGCCGCAAGGTCCGAGATTAAATCGGATCAAACAATTAACCTTGCGTGTTATTCACGTGTTTTTCATGGATCAAAAAAAGTAGAAGTTAGATAAAGAATTTAATCAACAAGTGTCGTTTGAAGCGTGATCAGGTTTAGCAAATCAAAAGGGCGCAGCCGCAGTAATTTGCCAAAAATTGTTACCGTTTAATTTAAATTTTCAAAACTCACTTGCAAACACTTGCGAACTCGCTCCAGTTGAGTTTCTGGCTCTTTTTCTCAGACATCCAGTATCCGATGACCTGCCGACTCGGCTCTTTAGTCGACAGCATTGCAAACCTCTTCTTTTCTCCTTTAACACTGAAACACAACACCGCAATATGATTCGATTTTAAAACTATCGCATTTGGATCATTTATAATAAAGTGACGCTTTTATGGAGTGCAATAAGAGATATTGCTGCGCAAAGTTTTTGATAAAGGAGCGTAACAAAATATAGACCCTACACCGCACGATTTTAAGCAGGGACGCAAAAGGAGATAACTATGTGCCAGAGATTAAAAAAGGGTGCAGAGAATGATGTCAGCAATTAAGTGTGCAGGAAACCTGATGACGATAAAAACCAGATAATAAAAAAAAAACATTTTGAGGTCGATTTTAATGGGGTTTAATGGTAAAAAATCTAGATTAAAAACCCCTATTTCTTTTAAATTTATTTAGAATTAAATTAAATGTGAATTGAATAAAAATTACTGGCTATTTAATCAACATATTAATGCAAACGTTTTTTTTTACACTAAACTTGTTTAAGTACTATATTTTTTCTTCACTGTAAGTAAATTTTTAATTAATTCAAGAATAAAAAATAAAGCAATAAGATATTAATACAAAATGATTGAAAAAAATAAACGATGAGAATTGAAGCTTTTGCGATAAATTAATTAAGGCTTCACAAATTGACAAAAAAAATCTCCGTACACCACAATTATGATAAATGGGGATAAATATATCTTTAGTCATAAATTATGTATGCATTGTAACTTGTAACAGGTAAAAACATAATGACAGTATAGGCTTAAGTTATTTAAATTGTGCTTCTATCAGCATCTCAGCATAATTTGATTGCGATATTAATTTATAAAAATTTACACGGAACCAAAATCACAATATTTCTAAATAACACAAAGGCCTAATTATATAAGACGAGAATTATTTTGGAATCAAGTAAAATCCAAATTCTGAATTGCTCATCTTGATAAAAAGTACATGCCTCAATTTGATCAGCTCATATTACCTTAGATTCCGGAAAATCGCAGCTTTGAAGGCAGCGGCTGTCCTCAAGATAATACGAACATGGAGTTTCTCTTGCTGGCCGCCGAATGTTATTATCTCTTTCGTGACGACAAGATTGTCAAGCCATTTATTCGTCGCAGTATGTAAGGTGAGTGAGGTGTGTATTATATGTGTGTCAACAAAGCTTAACTTCGGTGACAAGCCTCGATGAGTGCGTCTCGACGAGTATCTGTCGCGAATTCCGAGAAGTCCTGTGTCTTTGAACGAGTTAAATTGACACTTCGCTCATACCATGGCAGTGATTCCGTAGAATTCTCCTTTGTTGTTTTCTTTCAGCAGGCTACTGGTGCGAGCTTCTGGTGTAGCGGCGAACAAGAAAAGGATTTCTTCGCCTCCCTTCTACCCCCTCCACTTGTTTACATTTTCGAATTTCCGCTCTCGCAGTCTAGCTCGCATGCTCACCTTGGCGATGTGTTTTGCAATCGCGCGCCAGTCTCTAATAATTACGTCTTATCATGTTTGGGTGTCGTTGACTTTTTTTAGAAAGCGGAATTGCATTAATTTTTTTAATTGTGTAATAACCATATGAGCAAAGAGAACTCTCTGGTCCGAGAATGCAACATCCAGCAAAAATATTACTTTTACTTTCAAATCAGGCGCGCAAAATAATTGGTGCATTTAGTGTAACATTACTTTATTTACACGGAAACAAGGTCGAGCAGGGTCTTACGTGAAAATAAGCATCACCGCAACCAAAAACAACACAAGCGGTCCTGCCGCGGAGACTTCGAGAGTGATTTTCCCAATGTAACTAATTTAAACATTAGCTTACATTTTGATGGAAATTCGTTTTAACTCTATAAGGCACGTTAAATTTTATTTTTGAGCTCGCAGGATGGCAGGACCTTTGAAGTAACATTTAATTTCTTTCCAGGATTAATCAGTTGTAAACATGGTTGTCGGCAATGCAGAACTCGGACAAGGTCTGGCAGACGTTGTCTTCGTAATCGAGGGAACAGCTTCCAATGGGGCTTACATAAATGACCTTAAAGTGAATTACATTCTTCCTACTTTAGAGTATGTCATTATATTATTTATATATCTTAAAACTTTTATTTGCTAAAAAATATTCCTTCAGGTATTTCAATCAAGGCACCATAGAGGACAAAGATTACATCCCAGAGGTAAAAATTTAAATGAAATACTAGCAAAAGAAATAATTAAAATTTGATTACATTTCTAGAGTTCAAGCACCCTGTATGCCCTGGTTGTTTTCTATGCCTCGGACTGTGTTCCGTACTTGAGTACAGAATGTTATGGACCTTTTTCAACACCTCACAAATTCATATCTATGTTGGAGTCTTTGGAGTAACAGCGTGAACTTGAAAATAATTTCAAAAATATTCATAGCATAAAATTTCAGATTGGTTGGAGGAAGAGGTGAATCGCATGCCCACGTTGCTGAAGGACTGGCTACGGCCATGCAATGTTTTGATGATTTGCAGTTGAAGAGAGATATCAATGCCTCTCCGCAAAAACACTGCCTTTTAATAAGCAATGCTCCAGCCTACAGTGTTCCGACTGTCGAATCTCTCAATTATTCCGGACAAACTGCCGAGCAGCTAGCTTTGCTATTTCAAGAAGTAAATCGTTTCAATTTTCTATTATGTGATTAATTTTTCAACAAACTTTTTACAGAGTGGTGTCAATTTATCAATCATCTCACCTAGAAAAATCCCAGCCTTGTTTAAGCTTTTTGAAAAGGGTGGCGGAGACCTGGCCGCTTCCCAAACAAAAAACTACGCCAAGGATCCTCGCCACCTTGTTCTATTGAAAGGATTCAGCCTAAAGGAGAGACCGGTCAGTCCTGTTGCCACTCAGCCTCAAGCACCTGTAATGCCAACGGCTAACATCGGAAGTCCAGCTCCACAGCCGCCCCATCCTCCTCAGGCTAATGTTCAACCCGCCTTTAGACCAGCCATGCCCAATAGGCCCCCCATGAATTTCCCACAAAACCAACAGCAGCCCCAGTTCCGAATGGAACAGCAACAGATGAGACCGGGAATGGGTGGTAGGTGGCCCCAACCACAGCCCAACATGATGCAGGCGCAGGCCATGCGTCCAGCGATGCCTCCCCAGCAACCTCATCAACCACAACAAGCAAACCAGGCCAGCACTCTGATTGCCCAGCTCCAGCAGCCACCTGCGGGGGTAAATGTGATGGGCCAGCAAGGAATGAACCAACAATTCCAACAAGGTTTGAAATAATACATTTTTAGTACACTCTGGCCCTCAACCCGAGGAGAGTATTGCAGGGTCAGAAGGGCCCGTGATAATATCATATTTTTTATAATTTAAAATAACAATAAAAATTACTATTTTTTTCATGAATTTGATTATTTTAAAATCTTACTCAAAGAAATGTTTAAAATATAATTTTTCAACGATTTTTTTTTTTTAATTTTTGTTGACTCTTCTCTCTTCTTGCAACATTTCTTCTCTCTCATTGTCAGTAACCATGTCATTAATTCTTTGTTTTATCCTATTTAATTTTGACAGGTGGCAATATGATGAATCCCATGCAGCAACAAATGGCTCAGGCCCAGGGCATCCGCATGCCCAACAACCCAGTAGTTGCAGCCCAGCAAAATGTGGCCCAAATTCCACCTCAACAAGCACCTCCAAATCAGCAGGCCCCACAGATGCCTGGCATGTCCAACCAGCCTATGGTTCAAGGCCAGAACATGCCACCACAAATGGCCCAGCAACAGCCACAGATGGCAGTCGTGCAAACTATGCAGGGTCAGCAGATGCCTGGACAGCAGGCGCCAGGGCAAGTGCTGCCCCCAGGAATGCAGCAGCAAGCCGGCGGCGGAAGGGAAAGGCAAACTATTTGGACAGGAATTTTGGAGTGGATAGAGAAGGCGAGAAATTCGGACGCTCAGAAAATGACACGAAACGTACCATGCCAAGTCTCGGCCAACACCAAGGATGGAGAGCCAGAGTTGTAAGCTTGAGTAAAATTTTTACTACAAATTTTCTTCACAGTTTTTGTCTAGGCGAGCTGACGGCTGGCCTCAAAAACTGCTCATGCAGTTAATGCCAAAGCAACTTATTGGCAGTATTGGAGGGACTTACTTGAAAAACTCAAAGTCCGTGCTGTTCCACCCTCAGCCCTGTGACGCTCTAGAGGCTCTAACTAGGGTTATGAGTTCTGGATTTGTAAGTACAACCTATATCCTGAGATATAATTTTATTTTTGCGAATGATGAGTTTGAACGGATATTTGAAGTGGGTTTGAGGTCCCGGTTTTTAGCTGGTTGATCACCTTGCTAACTAATGGAAATAAAATCATTTCTGATTCAATTTATTCCTTCTCTTAAATTTTTAAAACAATCATTTTTTATTCTAAAGATTGCATGTTTTTATTTTACAGGCAGGCTGCGTACATTTCACAAGCCTTCCAACTCCAAGTGCCTGTGATATCAAAGTCCTCATTCTCCTCTATACTGCTGAGAAACGAGCATACCTAGGTTTCATTCCGAACGACCAAACGGCATTTGTAGATCGTCTTCGTAAAGTGATACAACATCAAAAGTCGACACAAGCCATCCGACAGGGTCAAGGAGTGCCTGGTCTTGGCCCAGTTGGACCAACACCAGGACTAGGACCAGGAATGGGACAAATGCAGAATCCAGTCCAGCAACAGCAGCAGCAACAACAACAACAACAGCAGCAGCAACAACAACAACAACAACAACAGCAGCAGCAACAACAACAGCAGCAGCAGGGCATGATGATGACTTCGCAAACCAATCCCATGGTTATGGGAGGTGTCCAACTGACACAGAATAATGTTCCTGGTCAGGTTGGACAGGTGCAACCACAGATGGCTGCCATGGGTCAGCAGAGACCACAGATGGGTGTCCAACCAGGTTTTGAGGTAAATAGGATTTTTTTACTTAAAATAATTATTTTAACATGAATTGAAATTTATTTCGAAGGGCGGTGAAATGGGTGCAGGTCAACAACCTGGAATGATTAGATCTCAGGGTATGATGGGTCAACCGGGCCAGCAGCCCGGAATGGTTGCCGAAGGAATGCCACAACCTGGCCAAGGGCAAATCAGAGGAATGCTTGGTCCGCAGCAGCAGCAAATTAGACCCCAGCTTCAGCAACAAGCGCAGCAGGCTGTAAACATGAATTTTATTATTTACTTTGCATATTTTATCTTATGATTCCCGTAAGAATAATCAGCAACAATTGGAAGAGGCTCGGCAGCAAAATTTACGGAAGATTCAGCAATTGCGGCACACCCTGGAGCAAGCGCAGCAACAAGAGCAGCAATACAGCCGCCAAATGATGATGGAGGTAAGTTTATTTGACTCCCGCGTATCTTGAGATTTAATTTTGATCTCAAAAGCAACAAGAGGAGCAGCAAAAGCAGTTACGAGCCCAACTGCAGCAAATGCAACAGAGACAGATCAATATGACCCAAGGCCAACCCATGCAACCCCAGGGCATGCCACAGCAGCCACAACAGCAAAGGATGATTCGACCCGGAACTCCTGCAATGACAAGCAACCCTGGACTGAGACACTTGCTCCAACAGGTAATTTAAATCCACCGTCGATAGGAGTTTCATCCATTCATTGGATATTTTTGTTGCGCACTTTTAGCAACCACAATACCGACAACAGCAACAAGGCATGGGAATGAACCCGATGGGAGTGCCTCGGCAAATAAATCCTCAGCAGCAGCAACAACAGCAACAACCAAACCAGCAATTTCCAGAGGATGCTTACGACTTTCTAGGCTAAGGGATACCTTAATGTGAGTACTAATATTTGTTCATTAATGATTTTGTAAATTATAACTGTGAGCTTTAAAACGGAACCTGTAGTTTTTGTATTGTTATTATTTTTTTTTTTTTAATTCAAAAAATAGCCCTCTGCTTTACTAGTTAATTTCGAACTAACAAAAAAATCAGTTGTTACAAAACATGATTCAATTAATCATGCTAAAACTTTTGATTGAGCATCGAGCAAACCATCGCGGTTCTGAAAAGCAATAAAAGGCCATGATAAATCTTGATGCGCCACCCTATTTTGAGCTTCGTATTCACACAGAGATTGCATGTTTTATTATTTTATTATTGGAATTGTCCCCGGGGCGTTGAATTTAAGGGCGCTGAGCTGCACGGCGCGAGGTGTTGCAAGGTGATTATGTCACCCCTACGCAGCCAGTCAAGAGTGTAATCCGAGCCGCTTTAATTCCTCCCCTTGCGTGCACATCTCCCAAACGCATCCCCCAGCCCTGCCTGCGCAGTACCTATTCCAGCAAATTCATAATGCACACTTCAGAATAACAAGCGTAGAAAAGTAAATCGTGGCTGGCACACATTATTACAGCACATCCAACCACGTTTCTCTCACATGCGCCCCATTCTTTTGTCCCAGGTCTTGAAATATTGTTATAAAAACCCAAAAACGTGTTTCCCTCGTCCTCTGATTTTTTTTACTCCAACTTCCTTTACTTGAAAAATATGTGTATTCTGCATTGCGCATTAAATTATGTTTTGTTTATTTTGAATTTTTACTGCATGTATTTTCTTTGCATCATAAAGCAGAAAATAACAAAATAGTTGTTGATGTCGCGAATGTCGCGATTCATTGCGCGCGCATAGCAGTCTCAAATTTATTCGCTGAATTGCAGATCCCACAGAACGCTTGCGAGTTGCGAGTTCAACCGTCTGGGTCCATCGTCATCTGAAACACATTTGCTGGAGCTCGTTCTTGTATTGCATTCAAAATTAGCCTCGGCTTTCAAAATGAAAATGTACATTTTCTTCTTGTAGTTTACGCCGCATGACTGAAAATATTTTCTCAGACAAATTGAATGATATTTTTTCTCCAAATTTTATTTGTTGACTTATCGTAATGCAAGACCAAAAGTGATTTGAAAAAATGAAGGCCAAGCTCAAAAATGAGGATCCATTAAGTCTCAATTTTTTTAATTTAATTCTTTTAAGCCCCCAATATAATGTAAAAATTTGATATATGCGTAAAAATAAAATTATAATAAAATAATTTAATAGTTTTGTTTGCTATTTATTCAGACTCACAATCATAAAATCCATAAATTGTCCGGCGATTTTATTATGTTTCCCACTCAATTGTACAAAAGACATACAAGCTGAAAGACCGGCATGAAAGGTGCAGGCGACAAAATAATGTAAAACGCGGCGACACAAAATGCGCCAGTTCGGCGTGAAAAGCGCAACCAAAGCGCATTGTTATTTTTATTTGGCGAGCACAATGCGCGCAACACAGATTGTAATCTGGTCCTCCCGACAGACCCTGCTCATTATGTCACTTCGACAACATGTTTACCTTGGCTGCTTCAGGCCCACCGTCAACACTGGAGTTGTTGACCTGTGAAAAGGGATCGCACCTTCTCACCGAGGCTTAACGCAAAGAGGGTTTCTCTTGCTTGCCTACCTCAAATACGTTCAAAACGGATTTCACCCTAAAAGGAGCATCTTGTATACTTCACTGGACATGTTTGCACAGGGCTAATCACTGAACTGCGGTGGCACATAATATGGTTCATCAAAAACTGCATGAATGCAAATCAATTTGTAAGAAAAAAAATCAAAGACTTCTTCATTCTTTCATTAAATTCAAATTTATTTTCAAATTAAAAAATAACAAAGAACATTTATAGATTTCTTTGCATTTTATCTTAAAATTTGTCTTGTCCGGTATCATTTTATCAAATTTGCTTAGCCGAGTGTGCGCTAAAATGCTGAAACAGTTTTGCCACCCTGGTGAATCAGTGTCAAATTTCGGTTCGAGGCGGGCTCGCAGAGTTTGACATTTGACTCCTGAAGCACCCTGCAACATCAAAAAGTAACCATGGTTACTGAGGCCTTTGTCGGCTCGGCCGGGGTTGGTTACGCACGCCAAGCTCCGCCTTTGTTTTGCAGATTGATGTTCTTTCGGTTCCTCCACATGCTGATGATTATCTTCAAATATACCTTGAATTTTCCTATAATTATATAATAGAAATGTTGATTAGGGGCGCTACATAATTATGCCCTAATTTGGAAATTTTTGCAAGCTAAATTTTAGTCTTCAAACCGAATGAATCAATGATTTTGTTGACTTGTATTTCATCAGCAATTTTATCAAAATTCCTATTTAATCATGAAAGTTATATTATTAAATTACAATTTTCTTATTGTTTATGGTTTTATAGGTTTCATTGTGAAATTACGCAGAAAAATTTAAAAAAAAAAAAAATAAAAGAAGATGACTCATGAATCAAAATTTGGTTTTGTCGCTTCGCAGCATGACGCTCATTTACTTCAACCCTTGCACCGTATTATGGACTTGCATGTACAGCGATTAATTACGAGAGCCCCTATCGAGATCGCATCTAGACAGCGGCAAGTCACGCCAAATTATAAAAACACGTGCACAATGCCCCGGCTAACAAGGCGCACCCCCCTGGCGGAACAAGTGGCTGATCTCCAATTATCCGTAATTAATAAAACAACTACACGTGTGCGGAAATAATACAGGTAATTACAGGAGGGCGCACAGGAGTTGTTACAATATGTAGGAATAAAGTTGAACCCCCGATGGTGCGTTCATAAACTCTGCTAGCAAATTCACACTATATTCAATATAGAATCATCTAAAGTTGTGGTATTTTTCAAAGTTTTTCAAAGACTATACCTGAAAGAAATTTGTAAATAAATAATTGGCTATTTTTCAAAAACAAAAGCGAACGGTGTTTGATTTTTTTTTTATATCTGTTTTGGAAACAAAAATAATAGCTTGGAGTTGAAGCAACGTAAAATTAATGAAATTCAAATATTAATTAAATCATCCCTCTAACAACATTATTTGCGGCTGCACAATATTTATTTTTACTCATTTATTAATTTAAAAATGCATTTATTTTACTATTAAAGTTCACAATATTCATTCATTTGCTTTTTAACTAAATATATTCAAAATTTCTCTCTTATTTGTTATTTCTACAGCTGATCCATATTATTATTTGCTGCACATTGAATTTTAAGCAATATTTTTGCTTAAACCACCGTAATTTGCTATATCTTCTGCAATGTTTCACCATCCTCGGCCAGAGTCGCAACAAGTATGTAGGATTTGGTTTCATACGCCAATTACCTTGATTGCATTTTCCAATTATTATTACCCGCAAGCTTGTCTCTGGTTTTATATTTTATCCGAGGATGCAATTAACTTGCGGTCTGCCTGCGTGCCATCTGCGTTGTTAGCATTTTCTCTCAATTAAGGCGCCCCGAGAGCCACCCTCTGCATAGTGCACCCCCCGATTCGTCTCATTTGCGACCTCCGTGGGCTAATGTGTGCACTGCACTGCTTGCTCGTAATCAGATACAGTTATGAAAAATGAAAAAGCCGCACCAACGGAAAGTGATACTTCAAAATTTGTGGTCCTCCAGAGCATTTATTTTGTCTACTTAGGCGCCTCTTGACGTTCGCGACACACTGCAGTTGTCGCGCGGGGGACGGATTTTCGTCTTGCAAAGGATATGCACGTGCAAGAACGTTCCTCTCTGCTCTTTGTAAATGTCAACCGAGATTTTTTTCTTTAAATTTTGATTTATATTTGCGGCACACCCTTCGTCTTATTTATAATAATCACCAAACGGATGCATGCACACAATTTTAAAATAAATGTTAAGCGAAAGTAAAATTTTAAATAAACAAAAGAAATACATTTAGGAAGTAAGACAATATCTCAAGACTAATCATTTATTTCTGTGCTACTTTATTTCTATTCCTCAATATTCCATAAAAATTCAAAAGTATATTTTATGTAAATTTCAAGATTGTTTTTTGTTATGTTCCTATTGATTTATTTTAATTAATCAAATTTGTTATTGAATTTATGGATAATGTCTTTGGGTATTCAAATTCATAGATTTTCAAGATAAATTATTTGTTTAGATTAATAATATGACTATTTATTATTCTCAGTCAGTGGAAATATTTGAAATTAAATAATACTAGCATTGACTCAATTGAAAATTAATTCTTTATTAAGCTATATAATTGAATCTTTAATTTCTTCACTTGTTTTAAAATTTAATTGATAAAAGGAAATTTTGTTCAAAATAGTAAAAAAAAACTCCCTTGAAATCATATTGGGAAAAAATTTAAAAATAAAAGTAGAATTTTAAGAGTTTAGCGTGTATAGCAAAAATTTAATTGCACGCAAGTTTTGAGAAAATCAAAATATAATTGCGGTCATACAAGTTCATTTATGTACAAAACGGTCGCGGTGGCGAGGGATGCTCAGATGCTCCTCTTGGCGGCGCCGGCCAATCAGATCGCGCTCCACTGCGCGCCCGTCGCTCTTCTCCCCAACACGCGACCGGCGCTGGCAGGGAAAAGGCAGTCTTTCTTCAGCGGCTCATGGATTTGGAACTGAGGAACGACCCGTCGCCCTCCGACCCTTACCAGGGCGGCAGGGTCTCGAAAAGGGAGGCCAAATCGCCCATAGCCCTCACCGTCAACAGCCAACTCCAGTTTTCTTCTGATCAGGTAAAATAAAATTATTGAAATAATAAGGAAATTCCTTAAATTCCAATGTTATTGGATTTTTAATACGCACAACTGGAAGAAATAATTTTATACACGTTGACATACTTATAACATATTTTGTTTACAAACTTTACACAAATTCTACTGAATGCGGATTTAAAATTTTAGTGCTTGCGGTCGATTGTTTCTCAAAGTATAATTTTATTATGCTGCGTTGGTAAAAGGGCACTCAAAATATGAGATTATAATATTTCCTAGGAGCAGGAGCAAAATGCTGACAACGAAATTTTTTGTTATACTGTAAGAAGTGCAAAACTTTTCTCAAACGAGGAAAGTGCTGATTTAAAATTTTTGATGATAAACCGAGAAATTACTAGAATTTACAGTTGGATGCCTTTTTGAGAGAAATCAATTACAAACCTATACCTTCAATTAAATCTTTATTTAGATTTCTCAATATTTTTAAACAATCAGGGACGTGGATAAAAGCTTTTCAATTTTTTTTTATGCGCGAGCTTAAAATAATTATTGTATTTTGCAAGCATCAGCAAGCATTAAAATCATGCAATAATTTTGAGTCAAACGTCACACAACTTCAAATCAAGTGATAATTCGTTTTTGTACTAAAAATTATATATAAATTGATTTTTGATAGCAAAACTGCCGCCAAATTTTCTTTTATTTTTTTAATTGAAAATAAAGCTTTAAATGTAATTTTATATTTTGTTTTCAAGTACCAAAACAATTCAAACGGAAGCCAACTCTATTTTTCTCCTTTGTTTTTATAACCATTTTGGAGAAATTGCTAAATTTGAACGCGCTTCGTCTTCATCTTATACTTTTGCATTATGTTACCAAAATTAAATTTAATTCGTTTTTCAAAGCAATTAAAAATCATCATAAGATTTTCCAAAAACTGACTGTTTGAAGGTCAGAATTAAATCAAATCCTTAACATTTTGAAACAAATTACTATTCCGAATCATTTCTGAAAAATTGCTTTTTCCTAAATGATAACAAACGTCTTTTTTGTACTAAAACAGATCGCGTGTATTTGCGAGGCTCTTCAGCAAGCTGGCGACACAAGCAAACTGACCAGTTTCCTGTGGTCACTTCCTCCAACCGAGCTCCTCCGCGGCCACGAGGCAGTGCTCCGAGCCAGGGCGTGCGTCGCCTTCCACAGGGAGGCTTTCCAGGAGCTCTACGCGGTGCTTGAATCATTCTCCTTCAGCACCAGATACCATGGCGAGCTGCAGCAGTTGTGGTTCAGGGCGCACTACAGAGAAGCGGAAAAGGTAAGACCAAATTTTGATTTTTATTTTGTAAAATACATTATTTCTATTTGCGGTTCTTTGCAATATTATTTAATTTTTGATGCAGTTGGTTTACTTAGATAAATATTATTTGATTAATTGAAAAATCTTGTTGGCTAAAAATCTGGAATTTACCTTTTAATATATGGACATTGTCAGATTCCACATATGAATACATACAAGAATTTTATTTCTGAAAAGAAGAATATATTCATAACATTAAAAATTGAATCTACGCCTTTTGGAAACTATCTAAAAATATACACTTATTTTTTTACTCGAAATACGCGGGGCAAAGAGTTAATTTTTTTCATAAATCACTATTTTATAACCTATTTATTTATTTATTTATTCTCCATTCATGGTACATACAACGCAAAAAAAGTACACTGTACATAAAAAGCGAATCATGCATCGACATAAAAAAGTACAAATATACAAAAAATGCCAAAAATGCAGGAGTAAAAAATTTATGTATATAAATTCCCATGTAAAATTTTATGTTAGAATTAGGGTTCCTTGCTCGCGCAGACCTATAACTCCATTAAACTTGCGATTTTGCCGGATTTGCTAAATATTCCAAATAAATAATTTACCTTTCATTAAAAAAATAACACAAGACATAAAAGCGCTCAACAATTAAAAATCATACGGTACTTAACCTTAAACATTTGGATTTTATGGGAAAAGTTTAAGTTAAAACTTCCTGCATATTATTCCTTAGATAAAAATTCTGAAACATTAACAAATTAAAATAATAGAATTAATTTTTTTATGTTCTTTTATGATCAAAGAATTGAAAATTTTCTAAATACAAAATTCCGCAAAAAATCATTTTTCCCCATTGATAATGGTTAAGCAGCTCAAACCCAGTCATCAATGTGAATACAAAATTTGCTATTTATAATTTTTTTATGTAATTATTCTATAAATATTAAAACTTTTGATTTCTTTTTTCTACTATGCATTATTAGCAAACGTAATATATACTTTTTTAAATAATATTAAGTCGGAATTCTTACGCAAGCTGCAAGCTTGTATAAGAAATTAAACATTTTTTTGCTAATCATTATTATTTTAACTGTCAATCAAACACATAAAAAACATTGTTCTTTGTTTGTTGCCAGATCCGAGGGCGGCCTCTCGGTGCTGTGGACAAGTATCGGCTGCGTAAAAAATTCCCTCTTCCTAAGACGATTTGGGATGGTGAAGAAACGGTTTACTGCTTCAAAGAACGGTCAAGGACTGCCCTGAAGGAGTGTTACATGGGGAACAGGTACCCCACACCTGACGAGAAGAGAGCCCTGGCCAGAAGGACTGGACTCACCCTGACGCAGGTCAGCAACTGGTTTAAGAACAGGCGGCAGCGCGACCGGACGCCCCAAACGCCGCCGTCCCACCATCCTGCTTCCAGAGGGTGAGGAAAATAATGTTTACCTTGCCATAGATTTGATAGATTATTTATTTTTGTTATTACTAAAAAAAATATACTAATTTAATGATTTCCTTCAAACTATAGTTTATTTATATTTATGGTGGATTGAATTTAAATTCGGCTTTCCTCGATGGGTTTTTTTGAGTTTTTATTGTTTAAGAAAAACAATATCCTGCTCTTTTCTTAAACAATAAAAACTCAAAAAAACCCATCGAGGAAAGCCGAATTTAAATTCAATCCACCATGAATCAACCCTCGATCGTGAACTTCTACTACAAAATTTATTTATATTCATTGGGCGCCTCAATTGTGGAATATAACTATGAAGTTATGCAACAATCTCGACACGAATGTAGTATATTTTGCCTATCTTTAATTTTGCAGGCGATTTCTTTTCTATTTCAGTTTAGTGCAAACTATTTTTGATATTAGTTCAAATGCGTGACAAAATTAAAATTACGCATAGCGTAATTAAATCAATATTTAAAAAAATTTGGAATTAAAAATAAAAATACTGCATTTTTTCATCAAAATATTACCAGGCAGCAATGTGCTTATTTAAGCTAATTATTTTACCGCGTCGAATGCTGTAAAAGCGTGCAAATGAATTAAACGAGCATAGCCGCATCCGATTGTGCTCCGTGTTGGTGCAGAAAACCAGGGAGGCGAGGGGTGCCATTTTGCAGGGTCGGGTTACAAGATATCAAGTTGAGTAGAGGGGATAATAAAAAAGGTTGTTGCTTAGCAACTATGACATCCTCTGACAATCACGCCAGCAAATCAGAAAATACGTCATCTCCCAGCAGTTATCAAATTCTAAAAAAAACTTGCTGAGTGTGAAATATGAAAAGGAAAATCGTAAGAAGACGACATGAGCACATAGTTTTTTTTCCGAGCTGCGCAGATGTTCCGAGAACACTCGTGTGTTTTTATCATCGTTTCTGCAGGCGTTAATTTTTCACCATTGAGAATTACAGTAAAAATTTATTTATTTATAAAAATAAATGCTTATAAAATGTAAACAATAATACATTCTTGCATATTCGTGTTTAAAAACGCTCGTTTTTTTTGTAGATAAAATTTCACACGATTTCTTAGATACTTTTCAAGAATGAACTTTAGTACTTATGTATTATGTACTTAATAAATTTTATACGTTTTTGAAGTTTCACTTTGGATGTAAATTTTTAAATTTTGTAAGCAATAATTTATATTATAACACATTTAAATCAAAGTTTTTCCCGCATTTTCAATTAAAACCACGTTCAATTTATCATGGCACAAAGAAATTACTAGATATACACACAAGTACAGTGACAAAATGAACAAAATCTTACAATTCATCATTGTGAACTTCAATTCTAAATTTTTTAAATCTGCTGGATAATAATTTAAAATTTTTGAAAAAAAAAACCTTAATTTCCATTTTCAATGATATATTATAATAAAAGAATGTGTACTTTATTTAACTTTGAAAATGAATCTCCATTATGCGGCGCAAGTTGACCTTTACTTCCAATTTGAATGTTGCAGTGATATTCTTCCTGGTGAAGGTTTGCCGCACCTAGTTCAGCACTCAAGCGTCGCGGCGACGATGGCCGCCGTCGCCGCCGACTTCCTTCACCACGAGTACGAACGCATGAAAAGTGAAGTGAAAAACGAACCTGACTTGCCTTTTCCACTTTCCCACTTTCCTCCGCACCACTTCGACCTGCCGCTCTGACCCTGTGAGTAGTTTTTCTTGAATCTCTTTGGAATCACAACAGTCAGCAAAAAGTGCATAGGTTCAAATATCAGCATTTATTATACTTAATATTATGTCTACGAAAATTATGAAAAGAAAAATGGAATTATCTTCTGATTGCTCTCAAATTTGTCGTCAATCTTTGAAGTAATCATTTGTGAGATTAATATTGCAAAATAAATTTAATGATTATCTTGTTTAGAGAAAAATTAACTTTTTATTTACTTAAAGAAAACACAAAGAAATCAAATCGCACATTAAAAACAAAATTATTTTAGAAATATTTGTGTTTGTAGCTTTTAATTTAAAGATTCAAGAGTTTTGTTGGAGTCGATATTTTGGTTTTTATTCGTGTCATAACGTTTTTACACTACATCAATTTCAACTCTGATTTAGAAGGATACAATTTAGCCACGTTCACAGTAAAGAAATTTTAAAACAAATCATATGGTGCCGAAATACATTTATGAAGTCACACTGAGATGAAAAACGGCATCCTTTCATAACGTATTTTATCTGGAAAAATTTTTCCTCTTTTAACAGCATTTGTATTTCATTCCTTTTTTATTAAGTACATATGTGCTGCAGGATTACGGCATATTTTTGCCAACAGATATGCATAAAGTCGTTATTCAATAACGAGGAGTGCGTATGAAGGAGCAGCAAAGTTACGGAAACAATCGTATTCATTGATAATGTTTATTTATATAATCAGAGTAAATATACACGCAGTTAAATATATTTATATGCATGTCAACACGTCGTAAATGTAACTATACTTTGGAAGACTTTGAAACCACCTGTTTTGTTGAACCAAACACGGAGCTGCGCATTTTGGAACCGCAAAACGCGTTTTTTTTCTAGCGAATACACAACACGAGATATAAGTTGACTAGCATTTTCCCTAAATGTTTCCCTGGCACGGTGAATAATCTGTCGCCGCGTACCATTTCCTCTTTTTTTCAGAGCACGCCACATAACTCGCCGATTTGGAGTAAAAGCACCACAATTCACTTTTGGTTAGACTTCTTCGTACATTGATTTTATAATTTTTAATAGAGAATTTTAATCTCCAGAAAAATGGTGCGCGAAGTTAGAGCAAGTGTGCTGACGAAAAGTGCGAATTTTATTTTTGCCGGTGTGGAATGTGATAGAGATGGAACTTTGTTAAAAAAGTTTTTGCAACATCGCACGGAATAGTGTATGTATTATACATCGACGATTGATTTAAGAGTATAGCAATAACTCGTGATATAATACGGAATTTCATTTTATTATTTACACTTTTTTTGCTCGGCATTCTTATGATGCTCCGCGATCATGTTTTCACAGTAATTATATTTAATTGTACCTATAGTTGTATATGGATCGTAATTGAACAGAGTCGACACTCTGACGATTGAAAAAATTCAAAATGCTGTTAGAGATCAACAGAAAAATTACATTACATTGTCAACATTGTGGCATTCTCAAGACGCTCAAGTGCACTATTTTCGGCAAAAGCGCACATGATTGGTACACAAGTCTGGCGCTTATTAAATCACGAACGTCTTTTCTTTAAGTCCGCCGTTTCTGCATAGACTGTATTGCTCATCGCTCTTCAAAATGCAACTCAAATCTCTAAGCTGTATCTAGCAAAGAAACGATCGACATATACATAAAATAGTGCACACTTCCACTGATTCTAATATGAAAAAATCATCCGCGTTAAAAAAATCTTGCGTGCACCACTTAAATTTCTCACTCAAATCAAGGAACTTGCTAAATGGTGGTTGGCTGTTTGCTTTTTAATTAAATTTAACAATCTATAAATCTCACTCATATCAAATATTAATTAGCAAGCTCCTCTTTGGAAATTCAACCTCGTTCTTACCCAAAAGCAGCAGAAGGACGTTAAAGAAATTGTTTAAATTAAAATTGGCCGCTCTGCTGCAAAGGCTTAAAAATGGAAAATTGCAAACACAGCTCTTTGTGGTGTTTTTTTACTCAACATTGTCATACTGAACCTTCTTGATTTTAATATAGCGGTACACACCATACCCTGCTACCGTCAGCAGGGTCACCACTGCCAGGGTTGTACCCACCGCCAAAGGGGCCCGCTCGTCTCGATATGATTTTGCACCAGGTTGACAGATGAATTCTGAAATTTTAATTCATATTTTTCCCGTTTATATATTCTGAATGTATTATGTATACCTGGCCCAAAATCATCGCCTTTGAAAATGAAGGGCTGGATTTTCAGATCTCTCAGCAGAATCGAGGCGGAGATATCTTTGCCACCCTCGAGTTGGATGGTCTCTTCCTCATTGCACTCGTACGCCTTCCCAACTGGGGTTGGGAAAAGTCCTACCTTGGCCGGAGTTGACAACCTCACAGCTCGGCCTAAATGAATAATTTTATAATTAGTGTCGTTAGAAAATTGAAAGTGGTGCACGTAAAATAAATTATGCCAATACAATATTTTAATTCTAAATTGCAAGAATGAACCTTACCTGGCTTAGGGTAATGCTCGAATTTCTTTTCAGAGGTGTTGAACTTCACTTCCAGCCTGTCCAAATACCATCTCTCACCTCCAGGTGTCTATAGAAATTGATGATATTTTTACTTTAAATAAATACATGTAATTTGTATAAATATAATCACCTTCATGAAGAACCAATTCAGAATGTAAGACTTCCATCTCATGGTGAGCAGGGATGAGTCCTCTAAATGGCAATGCCCAGACACAGTCACTTCATTCGGAAGATAAACGTCAGTTTCCTGAATGTTGGTCAATTAAAAATCTATGAACTTCAGCAGAAAGACTGCCAAATTACCGTTTTCTCTTTTATTTTATCAACATAAGTAAAGGTGAGAAGTCCGTCAGTTCTAATTAGGGTGCATACAGTGCCGTCTTTGGCATACTGCCTGTATATGGCTGTGCCGCCCTCAGGCACGGCAGTCGGCGTGGAGCCAGTGACGGCTGAAGATAATTAGTATATATGAGAACAATTAATTTTGAAGTGATGTTAAAATGTTAGTAGTTTATTTTCAGAAAATTACCTGAGGTCTTGAGGTTCTGGTTTTGGGATCTGAAGAATGATACCTTATCGCTCCCAGAAGACTATAAAAGAAAGAGTAAAAAATTAGTTTTGGTAATTTTACCCTCATAATTTATATAAATCCTCTTTTTTTCAATGTATACAATTAAATGAAAATATATAAAACAGAAGAGTATACGCTCATCTGTATTGTAATTTAAAGGGCGATCAATAAAATGAGGCGCTTGAAACATATGTGTTGTGCTTGAAAGTATTCTTGCTCTCAATAAAATTTACAAGAAAACAAAAAATCTCTGACACTGGAGCAAAAATTTGCAACTTTGGCTGTTAAAAATTTATATAATCAAAATAAGAGGCTGCAATTAAAAGGAATTAATATTTTTTAAAGTAGGTTGTACCTGTTGTTTGTCAGTGGTGACTGGTTCTGCCGGACTCGGGGCGACTTTCTGTTGCGCCACAGCGACTCCTGCAATAGTCAGCAAGGTTCAGGCGATACTCGTAGAGAAAAAAGGGGTTCAAGAGGCTCAAATCTTACCTATGGCGAGCAGGAGCAGGAGCGAACATGCCGCGGTGTGCTCCATCTTATGCTGCTGACTGGGAAAGAGTCGTCAATGGCAGAAAGAGAAAATCGATTTTCCAGACAAACCCACGCGCGCCTGACTAAAGTGGACCGAGCGGGGGTGGAGGCAGCGCACCGTTTATTCGCCCGCACAAATGCGCTGCAGACAGATGCATATGTCGTGTTACGTAAACCGCAGCAGTGAGGAAAGGTCAAAGTGGAATTAAATACACCCACCCTCTCAATCTACCTTTCAACTTTCCACTAAAGTTAACGTGGCTACTGCAGAATATTAAATTCCCAAGAGCCTACTTTGAAATGACGAAGGTGTGCTTGACCTTTTTTATGCAATTTTTTTTCTCCAGCATCGTTACGACCAAAGCGCTTGAAGCCTATATCAATTAGTGTTTATATTTATATTTTTTAATTTCATTTACGTAGCCCAAAGGAATCAAAATAAATCCGTTTCCCTACAATGGATGAATAAGAGTTGAAAAGGAAAAGAAATCTATTTTCTTTCATATAATCTGGTGTATTCTGTACAAATATACATTTGTTGATCAAAACTTGCAATTCGGCTAGGGTGAAGAGTTCCAAAAGTTGCACAGACAATTGAGAGTAAAATTTGGCCACTTCTCTACGCTTCTTAAATTGTAATTTGCGCAAGTAAAAAAATTAACAAACTGAGAGTTTCTAAGCACTACATTGGAAAAAGATGAAGCCACAAATTTCAAATTTGTTGAAATTTTATTGAGTTGCTGGACCGATGCCTCTCGGAAGCGGAAAATATGACAATGCGTTTCTGATCGCGTCTATTTAGCGTTCGGGTCGCCAAAGGGCGCATTTGAGAGGTCCCTGGCAGAATGAGTCAGTCAGCTGCACTTGAGATCAGTTGAGCTCCCTGTCCTCTAAGTACTTGTACTCAAATGTGAAGCCCTCCTTTTTTCGCTGACCCCACTTCTCATAGTCAAAATAGATGTACGTGCCCTGAGAACCAAAGAGATTTTATCATTAATTTGACCCTCACATTGAATAAAAAATCCAATTACCTGCTCGTACTCTTCATTGATGATCTTCGGCTCCTCGTGGCGCTGGAACCACATCATGTACTTTGTGTGGAATCGCCAACTCTGCTTCTTGAGCGCTTTAGCTGCCAGGTATTGCGCTTTCGTGCCTTCCATGTAGTAAAACACAAAGAACAAAGACTCGGTGGCCAGCCGCTGGAAAAACTCAACGGTGTCCGAATGCAGCAGCAAAGTCTGCTGAAGAAATTTCACCTATTTTTTTATTTTATCTAACATCGAAAACGTGAGAGTACTTGCCTGGGGATAATAAAGAGGAAGCGGACAGGGGTTCCTAGGGAGGTAGGATCGAAGCTTTTCCGAGTCCGACGGATGTGGCAGGTGGAAGTAGGCAGCCTCAAGCATTTGCAGCTGGAACTGGTGCTCGCGCTGAAGGGGCGCTGGACCCAACGGCGCTACTCCGAGCAATGGAGGGATGTGTGCTTCCGAAGGTGCCGGCGCCGGACTTTCAATTCCTGTCTCGAACGTGGGCGCCACCTCTAGTGCTGCCACTGCTTGTTGTGCCATGTTTTTCAAGGACGCTGCCTCTTTAATCGTGGGACCATTGGTGGCTGCTTTGCTGACTCCAATTTCTCTCACTGGTCCTGACGGAGGAGGAGGCAAGGGCGACGAACTCACTGGCGTCACAGAGCCAGTGGAAATGCTGCCCGAAACCATCTGCAAAATTCAAGGAAAATAATTTAATATTATAATTTGACAAAATTAGATATTAGATTTATTTTCGTAATTATTTATATAATCAAAAATTTAATCCGAGTGATTGAATTTATTGTGTCGTGTGTCGTGTGCCAATAAAAAAAATTATTCTAAAACATTGAAAAAAATTGTATAATATGTTAAATTTAAAATAAAGAAATTAAATAAATACTCATGAAATTAACCAAAAAAGTCTCACTAGGTCTGGAATTTTTAACTCAAATAAACCATGCTTTAATGACCACTAGCATGTGTAGAATTATTTGTATTATTTAAATATATCAAAATCATATTGGTATATAATAGGGCACAAAAACAACGCAGTTGTCATATAGTAAAATAAAAAAAATTATGTGCATTTACTTAAAAATTAATTTATAGTGCATTTTGAACTTACTGTATTTGTGGGAACTGGAGGGTGGGGAATAGCAACAGGCGAGGGAACAGCCACTAGTGCAGCAGGGAGAGGCACAGCCACAGGCGCAACTGGAGGCGCAGAAGGTGGGTTCGAGGGACCATTGCTCTGCACACTCCACATTGGATTGCTCGCATTCTCCGTAACTGCCCCTACAAAATTTGTTTCTTCTTCGGAAGGCAATTGAAACAAACAAAAATTAAAACCAACGCAGGCAAGCTTAAAAAAATTTAATACCAGCAGGTTGCTTTGGTGGTTGGGGCGTAGTGGACGCTGGCGGGCCACCGCCTGCGACGGCAGCAAAGTTGCTGACGGCACTGAGGTGATTGAGGAGAACGCCAGGCGCAGGAGGCTTCGGGGTCGGTTTGGTTGTGGCAGCTGAGGCTGCGCGAACGGCAGTAGGTCGGAGGGGCTCCACCTTGGGAGCACCCCCCGAAGGAACCCTCTTGCGCCCCTCGTCAGACTCGCTGCTGGAATGGTTCGAGTTGGAAGCTGGTCGCCCACTGAGCGGGGGCGGCGATCCCGGAGGCGGCACTGGCGAACTTCCACTGACCATACTGGTGGGCGAGGCGCCGTCATTGCTGTCAGTCCCAGGCAAGTTAATCTGCTTAACGAAAATTTGTCGTTACAACCACGTCCTGCCTGACTTCATATTGTGGCATTGATAGACTACAAAGCAATTAGGCTGTGCCGTTAAACACACCCCTCGGCAGAAAACTATGGTTTTTAAATTTTTGATATTTCCGATATCATACGAAATTTTAGTTTTGAATACAAATACGACTCTCTTGATATCAACATAATAAAGATTTGAAAATTTTTGGTCTTATTTTTTTTTTTAAATAACATTAAAATTTAAATGCTATATTAATATCAAAAACTTAAATTGCCATAATTTCCTACCAATTGATTTGTTTCGCTTCTACCAAGCATTTAAAAATGCTCTCTAAGAGACTCTAATGAATTTCAGTCCGTAAAGAAAGAAGAACCCAAAGATAAGAGGAAGGGCACAAACAGGCAAGGAAAAAAGATAAAAAGCCTGTTTGGGACTGACCCCCGAGAGCTCCACCTCATCCAGTCCAGTGATATCATCGTAAATGAACTCGTTGTCCTCAAAGTCAGGATCCGACGCAGAATCGATGTAATACTCTATGTCATCTTTGATCTTCTTGATCTGGCTAACCAATGAATTCTGCAAAGGCTGTGAAAAAAATAAACATTACGATTAAATAATTTCTCTCTATAGCTTGATCTACCTGTCCTCCTTCTAAAGACATATTATCAAGCATTCTGAGTAACGTCTCAAGCTTTCTAATATGATTTCGATGCTTGTCTAACCGGAACTTTAATTCATCAATTCGATCTTGCTTCTCTTTGTCCAGCCTTTTCTTTTTCCCCGCTTGCATTGACTCAATTTCAGACTCGAATGTGTCCAACTGAGGAAAGGAAGGAAAGATGAGAAAAATTTTGTGGGGTTAAAATTGACTCGAACCTGGAGATTGAGAGTGTCGATGGCCGAGGCGAGCCAAACAGACATTTCTTCACGCTCCTTCTGGGCAGGGTCAAGTTTCTGGGCTGCGCCCAGACCCTCCTTAGAGTAGGCCTTAGTCTTGGTCTCTCGCTCAACCACCTTGAAGCGCTCCATCTGCGTCTCGATGAGTTTCCGGTGCTCGAGAAGGGCCGTCTTGTCCTTAATCTCTCCGGAGGCGATCCATGACTTGATCTGGTCGCGCAGCCGTTGCAGCTTTTTGATCTCTTTCTTGAGGTCAGCCTCATACTTTTCCTTCTGGTTGCTGTTGGTCGCATTGTGCACCTTCTGCCAGGTGTCTTCGAACGTCTCCACCCCCTCGGACACCTTCTTCAGGCAGCGTTCAATTTCCCCTGCGAATAACAACAATAGAGGTCAACGTCAAACTCTCGGCCGGAACCAGACAGCACCGCGGACTGCTCTCACGCGGACTCACCTTGTAGCTTTCTGGTGGCCGCCATCGCTACGCCTTCCGGTTGTGCATAGTCTCAACAGATTCGCTAATTTCGACCCAAGCTCAAACTCAAAACAATGCGCTAAAAATCACAGAAACATCCAAACAGTGATAAGGGACAACTCAATAGTCGCTATTATTATGGCGATGTTGGAGGGCGATGGGGGTTAGAGCAGATGTCGCTTTACTACACCGCCGGGTGGCAGCACCGTCCTACAAGCGGCGTAAAAAAGAGGGTGAATGAGGGGAAAACTTATTTGCACTGATTTGCAAAAAGGTGCTAATATTTTTAATATTCATTTATTTTTATCGATTGATTTTTATCAAACTGAATTTCTCCTAGAAAGCATTTTTAAACTCATAATTTAGAAAATCCCAAATCTTAATTTTGAGAAAAATTAAAAAATCGAGTTTTCCGTGCAAATAGCAGGTCGGCTGCAATTCGCAAGCTGGGAATGACGTATTCCACATGGTGGGATGGTGGCCGTCGACTGTCAACAAACCCTTCTATCGGACGGCATTAATTAAAGTGTCGGCACGAAAAGGACTTGGCACGGTTTTCGCACCAGAGGCCGCGCTGAAACTTTTGGTTAGTATTTTATCGATAGTTCCAAATATTTCGCCGTTCGTGTTTTGCACGCAGCCGGTTTTTTCCTATTTCTCAACAAAACCACGGGACAATTTCCTTTCCGCCCCTGCTGCAGCCCTCTCTGCCTCTCTAAATGCCCTCGAGTTAGGCAAGCAGTGTCACACCAGGGAAAATCCACTTACAACAAATTTGTCGCGTTAATTGAGTTAAGCGATCGATTTTAGCAGTGGGCAAATTCGCACTCGTCCGCGAGACGAGCACGTTTTTTCAGACAGTACGTGTGCTCGGCACGTTTTTCGACTAAAGTTCATTGGACGGAAAACAGAGTCAGTGCACCGATTTTTCGATATTTGCAACTGTCAGCAGTCGTGTGCGTGGCAGCTTCTTCTAGATTCGTACAGACGAAGACGGAAGAAGGATCTGGTGATTTAAATTTATTACGCTTCACATTCATAGGGGTGACACACACGGGTGCGCACGTTTGCAATAGAGACATCGCGTGTCCTCTTTTCGTCCAATTCGTCGTACACATCAAGAAAGCCCAAATATTACCAAATAATTTAACAACTTAATTTATATTTATACACTTTGATACACTTGATAAATATTTTTTAACAAAACAAATTCCAAGATAAAATTACGGTTGAGACTAAATATTTAGTTTTTAAACTGACGTACAAAAGATAAAACTGTTTGACAGCCAAAAACGGGAAAAGATTAAATAATTCATTTTGGGTCAATTTGGAGTGACAAAATAATTTTAATAAAATAATAAGTTTGTTGTCACAGAAAAAAAACTGATCTCCTTGAAGTTGCCAATCGCCACTCCTGATCATCATAGTCAATGATTGATTTTATCTTGAAAAAAATATAATAATTTAGGTCTCTATATCTGCTTTTTTATTTCCTTACCTTTGAAATGTTTTACAAATATTTTTGTTTTTAAAAACGTCTCATCTCTGAGCTACACGTAAATAAACACATTGGGTTCAAAGTAACGAAAATAAAAAATAATTGCACAACTGTTTTGTATTAAATAACAACATATTTTACGCAACAGTTTTTATGAGTTCCTTGATTTTCAATAAAAATTGCTTCACATATTACATAAATTAATAAAAAACTAATCCCCAAAGTGCATCATTTTTACCAATTCCAGACACGCAGTCATGCCCCCTAGAGAAATCTCAAAATTGACCGGCGCAGGAAAAAAATCGGGAAAAATGATAAATACCATTCTCATCCCGCGCCGCTCGTCAATCTCAATTCCTAGCGAGAGTCGTCAGTTTGTTGCAGACACAGTAAGAAAGCATGAGTAGCTTCCGAGTCCTGGTAATCTGCGGCCCGTCCGGCGCCGGCAAGTCGACGCTCGTCACCCGCCTCATGTCCGAGTTCACCGAGGCGTTTGGTTTCAGCGTTTCGCACACGACACGCAAGCCGAGACCTGGCGAAAAGGACGGCGTGCACTACCACTATGTCTCCCTGGAGGAAATGCAGGCCGCCGTCCAGCGTGGCGAGTTCCTCGAGTCTGCCACCTTTTCCGGCAACATGTATGGCACAAGGTCTGTATTTGAAGAAAAAAGAAGAGTAATTAAATTTATCACAACAAATTATTCAAAGTGCACAAATTTATTATTTTATTAACATAATTAATCATAATTATCTAGAAAGTAAGAAAATAATAGAATTTTTTTATCTTTTCCACATCTATTATCATTAAGGCCAAAACATAATCTTAACCTAGATTCAAGATTGTTTGTAACAACAGCTAAAAATTTTGCATTTAAAATTATTTAAAAACTTCCGTTTTGTCTTTAATAATATCAGATTTAATATTTAAACCGATTTAAACTTTGATTTTACTTCCTGCTCTCCAACAATATGGAATAAAGGTCAAACTTTTTTTATAAAATAAGATAATTTGTGGCTTGAGGGGTCAACGTAGCCTTCATAGGGCAATAGCTCCAACCGGGTTAGGCTATTGAATCTCTCTGTTAACTTTGATTCATTTTTAATATTCATCTGTATAGTCTATAGCCTATTTATACATTTTGCAACATTCAGAGAGTCAAGAAAAGAGCATTTTTCCTCCGCCACAATTTTCTTCGCGTTTATTATATAAATTTTGTCCTTTTAAGGAGCCATATTTTTTAGGAGTTTTACTTAAATGAAGAAATTGAAACTCAAGGAGACGATTATTGAAGTGAAGAAAAAACGGTTTTGCCCTCATTGAATAATTTTTTTACTAAAAAACGAACGGCTCTAAAAGTTTCCATCAGAGACCGTGACCGAAACTGGTAGCGCTGTTTGTGTTCTAATAAAGAAAATTTTTTTTATCGAGGACAAATCCAGTTTTCTTCACTTTTAGTAAAGTTTGGCTATTTTTTGTTGTTGTTGCAGCAAGAGGTCAGTTGAAGACGTGATCAGGCGAGGTCGAATCTGCATTCTGGACATCGATGTGCAGGGGGTGCGGCAAATAAAACAGGTTCCCGACTTCCGGGCCCTGTACGTCTTTGTGAAGCCGCCGTCGCTGGAGGCGCTGGAAGCCCGTCTGCGCGGCCGCAACACAGAGACGGATGAAAGTCTCGCCCGACGGTTGAAGGCCGCAAGGGCTGAACTCGTCTTCGGCGAGACGACAGGTAACTTTGACCTGGTCATGGTCAACGACAACCTGGACAAGTCGTACGAAAAGCTGCGCACCTTCCTGCTGCCGCACGTGAAGGCCCTGCAATCAGGTGAGGCCAAGAAATAGCCTGCTACTGTGTGCACCCTTCTTCGTTCCCCAACCATCCAACAACCTTTAGACCTCGACTAAACAAAATAGCAAATGCTGGTTATACTAACACTGCCTGCCGATGAAATACCTCTCTGAGTGAGTGCACATCTTTGCCCGCGGGCCTCAAGCCAGTGTTGATTCACAGAAGGGCTGCTGGCCACCCTGGAGACGTTGATGAAGAAGCAGGGCGTCCGCCGCTTCTATGTGCCCCCCTCTGGATGTCTAGGACTGCTGAGTTTCGCCTCGCTGTGTTGCATTTCGAACGTACTCATTTTCATGCTGTTCAACTTCATCTTCGACGAGAAAATGTTGTAATTATTTTTCTCAATTGGCTGCTTTTCACTCATTTTTTTTTTCTGAAATAGTGATGCAAGTATTATTTATATATGCAGTGTTTCTTTGTTACCATGTCACTCTTCAATAAATGGAAATAGAGTGTGCTGCTAAACTGGACAAAAATAAACTCTGCTTTTCCTATATTATATCAACCAACCCTTTGAACAAAAATAATAAAGCTTGTGCCATTCTAGGAATTTTTTAGGTTATCTTGCTAGTTTGATTTATTATTTGAGTACATTTATAAGTAATTGTCTTTCTTTACGATAGTGTCGGCTTACCGCGGCGGCCGAGTCTCTTTTGATATCAGGCGTTTTGTAAACCCTTTCTTCTCTTTTCTTCCCAATTTAAAATATTTGTACTGACCGAAAAGATAAATAATAATAATAATAAAATCTAGTAATTGATTTCTTCAGAAACTATTTAAAAAATGTCATCATATTATTTTCATTAAAAATTATTATCAAATTTTAAGCTTACAACCCTTTGCAATTAATTAATTTTATCTCAAAATATGGCAATGACACCGATAATTCTAGAAACTATATATGTTCAAAAATATTTTAGGCATGTTCTGATAAGAGATATATAATCAAATTTAACCCAAATTATCGTCTGATTTTTACTCTTCCTCACAAAAGTTCATTTTGCGCTCTACGAGAAACACTAGAATACATAATAATATAATAGGCGCTGCAAAAGTATAAATGAGTTTTGGAAGTGACAAAGGTCAGCATGCGTCCAGTGGATGGTGCCCCCACTCTGGTCCCCTCTTCGGAGAGCGGCCATTTAATGTAGCAACCGATTGGGGCAATAATAAAAGGAATGGAGAACCTCGCCAGATAACAACAGCTTTACGGCAGCATTTCATTCCAGTTCGTTTGCAGCAGTCGCCACTCAAGGTATACGTCCCCGTGTTACTTATTCGCATTCAACCGATCTCTACAGTAGGTTCTGGTGTCATTTCCCTTGAACTGCAAATTGGTGCCCGCGCTAACAAATTATAATGTGGCATTTTACGTCTTGCTTTGGTGAATGCTAAAACCTTTCTTTTTCTGCTATTCAGAAAGGAGCGCCTCTTTGTGAAAGGGTTCACAGGCTAGTTTAACTTCTCTTTACTTAGCATGTCAATTATGCAAATGAAAATTCTGAAAGGTTAGCTCGTAAATTTCTATCAATTTTTCATTAGTATATATATGAAAGGTGTATTTTATTTGTTAGATATTTGAGGACGCGAGATTTGCATCGCGCCGCTGGATCACTTTTCAAGGACAGTTTCACGCTGTTAGTCAAACACGCGCCTATATATAAAATGATTCTTTTATCGGCCAGTGCCCCATCTCTGAGGGCACTCTACACAATTCCATGTATAAATCCACCAAAAATCGAAAAACATTCGAGATTGTCAGATTCGATCAATCCGGTTTTGTCTTACAATTTATAGTTACGTCAGAGACCTACTAAGAACTACAATATATCAGCGAATCAAATATAATTTTATTTTCTCAATATTGATGATTTGCTGAGATTTGCAAAAAATTGTATTGCTTTATTTGCAAGAGCCTTTTGAAGCGCAGTAGATTTACATCCAATTAATTCTTTAATTAAGAAAAATATGAAATAATTAATTTAAAAATTAAACGCATATATCACTCCTTGGGGACAGCTCAAATATAATATATCTTATTTTCAGTAAAAAATGGAGTGGTCATCATCGGGGTCAGACGACAGCGGATCCGAAGGGGTTCTTGACGCATCTCAAATGGGCGACGCGGAGGCTGTGGCGGGTGCTCTGGAGCGTTTGGTGCTGGCCGCCAACGGAGACAACGAGAGCGCCAAAACTGTCGGCCGCTTTCGGCGCCTCCACTCGCTCAACCTTAGTTGCAATACGTTGACAGAATTGCCTGGCGCCCTTCGACACTGCGCCCGGCTCGAGAAACTCAGTCTCAGGTCGAACCGACTGGCCGAGCTACCAAAGTGGTTGACCAGTCTGCAAAACCTGCGCCAACTGAATCTCTCTGGCAACTCTTTGGCACAGTTTCCCATGGCGGTTCTGGAGTTAAAAAATCTGAAGTAGATTTACATGAAAAAATTTACATTCAAAAAGTTTTAAATTATTTTTGCACATACAGATACTTGTATATGGGAAGCAATGGTCTTGAATCACTCCCTTCGGCCATAGAAAAATTGGAAAGGTATTTTAAGGAGAATCATGTAAATTCTAAATAATTAAATTTTTTTTGCAGTTTGCAGATTTTGTACCTTGGTGGTAATAGATTGACAGAGGTACCGTCCAGTTTAGGAAATATGCTCACGCTGACCGCCCTGGTTTTGTGCGACAACCAACTCCGCGCGCTGCCCCCATCCATTGCTCAACTTGAGAACCTCCGCTCTCTCCTGCTACACAAAAATCAACTTCGAACACTGCCCCAGGAGATCGTTGGGCTCAGGGGTCTCAGAGAGGTGCATTTTTTTTATCTAACAGTTTATAGACTTACTGTCTGGTGTCACATGAAGTACCTTATTCATTCTGCTTTCACTTAAGAAATTCACGACATATATTATTTGATAAGAATTTTAATTTAAAATTTTAAGTATCCAACAATTTTATCTTAGCTTAATTCATTGGAAATCTCAAGTATTCATTGTTATTTGTCAGCCATGTTTCATATTATAGAAAAATCCAATTTTGAATATCATTGATAAGCTTTTGTAAAGTCATTCAGTCTGGCTCGTTGCCATGCAAATCATAAGGGGGAATTTTGATTTGTAAATGACATACGGAAAAATTCTGTATTTTGGGTTAATAAATTCACTTTATTTTATCTCTACGTTTACACAAAATCAGAGTCGCATTAGCCAGATCGTGGTGTATTATTTGCCTCACGAATTTAACATTCACACCGGTGCACTTTTTTCCCCACAGTTGAGCCTACGTGACAACCCGCTTGTGGTGCGTTTTGTCCGTGACATGGCCCAGCAGGTGCCCTCCCTGCTCGAGCTGGCTGCGCGCGTCGTCTCGACGCACCACCTCTCATACTCGACGCTGCCCGTGACCCTGAAGAAGTACCTGGACACAGCCCACCACTGCGTCAACCCGCTCTGCCAGGGTGAGAAATCGAATTTGAACCGCGCATTTCTATTTTTATCCTCTTGCATGTACTTGGCAGGCGTCTTCTTCGACAGCCGCGTGGAGCACGTCAAGTTCGTCGACTTCTGCGGCAAGTACCGCGTGCCTCTGTTGCACTACTTGTGTTCACAACGATGCGCCGACGGTCCGGACGCTGACCTGCCTCCGGAGGCGGGCCAACGCCTCCTGCGCAAGGTTCTTCTTGGTTGAAGCTGGCTTGCGTTTCGTTCTCTTCTCTTTTGCTTGATTTATCTCCCGCAACTAACAGACGCAAATCTTGTTACATATAAACGGTGCACATCTCCTCAACTGCGACGCACTTACAAATGATATTAACTCGTGTGCCAAATAAACTGAGCAGGGCAGAATCTTATTTACAAGGGCGGCGTCTCTGCGAATAACCCCAACTGATTTTTTCGACAGCAAGTCTCTCGAAAGCTGCCAATTTCCGCTCTAATTTCATTTATTTTTTCAGTGCAAGATTATAATATTATGTTTACTATCAAAAGGAAAGAATGCCAAATTTGTGCTGATAAATTAATAAAACAGAATTTCTGTACAGCAATGTATTGGTATCTTTATTTGTAATATTTATTACCTGTCAATCGTAATTGATTAATGCAATTGTAATTTTAAACGTGTGAGGGTGCTTCGTCAGAAACAGATTAGATACATCTTTTGCTCTTAGGGGAAGGTATGAAGGTTTTTTGCGATTTTTTTTTGCTTTTAGGGAGGGGTGGCTGTTTGCGACTAAAAACAACTTGGAGGGGGGCCGGGTTGGAAGGGAATCGGGGGCAGCATTATTTACAGCGACCAATTTAAAACACACGACAACGCACGGGCATTATATTGAAATCAGAAGAGAAACTGAAAGTTAAGATCAGCAGCAGCTCAACAACTCAACAACCAATCAACAAGAACGGACAGCCTCCCTAACAAGATAATATAGATTTATGTATATCAAAAAGCCCCCACGGGCCCCCGTGGATTTGGGGAACCCTCAAAGGCTGCCTCCACTACCGCCTACGAAGAGAAAGAGTGCGCGCATTTTTTAATTCCTCCAAGGAAAGTCATTGAGGAGGAGGCTACTTTGCTCTAGTTTCTTTTCTTTTCAAATACAGGTTGCGACACTGAAGATTAATGCATACACTGGTCTGGCTGCCGGGGGTGGCTCACGCAGCCTGGGAGCTAGGCTACGCCCCCACCAGCTGGGCTGGCTTCGCCACCCGTGGGCACTGCGTCTGCCGCAACCGACGAGCCTGCTTCCACAGGGGCAACGCTTGGTCCTGCAGCCCCTCCGGTGCGCTCCTGTTGGTAGTTGGGGATCAGCTCTGAATTAAGCTGAGGCTGGATTGCCAGTTCTGTAGGAATAAAAAAGACAAACATTTAGCACTTCTACAGGATAAAAAATCTTAAATTAGACACAAAATATGGAACATTATGATATAATAAATAAAATAAAACTTACCCTGTTCGGTGAAATTAAAGAGAGGGGGTAGTTCCCTGCCGTTGGGCAGACGTGTATTAGGCTCCCTGAGCTCATTGAAAAAGTTGTGGGCGCACGCCTGAAGTGGCGAGATCCGAGAGCCAGGCGTGTACTCCAGCAGCCGAGACACTAGGTCAATTGCTTCTGGTGGTGTCCGCGTTCGAAACACCTGCAGACAAATTTTACAAGTGTCTTCAAATGAATATAGGAAGCCAATTACAACCATACGTCATAAATGAGCAACAATTAATTTGCGCTCCGCTTTATTATAAAAGGATTCCCTGCTGGGTTCCCTATGAGAGTGCAACGCAAATTTTCTAATTACCTACCCCACGCTAGGATGAGTTGTACTTGTACAAAACAAACCGTCCAACTGCCTAGGAGCTAGTTATTTATTTATCCACTACACTGTGAATAGGCGTGGTTTTGTGGAAATAATTAAAAGTTTGTCGCACATGAATTCACAAACACCACAGTAGTTGACGGCCGTAAGGCCACACGCACCGTGCAAATTTGGCCAGCAGATAGCCGACTGTTACAACTTAAAAAAATCACGAGTGAAAGTGCATCAGAGCAAGTTGAAGCACAAACAAGCACATGACAACAACGGTTATTAGAAAAAATGGGGTTAATCTCTGAGCAAAGAGTCAGGATTTAAATCAAAAGTACTTTTGTTACCAAAAAGAAAAAAATTAAAAAAAAACGTGATCGACCGGTGGCACACAATTGTCACCGGTTGCCACTCAAATAAGCAGGACTCTTCACAAGAAATCCATTCAAGAATTACAGAAAGTAAAAAGGCTGTCCGAGGTTTGAGAAAAACCTTGGATGCACTGAGGGAGAAAAAGACTTTTGACTGTGCTTGATTGTGGATACTCACTCTGATGCGCTGGTGCTCGGTGGTACTTTTAGGCATGGACATTCTTTCGAGCATCAACTGCAAGGCCAAAGACACGGTCAGTTGTGTCTCTTTCCCTTTCTACAACCCAGATTGTCGCCCTTTGCTTTCATGACAATTGAGAGCAATGCACGGAGGAAAGCAAAAAGTTCAAGCTCACGAACCCAATTGAAAGTTCTACTATTGTAAGAAGAAGATTGACCTCTGTGTTTAGCAACTAAGTGTGCACAGCTCTTGTCTTTACTATTTAATGTGCTGCTCACCTTCTGCCAGGGATGCGATTTTATCTGGGGGAACTTAAACTCAGTGTAGTTGGGATTCATCTCTCGGATCTGCTCTCGGGTCGGGGTGCCCAGCACCTTGATGATTTCCACCAGCTGGTCAACCCCCGAGTCGCCTGGGAAGATGGGCTGACCCAATAGAAGTTCCGCAAGCACGCACCCAGCGCTCCACACGTCTTAGAATTTCAGGTTGAAATTATTTGCATTTCAAAAGAAAAAATATTGCGTACCTATTTTGGTGGTGTAATCGATAGCACCAAAGATGAGCTCTGGGGCACGGTAGTATCTGGAGCAGATGTAGGAGACATTGGGCTCGGCCTTGACCAGGTGCTTTGCTGAGCCAAAGTCGCAGAGCTTGAGCACCCCTGTTTCAGGGTCAAGAAGAAGGTTCTGTGGTTTAATGTCCCGGTGGCAGATTCCAAGTGAGTGGATATATGCCAGGCTACGGAACAACTGGTACATGTACAGCTTTATAAAGCTGATTGGGATCGTCTGCTTCGATTTACTGCAAATAATAAAAATACATTTAAAAAAAATGCATTTTAATAAATTTTTGACACATAAAAAAGTAATTTGGTTATCTGCCTATTATACTATTTATATTTATTATTTTCAGAAAATTTGGATTCAGCCGGTTTAATGAGTAAGAAAAATGAATCTTCGACATACCTGTAGTGGCGCGCCACTTTGTAGACCGTTTCAGGAATGTACTCAAGCACCAGGTTCAAGTACACTTCATCTTTCTGGAACAGTGAATGGAGTCGCATGTTAACACCAGAATAAATTAAGAATCGAATTCTACCTCTGAAGTCAATACGACACAATCGGCCCAGTGTGGGCACGACACAGCAATTTAATGCATTTTTAATGAAAAAGAGTATAACAGAAATGTGGGTGAAAATCGTTACCTTATCTCCACTTGAGTAGAAGAAATATTTGAGTTTGACTATGTTGCAGTGCTCGAGCCGTCGCATTATTTGCAGTTCTCGATTCTGTGGGCAAATTTGCGCATGATTAATAGTTTGCTTTTCAAAATAATCGGTCACTCACTTTAAATCTCTTGTCCTGGAGTACTTTTTTAATGGCGACCATCTCGCCTGAGTCGCAGAGCTTTGCTTGATACACAACGCCAAAGCTACCATTGCCTATGACTTTGGTGTCCGTGTAGGACACCTCCTGAGGTCGGTCAGGGCCCTGCCCAGGAGTCGCCACCACCGTCGTCACTTTGCTGCCGTCCTTACCTAAGAAGGAAAAAATTATTTGCAAAGATGGCCTGATGTCACTTAAAGATCTACTAAATGTGCCACTTATTTTTTTTTTTTAGGTAAGACGGAATTTTGAAAAAGTCATTCATACCTTTTGTCGAATCAGTCATTCCAGATTCAAATAAACCTATCAGGGTTCGAGATTTAGGGGACTTTAAAATTAGACTTAAAATATTAAAAAAACCAGCCCCTCGACGAGCCCAGATGCGCCAGCAGAGGAAACGGAGTTGAAAGTAAAAAGAAACAGAAAATTCTACGTGAAGTTCGAAAAACTGTGAAAGTGATTTAGATCGATCGGGAGTGCAGCAGGTTGGGCCAGTGTAAATTTGAGATTATGGATCAGCTGTGCAGCAAATTAAATTCCTCCTCAAAGCACGTGCTCAACTGAGAAAAACAACAGCTCTTAAAAAAGTGGAAAATCTTCTAGCAGAAAAAAAATTAATTGCGTTATAGTGATAAAATGGGGAAGAATTCTGACTAAAGGATAAAATATCTGAGAAACGTGCGTTCGCGAGAACAAGTAATGCGCAGTTTGCTCGATAAGCAAAGTAGTGAAAGGATGAAGAAAACGCACATTTAATAAGGCGGGAAGACAAAGAAAATAAAAAATATAAAAGAAAGGAAATATTTATGCATGTCGGTAGAATTGATTAACAAGTAAATTGGTAAAGATTTTTTCGGCAATCGGTCGCCAAAAATTGCACCGAAAAGCCAATTTCTTGGGCAAATTTGACAAGGAATTAGCGACGAGCTATTAATTGGCGGCAGCGCGAAATCGGAATAATTTTTTAGTGCTCACTCGAGTCAGTCGGAGCAACAGCTTTCGTCTTGGAATATAAGTGTATTACACACACAATCCACTTTTCTGATTTGAACTAGGTCAAGTTCGTCCACCAGCACCGAGTGGTGTGGAGAGGCGCGGTGGAACAGAACCATTGTCAGTCTTGAGTCAATCCAACGAAAAAGGGCGGAGGTGCGAATAAAAAAAAGATGAAAAAATAATGCCACCCCGGTGCCCTAACCGTCTTACGAGGGGATGGAGAGGGTGCGAGGCGGAAGACAATCGGATCGGAGAGAAATTAAAAAATCGAAAAGGGTTCTGGAGAGGAGGAGGTGCTCGGAACGGAAAGTCCCGTCTTCCGGAGTCGAAGTAGGGGCCTCAGAGGCGAGGGTGGTCTAACGGGGGGTTGCACCTGAGGGTGGCTCTCACAGGGGTCGGCCGAACTGCAGGCCGAATTCGGCTGCTGCGTCAAAATCAGCTGATCTGCGGGCTGACATAAAATTGCGAGCGAGGCAGCTCGATAGATAGCGACCAAGGGCCCATTTCTTGGAGCGAACGCTTCGCCAAGGGCGAGTGGAGGCCCGGGGGCGGCGCCCCCCGGAAGGGGTGCGATCCGGACAGAAGGCTGCTGGGCTCTGGGCCACGAAGAGGGGCCGACGGGCCAAAGGTACAGCGGGGGCACTTACTACTTATTTTCATGCCTCCGGGGGCAGGGTTTGGAGGTTTGGCGTTACCCTCAGCAAAGGAGGTGGTTCGGGGGCGTCCGCCGCTCATTGCTCGGCTGTCTAGAGGCCGTGGGTGACGTCACATCGTCCGCGACTCCACAGCTTCGCCACCGAAGGCCCCACACTTATTGGATTCGGCCCGAATTCGACCAGAAAACACTTCACTCTTACTTGGGTCGCCTCAACGCCGATCAACATGGCCGTCGGCCCGATCTCGCCCGATTGTGACGTCACACCCCCACCTAGACCATGAATCGCCCGATGCTCGAAGACGACTCTTGCAATTTGACACGGATTTTTTATTTTTAATTCACAGTCCGCCGTAACTGCTGCACGGAAAAGTTGCTAAACTCCCCTTGAAATTTAAAATTTGCATAAATAATATTTCATACACAAATTTTGTGACAATAATTTAAATTCAATTGGCATCGATAATAGTGCGATACGATTAAACCGCTTTTGACGTCACACAACCCCCTCCCCGCCAGACCGGCCGCTCACGTCATTGAGATCACGGTTTCTGATTGGTCACATCTAGCAGCGCCGCAATACGAACGCGCGAACTTCCTGAAACTATTATAGGGGATTAATTCGAGATTGACATGAGCTTTCCAACGGTGTAGTAACTTTTCCTGGATTTTCCATTGAAAATATAGTCATAATAATTAAGTTCACGAACAAAAAAAAATAAAAATAAGTTGCTTTATGCAAGTTATGCAACCCACTTGTCAAGTCCATCCTGCAGGTTGCATACCCCGCCCCTAAATTTTATTGAAATTGAATCAAATTGGGCTAAACATTTTCCTCACATCCCTCAACAATAAATGTTGTTAAAAAGAGTATTAATTGATTTAATTAACGTATTCAATAAAAATTATCTGCAAGCCGGTTGCAGCTGTTTGCTCACGGCGGACGAACGAACCGCGAGGGCTCGATTAATATAAAATGTTGCGCATGAGCCGAAAAAGGCGATCCGTGGGTCTAAACTCGCGCTGCCGAAGCTTTCACGGAGATTCCGTGCGCGTACGGCTACTCCGCCCTTTTTATTTGACAGATGGCAACTGGATGGCAAGAAACAAACGGCAAAGATAGTCAACTATGAAGATAAACGAGAAAAATTTGGCCGCCTTTGCGACTTCTTCGACACCAGTCGACCGCGATGGCTTCTTGCTCAAGAGAGGAGAGACCAATAAGGGATACCAGAAGCGATGGTTCGTCCTCAAAGGCAATCTGCTTTTCTACTTTGAAAAGAAGACTGATAGAGAACCTGTGGGAATTATTATTTTGGAGGGCTGTACAATAGGCAAGTTCTTTGATTTTACTTCGTTGAATACCTTGAAAATTATTTTTTACATTGCAGAACTCTCTGATGATGAGGAGAATTTTGGTTTTAAAGTCGTTTTCCATGGACCCGGGAATCGAAGTTACTACCTCGCAGCTGAGTCACAAGAATCAATGGAAGGGTGGATGAAAGTTCTTTCTTGCGCCAGCTACGACTTTATGAAACTAATGGTTGCCGAGTTGCAGAAACAGCTGGATGATATTGATGGTACAATTGTTTGCTTTTTTATTTAATCCTGTCTGAATTGAAAAATATTATACAATCATTTTAAGATTACATGTAGATAATGAAAGTTTATTTAATTAATAGCAAAGGATGCCAAGAAGGAAGATATCAAAACTGAAAATTGTTATCTACTAACTTAGCTTTTAAGTTTGAATAATTTTGAAAATTTGCACTAAATATTATGGTACGGTATTTCAATTTTTTATTTAAATTTTTTGGCTCCTGCTTCACCGCAAATTAATTTGCCCATGAATGTTGTGTTTTCAGAATGTGCTAGCAGTAATAATTTTCCTAATGCACCACCACGGCAACGGCACAACCCCTTTAACAGAAAAGAAGACGCAACTCCGCAAGGAGCAGCCATGACCGTCTCTCTTGCCCACCAAAGGTCGCAAAACCTTCGCTCCAGTTACAGGCCAGAAGACCTGTTTCGACAGAGAAGTTCCACATTTAATGAGCTCCATGTTACATATGGAAAACTTATCCTGGACTTGTGCCCAATTCAACCAGCCACAAAGGAGCCTGATCTTCTTGTTGATGTTTAATTTATTTAATGTTATCGTTTCTACTTTCTATTATTTATTTTCTAATGTGATCAGAATTAATATCAATTCTTTGTGATTCAAATCATCACCCTGTTGCTAAAGAGATTCTAGTTTACCTACTTGTTCACTCTGATGCTGCCCCTGTCATTGTCATTAAAAGTTAAAATTGTATTAGAAAAAATAATTAATTATATTCTGCAAACCTCTTGACATTTACACGATGGTAAAAAATACAAAAATATAGACAATCCAAGCCCAATTTCTTGAGGTTGATTTTTTCTTATTGCGACCCACTGCTTACTTAATTTTTCTATTTGAGCTTGCCGACCACTTAAAATTCTTTGAGGAATTCACGCACTTCACTAGAGGAGTTCTGTTGCTTACGTGAATTATGTTCCGATGACAAGTGAATCACTGTGATGGAGACGCAAAAGAGCTGCCCTGTGTCTGGCTTGTTTGGGTATCCAAAGAGTTGCTCTGAATTAAAAAAATTAAATAATAACTTGTTTGCAACATAAAATTATTTGAGCTCACCAGTTGCTGAAGTCGACGGATCATATCCATAGAGTGCGGTAAAAGTGGACGAACGCTGTTAATTTCCATAAGGGTGAGGTTGTCAACTCTAGCATGTTTGCCTCCTTCTTGCAGCAACAGTGAGCACGAGGCTCTTGATTTTGCATGTCTTGTATCCCAAATGTCCTATAATTTAAGAAAGTTTTATTGATCTTTTTTAAATTTCATTTTAAGAACTACTTTTAAAATAACTCGCAATTCTCCAGCCTTTGGTACATCATCTGAGGCCGCTGATAATATTAGTTGTGCTACTTCCATGAAATGCTCACTCGGCATTTTGGTAAAAAGCCTAGAATAAGAACAAATTAATTTATATTTAAACCAAAACAAAATATCTCATTACTTTTCCTGAGTTTCTCGTTCCTTGATAAGTTCCAAAGTCTTTACATTGAGCCATTCGGGGGGCATAATCCGGCACTTGCGTCTTTGTCGAAGATTGATGGCTAACCATAAAGGAACTTCAGCAGGAAGACCTGCTTTAAACGGGCCGAAGTCACCTGAGATCAGGTGAAGGACACCGAGGTCAAAATTCGGCGTGATACTGATTAATTCTCGCTCAGCGAGAAATTCTACTTCACACGTTTCCATGTTTGTTTATTTTTTCTCACTGATTTTAGCGCCACAAGTTTGTCCAAGGAGGGCAAGGAGGTCTCCAAACGCCGGAGTCGAGGAAGTGAAACAAATACTGCTATTTGCACGTTCGCAAAAAAATTTTAAACGTCAAAATATTCTTTTCAATTGCAAAATTTTACTTTTGATTATGTATAGTTGGAAAATTTAAACAACACTTTCTTATAAAAAATTTTTAAGCACGCAGATTTGTCGTGAATATAAAATAATAATTGTGCACCTGCACCGCCCCCACTTTACTAACGTGCAAATAGCAATCACGATTGTACACATCGGAACTTCCCCGTTCCATCGACTTTACTGTTTTTCGTCATTGGTGTACGTGAAACTGATAACAATACAAATAGCGATTTATTCGCAATATGAACTTTTTGAAATTAGTTCCGGTTCCAGGGTCAGTTTTAAGCAAATCTTTTGAGTGAAAAGCGTTCAATTCACAGTCTTGTTGGTCGTTGATCGGCTAAGGAGAGATCGGCAATCGAAAATGTCCAACTGACTGCAAGAAATTGATCCTCTGCAGCAAAATTGAATCCGTCGTCGGCGGTCGATCACCAAATAATGTGCAATGGGTGGTGATAAACAACGGTGACCTGACAATGAGGTAATTTCATTTGTGTAACGTACATACATATTTTTTCATACAAATCGGGAAAATTATAAAAAAAAAAATCTGTTTGGTATTATCTCTCGCCCGCCCACAGCCCCCGCATACCTTTGAAAATTGTTCCTGGAATTATTACTCGCGTTTAAAGCATTCTGTCGATCATTATGTACTGAAGAATTTTATAAATTCAATATTAGTTTTAAATTTTAATGTATTCATGTATTTTTTAAATAATTTGTTTTATTATTTTTTTTTTACAATTTTCTCACTTCTTTGAAAGCTTTTGTCTATTGGCTTTTGGGAATATTTTCATGAGTTAAGTTTCTACAGGGAGAGGACGAAGTCTTAAAGTATTTTAAGTATTAAAAATGAAAGGGTTAATACTAGACAAGCGAAAATATATATATATTTTTTTTACTTAAACTTATTTAAAAAAAAAAAAACTTCAAAGAAAGCAAACATTAAATGTCAAATTTTGATGAATAATATCACATTTCAGAATTTTAACTGCACATACAAAAATAATTTATATCATTTAAAGCTACCACTTGAAGTGGATTTCATGAAAAATAGAAACTGGGCTAGCTCGTTGAATTAAGTGAAAAAAAAGTAAAGGCGAACTGACCCAGAAAGGCGACTGGTCTATTAGTGCTTTAAAAATCTAGTGTATCCTAATTCAATGCTATTAATTGATTTTTCCAAATTATTCCTCCCCTTATATTTCGCATGGGCAGCACAGCAAACACAAGAACTTTCTTTTGGGGTCATAATTTTTAATTTTTTTTAAGTTACAAAATACCAGGTTTAAATTTTGCTCTGCCACAGCAAAAAAAAAACATTAAGCCATACTTAATTATTATTATTTTTTGTCTTTGCTCAAAATCAGGTCAAATGGAATTATTAAACTATGAACTTGTTTATTTTTTCCTAATCTAATCAAAAACCATTGCAAATAAGTGATCCAAGTTAAGTAAAAATAACCATTTCCCTACATTATTTCGTTGCAGAATATTTTGTGAGCTAAAATTTTTATTTTTATTAAAATTTTGTTAATATTTAGAAAATCGTCAAATCGTCGAGGAGACTGAGTAAAGTTGAAATAAATTATAAAAAAAAAATAAATTAAACAATCTTTCACAGACAAAATTTTAGCATTGGTACTTAAAATATAATGTACTTGTTAGTACTGTGCGTCATTTAATAATGCAAACGTCTCAATTTTATTTAAATGGCTATTTCCCAGCAGATGCTCTGCATTAATTCATGTCCAGAGCATTATTCATATTTTTCAACCGCTTCAATTGCGCGGTCTCCTCTCGCATTACTACCAAGGTTCGTTGTGCACAATGCGAGTGTATTTTTGGTTGGCGATCACCAAAGGGGTGATGAATGAAGTTTCAGAAAGTTATTTCGAGACAGACAGTGTGTAACGAGAGGAAAAGTCTGTTCGGGCGTTGGAGAAATTCTTGTCCGTTGTCCCTCAACACTTATCAACGTGCCAAAAAGAAACCCGCCAAGAGGCCGAAGACTAAATAAGCCGTTTTTAGAGAGCAAAAATAGCAATCGCCAAAATATCTTCACAGAGGCAACACATTCTTTCAGTTCATTGTTCTAATGATGAAAGTGGTTTGGCTTAAATTAGCTTCCTTTACCAAGAAAAAAAGTTGCTCATTGAAAATTTCAAATGTTATGCGGTCTAATGAACAAAATGTTGAATAATATATATTTTCAATTTAAATATGGCATGAAACTTAATAGTTTAAACAATTTAATTTAAGTAAATGAATACTGGGAATTCCCAATTCATTTCATTTATTTTTCAACGTTAACAATTGAAAATCGTTAAACAATAATTTTAAACATAATTAAACACTTTAATATTCCAAATTATGACTAATTTTACTCCTTCTTATTATTACTCTCTTGAATTTTGTCACTTTAATGAAAGGCAGTTTTCACATACACATACATTCATTTGTCAGACAATGGCAGTTTCAAGCTAATTATGCAGTTTTAATTTTTCACATTGCTCCACTCAACAACTCGGCCCGTATATGAGTCGTGCGTGCACTCCTAATTCACAGGGCAATAAAACGCAAAGCTCTTTCGTTATCAGACACACACAAATTAGTGCCTGCTGTGGATGTGGCCCTTTCCACTCAGTCAGCTGTTTGAACGAATGAGTTGTCACCAAAATCACGTCTTTTTAAGTCGCCCCTCTCAACTGCCGCCCAGCGCGCTCGCTCGGTTCCATCGCCGCGACGAGTAGTTCAATATTGCCATGACCGGCCGATAAAACTACGAATATTTTAGGGCTGCATGCCCTTTTTTAAGTATGTTTAATCGCATGAGTGCAGGTATGTCTTTATAATTGCACTGATATTAGAGCAAAAATAGAACTATTGGATTTTGCTCCAGGTCATTACGAAGAGCAGTAGTTTTTCATTTTGACACTTTTGGTTAGTAATCTGAGTCATTATTATATGAAAGTGTTGCACTAGCAATTTTTTTCACGTTTGTGGCCGTCTGAAAAATGCGTGAGCACCATTATTTACATTTAAGTGAGCAGGCAATTTGGTAATTTTGCTACTCCCAACAAACAAACCATAAAAACTATATTTTTTTTACAGCTTATCTCTCAGTGAGTCTCAACGCCCATTGTAATAAATTAACTTGTATCTGTGTTTTTATGACATGGAATAATTAAAAAAAAAAAAACATTCATTTTATTTATATTTGATTCAACTTAGATTCAAATGCGATATTTTTTACTTGATAAGTTGAACTTTTCCTTAATTTAATTTGTGAGTTGTTTTTTATTATTATCTTTTGCCCTCTGCGAAAAATTTCCTGTTCCGACTTCAGACATAATTATTCTTGAGCTGTGTTAAGTATTTGACAAAAATGAGTTCATAGATTTAATAAATTTGCAGTATAAAATTGCATTTTTTAACAAAACACTAAAAAAGTTTCGTCTAGCTAAAAAAAATTACAGCAATTTTCAGTTGGACAATAGAAAATAAGCCTTATTTTCATAACCCCATGACCAATACCTTATTTTTTTATCAACCAAAGAATAATTATAAAAAATTTAAAAACTTATAGCAATTTATTTTCAACTAAGTAAAATAACTATAATTGATTAAGTTTATTAAGGGGCTTCAGAGAATATAATTGAAGTTCAGTATTAGTACAACCGAATAGAACATAATTTTTTTGATCATTTTTCTATTCGCCCCTGATAAAATGTTTCAGCATGTAAAGCGTGGTGCGCGATGCGGATGCGGCTGTTGCTGTTGCTGCTGGCGGCGTGGCTAGCGCTGCTCTTCATTCTGGTTGCTTGCTCCTTCTTCCAGTCGCCCACGCCATCCTCAAACCTTTCCGAGGAGAAGGTCCTGAGCAAAAGACTCGCGCATGCCTTCCGAGACCTCGACTTGCTCAAAAAGCAGAACGCAGAGCTCAGAAACCTTTTCACTGATATCCAGTAAGTTAAGGGCTGTTTTTAATTGGATGTGTTCTCAAGACTTTGCTTGTTCAGGTTGAAGAAAGAATCTTCCAATGACTTGCAGGAACGTCTTATTAGGGCCAAAGACGTCTTACAGCCAGCCCCTGACCTTAATCACCAGGAATATGATACGGCCATAAGTAATTTTTTTGTTCAAATAATTTTTTGATATGATTAATTAAAAAAAACAGCCGCAAATGGAGAGCCAAGTTTGGAGTATGAGCTACTGAGGAGGAGAATTATTGATGGCACCAAGGAAATGTGGTACTTTTTCAGTGCCGAAATGAAAAAGCTGCAAAAGTTGGCTCAAAACAATCCTGCAATGTTGACAAAAATCAGCCACATTTTAGAAGCAGGGATTGAGCACAAAAGGTGAAAGATTTTGTTTTTCAAGAATAAATTATAATACAAATAAATTTTTTTTTAGATCTATGCTCCATGCTGCAAATCAGCTGGCTGAAGAGGACGGGTTTGCTGACTGGAGAATCAAGGAGTCGCAAGATTTGAGCGACTTGGTTCAAAAGCGATTACATGCATTGCAGAATCCTCCGGACTGCGCTAATGCACGAAAACTAGTCTGCAATTTAAACAAAGTTTGTTTTTATTTATTTTAACCTGGTTCAATTAAAAAAATAACCCTTTTTTCAGGGGTGTGGTTACGGATGTCAAATCCACCACGCTGTTTACTGCTTCATAGTGGCCTACGGCTCCAAGAGGACTATGATTTTGAAATCAAAAGGTTGGAGGTACCACAAAGGTGGCTTTGAAGAAATCTTTATGCCCGTCAGTGAGACATGCACCTCCCCTGATGGTGCCACTCACAGTCACTGGCCAGGTATGATATGAATAAAATAATTATGCATTTTCATGAAAATTACAAATTTATAGGAAAATCTGGCACACAAGTGGTAGATTTACCAATAGTGGACTCGCTCTCCCCACGACCCCCTTGGCTTCCTCTGGCTGTGCCTCGCGACCTCGCCCCGCGCCTTTCCCGTTTGCACGGCGACCCAGTTGTTTGGTGGGTCAGCCAGTTTATGCGTTATCTTTTACGTCCTCAGAGCAACACCTACAAAATGCTTGAGGAAACTTCACAGAAATTGGGCTTCCAGAGACCTGTAGTTGGGTTCGTAACGACATTGCTATGAATCGGAATCAAAGATATTAATCAAAAATTCAATCAAACAGTGTTCACATTAGAAGAACAGACAAAGTTGGCACTGAGGCTGCATTCCACCCCTTAGAAGAGTACATGACCCATGTAGAAGAATATTTCAAACAGATTGAATTGAGCAAGCCAGTGGATGTTCGTCGAGTGTACCTTGCCTCCGATGACCCTACAGTAATCAAAGATGCCAAAGAAAAGTAGAACATTTGTTTTTCTTTTTGAAATTAGTTAAATTTATTTTTAAATCTCTAGATACCCCAAATATAAATTCTTTGGTGATGCAGACATTGCAAAGACTGCTGCTGTTGCCACTCGCTACTCGGACAACTCTCTAAACGGAATTATCATAGACATTCACTTCCTTGCCATATCTGACTACCTAGTCTGCACATTCTCATCACAGGTAATTGAATTTTTTGCTTGCCGAAAAAAAAATTAAATTCATTTTTGTTTGGTAGGTGTGCCGAATTGCATATGAAATCATGCAAAATTTGCATCCAGACGCAGCAGATCGCTTTAGATCACTAGACGACATATATTATTATGGAGGTCAAGGGTCACACAATAGAGAAGCAATCATGGAGCACAAAGCAACACGACCTGAAGAAATTGATCTTCAAGTTGGTGACATCATTGGTGTGGCTGGCAACCACTGGGATGGGTATTCAAAGGTAATATCAAGTATTAAACATCGCAAAGAAAACCAAATGAAAATTCTTCAAATTGTAGGGTAAGAACACCAGAACAGGACGAGTTGGCCTTTACCCATCCCACAAAGTGATTGAAAGACTGGAGCTAGTAGACTTTCCAACATACAAAGAACTAGATAAACTAGCCAGTGAAAATGATATTCCGCAAGTTAATGAAGTGTAACTGCAACTTCAAACTCACTCACTTCCCAACATTCGCTTTTTTAGGTCTACGATGATATAGTTTCAATTTGGTTGTGATGTATTATCAGATTTAAAAAATACGCCTTTTTCTATTTCCGTTCTAAAGCTCAAATGATATTTAACTTTAATTAATCATTTTATACAATTTGTTGACTTTATTTACCTCCTGTGAAATTTCTTACCGAATTAAGTCAATATCCCTCCTTGATGAATACAATATTTTAATACTATTTTTAATTAGAATGTACAATTTACGTAAGTCTAAATTTGGATATAATCCATAAACTATATTTTGTTATTAACTTTGTGCACACTGACTATAAGTTACTAAATTTTACCCCCAAAAATTTAAGTAATGAATTTTATTCGACACCAATTCATAATAATAGCACATTCATCAAGGAGCGGCAGTTTTTATTTAATTTTGGAACTTCTCTTGTCTTTAGCAAGATTATTCCAAAGTTTACCTGCCTTGTTTGTTATGCCAACAGATTATTTTTGTTTGATTTTTTGTGACAAAGAGTGCAATGTAAAAGTTATCTTTTATTAAATAGTGTGAGAGCGCAAATTGTTGTTATCAAGATTGGGATTTATGTCGGAAGCACCTGTTTACTTCAGGCAAACCTCAAGTAATAGATGTTAAACTTGTGACTAATTTGAGTATGTTAATTGTGTATGCATGATTTCTTGAGCTCACTGCAGAAATATAGTTTTTTTGTACGTCACTGCAACTCGCAAATTTGGTCTCATTGCATTAAAATAGTTCTCCTTAGTAATTTAAATAATATTTTCTCTATGATATTGATTTGGAATGGACGAGTGGATAAACTGTCTCAAACTTGTTTTAGAAATTAGTTTCTCACCTTGGAAACAGGGATAATGAACGGCTCTTGATTGCTATCGTCAGGCGAGGACTGTCGATTCAAAGGCATTGTGTATTAGATAGAAGGGGTTGTGTTCCAACTTCAAGTTGATTGAAGTAGAGGGATCAAACTTGCATAATTTGCTAGTTGAAAACTATTTTGTTACAAGTGCGTGTCAGGAAAAACCGGCACCACAGCAGCAAAATTTGCTTTTTATATATAGATAGTTGAAAATGAAAAAATAAAAACATGGTGACGTCGCTTTCATTAAAATTTGCTATTTTTTATATTTATATAAAGAACGCACAAGATTTATTTCAAAATAAAATTGATAAAAATTTTCATTTTATAATTTGAATAACTCGTCAATATAATTTAATTGACATCTGTTAAATACGTATATCAAACTTTTCATGAACTTATAATGCGCTTTACACGTAAATGCATAGTTAATTTATATATTATTACATTACAATATAGAAGATAAAAGATAATGTATACATTTTCCTGGTATATCCGATCTAATTATAGTTCCAATCGAATGATGAGCACAGATACATTCGAATTGTTCCCAAGGCAACGTCTTCTTGTTTAGCAAAATACCCACGTGACGCAGTTGAGCACCATCGAAAGTCACGCAGCAGGAACCCTAAAAATCGGCCAGCGTAGGTAAGCCACACAGAATAATTCTCACTTGATCCCAGCGCACACGAACAGCGGCTTGTCGTCGGAGCTGCGAGACATGGTTTAATTGTTCGCCGTACAAACAATTACTTAATGAGCCGAGCGTTGTATCATTTCGTGCCATCTACTACTTTGCACTGCCGTGCGCATTTATAGGGGCGCAAGATTATGCTAAAAGCAGACTAAAATTAATCAATAATTTATTAATTAATATTTCTAGTCATTTCATTGTGAATCGATCAAAGCGCGGTGAAGATATAATTATCACATAGACTAATAGTCTGAGATAATAAAAAGTCTGTGATATTAAAGTATTGAAACAACCATCCACATAAACTCAATTTTAGGCTTAAGATAAATTAAAACTTTTTCCCAACAAATTTTTTAGTAAAACTTGGAAAGAGCACATTGTGATGTTTATTAAAGAGAAACACGAGGGTTTAAAATTGTATTTATATTGTAAAAAAAAGATTAAAAGAAGCACACCCAGTGTAGTGTTCACATGCTATTAGTATAACCCGAATATAACCATAACCAGTAAATAATTAAACAAGAAAAAGTTAAAAGTATAATTTTTCACTAAACATTCCGAAACATTCCCAACACAAAATTTAAGCAGATATTATTTGGTATTTTTATTTGCAATACAAAGGGATGATGTGAACGCATTTTTTTTTAATTTTTTACAGTATACTATTTACAAAAAATATTTATTTTATTTTTGTTTTCATTTTTAATTGATGATAATTATGAAAAAAATTTGCAGATGTAATAAAAATGAGCCAGCAGTGTTTTAGTGAAAAATCTATTAAATTTTAACTGGCGTCAAGAGTTTGCACCACTCTCCAATTTTTTTTCTGCAGAGGTCGAGCGTGATGAGGACAATTTATCATTGGAGCACCTTTTTTAACTGCTTGTCTGTCAGCTCTTTTATCTCATGATCACCAGACATTACATTACACACCTAGCTGGCACACGTTGGGCAGGAAATTTCGGTAATTTTGACCGAGAGCGCAAGAAGAAAAATTAGATTACTTAATTTCACGTGTCGAGGCATTCGTGCTGCAAATGCTTTTGGTATAAATATACAAAAAGTTGCGTTTTGTTCCTTTGGAAATGCGCAGGACACACGATGGCTGCGTTCATGAGGAGCGTGTCTATGTTCCTGGTGCGGGGCCGCCGAGCCAGTCGTACCACCGAGTCCAACAAGCTCAAGTCGTCCGCCTCCGCCGACCAGATCCACCAGGTCCAGCGTGAGTATAGGAAACATCTTTTTTATAGCCTGTTCGGATGGGAGAATTCGGCGATATCCATCAATAAAAATAACAATGCCCATCGATTTGGTCGCATGAGCAAATTTTCTGTCTTCATCCATCATTACATTTATTTTATTCGGTCTTTCTTAAACATTATTGATATAATTCTCTATAATATAGAGATAATTTTTTGGCTTCCAGGTCGTGGAACTTTGCAAGAAAAAAAGACAACTTTTCACAAGAAAATGCAGCCGGCGTCCAACACGAAAGGAAAATGCTCCTCAGCCCAGTTAATTGAGTCGTTGAAGAAAAGAACGCACTTCAACAAACGAGAGATTGAAGCTTTACTCAAGCTGCACCGGTCTTTGGCTGCAAATGCTCAAAAGAGGCAAATGCCCAGGGGACCTAAACCAGGTCTTACACTTGTTTTAAAAAATTTATCAATATTAATACATATAAAATAGCAAATATGGGCTCCGGATCAGAAGGTGGTCGAGCGGTTTTGGACCGAGAGTGTTTCCGAGAGCTTCTGCACAATTCTCTAGATCTGACTGAAGAGGTTGACACAAAGCAAAAATTTAATTTATCTTATTAAATTAATAAATATTTTGAGCAGAAGTTGATGGAGCGTATTTTCCACGCGTTTGACAAACGCAGTGAAGGTGTTATTGACGGCGAGCGCTGGGTTTTAGGGATGTCAGTCCTGCTTAAAGGATCACTTGCCGAAAAGCAGAGCTACTGTTTCAACGTAAGTAAATTAATAACAACTATTTTTTAACAGATTTTTTTCTATGCATGTAAAGGTTTATGATTTGAATGGAGATGGATTCATCAGCAAAGAGGAAATTCTGCATCTCCTGTCCGGCTGCTTGGCGACCCCAGCGACTGGGGACGAAGACCCGGAAGAGGGGGTTCGAGACCTGACTGACGTCGCCCTTCGGAAAATGGACGTTGACCGAGACGGAAAATTGTCTTTCAATGACTATGTTGAAGCAAACAAGCAGGAGCCTCTGCTTTTAGAAGCGTTCGGGCCTTGCTTGCCTTCGGAACAGACCTGCGAGTCTTTCCTCGCCACATTGTTAAGGGCTTAATTATTCAAAATAGTTTAATGAATGAGAGGAGAAATTGTTAAATAAAAAATCAGTTTGTTGTATATGAAGCAATGGTGTATTTTTCATTACTGCTACAATATTTGCAAAATCAACACATCACAGGCAGAATAATCCATTGTTTTAAAAAAGACGAGGCGTGTGTATCGGAAGAAAGCTTCGTAAGAAGGAGCCAAACTTTGAGACTTAACAGATACATCCAATACACAAATCATTGACAGAGGAGACAAATAGTTGCCGGAACGAATTGCCAACTCGGTCAAAACATGCTCTCTCTGCGACTCCGTTCACATCAAAATCTTTCTCACAATTCCTCTTTGATACTGACCATTCTTTCATTCAATCCATAAAATTAACCTAAGGCAATATAAATTCACAGTTCTGGCGCTTTCGCCGCCGCTTGAATACAATTTAATATGCGTGCGTACTTCTTATTTACTTAGCATCATTGTGTTATACAGTGTTGCAGTCGGCAGAATCGGTTTTGGGTGTTTTTTTATTTTTTTTTTTTATTTCAAATTCAAAATTTTTTGTTTCACGCATTTTTACCGATTCAAGTTTGGGAACAAATAGTTAGTCTTTTTATACATCTGCCGTCTGCAGCGTTTAATTATGTATATAGAATACACACAAGTTAGTGCTAACTTTGCGTTTAATAACTATTGTGTGATTTGAGGGTATATTTAATTTCACATCTAATGGGCTGAAGCCGCGAGTTATGATAGAAAAATCACAGGGAATTAAACCTTTTTAACTTTTAACGTAATCTAACAACAACAAGTAATTCACAAAATTAATTATAGATATAAAGGATATGAACTTAATGAGCAAAATATTTTACAACCCTATAAAGTTTTAATTAATTATAACGGAGTCTCAATAGTCTTTGCGTAACTTTTAACTTCACACGAGAAGTTTCAAGAAACTTTTTGCCACATTTTTTTTAATGAATTATTGAGAGTAAATAATAAATACTAAGTAGTGTAAATGAACTTTGTATTGGCATGTTGCTTTAGGTGATCCCAAACACGGAGCATTCAGGAACTAACTTGGTTAGTGAGTTGGTCACAAGTCTTACTTACAATTAGTATGAAAAGACTGACCTTCTTACAAGACAAGACAAACAATCGAGATCCAACTTAAGCTCATTCCAACATATAATATTTTCTTATTGAAAAAAAAACAATTGAAATGGAAACTTTCCAAAATATTTTCTTGTTCACATTGCGGCTTTTGTAAAGAGGAAAATAATAAATCATTATAAAGGAGAACAAGATAAAAAAATAAAATTTCAAGACAAAAAAAGTGAGAGCCACCGTAATGTGGGCTCAAAAATAAATCGGAAGCAAAATAAATGACTAACGGAAGCCAATATTTCATTAGTGTGACTTGCTCTGCTACAACCCTACTCAAGCATTGGATGGCAATATTCTATCTCAGATACAGGACTGTCACTGCCTGCCAAAATATAAATATTACAATTAGCAACTGCGAATTTTACAAAAATGTCTGAAATATGTCAGCAAATGCCGCAAATTTCACAATCCGACTCAACCTTGGCAAACGTAAATCACGAATTTTCAACGGCGGTTAAAAACGCTATTACGCCAAAGATAGAACCTCGGTGGGAAGCTCTTCTTTTTTCAACCAGCTTTCGTGAAATTCGCGTTCCAACTATTCTTGGCAGCTTTATGGCGTCGGGAAAATATGAACGCGTTAACTTTTTATGAGCAAAGTACAAATGCAATAAAACAGAGAAACCCGCCTCAAGTTGACAAAATTACCATAAAAGGAAATTGACTTTTACCAACTTGAAAATAATGCAAGGCAGAACTTGAGAGCCTTGATGGTAAATCGATCAACGTGACATCGCACCCTTAATTGTCTAGCGTGCGTTTCTCTGTGTGTCAGTGAAATTAACAAGCTGAAACTTTGAATATATATTTTCTGGGATAACAACAGGAGGGTCGGAGCGCTTATGAGCGTAATTAATTTACAACTCACGCAACCCATCAAGCAACGCTTGCTTAGCAAAATCGAAATGAAAACATCCAAGTTTTGAGTTCAGAATTTAAATAAGCGGAGCTACTGTGGGGAAATCCTTTTTTATGAATATGTATTGTAGCAATTAAGGAAATACTGCCAAGGCATTTGCTGCACATTTTGCAGATCAAATTAATAATTCCATGCATTTTAAATCAGTTAAAAGATGCCACAACATTATTGCCATCTCAGTTAGAGGTGTACGCGGTTAAAGAGCAAGATAAATAAAAAAAAAATGACTGCAACTTACACAAAAGGAGCGAAAGGGGTGAGAATATGCAGCAGATTCAACAGTGCACAAACAACATCCTGGCTCATTTGGTCAAAACAGATTTGGACTCCTTGACAGGGGTCTTGCTGCCCTTGGGAGAGACTGGCGTTTCAGGAATCATGCTCGGGTCAAGTTCAGGAATGGGGTCGCGCCAGAAGTTAAAGCTGTTGAAGTCCTCGGTGGCCGACTTACTTTCCGCTGGTGGCGGGAACATTTGGTCCACAATGTAGCTCATGTTAGAGTACCTGCAATTATAAAACAATTGCAAAATGTTATTATTTTTTTGTATTGTCTGTCATAATTTATTTAGTTGAAAATCACAAGTAAATATCATAAGACCGATTATTATTTTTCTGAATCGGAAGATTTTCATAAAAGAATTTATGATGTAGCCTCAGTCAATAAATGTGCATGCCATCTCCGATTTGAAAAACAAATTATTTTAAAAACAAAAAATTTGAAAAAGAAATGTTTTTAATAACACAAAAAAAGGTAATCTGAGCAAACAATAGCAAAAGAATATGAAATTTGTTTAGTATAAATTTAAATAACTAGTTATAAATTTGTTTTAAAACAAACTTATCAAACAAATGTTTTAGTTAAAAAAAAATCAAGCAAAAACCTGTTCTATTTTGTTTTTAGTATTTTTTGTCTGGAAAGTGTTAGTGAAGTATTTTTTTTTTTTCAAATTGACATCTTAAATTGTAGATTAAAATTAGAGAGGGTGAGATTTTAAGTGCTGAGAGCAGGCATTTTCAAAGCAAGCAGTGCTTACTCAGAACTTGGTTCTTTGTGAGTAATAATAGGGAAAATATCATCTACTGCATCACTTTGGCCCATGTAACTGAAAGTGGAAGAACAAAACAAAACAAAAATTTATAAGCTACAGAACTAAAATACATAATATTCTTGAATAAAGCTGCTCTACAGAAGAAAAATGAAAAATAATAACATACGAAGTTTGGAAAGTCTGAGTGAGTTCGTGCTTCAGCTCTCCTCTGTGGTTGATGGTGAATATCCTGAATATGGGAATCCCGACCGCACGGTAAGCCCATACATCCTGGGAATAAAATTAACAGTTAATAGACGTATTTTTCTTTTGTGGGGATAATCTCACGTTAATTTTGTTTCCGTATCCAGCGTAAAACGGCTTGCAGTCATAGGGAAACAAGGCCTGCACATCCCTGAGACAGGAAATTTTGAATTCCTCTGGCTTCTTCTCAATGACCTCCCTATGCAGGGCGCTAATCAAGCTTGTTGGGTTGAGTAGGAGGGGCCCCTCTGGTAGAGAAAGATCTCCTTGCTTGATGGACTTCAGGTAGTCCCTGGTTGTTCTGGCTTGTCCGATGGCTCTTGCTGACAGATAGAGTAGCCTGTAGCCGTTGTTTTTAATCTTGGTGAAAAGTTGTGCAACTCCAGACTGCGCCCAGTCTTTGCCCAACACGGGCAAAATGTGACCCAAAACATCAGATCTGTAAAAGCAAATACATTAAGTTCTTTAATAAATAAGTTTACTATTTTGAATTATTTACTTTGTGATTGTTCCGTCAATGTCACTGATTACAATCTTGTCGTCCCACCTCCAGCGGTAGACGTGGCACTTGCATCTGGTTGTGCCCTGGTAGGCAGTGGTCACACTGAATACCACCTCGTTAGCACCTTCGTTTAACTGCAAACTAGCCTGCATATAACACAAAGTATTAGAAATCAGCTCTTTATTCCGATTTGCAATTTAATACAATTTGATCTGATGAGAGACGAAGCGTTTTTCTATAAACTTTGTTTTCTTTGTCTAGCCGTAGCCTAGCACCAGGAATAGCAATTCTGTTGGCCGACGAAGCGCCGTCTGACTCATCCGAAGAATTAGAGCCACTGTAACCTTCACCCTCTTTTGTTATTGTGTCTTCTTTCAACGCGGACTTGGCGGCAATCTCATTTAGCTCTTCTTCGTCTGAACTACGATAACTTGGCAACCGGCCAGCTGCAACCACAATAACAACCAAAAGCGTCAGAAACAGCAAAACAAACACAACTGTATGCGCAATTTTAAGAAAAATAAATTAATTACCGGCTACATCGTGAAGCTGAGGACTGATGTCACTTTTCTTAGACACACTTCCGCTGCGTCTCCAAGAAAACCACGAATACCGTGGGGTCTCTTCAACAATTGGGTCAGCAGTCGACTGAGAGTTGCTTTCGATAGGGGAGGTCTCTGCTTGATCACCGACGGACAGAGGTCCTAACATTTCTGGAATATCTGGAGTCTGCTCCTTCTTAGGGACCAGTGGTTGCTGGAATAGCAGCAGGGACATAACTTCCGGAGCTGCCTCGCGCCACGTCTGCAGCTTGTTGTTCAACCGAACTACAAGGGCAGGGTTTTCTAGCAGGGCTGGGTTTTGCTTGAATTCCTCGTGACTAACGATTGCTTTGGAGAACACTTCTTCACTTGGTGGGTTACTCAGGTCAAGGGGGCCGCACAGCGACAGGGCGAGATCAGTAAATAGCCTTAACAAGCAATTTTTAATTTTTTCTCTCTTCATAATGGTAATTACTCACTTATCGGAACTTTTTCCATCTTCTAGATCACTATCCAAAAACTTTGGCTCGCCAATGGCACCTTCCACGCTGTGAGGTGACTGAGGAATTGATGGGCCCTTACCCGACTCAGTGTCCTCCTCTTTGACGGTGGCTTCTAAAAACACACCACAGATGAATAATGAAATAAAAATTAGTATTAAATGTGATATAATGGTAGTTATCCAAGTCCAAGCTGAAGCGGTTAAAGTCAAGGGCGAAGCATTTTATTTTTGTATTAAATGCATAAATTTTAAGATAGGGGTGAGCATGCAAAGCGCCTGATAAAGATTAATAGTTGTGTTGATTTTTTTTAAATGTTGATTTTGATTTCGGCCGCATAAAGTACCTGTCAAGGAAGGCCTACTTGGCAACGAGACGTCGTCACTCCCTGCAGGTCTGTAAGATGCTGGGAAGTAAAGGGCTGCCACTTCTGGATCCATGTTGACATCAAACTGCTCAAGGTACATTCCATCGGCCTGCTGCTGTTGCGAAGCCCTTCGACTCTGGTTCTTCATCAGACTCCACACACCACTCAGCATTGAGGAGCGCCTCTGATTTTCTTTGTCTAAGGCTGTCCCTTGCTCCTCAACTGTTATAAACCACATAACCTCTCTGATAATCATGTTCAAAGTGTGCGCGGATTTCTAGCTAACTACAAAGCAGAGAATTCTACGGCTTCGCTAATTTGCTTATAAAAATAAGTGGCCGTTTTGAACAATATTTATCCACGATTTCAGAGTTGTGTTTCGGGAACCGAAATACCAATTTAAAAATAGCCCAACTCAACGAAACAACCCGATTTAGCAGGGAGGACAAAGACTTAGAATATAGGTTTTTATATTTTGTGCATTCAACTATCAGCTCTAGCCCAAAACCTGTTAGAAGCAACCACCTAATTTCAGTCAAGCTTTTTACCTGGGCTGGACTCCTGACTTTCCGAAGATCCATCAAACTGCATGCGCGGTGGTTGGAGTGGTGGTGATGGCAGCTCACCCCACTTCCAGCTCTGTTTGCCGCCTACGCCAAGCTCAGCTTGGAGTTCAGCTTCAAGCTGCGTCGGTTCTGTGGCACTCGACTGACGTCGCAGTTCCAGCTCTGAATCTGACTGAGGCGTAGGTGATCCGGCTCTAGACCCATGATTGCTGGAAACAAAATTTGGATTTTTTATATTATTTTCTTAGCAACTTGTGCATGCATTTAATGGAAAAAATTATAAACTTTTATAATAATGAATCTGAAAAACTGAAAATTAAATTAGTAATGAAAAGAAGGGTTCACAAAAAAATATGCGCATGCTAATTAAATTGAGCAAATAAATTGTTAATGTGACAGAGAGTGATGTTAATTAGTTACATCTGAGGGGAAGTTTGACCGATGTGAGCTGACCAGAAAGGCTGGCAGATGAGATTTAAGCCCTGAAGAGCAGCTAGATCCGCTGGAGTAAAACTGCACAAAAGCGCACAAAAATTTCACACGTTTCACATGGTTGGCAAGTGATATAATGATTTGGTTATGGTGCTAGTAAATTATTTTACCTGCAACAGGGAGTGGCTTCTGTATCACTGAAGAAGTGAAGATCGGCTGGTTTTCGCTTCTCGTCCGCAATATCTGTGGATAGAGAACTGTCGGCAAGTTTTGAGCACGTTTCAGCGCATTTGCTGCATTCCAAGCTGTAGGTCACTTCGGCCGAGTTGCCATATCCCGAAAGCATCACACCTCCCAGATGCTGCGTGCAAACTGTAGGTCTAGAGACAAAATGAGAAACATGAAAAATGCAAATTAACAAAATAAGAAGAAAATTACTCTGATTCAGTCGGCAGGTTGACATCCTCAAGCTCAAACTGCGTATCCTCAGCCTGCTCGGCTGCAGATGTGGGTGCCAAGGTGCTGTGGTTCAGCTGACTGCCGTCCACCTCGCCTTCGTCTTGATTTGATGCAGTGCTTGTCATGTTCTGCTGTTGCTTCTTCTTCAGAAGAGACTTGCGTCTTCTCTTTCGCCTCGAATTTTTGCTGCCACCGTTGGACTGGCCATTGCTCGGCTCGTTAGCCGTCTGCTCCTCTTCCTGACTAGCGGACTCGCCGAGCTTGTGGATCGGCCTGAACTCGGCGGTTCCAGCCTTCGAGTTCTCGTCTCCAACTTTTTCAGCGTGGAATGTTTTTGGGCCTGATGATGCTGCATTACCACCTATTTTGGATTTATTTTTAATAAAGCCGAGATTTAAAATATAATTTTTCTACCTGCTGCCTCATGGGCTTCGTGCAGTGGCGACAGAGGAGGAATGAGGGATTTTCTCTCAGGGGACCGATCTTTCAACTCTGCAGACGGCGGCAAAGTAATTGCCAAGGGTGATATTGGCTTCGGACTCTTGTTGTGGAAATTCTCAATCATCAGCTGCTCGCCTTCAAGAGGAATGGGCGAGCAGGCCAGGTACGAAGGAAATGACTCGAGCTCCGAGCTGGACAGTTCTTCGACGAAAAACGCCTCGCCCGACTCTCCGAGCTTCATGTGGATATCGAGCGGTTCCCCATTAACTTCAATGTCCACCTGAAATCAAAAGCGAAACAAAAGCTATAAAAATAAATAAAATTATAAAAGGAAGTGAAGGGGCATGGTCGTTTCCTTTAACAAGCTCGGCCGATTGCGATTACGAAACGAGACGTGAAAGGCTATTGATTATAAAACACGTGTGCGCATTAAGTTGTTATTAAAGGATGATTTAAAAACAAAAAAGCACACAAGTGCGTCTAATTGTATTATTATTTTTTCTTTGAGATAACCATCATCAGTGTAACTGTTTGAAGCAACTTGTTTTTAATAATAGGAGAAAATCGCTGGCGACAATGAGACTCGTTGGGTAATCCAAGAAAAACCATGCACGGCCACATCATGCTAATCAGTTATCGGGGTCGGCCTTGCTTTATCACAAATTCCGAGAATAATATAATACAATTGAGCTTTGGAATCAGAAATCATTATTTCTTAAAGTAGGATTGTCGTAATAGAACAAATAAATTTATTTGGTTATTCAAGTTCATAATAAATAGAAATGATAATTAAGCCTGTAAATTAAAATTCCAGTGTGAAAACAGATGTTATTTCCGTTATTTCATATCAAGCTTTAAAAAAAAATTATAGCCAGATTATATCAAAACAGTTCTTACATTAAAAAATACCAAAATATCTTTATTTTGGATTTAAAGCAATGTACTGCCTAAGTGATTATTTTTGAAAGTTTTATTAAAAATTAAATTTCAATTAATTGATTTAATCTTATGATTTTATTTTTCATCAAAATTTCCGCTTCTCGAAGTTCAAGATTAGGATGTTATTTAAAAAAAAAACAATAAAAGTTATTTAATTGGAAGCAGGAGGAGGTTGCAAAACGAGTTTTATCGCGAAATTTGCACGCGCGGTCAGCTGACGATCACATATTTTTCTGCCGCCATGGCGAAATTTCCATGGCGCGGGCGCCAAACATCCGCATGATCCGCATTAGTCACAATATCACATGAACGTAATACAATTACTTGAGATGAACCCATTTGAACTCGCACCCGCTAACGCAATGCAATGAAACGGCATATTATAATAAAAAACGCGTTGAGCCAGCGCGGCCGTTCAGCATGAAACTGAAATAACCTGGCCAAGTACTGCAATGAATGAGTCATGCTTGTTGGAAAACTGGTCTTTTTATCACACACGACTACCATAAAAGGAAAAAAGAATGTCAATAAATTACTGAGATGAAGTACATTTCTGGATTCACCTACATTCAAAAATGTAATAACATTATAAATATTTTTTTTCAATTAACGTGAATAATAATAAAATCTAAAAATCTAATCAATTCCTGAAAAAAATTTTGAAATGATTTTTTCATATTAAAAATAAAACTTTTATTTGAGCATATTTCAATATTATAATTATCTAGAATGTTAATATGCAGAAGTTGATGCCTTGCTAGTAAAGTATGTCAATAAAAAAGTAATGTGGGGAATCCTTACTGCAGTCGACAATGAATAAATCAATAGAACAGTCAGCGGAAGGCATTCAAGAAGTGGGCGCATTGTAAAATTCCTTATATGGCTCCGGCCAGTGAATAATTGTCGTGAGCAAATTAGATTTCGCAAATTAACACCAACGCTCTGTCAGATTACATAATCGTAACCGCGCCAAGCTCGGAAACCAAAATTAGAATTCAAAATTGTACAATCGTTCGGCCTTCGCTTGCAATTTATTTCATCTCAGCAAAATATATTAAATATTCTAGCTGCTGCAGTGTTACGGGGTGGCGGTCGGGGGTGGCCCGCGACCAAGGGCGTTGTCGCCGAAATTCGCGAGGACCGGAAAGACGCAAATTGGCGAACGACGAGCCTCTCTGGGTGACCTCGAACGATACAAAACACCCCCCTCTTTTTCTATCAATGACTAGCGTTTGCTAAAATTAAGCGCAGATAGTTCGCGAGTGGCCTTCAACCGACCCTGAAAATCAATTAGGGGGAAGCGGAAGAATTTTCGCAAAAAGAAAATTTATACTGACCACTTTTTCCCTGCTGCGGAGAACACCCATTTTGCCGAAGCGCACGTGGAAGGGTGAGCAGGTGAAGGTGCCGTCCGGGTGCTCGACGACGACGACGTCGATGGCGCCGGTGAGGGTGGCCGTGTTGATGTCATTGTAGAATTCGCGCACGTTGCTCAGCACCTTGCCGATGTAGTTCATCTTCTATGGCTGCGTCCGAGGGGGCTGTACACCTGCGGACGTGCGGCTGGACTCCCTCGCACTCGAGTGCTTTGTTTACTCTTCGAAACTGCGATAAAAAGGCTCTTGTTCGAAACTGTAGGTTGACCGAGCAGACAGACACCTTCCGATCACACCATGGTTTATCCTTGAAATAATCTTTCTTTTCGCTTCTCCGTCTCGTCTCGTCGGACTGCGCCAGCTGAGGCGTGCGCACGCGCTCTGCCCCCGCAGGTGTCGCGAGCAACACGAGATCGCGACCACCAATCGCGAGCCGCCGTCGCGAGGCGTGATGTGACGGATCTCGTTCCAATACAGTTAGAGTCAGCTTAGAGCTGCATGCTCTCTTCTGTGTATATGTTAGGCATTACGCAAAACGCAAAACTGTGTCGGTAAAAGTACATTCTAACCAGATTCAGGAGGCAGCCGCCACTTATTTGTTGTGCAAAGAACGGCAGTGGAATTTTTTTACTTCTTTTATAAAAATAAAAAATGTTTTAGGCTAATTTGATGTTTTGCAACCTTCTGCGAGCCGAGCCCCCACAGTTTGGAGGTTAAAGCGGAGGTCGTTTGCTTTCCGTAAAAATTCACTTCCTCGAGATGATTTTTTTTGCTATCAATGACCTCTATGCGGAAATAAAAATCAAAACATACCTATTTAGAGAAAAAAAGCTGAATATTAAGTTGTTATTGTTTAAGAAAAATCTAGGCCGATCAAGAAAAGCAATCCCCACTTCCTGCATGGTGGCGTGATTTGGTTCATGGTTTTAAAAGAGATATCAATTCATTATAAGTCAACTGAATAACGTTAAAGACTTGAATTAAATTAAATGATGCTTAAATTATTTGTTTATGATTTCCAAAATATTAATTTTAAATAAATTAAGATATTTATTTAAAAAATCATATTTTGCGCTAGAGCAAAAAAATTACTAATGAAATTTAAAATATTTTTTTTGTGTAATTTTTTGTTTATATTATTAACATTATTAAAATCCTTACACTTATTTGTATGTAATTTAGAACCCGGACTTCCCTGGGGGTTTTGAGCGTATTTTTCGTCTGTATTTCAGGAAGAAAATATCCTGCTCTCACACCACACAAAATACCGATTGGAAAAAAACCAACATAATTTCAAGTTCACACTACACTTTAAACTACCATAGAAACCTTGGTGGTGGTAGCTGGTTATTTTCCCACACTTTTAATTATTAATGTATATCATTTCAATTGGGTTTTAATTATTAATATTTTCAACATTTCCAAATTAGAAAAAAAAATTATAAATTTAAAAACTATAAAATAATTTAATATATAATTGTCTGTATTAAGTGTTCAATTTATTACATCTTATTTATTTTCAAATAAAACCTATAAAACCCATGGTGTGATGACGATTTTCTTTTCATTTGCCGCTATGCAACCTTGTCAAACTCAACCCCTGCTGATTTGCGATGTAGGCTTTTTGCTCGACGTGACGGCCAAGCGGGTTGCCAAAACAATCAACCCTGCAGGCGTTTCAAAGGCAAGTTCAAACTCGTTTAGATTCACAACACCCGCTGTGCGAAGGGGACACGCGGGCTGCATACGTCGCAATTCTGCAGGCGCGCAGGGGTTTGTGGAAAAAATTAATACAGTCTCTGCTGCCGAAATCATGATTTTACAAAAAGTTGTTCTTTTAGACAAATTTATATAAACGATGAACTTATATTTAAATAATTTATTTTCATACAAATAATTATAATTAATTGTAAATATTTTGAACTCTATTATTTCATAGAGTAATTAAGAAAAACAGGTAAATTATCAAAATTTTTATAAAAATAAATTTCTTTAGATATAGTTATTTTGTTCGTAAAAATCTTTCTTGTGGATGTTTGCCCAAGATGACGCAGTAAATATTAAATTCAGACTTTGCACAAGGTCCTCTATCTTTATGGGCTGTAGCCGTCGTCGTCTGGAACGTGCATAGAGCGCCAATGTTCGCAACGTTCTCTGGCAATGCCGGTCATGTGATTTGGAGAGGGGTGCTCGGCGCCTGTTACAATAATACATAAACCCAAGTGAGCATCTTCAGAGCATGCAGCAGGGGTGGCCGCGATCAATACCACAGGGCTTGCGCCCTTCGCGGCACCCCCTTCGCGCCGGCCGGTTGCTAATCTTGTTTCGTCGTCTGCATTTTCTCCTTACCGGTTGGAGAAAAACATGCTCTGGCCACTTTTGTCTGCGAAAGAGTTGGACTAGAAGGACCCCGGCCAAAAATCTGTTGATCAATACTGAAAAGAAAATCAAGTGAAAATGGCAGTGAAAATTTCGCCTGCTGTCATTTCAGTGCCAGTCTTTGACTTTTGGAAACCGGTTACCGCCGACCGCAGGAGTCCCGAAGAAACTGCACCGCCAGTCGCGTCCGGATCATGTTTACCTGCTGTCAACTCTGGTCTAAGGTAAGTTGACCTGTGGTTCACGTCATCCTGAGGTGGATTTTGCCACCAACTTGTTACTTCCGTTCACATAAAAATCGAACCCGCCCAGAATTAACTTATGATTGCTGTAATTTTCGCGATTGCTGCGTAAAAATTGATGGAGCAATTACTGCATTATAAATAAGTGATAAATCTCGTGCAGCATAAATAGCAGTTTTCTTGCTATTGATCACACGCAGCGCTCTCCACGTGCTTCACGCGATGAAGTAAGATTTAATAATTTATGCAAAAGAAATCGAGTAAAAGGTAACACAAAATTATTAGGGTGTAAAATAATTGCCTCTACCCAATATAAAAAATTTAATCAAATCCAAATTTACAAATCTCATAATTATTCATCAAGATTTATTTGCTATGACACATTTAATTTTTCTTTAAAAAGGAAATTTTAAACAAGTTTGATTTATGTTTCCTAATATGAATTATTCAAAAGGAAAATTTTGAAGTGCATTATAAGAAGTAAAATTCTAAAGACTAAAAATCTATTTTTTATAAGTGCATTAAGAACAAAATTTAAGATAAGATAAAAAAAACATATATTTTCACTATTAAACATTTAACAAGAATATATATAATTTTATTGCGTTCCAATAAGTTCACTCACTTGTCAATTATTTTATTATAGGTTTGAAATATTTTTTTATTATTATGGAAATGAAATTTTAATTTTTTTCGCTTAACTTAAGAAGTACCGGGAGAGGGATTAATTTACCGACAGTAAAACATGATCTAGCTTTGCGTGAAAACACTCTCACTTTACAGAGCTAAAAATAGATCTCGATTTTACTCTTTATTGCTTCTAGAATTTGATCGCTGATTGAATTGAAAGCAGCGTGTAGTTCTAAGCACGCACGAAAAGCAATCCAATATCGATCTGATTATAATAACAAATAAAAAAGCGAATCAATAATATTTCTTTATGATTCTTTAGATTCATCCAACTCAGATTAAAAGACGTGTAAATATTTTTCATGGTCATTGCCCTTACAAACCATTTTTTTTTTACGATTTATAAATTCTGCCGTGGTGCCAAAAAGGAATGGACACGAGAAGGCACACGTTTGAAATTATTTGGCCTCCCTCTTGTCTATATAAGCTGATTAGACAGGCACTATACTGTTCGCTTTTGTTTATTTCTTATTAAAGGTGGGTGAAGCACATATGCGACTAACAAAGACCCCGCACATATATAGCACCTAAACTTGTCGATATTCGCAAGCCCTCCCCGTCATTCAATGGAAAAATGTCGAGGCTCCAGCGGCTTCGGCGCCGCCGCCACCATTCCCAAAGGCATTGCGTGTTTAAAACATAATATTTTATGCTCTAATTTTTTAAAACTAAAAAATAATAATAATAATTTCAGAGTTATGTGGAACGCAGTGACTCCACAGCCGTTGGACGCGGCTGCCCCTTCATCCCGAACTAAGCACAGTGCTACCCTTCTCGGAGGCCACTTGTACCTTTTAGGAGGCAGAAATGGCAACGTGGGTCTCAAAGACTTCTGGCGCTACAACATCAGTATGAAAAATAAAAAAAAGGGTGCTATTTATTAATGAAATTCTCAGGTGAGACGAAATGGGAGCAGTTACGTCCTGGAGGTGAAACGCCTCCGTGTCTGCAAGAGCACACGGCCGTCGCCTACAAAGACTGCTTGTTTGTGTTCGGTGGCGAGGTGGGTTTCAGCTCGGCCACTGAGACACCCCTGTGGGTTTATCATGTGCGGTCAAATTCGTGGCGAAAGGTCCGAACCCCGAAAGGAGTGCAGGTGCCTCGAGGACGCAGAGGTCACAGTGCCCTCATTTACCAGGGCGCCATGATCATCTACGGCGGATACCAAGACTTGAGGGGCTCCACAAGTGAGCTGTGGGCCTTTGACTTTAGTAAGATTATAAATTTCAATAAAAAAATTTTATATCACGCCACAATTAGACACAGAGTCGTGGCATCTCTTATCGGGCAGAGGTCGGGACGAGCCTCCTGCGCGCCACAAGCACTCGGCAGTGATGCACGACGGCGCGATGTGGGTCTACGGAGGAATGACCGACCTACAAACGCGCTGTGACCTTTGGCGCTGGGACGCCCTTACAAAAATCTGGACGAGCATTCGCGCCAAGCATGGGCCTGGTCCATTGAATGGCCACGCTGCATGCAAGGTAATTAGATTATGATCATTAACTTTTGTAATTGCGTGATTTTGTCCAGCTCGCTAGCCTTAATAAAATAAAAGGGGACTTGATTTTTGGTTCAAACACGTTGCGTGAGGGTGGAGGGCAGTCAATAATTGACGGGTGGCTCGAATAAGTAGCGGGCTGGTTTATTCTTGTTTTTCTCAGAAATGGGCTGTTAATAATTTTGACAATAATAACTGGTTTCTCTGCAGTTTATTTTTAAAGATTAATATTTATTAAAAATAAGTTAAGCTTTAAAAATAGATAAAATTTCTCATTGAATTTGTTTCAGAGTTTTCCATTTACATAATAAATATTTTAAAATTTTAATTTTCTTAGGTGGCGGCGTCGATGCTTGTATTTGGCGGTGAGCGCGGCGATGGAAACGTGAGTGCCGACCTTTGGCGCTTCCATTTCGCCACCGAGAGCTGGGAGCGAATAACCCCCCTTGGCATGAAGCCATCAGCGCGTGCAGAGAGCGCCGTTCTGGTTGTAACGGAGGCGCCGACCTCCTCGCCAGTGGTGGCGCCGCGTCCCCGTTCCGTCGAACGTCGCGTGCAGCGCTCAACGTCAACGCTGGGCAACGAGGCGCCGTCCTCGCTCTTCAATCGTCTTTCGACCGTGAACCTGACCGCCCGTCTTTCCCGCTGCAGCTACAGTGTACTGAGCAACGACAGTGCAGAGTCGGACGCCGAATCGGCAACGTCTATCTGCAAGTCGGCCAGCATGCATACTGGTGTTGCTGCGGTGCAACTACTGCAGCACCAACGCCGGCTCCCTCGAGATAGAGTCTCTGTGCCAAATTTTGCTTCAGCGCCTCTAACGCCAGTCGAAGCTGCAAGACTGGTCTTTGTGGACAGCAGTGATGATGAGGCTGAGACAGGTTAGTTCTAACAATGTTATACAAAATTCAAAAGATTAAAATTAAAAAAAATATATATATATTTATATAATTTTTTTAATTGTTATAATTAAATCTAATATTTTTTGGCTCTGAGGGTGATTTTTTATAATTACTGGGTCTTTTTTATAATTCTTTTGGTGCGGAAGTTTATATATTTTTGATATTTCTCAAGAACTTGACTCGACTCCAGATTGCTTTACAACGCCTGAGACAGACGGTGTGCTTGACTTCCCATCCCTCCACCAACGCTTTCAACCAACCAGGCGAATCGCTAAGTCGGCTTCAGTCAGGTTTAACCTGGAAGAGCCTGACTCAGACTACGCCAGTGTGGCCAGCACAACGCCCCACGATGGTCCCCTCAGCTTTAGCAATCCAAACTATCTAGGCCCTGAAATTGGCCAACTGCTCAACAGTCCCCCGGACTCGCTCCTGCAGGACCCAACAGGCCGTTTTCACTCGCAGGTCAGCTAACTTAATTAACAATTTAGAAGTTAGCTGAGTACTATAAATTTCATTCCACAGGATCAAATTGAGATGAAGCAATTAGCATCTCCCACGCCGCGCCGAAAAGCGCCGCCAACCAGTCTGCCCTTAGGAAACGGCGAACGTCAACATCGCCTTGCCCGAGCTCTCAGCGCCGGCCGAGCTGAACGTCGAAAAGAGCAGACACCGCCGCTCTTCATGTACGTGGTTGGTGGCAAGGAAAAGGGTCAGGTGGTACTTTTTAAGCGATCCATTTCCATGTGGCGCCTCTGTCTACACCCGAGCATTTTCACTCGTCGATAGGTGGTACAAATATTTTAAAATCGCGCTGATCTCTCCTCTCTTTTAGCAATTATCGCGTCTTTATACCTTTCGTCCATATGCTGAGTGAGACACGAACTATATTTGTCTAACAAAGAAAACTCGTTACTTGAAAAGAATAATCCTTTTCAACCGAATACACCAAAAGACGGATATTGCTGCATGTTTTATGTAAAAATGGTTTATTTGAATACATTCTGGAAAAAAGGGAGAACTGGTTTAAAATTGCCAAAGTTATTTGTGTCCTTAGTCATGGAAACATCTGTTGTGATAAAAATTGATATTTATGCATAATGTATGAATCAACCTGCGTCCACTTTGTACGAATTGTCTACCCTGCCACAAAATACTTCATCTCTGCAAGCAGTTTTTTTTTAAAGATTTTTTATCTGGAATAATAAACACAACACATAATATGTAAATAGGCGTGAAAAATTTCACTCGAAGAAATCAAACACGACTAAATAGAATTTTCCGTCCGGCTTTCTCATTAAAACTGCGTCTGCGTGTTTTAACAAAATATTATAGCGCTTTTTAAGAATTATATTTGCATAAAACCATTTAGTAGAGCAACAGAGATGAAAGTACTTTGAATGCAAGCAAAGCATCATGAACCAGACATTTTGTGAATCCATTGCAACAAAATTAATGTTCCAGTGTTCATTTTATTGGATGTGCACCAATTTGACACTGATTGTGTTAGTCAGTCTGCCAGGCGAGAGATAAACCTATTGTTTAGGCAGACAATATTATGGATACAATTTAGTTATAGCTTTTGTTGCTTATTAACTATTGCCAAAAATTCGGTTGTTAGTCCTCATACGGATAATTTAGTTGACTTGTTTACTGTGGCTTATTAAGTGATGTTAAGAAAAAAAATTGTGTTGATGGTTAGAGCGTGGATTCACGTGGAAAAAGGAATCCAGATCCGTTTTGGTTACTGTGATACCTTCGTAGAGTGAGTAATCAAGGAGTGAAGCTTCCTGTGTCTGCGTGTCACTTGTTATTGACCAGTCCTAGTGTCCAAACGTGTTTGCCAATAAATTGAATAAAAATATGATGAAACGTAATTCTCACATACGCAAAAACTCCTTAAAGTATGCCACAATTGAAATTCAAAATTGCTTGGTCGTTAATTAATTGATTTTATTTAAACTAAAACAAGAAATTGAGGCCCCAACTGCTGTGTCTCCAACGGCAGGATCGTCACCTCAACTGCACATTAAGGATTTTTTACATTGCCTGGCTCATACAGCTCTAGTTTTGTGCTACACAAGCTCAATCTTGTTTGAAATTTTGCAGAGGCAATACAGAAAAGGCTTTTGTATTTAAGAATATTGCTTTATAAGCGCAATATTATGCTGGTTTAATTAATTTCCATTTTTGAGTTGGACAGCTTAATCAAGATCTCGTTATGGCAACAAGCAGCTCCGACAATTAATTCACCACAGGCTGAGGTCTCTTCTGTTTGGGTTCTTTTACATAAATTATTGTAGTGCGCGGCGACAACTCCCAATGGATGAACGTCAAGTATGCAGAATTTTAAAAAGTTTAAAAATGACAAAATCTGGGAGACGATCACGAGTTTTGTATAGGATTTTAAACAAATGTCATCCTATACATAAAAGTAGGACATTTCGCATGTCAGTGTTATTTCGATAAAAATTTCCAAGCGCTGGATGACTTGTATTATACAAACTAATCAACAAATTGTTGAAAACGGCCTGGACCTTTCAATCCTGATGTCATGAAGAACAAAATAAATGGCTTGATTAACACTTTTACATCAGATTATAAAAAATTCTTGTAACTCATGATAGTGCTCATATGCCTTTTTTATATAAATTTCAATTAAGTTTCCCGGCAATTTGGAAGGAGCCATAATTTATCTCCTTTAACTTCACATTGCTATTTGAAGCAATTCAATTGTAAATCTGCTCTGTTGATCTTAAGATATTTAAATTAAATTTCTTACTCTGCATGCTTGTTATCAATTTGCAGCAGCCTTTGAAGCGTTTGACTTTGTTTGTTGTCTACAAATCTTGTCAAAGAGTTTGGTTTAGCCAATGGGTCTAACGGAGTGGTTGGCTCGATTGAAAGCTCACATGAAACTTCAGATATCGTGCTAACAAAAGTAGACCAAGCCTGCCAGTCAGGGTGCGTTTTTGGAGGGCAGCTGTTGTCGTCTAACTCACCAGCTCGGTTAATGATCGAGGTGATGATGGATACGCCAAACTGTAAATTTGACGTATTTTAAAAAATATCTACAAACGAATATTCAAATCTCACTTTGTTAGAAAGGGCTGCCGGCAGTGGCGATCGTGTAGTGATATTGCTAGGAGACGAGTTACGCTCGGATATTTGTGGAAGCATCGCTGAGATCACTTCAACTATGTTAGGCAGGACTGCCTGGGCGCTCCAATCACGGAAAGCAGGGAACAGTTCACACAGCACTTGCTCTTGCGCATCCTTGCGTGATATACTCCAAAAGTTTTGAAGCAGAGAGCGCCAGATTGGGGTTTGCTGAGAATAGGTCAAGTGCGGGAAAAGTCGTTGAAGAAGAATCTGCAAAAAGGCATTTTAAGTAATTATCTATACAAATAATTTTGTTAGTGTCACATACTTTGCCTTTCCGAACAGACAGGAGCAAGGGTAACTTGTCTTCGGCATTAGGCGCAGGTATGATGGTATTCAAGACTTTCCACACTATTTCTTCCTTACTCTCGGGCACTGACTGTTTGGCTTCTAAAAGGGGGTGCTCTAAATCTTCTAATTGCAATACCAGGATGTACAGCTGTAAAAAAATGTATATTAGTGTATTATAAAAAAAAAATGATGCAAAGTTACCCTTTCAAGTTCGAGAAGTGCTTGCTTCACTTTTCTTGTATCCCTTGCAGGAGTCTGAGCGTCCTGACCCTCTGCATTCATGATTTCCATATCAATAATTTTCCTGGGTGCCGTCACACTGACGACCTAAATTTGAAGCAGTCTTTTTAGTAAAATGGTAGTTTTGAAGAAAAAAATTAAGAAATATGGGATCAATAGGATCACACACCTGCAGCTTTCCTAACGATCCTTCAAATTGTGCAGGCGTATAAGTCCTCGGCTCCAGCGTTCGTTGCTCTCTTTTTTGCACTCGCACTCCACGCTCCCCAGCCAGTTCTCTGGCCCGCTGCAGCTTGTATTGGAATGCGGTGTAGTAAAAATCATCCACATAAGGCTTTTGCGTGTTGAGTTGGAGAATCTGTATGTTTATCAACCACTGCTTGTCCTTCTGGGTCATGAGTCCTGCATACGGGTCATGAGAACCATTTTGCCTCAACTGCTGCTGCTGCATTTGGTGTTGTTGTTGTTGTTGCTGCTGCTGCTGCTGGTGGTGAAGCTATTTTTTTTTATTATTAGTAGTTATTAAAAATTGGTATTTTCTTAGCTTACCATCATTTGGTGCTGTTGGTTCATCATTTGAGCAGGATGGGGATGATGCATTCCAGGTGGATGCATCTGATTATGCATCATGGGCACTGGCATCGGCTGGTTCATCCAGGGGAATGGCATTTCACCTCGCATGCGCATGTGATGGAAGTTGGGAGGAAACATATTTGGGGGCATTCGATGCATTCCGGGTGGCGGAGGATGTCTCATAGGGCCTGGGGGCATCATGATTCCACCGTTATGGGGTGGCGGTGGGGGCTGGTGCATGAATGGCTTTCCTTGGTTCTGGGCCAGTCTTAGAACTGCAAATAAATTGCCTAAAATTAATTCTGACCGTCCAACATCATCGGATGAAATTTTAAAATTATACAACAGGAGATAAGTTAACTTATTTATCTTTATACCCTTTTTTAAATCATTTAACCACAATGAAACAGTGATAGTTATAAAAAATATTTATACCTATATCAGGCTGCGACGAAGGAGGGTGTCCTTGAGGTCTGTGTTCCGGCATTGAGCCCATTGCTCTGAGCATTTCTAGCAACTGGTTCGAGTCCACAGGACCACCTGGCTTTGATCCCTCCCTCACTGGACTTCCAAAATTACTGCCTTCAGGCTGAGCTTGCTGCAAGAAAATATTTTTTAAATGGTTCCCCTGAATTCCACGGAGGATATCTTACAGCTCGTTGGACTTGAGCTTGAGATTTTGCACGAAGGTCTCTTTCGAGGTCCTCTACTGTTCTAACCATTACCATATTAGGAGGTTTGGGCACCTGCTGTGGTGGAGGCTGACCATGACCTAACCTGCATGCACCAACAAATTACAACTCCAGTATTGTATTTCATTATAAAATATAGAATAACTTACGCAGCAAGCTGATTAAATACGGGCATGCTAGGATGTTGGGTGTTTTCAAAACTGCCCCCTGGCTTTGGTGGGGCGCGTTGTTGTAAACTAGGGATAGGCGGCCAAAATCCAGGAGGTATAGAAAGCATAGGTTTCTGCTTGACTGGAGATTCAACTTCATCCAAAATAATTTCTGTAAGCCGCGCTTCGAGTTGCGCTGCAGCAGAACCAGAGACAAGACCATCCTCGTCATCATCCTAGAAATAATAATTTATTAATTAAGGTGCTCAAATATGAAATAATGCTGTTACTTCTACTGGGTGGTGAGCCCTCGTCTGTTTTATCCTTGCTGTTTCAGTCTCCACTGCAAGTTGCTCGTGGCTTTTTTCCCACTCGTCCTCACGCCATTCTAAGAATTAAATCAAAGTTATAAAATTTTAGCACCAACATCAAATAGTTCCTGACCTGTATCAGCACCAAAAGTTTCGTCGTTGAGAGCATCATACTCGTCCTCTTCCATACCTGGTCCATCTTCAGGCTGACAGAAGAGAAGAAAGTTTTAAAATGTGATTTATGTATTTTGCATGGATAAATCTTATTTTTATAAAGGTAAATTTGTTGAGTTTTCTATTTGAGAACCAATGATAAAAAAATAACATACCGGCAAGGATGCGTCAAAATCGAAAAATGAGTCGGTCATCCTGAATTTCCATTAAACGCCAGCATGAAAAGGGTGAGACAGATCTCAGTCTGGGCGCTTCAAGGTTGCTCAGCTACAAGAAAAAAAAATTTAATACAGGGATGGACAAGAGGTTGACACACAACAACTAACTGCTGTTGATGGAAAGTGCGAAAGTTGCGCACAAAAAGAGTAGCATTGCTTATTCTATATTCCAGCAAATCCCCGAAGCTAGAAAGTCTTACATTGTTTGGAAAATGAATTGGGCTAAGTCTGCGTAATAGCGAGAAAATCCACTAATGTCGCAAAATAACAAACTCTGACTGCAAAACAGCAGTGCCCGCTTTGCTTTTATCGAGAAATCGAGTCCAAGGTGGACCCGTGTGCGGAATCGTGGAGGTCACACTGCATAGTGCATTGGAATGTAGCTTATGCACATACGTCCCGTTTTAACGATGCAAAAGAATCCATAAATTTAATATAAAAATACTTTACAAACCTTTCGAAAGCACTGTAATTTTGAGGGAAATTCTAAAATGATGTTGTAAAATTTGTGTTCTGAATCGGTTATTTTGCGAATGTCAAAACGAATGAAAGCTCCTTGGGATAACAGATAGCGCGCCAATCAGCGATTGGAACCGTGAAATGCTTAGCTCTAATTGGCTACTCAAATTTTTTCCGGTGTTTTATGTTTAAAATACAGTTTTGAAGTCAATTTTTTTATCTTCAAATTTTTGATGAAATTTAATATAGATGCTTTTTATTGAAATTTCCACTAAAAATAATCAGGTTCGTTTCTTTTTTAATTAAATATTTCTACTGTATTGGCAAAAATTATACAAAAGAACTTGGTTTAACCGGTTATTAAAATTAACCGGTATTTGTAGTTTCAAGGAAAGAAAATCGAATTCCCACCCTTTACGAATGCCTTGCATATGTCGTCTATTGTGTGAAACGTGGTTTTGAGAGTGATTCGTTTCAAATCACAGGTAATCCTTGCCAAATTCTGACCTTTTATTGAATAAATCTTGCCACTGCGAGATCAGATATTTCATTCTTACGTTTTGCACCATAGTTTATTATCCCGATGGCGCATTAGCAGAAATTTCTTGCGCCGAATTCATGCTTTGTTTATATCTGACTGTGACTTAAAAGGTCGGCAGAAAATAATTTGTTGACACTATACGCCCCGAAATTCAAACTATGACTATGAAAATTAAAAAACATAAATTATATAAATATTCCTTTGTGAATATTTCGCTGATTGCAAAATTTATTTTCAGCCTCAACATGGTCCGAATGAATGTTTTGAGTGATGCTCTCAAATCCATCAACAATGCTGAGAAGAGGGGTAAAAGACAGGTCCTCATCAGGCCCTCGTCTAAGGTTATTGTCAAATTCCTCACAGTGATGATGAAGCACGGTAAATATAGTCAACTTGATTCAATTTTCAACAATAAAAATAAAATTCCGACTTCTTCAGGTTACATCGGTGAGTTCGAGATTGTCGATGACCACAGAGCAGGAAAGATCGTTGTCAACCTGACTGGTCGCCTCAACAAGTGCGGCGTCATTTCTCCACGATTTGACGTTCCAATCACGCAGATTGAAACGTGGACAAACAACTTGCTCCCTTCCAGACAGTTTGGGTAATTATCTGATGTTTCTCAAATTCCTTGCAAGTCTTGAGCAAGTGATTTAACCCTGAAGTGAAAAAGTATCAAGTTGCCTGAATAATTCAAATTACGTACTAGTGAGAAAAGTTTCCAGTTAACAAGGAAGCAATTTATTATTCCATCTACGAATGACACTACTTTTTTACGTCTGTTACTGCAGAGTTACTTAAAATTTACTGCTGAATAAAAGGTTTCCATTCATTTGAGTATCAAAAATGTTTATATTTTCTGGATTCGATAAATTTTTATGTATTGATTTTTAGCCTACTCTTCAACGATCATGTAATTCTTGTTCAAAATTAAATTTGAAGTTATAATAGATTCTAGAAACGTTTTTATAAATACATGGATTTTAATGTGTGCGCAAGATTTTCTTCATTGATCATTCTTGTTTCAGTTATGTTGTTCTCACCACCAGTGGAGGAATCATGGACCACGAAGAAGCGAGAAGGAAACACCTCGGTGGAAAAATTCTTGGCTTCTTTTTCTAAGCATTAAAGTTACTGAATATAAATCGATTTGTTTTCTTCATTTACCATTTTTTTTTTTAATATCACTAAATTATTAAAAATGAATGCCTGCACCAAAATGGTTGCAAGCGTTTAAGGTCTTTTTACAACTTATTATAAAATTTCAAAGATAAAAAATAGATTTTAAAATAATTTTATTTTTATAAATTTTGCATTTCAAAAAGTGGTCCTCGCACTGCTATTTACACAAGCGTTGTGTGGATAAGCTTATGGGAGCTGGCGCATGCGCACAAGCGTCAATCTGAGCATGCCGTCTCGTCACATGTGCCGGTTTGTGCTCGTGCGTCTTCTGTAAACAACAAAGAAACAGTCCAAAAAGTTTTCAATTAATTAAAAGAGTAGGGCACCGTCTAGGTGATTCCACGTTGAATAGAAATGGATCATGGAAACAGAAACTATTTTAAGAATTCTCCCAGGAAGGGCAGTTTTAGTATTTCCCAGCAAAACCAATCTAAGGTTGCTTGACTTAAATGGTTATGTATCTGGTTTGTTGTTGAATCAGGAGCTTTTAATTCCAGGCTCCTCCGGTAATGATGCCTTTGATTCATCCGGCAAATATCAAGAAAGAGCCCGGTTTAAACGCGAAAAACGCTTTCGTCCCAGGGCCATTTGTTAATTCTGAAGATGAGTCTGCGAGCACAGCCTCGTCAACAACCATCTCTTCAAGAACTAATAATGGTAAAATAAAATAATAGTGCTATTTTATTTGTAAAAATTAAACTTTTTCTTTACATTATGTTATATTTGGGAAATATTTTTAGTTTTAGTATCAATTTAATAAAACATGTATATATTGAAATAATCACAAATTATTTAAATTTTTGTAAAGAGCTTATTATTTTTCTCAAGTTTTGTATGTGCCAATAACATTTGCTTACAATGTGTATTATTGGCTAAAACAATTTCTTATTTTTTTTTTACAGGTCGTGTCAAGAAGCTAAAAAAGAATCAGAAAAAATTACAGGCGACGGTGAAAACAGTTCTCTCAAGTAAGAAAAACGACATTTCCGGGTCAAAGTGGAGTCCTCTTAATGGGAAACCAGCTTCTCCTCAAGAAGAAAAGAGCAGCATTGAGGAAGGCAGAGAAACGTTTGCATGGATTATACACCCTGTCCCTATAGATGAGTTCTTCAGGTTAGAATTCCTTCATGCACTCTATTGAAAGGCGCTGCAATCACAATTTATTTTAGTATGTCTTGGGAGAAAAGACCCCTACACATTGGCCGAGAAAATCCGTCATATTACTCAGCTCTCATCTCAACGTCAAAATTTGATACCATGCTCAGAAAAGTATGTATTAAATTTAAGTTCCCTCCCCTGAGACATCATCGATTTCAATCTTGTTATCTGCAGAAGACTACTGAATAGGATTTCCCCTATTATTTTTATTTATAATTAAATTCTTTTCCTCTCTCAGCACAACATACAGTTCACCAAAAACCTGGATGTGACAAGCTATAAAAATGGCAAAAGAGAAACTCACAATCCTGATGGAAGGGCACTTCCCGCACAAGTTTGGGAGGCTTACAAAAATGGGTGCAGCATTCGCATGTTGAACCCACAGACCTTTAACAAGCATGTTTTTGCTCTAAACGTTGTTCTTCAAGAATTCTTCGGAACCATGGTGGGAGCTAATTTGTAAGTTTTTAATTTTTAGATAAATATTCAAACCTATTCGACTCATAAATTTTCTGCCAGATATTTAACTCCTCCTGGCACTCAAGGATTTGCTCCACATTACGATGACATTGAAGCGTTTGTGATCCAGCTGGAAGGAAAAAAGCACTGGCGTCTTTATACACCCAGGTTTGTTATAGATATTTTGTTAACTGTTCTAGAAATGCAATTGATTAATGTTCTTCAGAGATGCAAGCGAGGAGTTGCCACGCTTTTCAAGTTCAAACTTGAAGGACAAAGAGATAGGCAAACCAATTATGGATGTGGTGCTAGAAGCGGGAGACATGCTTTATTTCCCAAGGGGCACAATTCACCAAGCCAATGCCTTGCCAGACTCTCACTCCTTCCACATCACAGTCTCGTGCTATCAGAAAAATTCGTGGGGAGATTTTCTGTTGAAGGTAATAATGAGCATTTTGACTATTATTTTGCAGAAATTCATCAATAAAAAAATTTCAGTTGATTCCTGCTGCATTAGAAATGGCTCTTGAGGAGAATGTAGAATTTCGCCGAGGCCTCCCCCTGGACTACCTGCAATACATGGGAATTGCGCATTGCGAGCAGGAGTCTTCCAAAAGAACCGAGTTTATCTCAAAACTGAAGATGCTTACTGAAAAACTGTTCAGTTACGCCCCAGTTGATGCGGCCGCAGACCAAATGGGAAAAGATTACCTTCTTGACATTCTGCCTCCTAACCTTAGAGAAGGTATTGCATACATTCCAAAATTTTTTCGAAATCCATGGCTTGCAAAATAAAAGCACTTCATAATAATTTGTAATAATCTTGTAGATGAAATTCAAAGAATGTCTGTCAATGCGTCGGTTCGTATGGAAGATGGTATTTTGATCCCAGCCAAGCTTTTAACTGTTAAAACAAAAATCAAATACCTCAGGGCAAACATAGTAAGGTAAGTCCAAACCCTATTATTTTACATATTTTCTTCCTTTTTTAACAATTAAAAAATAAATATACTTTATAGGCTTGTTTCTGAAGAAGAAACTGTCCGTGTTTATCATGCGGCTGAAAACTCGCTAGAGTACCACGCAGAAGGATCAAAATTTTTTGAAGTGAGTGCCGAAGAAGCTGGTGGCATTGAGACCCTCTTGCATGAGTACCCTTCCTACACAGCCATAGCTGACCTTCCTTTGGATACCGATGCAGAGAAGGTGAGTCAGAATATTTTAGTTAATTTGGTTGCATGTGGTATCAAGTTTGAGAAATAGTCTTTTAAATTCTAAATTAAAAAATTAAAATCTTTTTAAATTACCGTAAAGTATCATTTGCCTCTTTGACATATTACGTATATTTTATCAAAGCAGTTTTAATGGAATTTCCAAGATTTATTCTCAAATTATTCTTCTCTTGTCTTCCATGTATTATGCTGCGCAGCTTTACTGCACAATTTTTCTGACACGCCTTTCAAACAGGAACCAAACCCTCCCTGCAAATAAATTTCGTCCCCTCTTATATGCCTGTTTCGTTGCAGTTGCGTCTAGCAAATATCTTGTGGAGGAAAGGACTTGTCATGGCAGACAAGCCTCTGTAAGGAAATTTCTCAAAAGAAGCACCCAAATCATATAAAATCATATGTTCAAACGGCAACTTGTTCCGCATCATATATTGCAAATTTGTAAAAAAAAATTTAATTTTTTTTATCATTTGATGAACTTATTACAAACAATTAAAAAATTTATTTTAAAAATCTCACATCATGGACTTTTTATTCAAAATTTTTACTTGCATGCTTTGGCGATAAATAGTAAATTAAATTTATATAGCGATTTATAGTTTAAAGTACAAGACTAAATGTCTGCTCTATTCAAAAATTTAAATTTAAAACAAATAATACAAAGAAAAACATTAGAATAAGGGTTATGTGGAAAGCAGAAGTATCCTAAATTTAGCTATGACGGTAATTAATATTATAATTTGCGACAACTTGTTAAAATGCACCTTTAAAGCTTTAAAGTTTACATCATTGCTAAGCTTTATCTTTACAGAGAAGGCGGTATCAATTAGCTTTAAAAATATTGAAAAATAACTTTATGACCTGAAATGCAACTCGAAAATTAATATTAATTTAAATTCATTTTCCTTACGGTTGAAAATTCTTTTTTGTAGCTGTTTCCAGCAAAAGTTCTTAAAATTTTCCTATTTGCTTTTAGGCCTCAATTCTTACTTTTTCCTCTCATCCAGAATATTGACTCTCGCTAAAAAGCTTTTCCTGTCTCGTCGTTGCCATAGCTCCCGCGGCGTTTAAAAAATGTGCACATCAGACGATCAAACCCCCAACACTGCGCTTTCGGTGCTCCAGCCATTTTTTCCTGTTGAAATACACATCAGCAGGAAATTAGAAATCAAATTTTTACTTATGTCGTCTTAAAGCTTACAACTTTTCTTGCAGGGAAAGACAGTGTAAAAATTAAAATTAGTCTTTTTTTCCCATATCCTTTTTGTATGTATATTTTTATGCATTTTATTGTTTAATTCTTCTTTATTTGTCTCAAGCCGGAAAAGTACTTTTGAAATCGCTAAACTGTGAGAAAAAGATTAACTCAAGTAACAGAAATCTGCCTAAACGCCTGACATAAAAATTAAGCAGCCGCCATAACGCAAGCACACTGTATTATACTACATATTTAATATTAATTCATCATTGCCTTAATTTAATTGTTAATTAAAATCAGTTAAAATTACTTTTTATTTTTTCAATGGAAAATCCTAAATGCTTTTGATCAATTTTTCTGTTTAAAAACGTCCTTAAAATTATTATTATTAGTTTGAATAAAGCTTACTAGCTACTGGTAAAAATTTAAATATTCAAAACTGCTCTTTCTGTGCAAATATATTGTACATTTTTATTGCTTCACGCGCTCCTCAAATGTATTTTTATATACCCTAGTTAAAAATTTATTCAATTTATCAAATTATTTTCCGTGCATGATTTATTTGTGTTGATGATATATTGCATGCAAATTTCGGATCCATAGCTTGCATGATTAAATAACAATTAAATTTATTTTTGCAATACTTTTTATTTCATTGGGGGTGGATCAGTTTGAGACGGTTGTGAAATTTATGCTGATTTGCTGTGTGCAACTCAGCACTGCGATAAAAAAAGTCAAAATGTAGAGCCCCCTATTAATCAGCATGCTCTCATCGCAGCATGTATAAATTTCGAGCGAGCAAGAGAGATGAATCAATGCCGTGCATGAGAGGCGAGGGAGCGAGCGAGGGAGGTTGCAGAGAGAGCGAGAGGAGAGCCATAAAGCCATACCAGCAGTCTCACCATGTCTGCAGGGCAGAATGACAAAAGTACTGTGGTAACATCATTATCAATGCACCATCAAGAAAGGGATGATAATTGAAGGGTAGAAAAGACACATGTGCTAGGAGCCACCCCATGGGGTGGGGGCGTGGCGTTTCGCCAGAGAGAGGGGGCGCAATTTGTCTTCTTTTCGTTGTAATCACAGGCGCACCTGCCACATTAAAAGACACTACGCCAGCACACAGGGTCTCTCTCTGGCAGCGCAGAACACTCACTCTCTTTATAGTGATGTACGTACATACATGGGGGGAGCGAAAAAGGAGTTTTCCCTTCTGTCAAAGATACATCATTACAACTGTCTTATTTTACCCCATTTGTATTCAATTTGGCACAACACACGAGAGCTCTCTGCTGCTGCATATTGGATGTGTGTATGCTTCAATGTAAATCTATTTGGCGCTTGAATGACAACTTCAGCCAACTTTCGTTGGTATCAAAACCGTACACACGCAGCTTAAACTTCGTTTCGTCAGTTTGAGAGAGTGAGCTCGGGAGTGTTTTCTTCTGAGGATAAAAAGTAGTAAAGAAATTTGTTTGGCAAGCGAAGGAAACATTGACATCGCATTATCTCTTAAAAAGTGTAGCATCATTGGGAGAATTTCTTCGCATTCGATATTTAACTAATTTTAAAAGCTGCAATCCGCCCTTTGCTCCTTTATTTCCAATGTGAATTATAAAAGTTATAAAATTCATGGAATTGCAATTAACTTTGTACTCTCGATTGCTTTATATTATAAATAAATCTTATAAAACTATATGGCAGTTATTAAAAATTTAAGAATGAAATTTTAAATTTTAATGCATTGAGAAAAACGGCGAAACAAATATTCGTGTGCACTTCTGCGCTTTAATTTTTTTAACTATTTCTGATTGTTTGGCATATTTTTCTTTTTTTCTTCAAAATTTGTCATTTGGTTCAAAAGCGGTGGTCAGATAAAGCACGCTACTGGCATTGCCAGTTGACAAAAGAATCCCATCAGCGGCAAAATTAATTGCTTTGTCCTCGCTGAACTCGCTCTTTGGAATTTCAGCGGACTATTAGAGTGGGCGCGTGCCACCCCATTGTTTGCTCAAATGCTGTGCAAATTGCGCTTATACTGCGTGTGTTTGTTGTAACGCAAGCAAGGCCACTATTTACATTTACTTCTCATTCATTCAAGTCGCGCCAAACAAAACGGGCCTAATTGATTGAGCGTGCCGCCCCGCGCCTCCCCCGGACACGCTACTGCAGTTCGGAGCCGCCAATGTTCCACTTGACATTTTGCTGCGCCAGGATCAAGAGTGTTAGATAAAGAGCATAATAACAGAGAGTGTGTGACAGGGGGAGTTAATACTTTTCCCAACTGCAAACCCGACGCGTGCACTTTTCAATGCAAGTCAAATATTGATGTGGTGTAATAAATAGGCACTTGATTGGATTATAGAATGAGAGAGCGCTGCTTGAGAAAGAAGTGTTTTTTTACTACTATTTAATTCTATGTGATTTAATGTGGCTTTTTTTAATTCATCTTCTCCTTTCATCAAAAGACAACAAAACTAAAAAGCATTTGTTTTTTGCAGTTTTGTTTGTTTATTTTTTATTTTCTCAAAATCCAAAAAAAAAATAAGTTGCAGTTGAATCTGCAAATATTTTCAAATGAGCAACCTGAAAATAATTATTCCTTTATTAACCTGCAAAATAATTATTTATAATTTAAGGGGCTAAAAGTGTGATACAGAAGTAAGTTTCCGCAGACACATCTTACCGTAAGAAAGGGCACAAGTTACACGCCAGGGCTTGTAACTTGTGTCCTGAGCAAATTATTTCCCGCAACCATTAAAAGTGACTGAAAAACACGTTCATCCAACGCCTGCAACTTTTTCAGGTAGGCAACCTGCACGGCACGACTTACAGAGCAGTTGCATAATTTAAGATCCTTTCAAAATTTGGAGGAAGAGGAGCAGAAGCAGCTTTGAGAAATTTGCATAATATTTCATAATTTTATTGAAGAGAATTGAATTATTGCATTATATTGGGTAATTAAAAAAATTACATGAAAATAATATTTCCGAATATTTCACTGATTTTGAAGAGCATTCGATTTTGTCAAAAGATTTACTTTTTGTTAAAAAGTTCAGAAGTGTTAAAATAATCTTTAGATTGTGAAAAGCGCTGTAAATTTTAAATAGTTTAAACTGTACTCATCTCTTTATAATAAGAATAGAAAAAAAATTGAGCGTAGCAACATATGCACTGCTCTCTTTGGGAAACAATGGCATGCAAAAAAGGTCCACAACTCTCGTCTTTTATAATTTTTTTTATTCAACGGCAAACAGCACTTCAAAAGAATTCGTGTCCGCAGATGGGGCGGCCAGAGAGAGAGGAAGAGTGCGTTGCGCGCCCACCCGTCCGCGGCCCTCCGGGCGCATATCTGCGTGCAATCTAGCTGTTCAGTGAATTTTATTGACGGTGATGTAACATTTCATGCAGAGAGGGATCAGTGGGGGGCGAGGGGGCGTGTATTACTAATGGCATGCACTTAGAGAAGGCGACAGAAGGAGGGCTGTGCCCTGCTTTTGAAATAAGAGCCGCCGCTGGCTCGGCGCTGGCTGCATCTGCCGCCGGTCCGGAGCAGCCCTTTAATTCTTATATGTGCGGTGCAAGGTGACAAATTCGCTTTGAATTGAATGACAAGTTGCCAGGCTGCATCTGTTTTGCTTTTTTGTGCAGCTGCCCTCACTTGTCCACGAGCGGATCAGCGCACTAATCCGCGATTTTCTCTCACTCTCTCCCGCTCATTATGCGCCGCTGCTATTTTTACGGGCCAGATTGTCACCGCATTGTTTGGCGCCCCGCAGGTGTCCCGCGACCACTGCTGGTGGAAGTGAAAGTTTTTCTATTCATCGTGCTTGTCTGAACCGCGTTTTACCAAAATTACCGATTTTCCATTTAAAGCAATCATTTTAACACTAAACGCTAAACTTATTCGCTGCGCACTTTAGACTTAAAGTATATTTTATCATCTAATATAGCTTAATAGCTGTGAAGCAATTAATTGAATAGATAAAAATTCAATTGCATAGTTTGATTAATTAATTCAGTTTGGTTGACTATAAAATATACAGCAACCCAATTTTGTATTTAAATAAACAATGAATTATTTTTTTTTAATTGTTGAAAGGAAAAAAATATGGAATATTGAAAGCCTGTTTTACAAACAAATATTGGGAAAATGTGCTTAATTCAAATAGATGGATTTAATTTCCTTGATCGATTGCCACAAAGCTGATTGTATTCGGGAAATTGTTTTGTGTAATTTCCCCTGCAAGCTGTTGAGGATACGTTGGGTCCTAATGAATTCATTTATTCAAATCATCCTTCAACTCTGCGATGAAATTCTTGAACAAAATTAATTATATAATATATGCCTTTGATTATAAATATACTTTTAAAATTTCGATAATTTTCAAATTAAGCATAAATAATACATTTTCCCTCTTTTTTTAATTCTTTGTTTGATTTATTTCTCATTCTATACAGAAAAATGTAAAAATTGTTTTAAAAGTTTGGAAGTGCAGTGCAGCAGAGAGCATGTCTTGCTCAAAATTCAACTCTCAAGTCGGTACAGGGAGAAAAGAGACAGGGGTGGCGACCGCCCCGGGCGCAATGGCACCGCAATTTTTAATTATCTTTGACAGTGCTTTGCCGAGAGTGAAGGTGTAAGTGTGTAAGTGTTTCTCGGGAGAAATGTTTGATGGAACCAACCGCTCTTTATAAATAAAATCGTCAAAAAGTTAAATGGCGAGTCGGAAGTTATTTCTCCGCGATAAAAGCCTTAATGATTTACACATTTCCGTAAAAAAAAATTAATTACTAACAAGGTGATTTGAATTTAAAGTCAGTTTGGCCTCAATGGGTTTTGCGAGTTGTTTTTATTGTTTAAGAAGGAAAAACAATATTCTGCTGTGAAATCATTTTGACTAGAATTAGTACAAAAATCAATATTTTTAAAACTAATATTTTCTTTCTAATTTACCATTTTTTGTGAAAAATTATTGAAAGTAATATTTTCTCACAAAATTTGACAATTTAATCTGAAAATTTCTATTAAATTAACAAATTTTTAAAATAATTTTGTTTCAAATAGTAAAAAGTGTGTGTTTGTGCGGTACCTTTCACAAAATCCATTAAGGAAAAGCCGACTTTAATTCAAATCACCATGAATCAACCGTTGATCTTGAAATTCTACTACAGAATTACTTAACAATTCACTTTTATAATTTTATTATTAAACAATCACGTATCATAATATATTTGAACTTAATGATTTTAATAGTATTTTACATATTTTAATCTTTTTCCGTAACCCCAAGTTTTGATGGAATGAAGTAATTAAATTTTACAATCTGAAAATTATTATTTCCTGAAAAAAAATAATGTGAAATATATTTACTTACTTTGGCACATTGTTGCACAATTTGAATCAAGTAGGACTATGACAAATTACATCGGATGTGAAAGTAAAAATTGAATTCTGTTAAGCCAGTCGAGGAAAGACTGGCGAAGTTTTCAATCGACAAATAATGTCATTGGTGCGGAGCGTGCCACAGCATCGCCGTAACTCGTTTTGCTGGTTCACTCTATTGATCCCCTCTTGCGAAACTTTTGCCACCGACCCCTATCTCATTTTGCAAATCCACAAATGTTTCGCTTGGCGCGACAATTCCAGCGATTCCCAACTTGGTAATGAGAGCAAACCTAGTTAGGAGCCAGTTTGACCTGCAGTATCGCGCAAAAACGGTCAAGGCTGCGTGTCCGTCTGTAAATATAGCAGAGGTAATAATACACATTTGTAAGCTCCAGCGCGTTTAACTCTTGGGTTAAAGTGAGTGTTGGAGGACTAAGTACGATTATCTAATTTTTGCTCTTTCTCTTTCATGTAGGCTTTCATCTTGGCCGGAGGAAGAAAATTCGGCGTATTTTCCTCTAGGAAGAGAAGAGAGAGAGCGTCACACACACAAAAGATGGATGGATGTGTGCGGAGGGCTGGGGCTGGCGCCGAGGCCAATCGGCTGGCGGCAACGGCCACAATGGCGACGGCGCACCCCCATTGGCCGTGGGCAGGGGCACCTGCGCGCCGGGGTCGGCGGCGCGGGCCGCGCGAGAGCGGCGGCGGAGGCGGCAGTTGCATGCACAGGCTGCGAGAAAACGACTTGGCAAATTGTGTATACATGGTCGGTAACCTCGTTAGGTGCATCAGCCGCGATCAGTTGGGTGCCTGAGAGTCTTCCAAGCTGGAGTTCAAGCAGAACAACAGTCCCTGCTACTCGGGCGGCACGGGCAGCCTGCTGGACGGCGCCGGCGGCGACACCAGCAGCTCGCCGGGCAGCACGTCGGCGCCCGCGGCGGCGCCGCACCAGGTCACGGTGTCGGCCGTGTCGGCGGCGGCCGCCGCGGCGGCCGCCGCCGTCTCGTCGGGCCACCCGCACCACTCGCCGCCGCAGTTCAACATCTTCCCTGCCATCTTTTCGCGGCAGCTCAACTTCACGTCGTCGCAGAAGCTGGACGAGCTGCGCGGCGCCTCGCTGGTCGACGTCGGACAGACGCTGGACGAGCGCGGTGACCTGAAGCGTGCCAAGTGCAGCGCCGACGACTTCTCGGCCCTCTACGCCCTCCACCAGCAGCACCAGCACGACCTGCCCAGCTCTGGCTCGCAGACGCCCATCTCGGCGGCCACCCCACCTGGCGCCCTCGCACGTGCCATCGCTGACCCTGTTGGTAAGTCTCCGCGTACCCTGGATTTCTTTTTCAATTCTATCTCAGCACTTTTCCGGTCAGATTTTATTTATCAAAGCATCCCTGTTTGACCTATGACGTCACTAGACACACATACTCTGATGAATTTTTATTTTAAGGGGGCGCATAATTTTTACACTCTGCAAAATTAAAATTCTTGCGATTGCTAAGAACAAAACCCTCTCAATTCTTGACTGTCGTATTTGATTTTTTATTATTATTTCGGTTTTCGTCATTTTAGAATTAATAATGAATGTTTTTTTTTAAATTTCTGTCAATATTTTATAGAATTGTAGGTAAAATAAATGTTGTCTCAAGAGGCTGAAAATTTTGTAATATTTCTTCAAATTAGTTGCCAAAGTGCATATTATAAATCAGGCTTCCTTTACTAGAGTTATAAAAATTACTTTGAATTTGAACTCATTATAGGGAACATTCATTGATAAAACCATAAATTCATATTTGGGGATGCAGAAATAGCACCAAGTATAGGATCGATGGAATATATTTCTAAAAACTCGTTTATTTAATTTTTTAATTAATAAACTAAATTTGTTATCAAGCTTAACATAGAGATTGAAGAGTAGTTTTAAATTTAAATGGTACATCAATTCAAAAAATAAAGTAATTCAATTATTAAATTTTTTCCCTTTTTTTATTTTATAATATAACTAAAAACTTTGCAAAGCATTAAACCTTAAAATCATGACTCAAGATTGGTTTTATTGCATGTATAATTTTAGAATGATTTTCAAATAGCTCTCGATTGTAATGCAATAATGGCCACGTTTTTAAGAAAAATTTAAAAAAATATTATATTATACTCTTTATTTTTTTACAGCAAGTACAATTGAGGCAAAGAAAGTAAAAATAAATAACAAAAAAAATCAATTCCAATTTCATGCAGCAAAAACCATATAAGCAATAAGCGTAAACGAAAAATGTAGCCACGCGCGCGGGCACTGTGCTGTTGGCACGAGATATGCATTTTTAACTAATTAATCTTGCCCTAGGGCAGTCCAATCAAGACTCGCTGGCTCCACGCCTGCTCGTGATAAGCAAACAAATCATTTGCATAATTGCGTTTGCATCGGTGATGAAAATGCCCGCCATGCAAATGCCAGCGCCACGCGCGCACAGCAGCAGTCGGCGCACGGCTCCCTTGCCCACAACACCTCTCGCTCGCTCCCGCACACCGCTTGCCAAGATAAGCGGATGGGCGCGCGCCACACAGACTTTTTTCTCTCACCACGTACGTTCCGATCATCAACTCGAAACTGATTGTTCCGATTTTGAACTTAGTTTAAGAACAATGCTCCTGATATTTTTATTAATTTACTGGAATTTTTCAAATTTTTTTACTGCACAATTTTAAAGTCGTCCCTGAATTGTTCTTACTGGCTGGAAAACTTGACTTTCGTTTTAAATTTACATTTTTTTAAACCTTATCAACAGCGCGAAAGCCAATAGCATAAAAGTTGTTGCTTATTCTTAAAACTTGTCTTCTTCAAACTGAAAACTATTATGTAATCTGACTGCTGCTGCAAAATTTAGATATTTAAAAGCAAATACAAGAAAGAAACAAACCTTCAGCCCCACTGTTGACTGGAAATAAAGTAAAAAAATTCATTTTTACATTTATTTAAGATTTGCCAATTATTTGCATAACTTTTTCCATTTTATGCCGTTCATCTTCTCTACTCAATTATTATCAATGGAATTTGACGGAAAAATATTATAACCACGTACTAACCTCATTATACATTATGAAGTCTTGGAAAGGGTTTGCCTTGTTTGGGCACTGACGTAGGTATTTAATTTTCATTTTTCTGGCTAAATAATTTTGTTTTAAATTTTGATGCGCCTAAATTTGTGACAATAAAACTTTCTATGAAATTCTTGATAAGGTTATAATGTAAGGAAAATTTAATGTTGAATAACGCAGGAAACCTTACTTTTCTTGAAGGCGTCGAAGGGGCATTTAAAAAACTGAAACCGGATCCTGGTGCCAGCCTTGGAGGTGGATCTCTTAGCGCGATTCATGCTGGACACACGCCAACCACATCCTCCTGTCCAACGCCGGCCAGGAGAAGACATCGGACAACTTTTACTCAGGTGAGTGAGGCTGTTTCATTTAATTTAAATTTGAAATTCATTTTTTTTTCGTCTGGATAGTCTATAATCCTGCCTACCTAACTCAATTGTCCATACATTTTATGTTTAACAAGCATCCTGAATTTTATTAAACATTTTCCTTGGTCATTATTGCATAGACGTTTCTCACATTGTTTCAGGAGCAATTAGCAGAATTAGAAGCAGCATTTGCAAAGTCACATTATCCAGATATTTATTGTAGAGAGGAACTAGCTAGAACCACCAAACTGAACGAGGCTCGCATTCAGGTATGTAAAGTTTATTTTTCAGATTTATACGTAGAAGTTTGGAGTTTTATGGGAAAATATTTCGGATTAAAGCCAATGTATAATCACTTTTTTATAAATTATGAAGCCAAAAAGTCCCGTTCCCAAAAACAAAACAATTCTTCTCAAAATATCACATCATGTTTTTTGTTGAAAATAAAAATTAGTGTGTAATCTCTGTCCAAATCAAGATGCATCAATGCAATTATTTAAAAAAGATACAAATATTAGAAAGAAGAAAACAAGCTTTTATTTATTTTTGATTTTGAACTTTCGTCAAAAGGTGTGGTTCCAAAATAGACGGGCGAAATATCGAAAGCAGGAAAAGCAGCTGCAAAAAGCCCTGGCCCCATCAGTGATACCGTCTTGCAACGGTATGATGAGAAACATCTACCCCACGGCCACCAGAGCTTACCAGCCCTATCCACATCCCAACTCCATCAACAGTATGAACAGCCGGTTTTCGCAGGTAAATAAAAAAAATCCATATTAAAAAAAGACAAAAAAAATCTTGCGATCAATAATAAATTTTTCTTTTCTTCCCTTCTCTGTACAGATGAGTTCGTCCTCTTCATACCCATCGATGGGGCAACCCTTCTCGATGTCGCACTCGGCGGCCAACATGAGCGCCATGTCTGCCGGGATGCGTCAGGATGCAATGGGTGAGTCACTAATTCACTTACTTCTCGCGTGCGTCCATTCAGTCAGGCGCGCGGACAAGTCGCAAGCTCCGTGGTTGAATTTCCCATCACTGTTCCGCAGTTGGCCGCAAAGTTATATCACAGCAATACTATGCGTCCTCGGCGCGGTTTATTTTGCGCTCTTGTAGATCTCATAGACTGTTACTACGGGAACGAAAATTGCATTTCAAACTTCTATACCGCAGAAGTTTTAAAGTGTAAAAGGGAACTCTAATCTTCATTGCAAATTGATTCATACTGAGCTTTCTAAAGTAACTTTCTCTTTTGCAACCACTTGAAAATTTATTAAATAATTAACATCGTTTTGAACAACAGTAGGATTTAGTAATATTAAAAATAACCATTAAAACATAATTTAAGATACTATAATTTTTCAAAACAATGTTAATAGTTTAAAAAAAAACTGGCAATTATTGCTGAACCTTAAATATTTGGGGTGGAACATATTTTTAGATGCTATAATGGCTTTACTTTTTGTATTAATTTTTTAATAAATATTACGAAATGTTTTTTTTTCATCGTTCTCATTTTCTTATTCAATATCTCTAACGCCATTGATGACAAGTGCAATGAAAAAATAAATGAAGTTTTATTCTTAAACGTTGGAGACTTTCTATTAAAAGATGACCAAAACAAAAACAGAAAAAATGAAGATAAAATGTTCATAAATTAATAAGTATAAAAAATATATTGAATCTGTTATTCATTAAACATTCATTATTTTTATGTAAAACAATCTTATAAAACTTTATCCCATTAAAATTCATTCATAACCATTCGTAACAGTACCTTATGAAGTTAATTCATTATTACAGCTAACGTAATTGTGCACTACTTTATAAGCTTTAACTCCCTTTAACTACCCACATTTTTGTCAATTAAGATTAGGCGTCACTTTCCTGAAAATCACAGAAAAATCTAAATGCATACGAAATACGCCTATAGAATAATTTTTATGTGGATGTTTGAGTTTAATACCGAGCTATTTAATTTTCTGTAAAAGTTTATCAAACACCATCGTCCATCATACATTCATAAATTTTTTCAACGGAATTGCATTTTTTTCAGTTTTTTTTTCTTCAGAAACAATTAATATAGAAACTTTTAAAATATGTAGCCATAAAATTGCAAACTAAAGCACATGTTGTGTGCTTCTTAAAAGTTATCTTCTATTTCACTGTAACCTCTTTTCAATATAATAACATATAATAATTATTAATTAACTTGTGTATGCTTCAATGCGAGTTAATTACTAGAATAAAATCAAGTTATTGTTAACATCAGATTATAATTATGTTTGATTAATGGTCTTAACAAATTTACTTTGAAATTATTTTAATCGTTTTGAAAGAGTTTACTTTAATTGTTTGGTTTTGGCACTAACAAAACGACGATTGACAACAATTAAGTGACAATGATTTGGACGGAAATTCGTGGAGATGGAACGGTTTTGTTTCAGGGGCGGCGGGCGACGAACTGAAACTCGTTTAAAGTTGGCCATGGCGCGTCAGGACACGAGGATTCCATTCATTCATTTAATAAGAGCGTGCTTAATCACGGCGAAGGAACTGGCAAAAGGGGCAATTTGCGAATTTCCGCAGCTCGTTGCAGCGCCAGAGCAGGCAGCAGGACAAAAAGCACTTTTTTGTGTCTCTGCGTGTGCGAGCTCGGCAGGCAGAGAGCTCGGCTCGGCGCTTTTCATGATGGCGGTCGTGTCGGCGGCGGCGGCTCACAGGTTGGTCTGTTCGCAGCGCCCGCCCAAGCCAGGCAGCTTGCAAATGAGTTGCCATGGCAACGTCAAGAGTTAGGGTAGTCGATAAACTAGATGGGGGATTGAAAAAAGCAGCAGCAGCAGCGAGCGAGTGAGCGACCCGCCCGGCTCACTGCAGCTTATTCTGGGCCGCAACTTTTGATACTCTGTGTACAAATTATTATGGCTTCAAAATGTATACGCTATCGATTAATGTGAGGCCATTATTTGGAGGACGATCCTTATTTAGACGCATCTCGCTCGCTCGCTCGCTCTCGCCTGCACGCATTCGACAATTCAATTTGCCATTCCGGCCCAGCCCATCATCCCTGTCCTCTTTTACCCTAGCCGCCGCCGCCGCCGCCGCCGTTGCTGCTGCTGCTGCAATCATTGATCGCCCAACGACTAGATTGCCCCTATCATCTTTCACAATGACGCGCGTGGCCCTCGTTACAAAAATCGCCCCACAGGCTCTCGTGATTCCGAGCCGAATTAGCGACGGGCGTTGTGCGTGAAAATTGCGTTTCCCTATACCAACTGTGTCCAGGAATGTGCGATTTAACGCGTTCATTGAACCTGTAAAGAGCAGATTTTTAAGATAATGAATAGTTTATGCGGCAGAGTTGTAAATAAAAAAGCACTACTTTGAAGTAAAAGTTGCAAAAGTGAATTTTTCTTTAAGAGCCACACCGGAATATAATGTGGTCTTTAAAAGGGATAAATTCGCATTAAATTGTATTTTCACAAAACACTACCATTTAGAGTGCATAAATTATATGATGAAGTTAAATTATTATAAAGTTTTGTAAATTCATTTTGCTAATTTTCAGTTTTTGTTCAGCTTCTCAATTTATTTTTAAAATTATTTGCTATGGCGCAACTCATAAAAAGTGATTCTTTTGTCATTCGGGAAAAATTGATTGATTGATTTTTTTGCTGTGAATTGAGGAAGTTGACCAGAATTGATTTGCGATGGAAAGTAATGAGAAATGAACTCCGATTATTTTTCCATTCCTATCTATAATTTTTTGTCATAAGATACTAAAAATAAAATAGGCAATGCACTTCAATGATTGGCCAAAATCTTCGCTCATTGTCATTTTTACTGCATTTTTTCGTATACAAATAAATACATAATAATTGAGTTTAAAAATAATTCAATTTATTACCTAAAACATCATATTGTAAAACTAAAAATCAAGAAAATCTTTATAAATGCATGATTACTTTGAAGTTCGTTGTTAGTGATAATTGAGTTAGAATGAATTAATCAAATATTTTTAAACCAATAACTCAAATAATATTCATTGATACAAGAAATTTTTATATAGATGAATCCTCGAATTCTCTTTACCTGTGTAATTTTCAAGTATAATTATAAACTCGATTACTTTTGCCTCCCATGCTAAATGCATTATTCTGCATCATGACTAGTACTCTCTGCAGAGTGACATCAACAATGGAACCGAGGCAAAAACTTCCGCAGTCCTCCCCTCTCGCTTGCTCGCGTGCACGTTTCGCTGCCACTCGCTCCGACGCGCCTGCAGCTCTCGGAAGTATGCAGCCCGCGCGTCGCGTATTCCGTGCGAGTTGCATACGTGGCGTCCCCCGGGCGTATTCTCATTTTTCTGCTGCATTTCCAAGAATTTTTGCAACAGAACGTAGCAAAATAACGGGCAACTAATTTTCAGTTAGTGTTGATCGTGTTTTAAGACACCTAAAAATTTATTTGTAACCGTATCTATAGCTATCCTGAGTCCTATTTAAAGCGAAAACTTAAGCTTCAGCAAAGCTGCTTTTATTCCGGAAAAAATCAACTCCATTTATGTATTTTAGCTGTGTGGCTGCACAGTTAAATTTAAAATTATCTATATAATTCACTAGTGAAATATTATAGCAGATGTTTTGGTTGACATATTAAAGTTCCCAATTAAAATTAATTTTTCAGGGCTTTTCATGGATTATCAAAAACTCTAAAGAGCGTAAAAATATATACCAAAATTTTAATCACTATTATTGTGTTCTTTTAAATGACAAATTAAAAAGGAAAGTTGAAAATTTAGTATCTCAAATCTCAAATTTAACGCAACTGTGTGAATAAAATTTATTTATGAAAAATTTAGTTAATTTATTTTTAGTTTTATCGGCGGCTTGTTATCATTTTCCTTTTTTAAATCCGGCCTTCATTGCACTTGCCCCTGTAAATTTAAAAAGAGAACTATTTGATTTCAGGCATTAGCGGCGAGGACGAGTGGTATAACAAGAGTCTTTCTGCGCTGCGGATGAACAGCTCACACCACCCCAATTTATCGACACCCATCCTGCAATACCAGACGTAGACGCCGGAGGCGCTGCATTTGAGTGAAACGATCGAGAGCTAAGAAGTGAAGCGAAGGCAGGATGAATCCAAGAGTCCCTTGTAAATAAAGCAGCAACGAACAAACATTATTTTGTATGATAATAATATCCGCTTGAGATGGTTGGACCAACCGTGCAAGCACTCGGCCGTGACTAACAAGCACGTGTAAATTCACTTATTGCTATTAACCTGACGATGGTGACAATTTTGAAAACTCTTCATATCTGTGTCTAATAATTGGGCTTGCATCATATCTCGGTAATTTTGTTCACGCACTTCAGGAGGAAGAGAAGGATGAAGAGGAAAAGTAGAATTATTTTCATCAGATTTATAATTTAATTTTAATTGTAATTCTTTATAATTACAACTTTTTTTTGGATCAAGCACTTCTTCAACTTTTTTTATGAAAATTTTAAGATGGAGTGGAGAGACTGCGAAATATTAGTCATGATTCTATTAAAATATTTTTTTTAGCGTATTAAGGTTTTAATTAATATGTGCTATTGATTTTTTTTAATAATTAGTCATTTCATTTCTAGTCATTTTTGTTTTTGAAAATGCCTGTTCCAATCGGTATGTCCTTGAAAAACCTGAACCCCCAAGTCATTGTAAAATTCTAAACATTTTACTTTCAGCGCATTTGGAGTGTTTGTCTAAAGCATTTGTGCAGTATGTACGGTACTTGTCGTTTCAATAAAATATGAATGTGCAAATTTGACAATGATAACGATTTCAATTAAATACACTGTGAAAAATATCAGAAAATGTGAGGCTTTTACTCTAGTGGTCCCCAGTCGGACAATATTCCTCTTAATTTGCTGCCGATTGATATATTCCCATTTCAATTACACGACAGCGCTCTCGAATCTGCCCCGGGCCAGCCAGCCCGGGGGGAGGTCTATTCATAACATTTGCACGACGCATAAAGCGATTTGTGTATCATTAGGTGTCGAAAGAAGTGCATACTTGTAAGCCCATATGTCACCCCCTGCCCACCCCTCCGGCCGCTAATTTAGAATTCATTGGAGCTGCGGTCTTGCTGCTATTTCGTATTATAATCTATTGCTCCAGGCCCAAAACATCTGCCACTCGCACAGTGGCTTGCCGAATGATGCTCCGTTGATCCAAAAACTTTGATCGTGATCTTATCACGGGTATGCGTTTCAATTGAAAAACTTGATCAAAAGCGATAAAAATTTATCTGCCCTTCGAATCTTCCCAACCCTTTCAAACTGGCAACTAATATACTTTGGGGAGTTCATCAAGCTTTGTATCAAGTACAGCAACATCAATGAATTCAGGAAATTAATTATTTTTATTTCATATAAATTATATATAAAAAAAAACATGAAGTGATTTAAAACACTTTTATTTTGTTATTTCAATCTATATATATATTTTTTTTTTTTTAGGAATTTTTGCAGTTATCAAACAAATTTTTTCTTCTTATTTAACATCCAAATTTATTATTTTGAAGAAAACATGTTACAGAATTTCACACTGTTTAATTATTACAAGGTGCCGAAGTTGCGGAATAGCCATAAATAAAGAGAGGGTGTATGGTTGTGTATTTGTGAGTATTACAGCAGGAAGTTGATTACAAACTGAAAATTAGCAGCAGGTATTTTGCAATTAATTCCAGTGTCACGTACACAAGCGCAACCTGCTTTGCTTTCCAATTATAATTTCAAATTCTGATCCAACAGATTTTCAATAGAATGCGATTTATTTATCACCAAAAATTGGGGAACCGTGAATGTCTATGCGCAAATCGTGGAAGATTATTTGACGTATACCTTGCCATGCTGGCGTTGTGTGTATCTAAAACAACTCTTGTTAAAAAATAGCTGCGGGCTCAAAGGAGCGCCGAATGAATGCTCTATCAAATTTTCCGTGTCAACCCAACATTTGAAAAGGAATACAGAGCCGTTAAATATGTAATGCAGGGCTATTGTCACAGAGCAGAGGCCCACATGCTGGAGCAAACAGGCATCTCTGACTCAGCAACACAATTTTGAAAGAGCAAAATTGCCTTAAATATGCTTCATTTTAAGGCAGTTAAAAACTTTTGCACTATCAACGAGGTGGAAGCTTCTTTGAATGATGGTATAAATTATTGGTAATTTATGGCCAGTCACATAGAGTTGAGCTACATGAACTGCTTGAAAACTTAATAATAATTTGGAAAAATGTATGTAGCATTTAAAAGTGTGATAATTTGATACCATTATGACGATTCCAAAGGGGGGAGAGATAAAGGAGAGATGACAAAATAAGCTCCTGCTAACTCTCCACCCCATCTATACGCAGGAAATGCAAACAAGTTTGGTGACATTATTGGAACTGAAAGAGTTAAAAAGTTAAATTTTAATTAAATGTGACCATATTGCAAAGACTCGACCACCTCTAATCAATTTTTTTAGAAGCATAAATAGTAAGTAGTGTTGGATACATGATACTTTGTTTCTTTATCGAATACACATGTCCAGGTTAAAGTATACCTTTGCAAGTTTGCATTGAGTGCAAGAAAATGTAACGAACTTACATAATGGATGAACAATCAACAGAACGGATGCAGGCGCAAGAAACTCTGAATCAAAGAGTACTTTGCTCTGTTATAATTTGATAAAAGTACTTACTTGTTGTCAAAAATCGTATACATTGTTTTAATTTTGGTGCCGATGCCGCACCAAAATGTTACTCGTGTACATTGTATAATCAATCCTCTCATTACAATTGAGTCTGCCCACCGCCCTATTTATTCTTTTGTGTGTCCACCGTGGATGGTGAGCAGACGCGTGGGTTGTTTCTTTGTTTTCGTATTCTATAGTATTTTAGTAATCCTTATAACAATCATTCCGAAAATGCTTATTTCTAAAAGACAACACGATTCATGTTGCTACGTATACCGAGGTTTTAGACACTGCAGATGATTACTTCTTGATTTTTTTGCATTTTTCAAGAATTCGAGAAAGTGTGAGTTTTGCATTTTCAATTTTCAAACAGATTTCGTTGTTGATGTTTAGTATACATTTGAGTATGAGTGGTTTTCTAATCTTGTCTCTTTCGTACAAATCCAGTCACTGTTTGAAAACGACAATATAGATATAATCTTGTTTTGTCTAGTCGCTTACAGTTATATTTTGTGTGTGTGTGTGTGTGTCTCATGCAGAATAAATTGGATCTCTCGGGCGAGTTTTATTCTTTTTCATAATCCTACCCACCTTGTAACGAAAACAATAGGGAAATCCAGTAAAATGATATTTCTAAAGAACTGAATGTTAAAAAGCAATAATAGCACCTTCACACGCGATACCATAATAAAGAAAGCCCCATAAAAGTATATCTTAAAAAATAAAGCAAGAGACTGCATAATAAGTCTCTCGTAAATGAAATAATAAAAGAAGAAGTGTAGAATTTGAGGGTGAGGAGGGTGGCGCTCACCCTCTTTTACAATTTGGGCCGTTTCTGCATGGAGGCCGCACTCGGTCCGTGCATATCGTCATCATCGTCGTCGTCGTCATCTTCATCCCGGCTGTCGACGTCATCGTCGTCTCCACCCGGCGGTACCACAGGAGGAAAGTCGGGAATTTGCTCCCGAGGTGGATTCCACTCAGACCCCCCTGCACCCCTAGAAACCGGCGACCGAGGTGACATTTTTAACCCGCCACTCTGAAACATTTCAAGGATTCAAAAATATAATTCCAATTCAACACAATTTCTAAAATACAAAATAAAAACTATTGCAAATGACATTCACGAAAGAAAAGAAAACTAATTTTGCACAAGTCTCTATAAAATGTGCTCACCTGATGCACATCGTAGCCCATGCCACTATCAGAATAGGGACCCTGAAAGAATCAGAACAAATTTTAAAATACCAACTTCAAAAATCCATTTCGCAGAGAATCTCTTTGAAATAGAATTAAGTTAAGGTATTGATTGACTTAGTTTTCTGATTTTTTAATTTTTCCCTGACTAACTTAAATTTTGAGTTTCCAATAGCATAATTATTATCATTTCTGTTGGAAGTGTCCGTTGTCAAAATGCAACAGACACACCTTTACATTTGTGTCTTACCTGGGAGGGAGGCATTGACGGTGAGCTGTAGTCGCTGCCGTTCATGCCCATGTTGTACCCCATTGAATCTTGGGGGCCGGAAGGTGGTGCTGGAGACATCATGGGCGTAGGCGTGCCCTGGCTCGCGGGGCCCATGCTGTAAGGCGAGGCGCCGGCTGCAAATGAGAGACGTCTTGAAAGCGACCGACAGTAGTTGAGGGTTGAGGAATGAGATTTTTGTTAAAATCATTTTTCCAACAGAAAATTAGTCTAGGGGTTAGGTGCGGTTAAGAAAAGTCCATTCAAAATAGAGTGTCGCCCGACATTCACACAGGAAAACAAAAGACAGCCACTGCGTGTTCGGAACAGTCGATTCCTTCGGGAAGAGGAGGAAAGACAAAAGAAATATGATAGACAATCACCAAGAAAAACAAAGAAAACAAGGATATTTTTGTTCAAAAAAATGTCGCACCTTTGCTACCCCTGGACGGTCCCCTACCTGCTGCCTTCTTCGCAGCATACAAGTTGGCCTCCTCTTGAGCCTTGCCGATGTTCTTCTTGTATCGGATGCGCTTGTTTCCGAACCAGTTGGACACCTGAAGGAAATTTTGGAAATTAATTTTTCAGTTTAAATTTTGAGTTGCGGATTTACCTGAGAGACGGTGATGCCGCACTTCCTGGCCAATTCCTCTTTGGCCTCCTCGCTGGGGTAGGGGTTGGAGAGGTGCGAGTAGAAGTACTCGTTGAGGATTTCCGAGGCCTGCTTGCTGAAGTTGCGCCTCTTCCGCCTGCGAACAAGTCAATTTTTGATGCGGTCAAGCTGGATTTTAATAAAAAATTAACAAACATATGCGCGCACGGAAAAGAAGGGAATAAAAGGAAGAGGACGGTGGCGCTGAAAATGTTGAAGTGAGCAGCTCTTTTTATGGCGGCTGTAAAAGCGTAATGCTGTAGAGCAGTAAGAGAGCTGCAACCGCTGTAGGAAATGTTATGGGCAGATAAAACAGGCGTTTTATAGGTAGTTGAGTGCGGAGAGGATAGAGAGGAGAAACGGAGAGAGAGCCCAAGGAGCAAAAGACAATTATGAAAACGACGGTAGTAAAAGTAAAACCAGAACAGTATGACACTCTGCCATATAAGGGATAAGTCTTTCTGTCACTCTCTCGCACGCGCAAACATAGTGAGCAGCTCCTCTCCGCCTGTTTGATCCCGATTTTATGGGTTGTAAATTGAATTATTCAACACTTTAAATGATTAGCGCAGCTTCCCAGCGGCACTAAAACGCAACACATTTCCCATTCAAATGCGCAATTTTGCACATTCCTGAAATTGTTACTGAGAAATTCATGGCTCGTTTAAGTGATTACAGCAAGGAATAATTAAAAAGGACGAACCTGGCGTCGAGGAAGCGCGAACGGAGAATCATGACTGCCTCGCAGGTGGACTGCTTGAGCTGCATCTGGATCGAGGAGAACTTCTTGTGGATGATCTGGACCATGCGCTCGATCTCCTTTGGAGTGATTGGGCGGGTGCGGCTCTGTTCCCTCAACAGGTTCATCACGTGGGTGGTGAACTCGTTGCACGCCTGAAATTAAAAATAAATAAATAAACAAATTATACAATTTTTGTGTTTCCAAGTGAAATTGACAATTATGTTGATTTATTTTTATTTGTTAAACTTAAGTTTTTATTATTATTATTTATATAGGCCAAAAACATTTTTCTGACTCCTAATTAAATTTTTTTTATTTTATTCACCTGCTCATATTTCTCCAGCTCTTGGTGGTAGATCTGTCTGATCTGGGCGAGCTTGGCGCGGTAGTCAGAATGCTCGATGGCGTTGTCCGGTTGACCAGGACCTCCGGAGGCCGCAGTCGAAGCCGCGGCTGCTGCTCCTGCGCCGCCACCTTTCTCAGGGCCAGCAACCCCTTCGGCAATCAGCATGTTGTCAAGGCGCATCAGTTGCGGATCTGGGGGCTCCTCCTCCTGGGTGTTGCGGAGGCTCAGAACTGAAAAATATTTAATTTATTAATAAAACGTTAAAAAAAATAAAAAAATAAAAAAAATTTTCAGGCCATTAATCTTGAAATAAAAATTATTTCTAGTTTGTAATTTTTTTGCTATCCACTGATCTACAACAGCAACATCATCTCAAAGTTTTCCAGAACCAAAAGTCTAAAAGGAGGCAAGTTTGTGGGTTTGTGGCAAGGGTGTAAGGATGTTCTGCCAAGTAAACATTGAAAATTTAATTATTAACATCCAGTTTTGCTCAAAATAATATTCCACCGGTCGGTGCATGAATATTTCAAGTGCAATCGCACCGCCTTGCTAGTTTCTCTGTGCAAAGTTTGAGCGAGGGGCGCGCTTGTTGGAGGTTCATTATTCGGTGACAGTCGTCAAGCGAGCAGTAAAAGTATAAATTACACGAGGAGTGAAACGTCGTCGCACCGTTCTTTAATTTAAAGAGACAAACCATCAATGTCATTACGCGCGCCGGCAAAATGGGAGCGTTCCGGCTAGCGGGGGCAACCCTTGGGGAGGCGGCGGGCGGCCACCCCTTGAACATCATGCGCCATGAAATGGCTCTAATGCAAGTTGAATTATGCATCACTACCCGCATCGCCTTTCAGGCTTCATTCGAGACGCTCTGCCGAGGTGCGGCCGCCCAGGGCGTGTTCTGACACTTTTCCCTCGGCCAGGCAGAATTCCTGCATTTCCGTCTCTTTGGCATTGTCTACGTGACTTTGTGTACGAATGACGCCTTTTAAAAATATCTTTTGCCGCCACGTGTGTCACCTAGGGGAGGAGCGCGCAGCAATGCAGAACGTCGAGGAAGAAGTTCAAACGTGGTTTCGCCAGCTCCAAAACATAGATTTCGTTTTCAAAAATTTATTTATCTTTTGAAAAATTTGCTAATTAATAAGGAAGACATTGCAATTTAAATATTTTTATCTCGGACGATTCAGGCTTGAAATTTTTGAACTCTGTAAAAAAAAGCACCATTTAATACTGAAAATTCTCTGCAAAAATCAAGATGGATGGATTTTAAATTAGTTTAATTTTTCTAGTAAAATAAAATCCTCTCAAAATGATATTCAATTAAAAAAAGCTTTAAGAACACAAAAAACAATAAAGCACACAATTATGCTCAATATAGGCAGCAGAAAATAATCGACAATGACCTATAATGAAATACGTGTATTTAATCATTTTGTTAAATATTTGAAGCCTTGGTGCAAAGACAAATATAAAAAAAATCCAACTCACCAGCAAATTAAAATTAGAACTGAAATTTAAATTACTTTATAAATCTTTGAAATACCTAAAGAAAAAAGATTGCAAGAGAAATCTTATTTGGTGCGAGTCAGGTGTGGTCGTTTCATTCGGAATTGCATTTTCCAATCATTCATGGCGGACCGTAAATGACCGCGACCCAGAACTAATACTCTCGTCCTGCACGTCTGCCTATTTTTCTTTACGAATCCAAAAGTTATAAAGCCGCAGCGTAATAAAACAACGATGTAATAGAGCCGTAATAGAGTGCAGCTGCAAAAGGACCATCATTTCCAACAAGTTTTATAATGATGAGAAAGGGCCGAATGGTCAGTCGGTGTGAGACGCACGCGACCAACGACATTTTATGCACGGCCACAAATCTCGAGGCGAAGCTTCGACCTTATGATGATGATACGGGTGAATTTAGTTGGGTGAAAAGCAGCGCGATTTTTATTTAATTTCGCCGCAGTGGCAGGAGGAGAGAGAGTGGCGAGCAACAGAGGGTCAGCGGCAGCATTTTTATAGTTGGTATGGGTGCTTACTTACTTTTACTACCAGATAAAAACGTACTCAAACTCCTCCCCAATTTATTATGCTCTTCCTTTTTTTAAGACTATCAAGTGTATTGCCCATTTGATCCACGCAAAGCTCCAGTAGTAAAAACAGATATAAAACGTGTGTGCGAGAGAGAAAGAGAATCGAGCCGGCTCGTCGCAGTTTTATTTTCAATGAACTTTTTCGCACCCGCAAACGCGCGAGAGGAATTTGTCCGTTTTTGCCCCGTACGCTGCTTTTTCGGCCACTTTTCGCGGTCGAAAGCATCGCGAGATCATGCATGCACATCGAGGGTGCCTTTTGCGCGCGCCTCTTTCCACCCCGTGAAGTAGATCAATACTATGTTCTCTCTTTCTCTCGCATTCTATCCTTGTCTGCCACAACTACAGACTCCTCTTTGCTTTGCTCACTCTGCAAACAACACGCGCAACCGAAAGAAAAATATTTTACTTTCAATCGGGTTGTAAATATGACGTTTCTGCCAATAATTTAGTATTTTTTAATTTTTTATATGCTCTAAGTTGTTAATTTTTATCAAACCTTCAAAACTTCAGAATTATTTTCGAATTTAGAAATATTTAAACAATTTATTTCAGAATTTAGTTAGCTTTTGAATAATTTCATAATGATAACAAAAAATTTACAATCCTGTCAAAAAAGGAATTTATAATTCAGCCCGTTTTAGCATTTAACACAGGGGAGGTTTGAGACATAAAATTTTACCTGATAAAGCAAGAAAACGAGTCCTGCTGATGAATAATTAATGAAGTTAGGGTTTATTACTGATACCCTAGCGCATTGAACGACTTCGGGAGCCAAAATGAAATAATTTGAAGAAAAAAAATACATATAAAGCAAGACGAGTTTGTGTTTTTTACAAAACAATAATTTAAAAAAAGAAACTTTACAAATTCATGGGATTCTTTGTATTGTTTCTATTACTTAAGCTCAGAACAAATAAATAATAATAGGTTTACTTTATTTTGTTTGCGTTTCAGTCTTACTTGGCGACTGATTGGCACAGAAACCGATACCGTTTGATGTTCAGTGGCAAAGATTGCGTCGCCTTGAAACGTCCGAGCGAGCGGCTTGCGCAGTGCGTAATTTTAATTCCGAGTACTTTTCAAACGACGTTTGTCTTTTCGTGGCAGCATAATAAAGCTGATCATTAAACACTCTGCGCCCCCGCAATGGACGATTTTCAAATTTTACTGCTCGATTTCGTCGCAGATAAAATTTAACGCGTGTTTGAGTGCGTGTATATCAATGTGTGTGCAGCAGGGATAAATAATAATTATTGTCGGTGCTGTACGCTCTTTGGGGGTTGCAAAGGGAGGACCGTTCTCGCTAGTGTGGTGTGTAATCAATAGAAAAGCGTGAGCTGCGCGCAAGAGAGTCATTCATCGGGCGGCAAGTGAGCACTTTGGATGTTTAAGCCCCCCATCATTACAACTAACTAAAATAATATAATTTCAAAAATTTCCTTCGGTAGTTGGAATTTCGAGTCGTTTGATTTGCTGCTCGAGCGCCTTTCGCTCCAGGGAGGTGCAACAAATGGACGGAATCGAAAGCGGGCGATTAATTTGGCCTAAGTTTGTGAAAACGAGGTGTAAAAATTCAGCGCCGCGAATAAATGGCGATTTAGTTCATTTGATATTGGCCTCCGGGGATCTTGGCGGGGTTAAATATGCCGCAGGAGCTGGGGTGGATTACCTCTTGCGAGACGGACGCTCTCGGAAGGGATCATTGAAAGTTAAGATGAGACCATTTCCAGGGGCAAAATGATTATCTTTGGAATTGCTAAGTGCTGCAAGGGTTGATTACAGCAGAGTGTGTCAAGTCAATAAGTTGCACCAAGTTTGTTCGCAACTCATCAGAGAAGACAAATATTTATTTTGCTTTCATTTTCCATTGCCTTCTTAAAGGTTTCAAGTTTCAAGAAAAAAAATCCATTTATGTATAAAAATGGAAAGCGCTGCACTTTATAGCGGTATTTTTTGCAGGTCATTAAAATGTCAATCACATTAATAGCTATCAATTTTAATTTAATATCATCAACGTGCAGTTCTGCAATTTTTGAAAACAACATCATTTCATCATTTTTTGTTAGCATTTTAATCAAATTAGGCATAATTTTACAGCATTTAATCTAAATTTTACAGCAACAATTTACCAAGCAAATTATTGCATATTATTTAAGTTTATAGAACTTAGTTTTTTTTTTATTAATATATTTCAAATTTGTAATTCCAGATTTTTGGTGCAATGAATATTTCAATCAGAGTTCAAATAAGATTTTTTTAAATTCCCAGTTCCGCTCCAAGGTACTGGAACAAGGGTCGGAAACGATGATCCCAAAGAAGAATTCCTGTAGGATGCTGGAAAAATTTTGTCGCGAATTGTCTGGCACACCAACAAAGGTGTTTGGGCCGGTTTTTGCTCGGTGAGCAGCGGCGTCGGCGTTATTTTATTTTTTGCTGTTGTTCGGTGCGGCGGACACTCTCCAGAGAGCCGTTCCTCCCTTTACAGATTATCCTACGTGCCGGGCTTTGCGCTCGTCATAAATCGTGCAGACTTTCCCCGAGTGAGCGCAGCAGCCCTGCAACAAACACCCTCCTGCCGCAGCCGTGTGTGCAGACGGACAAAAAGTCAGTCGGTCTTCATTTTCTAATTAGAACCCTTTCTCCTCAGATGCCCCGTTACGCGGCGAGGGGCGTTTTGACATGTTAAAATTATAACCGATTGAAACTGGAAAAGGGGTGCGAGAGGGTTGCCTTTTAAATGCTCACTTATTTTGTATGACGCTCTTGTAGTGAAATTTATGATTCTATTTATTGACTAATTTAAAAAAAAATATATTGGACCTTCAATCCAACAAATTAAATAAAACTCGCGGTTATAGATTTTGAAAATAATAAAACAACAATATTTCATTGTTGTTAAAACGGACGTTGAGTTTTCTGATGATTGACTTATTATCAATAATTTTTCTTGATTAAAAAAAAATCAAGGAGAAAAATTATTAATATTGAACTATCAAAATTCTTGAAATTAAAAACAAAAGCACAGATTTTTTAGTGGGGATCAAACTTTGAATTTGAGAGTTTGCCAAGTCGAGTGTGGAAAAATCGTCCCTGAATTCGCACTTGATGGAAATCAACCCCGCATTTATATGCTCTCGTTCGTTTTATCACCGTTTTATTCGCGTTTTGTACAAATTATACGACAGTAAAGTTAAGCATCATCGGCGTCGCCAGCAGCAGCCGGCAGGATCGGGATTATTTCTTTCTTTAGTGCGTGCGTGTGCCCTCTCTTTTTCTCCCCACACGCCCTGGAGCCGAGATGCTGCTTTTTGCCTCCCACATGCCATCAGAGCCGGTCTGTCTGTACAGAACCGCTCAAGATTATTTGCCCAGTTAGGCGGGCGGGCGGGCGCCTCTCCCACCGCTCCTCTTGCATATTTCATACCTCTGGCGCTCACACACAAAAATAAAAATCAATCCAATCATTTCTACCACTGTAAAGGATAAACTCTATATTTTAATTTTTTCACAATTAAAAAGAGTAGTTTGCAAATATTGGAAGCCAAATTGATTAAAATTCCAAAATTTTGGTTTTAGTGAAAATTACATTTTAAATCTTTTTTTATTTTTTACCTATTAATGTAAAAATTATTTATTACTGTAATAATTATTTTGATCTTCTCGTTAAAACAAAACACGTTTGGCCAGAAACTTTTAGCCATATTAAACCCAAGGGTAATGCAATATTTTTAGGGAGATTGTTTTTATTCCCTTTTAGATTTTTTACTGCCAGAATACATACTCGTGAAACGTTTTAGGCGTCCTTCAGGAGCCAACTTGTGGCTTTAGGACCCCATGCAAAATTCAGTTCCGTCCGCCCTTTAAAAATCGCAATTTGAAACGCCATAAGAAAGCCGTAAAACGCACGCTTCCGTCGATGGCGCAAAAATTGGCCGAAACTCGACCTGAAACTTGTTGCATTATTTTTATCATTTCAGAGCAGGGCAGGCAGGGTCGTAAAACCGAAGAAGGAACTCGGAGGGCACACGCGAAAGAAGAAAGGCACCCGCAGATGATGCTCCACGCAAGACAGACTCCCTGCCTGCTCTTTCTTTGCCGGCCATAAAATTTAAAAGTTGTGAATCACAACTTTGAAATAACTCTACTTGGCAGCCACTTTATTAATAACACATGCATGTGACTTTTTTTGTGCTGACAGAATTCCTTGGGGAACGCGCACCGATTATTACCAATAAAATGCAAATTTATTATCTCAAAAGAGGTTTCATCCCTTGTTACTTTTGGAACTGAAGGTCAGTGGAGCAAAAATGAAATCATTTGAAACCCATTTTGAATTCTAATGCCTAACTGAAGCATGTAAACATATTGATCTAAATATTTTTCTATCTTTACAGGGTTAAATTTGTCAATTCTCAGAGAGTTTTAATTTTTTTAGTTGGGAATCAATATTTTTTTCAGGAATAAGACTTTTATCTTAAAACGTTAAAAATAAATTCGTTCGAAATTAAACAATTAAGCGACTTACCAGTTTTTTCCTTGATTTCGCAAAGGACACTGAAGAGGGCAGGTTTCATGCGATGACAATTCAGCGTGTGCTTTCTGTAATGAAAATTGAAAAATATTTATTTTTAATTTACAAATTTTATAGATTGGAAAAATTGTGTACTGAAATAAATTTTTGTAGCTTTAGGTTCTAATTGGCATTATTTATTATTTTTCTTACATTCCCCTTTAATTTTATGGGATTTTTTTTACAGATAGAAATAATTTTTAAATATTTTTCAATCATAATAAATTTTCAATAATAAATACAAAACAAGGTAAATTATAAAGTTTTTAGAAAATGATCGTTGCGAAATTCAGCTTGAATTAATTTCGCAATTTTTATTCGAGCAAATAAAAATTTTTAATTTTTAATAATACCTGGCCTGGGCTTCGTCGAGCGACTGGTCAGTGATGTTCATGATCTGCTGCAGGATCTCTCCGATGTCCTGCTTGCGGGCCACATCCTGCTCAGGGGTGGTCGGGCCTTGGTTGGGGTCGACAGGTTGTATTCCGTACGGTTGAGGAATCATGCCTACTTGCGAGCCAACTGGATGCATCATTCGAGTCGGCGAAATGTCCATAGCACGCGAACAACCGAGCTGAAGAGACAGTTGCCCGGTTCACGGTCTGCACTCGAACCGAAAAACGGGACCGGCCGTGTCTGGAACGGTGGTGGAAAAGTGCCACTGGACGCCCAACTTCTCTCGACCCACAAACAAAGAGCACTTGTGTCTGAGAAAAGCAAGCTCTCTTCCAGTCAGCTAGCCAGCCGACCCCATATCACCACACAACGCTCGCTCCTCACTCGTTTCGGAGGGAGGGGTGCCGCCGCGTGCCGCAGAAGAAGAGGGGAACCTCGGCAGCACCTACAACGCGGCCAGGCTGCAGCGATAGAAGGGGCGAATTTTAGAGAGGGAGCATCTCTTTCGACTCCATCCTCTGCCTCCACTTGCATGGAGAAGTGTTTTTAATCCCAATTCAAGGGCATTAATGTTCACGTATATTTTATTTTACGAATAATTATTTCTTCTTGGTAGTTAACTTTCTAAAGATTAAAAAAAATCAAAAGTTTTTTTGACAAATAAGAAATTCATTTTTATTTTATTTAATATTTCGAATTTTTATTCGTTGTATTTCATTGCAGTATAATTATTGTATATTAAATGTTTAACTTGACTGATTATTATTTTGCAAAATAATTTTATAGCAAAACAGGAGGCAAGCGATTTTCATCGCGTTCTTTTAAGCATAAAGAAATGGCACCCAAAACAATTTTTAGTCTTCTGTCGAGAGCTCGAAAATGTCCCTCGCTGAGCACTGGAGCTATGTGGCTCCAATGGAGAGATTTTTCCAACGCAATGGAAAGAGTGCCTCCGGTGTATAACAAAAGTCTTTCGTAGGTGCTGCGCCTCAATCTAAAATTATTAAAATAAAATTAGAAATTCAAGTTACATATACACTAATTAAAATTTATCTCACATGCAGCATTGATAAAGAGGTGCTAGGATGTCTATGTGGTCTTTCGTTGGATTTCCGAAGCTAAAAATTCATCAATGAGTTCCAAAAAATATATAATTAATTTGTTTCAAATTATTCACCTTTTTCCATTGTCAAGCAGAACTACCATAGGAGAGACTTTATTGTCAGTGATTTCAAAGTGATGTCTGTCTCCGTTATCAATCAAAAAGTCAAAAATCGATGCGTCTATCAAATCGAGCAAGGTAGTCAGTCCTCCAATTTTTCGTAAATCTTGTGACTTGACATGATCACAGTATTTTTCATCAGCCTCCCATCTAGACAAAAAAAAAAATTGTATATTTACTAATTTTTTTATTATTTACAAATTTACCTGGCAAGTTTTCCGTCCTTATAAGTACGTTGCCACGGGTGTCTAATTTTTCTGAGTTTTATTCTGTTTGGTAGCCATAGCACTAGAGCACCTTCCAAAACGTCTCGTTTGGCACATATTGGATCATGAGGGCCACAATAATAGCACACCCCATAGAAACAAGTATTATTTCCTAAAAATATAGTATAATAACTTGCATCCGTTGCTTTTTTTAAAATTTACCCTCTTGATGAAACGTTTCTAGAAGTTCAAGCGCAGCAACAGGCATCACTTCTTTGTGCAGACTAATTTTCCTTCCGACAGCAAGCGGTATTTTACGGAAACCCAAAATCAATCCCAGATGGAATGCAGCAATTTCGGCATTGTGGCGGTCTTTGCCTGCATAAACTGATCCTTCAATGATATGGTCTCTCGTGTACCTTATTAATTAATAATTAATTGCACCACAATAAAGTTTTGATTTAAGTAGCATGCTTGATGATAATTCTCACCACTGGGGCTTGAAAATAGCTGTCAAGTTCCCTTCTAATGTGAGAAAAATTTTGAGCTGTGTTCCGAAACGTTTGGCACTTTGAGCTTTAATTATTTTGGAAGAGCAAATTGCTTTCAGAACTGACCCAAGGAGAGGTTCAGACTCAGGGACAATTTCTTCATTGGTGACCCACTGGAAATGAAAACATGCCCTTAGAACTTTATTAAAATAAATTTAGTTACGAGTCAAATTTAATCTTAACAAAACTTAAAATTTGTTTTACCTGCTCAGTTAACTGTCGAACATCTGGAGGTTTTAATTCCGATGATGGCGTGAGATCGTAGAATATTCTGTGCAAAATGTCACGGTGCTGGTCGTTGAGCTCTAGGTATTGTGATGGCAACTGCCTGGTGTGTAGCAAAATTTTTCTAGCAGCCATCGTCGATGCGTTCTGGTGATTGTAGAGTTTTCTTGCCATTTTGATTGGCTCCTTCTTAGGATCATTTTGCCTTTCAAAGGCATTCGCATTCCCCTGTTGAAAAATACATAAATATTCTTATCTATCATTTTTTTCTAGCAATCAAGACATTATTTCTTACAGCGGTACGAACGGTGGAGCTTTGACTCGCCGAAGATTTTGACGTTTTGTCATCGACAATAACATAAATAAAATAAATGTTGGTTATGATGACTAAAAGCAGCAGACAAAGCAAAGTTGTAGCTGCATATTTGCTCCTGATCATGTCAAATCTGAAAATTATTTAAATATTTTATTTTTTGAAGATTAAAATAAATTATTGAAACAAACCCTTCAAATTAAAGAAGCTGAAAACCAATGACATAAATTCTTATAATTTATAATCCAGTGTTAGTTGCTTTGTAAATCCTTTAAACATTCAAGCGTGTGTGAGTTGCGAGAGTTATTTCTAAACAAAAGCGGCTGTCAGTAAATATGTGAAGCATTTGTGAAGCATTTACTTTTTGAATTTCGAAGAGCAATTTACGAACCATTAATATTTGGCATGATCCGAAAATAATTTCAAAAATTCCTATCATGGCTGTTTAATTAGGTGTATAATTTCACCCTTCCCTATCTCTTGTTGCTTTGAGCTTTGACAATAAATCTTCACTGCCTAGGGACGTACAAATTGCAAAATCTATCTGATTTTCATTTCGAAAACAATCACACATTTTTTTTATCAAGCCCCTCCCCTCCCCGTGAATTTAGCTAGGAGGTCAGACACTCCCCACTCCGATTTTCAAGCGCAGAAATTTTGCACAACACTGCCGCTCGGGAGTGGAAGGACAGGTTTATAGAAAGGAGAATAAACATTTGTTCCAAATAATTATAATTATGTATATTAGGATTTGTATTATAATTTTTAAGTATATTTTAAGCTCATAATTTAATTATAATTGGTTGAAAAAACTCTTAAAAATATTTTACTAATAACGGAAAAGGTTTTGATGAATTATATCTCTCTCCTTCTTTTTTGCCCCATCCGCTATCCAATACAAATCTTCCACTTCCGTCCCACTCCCTACTGCCGAATTCACAGATTGAGCAACGAATTGCCGCTCCATGAAAGAAGTTACATTGGAACGCGTCGTCGAAGCACGAACGACAAGCAGGAAAACGGCCATCTTTTATTTACTGTTTGGGAGGTGTGACCTGCAGCAACCCGGACTGGTGTTGGTCGGCTTGGTCCCCGAAACATTGCCAAAAATCACAATTTTCGGGGAGAAACCAGTTGTTTTATCAAAATTGAGAGAGAAAATCTTTTAAAATGAGTGACGTGGATCTAAACAAACTCAAGGTTGTCGAGCTGAAAGCCGAATTGCAAGCGCGTGGGCTCGACACCAAAGGCAACAAGCCGGTTCTTGTCGAGAGGTTGAAAGAAGCCCTCGAGAAGGAAGCGCTGCAGCAAGGTGGTTAGTATTGAATTTCATCCCTTCTCGAAAGTTCTACAAATTTTTTTAATGAGTCAACACCTCTTAAAAAATGCATATAATTGAGGAAGTTATGAGTCAAGTGTTCAGCTGCATCTGACCTATTAACTTGATTCGTCTTGCACCTGTTTAAACTTAATTTTCGTCAAAACTTGTACATTTGACTCAATTTAATAACTCAAATATTGATCTCTGTAATTTTGTATGGCCTTAGAATAACATGAATTCAATATTTTAGGGAATAATGCAGCCGAGGAGAGTCCAGAAGATCTCTCCGGCAATGCCGCAGAAGAGGAGGATTTGGATGAAGAGGTTGAAGAAGCGATGCTTGCTGAAGAACCTCCGGTGGCTGAGCCAGAGGCTCTAGAGGAAGAAAGGGAACCAACACCTCCACCTGCCCCAGTCCCGGTACAAAGTAGTCCTCTAAAGGTAGAAGCCAAAGAGCCAGAGGTGAAAAGTGAGCCTTTGCCATCTCCTGCAACGTCTGCACCACAGCCCTCCCCTCAAAAGGAACAGCCATCACCTCAGAAGGAGGAACCATTGCCTCAGAAGGAGCAGCCGTCGCCTCAGATGGTGCAGCCTCCTCCTCAGAAGGAGCAGCCGTCACCTCAGAAGGAGCAGCCGTCACCTCAAAAGGAGCAGACGTCACCTCAGAAGGAGCAGCCGTCACCTCAGAAGGAGCAGCCGTCACCTCAGAAGGTACAGCCGTCACCTCAGAAGGTGCAGCCGTCACCTCAGAAGGTGCAGCCTTCACCTCAAAATGAACAGCCTTCACCCCAGAAGGAGCAGATTTCGCCAAGGAAGGAACCTCCAGCAGCACCTGCTCCAGTGGTCAAAGAAGAGCCGAAGCCTATCGAGGAAGAAAAAGTTAAAGAGGAAGTTCCACAGCCGGAGAGACTAGAGTCTGCCGATAAAAATGCAAAAGAGGAGCCCATGGAAACCACTGAAACAAGTCTACCTGGAGATGTATATGATAAAATATCTTTTTTGTAATTTTTATTCCAAAATTTTTCAATTTAGAAAACCGAAGATGTGAATAATGAGGAAAAGCGTGGAAAGAAACGCCAACATTCACCTGAAAATGTGAAGGACAAGTAAGCATTGTTTTAATTAATTTTAACTTTTAAATAATGATTTTCCTTTTGTAGCAAAGTGCCACAAGAAGATGAGCCCGAGTTTGACCCAACAAGATGTTTGCTTAGTTGGTGTATGTATCTCTAATCTTTATACTTGCAGTACAATAATAATTGCGTTTTTATATAGATGACTCTGACTTGAATTTGGTCATCAGCAAAGAAGATTTCCTGAAAGCAGAGCCCATGGCCAAAGCAGGTTTTGCCTACTGTTGGGCTGGCACGAGAGCCAGCTACGGTCTTCAAAAAGGAAAAGCTTTTTTCGAAGTCATGATTGACAAGTACCTAGATGTATCCCACCTCCAAAATGAGACTGACCCTAATGTACTGCGTGTTGGTTGGTCTGCTCAGTCTGCATCAATGCAGTTGGGCGAAGAAGAATTAACCTATGGCTACGGTGGCACTGGCAAAATCTCGACTAACTGCAAGTTTTCCGACTATGGAAAAACCTTTCAGGAAGGTTCCGTCATTGGTGCATTTTTGGTAAGTAAGGAATTGCACAAAACAAGAATAGAAAGTATCCTTTGATTTTTAGGATATGAGCGGAGAAAACGCTATTATGAGCTACACAGTCGATGGTGAGGATCAAGGTGTTGCTTTCACAGTGCCGAAAGCCGATCTGAAGGGGCAAGCTCTTTTTCCCCACGTCCTGACAAAGAATTGCAGTTTTTCGTGCAACTTTGGAACTGATGAGCCTTGGTTCCCGTCTGCAGACAGCCAGTTCACTCAAATTGGCTCACTTTCCATTGGGGAAGAAATCATTCTGGGTCCCCAGCGCCCTGCAAGCAAGTCCGAATGCGAGGCGATCATGATGGTCGGTATTCCTGGCTGCGGCAAGACTTTTTGGGCCAACAAGTATGCTGCGGAACATCCTGAAAAACACTATAATGTTTTGGGCACTAACAACCTTATTGACAAAATGAAGGTTTGTAGAAATTTATGTTTTTATAATCAAACTTAAAAACGTTTAAAATTAGGTGATGGGACTTCCTCGAAGACGCAACTACAATGGGCGCTGGGAAGAGCTCATTTCCTCATGCACAGATTGCTTCAACAAGCTGCTTCAAATTGCAGCCTCTCGTCGCCGTAATTACATTTTAGACCAGGTATGTGATATGCATTTCGCCGTGGCCATCTCATTTTTTATGATTTCCTCTCATTAGACCAACGTCTATGCCACTGCCAGGCAGCGAAAAATGCAGGCATTCAAAGGGTTTGTCAGAATTGCAGCTGTTGTTGTTCCAACTGCAGAGGAGCTTGCAAGCCGCATTGAAAAAAGAGAAAAGGAGGAAGGAAAAGACGTACCTGACTCTGCAGTGTTTGAAATGAAAGGTAATAAAACTCTTATCACAAAGGAAAGATTTGAGCATCCTAAATTTGGTTGCAGCCAATTTTGTTCTGCCTGTGAAAGGTGAGATATTTGATGAAGTGCGTTTCGTGGAACAACCTGAAACTGAAGCAATCAAAATCGTCGATGAGTACGTGAAGGAAGCAAACACTGCCGGCTATCGCAAGAAGGACGAAGCTAAGGTCCCTCGCTTTGATCAGAAACAGAGTTATGGAGGATACAGGAGTAGCTCTGGCAGCTCAGGCAATACTAATTCCAGATACCATACTAGCCAGAATCGTTTCGGGGGTAATGGTGGTGGTGGCAGGGACTTCAGAAACCAGGATTACAGGACTCAAAGATATGCCGGAGGGGGAGGTACTGACAATCGTTACATGCGAAGGGACAACAGGGATAGGTAAGTTTTGTGATGACGTCATGACTGTAATTTGATTTTTAAAATTCATTTTAGCTACAGGGGTTCCGACAGAGGTGGCGGTTTCCGCGGTGCTGCTGGTGGAGCTTGGCGAGGAAATCGAGACAACAGAGAAAGCAGGGGTTATAGTGGTGGTGGGCGGCCTGACTTCAACCGCAGAGGTGGAGGAGACTTCAGGCGTCCGCAGAAAGACTTCAACAAAGACCGAGGCTACAACAGGCCTGGTGGAGACAGAGATCGCAGGGTAATATATTCTTTTTAAATTAACTCTAGTTTTCACTGTAAATAGTTGAACCAAATTAACAAAATGGTGGTTTCAATATTATATTTATTATTTATCATTATTTATCTTGAATTGACGCAAGTTTTGCTATAATATTTTTGTGATTTTAAATTTTAATACAATCTTTGCAAAAATTTAAACCAAATTTGAATTATTTTCAGAATGACAGATACAGTGGTGCTGGTGGCAATCAATGGTCCAGTGGTGGTTCCGGCTCAAATTACAACTCCGGTGGTTACGGCCAGCAGGCTGCTGGCTATACTGGCACTGGTTTTGGACATCAACAGCGCAACTACAGCCAAAATCAATATGCTGGCTACAGCTCTTACTCCTCATACCCTAATACCCAGCAGCAGGGTACCTATTCCCAGTCAACCCCGCAAACTTGGTCCAATTACAGCAACCAACCACAACAGCAGCAGTCGTATGCCAGCAACTGGCAGCAGGTGAGGAAATTTATTTTCTTCATCCTGATACCATTTAAAAGTTAAAAGATTATTAGACGGTAAAGTAAAATTTTACCATTTTGTTTTTCAGTATGGTGGATACAATGCTGCTCAATCCCAACAGGGATACCAGCAAGATTACAGCGGAGGGTACACACAAAGCCAGACACCAGGAAACTACAGCACTGCCCAAAAGTAGACGGACTTTCCACTTCAACAGTTTGTGCATTGCTAAGAAATTTAGCATAATAATTAATTTGTTTTCTTTGTATAAATGGACAGTTGATGCAAATGTATAATAAAGTACTTGTCATTTTGAAATCGCTGCAGATAAATTGAAATAGATGAGTTTTGAATGTGAAGTGATCTCGCACTGACAGTAGTTGGATTTGTTGTGGTTGAAACCTTCGGACATTAGAATTTCTTATTTTGACATCTCATTATGTACAAATAATGCATAAACCATTTTCGATTAAGTGACATTTCTTTATTTCCCACCTTGTGATACAACTGATCAACGACAGTACTTCAAACAAATTTAATCTCTAAATGATGATCTGCTTTCACGAGATATTAAAAGATGGTTTCACACATTTATATACACATCGACATTACAAATACAAAATGTAGTTCTAGACTATTGTAGAAAAATCACGACTTAATTTAAGGGAAACCAATTATTGGCGCATTTTTTCCACTTAAAAAACCGCACTGCGTTTTGAAAAAAAAAATAGATGTCAGGGAAAATCTTTGATGAGACCAGCAGTATCTTTCTGACTGCACTGAATCATAATTTTAAATTAGCTACTATAACTGACAAATTTGAACTCTTAGTAATACATAGTATTTTTTTAAGATATAAATTATGTATTATTGATAATCAAGCCCTATGTAGCATTGGACAACAAACCATAGGATTTCAACGCATTCCAACAAAAATTTAATTTCAAAAGTTGTTCAATATCGGTGGTTAGGTTCATTTTCACTGGACGGTTTTGATCGCCTCCATAAATCCAACCTTATGGTATGCCCCAAGACAAGCAAGTTGAAAGCCTCAAAATATGTACGTCCCTTGGATTATCCCAAATTAAGTGACCAGGAAAGCTGCCAAAACAAAATAATGAAAGACGCCATAAGTATTAATCTAACTTGTAATTAATATTCATCATCAAGGCAGAACAGCTCTAGTGGCAAGAAAAAAAACGTATTTTGCGCATATTTGACTTTTTAAATAAAGGACGTGGTGCTCATTCTTCAGTAATTAAAACCGACACATTAAGTCACGCACTTTGATCTTAAAAGCTAACCACCTAGTTTGGTCATGAGATCAAATTTCAAGAAAGCACATTATTCACAAACTTGTCCATCCCTCGGATTGTGCGCTTTTTACAGCCAAACTTACAAAGAGATTTTTATTCGATCTTTCTTGATGGCTTTTCCTGAACTACTTTAATACCAGAATTGACTAGCTGCTGTCAATTATGTAAATTTCTGAGAGCTCTCACTTTTAAAAGGAATGCTTGCTATAATATGTTTGTGAAACAAATTTTTGGCACTGACTCGGAGTCATCTAGTTCAGATATAATTACAAAGAGCCTGGTTTTGATGAACACGATGAAAAAAAATCTAGGCATATACTTAACCCAAGCAATGAAGTTCTATACAAAAGAATAAGGTCCAACAAGAGTGACTATCAAACTATATACACGTAGGTGCTCCTAATTTTGGTACAATCAACATTAATCATGGATAGAGAGATTTGAGTTTTCAATTACAAGCTAAAAAGACCTTAAATCTAACACCAATCAACAGAAGTGAAACAGGCATCCGAGGGGTCAAAAGGTACATGCAGTAGTATTGAAAGCAGCGTCAAACGCTTGTCGAAGATTGTGCTATTAATTGGACTTCTTTTCCTCGCCACCCTTCTTGAGCATTCCCTCCACCATGCCCATGACCTGGCCAAAGTATTTTTGGATGAGGCCGCGGTGGCGCAGTCCAGGAATGACGGAAATCAGGACCACTGGTGAATCAAAACAGAATAAAAATCTGACGGAAGTTTAAGAAAAGGTGCAGCTTACCAATAAGGTATGTTAAGAAGAGATTGTTGATGATGGATCCCAAGTACGATGTAACCAGCAGGGTCGTGATGACAGTTACCAGATACTAAAAAAATTGTAATAATAATTTTAATACATTTTTTTTACATTTTTTTTTATGAAATTAAATAAATTTAAAAAAAATGTGAAATTAAGATTTTTTATTACCAGTTTAGGTCTGCTCTCCCTCCAGGCGTAGAAGCTGCTCCAGACGTTACAAACGGTTGATTCACTGGAGGCAAGGATTTTGCAGATCTGCTCAAACTTCTTCTCCTTGGCACCGTCCCAGTTTTCCGAGCGGAAGAAGTTAGAGGCGACCAGTGGCACAAGGTAGTCCACCAATACAGCAGTCAAGCCCAACACAGAGAACAGGGTCAGAATCGTCGGATCCAGCCACCACACAAGCCTTGCGAAATGGAAAAAATAAATTATTAAAACTACATTATAAAGAACATTGACATACAAAATAATTTGATACTCTCATTGCGTTTTCGAACTTACAAGAATTCGGTGGTGATCACCCCCACAAGGGCGCCCACATGCCATTGCTGCTCCCAAATGAGCACCGAATGGAGCAAAAGGACGATCTCACGCCACCCTTCGAGACTTCGCTTCAGCTGCTTCACGCGCTTCTCCTGCAAGAAAGAGTAGATGTGCATGAGAATATCATTTGATAACATCTAAATGGGACAAAGTTGCAGTTTAATTTTTCTGAATTAAAAATTGAAAGTGACACAATATTAGAAACAGAGTGAAAAACGCGGAAAAAGGGTGGAGTAAGCATTTTTTGCTAGAAATATTTCTTATCTAAGGCAATTTTAAATTAATTTAAAAACATTTAAAGTCACGTGCAATAATAAAATTTAGTTCACCATAATATGGGGAATCGCCAAATTTTAATCAATGACACATGAACACGGTCAACGCGGATAAGTTGCGGAAAATTCAGGAAAATCCACTCGCGTCCGCGCCTGTTAGATTTCAGCGACGCGCACCCCCTGGCACACCCCATCCTCTATCATATGCCCATAAAGGAAACAAAACAATCAACCCCTTTTGATGCTAGTTCTCGATTCGTTTTAAAACAAGAGATCTTTAATTTACATAAACATTTTGTCATTTTCGCAAAGTACCTGGTCGTTGGCCATCTCCATTTTTTGCAAAATACAGGCGCTACCACCCTATTTAAGTCAGACGCTGTGGAATTTCCGCAAAATTAGACGCTCCACAGGAGGGGCTGTGCCTGGCAAACTGCGTACTGCGCTGTTTACGCGACAAAAGGGTGTTTCAGCGCGCATCGCCAGAGGATGGAATTCAGCTGCCATGTTTGTTTACATTGGAGGAAAACTTTTGCACGAAACGTTTGTGCACATAAAAGCACGTGGGGGTCGTGGGGGAAGAGTAAAATCAGTCAAATACATAAACCCGGCGCCCACGTCTTAACAACAGTTTCGAGTTTTGCCAAATGCAGCATTTAGCATTTTTATAAAACATTTTAACATTAGCAAGATATAATGGTGACTTGCAAAGTGTGTCTTGGAAATGATTTTGAACTGCAGGATGGACATTACTATTGCCAGAATTGTCACACACAGGCAGAGGTTTGTTTTTGTGCACCATGATTATATAATTTTATTTGTTATTATGGTTTTTTTATAAAATATATTATCTTCTCTAGGACTGGCAAGAGGAAGAACATGAATTAGCTTTCAGCCAAAGTCTGAAACATGTCAGTATTATCGCGCAGTCTTTCCAAGAAAAGGAAAATGATGCAGAAACTAGCAAGGAGAAAATTTCTAGTGGTACGTTGTAACGTAAAATGAAGATAATTATAATTATTAAAATAATGGAACCTTTAGATATTTTTTTTTTATACATACTATGAATTGTATGAATACATAAGTATGAATTTACGATATGATTAATATAGAAATATATTTGCTGATTTTTGCTGTGTCTATTGATCTGTGTCTATTGGTTGCCCTCAGACGCTTGGTCTTCGTGGGAAGGCTTAAGCCACGTCTTAGTTGGTCAAATCGATGAGCTGGAAGCCTTAGCGCCTCTTCCAAAGGATTTTAAATTCACAGCTTTCAATATTTGGGCTAAATGTTTGCAGACGATTGGAGTTTGTTTTACTAAAAGACAATTTCCTTTTGCGGCAGCAAAAACTGAAAGGTGATTTATTTCTTTCATTATTTAATCAACTTACTAAATGAATATTTTTCTATATTACAGGGATCTCAAGTGGATTATGATGCATAAATTGCACAATAAAAGAAAATATAAACGGAGGAGGCAAAGAAGGAAAGCTACAGATGCTAGCTCTGATGCCTCTAGCCTAAAAAGTGCAGCAAGTCTGAAGGTATTCTTTTACTTTCTAATCATTTATTAAATTGAATTTTCCAAATTTCTTTTAGAGGAAACTTGCTAGCCAGGTATATTTAAGTGAAACGTCAGTCACAAGCACTAACGCTAGTACATCCATGATAGAGTCAACTTTAGATGATGAGTATGTGATGATCTTCCAAACAGTGATTAGTGATTTCTAATTTTTTTTTTATGTAAATTAAAGGGAGCAAGAAGATAAAGAAAGCACCATATTCAAAAGAAACAGGCACAAAGACCTGAGCTCAAAAAATTTGACGCGTAAAACTCTTCTGGGAATACTTTTTCTTTCCCTGCAATTGACAGAGAGTGACGTTAAACTTACTGACCTTTTAAGGTAATACTGTTTCTAGGTTTTAATTTATTTTTGTATAACATACTCATTATTCAGGTGGCTGAATCACAATCATGTTTCTTACCGCTGGATTGAACAGTTTCTGCCTGGTGAGTCTTGTCTCAATGCAGGTGATCGAGGACTGTTTGGGCCCAAGCAGTCAATTTCCGACAATCCAAATTCAGCCAAATGCATGATTTTGTCTGAAGCCAGACAAATCCATGCCACTCTGAACTACCCACATGTCCCTCTCGGAGAATTGGAGCCGGTAGTTCGAAGGTTTCTTCAGGAACTATGCCTTCCAAGTATGTGAAGTAAAAAGTAAAATTATATAAAGTTCTTTGATGCTTTAAACCTTTTGTTTGCAGGTGAACTGAACAAAGTGATTTCTAAATTATTAGCTTATAAGAAGCAGAATAGTCGTTTCACCTCGGACATCACCAAATTGTGCTACATTCCTTTAGCAGAAGTTAGGGCTGTAGCTTTTATTATTTTTGCCTTGAAGTTACTGCTCTGCTTGGACGACAATACAGAATATCAGCTCTCCAATTGGGCGGAGGCTCGGCCCACGGAAGAGCAGCATTTTGTCTGGACAAATTGGGTCGAATTCATTGAACTGCGAAACACGATCCTAGCCGACCATTTTTTCTGGGCCAAACAGATGTTCAACAAGCAAGCAGTGCAAACCTCAAACAACACAGTCCATTTGGACCCCAGTTTTCTACCTGCCTACTCTAACAAGTCTGCCCCAAACAGCAGTTCTATGAGCAGTAAGGGTTCAAAATGGCATCTCTTAAAATTTCTGAAATATTATTTTTCTTTTCCATAGCTGAGAAAAAGAAGTTTTTGCTCAAGTTATCGTCGAAGCTGTCAACTTGTGCTGGCGGCCAGGAGGAGAATGGTGAAAACAGCAGCCAGCCAGATCCAACAAAATCATTGACGCCGCTCACAGTTGGTCTCAAAGTTGCCATCGAACATGGATCGTTCAAGCCCATGGCAGAAAAAGTTCAGCGTTCCGTCCAATCTTTTTCTTTCTCAAAGTGTGACTATTTGACAAAGTTTTTGGAAAAATCCAATTTTGCTGCTACTAACTTTGATCAAGAACTACTGCAAGAGCAAGTGAAAAATATTTCTTTTTCAAAAAAACAATATCTGGTGAAGTTGTTTAAAACAAACAAAAAAGCGCAGAGCAGTCGTGGACAGAAAAAACTGGAAAATGATCATAGCAACAGCAGAGAATATTGGCTGTTTCCTTTGCCAGTGGGAATTGGAGAAGAAGTTGGAGAACGGCTTCTGGAAATGAATCTACCAGTTTCCTTCTGGTGGTTGTTAAGGCAATGTTCTTTGCTTGTCGACTCGTCGCCTTTGACTGTTTTTAAGGAACTTTTGATAATTGAAAATGCATTTTTTGAAAACCACTGTAAGAATACTGGTTTTAACAAATTGTTGAAAGTTGTTTTCAACCAGCACAAAAACCTCTATTAGTTAAATCAAGACTGTCTAATTTTCCTCATTAAATGAATTTATTGAAAGTTAAATGTAATTAATTTTCTGGAAAATTTTAATCTTGTTAACCAGATCTCACTATTATAATTATAAACTATAACAAGTTGTCAAAATAAATAAATCGAATTAAATATTTATGTTCCTATTATCGGTATACTTATCAAATAAGGCATTTAAGCAAGTGAATATTGTTTTTCCATGTATGATAATAACAAGGGAGACTCTGACATTTGACCAAATTGTAATTATTTATCAAATAATTATATGCTTGGCTGTAAGTGCGGATTGGCCTTGACTGCCTTGAGAGCATCTTGTTGCTTAGCAGGAAATATTTAAAGTTAAAGGTAATAATTTAAAAATTAGTGCCTAAAATGCATGCATTTAGGAATATTTCCCCGCCAGCCTCTTCTCCTTGCGAGAGAAAAATGAGCACCAAGAGGGGGTTCAAGGCTATTAGGAAGTTATGCGCGCACCGCCCGCAGCCACGGAGAACCAGCGCTATCTAAATAACTCGCTTTAGTCGGCTGTGAGGTACGCAGCAGCGACGAACTGCTGCCGAGTGCAGCGCAGCAACAATGTTGGGCGCTTTAAACTCTTGGCTTGGTTCTTGGTGGTCTGTGTCCAGGTTCAAAGCGCATGTGACCACTGGAGACAGGCTCTACGCTGGAACTGATTCGACGGTTTATCTGCAAATGGTCGACTCGTCTGGAGCAGAATCTGAGCCGACATGTCTGGACAAAATGTTAGTTAACGACCACGAAAGAGGAGAGACTCACTCGTATGGTCTCAAAACTGAAGGATTGCAAACTCCAGAAAAGTTGGACCATATTGTAGTTTGGAGGCACGCAAGTTTAACAGGCGATGATCGGTGGTTCTTGGACAGGGTTGAGGTAATATAAAGAAAAAGTGAAATTTTAAATAATCAATATTTGAATTAAAAGTTATTACAATTACTGATTATTATTATTTAGTTAATAATTTACAAATATTTAAAAAAATTTAAATATTTTGATAAAAATATAATTGAAAATTATATTATTTAAATTGGTTGATCTTGAAGATCGAGGACAGGATCTTAAGAATAAGATACATCTTCCCAGTGCAAAGATGGATTGAAGTAGAAAGGCGCTACTACCTCTTCGAGTTTGACGCATTTTTGCCCCAGGACGATAGGCAGATTGACAATCGGCGGCTCGAATTACAAAGAAAGAGGGAAATGTATCAGTTCAAGCAAACCATTGAGAGGGGCCCAAAGCAGGTTATAATATATAAACCACAAAAATTTAAAGTGTCTAATTTACAAAAAAAACGGAATATTTGCAACAGATCAAAGATCTGCCTGACGATGAAAAATTCTCGGAGCGATATATGGTCCGTGCGAATTTGAATTTAAAAAGACGCAAGACTTGATAATTTTTTTTTAAATATTCAGTTGGATTTCTTGAAGCTCAAAGGAAAGCTTATCGCCAGGACGTATCATTTGAAATTTACAACAGAGGAGTGGTCGTCACTGGAGGATGTCAAGAACATTTACCACCCAGACAGCACTCTACATCGACCAGAGGTATAAAAATAATTTAACAGAACATTGAATTTTTAAGGTGCGGTGATTTTATGTCTTAAACGATTATTCAGAAATATATGGAAATTGCGTAAAATTTAACTTTATCGCCAAGAAAGTGGAAAACCACAAAATATTTCCGGTGAATTAAAAAGATATAATTTATACATAATAAAGAGTTAGATAAGTGTGACGGAATAATCTTGGGAAAAACAACTTTTGTTGTTATTTCTTTATAATGTAAATATATTATAATGTCTTATTTCAGTGTACTAAATATTGGACGGAAGATAGATGGTTTGGCTTGCAACGAGTCCAAGGCGTGAACTCCGTTCTGATCGAACTCTGCAAGAATATTCCAAAAAAGTAGATGAATATACTATCCTTTTTAAATTTTATTTCTAATTAATATTCGATTAAAAAACAGATTTGCACTTCAAACAGAATGTGTTGAGCCCTTCTTGGAAGGATTTACGCTAGACGAAGCTTTGGAGAAAAATAAAATCTTTATCATAGACTTGGAACTACTGAACAGGGCACCGTGCAAAAATGAAATGCCAGTGGTAAGTGCAATTTAAGAAAGTTGAATTTAATAATAGCGCTTTACATATCATCAAGTATAGTAAATTTGATGAAAGTTATGACTTAAGGATATTCAGCAGTTATTTTTTATAGTTTTTTTTCAGCCAATCAGTTTAAGGTTTATGATCAGATAGCGTTTGTACTTTTTGATTGCAGTTAGTTGCACCAATCGGTTTGTTCTACTTGAACAAAAAAGACGATTTAATGCCCATCGCGATTCAACTATTCCAAGACCCTTCACCCACAAATCCAATCTATTACCCCAGCGATCCCCCGCTCACTTGGATTATGGCCAAAATGTTTTTCAACATGGGTGATGCACAACAGCACCAATCTTGCACACACTTAGGTATGAATCAGGAAGGAAAAAAATTAAATACTGCAAAAATATTTGTTCCTAAAAATTAATTAATTTTTAAAATGTGTCAAATTTAAAGAATAATGTCTATTTTTGTTTAGGCTTAACGCATTTGTTGATGGAGACAATGTGCGTGGCTGCGCACAGGAATTTGTCGCCCTCTCATCCGATTTTCAGACTTCTGGCACCTCACTACTTGTATCTACTAGCGATAAATGCGTATGTAGCGTACCAAGTTAAAATAAACATTTTGCTTTACAAACAATTAACTTCTTGCAGGCGCGGTCTAGAAAAGCTAATTTCGCCAGGCGGATGGGTTGACAGTGGCATGATCGTAGGCAGAACTGGCATGTTCAAGCTCATCAGCAGGGGGTAAGAAAGCGACTTATGTTTAAATTTAAAATTTAATTAATGCCGCGCGACAAAATTTCCTGTTTTTCTTTCTTAGGGGGTGATATATGATACATTTGAAATTATAAGCTCAAGTTTTCCTTGTTGTGTTAAAAGCACACTTCTTGGGATTGAGAAAAAAAAATGTAACTCAAGCCTTCTAATTGGAATAATTAAGCGTTTAGCGAGACTTCAGAGAATGGCATGCTTAAGATATTCTTGGCCTACTTTCAGCTTTAGACGTTGGCGGCTTGACGTTGATGGGGACGTGGAAAAACAAATAGAGGTTAGGGGAGTCGCGGATCCCAAAATCCTCCCTTATTACCCATACAGGGATGACGCTGTTCCATTATTCCGAATAATCAAAAGTTATGTAGCAAGAGTTGTGAAATACTTCTACGGTAATGCTAAATTGAATTTATTAAAAACTGGATAATTATTTACTTTTACACGCAGACACACCTGAGAAGCTTGAAGGTGATTACGAGGTGCAAAACTGGGTAAAAGAAATGGCCACTACACAATTGGATGGTGGTCTTGGCATAGGCGGAATGCCCGAGAAACTAGAAAACATTGACCAGTTGATAACAATCTGCACGGCCGTGGTAGCCGCATGTAGCTTGGGACATGCCGGAGCTAATTTCCAGCAGTATGACGCTTACGGATTTGTGCCAAATTACCCAGGAATACTAATGAACATGCCGCCCCAAAAAAAGGTTGAAGTTATAATTAATTAAAAAAACTGTAATTTACATTTTTTTCTTTAGCGGGAAATGACAGAAAAAGATATCCTGGAATTTTTGCCAAACAAAAGTACAACTTTAGACATCATGGTAAAAAATGAAAATTTAAATTTATAAATTTGAATTTTTTTTTTACGGAATTTATGCCAGGTGATCACAAAACTTTTGAGCATGAAAGGAACAAAAAGCCTTGGAGACTTTGAGGTGCAGTACTTGTACAACCCCGACATTGTTCACATAGCTGAAGAGTGAGTTTGAGCATAGCAGAATTAATTATGTGAAATGACTAAAATCTTTCAGGTTTCGGTTGGAGCTCAAGAAGCTGTCTCATGAGATAAAGAAACGGAATAAGCAAAGGGAATTCAAGTATGAATGGTTTGATCCTGATATTGTACCAAATTCAATCAGTATTTAATATTGATAAGGCATCCAAAAGTTCAATCAAAGGTGTGGGATTTTTCTAACAAATTAGTTAAATTATAGTTTCTATTTGCATTTTTAGTATAGATTTATTAAAAACGGCCAGTATATCAAAGCTTCAAAGAGTGGGTTCAAGTGGGTTAATTTTAAAACTATAAGATATAACTAACAATAAAAGTAGAGATACGTATCTTTGAGAAAATTTCCAAGGTTTTGATTTGAAAGTTAATTTTATGCACTACTTTTTTCATGCTGCCGGTATGAAACACGCAAGTTTGTACTGTGAACTTGGATACCAAGAAAATGTAAAATATAATTACAAATAAATCACAATTGATCTTATATCAATATTTTCAATTTTAAATAAATATATGCCTATAATATACTTATTCGTTAATCTTCGTCTTGGACAAGGTCTCTCAATACTGGGTTGGCTGAGATTTGTAGAATATCTCAGCTCTCTCCTTGAAAAATTGAAGCATTTCCTCTGATTCAAACAGCGCCTATAGAAAAATCATACTGCTAAATTATAATATTCAAATCAAAAGATAAAACTAAAACATACCCTCTTTTTTTCATTGAGTATTTCTTTGAGAAGAGCGTTGTTTATCATTTCTTGTCTAGCCTGTTGGACGGCAGCCTCGTCCGCCTGTACTGGCACTGATTCTTCTCTTTCAGTGACATCATCCATCTCTCTGGACGCGTTGTCTTCACCAATTAGTTCCTCTTTGATCTGTTTTCTCGACGACGATTTGCTGTTGCTGCTCGATCTGCCTCCACCCTTGGTGCTCTTCTTATTGGAGCTTTTGGACTTTTTAGGTCCATCTTTAGTGGATGGTGAATCTTGCTTGCTTTTGTTTTTTACGCAGAGGGTGATTTTCTCATGGGTCGACTGACCAGATGAACTTTTGCTGTTGTCATTTTTTATTTCCCAACAGGATTTTCCGCCGCTGCTACTACTTGCCATGATTCATGCAATGTGTAAAACCTAAAATCACAAACAAGAGTTTACATAAATAAGATATTATAATACGACTTTATATTCATTGGTAAAAGACTTGCCATGAGCTATGATCAAAATAAGATGCTTCTTGGGATCAAAAATGAATGCACCTAGTCTGGAATAAAATATAAACAAACTCATGCAGCTGAAGATGAAGACCCAATTTCATTGGTCATCCTGTTGCTAATCGACATAAACGACCAATAAAATAGATGCACCACCTCCATCAAGCGTGTTGCAGCACCATCTTGTGGCACGAAGGGTAATCATAACGAATGGCAATTTATTGTTATCGGCACTTTTGGCAAGGATGTCTTTCATTTAAATCTAAATATATGTAAATAAAAGATCCTTGCGGTTATTGGCCTCTCTGCTTATATCAATCATGGGATTTGCAGTTATTTTTTATTTTGCGTAATGCATTCATACAAAAATGTACTCTTAGGGTTATTATATATAAGAATAAAATGTGCAATAATAGATGTGTGGGGGAGATTTTCTAATAAAAAATTAAAGTTTAGCTACATTTTATAGCATTGTTATATTATTCACATACTCAAAAAAGTTTATTTTATTTATCGCAAAACAAAACAAAATCAATATTTAAAGGGAAATTTTCACTTTGATTTGACCTGAGGAAAATCAACATCTCGTCAGTTCAATGCATATTTCTGGGGAGCGTTTCGTAGTAAAAATAAAATATTATCTTGTAAGAAGTTTATGCCAGAAAGACAGCAAAATGTATTTAAATATGAAATAACCCATGTTGATTGCGCGCCTACTTACAAAAAACTATTTTCCTGGCAAGCACATTCTCATCCTTTTACTGTCATTCAATCACATAAACACAATTTGCAAGGCTGCTAGAACAACACCAGAAGTCCTTGTAAGATGACTCCTAGGCCTTAGACAGAGGTCAGGTCACTGAGACAGATGCATAGTTCGTTCCCACTAGGCCACATAGTTGTATTGGTTGGCAATGTCTTTGTCTCGTTCCATGTAGTCCCGGTCAATGAGAGATTCGATGCGCTTCTTCAAATCTGCAGGCTGAAATTAAAAAAATACATGTTTCGCAAATTACAACCCAATAATTTTCTTTAACTACCTTCACAGGGAATTTGAGCTGATTGTACAGTTCACTGATCAGTAAGTTGTGGCTAAGCGTTTTGCGCATCTTCATGATTCGCACAATAGCAGCATCAATTTGATACTGTCTGTCTTGGAAAACTCTTTCCTCTGTTGCCTTCTGCTCCTCGGTCTGCAATTATATAAGCTTTTATACACAATTTGACCAAAATAATAGCAACATACAGTCTCCTTCAGTTGAATCTGATTAATTTTAATGCGGAACAGTTTATTGGTGAACTCATTGTTGAAAGAAAACTTGTCACCGTTCTCCACCTCTCTGCCCTTTGGAACTTTTTGCAAAACCCTTGCTTTGCCACATGCTAGAGATTGAAGAGTGCGTCTCAGTTCACCATCCTAAATAGGTAAGATTATAACATAGTTTAATTTTTTCTCATTTCCTTGTAAAATACCTCAATATTTGTAGCTGCTTTCAATTCTTCAACAGAAATTTCATCCGAATGATTGAACCTCAAAAGAACCAATGCTTGGAAAAGCGACACTTGAAGTTCTTTCTTGCCCTGAATATATTTTAATCAATAAGGAAAACAATGCTTTCAGTACGGATTCAAACCTGAGCAAAATCTGCCTTTAGGACACAGTGGCCTAAAGTTGGTTGCCACTGGAGCTTTCGACCACTGTGCTTGCCAAGGTAGAATTTGTTGAAGACCTCTTGGTACTGCACCATTTCGATGGGCAAAGTAACCTCCAAAAGTGGGTAGGACGGCCAGTAGCCCATTGTTAAAATGCTCACAGTGAGATCAATGTAAGCTAAAGGTGGCTCTCGCAAGTTTGACGTGTGCTGTTTGAAAGCAATGTTGATGTCTTTGCTAAGCTCCATATCTTTGAACATGCCCTCGAGCTTAGACGTGAAGCCTCCTCCACACTCCTGCTTAAGTTTTGACAGCATGCTCTTTTCCGCATCTACGCTGGCTGACTTGCCAACCAGCAGTCTTTTAGCCAAATCCTTAAATTTATTTTTTTAGTTATTGCTATTAAATAACAAGCTTGATAAAAATCAGCACCTTTTTATAGAAGGCCTCAAAAACATCTTTTCCGTGAATAAATCTGAAGAGGACCATGATTTTGTCCAAGAGCCTCTCAAGCTCCTCTTCCGTCGCCTCTTTGTTTCCAGCTCTCAGTTTGGAGTCCACAAATTTAGCTGAAATTAATGTTGAATTATTTGCAACACACTTTCAAGCCAAATTCAAGAAATCTTACCAATAAGCTCTGCCGGTTTGTTCACTCTCTGATTGATGAAGTACTCGAAAGCTTCCTTCAGGCTGAAATGGAAACGTTCCCTCTTTTGGAAACAGTTGTTTACAGTGCTGTCCATCTTATCTTTGAAGTCTAGCAGTTCTTGAACCATGGTCTTGTCCTTCTCTGGATCAATCACAATAGTCCTTCCTTTTTTCTGTAACGTATTCAGCATTAGTAAATTTTAACGAAAAACGGTAGGCACGCCTCACCTTGATAAAACTATTGAAATTGTTACACAGCTCAGTTGGACCGTTTTTGACACGCGAAAACAGATTATACAATAGGGTCAAATCCTTGATTCGCTTTTCCTCAAGCAACACCTCCAAGCCTTTCTGCAAAATTGCAGTAAGGTGTTCACTCAGTAGCTGCTTTTCAACAGTGTGGATCAGCGCCCATCTGAAATTAATAAAACACATCCAATTAGTTTAATAAAATTTATAATTGAGGATTTAGAGTTAAAATGCATTTGGCAGTTCCTATTACTTACTTAGTGCACTGATCCAAATAATGAAGCAGTCTTTCGTTTTCTTCGTTAAGCCTTTTATTTACATGGGTCAGATACTCGGGAACATCCAAATCTTGCATTAGTTGCTGGCCTTCGCTGGCATATAACCTCTCTGTGGCTAATAAGAATCTAAAATATATAATATTTTGTTAGTAATGGCATCATTAAACATTTGTTAAATATTACTTTGCTTCAAACGCCTCTTGATAAATTTGCAAATCAGAGAGCATCCGGAGCAGCGACTTCAGAAGGGTTCTATCTACAGTGTCTCCTTGGCGCTCTTTCTCTATAAGCATCAACAGACCTTCCACTGTTCGCGTTTGAACCATGGGATTGATTATGATGTGATGACGGAACATCTCCAAGCCCATATCCCTGAAAGATTGGGATTCAACAAATTGATATTTTAAGAATAAATCCTGTCTTACCAAATAGAAACAATGGATGCATTGTGAAGAACATAAGTTCTGTCCAAGTAGAGGAATATGCTCCGGATCTGGATCATTTGCCGGCAGTGTGCCAGCCAGCATTCGTTCATCCGTTTGAGGAAAATTAATCGGTCGATCGACTCTGCCAGAAATGGTTTTATGTTTGCTTCAACGTGCTTCTCAGTTAAATCTGCATAGAAAAATTAAAGTTACTTAAATGAATCACAAAAATTCCCCATCTTTACCTTTCAGTTTAGAATACAGGAACGGAGCCATCTTGTTGTTACACATATTTTCCACTCCTCGGAACAATTCTTCTTGACTATATCTGATAGATTTTGAAGTCTGGATGGCAATTACTGCCTCCTCCAGCTTCCCCCATGTCTCCTGTTGGTAGTTTTTCGGCAGTTGAGGAGTATCTGCAAAATTTAGATAAATTAGCAATTAGGGTCGCTTGCAGTTATTATTTATTTTTCAAACAAAACATACGCGAGTCTATGACAGAAAATAACATCAAAATATTTTTAATAGGCTTTCAAAAATATTTTGTTAATTTATATAATACATAATAATTATTACAAAAAAAAAACTCGTAACATAATCATCATATTAAATTGAGTAAATGCTTCAAAGATTGGTGTGATTTTTTCTGTCTTGATTTAATAATCAATTGCATAAGTGGTCATCGGGCAAAAATAGCCTAGATGATTGCGCATTTGAGGGTATAATATTGAGCCAAAAATGGAGACTATGTACTATGCACAGATATACATAAATGCGTAGAACAAAATTGATACTGAGAAAAAGAAAGCTAAACTTGATCAATTTTAGCGAACCTTTGAAATTGAGTATCACAAGTTTTTTGGCTGCGCCAGGCTTGGAGCTGATGAGGTTGTTGCTTGGCCGTATCAAGGCCGAAAAATTCCCTTTCTTCTCCATGTCGGCCATAACATCGTCTGGGGCCCGAAAGCGATTTTCGAGACCCCTAGCCAACTTCTTGCGCTTCTTTGGCGAGTCCTCGTCTGACAGGACGACGCTCCTACTACGATTAGACATTGACCATTCCCGGCTGCTTACGGATGACGAATTTTATTTCTCTTCCCAGCGCAGAAACAGTTTAGGTCGCCTGTCGAAAGTTGGCTGTCGATATCAGTTTGCTTCACTGCTGGCCGCTGGCCGGTCCGGGCGACGGCGATTGTGGCTCGCTATTTCGGAATTTTCAGAATCCAGTTGTGAGTCTCGATTTTTCCAGAGCTCATCAATCTCAAGAGTAGCGCCGCGAGAATTGATTAAAATTGTAAAGAAACAGCAGGCGACATGATTAACACAACGCTCCAGCAGCGGATGAAAAGCAAGCGTAGAAATAAAAGTCTGCATGCGCTATTTGCACCTAACTTCTGTTCTGCGCAGTCGCGCAGAACACACGAGAGCGCTGCAATTTCTGCTATTTGCACATTCATGAATATATTCTCAAAAGTAAGAATTTTTGAAGATAAGCCAACTCTAATAAAATTTAGAGAAGTGTAGAAGAATACAATCTATTGAAATTCTTAAATAAATATTTCAATAAATTAAATTTGCTGGAAATAAATGTCAAGTTTCAGGAAATTAGAAACAAAAATTGAAATTAAATGGCGACCAATTCGCATCCCCTTAGGATTTAAATTATCTTCTCATCAAAGTTTTATTCGATTTAAAATTAATCAATTTGCCTAATATGTGTCTTACTTAAAGTTTATTTGTAATAAAATACATATTAATTAATGAAAAATTAAACATTTTGTTAAATTACACTGGAACGTGTACTCTCGACACGTCGCACTTGAGCCCCCTACTCGAGTCCATCGCCCTCCAAGCTCCTCCCACCCGGACTCGTAAACGCACCTCTCAATTGGTCCTTGGCTGGCAGTACACGGAACACAGACGTCGAACTGACTCAGAAGTCACGAAAAGAGTGACGTCGATTGACAATTGGAATAATCGTATTAACAGCGAATTTGTCGGCAGTCGTGGCGAAAAGCAAGACTGCCGAGCGACGTTTGCCTCCCTGGATATTCGTGCTCGTTCGACCTGTTAATTAGGGTCACTCCCTGAAGCAATCGGCTCGTAGAGCTCCAGCTCGCCACCTCACTCGCGCTAGCATCATGTCTTCGTCTGGTGATTTCGGCAATCCGCTCCGCAAGTTCAAACTCGTTTTTCTAGGAGAACAAAGCGGTAAGTAGGCGTCTAGGGTGATTCCGGTCTGCAAGGGGTGCTTTTCGACTTGCACGAGCTCGCCGAAAATTCGTATTTGCTTCGCTAGCCGCAGATGGGAGGCGGGGTCGCACCCACCCACACCGAACTCGACTTCTGTCGGCCCAGAACTTTTTGCAAAATTGCATTTTCTAATTTATTGAATACACATTTTTTATTTTGTTCTGCATGGCTAATTTTCAGAACTTCCTTCTTTCAAAATTTAAACTCAATAATGGGTTCTTGGAATTTGGTACCACAGGAATTTTTTATTATAAGATCAATTGCTCATGAAAAGGGTGGAAGGTTGTTCATAGTTTAGTGGGTCATTACCTCATTAGGGATTGAACTGTAAGAAAGAAATTTGAACTTATGACAGAATTTCTTTGAACGATGTTAAACAGAAAGACCCCAAAATTAAATTATTGTTAAAGTTTGCTGCAGCATTTAATATTAATTGTTTTAAGCTGTTTTTAAAATAAAGTGATTATTTTTTTTTCTAAATTAACGTTGGATCACGCTGGATAAAAATTTACAGCTAAGAACCTTGAAAAGCTATTTAACAAGAATCGCTGACTGAAACCGTCAAATATAGATAATTGAGAATGTAAATTATCATTATTATAAAAAAAACCTGGTTTTAAATATCTTGATTCATATGTAATGCCGGCAAACTATTTTTATCGTCTCGCATCCGCAATCAGCGAACGTGATTAATTATTCTTTGTATTCTTATATCTTTGATATGATTCACATATTAGCTATTTTTATCTGACAATTCTGACATCGCTTTGTCAAAATAGTGCTTTTGTATTCAAGCTCCGCCGAAACCATTCCATGAAATATAAATCTCCTTTGATCGATTTAGATGATTTTTTTAATTTTTATTATTTCCGTCTTCCACGCAACAACTGAGTTCATGAAATATAAATTTCTTTTATAACCACGGTTTCATTGCAGTCAAGGGAGACAGGGCGGGGTTCGCCTTAATTTTTGCCTGCTTTGTATTTGCCTGTGTTAATGGAACAAATATTTATCCTCTGTCCATTTTCTGTGTTTTAGTTGGCAAGACTTCACTGATTACGAGATTTATGTATGACAGCTTTGACAACACTTACCAGGCAAGATAAAAGTTTCCAAAAAGTAAAATGCTCTAATTTCCATTTTCCCCTTTTGTAGGCAACCATAGGCATCGATTTCTTATCCAAAACAATGTATTTGGAGGATAGAACGGTAAATATCTACTTGAAATTCTTTTTTTATTTTTATATTATTATAAAAACAAAATTTTAACCACTTTTTTTTATAACATTTTTAATGCAAGTTGCGGCGTACTCTAGAGAAAGATTAAAGTTTTAAATGTTCTTATTTTTCTAGGTGAGACTACAGTTGTGGGACACTGCGGGACAGGAGCGGTTTCGCAGTTTGATTCCTTCATACATTCGTGATTCGACAGTGGCTGTGGTTGTCTACGACATCACAAGTGAGCAACCTACCTATTCACATGCAATCACGTTGCTGAATTTTTTTTTTCTTTTCCCAGACGCAAATTCCTTTCACCAAACTTCTAAGTGGATTGACGATGTTCGCACCGAGCGTGGCAGTGATGTAATCATCATGCTGGTTGGCAATAAGACGGATCTTTCTGACAAGAGGCAGGTCTCGACCGAAGAGGGCGAGCGCAAAGCTAAAGAACTAAACGTCATGTTTATTGAGACCAGTGCTAAGGCCGGGTACAATGTGAAACAGGTGAACTCCTCAAAATAATTTTATTTGATTGAAATAAATACAATTTTTTTTTACCTCAGCTTTTCCGAAGAGTTGCTGCAGCTTTACCAGGCATGGACTCGACAGAAAATAAGCCTCCTGAGGACAGTATCCTTTTCCGCTGCAAAATTAATTTAATCATGTCTAACAAATTCTCAAAAACCTTTTTAAAAATTTGGTATTTTGCCATATTTAGTGTACTTATTTAATTATTTCAATTGTTTCTTTCTTATAATTTTCTATGATTTATTTTGTTTATTTTCCCTTGACTTTATTTTGCTCAGTGCAAGAAGTGGTGCTCAAAGACACCCCGAACGAGTCACGGAACCCCGACGGCAGTTGCTCGTGTTGACTGGCTGGATGGAGTGAGATGGTTTCTATTAAGCGTCTTGCCCTTTCACATTCCCCAGAAACAAGACTTGTTTCTACTGGTTTTTACTTTCTTGTCGTTATCTGTAGATTTTATTTAATTCATGCTTTTGTTGTAATAATAATTTAATTCACGATTTGTTTTGAGGATAACGATTATTGACTTTTAAATTGTTCCAGTGTGAATTGTCTCAATTCATTAGTATTATTTTCTACCTGCGCAAAATATGTTTTCTAGTTCCAAGATTGTCCTTGCAGTTGTGAAGCTTGCACTCAACAAACCGCGAAAACTGTAAATAATCAGAATTACAAAATTTAATTAAGCATGAGATGGGCGCATATTTTTAAAATATGAAGCAAACCTCCAAGCTTTATTTAAAAGCGTCCTGCTGTTTCTCAATTAAAAAATTTAATTATACCACTAATTGTAAGCAGTTTTTGGAGATTTTACACACGTTGGATAATATATTATGAGTTAATAATTTAAATAGTATAATATGATGTTAACATTTAACTTTCTTGCAAATTTTGAGAATATAAAAATTATTTTTCCAATAACGAAGTTAGTAAAGTTAATTTTTGTACTAGTGCAAAGTATGACTGGAAAATAATGAGCCGTTTCATTTATATCAGCACGTCAACTCATCAAGGCAGCTATTTTTGGCTTGAAATGTCACTTTTTTCTGCCAAAAAGTAAATATATTTATATTTTTCTGCCTTTCTGCTAAAATTATCTCAATTGGAGAAATCAGTTCCCTCATTGATAAAATTAACAGTACTTTTTTCTCACATATGGGAGCTGGGAGCTCATATAGTTGGATGGAAATCAGTTATAGAGATAAGAATCTTTTTAATAAAATTGGTGCTGTCTTTCTTTTTTTTTTTTTAACATGCTCAATATTTATGCATTTTCTTTGACATTCAACTTTGTTTTTGCCAAACTTCCAAGTCCCTTCAATGACTGTGGTCATTGCATTTGAGTCTCATTTGAGAGTACTTAAATTCATCGGCTTACAATTACTTTTTAGAAAATTGAGGTTGCTTGCTGGATGTCCAACGTATTTAAAATAAAATATTAAAGCAAATAATAAAGATTTGCTTTACTCACCAATAGCACCGTGTAGCCAGCAATAAAAATATTAATTATTGAATGTTATTTTCTTTAATTTATGATTACTTTTGTTTCTTATTAATTACTTTATTTAGAATTTAAATGAGAACTGTTCTTAAGAAATCAGAGTCAAATAAATAATATTCGTTCCTTGCTAATTAAAAAATTTTCATCCTTAACTGCTTTTTCTCAGCCGTTGACTTGCAGACGCAGCAGCCGCAGCACTCAGAGAGTGTGGACGAGGAAGGCCGGTGCATTTGCTAGAAGGCATTTTGCGCCGCGCATCTCACTCACCACTGCTTTGCCCTCTCTCACCAACTACTGTGATGACCACAACTGCTTGAAAGTAGCGCCTGCATCACTATCATGATACTTATATAACCAGCAAAATCTTTGTATACTGCTGCGCTTCCTACAAAACTGCATAGATTTGTGATCTGTGTCAATTTATGGAAAAACTAATTATTTGTTTGGCGCCAACGAATTTAAAGTGGTGTTTGTTATCCACGAGAAATTGGCTTAAATTTGCTGAGCCCAAGTGGACAGTTTAGTAGGAGAGCATGATTATACACAAGACATTCAAATCCCTATCCAACCCGTGCCAACTTGAGAGAGGGTATGTAATGTTTCCGAGGATTTCAATACAACACATTTTTTTTACCTATATTTTTTACAGCTTATTTTGTCACAAATTAATTACGTCTGTCAAATTTTTTTAATGGATATTGTTATTCAATTAACTGGCAACGCATATACAAAAGACCTGAAATTTTTAATTCTGTACAACCAAATGGTATTGCACTGAACTTTTGCCGCTTGGTTAGCTTTACTTTCAGCTGATGGAAATGCTGTGATTTCTTTCAGACAAGAAAAAGAATTTTATTAATAATATGTAAACGTGCATCTCAATCCCGGAGAAATCACGGATTCTCCTAATGTTGCTTTCAAAGTCTTAGGAATGGAATAAAAATAAAATAGTCGCAAATGGAGCTTGCCGCTGCGAATTTTGCAAGCACACGCATTTCAAACTTTTGAGCTCATCCTGCATGGAAACACTACTTGCGTGTGTAAATTAAAATGAAAATCACTTTTTCTTACAGCGCTGTGTGTGTGCATTTCTAACAAATAATAAAGCTGTTCAATTAAATTATATTATGGATTGAGAGATGCTGATTGATGGACCGTTTGATATTGTCGATTGCGATGATTCCAGCTTGATTATTTTAGATGACCTGCATTGAAGTTTAAAATTGTAGCAGGTTTTTGAATGAATGAATTTAAGTAGCGCAACAAAAAAAAATTCAAAATAATTATTTTATCAGAGATTTGATGTTTCATAGGTTTATAGTTATAACTATGATTATTTGCTTACTTTATTAATTCCTATTGTAATAAACATTTGGCGCTTTTGAAACTTTGATTTTGCAATTAATGAAAAATTTCACCAAAATTAAGATGTATTCACAGAAAATAATTAATGGATGACATTATACATAGACGGTAGTTAATACGTACAATCATATCCTCACTGGCTATACCTTAACATTTTCTAATAACATGGCAAAGGGTCATGAGTCATGACGAAAAAATTTCGCGGCCCAATTTTTTGCAGCTCTTTCTTGAAAGTATTAATTTAATTTAATGATCCAAATATTTATATCGTGAAAGTGATTAAATCGCAATTATATTATAGGGCTTCATGCATTTGGCCGCCTGCCAATTTCCCGCCTACGTAGAACATATTTTGATTAATCGCGGGATTAACGTAAAGATGGCGTTCTGCAGGATCCTCCCCCTTCGTGTCCTCATCAGTTCCTTGTTCCGTCTTTGTTGTGGTCGACCGAGCGGTGTCTGTTTTCCACACTAGACTGTCCGTCGTCCCACCCCATCGGCGTTCACGTCCACTTAGCAGTGCGCAGACATGTCCGGGTAGCTGTGGCCTCGCTTTCGGTGCCCGTCCAGGTGAGTTTCGCCTTCGAGACAGGTCTCTTGGCTCTGACTCGGGCCCTGACTTGCCATAGTCTTTTATTGACAAACCGCGCCCACGGAGGGCCTCCGTGGGCCCTCCGAGGGCATTATATTACCAACTGGTATACCGGACGTTCACCGGAGAGGTACACCCTGAGTCAGAAAGAGACCGGATGACGTGAACGGGGCGATAAGAGTGGGCTGTGGCTCCTCTGTATTTTATATACATAGATACGCACACGTACATTTAAATCAAATTATATATGTATTGTCAATACAAATATATCTCTCTGCTGATCGCTGTGTTTGTTGATAGGAAATCAACAAAAATCAATAGGTGGTTCTACTTGTTAGGGCTTGATAGGTTTATGAAAATTACCCACCATCTGCTTATTCATTGGCTAAATGCACTCATTTAGTCGATTCTTTTATTTGATTATTTTTCATAATTTTTTTTTTATTTCTTTTCTTTAATTTCAGAGAAAAGACAAGAAATTCATTCGCTTATTTTAAATATCCGGTTTTAAATATTTAAATTTTCCTTGTTTTAAATTGTAGAAATTTGTAATTAACGACTTATTCTTCCCCCTGTTTTGTCACACTTTCAGATAAAATCTGTTTTTGACACTTCGCCACTGACGTTAGTGAGTGACCAACACACTGGCAACATTAGACATGGACGAGTCCAGTTGTAAAAGACAAGCCACAAGGTAAACAAATAGTGCAAGCATAATACTTATTGTTCATGCTGATTATTACTTTTCATCGCACAGTCGACGCAGTTGTACACAATAATGTGATATTACTTGTCTTTATGTGGCTTAAAGCAGCAGCTTTAGTTTGTTTACTTATCATTTAAAAACTATATAGCTTTTAATTCTATTACTCAATTCAATGTTTTAATTCGCGCTTTTCTTGTTTGCAGGGTATTCAAAAAGAGTTCTCCTAATAGCAAGGTAATTTTATTGAATTAATTCACTTTTCTTACACTCAAAACGCGGAATAATATTATGTGGAAATTTGATCGCGTTTGACTGAACTGAAGCCAGTCACATGCACAACCAGCAATCCCTCTGCAAATGTTAACAAACAAATCAAGCGATCCCAACATGGTAAAGATCACTGCACACTTCAGTTGACATCCGCTAAATAGTCGTCAGTCAAAATCGGCTACGAGGGGCTTTGAAAGGGGAGGTGTGGGATATTGTAAATAAAAATTATTATTTTTGATCTTTTTAAAATCATGCATCGCTTTAATAAGGAATAAAATTTTGAATTGACGTCAATTGGGCGTTTGTGTTTAACCACAAATGGAGAAAAATTGAAGCAATGATTTTCCTGTGTGGCTTGAAACAGAAAGGAAGTGGATATCCTTTGTGAAAAATATTATATCTCGCAATTAGTTTGTTCCATTAGTATGTATAAAGTTCACAAAATTAATTAAAAAACTAAAATTAACAAGCCAATTATTACAATTGAATTCCAGATCACCGTTTATCTTGGGAAAAGGGACTTTGTAGACCACATAACACATGTTGACCCCATAGGTAAATACCGCAAATTTCTTGGTCATCGACGTAACTCTCCTATTTCCTATCCTATTGTAGATGGAGTTGTTTTAATCGACCCCGACTATGTCAAAGACCGAAAAGTGTTTGGCCACGTATTGGCCGCCTTCAGGTATGGACGTGAGGATTTGGACGTCCTGGGCCTCACCTTCCGCAAAGACCTTTATCTAGCCGCTGAGCAAATTTTCCCTGTGCCAGAGTCTGTCAGCAAACAGCCCTTGACCAGACTTCAGGTTTCATTTCACTTGTTATAAAACAAACACTTCTCTTGAAAGCAAGTTTGGCCCCTCAGGAACGGTTGATAAAGAAGTTAGGACCAAATGCTTTCCCTTTTTATTTTGAACTGCCTCCTCACTGCCCTGCCTCAGTCACTCTCCAACCGGCACCCGGTGACACTGGAAAACCTTGCGGAGTCGACTATGAACTCAAAGCGTTTGTGGGAGAAACTCAAGATGACAAGCCGCACAAAAGGTATAATTAAAATAAAAAAATCTAATTGATAATTATTCATTTGATTGATGCAAAGGAATTCCGTTCGACTGGCAATACGCAAGATAATGTATGCGCCAAGCAAACAGGGTGAGCAGCCTTCGGTAGAAGTAAGCAAAGACTTCATGATGAGTCCCAATAAACTTCACTTAGAGGCTTCGTTGGACAAAGAGGTAAATAATATTTATCCTGATTTGAAATTTATAACTTTTATATTTTCCGTTTATTCAGTTATACCATCACGGGGAGGATATAGCTGTAAATGTTCACATTGCAAACAACAGCAACAGATCTGTGAAAAAAATTAAAGTGACTGGTAAAAATCTTGCGTTTTGTACTTCTGCTCTCATATCTTTTTTAATTTTAATTTGCAGTTCGCCAGTTTGCAGACATATGTCTATTTTCGACAGCGCAGTATAAGTGTACAGTGGCTGAAATCGAAAGCGAGTAAGTCGTTATTGCATTATTAATTTATTCTATATATTGAAGTTGCCTATGGAAAAAGATAGAAAACAACCTTTTTAAATAAATAGGGAAGTGTAAAATGTAATAAAACTCTATTCAGCTACATTAAATTTGGCTGAGTAGATCTAGAATTAAAAGGTGCAATTGCAGAGACGGATGCCCTGTAAGTCCGGGCTTTACGTTGTCAAAGGTGTTTTACCTGAAACCGCTGTTGGAAAAGAACAAGGACAAGCGAGGTTTAGCACTGGACGGTCAACTGAAACACGAGGACACAAATTTGGCTTCATCGACAATGTGAGTCCCGAGTGGACACTAATGAGAATGGTGGTTGGTTGCAGGGAGGGGTGTCCAGTTGGGCCTGGGTTTACCTTGAGCAAGGTTTTCTCCCTTACACCCTTGCTGGCCAACAATAAAGACAAGTGGGGGCTGGCTCTAGACGGTCAGCTGAAGCACGAGGACACAAACTTGGCCTCGAGCACTCTGTAAGTCAACTGGCTAAGCTTGCCTCTTTGCTCAATTTAAATGTGCAGTTTGCTATTGCCAAGTTGTGCTAAAAAAGTTTTTAATGGCCTACATTAAAAAAAAAAAAATGTGCATTCGGTCAAATTTAAAAATTAATTTTGCATAATTTGATGCTTTTAATCTTTGCTTCAAAGCAACACTCATTTAACTCCAACTGATATTTGAGAAAAAGTGTTTTTAATACATAGGCCGTTTCTGTTGTTTGTGCTTGCTGAGGCTGTTCAGAACTACTGCTTGTCCCTGCCTGCTACCATTCATCATCCTCTTCGTCCACTGCATTTCCTATACTTTTGATGGGGGAGGGGGGGGGGGGAGGTATTTCGAGAAAAAGAACAAAATATTTTGATTGTTTTAAATTTTATTTCAAAATTATCACCAACCTTTCAATTTAAAATATATTATGAAGCAAGTCTTGTTTTTGGAAATAAGAATTTCCAGAGTTACATTATGTGTAATTTTTGTTAAATGTAGAAGTCAATTGTCGTACTTGCATTTATTTTGTTTTCTACTTGTGACATATAACAATCTATATTTAATAAATTTGTATGATACTTTTTAAAAATTAGTGAATATCAATATTGTTGTAAATTAATTGGTGTATATCTTGTAATTAAAAAAAGGAGCTTCAGCTCATAATCAACAATTTAAATTTGCCTACAGCATCAGCGAAACTTCTCAGCGAGAAAATCTTGGCATTATTGTACAGTATAAAGTCAAAGTTAAGCTCTGCCTTGGAGCACTTGGCGGGTGAGTTTTGTTTTGTTTGCTCTAAAGCCTCAAATTTTAAATCTCCATATTTTAGAGATCTTGTGGCTGAATTACCGTTTATTCTAATGCACCCAAAGCCAGAGGAAGAGTCCTTGCCAGTTTTAAGTTCAAGTCCGTCCCACATGGCAGATGCTTCTGATGGACAGAAAACTGATCCTGCTGTGGACAACCTCATCCAACTTGACTCGTAAGCATTTATTCTTTTCCTTTTTTTTTAATTGAGATATTTTATATTCCTCAAACCAATGTTTCGAAGTAACCAAATTAAAAGAAAATATCTCGAACCTGCTTTCAGTGAGGGCATTCGACCAGATCCAGATGACGACATAATCTTTGAGGACTTTGCTCGACTGAGGTTAAAAGGGGGAGAAACGGAGGCTTGAATAATGTGCCTCAGGCAAATTCAAAAAAGGTTTTTATGAAGATGATAAATTATATAATTATTACTAAAAACTTAGTGCCTGATTTTTCTGACAAATTGTTTTCAATTATTCACCAAGTACAAAATTTGTAGCAAAACCTTACATTGGCAAAATAATTTTTGCACCCCGTGTTTCACAATAAAGCTTTTTTATTCTTGTGGCTAAATGATTTGCCAGATTAGAAACACGGTGTTTTCACCCAGGATTTACAGCAATAATGTTAAAATGAGATAACCACTTGCAAACTCCTTTTACTTGCTTGGTGAATACTTTAAAATAAGTTTGTGAGAGAACACGGGCATTAAAAAATAAAAATGGCTTCAGAATAGCAGATGGGGCTTCATAAAGAAACGCTCCACTCTGCAATTTTATTTGTGTACTTGCAGAAATTGAAATATTTTGATTAATTTCTGCACTAAAATAACTGATGTAAGCCGATGTGATTGTGCATTTTTCATAATAACTATTACTGTCGCATTCACTAATGTGAACGAACAGCATTTACTATACCATTTTCTTATGTGTTTTTGATCAATCCGAATCTCGAGAAATGTTTTCACAGCACAACTGCAAGCTGGTTCCAATCAAAATCAGACGCTCAAATGCAATAATTATTTTTCTCCTCGCATGCATGACACACGGTCATTGGTTCCAGTATGTTTTCTGAGCTAATTTTGCTCGCCTCAAATATTTTAACTGACTCGCGCCATACTTTTGCACAAGTGTTTTCCTTGAATTACCAAAATTTCTATTTTGTGATTACGAACCATTTGTATCTAAGGTTTAAGTTATGCCATTATAAGCTCATGGGCTAAAAATATGCTTTTTATGTGCAAGGATGCTGGATAACGGTGTGCCCTTTTGGTACCAAATAAGATGTGATTTTGATGGGTGAACTGGTACCTTTGTTTTGGTGTAAAGGAGAAGCAAAGATCCAGCTCCTAGTGCTTTTCATAATATATAATTATGCTTGAAATTAAGTAATCCTATTTAATGTTATTACAAAAAAATAATAATGCAAAACCTGTTTTCTCCCAACCGACATCTTTGGGGCAAGGATCTAAAATCTACAGAGCTCAAAATTCGTGTGGATACTTTTCTCCATTTAATGTTTTTTTTTTTTTTTTAAATTTCTATCAGTATTTATGTATTTAATGGCGTTTTCAATATTAATATATGGATAACATAAAAAAAAATTATAATTAAATTGTGAAGTGTCCTCTAGATTTTAAAATTGATATAAATCTTCTTTTACTTTCCGATACAGCCTCTTGGCAAAATGTGATGGTCATTGTTAATAACACCTTTGCCTATACAGCAAGATTTGGTTAGGCGAAACACACTAATACTACAATAGCTGCATCTCAATTGCTTTCCGACACATTTACTTTGCAAAATATATGTACATATTTTTGCTGCGCTGTATTTTGTGTGAGGGTCAAACGCAAAAAAAAAAATTATTTAATTGTACTCTCGTCAAAATTTTAGTGAAGAGAGTAATAATTCATAAAGTTGGATGCCATTTGTTTGCGCTAAAGTCAGTTTAACTGCAAAGCTGTACTGGCAACAATATAAAATATGCATTTCCCACTTCTTAATTATATTTATATTTCTAATTTTATTGATATTTAGGCATACCTGGCCACCTTTAAATAACTAAGTTACAATTTATCTATGAATCTGATGAACAGACAGTTGTTCTTTAAGTGAAATTTAAGAGGAAAACGATGTAGCAAAAAGTTAAATCAATAAGGAATTATGTATAGCTGCGTAAAATTAACTACACATCAGTGAAGCTTCAACAGTCCAAAATAATCGATAATGTGTTATTATCAATCAATTTTTATTAAAATCTATGTTATGCAATCTTTACGTAGAGCTTAAAGAACAAACACGATAAAAAAATTGGCAATCTAAAATATGTGGTATTAATTAAGTTTTCCAAAACAGTCAAGATGAATAATTTCTTATGTAAAAAAATATTGCTGGTGTGCTCTTTACAAAGTTGTTGGTGTCTGTTCGTCAAATTCATATAAACAATTAAAAACTCTTGATGCTGCACAAAACAACCTCCTCAAGACTATAGAGACTATTGCATGTTATATATGTATGTATGCCATCAAAATCATTTTGAGCTCATTAAAATGCATTGTATATTCCTGCATCATTATTTTTTGTGTGAGGAATAAACTCGTGACCTCAATGTTACCTATTTTTGGTGCATTATTTTCTAATCCTATTTTAACCTTTATTTCAATTTTTCTATATAACTTTACAGTTCTATTTTGTATTCAAATAATAAATTTAAATATTTAATTGTTGTTATTATAATTAAATTTTTCAATATTTGAAGATTAATAACCATTTAAAATTTTGTAATATTATCGAGGAAAGAAATTTATTAATTAAATATGAAGTTTATAATTCAATATGTTTATTTATATTAAATAGCAGACTATTGAAATTTTTTATTCAAAAATAAAAATACAATTAAATTATATAATCAGCAAAAAGGAGAGCAATAACAAAAATTAATTTTAATCAATTAATGGAAAAATTTTTATTTGCCGCAAGTTGCGTTTGGCATTGTTTACACGTAAAGCGTATAATGCGCGTGCAAATGAATGAAATAGCCTTGCGAGCGTGAAACGCAAAACGCGGTGGAGGAATTCCACGTATTCCATTATTCGCGAATCGCGTTTGACGGTGGTGCCGTCTGGCGAGCGTGGGAGGCACCGCGTGCAGCAACACACGGGGCCACGGCACTGATTCAGGCACCAGCAGGAGGAGAGGAGAGAGGAGGCAGTCAGTCGGTCAGCCAGCAGTCGTTTGTGTGTGTAAAATCGCGTAAGTGCACAGTGGTGAACCAGAAAACGCGTAAAACAAACGATTCGCCAACAGCTCCGGTGCAGTGGCGGATGTTGGCAGTGGCGAGCGGGACACCCAGGATGGCTCGTCGGGACGCGACACTGGTGGCGGGCCTCGCCGGACACTCGGGGGCCTCGAGTCCATGTGTTTTCTAGGCGAGTACGACGGCTGAGAGAGACACCAACCCCGAGCAACGCAGAAAGCAACATGGACGACCTCCGCAGTGTCCGATCGAGGCTCGGTCGGAAGTGAGCAGTTAATCACCGTCTCCGAGTCTGCGAAAGGCCGAGGTGCGGTTTAGCGTCCGATCGGGCGTACGAGCAGGACTTTAGGCGACGAATAACAGGCAAGATGGCGGATCTGGAGGCTGTCCTCGCAGACGTGAGCTACTTGATGGCCATGGAGAAGAGCAAGTGCACTCCAGCGGCCCGGGCCAGCAAGAAGATCATCCTGCCCGACCCTAGGTGAGTGTGACCCTCGGCTGCTTGGGCGCGACTCGGGGGGTGTGGGGGCGGCCCGCCTCCGACTCCAGTCTCGGAGCACTCGAACCTCGGCCGCAGATCGATACGCACGGGGATGCAGCACCTACACGAATGTAGCGAAAATAAAGGAATGAGGCGCTCCGCCGACACCTCGCCTGTCCGAAAGTGTCCAGCCTCGATCAAAGGCCCGAATCAAAATTATCGCCCGCTGTCATCGCTCGGGCCAATTATGTAATTTATTTACTCGGACCGCGGCCCCTCGTCGCTGGCAGGTGTTGCATATATAAATAAATTCCTGCACTCCGGAATGAGAGTGAGCGAGAGATTAATTTTGGCGGCGCCGAGGAATTCCGAGTTGCTCTAAAACAAGCTAATCTCTGCGCTTGTAAACCGCGTATTATAGCCGGACATTAAGTCCACTTAAACATGATCGAGGGGAAAATGGAGTTGAAAGCAGTTGAAAGAAAGAATTTTTTTGTTATTAATTTGGAATCATTACCTTTATAAATTGGAAAGTTTTTTTTTAATTTTAGTTTTATCTTGAAATATTCCCTTAATGTTTCCAATATTATTCTGGTAACAGCGAATCCGCTAAAAAGTTTAGAGTACAATTTGAAATTAAAACTTGACACTCCAATTTTTCCAAAAAGTTAATTTTTGATGATTGAATTTTATTGCTCGGGGTTTTAAGTCGTTTATTGTTTAAGTGCAATAATAATTTAGATAATTTTTATATTTTAACAACCTTTATGAAATTATAAATTTTTTAACAAAAATATTTTAATTTTTTTCTACATAATTATTGTATCAACTTGAAGCGTTTTTACAAGTAGAGATTCAATGTTCACAAATTTGCTGATTTAACGTATTCGCCAAATTTAAATATTTACACCCCTCACGCAGTCAGAGGCATCTGTAAAGCGACTGTGCATATTATTATGTTGTTGTGCTCCACATCCACATCGTTTGTATATATGTACATGCCAATTTGCGAATTCTGCTGAAATAAATAGCGCGCAGCGTGATGGATGTTGTTTGTGCACCACAGCCGTATGTGTGTGTCTGCGCGCGACCAAGGCGGGCGGGCGGGCGGTTAATTGAGATGTAAATAAGCCTGGCTTTAAACTCAACAACAGCCTTTTGTGATGGAAAACTTTTCGAGTGCTGCGAGCCTAGGAGGGAAGCGACAAACGAATGAATCGCAACTCGAAACGCGTCAAGGACGGGTCGACCTTTTCGGCAATTCTTTATCACCTTTTCCACGAGACTCTGCGTGGACATAAAATGTAAAAAAAAGAATAATAATAATATTCGCGCAACATTTTAATCGTCTTCCTGCTTGACCGGCTGCTTGTGGATTGCGCAACCAAAAAAATTTCCTCCTCGAAACGGTCTCCGTATTTATTTATTTACTTGTTTTTTGCTCTATTTATTTATTTCAAAGTAGAATGAATGACGTAAATAATTAAATATAATCGTTAAAATTTGCATTTAAAATTGATTAATACCTTCACTTTTTATTGGATTGTATTTAAAAAATCCATTATATCGGATAAAATTGAAAAATTGATTATTTTTCTGGCTCATTTTGAATTTGCCACGATTGCTCTAATTAAATCGACGCCGTGGTGTTTTGCATTTTACACACTGCTGGCTGTTCCTTGCTAAAAGTGTAACAATCTCTGGGGGGTCAGTTTGCCACCGCTTGACCAACCGGCCTCTCTTTCTCTCCCGCACAGGGGTCTAGGTGCTTCCGATCCAATTACGCTTCCCTCGAAACGCGTGACGAGTCCCTCGAGCCGGGAATTTTGCCACAAGTGCGCACCAAAGAATAGGGAAACAGACTTTTATTGTTGATTCTTGAAATTTCACGGAAATAATGACGCTGCACCTTACTAGCTCTTTATCTGCATGAGCCGGAAATAAATTTAAAGTGGTTTTTTTTTTAAGTATCTTGACGTATTTTTTAAAAAAAAAGATTAATTTTAGAGTTTTAATCGTGTTATTTTGGGCAAAAATCAAGAATTGTCAAGAAAAATAATCGGATGTTTTTATGTTAAAAAGAGCACTTTTGGTTTTAGGGAATATAATTTGTGGAAAATTTCCCATCTTAAGTGACTAAAAGGAGAAAATAACTCCATTCAACATTTCAATGATTTTTTCATAATATCTACTGAGTGAGCAGTTTTCCAAAATATCTGAAAATAGGAAAATAATTTTTTATTCTGTATTAATTTTAAATAATCATTTCTTTTTATAAAAGCTTCCATTTTATTGACATATATTTTTTTGCAGCTTACGTAAACTTTTGCCAGCACGTTGAAGCTGTTTACTTTTCACTGCGATTCTTGAATGAGAAATGTGTTTTTTAAAAAAGGAAAATTTAAATTGCAAAATCGTGAATGAACTATCTCTTCATTCAGCCGTCATGCCTTGTCAAGAGCCTGCTGAAATTTGCACTCTTTTATCGCTTTGTTGAAATATGGTAATCTGAAAACTGAATGTCGTTAGCACAGAAAGTTTAAAGTCGCTTAATGCAATCTGCGCAAGCATCAGCGAGTTCAAGAAAACAAAATCTTGCACTTGAAGTCAAGGAGACTGAAATGTGTTCACATTTGAATTACTTTTAAAACTTACGAAATAAGAAAATTTGAATAAAAAAATTGTGCCGATTACCACACCAAATTAGTTAAGAGCCCAAATTTTATGAAATAACTTTCGGTTTTAAAGTTCAACACGATTTGGGGGAAATAATTTACAACAAAATACATTTTCTGGCAAATGCATTTAGGGGGAAAAAATAGTGAAAGATAACAATTTTAGTTGCAAATTGTGTTTATTGATCTATTACAAAGGCAATTGCTGCCCATGACGGGATGTTATCATTTATACATTCAAAATTATACAAATTTAATATAATTGAGAGAAAAGATGAGAATTTTACATAAAAATTTGTACAATCTCAAAATATAAACAAAAAGAAAAATAACTATTTTAAGGCATAAGAAGCAACGTGAAATTTATTGGAAAAATCATCATGACTATGTTGAAAATCAGAAAATTTATTTTTTAATATTTCTTTTTTTTTTTATCTCAAATTAAAACTTTAAGGAGCTTGTGGTCCGACCACACCAAGAAAAATGTTTCCAGTAACATACAGTGAATTTTAAAGTTCATTAACCCAATTTCAATTTATTTTGCCAGCTTGAGTTTGCGTAGTTTTATAGAATTTTGAAATATTGAAAATTTTGAGAGGAAAAAATTTATTTGAGAAAATTAAGCAATTTTGTTTAAAAAAAAAAAAAAAACATTAATCCTATCCTAATAGGTCTGATTAACAACGTCATGTTTGATTTTAAATGGCACATATTGTATAAAAATCTGTCAAATTTTGATTAAGAAAGTTTCCTTTAAGCTTCTTATACGCAGTTTACTTAAACGTGATTGAGACGTCTCTCACTAAAAATGAAATGTTCGCCAATTGATTTTTTCATCATGAGTTCAGGAACACATTTGTGTGATGAAAAGTATATCGAAAGGCAGGCAGGCAAACGTTAATCTGCGGTTTTCCCCTGGGCTCGGTTGTTATCTGTGCCACTATACTCCTGCTAATTAAACGCCACTAACGCGCGCCAACCCCGTTCTGTACGACGCAAATCTCGTGCCGAAGCGGACTCGACGGCAGAAAACAAATCGAGCAGAAAATCCATCTCGCTCTCAAAGGGCGCTCGCTCTCCCGTCCGCCCGTCGGCTCTGTTCCGCATCTCTCAGCCGCTGCTGGAACCGATCGTTTTGCGCAACAAAACCCCGTTCATCCGTTCGTCCGCCGGCCTCTTCTTATTCCGAATCACAATCGCGACGAGCGCACCAGTGCGTCCGAATGCGTCACAGTGTCTCATTAAACGACTCCGAGTATTAATAGAAGGAAGAAAGAAAAAGAAAACGAGCGACGGAGGGACACTTTCCCAGCCGGTCTCGCTCCTTATTGCGCACATGTGTACTCTTACGTACGTACTTTTTGTAGTTTGCGGTGCACAATGGTGGCGGCATCGTAATGGCAGCCCGGAGCGCAGCAAACTATTATTATCCACTTGTTATTGCGTGCCTCTGCTCTACTCGTCCAATTGGACACCCTAGACGGAAGGTGCTCAAATGGGTTCTGCAAATTTAACCCTCATTCGAATTTTTTAGCCCAAGTTACGATATTACAGGAACTATCAAAATATCAATTTTTTTTAAGCTGCAGCACTTATGAGCAATAATATAATGTTCAAAATAAAAAGTAACAATAACTTGAAATTTTTATTTGGAATGGTAAAGCCAATTTTAAAAAGGAATCGATTTTCATAAAAAAAACGCTAGCATGCTTTGATAACTAAGTACTTTCTGGATACCCACAGTTGGATATTTTTTAAGCGTTTAATATTTATCAATTATTCTGAATAACTTAAAATTATGTGTGACTGTACAATAGTTAGAGCATTTTCCGCCTCTGCTCAGGCCAACGATCTGATGCCGAGACGGTTAACCAGACTATTTTATGATGCAACAATTTGATTGCAATCCGCAGAGCAAAATATAAAATCCTTGAATAAAACAACCTTTTCGCTGAATATTTGAATGCAATTGGCACTAGATCTGCATCATACTCATTAATTTATCAAGATTTCAAGTGACTCCAGCAGTCTCGCAACAAAATATTTGATGGTCTCTTCATCCTCTTTTGATTGACCCAATTAGTTTGTTTTATTTAACAAAATAATAAAGTTAAGATCATGGATATAGGTAATATGATTATAGAATAAATGGAAAAATAATTGATCAATTTAAACGACCTTTGCGTTGTTTGGGTCGCAGTCAAATTTTCGAATCAAGGATGTGCTTCAATTGTAATAATGCCTGCAAACTTGCAAATAATCAATTTGAATTTTTTAGTATCGCATGCAACAAAAAATGTATTGCTTCTCTTCCTCCTTTATCCTTTCATGAAAAATTGAATGGAATAAATTTTTTTTAAATCACAAATCCCAAAGAATGTTGCAAAAAAATTAATTGCGCATAAGAACCAAATGTTGTTTTGAGCCTTTTGAGGCAAAACAATAAACTTTTCTTAAACTAATAAAGCTCGATAAATTTGTGCATTAGGCACAAAATATAAATTTGAAACCAAAAGTGTTCAGATTTCGCTAGTTGGCAAGTTTTTCAAGTTTGGGCGGTCGGAGCAGAGATCGAAGTGGTGCAGAAAAGCGAGTCGGAAGCAGTTTCAATTTCCCTTTGTGCACATACTTGGTCAGTCGTCGGTTTCGCACGACGGGAATGACGGGCACGTATAAGTAATGATGACGTCGGTCGCGAGCAAGCAAGCGAGTGAGCGCGCACGGCTCCTCCATCGCTCGAAGGCTCGCGCGCGCCGCGTTTATTTACCTATCTATGCATGCGCTCGGATGGATGATAACCTAACAACGCGTCGTCGAAGCTGCCGCTGGAAATAGTTGTCGCCTTTTTTTCATGTTTCTCGCGATCGAAGCAGTCTTGATGCTCTCATGGCCACGCAGACGATTCGATCGTGCAAAAAGTTATCGTCATCTGCCGCCGTCCTTACACATTTAATTTTTCTCTTTCTTTTTACGACGTGTCCGTTTAACTAGGTTAAACTGGCCAGGTTTTTGCTGCTCACGTACCCGCAATCACAAAGTGCGTGCGCGACCTTCGAGTGCTCTGTCAGCGCCGCACAAACTTGGTCGTCGCCGAGCGACAGCTCGGGAAATTTGATTATTCTCTCGACGACCTGAGTGCCCAAATTCAAAGCTGCTTCTCTGGCGTTCCGCGGGCATTAAATTGGAAAAGTGTGATGCCTTCTGAATTATGCACAAATGCGTCCCCTTATAAGCGATTACGGAGCGATCGAGACAAAGGGGAGCAGAGAGCGTCTCGGAAATTGATCATGACAGCACTTCGAAGCAACATAAATCAGGCGTGGCATCAAGTTATCGACTCTGTTTTAAGTTGGCTCCGTGTGTTGTCATGCTTGATTTTCCTCCGCCGTTTCGCAACTTTCGAATCGATACTCGGGTTACCCTAGCTCAACAGATGATGATTATCACTGCATTTTAATAACAAAATCCAATTTTTTTTAAATCCTGAACTGCTTTTAAACCTCTAGGAATTTGAGAAAGTGTTACATTTATGCAAATGCAACGTTACAACATAAGGACGTCAATAATTATGGCATTTGGTAATATATTTAGACTAAAATGTGAACAAGATTTCAGATAAAATTTTGATCAATCACTTAATATCATTGTTAATTTTAGCACAAACGTTTGAGTCTAAATATTAATTAGGAATTGCAAACGACTTAACCCCTGTGAATTTTTTAATGGTTTTTTAAAGCAATCATGAGGAGGATGAATTTCTAACGCTTAAAAAACCCCACCGAGGAAAAACCGTTTTCCGTTTACTAATCGTCATCAATCAACCCTTAATCGTGAACTTTGAGATGCTTTCCGTCAGTTCATTTCCTCATATACTTGATTTCTACGTCATTTGTATTATTTTGTGCTCAAACACGAAAAGAAAATAAAACCTTTTAAAGAAACTGCGTTCCTTGCGGTTTTACTGCGGTTTCATTTTAAAATAAAGTATGCGACCCTGCGGAGCAACCAATATTGTTCCTATTCATGATAACCCTATTGTTTTAGATCATCCTTTGATCAATTATGCAATTGAATTTGCTTTCACGTTCATTCATTTAATTTTTTCAAAATTGTAATACTAATATGAAAAGCTAATAAGAAATAAAAGTGATTGAATTGTTACCGAGAATTTCCTATTCACCTCTGATATCTTTCTGGCTGAATCAATCGCCTTATCAGCGATGAAAATCAACCGTCCGCTTGGATTAATAGAGCTGACTAATTGATTGCTTGACGTTCCTCCTGAATTGCCATTTCATAATTTGCGCAATGACGGATGTGATTTTCCCCAAATTTTACGTTGATCACTTTACAAATTTTTTTCTCTATTTGTTCCAGTGTTCGAAGCGTCATGCACAAGTACCTGGAGAAGAAGGGCGAAGTCAACTTCGACAAAATATTCAATCAGGTTTTAGGTGAGTTCTTGAGACTCTCTTCAAAACTTTTCCTTCCGTTTCTGTTATCAAACCACCGCTCGACTCTGTCGTCAGCGGTTAAGGGAAAATACACGCCATTCATCGTGTTATTCAGGCAGTAGAGAAAAACGTTTACTTTTGTCCTTGCTTGATATGTAATTAAAATTTCGCTGTCTTGATTGCAAGGTCAAGTGTCTCATAATTTGAAGATGCGTGTGAAATTTTTAGATTAATGTGGGATGTGTGGCTATTTATAAGTTCTCTGACGCAAAAGCTGCTCTGAGTTGACATGAATTCAGAGATAAAAATCACCAACACAAACGACCTTTTAACGTAAAAAAGACAAAGACGTCAATTTTTTTCCATTAGCCAAACTCGTAAAAATGCGTTTGCTGCTCTTTAACGAGTCCTTGTCATTTCTTTTTTACAGGCTACCTGTTGTTTAAAGACATGTGTGAGAATTTGGAAGAGCCTGTTCCTCAGCTTAAGTTCTACGAAGAGGTGAGACCATAATAAAAAATTAAAAAATGCTACTCCACCAGCAATAAATGTTTTACAACCTTGTAAAGCTTGCTTTTGCGCGCACATATAGTTATAATCAAATTTTCACCCTTTCACTGCTGATTGCGTGTTTTTCGTGCTCTTCAGATAAAAAAGTACGAAAAATTGGACGCCGTCGAGGACAGGCGGCGAGTGGCGAGGGAAATCTACGACAATTTCATTATGAAAGAGCTGCTGGCGCACTCACATGTGAGTATATTGCTCTCTTTCTTTCGGCGAAAACAAGTTGTCTCAGGAGACGGGCCGCTTTTCCGTAATATTTTGATCAGAGATGCCTCATTTCCCCACAATCTATTGATCCCCTGTGCAAAAGCTGAGGTGAAAGCGTTCCTTCACTTCTCCCGCTGTCCGAAAATCGACACGCCGAGCTCCGACGACCCTTTCAAGGGAAGTGGAAATGTCAATATTTGACGGCGTTATTGCACTCCCCCGTCTGCCAGACCTGCCTCACTAATATGCAAGCGCTCAGAGTACACACACTTGTAATGAGAAGCCTAAGAAAAAAGATGGAATTTTAAATTAGTTACATTTTATCCCTTTAAAGGACCCTCTTGCTTCTTTCACATCCGCCGAGCACACCCTATTGGAGCGCGCTTGCTTCTTTTTTTAAGGCCGGCAGGATGACCCTATACCCACCCCGCGACTTTGTTTGGAAATGTGACAACGTCCCTGAAAGCCCTGCATAAATATAGATCGCCCCGATGCGACACCTTTCGTCTTTTCCTCATTTCGCTCAAAATCTCTTGCTCAAGCCCGAAAAGGGCTTCATTCAAATGTCAAGAGCTCAAGCCCAGGCTCACAAGCGAAATATCCCCCTGACAACTTATATATCTGTGGAAATTTAAATACTTCATTGTTTCTTAATTCAGTTTCAACTTTTTCAGGATTATTCAAAAGAGACTGTAGCACAGGTTCAAAAACAATTAATGAAGAATGAAGTGCCAGTTAATTTATTTGAGGTAAGAAATTTCCCTTGATCGCGCTTAATTCAATTACGATTCTGCGCAACTTTCAAATTTAATGCCCAAGTGCCACAAGTAAAGTCGACACCCGAGCTCGGATTCCGAGAAATGAGCTGCCTCGTTTCTCGGAATAGATTCAAAAATTGATATCGCCTTCCATCCCATATCATTAACCGCCAGGGGAGTTTTGCCGTCAGTTGGCACAAGGGTCTGATGTCTTATTATCTATAATGATCAAATGGGATCCAATCAGTTTTCTGATTGGGAGCCATCTGCATGACGCCAATACTCTTTTGCCAGCAGTGCTCTCGGGGACGCGAAAATGTGATTTTGAAAGTTATGCCTTTTTTATTTGATGTTGATTGTCCGCCTTTCTTTTCATCTTCCCGCGAATGCAATAACGCGATATGAAAGTGGCAGAGTGGGCGCATTTATATTTCTCTTAGAGTTGCAGAAAGCAATAAGTAGCACTCAAATATGTTCAAGTAGCAGTGTTTCTGCCGCTGTGAAATAAAAATGAATGAAATTTCTCATGGTGGAATTTAATATTTTCAGCCTTACGTGGAAGAGATTTTTAACCATTTAAGGGGGGAGCAGTTCAGAAGATTTTTAGAAAGGTATTATAGAAATTTTTTCATTACATCTGAGTGAATCGACTTATTTTTTTCTTCATCTTTTGCAGTGACAAATATACTCGCTTTTGCCAATGGAAAAACTTAGAGTTAAATATCCAGGTACGTGTTAGCGCCATAATCTAGACACAAATACACACTTATCACACAACACCCACATAACAAGAACACATTCATGCAACAAGTAATTAATTACAAGCGTCGTTTGCTGATAACGCTGACGTATGTCTCCAGTTGACAATGAACGACTTCAGTGTTCACCGCATCATTGGTCGAGGAGGTTTTGGAGAAGTCTACGGCTGCCGGAAGGCGGACACGGGCAAAATGTATGCCATGAAGTGCCTCGACAAAAAGCGAATTAAAATGAAGCAAGGCGAGACCCTTGCGCTAAACGAGAGGATAATGTTGTCACTCGTCAGTACGGGGGTTAGTGTTTGGCACTTTAATGCATCGATAGATTGGTCTGATTGATTTTGATTTGCAGCAAGTGGACTGCCCGTTCATCGTGTGCATGACATATGCATTCCACACTCCAGACAAACTCTGCTTCATACTGGACTTGATGAATGGCGGCGACCTTCATTACCACCTGTCTCAGCACGGTGTTTTCAATGAGACTGAAATGAAGTTCTATGCTGCGGAAGTAATTCTGGGTACAAAATTAATATGCCCTGTCGATGCAAATTTTTCACCTGCTTTTCTATTTCAAGGTTTGGAGCACATGCACAAGAGGTACATTGTGTACAGAGACTTGAAACCAGCAAACATTTTGCTAGACGAGCACGGCCACGTCAGAATATCCGACTTGGGCCTTGCTTGTGACTTTTCCAAGAAGAAACCTCACGCCAGTGTGTAAGTGGATGCATTTAATACAATTGTAAAGTTTGAAATCGAATGAAATTTTTTTCGCAGCGGCACACATGGCTACATGGCACCCGAAGTGCTCTCTAAAGGAACTCCCTACGACTCCAGCGCCGACTGGTTCTCCTTCGGATGCATGCTGTACAAGCTGCTCAAGGGACACAGTCCATTTAGACAACACAAAACTAAGGACAAGCACGAAATTGACAGAATGACTTTGACAATGGTGGGCTATCTTCTTGAATTTTTCAAAACTGTTACAAAATTATTATCTATTGCAGAATGTTGAGTTACCAGATTCGTTTTCCAAAAGTCTACGAAACCTTCTTGAAGGCCTCCTTCAAAGGGAAATAGACATGAGACTGGGCTGCAAAGGCAGAGGGTAAATTCAATACAAATTTTGTTGTACTTATATTTACTCAAAATATTTTTCTTCAGGGCTGACGAGGTCAAAGAACACCCCTTCTTCGCAGGCATCGATTGGCAACAAGTGTACTTGCAAAAGTACACACCTCCTTTGATACCTCCTAGAGGGGAGGTTAATGCAGCTGATGCCTTTGACATTGGGTCTTTTGACGAGGAGGACACCAAAGGAATAAAACTCACTGAGGCAGACCAGGATCTGTACAAAAATTTCTCACTGGTGATCTCAGAGCGCTGGCAAAACGAGGTGGCCGAGACGGTTTTCGAAACCATCAACAGCGAGGCTGACAAAATGGAGCAGAAAAAACGAGCCAAGCAAAAGCAGAAATTCGACGCGGATGAGAAAGGTCTGTCAAAATATATATTCAAGTGTTTTAAAAAACAATTACTTTAATTCTTTTGCAGAATCTGACTGCATTCTGCACGGCTACATAAAAAAATTGGGCGGGCCTTTTGCCTCGGCCTGGCAAACTCGTTACGCTAAACTGTACCCTAACCGGCTGGAACTGCATCCTGAATCAGGAAGCACGAAGCCTGAACTAATTTTCCTGGACCAGGTCGAGGAAGTCTCTCCTGATCTAACGTCAGTCAAGGGTGAACAGAGCATCGTTTTGAAGACGAGAGATGCAAAAATTGTGCTCACCAACACTGTATGTTTCTTTTTTTTTTTTGCATTTGTGTAAGGAGATTAATAAAATTTGGCTTTTTTAGGATGAAATTGGATTGAAGGAGTGGGCGCAGTCATTGCGTTTGGCACACAAGACTTCTCACGAACTCCTAACCTCAATGGCCAAGAAAGCAGGGAAAATCTACGGCACGGATCCTTCGACACCACCTTCGTCGTCAAGCAACCACAAACCCAGCCCATGCACGAACCGCAGCACAAACGGAAATTAGGGAATGGGTTTAGAACTTGAGAGCAGTGCTAGGGAACTACCTGCGCCAAAACTTCTGTCGTGCTGACTGTGTTTGAGCGCGTCAAAAAGGTTAGCAATAATTTTTTTTACAACTGGAGGGCAATTTTTAAGAATGAACATGGAATGGTTGATGTGACTTAAAACCGATGTGTGGTCAAATTTTTGGATCTTGCAAATTGGCTGACGCGAATTGCGCTCACTCTAAAATTAATCAAAATGACCTTTTTGCTGCTCTTCGTTCAATCAGCCGGGGTAGAGTTCAACTACTTTCTCGGTATGAAAAGAGCAGGCATATTAGCTGAGCAGTAGAAAACCAGCATGTGCAAAGTATTTGTTGGTTGGTTCAATTGCATTGATTTTTGGGTTACTCCTTTTTTTTCTTGCATTTTTCTGAGTTAAGAGGCTATTGAAGCAATCATTAATGTTTTGCTTAATCATGGCTGTGACATTTTTTTATTTCAATGTATTTTTATAAGAGTAGAACAAATTTCAAAAACTTTTTTGACGCCTTTTTATTCAGAAATTTGTTGTTAGGAATAATAAGTGAATTCGAAAGAGGATTTTGTTCTGAAATGCGTAAACAAACTTTCAACTTGTCAGTGGCCATGACCTAATGCTATGGCAGATTTAGCTGCTCATTTTGTCTTCCATCTTGACTTTTTTTTCATTTATCCCCAATGATTTTTTCATTTGATTTCCACTTATTTAAATTTATTTGGAAATATGAGTTATAGGAAAATAGAATTTTACACCAACAAATACCTGTACTAGGGTTAAGCATAGATCCAACTAGCCAAGGTTAAATGAAATGCTAATCAAAATGATTATGTGACAAAATCAAAAACAAAGTATTTTAAAATGGTCGCTTGGATATAAATATAATATGAAATTCAATTGGGCAAAACAACCTCGTTCAAACGTCAGCACGAACCGAGTTGGCAGCGCTCTTTTTGGCAGAAAACAATATACGTGGGAAGCGGCAAAGAATTGTAACTTTGCACGCGTGTTATATCTGCACCCTTGTATTAGAAGGAACGCTTCTCATGTGGTTGACACTGGTGAAGGGAAATGTCAAATTGAGGCATTTCGGAAAACTTTGTCGGACGGAGCTGCAAGATGCCTCGAAATCTGAGCAACCTCAAATAGGAACTATCAAGGAAGAGTTTTTAAATCGGCAGGAACAAAACAATTTTGTGCTCCATTGTAATTGAAAAAGAAGCCCGTCGATATTTTGCCATTTAGACAAGCGCATTTTGGAGAGCCAGTAGTAGTATTGTTGTGTTGAGTGGTGAAGAACAATATTGTTAACTAACATCCTGTGAAGGGCTACGCAATGTAATTAGAGGATTCAATTAATCAACTACCCTGCGAAAAGAAGCCAAAAGTTCTCTCTCTTCCCAAGAAAATTAAAAATGCCACGCGCTCTGTAAAAGTTTATTATTGTACTTCGTCCTTAAGAGTAATAATGCAAATTTCCACCTGAGAGGTTTATTTCTTATTTAATAACGAATAAAAAAAATGAAATTGTTAGGTGTCTGTTATCTATATTATGATTCAAAGCGAAGAAGACGTTGATGGATGCAAAAGAGAGAAGCGCTGCAAAAGTAGAACGGACAGGAATGCGATTGAACGTTGTTATTTTCTTATCTTATGTCATATGTTTAATTTAAAAAAAGGCAGTGAGAAGAGTTAATTAATTGTGTAATAGAATCTGTGTCATTAACCAGCAAAAGTAATTACGAGAGAGAAAAAAATCGTATCAGCTTCTATTCGATATAAACTTGCTAAGTTCAGTGGTCAATTTTCTAATTTTCTCTATAGCTTTTTGCGAAGAAAATGACGAAACATATGTTACACGCGAGTCATCAAGTTTTTTGTAAAAAAAGAAAGAAAAATTATAAATATATATCCTCGTTTTTTGTTGATTTGTGTAAATAACAATTAACTTCATTCTTGATCATTGCATTTAGCCGCACGTGAAAGATTTTGGTTAAGAGTAAATATTTATTTGTGAATTAGAATAAGGCACCCAAATGGATCTGAAAAATTGAGAGTCAATTGGATTTGAAATGTTCTTAATGATTGTATTTTTTAATTAGTATCCACACCTAATTTGCTTTTACTCTTTTGAGAATGTTTTATTGCATTTCAAGAGTTAATTAACATGCCAAGTTAACCTCTCAAGTTTAGTATAAATTAATGTTAAATTTAGACTTTCAACAAATTCTCAACTCTGTGATTATTTTATTTCTTAAAAAATGCGCTAATTGTAAGAATCAAATCTGTGTTTGCGTTGTTACTGTAAAATTAATTTTTCTTGGCAAATCGCCAAGGTTATATGTTTACCCGAGTGCCATTTTGCGAAAATTTATGTAGTTGATCCGCATCCAGAGAGATATTTAGTTCAGATTTCATAGACGAATATTTTTGCAACGTTGCTTTTTAGGTTTTACAATTATGATAATGTCTCAGATTTTAATATTACGAGTTATGCTTCCAATTTTCTGTACGTGTATTATAAATTAAAAAAGCACAAAAGAAGATCAACTAAAAATATAATACATCTCCAACCCTCATAGACATATTATATTACCATTAGTCACACACAATTATCATTATCAAATTTTTAAATTGATTTTATGAGGTGTGATATTATTATGTTTTTTTCCTTCTGTTTCATTGGCTAGATGCATTGATCAATAAAATTTTCTTTTTTAATAAGCAGCAACACCTTTTTTAATGAGCCAAAAATACCACTTACTTTTTAATAGAAATAAAAAAAAATCATCAAGAGCGTCTTTATTCAAATTGGGAATTGTCGGTAGATTGAAATACGCACGTGTTTCTTGTGAATTGTTTTGAATGAGTCACACACTTTATTTAAAAAATTTACAAATCATATTTATTTAGCAAGAGTTTACAAACTTCTTGCGGGAATATGAAAAAACATCAGTTGTAGTCCCGGGTCACTGGAGAATTCTGCTCGACGTTTTGCTCGTTTGAGATCTTGCCCAATTTGCAAAATTCTACATTTTTTTTTTTTTTTAATTTATAGTGTTTCGAAAGGAACAAATTACAGGTTGGATTCCCGCAGTTAAATAAAAATATCTACCTTTTAGCTCGTCAGGTTCTACTAACCTCAAAGTGCAAAAGTCGCAGACTCCAAATTCAACAGCATTACCAATCTCGGCGCGCAACGTCACAGAGACACATACGCAGCCTCTTCATTACCATGTTATTCCACCTTCAATCAAATTTGGCGATTTGATTTTTGTTAGAGTAACGTGGCGAGAGGATTTTCGACGCAAAATAAATACACATAATTCTAAAAAATATCTGGTGGAGCAAACACGCAAAATGCGTCAAAAATTGTCTTTGGCGCACTTCAAGTTTAATTCACTTCACTCGTGAGAATCGCATCCACTGTCGATCACGTCGCGCATCACGTCGGCGATCTTGCTCGGAAGAATTCTGAACAGAAAATTAATTTGTTGAGCAAAATTTATTCATTAGAGAAATTTTGTCTTATACCTCGTGACATTATTCATGTGGAAGAGGGCACGAGGGATGGTCATCTCGTTCTGATTCCTCCTCATGGCGAGAATAATGTGGCTGGCGGCGCTCTTGGGAGACACAATGCCCAACAGGGAAGGGAACCTAATTCTGGGCTTGTGGACCAAGCCGGTGCCGACAATGAATGGGTAGATGGTGGTCAGTTGAATGTCGGGCTTCTTAGGGTCTTGCCTGAACTCCTCCCTCAAGGCCTCCATCATTCCTTTGGAGAAAGAAAATAAAATAGTTCAATGGAGCTCTTCCATGTTAGGTGCATTTTTACCTCTGACGGCGAATTTGGCGCCGCAGTATGGAACCAAGTTGGGCAGGCCGCAAAGTCCGGCCATCGAGGAAAGGGCGACGATGTGTCCACGGCCGGCGGCACGCATGTCTGGAAGGAAGGCCTCCAGCATCTAGAATTTATTATTAATCTCAATTTTTTTACTTTTAATCAGAATCAAAATAATTACCCAGAAGTGTGAAATAATGTTGACGTCGAAGTTCTTGCGGATTTCGTTTTCGGTGTGTTTTTCAAGAGGCTTGCAGGGCATAATGCCAGCGTTGTTGATCAAAATCGTGACGGGACCAACCTGAAAGAAAATCAAAATTAATTAAGTGAATTTCTAGTTTGAAGAAATTTTTACTCAAGTATGAAGTGAAGAAAGCGGGCTTTGTTCTCATTAAAATTTTTTAATTATAAAAAAAAATTTAAAAAAATTTTTAACAAGAACAAAGCCATTTCTATCATATGATTTTTAGAAAAAATCTTTTTTTATTTTGAAAATTTAGAAATTTTAATTGAAAGAAAAGGGGAGGAAAATTTTAGTGCATTATTTTTTAGTTAGTTCCCTCCGTTTTATCTCTAAACTAAGCAACTAAAGGAATGTAAGTAAGTTGTTATTTTTTATAATTTATTGCACAATTGTTTACCTCTTGCTTGACCTGCTTGGCCAACTCCAGAACCTTTTGCCTGTCGGTGACGTCGCAGCAGAAGGAGGCTGCCGTTCCTCCCATTGACTTGATTTCCTTGGCCACCTGCTCGCACTTGACCCCGTCCATGTCCCAGAGCACCAGTTTGGCGCCTAGGCCGTGCAGCTGGTAGGCCAGTTCTTTTCCAATGCCCTGTCCAGCTCCAGTAACCTTAGATTTCCCATAATTAAAAAATGCAATCACGTTTTATGAATAAATTGCAAGTTTTACCAGGACAACTTCATTCTTGATCGACTTCTGCTCGACGGGCACAACCAGACGGAACAGAGACTCCAAAAGAATTAGGATGAGTTTGACCAGAGCCACAACAACATCCACAGCCAGTACCAATGACGCGTAAGCCTTGGTCAGCATTTTGAAGTCTGCGGAGTAAAAATGCAGCTAACGTGAGTAAAAAGTTTATTTCTTTATCTCGCAGCACCACTTTTAGGCGCGTTGTTTTATCTACGCGAACAGTTAGCAAAAGGCGACGGTTCTTCCCTTATCAGATAATTGTTTTGAAATGCTGAAAAATTGTCATTTTTGGTATTTCAGTAAAAAGGAAAAGGAAAACCCGACCGGCGTATCGTCTCTTTGTTTGCGCAATTTGATCTGCGGCCAAGATTGCGCAAAGAAAGCCCGGTGCGATTATTGTTGAGAATCGCGACAAAGTTCCAAACGCGCTGTTGAAAGTTCGCAACCGAATTATATGCTGGTGCCGTTCGAGGTGTTCCGATTGTTCAATTGTTTGGCGGACGTTCAAGTGTCCTCTAATTAAAGCTTTCGATGACTTTGCACGAACGAAGTGTTTCGGGCGCGATTAATTTTCTTGCATTATTAATTTATATCAATATATTTTCTTGAGTTGAAAGAAATCCTACGCGTGATAGAATATGGAGTAAAAACAAAAGTAAAATGCGTGCAGCCTTTTACTCTTTGAAGGTTGTAATTGCACACATGCATGACGCAAGAAGGAATATACTCTAGCCTGCACTCACAATAAGATCGGCTCGATCTACTGGCCGCGCGCGCTTTAACTTCGATTTCACCATGATCAAGTAGTGCCACTCTTGAGCAATTATTATTATTAATCTTAAAATAGGCGAAATCTTTGTTCAAACATCACAAATAAAAATGCATGCATATTATAATTAATTAAAGCTTCTATAGCAAGAATTTTAATTTAAATCCATCGATAAAATTGATTTTGATTTTTAATTATTATGAATATATTTGTAAAAATAGAGTAGAATGAAAGTTTTACCTGAGTATTGTTAGGTTAATTCCTCTTGACGAGTAATCCCGGAGGAGCAAACACCGCCTTTGGCGCGCCGCGGTCAACTGTCCCGACGCTCGTTCGGATCGCTCGACGAGGACTTGCTGCATCCTCCCTCACCACCTCTGAAACCACAACCACCTCCATCGGCCAGTGCGTGAGCTCACCTTCCGACCGACCTTGCCGGCAAAAACAATAATGCGCTACCGCAACTGCCTCGGTTCTTCCTAATCTATCCGCAGCCGCCTTTTCCGAATTAGGCAACTTGCAGGTATGCCGCGTCTTGATATTGTTTTTATCCTCAAGTATATTTTTTCCTTTTCATGTGCACACCTTAACTACCCGACCAGGAATTTCAGAATTTAAAAAGCACAAGAAGATAGAAGTATCAATTAGCACTCGAAAGACAATCGTCAGACGCGGAAGCGGACGGAAATTAAAACGGCCTTACGCGTGTGCGACGAGAGTGAAAATATGCTCCCTTGGGCTTTTTAATGAGTGACTCGTTAAAGAATTAAGATAAATTTCCATCATTGAGGTCCCTTGAAGTGCCTTGAAGTTTAAAAGCAATTCAAATTGAATGAAGATCATGTGCGAAATTATATTGCTCAAAGCAAAGAGGAACATTTAATTAAGTCATTTGCATTGTCCTTATAATTTATGTGTACAAAAAGTCATTTGTACCTTGGAGGTGACGATTTAAAAAAAATAATACTGGTTTGCATTAAGCAGCCGAGAATTTTTTTATTACACAAGATTTTAGGTATTGCAAGTAAATAAAAAAAAACTTATATAATAATTGCTAATAATTTTTTATAATTAGAGATGAGGGATTGCACTGATAATTTTACTGCGCAGTTTTAACTGAATTCCTATTAACAATGTATTCCTTGCAAGAAATATTTTTCTTTGAGAATGTTAACTTTATTTCAAAACTTTTGAGAACTACATTTTGTTCAATAGCATTTTATCATAAAAAACGCAATCTACTTGTTCATCGAACTCGCAAGACTTATTGAATCAATTTTCCCACGCATATTTCTTCAAAGTACTGTTTACTGTGTATGATGAATGTAATAAAACTACGATGCGTTAAGCTCACAAGAAATTGAAGAAATGTTTTGTTGCGGAAGTGCTTAATATTCCCTATGCAAAAAATTGGGCCACCAAAAAGGCAAATTATATCTCCAAGGTTTTGCTATTAATGTTCGGGCAGGACGATTGTTTTCATTGGGAACTTCCTAACGTTCATCTCGACGCCAAATTCGCTAGAATCCACCACAATTTTTTTACTTGGAGTCAACGACTAAAAGTGAATCTGATCAATTTCCTCGTGCCAGGGCAGGACGGAACTGACCTTGCCTCGCTCTAGAATAACCAGTCGGCCTCGAAGCTCCAAACCCGACCTGATCATCAGGAAGCGCACTTGAATAATCTCTCTGGCTTCCACTTTTCTCGCGGCAAAAATAAAGAGCAGGTATAATAAAATGCGGCAAACTCGCTTTGTTGTTTACTTGCACTCCCGGGAAAAATAGAAATGACTTTGCTAGACGCGTTTCGCAATGCAGCGCTCATCTCCGGAAGGTGCGCGCCTGTTTATTATATTATGTGTGTCGTTCCGTGAAAAGGTGCTTAATTAAATTAGCGTCCCGTGCAGCTACGATCCCATAGATCATCTTGTTAGCTTTTCACTGCATGCTGTTTTTATACAAATCGTCATTTATTTACAACGATGATCTGCGACTTTTCTCATTAATAGTTTTCAATAGATTTACAGAATAATAAAATCAAGATAAATCTAAATTTCTCCCACAAGTTTTAACCATCTTGGTCCTGTTATGTATTAGTATGAAATGTTAAAAATTTTTATTGCTCTTGCAGAATTGATATAATAGCTGCAAGTTTTATTTCCACGTAATTTAAGGTAAACAAATAACAACGTTTTTAACCAAAATTCTCAATTTAACTTGACGGCGCGTTCCAGGTCAAGGCCATTTTTGGCCACTTGGAGGTTTGGGAGGGCCTTGGAAACTTCACACGATATAATGGCTCCCCAACCTCCCATATATACATATACACACTTGGCCGCTCTGCTTTGGCCGGCGTGCTTGGGAATACATTATTTTGCACACCATGCATCTTAATTTGTTTTAAGCCGAGGCGTGTGCAGCCTTCCTTTTTCAAAATTGAGAAAAATTACACTCCGGCGGCTGTGCTATAAAATAGAGTGTACACAGGATTATTAAAGTGCAGTCCAGATGAGGTGCTCTTGCCTCCCATTATCAACGAGATGCTCGCTCGGCCTTGGCGGCGCGCACATGACGCGAGCAATTATCCTGCATAAACCATCTAGGTGTCTTTCTCATATTCTGCGTGTATAGAGGGCAAAGTACTGATTTACAGTCGTTTATAGCAACTGAAGGTTCTCTATTTAATTTTCCAAACGTTTGTTAATTAAGTTGAAGAAGATAATTACGGCAATTAAGCTATTCTAGAAAATAGGTTTTTTGTCTAGAAAAATTGTTAACGGTTTGAGAAGAAAAATTAGTTAATAATCTGCGATAATCTGTAACAATTTAATTACTTTGATTGGTGGTAGATATTTTCTGGTTAATGAATATAATTTGTGCATTAAAATTAAAAAACAGTTACACGAAGTTGATCAAAACATTTTTAACAAATAGTTTTTTATCTATACATCTTGATTTAGAATAGGAAAATGCCACGCAGCAAATCTTTAGTTCTAAAAAATTAAATGATTTTAACTTGTATAGAAGATTCAAATGAAGTTCAATGATGAATATTTAAAAATTGAATTTTTCTGCTTTTTACTTTTACCAATATAACTGACCATAGACATTTTTATACGATCTTTTCATTACTCCATCCCTGCTTTTTTTAATCCACTTACTACAACCAAAATCTTCTGATTTATAGCGACACCTTTTCTTGAACTGGTGGCCTTCGTTCGGCTCAAACTGCAACACGGCGTGTGTTGAACACGCCTCTCCATACATCACCAACCTTAATTGTTCCGGAATATATGTACGGCGCCCACCTTTCCCTGACGTCTGCTGGTCGATCTAATAATTTACCAAGTCGTGGTTTCTTCTACAAAAAGATCCACTTCATTTTTATTTTGCGGAAGTTCCGAGAGCCGTTAAAATAATACTGACATTTTATTAAAAGCAAGGCCAGCGCCTACTAATATTAACAGCAGAAAGATAATATAGAAAGGAAGAGTGGAGGGCGTCGTTTGAGTCAAGATACGATCGGATTTTCTGCCTTTTTCCCTATAACATTTTAGGAGATACAAAAGTGCTTAGTTTGCAGAAACCTTGATTGAGGCTAAAAACCAACATAATTTGGGCAAAACTAAAAATTTGCGACTTAGCACGACAAAGCGCTTATCCAACTCAAAATAATATATTGCACAGCGTTATTCGTTATTCACTATAGTTTTGCAAAATTGCTAATGCACCATGTCATTATGAGCGTTAAGAAGGATTGGCAAAAAAGAACGAATGGAATACTGAAACTATATAAATTGTTATATAGCTTTAATTTAGCTAATGACTCTTCATTTGATGACTTTTGTTGAAAGTTCTTTGGAAAAGAATACAAATGCTTTGCTCGGTCTCATTATTTCAAATCCTGAAAATCAGGCAACATTAAAAAATTCCTTTTCATCTTAAATTCCAAACCTGCTAGACGTATGCACTTTTTCTCTTTAAAAATTACATTCAGGAGAAGATAATGTGATAATATAAAAATATAGCTTTTGTATAGTGATATTTTTTTCATGACGAAAGACAATTTTTATTCATATTAAAAATTATTAACAGGGCTGTTCACAGACGTAAAGCTTACAACTTAAATTAATAAAAGTGAATATTGCATTAAACATTTTTTAGTCGTGAAACTTATTGTGATAAAACCAAATCACAGATTGTCAAAGAGAATTTCGTGATAATTAACCAACTCTCAACTTAAATCATATCTGGCACCTTTAACTTTGGCAACCACAAGCGAAAACTTGAAAAAGTTTCACAAAGTGCAAGTAACCGTATCAATTCACACAGAAAAATGCAATAATTAAAACTTGACTTTAACTAAAGCTCACATGGCAAGAAACTTAAATCAACTCTAATTACTCTGTAAATATCATTGTTTCCGTCTTGAATATGCTTAAAATTAATTTAAAAAATTTTATAAGAAATGAGGAAGCGCCCCGATGTACCAGTCAGTTTACAACACACCATCCTCTGTATGATTATTTTCAGCCACACAAGCATCTTCCCCGTTTTAAATTAAATTATGTATCACTAGCAATGGAGCTGACTATGTTTAACTATTGAATAACACAATTTCGGTTGTTGTGCCCTCCAATAGTGGCTCTTGACAAATCCTCCTCTATTCTGTCATCATCCTCAATGCTGCAAATATTTAATTAACAGCGGAAAAGAACAAGTCAAATTCAACTTACGCTCTCTCTTGAGAGTCGAGGTGGTGCACAAGCTCATCCCTTTTATCCATAAGGGTCACCAGCTCCTGTAAAAGCAGCGTCTCCCGGAGCTTTTGCTCCTCTGTCTTTTGCCAATCTAAAAATTTATTGGAAAAATTATACCAATAATTTTATGCTAATGTATAGATTTATAGAAACACCAACCTTCGATTGAGAGAATGCTTCTGAGCTCCCTGTTCAACAGTTCACACCGTCTCTTCAAATCGTCTTCTTTTTCTCTGTATTTTTTTTTTCAATTAGATATCATTTATTACACTTCAAGACAACCTTACAATATATTGAGTTGCATTTGCCTTCGTAGCAATGCGTTCTTTTTGTTCACCAATAGGAACCACTGAGCCATCAACTCTTCCTCCTTTTCTCTTTGATTTCCTGTAAGAAAATCCATGTCAATATTGCATTCCAATATAAAAATCAGCCTTTTATTTCACCTGTGTCCATGACTTTCCGCAACTCCTTCTCGAGATGGGCAGCTTTTTGATCTATCTGGTTCTGTTCTCTCTCCAAAATTTCCAGCTCATTGTGAGTGTAATTACCAGGATCCTTGAGCAAAAAAATTGTAATTTCAAATAAAATTATATTTTAAATTATTTACTTTGGACTTTGGTTCCTGCTCCTTGTCTGGGGAAATGCGCTCGATAAGTGAAGAAAAAGACTGCAGTTTTGGGGGTCTTCTAATGTTTGCTTCACTCATGGGCGAGTTTTCATAACCGCTCCACTTCAAAATCATTAAATAATAAATAAAACTTACAAAAATTATTTTAAGACTTGACTGACTGGACTTGTTGGCGATTTCAATTCTTTAGCAGGGCTTTCGCCGTCCGGGCTCATTGGACTTGTAAGATCAGGAGAGGTTACGACTCCTTTGCGCGCCTCTTCAATAAGCATCCTTGCTTTCTCTTTCAACTGTTGTTGTCTCTTCTCATTTTGCTAAAAATGCATCACATCAAGATTATTTCAAGTTTCTTAAAAATTAAATTTTCCATATAATTAACAGGCGCATACTAACGGATTTCGAGCATACCTTGGATGAGCTTTTCGAGACAGCGAGTGATAATGGTGGTAACGGAGCGCCTCCTCGGACAGCATCTTTGCGAGCTTGCTCCAGCAACTGTCTGGCGCGCTCTTTCAGTTCCTCGTGGCGTTTTAAAATGTGCTGAACACACAAAAATCATGCTTGTCATGGCATGCCGATCTTTTTCTCAATCACGTAATGGACGCTTAGCTGCCTAATCAGCTAATTGACTGGAATCGGGTCAATCGGGCTATGCAAAGTGGGACATGGACAACACTATAAGCTGAACAGGGACAAATTAGATTGACCCGATTTAAAAACAAAGTAAATGCGTTACAGCTGGGAAGGGGCAAAACCTGGTTATTACAGAGCACTGCAAACCAGCTAGACTTGGTAGTAATTATTTCTCAAACCAGCAGATCCCTAAAGGGTGCATTATCAACACAATACCTTTGTATTTGAGTCTGTGGGCGACAAAACTTCAGGTGGGCTACCTGGTTGACTTGACACCTCAATTATAAACCCATCATCCTAAACAATTATCAAAATCAATTTCACTTCACAAGAGACCAAAAAAATATTACTTCAATAGGAGACATTGCCTTTGGCGTGGTTTCTCTTGCTTCCGAACTAGATTGTCTGCGAAAGAAGTGACTGTATAAAATGACTGAAAATATTTGTAATAAATACTTTTGCTCATCATCTTCATCGTCGGAGCCAAAAGGATCAGTGAGTTGACGTCTCGTCATCAAGGGCTGAGCTAGGGGTGGTGGTGAAGGAGTGGTGGGCGACTTTGCCTGCAACATCTCAAAGTCAATTCCAGAATTAATAAACTATTGTGCATTGCTTTACCCTTTCACTCTTGAGTAAAGTCTTCTCTTTAGAGGGAGACAAAACCTTGCCTAGAATGCTTTTAGAACTCGCAAGGAACTTCTCCTTTACTTCGCGCACCGCACCAAGAGGAGGAGAGGAAGCTCGTTCTGATATTAAAATAATTTAAATTAAAGAAACAAGTTCAGATCAAAATATAAATTACATACCCTTTTTCTCTTCAGTTTCTTTATGCTGCAAATTGCGAATTTCAGCACCAAAGAGCTGGGCAGAAACATCAGAGTTGTTGTCTGTATTGAACCTTCCAATCATGTATGACGACTCATCAATTGTTTTACCAATTTGCTGTACCTCCAATTCATGACCTGCAAAAAGTATTGTTAAAATCAAGTTTAACCATTTTGAATCATAGCTTTTACCAGTGAAGTGAGCTCTCAACTGGTACAGGTAGGTCATGACAGCAAGTTTGTCTGGCACTGCCAAGACAGCCATATCTGCCGGTTCTATCACTCGAGGAATTCCCAATTGCTCTCCAGCATCAAAGGCAATTTTGCAGTTTCCTCTAATATCATGAGGCAGCAGTTTATCGAAGTCACTTTGGAAATGAAATGTCAGTAAGTATTCAATACACAAAACAATTTTCTCACATAAAATCAGGACGATGGTAATGAATGAGGGCACAAAACGCCATGCCGTTGCGCCAAGAAGTGGTCAAATTTGTGACTTTCACGCCAGGATAATTCCTGGTCACATCTTTACACCACTCCAAAAGATCCTGGCCTGGTGTCGTCTCTCTGATTGATCGAGATAGTGGAGTGATACTTTGGTTTCCCTGGAATAAGACAAATCAAAAAATAAAATAATCACGAGCTGACAAAAACACTTACGTTTTCAAAATCCAACGGCTTTAACTTCAGCCTAATCTCCTGAGTACTGCTATTGGCAGACCTGTGAGAAACGAGAAACAATTAATTTTGTTTGCTGAATTTAAATTTCAAACCATACTCTGGCTCTTCAAAAACTTTGGGTGGTATCTCGTCTCTTGGTGAACACGGAATACTGGGAACGGGGGTTGAATTTGAACTGCCCCATTCATTTTCGCTAATGCTGTTGGTCAATTGGTCGATTTGTGACGTGATATCTCCAAGCTCCTTGATTCTACTATTATTCATTTCTGACAAAATAATATAAAATTAATTTTGGGTGAAAATTCAACTTGAATATAAGAAGCGTACCTTCATCCTCTTCTTCTTCGTCAAAGTCTTTCATGATTGCAACGTCCATTGTGTTGTTTGTGCTCATAAGACTGGCCATGCTCTGCATGTCCTCATCACTATAAATTTAAAATTTAATATCTTGCCTAAATATATTACTTCAGAATTACGTTGCTTTTCCTTCCCGCAAGAGAAAACTGCAAATTGTACACTCCAAACTGGCAGCCGTGATTTTCTTGCTGGTTGGTTTCAGGGTAAGTTTCAATTCTTCCTGGTGAGAAGCCACAACGTTAGCATATTGCTTCATATTTATGGGCACAGCTGCCAACTGTCTCCGTTTCCCATTCGGTCCAACCTGATTTCAAGAAATAAAAATCTTTCCTTTAATTTTAATTTATAAATTACGTCTTCTAAGACAAAGGTCCAATCTTTATCCTCCAACTCGTGGGTCCGGGGATCTTTGAACAATGTGACAGCTACGGTTTGGTTTTCTGGCACGGCCCAGATGACGAGCCCTCTCAAGGGGTCTTTCATCGTTGGCTCCCAGGGAAGAGGGTTGGTCAAAACTCTTCGACTGCGTCTCGTAAAAGCAACGCTCAGTTTGTTCGGTTTCCTGGTGTTGATTAAAATTTTTAAATTGAAAGTTAAAAACTAAAAATTATTTGCATACCATTTGGCTGAAGTGTCAAGAGTGACTTGGTGGTAGGACACTGTGAATTGGAAACGGGCAGCTCGTTTGTTGACCCGCTGCAGCCTTTTCCACACAGAGCCCATACTGCCACTGTTGGCTTTTTGTTTCTCCTCGGGGCTACCTTTGTTGTCCTATATTCGATCAAAAGAGGTTGATTATTAAAAATTATAATTTAATTTATGCGTTCAAAAAAATCTTAAATTAAAAAATCAAACAAACCATTTTGATATTAATTTTGGAGACACACTTGGCTGGTAAAATACTATGCGATTGGCCTCCAACAAAAAATAAGGGTGTGGGCTATACTGGTTAAAATTTCCTAGACAAAACCACAACAAAAAATTAATTTTTCAAAACAAAATATCAAAACCAAAAGCAAGCAGACATGCAAAAAGATCTCTCTAGCAAGGTCCGCGATTTAAATGCCTCGATTCCTCCCGGAAATAATAATGCACCTGCCTGGCCTGTCAATCAATCGAGGATATTTCGCGGTGCACAAATTGGGACCGAGATCAAAATAAATCCGGACCCGCCCTGCACAGTTCCGATGACCATGTCAATTTGACACTTGAGAGAGTCCCATTCAGTGCGAGACTTAAATTTTCCTCTTGCTCGACGATATTGTACGCATACCTCTCTTACGACGACGGAGAACGATCGAGGACCGAAGGGGCTTCGTCAGTGCAGCTGCACCTTTGCGGCCCCTCGCAGAAACGCAAGTATTGTGCTGCTAATATTCGCTTCAGGCTGGAATAATTGAGGTCGGGGTGAGACGGGGTATGTTGCGTAAATTTATTATTCCGCGACTTCGTACCACGGCTCGCCTGCGAATATCGATATTTTTAGCCCCCAGTGTTTACGTACGAGAAACGTAAGCTCTCTCCCAGTGGCGCTCGCGGCGGGAAACATTTAAATGGAATTCCAGAGCGTGAATTCTTGAGCTGTCTCTGATGCACGTGAGTGTGAGTGTGCAAAACGTTTCTCGAAAAAATAATTAATTACAAAAGTTGTTTGATTCGAAATTTCGCAACTGATTTTTTAATTCTACCCGTACATTTAGTTTGAATCAAGGTTACAATAATTATTTAAATTTAAATTTTTTTATTATTTCAATTTTATTTTATTTTATTTTTTAATTTATTCTTCAATCATTCTTACTTGAGGACTTTAGAGGCAATATGCTTGAGCCAGACGATGAAAAGCAGGACGTGGAGCCTACACCATCAAGTTCAAAACAAAGCCCCCCCACAGTTCCCACAGAATTGACTGGAAATCATAACACAATATCAAATTTGCGGCGCAAGAGTGATGATCAGCATTCTGATGCTGAGGACGCCGAGGTTTGATAATTTTTTCAATATGAAACAACATCAGATTAAATTTTTACTTAAAACTTTAATTTTTTAGCTTCTTCGTTTTTTTTTTTTTTTAATTATAAAAAGTATTAAATATTTAAAAATATAAATTTATAAATCATATTATATAGAATTTCTTTTGGGCAAATTATTAATTTTACTTAAAAAAGAGCCTTACCAATAATATTTCAGGTCGGTGCGGTCGACTTTCCAGATAATGGGCCGTCGCCGGACGGTTCAAGCAGCGACGACGACGATTCTGAAGAGCAGGACCCAAACGCCGTCAGGGTGGAGGGCACTTACGACCCTGCAGAGTTTGCGCATCTGAGTGTGCCAGCCGAAGTTAAGGAACTGTTCAACCACATCACTCGGTACACACCTCAGATTACCGAGATCGCGTTTCGACTGCGTCCTTTCATTCCCGACTTCATACCCGCCATCGGAGACATCGACGCGTTTCTGAAGGTGCCTCGCTGCGACAACGTTGAGGACAAGGCGGGTCTCGTCTTTCTGGACGAGCCGGGAGGGAAACAAAGTGACCCTGCGGTCCTCAACCTCCAACTTCGGGCAGTAGCAAAGCAAGGCACAACAAAGGAAGCGGTATTTTTTTTATATATTTAAAATTAAAAGCTTTAATTCAGTGAATTTTATTTATATTAAAATAAAAAATTTTTAAAGGTGGTCAAGAGATTAGAAAACGCAGAACAAAATATGAGAGCTGTGGACAAGTGGATAAGAGATATTCAAGAATTGCACAGAAATCATCCACCTCCTTCAATAAACTACACTAGGTAAATTAATAATTATTAAAAATAAAAATTTTTAAACCCTTATAATATTTCATAGACTGATGCCAGATGTTGACTCTTTGATGCAAGAATGGCCTCCAGAAGTAGAAATGATTCTACAGGAGCAAGGATTGCCACCACCAGATTTGGATTGCAGCTTGGAGAATTACATAGATTTAATTTGTGGTTTGAAAAATATTTCTATAAATTTCATGTACATGAAGCTGAACATAATTATATTAAAAATTCAGGAATTCTGGACATCCCAGTGTACGAATCTCGAGTGGAGTCGCTGCACGTTCTATTCTCCGTCTTTTTGGCGGTGAAGCAGTCAAAGTACGATCCAACAATGTGAACAGCAAAAGTGGAATGAAAAGTACACCCAATACGAGAATAAAAAGAACAAAAGCGAAACTTTCATCGAGTCTCATTTTGAAAAGCATTTGTGTGTGTCGAGTTCTTTTTGTTATTTGCATTGGGCTCCGAGCTTTGAAAGCAGCATAGAGGTATATAAAAAGGAGTGAAAGAGGAAAATGATGACGATAGGCGCGTGCTCGTTTATGAATGAATTCCATTTGAGTTTATAAATATTAGCATTACCTCCACCGCTTTTAAATTTAACGAAAAAAATTGTTTCCAAATATTTTAATTTCTTTTTCTTTTTTTTTATCATCAATTACGTATTTTCAATTAAATTTAAGACATCATTGATAAAATAAAAAAATAATTGATCGCGTTTTGAAAAAAGTATTCTCAAGAAGAGACGTTTGGGCGTCGGAGGAAAGGCAAACGTGACGGTAACAAAAACCAGATCGCTGCTGTAAACGAGAATAGTTGTGTGGTCATTTGTTGGTTCTTTTGCTTATAAAATGCAGTGTGGAGAGATAAAGTGAAAGACTCTCGCTAACTGGCACCTGGAGACAAAATGGTAGCATCCGGGATATGTACCTAGACGAAGCAAGCAAGAGAGCTTTCTCCGCTCAATGACGTGTCGACTCCATTAAATGAAAACCATTTTTTTGCGCGCGCGACGATCAAGGATCGAGGTGCAATTCTTTCGCATCATCTCTCCAGAGACCCATTCATGGGTACATTTTTTACGAGTGCATTGCATTCCGCAAACTAGAGCAAAGATAAAAGCTATAATACTGCTGGAGGCGCGCGTAAAAAAATTATCCAATAAATCGAGTTTAATCCTTTTCCCCGTGATAAAAGTTTTTAGTTTAGTCGGTTTAAAAGATAAAGATGAAATGCCTGCTCTTTATTTTAAATGTTAACCATCATCGTTTCCCATTATTTATTATACACATCGAACTATGTCTTCTGTTCAGAGGTCCCTAGACAAGAGGAGAGGGTGGCGCCGCACAATGACATTTGACCTAACGCATAACGATCGACAGCAAGGAAGCCAAGTGGTTTTACGCAAGAGAGGAAAAAAAACTCTAGTCTGAGATAACATTAAATATAAATTTTCCTTGTAAAATTATTAAAACTCGAATAGTCAAATACGATCATTTCCAATGCAGAATTTGTTTGTTTTTTCTCCTCTAGATGGTAAAAAAATAATATCGTTTTAATTTATGATTGAAGGGTCACCGGAAGTGACCTTTGCTTCGGGATCACTATTGAAGCCTCAAAAGACGCTGGGGCAAATCAAATTTGCTGAGGATAATTTAAAAATTTCAGTGAAGCAAAATTTTCAAATTGCAAAGGTTTGCTAAATCGTTAAAAAATAGATGCTTTAAATTTAAATAGATGATCATGATAATAATAAAAGACAGAAAATTAAAATTACTTTGAAGGCTTCTTAGGGTGGTGCTTATTTCAAAACTATCTGTGCCTCTGCAAAAGCTTTTATGGCGCTACGAGTTATTCGCAGCAAAGTTTCACCCGGATACAATTGAAAAAAATATATAAAGACGCTTTTTATGAATGGGCGCAGCCAGCCGGACTAATTAGAGATTTTAAAACGACTTAAATAGCAGCTTTCCGTTTAAAACTTCTGCCACTATTTAATTTTTTAAAGAAAAATAACCTTGTAAAATTTTGCCCATTCTTGTATATGGGGGGTATTTTTTATTAGATGATGAAAATTATTTTGCTCAACGCAAATTATTGAACAGAAAAAATTAAATATATCGCAGCATTTTTCTGAGCGACTGAAAATTTCTGCCCGAAAAAAGTTCCGGCCGAGAGCAGTGGCAAAATTCTGCATACCAGACGAAGAGGGAATAGGGAGAGAGAAAGAGCAAAGAGAGATGAGCGCGGCCGCGAGGAGAAAGTGGCGAGCGCGTGGAGGATACGCGGTGTGTATGTGTGCAATAAGAAAGAGCGAGAGAGCACCTGTGAATGGCATATCCGCCTGAGCTGCAGCTCTCGTCTGGCGGAGATAAAGTCAGTGGCCGGCCTTGCAGTATCCGGGTCAGGGACTCGTCCGTCCCGTCCGTGGTCGCTCTCGCCCCCACCCGCACTGCCAGCACCAAAGAGCAAATGCCGCCCTCGGAGGCTCGCTAACTCTTACTTCTATCAGTTGCTCCAATAACTGCCGGCAGTGAGGTGGATGGCGGTGCTCGTCAAATTTGGATTCGTTAAACCTTTCAAAGTGAACTAGCCCTACTGGTAAGCTAGCTTAAGTTTTTTTTATGGATTTTTCAAATTTTGAAAAATGGTTTTTTATTTAAAAAAAATAATAATAATAATGATTTCATAGCAATAATCAGATCGAATATTTTAATAAATTTAACAAGGGGCTTCTGCCAAAAAACGGCTTGATTAATTTTTATTATACATTAGCACTGATTTTAGATATCAATTTTAAGATAAATTTAATTAATTGGAAGAATTTGATGTTGGCAAACTAACATTCTTTAATGGGAATTTTCTAAAAATGTTTCTCAAAATTGGCCCAATTAAAATTGATTCCGTCACCCCAATTAAGTTTGCACTGTTTGCAAAATGAAATCAACTTCAAAATTTATATAGATCTGGGAAGTTAATTTTGTCAGTCTAGATTTGACAAGCTCCTAGTTCATATTAAAAATTGATATAAATGAAGAAGAAAATGTTTAAATATTCGGATTTTTTTTGTGTGTGCTTTCTTTCAGTTTTTGACCAAGTTTATATATTTGGCCAGATGGAAATTCTAATTAACCAAATGTGACTAACGGAAAAAGCACGTATTGTTTTTGGCTGTTCATTTTAAATTTTGACCAAAAAAATTTTCACCGGTAAAATAAATGAAAAACATTTTTTTTTATCATTTTTCAACTGACGGAAGGCATTACCAGTTAAGCCAAAATATCTGATGAAAATTCAGCTCGACGTTGGAAAAAATTAATACAATCACCCCATTCTATAGCGTGCTATAAAATTTTGGTAACAAAAAAATCCCTCGTCTTAGTTTCTCCAGCTTGACGACGAAACGGAATTAGAAAATTTCAATTGTTGAAAGTCATCATGTGCCGCGTGCCTGCCTGCTTTTCGCGCGCCCAAACGCTGAACGCTCCCAAAAGGCACTCACAGAAGAGAACATCCGGTTTTCTCTTATCGACGAGCAACGCCGGTCGCGCGTTCAAACGAATAAATATTCTTATTTCTGCATTTGGTACAAACACTCATTGTTATTCCTGAATCCAAAGCAATAAAAGATTTTAAAATATACATACAAGAATATAATAAAAATATACCAAAGACATGATCATAATTTTTTTTTCTGTAAGGAACTTTAAAAGAATAGAGGCGGCTTTTTTTCATTTCCGACAGAGAAGATAATGATTGTTTGTAAGAAAAAGTGAAGACTTTGGACTTTGAGCTGCTTTAATTTTTAGAACCAAGTTTTGTTGAGATTAGGGGCGGAGGTTTCAATTTGCGAAAACATGTCCTCTAATATTTGACTTTCAGCCAAATTTGAATTATTGCGTTTCAAAATTTAGCTCCGACTTTAATTGGTTAGCAAGTTGCTATACAAATATCAGTTTCATGGTTTGACACTGCGGGTTATGTTGGGACATTCGTTTTGGCACATCCGATCGACGCGCCGGTCATGAGGAGCCGTTTTGTGAATGGGACGCCTCGTCAATGCTGATAAGCGCGGCAAACGAAACCAAATCTCTAATCTGAGCTGACACTCACTCTCACTGTAACGCGCTATCAGAAAACCACCGCCCCTCGAGCACCCCTCTGCTGATCTCGACTTATCTCTCGTCAGTCTGCTCTTTTCATTCATCGGGACAACATCAAATATTTGGGTAAATAACAAATTTTTTTAAATGGGAGGATGCTTTAGTCAAAATTTTTATGAAAATTTCCTCTCTTTCCTTGCAAGGCCGCTATTTGGAAAGTCACTGTCTCAAAGGTATTTTCTCAGAATTTGTGTCACTTGCCGTCTGAAATTTGTTTTCACTTTTGTCATAAACCTATTGTTTTTTCCCTTTCATTTAGCCAATTTATCATGAAACATTGCGATTAGGCTGACTAACCCATTATACGCTTTTCTTGCAATTAAATGTTATAAATTACTGTTAATAAGAAATCAGAACAAAAACTTGCTGAAAGCCACATTCCTGAAGGCAATGAATGCATGATGGACATTTAAGCAATACTAGTTGTTGTTACAGGTGGTGACCAACATAGGCCGTGTATGGACACTAGTTATGGTAAGTTTTTTTTTTTAATAGAAGGCAACGGATTAATTTAATTTATAATAAAAATTCATGCGAGTAAACCGCTTAATACTTTCTAATTTCAAGATCTGATTAAGATTTTGAGTAACAAAACCATTCGATATGTTGACTTTTTTAAATGAATTAGAAGAATTGTCATGAATATTTCAACATTTGAGATTTCTTAGACAGGGCGAACATATTTTTTTTTTCAAAAAGACGATTTTTTCCATCATTTATATTTTGTTTCCTGCTTAATTTGAAAAGTAAAAAATTATTTGTATAATAATAAGCTTTTTACTAATTTAAAAATTAATCGAATACAACAGCAAACTGAATTGCATCTGCTCTGATTTATGCCACTTAAAATGAATTACACATGGATCAAGAATGTCTCTGATGTGTTTGCCACTTGCGTCTTTTCTTGTGACGCTTGCTATATCAGTAAGACAAGGGCATCTCTTTTTTTGTCACATGGACGCAACATAATTACTCTAATTAAACCCATCCTCCCACCATAATTGAAATCAGATGTTTGTCAATAGCATCAGTTGTTTTAAAGATTGAACAAGATTAGCAATCAAAAATTGGAATAGTTTTGAATTTTCAGCACTTTCAACTGAAATTTGAGGCTGTGGTCATAAACGGCTGAAAGTCAACGCCAGACCCTGTTATTTGCATCAGGTCGGTGGGACTTTCGTCCGTCTCAGGCCCAGCCTTTACACCCCCTACGCGACCACCCAGCAGATCTCCGGCCGGCACTGCAGTTTGTCAAGAGATAAAATATTGTGAAACGGATACAGGAAATCAACAACTGCGATAATGCAAGTATTGCTACCCAACGCGTTTCCTGGTGCTCATCAGCTTGAAGAAGCATATTAAAATTCATTTCTGTTTTAAATTTATATTTGCTTTCCATATTAAATTTATTGGGCAATTATAAAAAATCTTCCACAATTTTAAATAAACCTTTCCTTTAAACTAGCTAGGGTTACAATTAGGGTGTAAAGTCACACTACCCATTTAGTTTAAAAAAATCTGAGGATGGTATTGTTTTGACCTTTGACTGGAGGCAATGTATATTGACCTTAAGATAACACCAGTCAGTCGCCTCAGAAGTTATTTGGGGTCATTCTAGACCTCCGAATTCTTCTCCTAAACTAGTTTTTTTTTCAAGACCGAATTAAGTTATTAATTTAAAAAGTCAAATTTGCAATTTAATGCGTAGCGATTTTCTAGAATCACAATATTTATTTATTGCTCAACAAGTATTACTATGGTTGGTTCCAAATTATTTGTACTTAATCTGCATTGAACGAAAAGAATCAAATTTCAACAATCAATAAACGATTGTATAGGAAATAAAATGTAAAATATCTTCCAATTAATGATTTTGGTTAAAACTCTTACCCTAAATTTATGATAGAATCCATTACTGTTAGTCCTGTGATGGTGATGATGGGGCGTTGGCTTCCTTTTCCGCAATCCAAGCTTGAATCTTCTCTCGAAGTTCATTATTTGGCTTCACCTGCTCCATGGTAAGTGGGGATCGGTTGAAAGGGTCTATTTGATCACTCAGCAAGTGTCTAAATATTTAAAAAATGGGTGATAAAATAATCAAAAATAAATTCACTAGTACCTTGCAATAACAGCTCGATCAATAGAAACTCCAGACGATGGCAAAATCACAGGGTCTATCATGATGGCTGCTGTAATTGGGTCCAAAAATTCATCTGGAGCCTCAGCAAGAAGTTCATCCTCGATGCTTTGTTGAACAGCATGCTTTGCCACCTTCTGAGCAATGTTGTGCAAATCCGACAACAGGTCCCCGCCACCAACTCGGCCTTTAGTCAATTCAGATCAGTTAAGTGCTATTTTACAAATAAAGGTACAATTACTCAAAACATTTTGAGCTCTTGGGAACAGCTGGCCACTGTATGATCGCCCATCTCGAGAGACTGCTGCACAAAATTCCTCAGAATCACCCAGGTTGATGTAAATTTTGGAAATATCTATCACAAGATTGCCAGGCTCAAAAGCGCACTCTTTCATGTTGGATACCTTTATAATTTTTAATTTTATGTTTAAAAGCAAATCAGTGTTTGATAGTGTTTACCTTAAGTTCTTTGCTCTTAGGCCCTGTCAACCTCACTACAAAGTAGTTTAGCATAGCAGCAAGTCTGTCGACCATGGTCGGATGACAGAAAAGGGAATGGATGCGAGATGTAACTGTCTGCAGGATACTAATTGTGTCTCGACTCATGATGTTGTGAAACCTAACAGAGTCAGAGTAAATAAATTGGGCAAATTTCTTTAAACATTATATACCTAGCAATCCTGCCAATCATTTCCAAATTTCGCATGTTTTCTCTCCTCTGGGCTTCCGGCAAATTTTCCCAGGCATTAGTGTCCCTTTGAAATTAGAATTAGTACATTGCACAAAGAAATAAAAAATACACATACTTCTCGGCTTGCAATTTTCTGAGCTTGGCCATTTGCAGGATAGCTTCGTCAAGTAGAAATACAGAATCGTTAATGAGGAGGTTAGAAAACCTTAGAAAGACTGGAGGGTTGGAAGATTCTATGTTCTGCTCAGCGTAGGCAGCAAGTTCCCTAGAGAAGGAAATATATTTCTTTAATTTCAAAGGTGAACAAAAACCTAGATCCAATTTACCTGAAACGGTCAATGTATTCTGTGGATTTCCAAATGTGATTGAGAATGGAATAGAGGGGCATTCTGTATTGGAACTTTTGCTCAAAATGGTCTTGACCAGTGACTTCAATACCGACAAAAACACTAACAATAGCTTCGACAAGCTGGATAAAATTCATAAGGTTTGAAAAAAATTATTGCAATTTTCACAAACAAACTCTACCTCTAATCTAAAAGGATGGTCTGCAAAAAGCCTCTCTCTTTGGTATTTGGAGACGTCTGGAAGGTTGAGCATTCTCCTTTGCATCAGCATCTCATCCTCCCCTTTTTGCCAAGGTAACAGAGACTCTACGATTCTGGCAAGACCTCCGCGTAAATGGGGATTTTTGACTCGACACGGTGACCCCATAAGGGCCACGACCATTGTGAAAATTGGCCATGTAAGCCAGGTGTTTTCCAAAACTTCTGGGTAGTTGGTTGGCGCCATGGTGATGAAGGACTTAAGGTTGCTAACAACACTTTCGGGGACGTACTGCATTGTCCGTGCTGGGCGGTTGATGTCAAATTCTTCTCCTGGCAGTGGAAAAGTCACATCTCTTTTTATGCCTAATTAAAAATGATTAGAAAATCGAAAATCGCAAAATTTGTTTGTCTAACCTGGAGCAAAATTTGATCTTTTGTCAGAGTAGGGCACTTCATCGAGCAGGACTTGGACAATCCAGTGAGCAGCTGCCGAGTGCAGTTTGGAAGAGAGTTCTATGAAGGTTGGGTCAGATAGCAGTGTCCTATAGCACAAAATGTGAGCAGTCAGTCTCTCAAGGCCATTGCGGGCCATCTCTCTTTCTTGCTGAGGCAGAGCCCCCTAAAAAATATTAATCAATTATTTCAATAAATAACCAAGAGTAATTCAAACCTGGGTTATTAATTCTTCAACTCCGCCTGCCTCATGCATCAAACTTTTGAGGCGATTTTTGCACGACTTAGACCCGATTTCTACCGTCTTTTGCGCCAAGAAGAAGCACTCGGTGATGAATGTAAAACTTTTGGAATGAACGCGTTTGATCTAAAATAATTTTTCAAAATTAGATTAAACGGTTTAGAAATTTAAGAAATACCTTATTTCCTTCTGCGTCTAGCTCGGCAGGCATAAGGCACGTATCATCAAACAACTTTGCACGGCAAAACTGCCCACTTTCGACAGCGCAAAAACTCGGGTCTATTGTCAGTATTTTTGGGTTGAAAGAGTGTTCGTCAGCACAGTTGGGCGGATTGCAGAAAGGCTCACATAGTCGCAGCACTAACAACTCCAAGTTGAGAGCAAACCCGTCCGAGATGGTGTTCATCATGTCCAGTCCGTTAGCAGCCAATCCCGCATATGCGGACATGAGCTTGGCTCGAGACACGTTTGCCTCAACACAGCCCCACAGCCACTTCAAGCAAAGTGCGCGGTTTCCAGCCGAGCTTCGCAGAATGGCTTCGAAAATTGAGTGCAGGCCGTCTAGCAAGGCCTTAGTGTTCTGTCGAACCATTCCTTCCCTTGTGGCCATGAGGGAAGGCTAAAAGTATATTCAAAATTTATTAATTTAGAGGTTTAATTAAAATCTGAACATTTACTTACCTCGGAAACAACCTCCCTGAAAATATCATTGTCTTGTCCAAAGGCCTTTGGTACAAAACTGAGGCCAAGCAACTTGCCGAGAAGTGTGCCGTTCCAGCTGCTTCCCAAGGTGAGTTCGCCAAGCTTGTGGTTGACGACTGAGGTTGCACAAATGGGATTGCACTTAACAATGACTAAAGTAGCCCTCAACAAGTTTTGAAAGTTTGTTGTCATTAAATTCGACTTTGCTGCTTCGTGGAATAGATTGTTCAGGACCAGATTTATTGAGGACGAAAGACCTTGCTCCCCTTCTTCGGCAAAGATGTATTTTGTCAGTGATGCCATAAAGGTTACTGAAAATTTTTACAAATTATTTTCAAATAAGATTGTTTATTTTGAAAAATCTTACTGCATTCTTCAAAGGTTTGCTCACACAAGAGCCACAAAATTTGCAAGGGAATGTTTTGTGTGGGGTGAAGTTCTTTTTGCAGCAAACCTGTGGCAACATTTCTCACAATGATGCTCTCAACTTCTGCTCTCTCATCAGGGCTAGAAAACAGAGTAACAAGAGTAAGACAAAAAATTGCCAATTATAAAAATACACACGTCAGTTTCGCTTCATAGACTTGAAGGCGCTGCCACGAATCAAAAAGGTAAGCAACAAGCTTGACCTCAATGATTTCAGGAGGGACCCTGTTGGTCAGAGGAACCACGAAGGCCCCCGGATCCGGAAGAAGAAGTCTCTCCAAGACTGCCTCAGCAAGCAGGTTGGCGGTCAGGCCACTGCTGGTGTCAACTCCGGAGGCCACATCTTCGACATAGATCAGGGGCGACTGGGACGGCGAGAGCGGCTCCTTCGAGGTGGTTATGAAGAAAATGTCCCTGGCCACGCAGTCAAATACGTTCTGGCTGCTGGTGGACATTCTCGTCGATGACTAAGTGGCGAATATTCAGTTTAAAAGGGGGATCGAATTCAGGACACTGTGGCTCGACAAACTTTACTTTGTTGTGAAGGCAAGGGGGCGTGCACGAGATTCTTGCTTTGTAATACATATTACATAAGTGGGGGGAGCGGGAGAAACATGCAAAAAAAAGAGACGGAATGAGGTCGAGTATGAAAAATGCAAATCATAGTATAATTATCGATAATTATGATAATTATGTACAATCCGCTCATTTATTTATATTTGGTTATAAAAATGTTTTTATTTTTGCAGCATTGCAAATTGCAATTGTGAACTATGAGATGAGCAAGATAAGGTTGAGTTCTAAATTGTGTGTACATTTTATCTTGACTTTTTTCGCGGAAAATGAAATTTATAATTTTTACTGCATATTATATAAACAAAATTATTGTATTAAAAATCTAAGAAAGTTCCAAAATTTGTTTAAAAAAAATATGCGATAAATTAGCAAAGGAACGTAATATATTAATTTTATTATTAAAATGCATAAATGAGGCAAAGAAAATGTATTATTATTATTATATTTGGGAGGAATACATTTTAAGAGTAATTATTACCATCACAATTCTTTGAGCTCAATTATTTTTATTTGTATTTGAAGTAAAAATTAAACAAAACAATTAAACATAATGTAATTAAATTTTTAATTTAAATAACAATTTTCAATTTATATATCACTACAAACTACAAACTATAGTTGACTTTAAAGTCAGGGGAAAGTAAAAAAAAAATATAAAAATAAATTTTTATTTGTATTTGAAGTAAAAATTAAACAAAACAATTAAACATAATGTAATTAAATTTTTAATTTAAATAACAATTTTAAATTTATACATCACTACAAACTATAATTGACTTTAAGGTCAGCGGAAAGTAAAGAAAAAAAATTTAAAAATAATAAAAAAATTCAAAAATTTCAGAAGCGATAAATTTAAAAACACGGATGTGTACAAATTAAATATTTTTAATAAAACTACAGATTCTTCTGAAGAAAAAAAAATATTTAAATTTTATAACTTAAAAGCTTGTTTTTATATTATGTAGAGTATATGTTATTTTTAAATTATTTTTGTCAATATAGTTTTATATAAGGTTTTTATTTAGTGTTTATTATTATTATTTTTAAAATTAATAAATTTTACGAAAATTTTTTATATAGTTTTATATAAGGTTTTTATTTATTGTTTATTATTATTATTATTATTATTTTTAAAATTAATAAATTTTACGAAAATTTTTAGTATAATTATATTATTTGTTGTATGTGCAAATTGTCGGATATTTGTAATTTTATAATTCTTGATTAATATTTATAATTAATTATATTTTAAAATATGAGCCAATATGTGCAATGGTTTATAATAGTAAATTTTGAGACATAATATATTGAATTTTTTATATAAATTTGAAATAAATTGCATAAGTTATTTAATTAAAAAATCTTTAAAAAATGGCATGATTTAAATATCAACTCCTGCCTCTATTTAAATACAAAATGAAATTTTTTTGCCAAAGATTTGCTGAAGATAATATTTTTATGAGATCGTTCTTTTATAATTATCAAATTTATTTCTGTGTTCATAATTTGATAAAATCTGATAATATGTAAGATTAATTTAAAATCTGTTTTAAATTTTCATCTATAAAAAAGCGGAGGAAAGAAATGAATAAGGAAATGCTCCCATAATTCAATCTATTTGCCCGTCGAGAGTCGTTTTGTAGTAGGAAACTGGAGATTAATTTTTAAAAATTACCATCTCTCGACGCAGCGGAGATGACAATAACATTTAAGCCAATTTAGAATTCACCCTACCGATTCTGTCATATTTTTCTCTTCATCTCCCCCACCACCTGTGGCTGAAGAGCGTGTGTGTGAACTTTTTATCATTCATTATAATAATGCTCCTTTCGGCCGTTCCTATTCTACCAATTACTCATTCGTTCATATAATATAGTTCGGCTTTTCGAGTGCCGCACTGCGAGAGTATAGGAGGAGTCGGCGAGTCGCCGCTCGTCCGTCACTTCTCTCGCGCGCCGCACACGTTGTCCGCTCCGCTCTCCGCTGTCATTCGTTTTCCTGCTTTCGTGCGCAGTGCATCGCAGCTCGCAATTCCTGCCACCGAGAGACAATTTATCAGAACGTGATTATCCTTTAGTTTTCCTTTTTTCGGCCGCTCTTATTTTCGAAATGGACCAAATCTGTCCTCTCGACCCACGTGAAGCCGCCGTCGACCAACTGTTATGCGAATTATCCGCCAATTAAGTGCGAAATGGCTGAGCTGTGGCGATTGATGTCATCGCTGCTGCTGCTCTTGTGGACGTTCTTCACGTGCCACGGGATCATCATCGAAAGGGCCATCAGTGAATCCTGCATTCTTCACTTCCAGCAGGTAAATTTAAATCAAAATTTAAATTGCTTCTTCATTTTTTTCCCAATTCTTAAACAAATTCCTGCGATTTACATCCCATTTCCATTTATGTATTATAATTAACTTAATATTTTATTATATAAGTTTTTTACTAGAGATTAAGTCAAATTTTAAATAAATATGCGTAAAAATCGCTGGAGTGCGTGCTTTTTGTCAGACCAGGCTCACCTATTTTTTACCTGCACTTCACCTGTGCTTCACCTGTATATCACCGGTGGTGAATTGATTTCATATTTTAAGCCCTTGAAGGACATTTCAAAGCATATTTGATCAAACTTCGCCTATCTTCAAACAATTTTAATAATTATTTTCCACATTTCACTCATGTTGTGACATTGAAAAAGAAAAAAATACCTTCACCTGTACAGGCACATGGTGACTTTGACGCACGTATTTTACGCATGTGTTTTCTCTTATTCAATTAGAGAAACATTGTCTCTCGTCTCTCAGCAGATTTACATATTATATTTTTTGCCTGAGAAAAGTGAGAAATGCTAAAAAATTTATGAGAGTTTTTCTAAAGATTAAAATTTTTATCATCAGCAAAATAAGAAGATTATTAAACATTTTCACTGATTGTTTGAACGAATTGATGTACTTCAGAATTCTACATTTGAACTTCAAAAATTTTTGCGGAAGTAAAAATTAAGCAAGCTCGTCAACCACAGCAGCGAAACCCCTGTAATATTTTGATCGCCGTTTAAGGGAAGTCTCGGGCATGCATGCATGGCCGAGGGATTGTTTGTGTTTCACTCGTGCACATTAGTCTACCTGTCCGTGTATTATTTCCTGTCGGTGCGTGATTCCACCCAAAAAGGTACATGCACCAGTTGAGAGAGCAAAAATGTGGGAGAGAGAGAGCGAAAGAGCGGCGGAAGCAAAGTTTGAATGAAGGCTGCCGGGGTGCACTCGGGCAGAACGGAATCAACCGCCGCCGATAAAAAAGTGCTTCACCCCGACAGGTTAGGCAGGTCGGTCGCGGACCAGGACAGGTGGTTAACGAGCGATCACACAGGGACGTGTGAAATCAAACCTGCGCTTAAACGGTCGCGTTTTGCGATGAGGCTTTAAAAGTGCCACCTGCGCTTAATTCTTTTAATACCAAACGAGAATCCGCTTTGATTTAATATCAGTTCTCGGTTAAATGCCTGATTTTTTTTTTAAATTTTATTTAACCAAAGGCTGGATTTAAAACTTAAGATTATTAAAATCTTTTGATATCGGGCGTTTCAGCAGACATCTGCTTAGAGTTGTAAACCCTTTCTTCTCTTTTTTCCAATTTAGTTTTTTTGTTATTGACCGAGAAGAATAAATAAATCATATAAAAGATGATTATAAAAAGACAATTTACATAGATTGACAGAATTGTTAACGTTTAAATTTCTGATTTCTAAATTTTCTGATTTAAAAAAAATTATTTTAAAATATTTATTTTTATTTTGGAAGCTTTATTTTTTATTCATATTAAATATTAGAAATTTTTTAATTAATTTAGAGTGTTTTGAGTTTGGATAGAGCTGAAAAGGAAAGTGTAAGATCTGATTAAAAACACGCCAGCAAGCGTGTCATGCGGCCAAAAGCTGGTTACGCCGAACGTTGGACATAATCGACATAATAGACGGGTGAAAAATAAACAGTGCGTCTGAGTGGCTCCTTGATCGTGGCCGGCCTTTTGCAAGCTTGACCTCTTGTGATAACGAAGAGGTCGTTTCATAAAAATACATTTTCCATTTGATGCAGCGGCGCCTCTAAAACATAATTCCAATCGTCTTTTGCATTATACAAATATTGAAAAATTTTAATGGAGTTTTGCAAATTATTTTTAAAAATCAATTACTCATTAAAAATAAAAATTATAGGGGGCACGAGATGTACCAGATTGTTTACATTTAAATTTTTTGATTATTTTTTGTGTCTCAAAAGTTGGTTGGACCTTATTTGATCAGACCTTTGACTTAGAGGCGCCTGTAACTTTAAAGATCATATCGACGTGTAGAGGACGAAGAGACGTAGCTACGGAGAACAAAATTGATTGGGTTACAATTTTTTGAGACGCATTTATTCAAATTATTCCACACAAAATTAAAGTGATGAGGATACAAAAAATTATAATTATATGATTTTCTCAAAGTTGAAAATGTGTTTTGGTCCGATTGGTTAAGGCTAAGGGCATATATTATGGAAATTAAAATTAATGCACTTGATCCCTGGCCCTCGCACTTATAACTGTGGCAGTTTGTGCGGTTCTTTTAGAGACATCATAAATGTGTCTGCGCGTCTCCCCTGCTATGATTCTCAACATGCAAATTCCCGATAATTGTTTTATTCGAAATTCGTTCCACTTCTCATTTTTCTTATCATTTATATTATATTATCCTTATTGCTTGATGTTAAATTCCAAAATAATAAAGTATTTATATGAACGCATAATTTTTGCAAACATGGATATTGTTAAAATTCCAATTCGATTGAAGTTTTTTTTAACCAAGTTCTTCAGCTTGTGGTATTCACAGTTGAGAAACTTTTCCCAATATAATTTTTATTTTTATAGACGGTGGAGTGATATGAATTTTTATCTGGCTGATTTTGAGGAAAAAATTGTACTGTTTATAGCACAATCCCCTCCCCACTTAACTCTGGCTTGTAATTAATTTTATTTTCTACCCTCCAAATCCAAATTTTTTTATCAAAGAATTTTTATAAATCTAATTCAATAGTTTTTCAATGAAGTCTTTTTGATGATAAACCCTTCTTTTATTTTTGCTATTTTGCTAGCTGCTGGGATAAATCTATTAAATTTTAAACGCATCAATGCAGTATTTTTTTTATTTGGCCAGATTTTCAATAATATTAAATCATGTTTCATTATTTTTCCAGAACGAAAGTGGAGTTACTACCGATGCTGAATGTGGAGACCTGTGCTATGATAATGAGGTAAGTGTTTTTAATTCAATTTCTCTAAATAAAAAGAGAAATATAAATAATTTTTGAGCGTTCAAAACTGGCACTCGCAATGGGAAGCCTTTCCTACTCAAACCGCACCTCTCATCTCACATATCCGCTAATTTCGCTGGATTTCCAACGGGTCTTTGCCAGCAGCCGGGGCCATTTCCTTTTTTTAGAGGTGTCCGGTCGGTTGAAAAATAAAATACATTAAATTGATTTCACCCTCACGTGGCCATTGAACCGTAATTGTGGATCGGAGGAAAAAGGAAGCGCTCGGGGACAGGGAGGAAGCGGCGTTTGAAGGTGGGGTGGCTGCGCTGCCCGCGCGTCTAACTCGCGGTGCAATCGAATAATAAGAAAGAGCGAGAGTCGTTGGCGCGCTCGAAAGCAAGGGCGGTGTGTATTTAGTCGGTTTTATACATTCGTTGTTCTAATATCTGGGTGCTGCGCGCAGCTTTTATTGTTATTAGCCGTCTGTGCGTCCTGCAGGGAAAATCGCTTCATTCGCTTCTCTCTAGATAGATAGATAGATACACACGCACTCGCTTGGCTGCTGATGCTGCGCTGCACAATTGACAATGCGCGCGGTGCTGAATAAATTGCACGTTTCCTGTTTTGCAGCAGCTAGATGGATGATCTGCTACACGGCTTTCGTTCGCAGCCAGCACTGCCACTGCGGTTCTGCTCATTGAGCAGACTATCGCGAAAAATTGACGGCGGAATTAAAAAATATATATACGGGGCCCACATAATCGCAATCGAAAAAAAGGGGAAATTTTTAAGAGTTTAATTATTTAGTGAGCTTTCATTCAAATGAATAGTTTGATAAAAAAAATCAATATTTTAAAGCTGGAAAATTATATGAATAAAATTTTAATTTTTTATCCACTTTTTTTCATTTTATTCGTGATTAAAATACTCATAAATACTGAAATTCAAGCTGGGACAGCCCTAATATTTAATTTATATATATTTTTTTTAGAAACGCTCAAAATCGTATGTCTGTGTGGCCATGAAAATGAGCCTAATATCCAACCAGTGATTGTAACACAAGCATGCACTCGTAGTTCCCAACACGGTTAACGCGAAAATGATTCTAGCCATATGGCCGTGTGTCTTTTCCCAAAGCGATCTCTGTTAGGACAGGACTGTGTGCCTGCGCATTGTTTGTTTTTTTAGAGGGTTATGAGCAGAAAGCTGGCGTGTCTGGTAAACGATTGGTACAAAAAATCGGTAATGAGCGGCTCAGTAATTATTTATTCTTTTATTCTCTCAGCTGTCTTGTTAGTCAAATTGTTTGGCCGCGATTTTAAGTACGGCCATAAAATTATTTTTCCCAAGATGTTCTTATATGGATAAAATTGCCATCTAAAAATCAGCTTGACATTTTTTTTCAAACTCTCTTCACTGGCAGTTGCAAAATATTAATTGATCTCCTTAAGTAATAATTAATTAATTTTAGTCTAGGAGAGGAATAACATTAAATAAAAATCAGAGGTGTATGCACCAGTGTTGAAAGTGATATTGTACGTAAAATAAATAGATAAATAAATCGGCGCCGCTTGTGTGGCACAAGCAAAAAGCAGAGCACATGTCACAGCAGGAACCTACGAACACACCTCATTTGTAGTTCTCACCCACCTAATTTCTTGTGCAGGCAGAAGTGCAAGCAAGTGTGTGTTTTCTTGAAAAACAAAACCTGAAATGCACCATGCCCCTTAATCAAACATCCTGTTCTCAGCCGTTAGCGTGCGGTGAGCAGTTTTACACAAATATCGGGAATCACCTGCGGGTCAGAACTATTTGGAACCCTTTATATAATGTAAAAAATTTTGGAGCTCTTGCACATGGATTTTAATTTTTATTGATTTCGATCCCTCGAAGAAAAAATTTAATAAATGATTACGTTGCAAATTGAAAAGATTGGCATTTAATGGGTTGTTAAAATTTATGTCAGTTCAAGAGCTTTTCGTTCTTATCTTTGTGCCCTTAAACAAAGACAGATCAGTGTTCTCTGCATTTTGTCGTGCAGTTTTTAAATCAAGAATATAAATCTGACTAACATTATCCGTGCCGAGCGCGCAAAGAATAGAGTGTGGTTTTGCTCGGGTATCGTTCTTTTCACTACACAGCTATATAGTTCGTTCACGAAAACCACAAGCATTTTTTTCGAGTCTCACCTTTCCTCCCTCAAAAACAAAACCGCACTCGCCCCTTTGCGGTGTAATTTTTAGAGAAAATAATCTGTCGAAAACGAGGAAACGTGAAGCGTGGGAAATTAGCACATCTTGAACGCGTGTTGTCAATAATATAAACATGATTGCTTTCTTTGCTTTGTCAGAGTAACATGAAAACAGTAGTAAATCTTTGAGGTTACTCACTTTGCTCCTGTAATGTTGCAGATAAAACGAGGCTGCTCTGCGTGGACGCAAGCCAAAAGATCAGGCTGCCGGCCGGCGTGTCACGGCATTCAAGACCTTTCGCCACCTCGAGAACTCTTCTGCGTCATGAGTTGCAATTACGCTTTGAACCAGTACGTGCAGCATCTCAAAGGTAGGACGCTTTGATGCCTTGGTGATAACACAATTTTTTTTCCTTTTTACTGCCCCTTCTTTTCGTATTATTATTTTTATTGGGGCTGTTTAGAACATTTAACAGAGAGAGCAAAAGATGTGGGCGGCTTGGTTATATTTTCCTCCCGACCCCCTCTGACGGAGAGCAGACACGCAGCAAAAGAGGATCGGGTTTCTCCTTGACACAATCCATGGACTAGTTAACTTTTAATTAGTCGCGGCAGACAAATTGCCCTCTTGTACACACGCCTCGCTAAAGCCATCTCATTTTTCCCAATTGTCTTATAAAATGTTTATATATTACTTTTTATAATTGATTTTTTTAAGATTTCTTCTATTTTAAAATTATCAATAATAGCATTTAAATTTAATTGTTTATTCTTCACAATTCAAGTCTAAATTTCTGTATATTGAAAAAAGGCCTAAAAGGGATTTTAAATCTGTGCATAGATGAACTAGGCTACCCATCGACGCCTGCTTTGGTCGCCGACTCGCTCGATTCCACGTCCCTTAGCCTTGAGTGGAATGGGGTCGGTGAGGCGGACACTCTGTACGGCATTCAGTGGAAGTACGAAGAAGTTCCTTCCTCACGCTGGACTTACTGCTGCAACCAAACAATGCTTCCTGGGACGACACGTAAAATCGACAACCTCGTTCCTTACACTAAGTACCGAGTAAGTGCGCGTTTTGCCCTTTTAAACTCATACTTGTAAATTGTCAATTAAATTAAAATGTTTTATTGTTTGATTGCCAGTTCCGCGTCGCAGCTTTGGTGTCAAACCATTCAGTGTCGCCACAAATGGTGCAGTTCTCGGATCCAAGCGTGGTGATCGGCACAAAGGCTGAGGGCCTACCTGCGTCAGCGCCGCAAATGGTCAGGGCAGTTGCAGTGGATGCGACTCATGTGTCTGTCACTTGGTTGCCCGGTGCTTTTTCGAGGGGTCCTGTGTTGTCTTATGTGTTGTATTTAAATGAACTTCCCTCATTAACATCAAGTAACCAAAATGCCTACTCAGCGGTCAAGGTATTATTAGCCAACTTGTTCATTGGTTTTTATAATGAGACTCGTCGAAGGCTGCAAAGTATTAGAAGCCTCAATTATTTAAAATTAGTTTATGTGTTTTGGAATGTTTTTCTGTCTATTGGTTTTTTATAATCATTGATTATTTAGGAAAATTAGCATGCTGTTTGATTGTGGGAAATCATTACAAAAATATTTCTGCATTTCGTGTATTTTGAATTTAATTGGGTTGTTAGAATATTTTAATGTTTTTTCCATCATAGATTATTATTATAAATTTTCAATATAATATCACCTAATATCATATGTTTTAAAATTTAAAGGACATACCAGTAGTCAGCGCCGAGGAGCCTAAGTACTACTTATGGCAAAAAGTCCCTCCTGGTCGAGACTACTCAATCAGTGTTGCTGCAAGAAACTGGGAAGGAGAAGGTCCAGCCTCCTTGTCTTATGTTTCAACTCCTGAAGAACCAGAAGGTTAGTTATTTAATTTAATCTTTTTTAATGTTTTAAGATATTTTTTGATCAACGAGCCATATTTTGTATACTATTTATTTTATTTTGTGGTAGAATTTCGCTTGTTTTGTGAGTTGAATTTAAATTCAGCTTATTTATTTTTTTACTCGAGTCAGTTTTGTTCAGGACAAGATCAAAATCATTTTGAAATTTAATGCACGTGTATATTTTTTACCTTAAAAGCGCTGTTAAATTTTTTTATTTAACTAAAAGTATTTTCTAAAAAAAATTGTTTTTAGTCTTCTCAGATGAAAATGCACAAGTCCTGTTGTGTACAGAAGACATAATTTACAGACTAGAGTTGGATATTGTCGGAGATATAACTGAAGTTTACCGCTCTAATTCCGAGCTTCTTGGTAATTATTTAAATGTCTATCGATTTCAAATAATATTCTTATTATAATTGTCCCTTTAAGGCTGTGCCGTTCATTTGCGCTACAAATACATATTCTTCTCTGACACGAGTGGCTCCGTATTTCGGATCCCCATGAATTTTAGTGCAAATCCAGAACTTGTGATCGACAAGTCCGTCTTGGGATTTGAACCACTGTCCCTAAGTGTAGACTGGCTGAATGATGCTCTCTACATTGTTGGCGAAGCAGCAGATCATTCAAAATGGTCCATTTCCAAGTGCTTGCTAGATGGCCAAGGCTCGACAGTAACTTATGCCGGTCTCAACTCCAAACCTAGGCAGCTGCAAGTGGACCCCTACAATGGGTTAGTATTTTGGAAAATTAAATATCTGAATTATAATGATTATTAGTATGGCATATAATCATGTTAAAGAAAGGAAAAAATTAATTAGCTTTCTCCTCCTCCTTATTCCTTTTTTATTATATTCTTATGGAAAATAAATTAAAGAGATTGACGCTGATCTTATTCCAATATCAGTTCAAACCTACATGTTCCCCATTTTTTTAAAATTATATTTTCTCGATCTTAACAAAATGTTTTTTTTTTCAATCACAGCTATATCTTTTGGATCAAAAGCAATGCTCAAAATGAAGATAGTTTGTACCGCCTTGATCTGGCAGAACCTAGTAACGGCGTAAAACATGGAACCAAGCCAGAGGTTATCATAGAGAACACAATGATTGGAGCCTACACTATAGATCACACTGGTCTGCGGCTCTTTGTTGCTGACGAAAAGCAAAACACGATTTTTTCTGTTTCACTTGATGGGTTAGTCTATTTTATTTTTTAATTTTGTAGACATGTAAAATGTTTGAATAAAAGATTTTTAATTTATTAATTTTTTTTTTAATTAGGAATGAGAAATCCAATATTAGGCAGAAGACTCAAGAGGCTGAATTCAAGAAGGTCATATCTTTGGTTGCCGTCAATGGACTTTTCTTCTGGACTGATGGAGCATCCATCAAAGGCGAAGAACACAACCCAGTGGACAAACGTTACTTCCATCACATATTTCCACACGTCACTCAAACGAGCCAGTTTTGCATGCTGAGTCTCTCTCAGTCTTCGCAGCAAACCCCAGTGCCAGTCAATCCTCCAAACTCGTTGCAAGCCATCTTTGGTCATACCACTGCAAAGCTGGCTTGGCAAGCGCCTCATTTGGTTGCTGGTCAAGGTATACTTATTTGTTCAAAAGTATAATCGTTTATTTTTCATTATATGATTTTATGCAGGCAAAGGCGCTTGGCAAGATTGGTCGTACGAGGTGCAGGTCACAAACGAAACTGATGGGTCGAGCAGCACAATTCGCAACATCACCTCCTCTTCTTTAACACTGGCACCAATTCAGCCCTTCACACACTACACTTTCCGAGTTGGCGCTTACACGTCTGCTGGCAGAGGCCCCTGGTCAAGCAAGTTCCATGGAAGGTCCTTCAAAGCCCCACAACCTGGCCAAAAAGAGGTCTCAATTGTCTGGGGAACTGAGGAGGGTCTCGTGCAGACGGACACGACTGGCGACAATTTGGAAACATTGGTGCATACTGATTTGCTCAGGGTTTGTAATCAATTATTAAAAATAATAATAATAATAATAATTTAATGTTTTCAGGACTTGAACACCGCCTTGTTTGTGACCACAGTTGCTTGGTTCAAGGACATGCTTTACTTTTCTACAAATTCCTCTAAGACTATGTGGTTCAACACAACGACCAAGGAGCACGGCCTTGTTGCGGGAGTTGATTCCGCAGGGAGTATCGCCATCGACTGGCTGGGAAAGAGGTTGTATTGGTCGAACCCCAAGCAATCATTGGTAATTTTAATCAGCATTTAAGTACAACCAACAGTTAAAAAATATAATTTTTTCCAGATTAAGAGATGTGGCCTAAACGGAGAAGATCCAGAGCCACTTCCAATCTTTGAAGTGGCCAAAGAAATCCATGTTGACTCGCTGAATGCTTACATTTATTGGTCTACAAGCTATTCTGTCTCGAGCACAAGGTTGAATGGCGGAAACAAGACCGTCTATTACCCTGCTACTCTATTCAGTGGAAAGCAAGGTAATATTGTTTCATAAAAAAGTTTTGTTTTTCAATAATTAATATGTGTTAGTCATGGGAATATCACTCGACATTGAGCGTAGTGTGATATTTTGGATCGTCAGAAGCAACGATGGCTCTTTGCTGTATCGAGCACCCATGTCTCTGAATGATCAACAAATTATTAGCCCGAGTGTCATTGAGCCTGAAAAAGTCATCAGTATTGCTAACCCTATAGTACAAGGTATTTTTTCAAGCTGAAAATATTTTTTAACATATATGCTAAATAATTATAATTATTTTAATTATATTTAAAATTCCAGGTCCACTTTGTTACTTCAGCGATCATCTGCTTTGGCTTCAGGATAGCAATGTGGCTGTCATCTCAGATACCAATGGTGAGGGAGCAGCCATAATTTCTGATACTCGACTGTCTGGACTCTACGTGGTTGCTATCATTGACCGTAGCACTCAGCAACATCCATCAAGTACATTACTCAAAATTGCACTAAAATCAAACGCTAACTTATATATTGCAGATGAGACAAACATTGAAGTCATTCCATCGGCCGTATCACAGTCGTCGATCAGATTTGAGGGGACGTCTCATAACGTCAGTTTGGTTTGGGAGCCCGTTAGCAATATTAATTATGGAAAAGTGTTCTACGACGTTAAAATTATCAATAATTACACCAAAAAGGATTATTTTGTATGTATATAACTTTTGTTTTTTATTTCATTTTACCAATTATTAATGTATGATATTTTTTTATCCTCAGTTTGACACATCGTCATCCTTTGTGAACCTAGGTTTAATCACTCCGTCCTACTCTCCCATGAAAGTCATTATCAGAGCCTACACGTACTGGGGTTCTGCACCAAGAGAAGCACCTCTCATTTTGCGTTCACCAGTAGCAACTCCCACGGCTCCGATGGACCTAAGGGCCTTTGTTTCATACAGCAAAACATCGCCCGTCAGCACCATTACATCAGTGGTAGTCACTGTCAGATGGAAAATACCTCTGGAGCCAAATGGTGTTATCGGAAGCTACCGTCTCAGAATTTGCAACGAGCTCGACACAACCAACTATGATGATGCTGATGATGAGGATTGTAAAAACATTACTTTGAAAAGCGATGGGCTCGAGTACACTTTAAATCATCTTCTGACAGACAGTCAATACAATCTACAAGTAAAATTGCTATCCAAATTAATTTTTTTATTTTTGAATTAATCATTTTTTGCAATTTTATCAAGATATGGGCTCGCACAGAGGCAGGAGAAGGAAATGGCAGTGATATTGTATGGTTGGACACAAGCATTGAGAAGCCTGTACCGCAGCTGCTGTTGGTGAAGAAGGATGAAATTGCTGTGCTTGACATGGACTTGTCAGAAATGAGCCATACAATTCCACTGAGAGACTCAGTTTCTGCCGTAACATACCTGGCCTCCGAAGGTGTGGTATTCTGGTTGAGCAAGGAGGGCCGAGAAATTAGCAGCTGCACATTGAATTGCACCATTTCAACCAAGGCAAGTTTACACCACGCTTTTTCGTTCAATAAAATATTTTATTTTTAAATTTAGATCTATCAACTTTTAAACCCTGGATCAAATCTTGTGGTCGACTGGATAGCTCGAAAACTTTACTGGTCAGAGCAACTCATCACGGAAAATCACATTTGGGCTCTCAATCTGCAGAGCATGAAAGCGGCCAAACTCTTAGTCCGCCCTGGAGCTATATCTGGTTTGCAAGTTTCACCTCTTTCAAAGTAAGTCTTAATTTATCGATAATTTAGTTTCATTATATATTATTTAATTTCAAGCAAAATCTTCTGGGTTGAAGACAATGGGAAGAATGTAGACATCATGCAGAGCAGCTTGAGTGACCTGCTGCCCACTTCATTTTTGCTAAATGATAGTTCCTGCAGTTGTCCAAAAACCTATCTCCCTGGTCGGCCCTTGGCTATGGATTCGTCAAGTGACAAAATCATTTGGACAGACGAGTTGATTGGCGATATATGGTCTGCAGACTTAGATGGATGCAACTGCAAAATCGTCGCTAGCCAGAATCTGACACGAGGTATTTTTAATTGTACTAAGTTCAAAGAAATTTTTGTATTTTTAAATAATTTAACAGGCCTCATTGTGAGCTCGTTGGCCTCAGACATGAACTATGCTTATTGGCTTATTGCCAGAGATGGCTCCGTTTTCTCATCTCTCAAAAATTCATTCGGAGAATACTCGGAAGATAATTATGCACCAGTGCCTTTAAATGAGAAAGTAAACCTTTTGCTCGCAATTGGATCTCACTTGCAACCTTACCCAGGTAAATGAAAATAAACTTTATCTTTCAGCTTTTTTTAAATCGTAAATTCACAGATCCAGAATGCCTGAAGTTAACACCTGAAATGGCACCGTTGGTGACCCCGAAACAGCTCCTGGTCTCTGCTGACTCGTTAACTCTTTCCATGCCATCACTTGAAATAAGCGCGGACGAAAATTGTGGCAAATCATCTCAGCCCACGCCTCATTACCATGTCTACTATTACCACACATCGTGCATGGATGATGAGCCCGCTTCTTGTGACGTTGAGTCTTTAGACGAGTGCAAATACATGGTTTGATTTGAAAATTATACTTTTATGAATTTACATTTAAAAATTATTATTCCTTTTGCTGCAGGGGACCTTTGAGCCCAAACTGACGATTAACAATTTAGAGCCCTTTTCCTGTTACGGTGTTTTCCTTGCTGTTAGAAACTTTTACACAGAAACTCTACAAGAGCCACCAATTTTTGGAAGTCCTCAAATTTTCAAAACTAGAGAAGGAGGTAGAATAAAAATCGTTTATCATTTCCTTTTGAAACTAAAATTAACAAATACACAGCTCCTAGTGAAGCACGAGATGTGCAACTGAAGCTCCTTAGCCCATGGTCAATCGGCGTTTCGTGGCTCCCTCCATTGGAAATCAGAAGCTTGTCTGTCAAGTATGATCTTCTGTGGAGCACTGATGGCATGGGCTTCAGCCCCAGACAATTTGGAGAAGTGCCGGTTGACAACTCAAAACAATATGGTGCTCGGATTACGGCTGCAGTTGACAAACTAGCGCCAAATCAACTGTATCTAATCAAGGTAAAATATTGTCATAAAAATTAATCTTTGATTATATAATGTATGAACTGATTTCACTCATAGGTGAGAACTTACTCAAAAAGTGACCGGATGCTGCAAAGTGAGAGTCTGCCGTTGGAAGTGAAAACGCTGCCAGAACCAAAAGACATAGAACTTGTAAAAGCTGGAGCCAATGTTTTGCATGTCAGCTGGAGCAATGCCTTGCCGGAATCAGTGGCAAGGTTCATGAACATAAGATATGCTATGCAGTTTGCCAAACTCGGGGGCAATATTTGGGAAACAATCAACGAGTCTGACCCTGGCTTATTCACTGCTAAGCACCTTGTACCCAAAACCAGCTACCAATTCCGAGTTCAGCTATGGTACAGTGAAAATGGATCTCCAGTCACTTGGCCTCAGGACAGTAGATTTTCATATGAAACACTTGGTAAATATATAAATCATCACTGTCACAGAAAATAGTCCGATCTCCGAGTGGGGCTCCACGACCCATCTATCACATTGTTTCTCATGGGAAAAGGGGAAGATCGGACAATTTTCCGCAACAGTGACGAAATTTATTTAACATCACGATTTTCCTTGCAATCTTTTTATTCTATATAGTCGATCGTCCAAGTGCTCCTGGTACACCTTATGTTCAGATCTTGACGTTAAGTGAACAGCAAGTCCTGTGGGAGCCATCCAAGAGCAATGGTGCAGACATAGAGATGTACATACTTGAGGGAAAAGCGGTGGAAAATCAAATACCGAGCACCTCCGCTAGCAAAATGCAAAATGAAGAATGGACCTTATTGTATAACAGCACTGGTAGGCTTTTTTTATTCTAAAATTATATCACTGCAACTTCTATACAAGGCATATTTTTAGAAAATCACTGGTTGGTGAGAGGTCTCATGCCAAGCACCAAGTACATCTTTAGGGTGCAAGCGTACAATGCTTTTGGCTACAGCAACTGGAGCCACTCGAGCAACATGTTTGACACTGCAGAAAGTGCAAGGCTCAGTGAGGGAAATGCAAGCCAATATACTGGATTTTTCTCGTTAGGCATACCTATTTTTACCTTATGCCTATGCACAATTTTGGTCGTTTCAATATTCATATGTGGTAAATTTATAAATCTATTTTACTGTTCAAGTAAATTTTAAAATTTACTTTCATTTTTGCAGTGTGCCCCAAGAAGGGAAACAAAAGTTTACCAGATCCCATGGTGCCTATCAGTAGGCTCAACCCTGACGTTGAACTCGCAACTCTCCGAGAAACCCCCCGAGGAAGCAGTGGACTTCCAGTAATGCAGCACACAAACACTATGTACATGTCGTCTTACACTCTGAGTGAATCTGCTGGTGACTCGACTGAAGAAAATTTACTGTCGTCAGGAGACCTTGAAATTGCAGCATTACAACACATTAGAAGGTTCATTTTTGTTTTGACAATTGACCGCCAGTTTTAATTCTTTCCATTAGGGACCAAATAAAACTGACCTGTTTCTTGGGTAGTGGTGCCTTTGGTGAAGTCTACGAAGGGGAAGCTAAAGAGTTACCTGGGGGTCAAGAAAAAGTTGCTGTCAAGGTATTTAAAACTTGAAATTTCATTCACTTTCCTGAAAATATTTTATGCAAGTTGCCTGATATTATCTGAACGCAACATGCTAAACGCTTGTGTTGAGCAGGTTGCATATATCTTGAAAGTTCCTCAGATCGCCTAATTTTTATTTATAATTGTTAATTAAATATGATTTTCAGACCTTAAAAAAAGGAGCCACTGAACATGAGAAAAAAGAGTTCCTCAAGGAAGCTCAACTTATGAGTAACTTCCGCCACGAGCATATTCTTCAAATGCTTGGAGTGTGCCTCGACAAAGAGTCCAATTTCATTGTGATGGAGCTGATGGAAGGAGGGGACCTGCTCAATTTCCTTAGAACCAGTAGACCTTTAACGGTAGCAGCATTTTAAATTCATGAACCAAAAATATATTTTTAAAATAAACTTTGCGCTTCAGAGATCCGGGGAAATGACCCTGATTGACCTTGTGTCAATGGCAGTCGACGTCGCAAGAGGGTGTCGATACCTCGAAGAGTTGCGCTATGTGCACAGAGACTTGGCTTGCCGAAACTGCTTGGTCTCGTTTTCCGGCTCAAACCGGGTTGTGAAAATTGGCGATTTTGGTCTTGCCAGGGATGTGTACAAAAATGACTATTATCGCAAAGAGAGCGAAGGCCTCCTGCCAGTGCGGTGGATGTCGCCAGAGAGTCTCTTGGACCGCGTCTTTACCACCCAGAGTGACGTCTGGGCGTTCGGAGTCATAATGTGGGAAATCCTAACTATGGGCCAACAACCCTACCCAGCCAGAACAAACCAAGAAGTTTTCAACTACGTCAGCGAGGGTGGCCGACTGAACCGACCTATTAACTGCCCTGATGAAATGTAAGACAAGTCAGAGTTGTAATTTTTTGAAATTAAATGAAATTTTTGTCTTATTTGAAATTCACAGGAACTCGATGATGGTGAGATGCTGGCACACCAATCCCAAATCAAGACCAACCTTTAAGAATTGCTTAGACATCCTTGAGGAGCTGAAGGTCAAAGTAGAAGAAAATCCAGCTCTTTTGATAATGAGCGACACATTTGGTTAGTTTTTTTTTCGCATGGAAATGAATAAATCAATAATAATAATAATTTGAAGGTGACCCTTCAGTGGATGGTCAAAGTAACCTGCATCACCCATCAGTGGTGTACCTCCCTCCTGAATCAAGGTCTTCCTCAGCAGCAAGCACCGATACCAATAAATACTTGCGGGTCGTCACTCCAGCCCACTCAACTGAATTTGACCCAACCAAAGACTCAGACGGATACGTCACTCCATGCATGTTACCTGCAGGTTTGCAGTCAATAATCAACAAACCTCTGGTAGCTGAGGAGCGGCCCCCAGAAGAGCATGTTGTCAAAATAAACTGTTCAGTGCTCAACGATTAATTACGAGAAAGCTGTGTTGCCTCCGCAGCTCAACCAAAGTGGTGAACTTTGAGCTCGAGGTTCTTTGTCGCCTTAAAATTGTAACTCAAGTGTGTCAAGGAATATGAAGTGCCAGTGAACAAATTTTGAACATGAGAAAAACTAATTGTCTTTTCTCATCATAATGCTGCATTTTAATGCACATACTACTCAATGTTGCATTACCTTTGATTTAGATAAATATATGTGACTGATACCATTTTTTGTTTGTAGGTAATATACCTTTAATGTTGAAGCCCAATATAAACTGATGTTTTCTCAAATATTTATTTATTTTTTATTCATCAACCCTTAATTCTCAACTTATATAACTTTTTATAGAAGCAAAAATTATTTATTACGACGGATATTTTTCAATAGCTAAATAATGTCAATTAATACTGCTTTGTGCGCTCTGTCTTTTATAAATTTTATGTCGTATAAAATCTGAAAAATCTCCCTCAAAATTGATTATTTTGTTATCTCAACATCCATACACAATCAACATAGCATCAAAGCTTCTCAATTTGTAGTTGTGGGCCAAAAATATTTTTACAAACTGTTTTGGAGCAGATAAAATTAAGAAAATTAAATGCCACCAAAATGCGTAATAGTAAAACACCCTAAAACGAATAGCGCAGATTAAACAAATGAATATCGCACCAAAAATTCGCGCAGATATTTCATTTGCAGCGCCACCACGCCCCCTTCACGCCTCCTACACGGCAAAAGCAATGACAGAAGGAAGAGCTGTCAAAAACGTCTAGATCCTGATGACCTGTCCCTGAATCCTTCCGGTGCCTCTCAGCAATTGGAGGTATTGTTTGAACTTCGAGAGATTTATGGTCAAGCAGGTTGAGTTGCCCTGCTCGGAGGGTGCCCAACAAATCAGTGAAGGGGTTATTGGAATACAATAGAAAAGTGAGCATGTTTACATACCGTTCGATAGGAATACATAGTTTTGATTTTGATTTTCTTAAATTGAAGCACTATGCATAACAATGACGAGGAGGATGATTATTGGGATGAATCGGTGCCAAAAGCTAAAATGTCGTGGGACGATCTGGACCAAAAGGTCTTATTTTCATTTACAAAAATCGGCAATTCAACAGTTTTATTTTATCCGTGCATTTTTTTAGAATCTTTTGGGTGCCACAGCTGATTCAACGGGACGGCTGTATCAGCAATTAAAAACGTTTGATTCTCTTTCTTTGCTTGAATCAGGTCAATCTACTGGAGGTAATATAATTTTGTCTAAATATGTTTTAGTCGACATCGATGATGTTTATTTTTTTCTGCTTAGGCCAGCACAGTGAGCCGGTTGTTCCACTGACCAGCTTAATTTTGGAAGCAAATATTGATTTAAGTAAGATATGTTCTAAATAACTATACAAGATTCTAAACAATAATTTTTTAGTTGTTCGACTTGAAAGACCAGATTTGACGGAAGTAAACAAAAAGTGCAGCGAGGAAACTTTGCTCGAGGAAATGTTGCTGGGCCATCAGGTATCTCTTGAAAGTTGCAAATCGCTGAGAGCCAAAGCAAATTTGGTCCAGGGTGCAGTAAATAGTGCCGACGGAGAAGTTATTCTAATGGTGAGAAAAGTAGAATGCAATTATATATTTTTAATAAAAAATTATCTACATATTTTTATTTTATAATCAGGTGGTTCTCCACGTCATGAACACCCTTTCAAAAAAGCACGCATACAAATTGCTCAGTGATCATCCCGTAGCTGCCAAGATTTTTGCCAATTACCTTTCTGCCACCAATCAGCACCAAAATCTGATCAATTTATTGGAGTGAGGATAATATTTTTCACGTTTTCAAAAATCAAATTAAATTTTTAAATATTTTTTAAGGTCTATAGGGAAGATGAGAGATAGTGCAGTAAGTGATTCAAAGAAATATTTTTTGATGAAACGTAATGCAACTTGTGTGTTTTTAGATTCTGCACTACCATTTGGCAAATTTGAACCATTCCGCCAGTGCATCAAGACAAGCACAGAATATTTTTTCCATAAGCAGCAGTCACTTTAATAGCGAAACAAGTGATAAGCACCTGAAACGTCACATGAAGTTATTAGGTGATTAAATCTGAATATGATAATTATAAAAAGAAATAAACCCTAAATATTATTTTCTCGCAGAGTTTTGTGGTACTTCAAGTTTGAGTTCAAGTACGACATGTCACGAATGGTTAAAAAATGCTCTCACTAGCCAAACCCAAAATTTAGAAAACCTCAGCCATTCTGCCCTTTCATTGGGCATGACGGAAAAGATTTTTCAATGGATCAGCCTTAAACAGTTTATTTTGAATGGGAATTACAAGGAAATCCAGAAAACATTTAAAACGGTTAGAAAAATACTCACTTTGTTATAAATTATAATTCATGTTATAACTTTTTCCAGTCTTGGCTGATGGGGAACAAACCAAAATCGCACATTCCTATGGTGAAATTGGTAATGGAACTAGAAAAATCCAAAGCGCCGAAAGAAGAGATTTTAAAGTATGTAGCCATGGTTGAGGATCCAATGGAGCGAAGAAGTCTCGAAGCGAAATTCTCAAGTTTGTGATTTTCTATTGTGAGATTTGAACACGACTGACAACCTATGAGTTACAAAATAATGTAAATTAATTTAATTAATTAGGTTCAATGTCAAGTAATTTTCAGCATTTTTTTTTTTTAATTATTTTGGAAAATCATTAAATTTTTTATTAAAATCAACACTCAATTCAATTTTATTTGGCCTTTTAAAACCTCCACCATAAATAAATTAATCCCTGGTTTCAACGTCTAGAAATAATTAGCAAAAACCAAAATTTAATAGTCGTATAATTTGCATTGGGGATATTCAGCCTCACAAACATCGCTTTGTTTGACCAGATCCTCCCTTGTGGGCATGAAACGCCACAGAGTGGTCATGGGCGATTTGTCCTCCTCCGGGGCGGTAGCGTGGTTTTGCGTCTTGGTCAAGTCGATTGCGCGACTCACTGTCTTCTGCATTCCGTGCAAAACTGGAGCGACCTGGCACATTAGGCGCTGCAGACAGTGCGTCGGGCCTTCGTTGGTCAGGGCGTCCAGCGAGCGTTTTGATCGGCCCTTCAACAAGCTTATGAGCAGCTCCGGCAGCACTGGGTCTTGCGCCAGCTTGAGTGCCTCTGATATCTGAATTTTAAATGAAGACAATTATTTATTGAAAACAAAGTTTTAATTTTGTTTTGCCTTTGGGCTGACATTGTCCAGTAACCACGAGAACGGCGTGCCTTCAGGCTCCTCTGCGTCTTTTGCGTCCCTCGCCCAACCTTTCCACATGCCCGTTCTGCTTGCTTGCCGGTTTGTCAAAGATGCAGCAATCTAAAATAAATTTTAAAATTTTTATTGTATCTGGCTGAAAAATTTATGCCCTAATAAATATTTTAATCAAATTGGAAATACAAGAATTATTTATTATATATTTTATTGAAATTTATTTTTATTTAATTAAATTTTTTTTGCAAATAATATTTACCATTTCTGAAATGTAAATAAACGCGTTGACGGCGATGGCGCCCAGTCTGGAGGAGTCAAGACCTAAGAGGCGCATGAATCCGCCGAAAAGCCCTGGCCCCGACGATTGCTGCTCCTGCGTTTTCTGCTGGGTTTTCTGGTTTTTATTTTGACCGCTCTTATTTCCGAGGCTGTTGCTGACCAAAGAGGCCACTCGGTCCGCCATGTCCACATCATAATCTTCGTCGTCAACTACGTACTCGTCGGACGGTTCACCATTGTTGGTCTTGAAAAGTTGCGTCATTCGTCGCACAGACTGCGAGGCTTGTTGAAACAAATCTAAAAATGCGCATTTTTTGAGAAAAAAATTAAATAATTTTAACTATGAATAATTATTAAGTATTCATAAACTTACTGAAGGGGTTGAATATTTGAAATGAAGAAGCTTCAACAGTTTCGCACAGTTGGCTGCACACTAGCAGACCAAAAACAACACAAAATCTGAAATTTCAAAAAAAGTTATATATTGATTTTATCATTATGCGCCTTGCAATAAATATAACTAGAATAGAATCACGGTAATTAATTATAGAGAAAATTAAATCTAGCTTACATAAGCAAATTAATTAAGTAAAAAAAAAATACAAGAAAATGCATTGATTTAAATAGTTTTTTCAATTTTTTAATAGAAAAAATTAGAACAATAGGCAGAGCATGTATTGAAAAACGTCTAATATTGTAATAGGATAATTACAGATGATTAAGACCACCGTGCCCACCCTAAATCGCATCGCTTATAGCTGCACATGCAACATTAGAAAAATAATTGAAACGTGAAATATTGCTGCTCAAATAATGATGTCTTGATATCCATCTGAGACGACAAGAACCGGCAAAACAATATAATATCACGAATGGAGTCAGTGATCTCAATAATCGGCGTGCCGCACAAAATGCAACCAAGATAAAAAGCCTTATAATAGAGACGGCGCTTCCTTGAAAGCAACAGGCGTGGTGCTGAGGCACGCGATTCGCGCGTCACGCGTATAAATGCAAAGAGAGAAAAGAAACGAAGAGACGAAAAGCAACACTCACCCGAGTTTCTTCATTTTGCGCTGTCAAATGGCAGCAAAAGCAGAGATTCGGTCGGAGTCGTCGCGAAATGCCACCTCCACCTGCGACCAAAGATAGAGGGGACCATACGGGGGCTGTGGACCCTGACATAACGGTGCCCCCTAAATGCACTATACTGCGAAATTGCTGGATTAAATTTGTTTCGAGAAAGTTAATAAATATGCCTGCAACTCAAGTTAATTGTACATAATTCAAAGTAACAATTTTTGAAGCCACATTTCTTATTTTGGTTAATCTCAGGATATAATCACTACTTCAAAATACAATTTTGGTATAATATGAAAATGAAATTTTAAGCTATTGCTAAAATTATACTTTTTCTAAATTTATTTCAATAAATTACTGTACATCAAAACAAACAGCAATGCCACAATTTGTATGAAAAAAAGTACATGAGAGCGGTTTGATTTTTGCTATAAAAAGATATTCAATAATAATTACATCTTGAAATCCACGAATACTTCCTAGTTATTGCCAGCTAACCGATTTTTTCCGCAAAAAATATAAAAAGTCCTTTTATTAGAAGTGCAATATTACATAATGTATAAAAATAACAATTTTATCGGAAATCGGAAATATGGCAAGAACTTTTTTCAGGTAAACCAGGATTTTGTAATCTTCCTAATGAGATAGAGATTGTTTGAGAATTTGAAATTCCGCTCGATATTTAAATTCTAATACTACAACGTATGAGGACCAATGAAAATGTATTTGTACAACAGTGAGAGTTATAATTTAAACTAATCAATAAATAATTGGAGAAATGCACTGAAAACCAAAACGTTTGTTTTTTCACCCGAGCTCGTGGCCCTCGAACTTTGCGTACGCGGCGGCCAGGGTGGCCAGGCCGGTGAACAAACTGTCCGGCTCGAGGAGCGGCGGCCCAGGAAGACTCGGCGGCTCGGGCGCCGCGCGTCTCCTTTTCCTCCTCCTGCGACCAGCCGCGGCCGGCACAAGCACGAACGGCTGCTGCGTCGTGGCCGTCGTCGAGGTGGTGGTGTTGTTGTTGCGCACGATGGCCACCACCAGGCTGATGAGGTAGGCGCCGAACGCGAGAAAGGACAGCACCGTGATCGCCAACTGGAAGCCGGTGGCCAGTTTTGATTGTTTGCCACTGCCGCCGAACAGGCCGCCGATTTCCTGCCGCTTGATCGGCGCCGACGAGCTCCTGTCTGGAAATCGCACCTTTGACCGCAGAGCTTCTGCTGCTGGCAAAGGCTCACCTGCAAACACAAGGGTAACATTTTTGAAACAATCTATTTGTAATTTTATACCAGCAAAATCTGTATTTATTCATGATGCTGGGAAAAGATAGATTTAATTAATTTTTAAGCGCTTATATCAATTAACACATGATTTAGTTTGGTCTCATTTGATTGTAACTTTTAACAAATTCAATTATTTAATGTATTCTCTTGTGTCACGTCAACTTGCAAATTAGAAAAAAGCTGCGTTAGTTGAAAGAAGGAACGCTTTTTGTTGATAAATAAACCAACGCTGTACTGCAATATATTTTTTTTTTATAATTTTTTTTTGCCAGTTTTCAACATTTGACCACGAAACCATAGCGGAGTGCTTTTTAAGTAAAATGAATTTAGAAAAAAAAGCGGATTTTACTCTCTTAGAAAATTCTCAATGAATTTGATTTTTGCAAATTAATTAGCTAATTGAGACAAAAATATTTTTCTGATATTCAGTATCTAAATATTCTTAAAAAAATCAAGCAAATAAACCATAGTTAAAATTTATTCAGCTGAAAATGTATACGAGGACCATTAACCTAGTTCTTGCTGATATTTTTACTCATCTATTTAATTAATACAATTACTGACTTATATATTAAAAGAAATAGCAGAGCTACAGTTTTTTTCTGCCGTTATTGATAGCACAAATTTAACAACAGACACAAGTCTCGTTAGGCATTTATTTTTTTCCTTGAAACAAAAAGCCTTTGCTATAAAGCTTCATCAATAGAGTTTTTAGGATGTAAAGATCTGTTGTGCGATATGAAGTTTATTATGAGGACAACTATAGGATAGGTAATTCGTAATAATTATGTCCCTTGCGTGCAGAAATGAGATCGCGACGAACGTCAGAGGTATATCACGGAGCTCAATTTTAACCGTTTGCACATTCGAGGCTTTTGTTTGCTTCCCCTTCCACGTACATGTTCTAAAATCAGCCCCTTAATTGATCAGGTGCTCCACTTAAGTCGCAAATGACGTTTTTTGGCTTTATAATTTCCTATGAAAAAAATAACTCAATTTGCAATCTAAAGTACTTTGATTCTCCCACTTCTCCAATTCAGTTTTGAGGTGGATCGGTTAAAAAATTGTATAAAGAAAAAATGAAAACTTCCATAATAAATAAATTTTTGATAGCTGAAGTTGGCAAATGAAAAACGCTTGTTTTATACCTTGTCTGTTTTGTGCTGAGTTGGTGTCTCTACCATAGTTGTGCATGACTGACCGCACCCTTAGCAGTCGGTCCATGGGCAGTTCGCTCAGGCTAAGGATCTCCTGCAGGTGGGCAGCCGCGTGGCAACACGAAGGGTCGTTCATGGCAGTGGCCAGGGGAGGCGCGAACGGCGTGGCCACGCTGGCCACGGTGCTCGAACCCAAACTTAGCAGCTGCATTTTGTGCGAGTCCAAATACAGTGCCCGTCAAGTCCTCATATTGAGGACATAACTGAAAATTTTGAAAAGAAAAAAAATTAATTGCTGCCAATATAGGGATTTTTTTCAATAGATCATGGTGCTTAAAAAAACTGTTTATTTAGGGCATTTAAGGAATGAAAGGATCGGATTTTAAATTCATTTATGTTGAATTTAATAAATTTTGAAGCCAAAAATTAAATTCAAAATCTAAATAAACCAATCAGATCAGAAAATTGTATTCAACAAAATAGTGAAACAAAAAACATCAAAATAAAACCAAATAAAAGTTATTAAAGTTCCAATTAAAGGACAATGTCAAATTAGTAATTACCGCTTTTCTATACAAGCTGAAATTTTATTGCCCTATTAATTTTCCTCTGTGCTACATTCAGCGTAGCTTTTGTTATTGACCTATGGATATATTTTTTAATAAAATTATATAATAAAAAATAATTAATTTCAATTGTAGCCAGTATGATATTATCAATTAAGACACTCTAATTAAAAATTCGTAGAATTAATTAAGCATCTGCTGGTTTACTATTAAAGTGCTGTTAATTACTGGATTTTTTAAACAAAGGAGAAAACAAATTTTTAGAGACTCACCGAATTTGGTTTCAGGAGTAAATCCAGTAAATCAGTTGTCCTGTTGCACTTGAACTCAGAAATCCTGTGTCGGTGATACGATTTGCTCCGGAGGATAAGGTGAACATAAATATCCAGAGTTGGCTGATGAGGATGTGTCGCACATGCAAGTGTCGTCGCGAAAATGCAGCAAGCTGGGTGTTGTCAGCGGGACTTGGTCACGCCGCGTGCGCGGCCCCACCTCGCGCGAACCCTTTTAATTGTTATGCCCTCGTGAACTACATAATAGGATGCATATACTGCTCCTCGCAAACCAAAATCGCTTTTTTCTTAGACCACTTTTCGTCGCCTTTCCCCCGCGCAAGAAGTGATAATTGCCTTTACAATTACTCACCTCACTCGTGTGCCTGACAAAATTATTGACATCGTCGACGCTTGTAAAGCCCATTCTAATGATGCTGCGTTTGTCTCGTGCAATTACTTTTGGTTTTTCAATTAATTTTTTTTCGCAGAGATTTAGATGTGTACACGTCGGTGCCCACTTTAAAAAGGCTTCATTAAAATTTTATGGGCTACTAAATTGAAAAATTACACCCTTTGCGGTACATTTAAATTGTATGTACATAATCTAATTTTGCAATTAAAATAATTGTAATTATTTCTAATATACACCTATTATTTATTTGCTTTTTTATTTAACATTTTAAAATTAAATGTTTTTGTTATGAGACCTTCAATACTCCAATTGATTTGCAAGGATCTAAAATTAAAATGCAATGCAAAAATGAAAGTATCAGGAAGAATGAATGCTGTGATTTTTATTTCAAGAGAAAAACTACTCTCTTTGTCTAAGTAAGCTTGCACGGAAATTTCTTTTATCTCTTGAAGTTAATGCATTTAAATTAATTATCACGTACACTCAGATTTTTTACACTACTTATTAGTTTGATGATATGTTGTCATTATTTGATACAATAAGATGACTTTTCTCACCTAAAAACGATTGGCCAGTGTGAATTATCCATCATTTTTATTAAATAATTCATTTAATTTTAATAAAAAAACTGCACAATTGTGGCAACTATAATCTATATCAAATTTATGGATTAACTGTTTAATTCCTGGGATGTCTGTGTGTAGCTAAAAGTTTTAAATCAAATCAGAAATAAAATGAATCTCATTAAATGTTAAAATTTATCAATACTTTTGTCCTATTTTGCCCACATTGTTAATCATTAGATAAAGAGCAAAATTTGGTAGGAATAATTAAATTATTTATACAAATGGCAGTAGCAAAGCAAGAAGTTTGTTAAAAAAACAGTCATATTCAATAATATTTATTTATTTATTTGCAGTCATAATTGAATTATTCAAAATCTGATGGCATATCTTATTTTCTTTTAGTGCATATAAGAAATTTATTTGTACAAAACTTGATTATACTTCAGCTAAACTTCTGTAAAAACTAAAAAATTCACTCATCTGGCAGTTAAATCAGGTAAAAGTAAATACAATTGACATAAGAAAAATATTCCAGATTAATATCTCATTAACTGTCACTGTCGCAAAGAGCATTATTATTTTAGATTACCGACTTTTTGTGAATTTTCTTTAATAATGCAAGTCCGTTACTTCTGGTAGGGTGCGTGCCGAGTGACAATTATTTCCACTAGTGCTAATTTCAGGCACGCACACGCTGCGAAAAATTATTAAATTAAATCCGTATAAGAAAAAAAAATCACTTCACAACATTATGCGAGAGCGAGAAAAATGACGGGGAATAAGATAAATTAAAAAGATAGAGCTCCATGCTGGGCGCGCGCAATGCAAATAAATAAGAAGCCGCGCGTTCGTGCATAAAAATGCGCGAGAGATAAAAATTAACGACGTCCATTCTTCAATTCACGGCGAGAGCGAGGTGATGCAAGTCGCTAATAATGCGCGAAAAGAGGAGGCCAATAAATTTGGTGTGTTTTCAAGTAGTGCGCGACATTTATTATGCATGTCGCTTGGCGGCGGCCGTGGGGGGCCCTTTAGCCGCGCAGATCGGGTGTCGCCTGCTGCTTGTGTGGCCCTTGCTTGCCACACTCTCTCTGTTGAAAATTTATCTTTCACTCGGTAATTATCAGCTGAAAAAACACACCGCGCCGCCACTCATTATGTTAATTCTGTAAACAGGAAATTATTGTTTTGATGCAAGAGAGCGACAATAATTAACCTGCCGGCCGCCGAAAAAGCAGCAGCCCGCGAACGAGTGACGAGACACGCATGTCTCTCAGCGGGCGACCCTTCGGTAGTTCCAGTTTTGGTCCCACAGTGACCTGAAAGGTCGCCCTGCTGTTTTATGTGTTAAAAGTGCGACCATTAGCGCGGCGTCAAAACTTCCCATAATTTTGCACCCTGCCTTTCGAAATCGAGCTATTTCGGTGATAAATAAAGCGCAGTAGTGTGTTTTCTCCCCGTTTAATTTAAATGATAATTCCTCTCTTGAATGAAACGCGATACTTTACCTGCTCAATGAGTCACGGAAGCATGACAGACGAGGTATGCTGAGAGTTTTATTTTGTTATTTATTAATACTCTCGCGATGAGGACCGACGATTCTGAAAAATTCTCTTTTAAATATATGAAAACACGCTCTTTTGTCCGACCCCTATAAAAAGGACCACATTAATAATAATTATTAGAGTTTTACTTTTACTTTAAATGGGTTACAAAAGATTGTTGTCAAACACCTACATTGATCAAAATATTTCACCATTATACTTGTGATTTTCTCTTAAAATTTCGTAAAATTTAATATTTAAAAAAAAAGCTCGCAGCCTCAGGAAATATTCAAAGATCACCTATCTGTCCATTATTTAATTTTAAAAACAATGAAAATCAATTTAATTGAGAAAATCTTTATTAAAACTCGATCGGGTAAACTTTCAAATTGCACACTATTTATTTTATTGTTTTTAATGGATTTTAAGTGATAAGTTTAATTTTATGGAAGATAATTTTGATTTTACCAAACATTTTGCATATTTTTCTCCCGACAAATTTTTCACAATTGATTATTCTTACTTGTTTGGAGAAATATAAAATTAATTGAACAAAAAACTTTGCTTTTTTCTGATCAGTAAAAAATATCATTATTCCAATTTTGAAGTGCTAATTGAGTCAATTTTAATCAGTGTTAGAGAGTACGGATTAATTATTTCAGGACAAAATCTAAAAAACTATTTTTAAAAGAGATTTTTTTATCAATTGGAAAAGTTTGAAACTTTTCAAAGCTGAAAGATTTATTTAAATTAAATACAAACACACTGCAGAGGTGAGTATCTTTTCTTTTGTAACTTTATTATATAATTCTCAATTACAATTGAAGTTTTTTTTTTAAATTTCTTAAATGAAAAAAATAGGCCAAGCTAATTTTCAGTGATAAATGTGCACCAATTTATGAAGCTTTCCTCCATTTTGCTGCGTTCTCCAAGCACCGCAAACCCATTCGCCTGTCCCATAACATCAAGAAGTCTTCTTGAGCGCAACCGTTTTTCTGCTCCATCGAGTGCTCTTGCTGTGTGAGGATGCGCGTGCTCGATGGAGCGAAGAAGAGCTTTTTCGACTCCGCCTCCAGCAGTCGTCGCCCATTTCGGCACACGGAGACTTGTTGTCAGTCGCAATCATGTTTCTGCCCATGAGCCACGAGGTCAGCGCCGCGATGACCACCTTGCTGCTCGACCGACGGCCGCCGGTACCTCCGACCTCGCCACCCTCGTCCAAGTCGCTCAAGTTCGGCATGGACCGCATTTTGGCCGACAGCTCCTCGACCGGCAGAAAAACAGATTCGCACAGTATGTGTCCTTTCATAAAAGTTAAACGCTTAAAATAATCAAATTTGTCCCGTTTAATATGAAAATGGTTATAATTTTGTTTTTGCAAATTTTTTAATTTGAAAACTAATTCAATAAGTTAATAAAAGAATTTTTACAGAGCAGTTTAACGATAAGAATCTCCAGCAATTATATTTTATTATGTTTATTTTGCTAAGTTGACGTAAAAATGCAACAATAATCATTACTTTGTTTCATTTCCTAGTACGATAAAACAACGCAACTGTCGTTTATTAACTTGATAATTGAGTTTGCTTTGCTAATTCTGAGTTACAAACATTCTTCGAGTGTCATCTCTTTTTTATTGTGAATAAGAATTTTATATAAAATTTGTAGGTTTTCTTAATCAATTTGCCCTCAAAGGTAAAGTATTTAACTTTTCTCTAATTTGAAATATTTTTATAAATTTTTATTTTGGGTAACAAATATTAATATTGAAATTAGATAAGAAAATCATTAGTTATAGTTTTCATTTTCAATATTATTTTTTATCAAAAGAAGATTTTGCAAATTAATCTCGTGCTTATAGCAAGCTTAACTTGAAATATTGGAGTTAGGCAAATTCTCGACACAGCTACTACAAAGGTTGCATACATCCTACAATTTCCACAAATGTTGCGTGAAAAGGAAATGGGATTAATATTAAAATGGGATATTTGTGTTAAAAATTTAGATTGAAGAGCGTGGATCTTATTTTTTTAGGATCAATAACGACTTAATTCGCCTACTTTCTACAATTTTGAATAAACTCTATTGATTTTAACACACTTTTTTACATGACTCGACTTTTTCTAATAATCAATGACAATGAGTATTCTTTTTGACCTCCAAACCTGCTCCAAACATTAATTTTAAATACTTTTATTTTGGATCAGAAGAATAATGAAATATTCTCCTGATTCACTAATGAAAGCAGGATAATTTTTTTTTTAATTTGCATTTCAATAACAAAAGACAGTTGATATATTTTTATTTGCTCAATAGTAAATGAGGAATAAAAAAGTTCAGAATGCAATTCATTAGAGAAAAAATTATTTCAATTAAACGTCTGCAATTTTGGTTCTTGTGTGTTTCAGTTGAATGCGGTGTCCAGTCGCTGGAGCCGAGGGTGTCCTTTGCGTGTCAGCGGTGCTGCGGAAGCTGCGAGGCGGGCAACTCGATGGTGCCCTGTTCCGAGTGCGTGAGTTCCCTTCTGCACTGCTGCACCGTGTCCGCACCACCTCTCGCCCCTTCTTCCGCCTACCCTTACGCTCCCCTGCCGTACCTGTCGCAGCACCACACCGCCGCAACTCAACACTACAATAGCAGTGAGTTCATTCAATTTCCCTAGCACTTGAAATTTTTAATCAGAATTAATTGAAGAAAAACTTTTTAAAAATAACTAATAATATTTATTAGACTTATGACGTTTTCATTTTTTGAGGTAAAAATCTTCCCTTGTCACAACTCATGTATAAAAATTTTTGCTAAATCGTTGCCCAACTTATAAATATGACTTGGAAAAAAGACATTTTTTTATGACGAAAAAGCAAATTTTGGACGCTTTTTGAGCTTTGAAGCAGTCGGGTTTCAGGCGGTTTCCCAGGAATTAATCACTTTTGTTAAACCTAATTTTTCTAACACAAATTGAACAATAACTGATCATATTAAATTAATTTGTTACTGTTTTTAAAATTTAATTTATTTTTTATTTAATCATAACCGAAACCTCTGAAAACTCGTCGTACGTGCTGTTTCTCCACACCCCGTCTGCCTTTTCTACTCTCGTTCGCGCTCATTCAGCCTAAAATAATAAATAGGCCGCGAATTATTACTTCGTCCAAAGCGCACGCCTGTTTGATATCCTTCTCACAAGTTTCGACCGTGACTTTGATTGGAAGATCCTGCCAGCCAAAATTTTCCTCATTTGCGCATTCCTGGTGCAATAAATTCAATATATCAATATGAAGCCAGTTATGACAAAAAATAACGTGATACGATTGAAATGTATTAAGTTAAAAAAATCACATAAACGACTGAGGCGAATTAAGCGTGACGATATTAGAATTTATTAGAGTTTATGAGCTGCAATGAGAGAGTGAGGCAATTTGCATGCAGCGCTCTTTAAAGGGCGTTTGTTTGTTTATTTCTCATTTTCATTGTTTCTCTTAAAGAAGCTAAAGCAAATTTTATTTACGGCTCGACTTGGGTTCCTTTCTTGTGGGTTTTAGGAAATAAGAGATGCAACGAAAAATAGATGCATCTGTTTTAAAACATCGACGGTAAAAGAAAATAGTTTTTAAATTCAACACGCTTATTAAAAAAAAGCACAAATTGATTGCATAAACATTTTACATTAAAAAGATGAATTAAATTTTCAAATAAATTTGAAATTTGCAAACTGTTAAAGATCAGCGTGATGAGCAGGTTTGCAGTTTTTATGCACATCTCTCTATCCATCAGAGGCGAGTACATCGAGGAGAAAAGAGCCGCTGGCTGCGAGGACGCTCTATAATTAAGTGGAGGAATGTTGAGAGTGTGTTTTGTGTCAGATGGAGGATAAGCGGCGGGGGTGGGCCCATATAATTTTATGTGACTCGCACGCGGTGGTTCGCTCGCCGGCGCAGCCCGGATAAATCACACTTCAAGTCAAGTGATGTTTGTTTTTGCAGCAACAAAAGCACCACCAGAGCGCAGCCCGCGAGCCACTTTTTTCAGCGGCTCCTCAAACATAATATCCCTGGCCTGCTACACACATTGAGACGTGCGCATGTATTAGGCTGTAAAAGTTCAAGTGGCGTCACCACCCTAATTTTAGAGGAAAAAATACGACCCTCTCTAAATCTTCTCAATTTGGACCTGCGAGTTTTTTGCTCTCACAAATAATTATTTTGTTTCCAATTTTTTGCCCTCTTCACCCGGCAATCTGCTTATCTTTATTACCCTCCACAAAATCTGTTCTTCCAGTTATTTACACACCACCCCTTTTTGTCAAAAGGCAATAAAAGTTTTGAGTTTTCGGCAAATCTGAGTCCATTTACCGCCATTTTTATGAGATTTTAGGTGGTCCTTTGGATTCGTTAAACGGATGTGTGTTTATCCGACGTCGGTCGGTTGTGGTTTGTGTTTCATGGGTGCGTTGTGCAATGCACGTGTTTAGCCCCACACACACATTCACAGAGAGGTGATGAGAGCGTTGAAGTCTCCAGTGAGACGCTTTCCTTTGCACACATAATATACAAATGTGTAACTCACAAAGCGCGCGGCAATCAGCCCTGCGCTTAATCTTTTGTACGGAACAAAAATAATCACGCCGCGTTATTTCCGCAGCAGCGTGTTTTTACTTGTGCTAAAATTGGGCCTGTTGGACGCTGATAAATTGAAATGATAACAAGCCACTGGTAGAGACAAGAAAATAACAGAATCAGAAATAAATAATATTTTGATTTAAAAAAAAATCAGTCGTATTCTCCAAATTCAATTATATTTATATTAAAACTTGAATTGCAGAATAAAACACACATTTCTTGGCATGCATACCAAGTGTATTTAAAAAGTATTAGTCCAAATTTCTGTGATTGCAGCAATAAAATCTCAATTCAATTGCGCTGCTGAACAGAAATTTTTTGAAAGCCATATTTATTTTACCGAGAGAAATTTGCCATTTTTGATAGAAAAAAATATGCCGCACGCTTTGACACTTGATTATGATTTTATTTGTTTATTTGAAGAACTGATATGAGTTGCGCTTTTTTTATTTAATATTTTGACAATTTAATAAAACTTTTTTTTAAACTGTTAATAAAAAACAAAAGTAAGATGAACATAAAAAAAAACTTCTAAGTCAGCACGTGCAAGGACAAAATGCAAATAAAACTCGTCTCTGTTAAGGCGAATCGACGGAGCTCATTACGCGGAAAAACAGCCGTGTGTCTATTTCACGCGGCTAATAGTGGCCAGAAGCCAGACTGATGATTTCAAATGCATATCCGCCGCGGCCGGGGCCGAGAGAGTGTTTGTTTTGTTAAGTTTTCGAGACGATTGTATCTTGTTGGAGCCGCCACATGGGCCGTAATGTGAAAAATGGTCTTGAAAGTTATTAAAAGGCCCACCAAGTGGAAATGTAAACCCATAAATTACCCCTGAAATAAGACAGCCCTCTTCGCGCTAAGCAGCGTGTGTTGGGCACTCGAGCTCTCAAATGAAATCTTCGCCAGCAATAAAGAGACTCGTGTAAATAAAAGGCCCTCTCGATTGGTCTCTTTCGCTCAAGAACGTCGGGCACCACTAAATCTCCTCTAAATCGCGCCTCCAGTGTAAATACTCGCGGGCGCAAACACAATTTCGGCTGAAAATTTGAACGCCTCCGCTTTCCGCCCGTTTTATTGCCAACGGTTAGGCAAAAAGCAGGCGATTAACATCTTGTAAACAAAGAGAGCTACTGCACGAAATATACAGTATAATGCATTGCAGCTGCTGGAATTTTCAATGAGTCAATCTACAGTGGTTGGATTTGGTATTAATAAAAAAATTATTTATGATACCTAGAAAATTCAGATTAAAAAATCACGCGTTTCAATTTCGTAAATTTATGTATTATGTTTGCCTCACAAAAAGGCAAAACTTTCAATTATCAGTGACTGATTTTTGTCGAACAAGGAAGAATATTCCGTTCTTTGTAAATCTCGCCCACTAAGTTAAGAACAAATAATGTTTAAGTTAATTTACAGTAATTTCAATACTAATTTTAAATTATTAGGCGAATTTTACTTTATGTTTATGCAAAATAAAAATATGTAAAGCATTCTTTTGTAATTATTATTTAAAACATTTTAAATTTTATCATTTTATGCATTTTTTTTTTACGAGCCACTGGTTTGGGCTTTAAATTTTAAGTACAGAAAAATTTATATGGTAGACACTTTTTACTAATAAACCTAATAAGCGTTAAAATCATCTTTTACTCCGTCTAGTTTTTCTTATTTATTTTTATTCCCTTCAATCGTTTTTTTCCTATTAGTTTCGCAGGTTGCATACATTTTGGAGCTTGACGAGCTCAATGAAATCAAGGGGCTTGATTTACAAAGGAGAAATTGTCATCGCTTCTTTTTATTTTAGTCAATTCTTTTTATTCACGATTTTTGAAAAATGATTAGATTAAAGATAAACTGCGTTTCGTGCGTTTCCTTGTTAGGAATTTTTATTGATTTTTTTTTTTGGTACATGAAAATAAGGAAAATAACATTGAAATATCCGCCTTAAAAAAAAAAAATCGCCTTCAAAGTTGGTTAAAAAGTTTTAAAACCTATAGCTAAATGATCACAAAATTAAGACAATTAAATTTTCTCTTTTTCTAATTTTTTCCTTCATCTCTGTTTTAAGTTTACAATCCTGAGCTATCCCACGGCGCCAAGTCGCATTCTGTTGGAGCTTCGCACGAATCGCCACACAATCAAACCTCTGCAACCGGCTCTAATAAAAGAAAAAGGTCCTGGTCACGAGCAGTTTTTTCCAACTTGCAGCGCAAGGGCCTGGAAAAGCGATTCCAAATTCAGAAGTACATCACCAAGCCAGACAGGAGACAACTCGCCGCCACACTTGGACTCACAGATGCTCAGGTAAAAAAAATTATATAAAAAAAGCGCGTTCAAAATGTGTATTTGTTAAATTTCAATATTTTTCAAAGTGTTGGTTAAGCGCTTGAAGAGCGTGCTTGTTTATAAAATCCGGCGGTGAGGGGCTTTTTTATTTTCTCTGGTATTTCCAAACTCTGTAAATAAAAACTCATAGTCTGCGAGGAAGGCTCCAGAGCCTGGTAAAAAAACTCTCATGTTGACAGATTTTTCTCACATTGCCATCCCATATCGAATATGGCGATCAATAAAATCAACAAAATTGCCCATAAACTAAAATTAGAACCCTATTCATCTTAAATTTATGGCCAACCTTATATGAAGTTTTATTTGAAACGGAAGGAGTGTTTTGGATCCTTGTAAACTTTTAGAGCTTATCAGAAGGAGGAAAATCCAAGCACAATTTCAAGTGCATTACGCAGACTGTGAAATTCCCAAAAACCAAATAAGAAACCCGTTCAAAATTTTATTTAATAAACGAATTGAAACAAATCTTTATACACAAAAAGTCGAAGAGTTACTTCAAATTTACTTGAATTCTAATATTAATTTTCAATTAGAAATTAATTATTCCAAAAATTTTATTCCAGGTGAAAGTTTGGTTCCAAAACCGTCGAATGAAGTGGCGACACAGCAAAGAGGCCAAGTTAGGCGTTTCGCCCTCAACGACAGGTGTATGCGTTTCGGCAAACGTAATCATGGGGCACGCAGTCCCCGTCGAGGCAGTCCGCGTCGATTTTGACAGAGGCGCGGCGGACTCGACTCAAATCGAGTCACCCACTGACTTTGTTTCGTCTGACGAGGACTCGGAAGTCGACGTTGAGGTTATGAGCTGATGAAAAGAAAATTGCCAAAAACATTCATAGTGCTGTACATTGTGCCATAGTGTGTGCCTTGAATTTTCAAAAGAAATGACTCGAATGAAAAATCACCTTTTAATTAAAAAATTAAATATGTTTCAAACATGATAAGGATAAAGAATTGTGCCAAAATAAACTTAATTAATTCTGACACTTTAAATTTAATTTCAACAAAAACATATAATAGGAGAAAAAAAGCCTAATATTATGTACGTACAAAAATTAGGAGTAAGTACAAAGCTCAAATCACATACTAAAAGTTTTATTTAGTATTTTCAGTGGCTTTTGCTCCATCATATTAAGAGTATACGAGGCAATCTCTCTGCTCAATTTGAGATTCACCGTTTTTTAAATCGTTACATAAATTTAATTTTCTCTTTGTTCTCGTGAATCAACCGCAATGAAAAGGAAAAATATGCATTTAGCGCAATCACCAACAACTTGTTCCATACCCAAAGTAAGGGCAATATCGTTAGTCATACATTTCTTCCTGTCCTGCGGTCACTGTTTGCGTCAAGGGTTTATCTGCAGGAAACGACGCCGATTTGAGTCGCAAGAGTGCTGCACGTTGGCAACGAGATCGAACGGCGGAACGACAATGTCCTTGTTGTGTTTTAACAGCACAAAAAGAAGGAGCAGCAGCATGGACGCGGAGGAATCTGTGACCAAAAACGAAATACCTGAAGGTTCGAATTTTTATTTTATGCGCTTTTTCGATTCGCTTGCACACACAATTAAGGGGACTGCGGCGGCGGAAGCAATAAGTGAAAGCATAGCAAGTGGGATGCGACCGCCCATCACGCACCGCGTGGCCCCCTAAACAACCAGAGCGAATTGCTGGTGCGCAAATCTCGCGGCGGTGCTGATTGTTGTTTTTAACTCTCGTTGCAGGTATGAGGCCTGAAGCCAAAATCGCGGGCTACCTGGACAAACGTGGACGAAGGGTGAGTCGAAAACGAACCATCTAATTTCTGCAAAACCTCAATTATTTGCAATTTCTCCATTTTCAATTAACACCTTTAACCAAGGACGTAATTCCAATTTCAAGCATAAAACTGCTGCCGTGGTAAATATCTGTGAATTTTTGTGCTGCAGTGCGATTAAAAATTCATGACTAAGCGAGAGTTTACAAGGCTTCAGCCAATGATTATCAGAGAAAAACCTTGAATACCATATTGAATTAGAATTGAACAAATGTTTTATTATTTTAGGTAAACAATATTTACTTGAAAAATAATCTCTTAAATTTTGCAACGAACTGAAAGTTCGAGAATATTTAGCGCAGAAATATTTTTTCAGTAATTTTTTAAGAACGTGATAATGCAACCACTTCCTTGTTAAAAAAAATACAACAAATTTGCTGAATTTATTCATATTAATTTGATTCATTTTAAAAATATAATTTACTTTAATCGAATTTAATGCGTCGTTTTTTCTTCCTTTTTTTAATTTCTGAAAATTTTTGTAAATTTGTCTTTAGTTACCAACATGGAAACGCTACTGGTTCGTCCTCGATGGACCACTTCTGCTGTACTTCCAGTCGGAGGAAGACTACCTAAATTTATCCCCATGCAAAGGATCGCTCAATATAGGACTAGTGGTATCTGTGCGACCTTCTGGATCTCGCTCTTCCCCCCAGCTTATACTGGTCACCAGAGCCCATCCCGTACACCTGGTACGTTTGAAAATTCTCCTAAATTCATAATGGGCTGATAATTCATATCCTTTAAAACCACGTGAATTTTTTATTCGGCGCACCGCGGGAGACTGAAATAGGAAACCAGTGTTGCTAACAACAGCTAATAATATATTTTTTATTTAAAGGCAGAAAATGAAACATACCTTTTTCTAATTTGAATAAAAGGAAATAAATTCTTAATTAAAATATAAAATTCCACAAAAAAGTGAAATTAATTTTTAAAAAATGTTTTTTTTTTTAAATAATAAAACAAAACATTTTAAACTAATTTTTTCCTTTAATGTAATTAGTAATTTTCATACCCCTAGCGTGCCAAAGAGAGCAAAGATCAAGAACGCTGGCTGAAAGGACTGCTCGACTCGATCGTGCAATTTTCGCGGGCAGCCGAGCCAAGCATGGTGAACAGCCTACGCAGATATGAAGACGCCTGCCTCCCTGAGCAGCCTGAGGTGGTGAGCACCATGGAGCGTGTGCGACGAATGGGACAGCAGGCATTGATGCCCCCAGACCAGTTGCTGAACGCGTCCAAAAGTTTGCGGAAAGTTGCCCCCAGCATTCCTAGTCAAGCCAACAACAACGACGATAGCGTCTGTGCGATCACGGCCAAGTTGCCAACGAACTCAGCCGTGCACCGCATGTTGGAGAAGAGACAAGAGGACAAAAAAGTAGAGGAGGAGGAGCAGAAGGAGCAGAGTAAGAAGAGCAGCGAGGAGGAAGTTAAAAAGGAAGCGGAGACTGGATTGAAGGAAAATCAGGAAGAGAACAAGAAAGAAAAATCAGAATGTGAAAATAAAAAGGAAGAATCGACAGTTGAAATTAACGAAGAAATCGCCGAAAAGAAAGAGGATGTTGTCAAAACAGTTGCAGAAGTCGTAAAGGTCCCAGTTGAATACAGCGTGGTGGTGAAAGATCGCAAGTCTAAAATAGATCCAATCCAAAAACCCGAAGAAAAACCAAAAGAGGATGTAAAGGAACCTGCACCGAGTGTTAAAGTTGAGGACGTTGAAGATGAAGACGCGGGGTATGACCTGATCAACAAAGACTATCAAATCGAAGGCGACTATGAAGCGATCGAACAGAGTGAAGAGGAGGATATTTACGCCATGCCATCTGCTGACGAGGAGAAGGACGAGGCAGAAGACGAACCCGTGGTTCCTCCAAGGCCGCAGCAAGAGACCTTCCACGCTACCCCAGTGGTCATTTTAGAGAGCAGCCCTGAACCAGACTATGAATACTCGGAGACGATGTTCAGCGTCGAGTGGACAGAACCGGAACCGCCTCCAAGGCCGATAGAAATCCACAACCAAGTCGAAAGGACATTTTCAGCAGACGAGTTGGACGTCCTGCTGAGCAAGACATCCAGCGAGGTGGCACCAATCATGACCAGGCTGTCTCTGGACCCCTGAATGAAAAGGAAGATTTGGTCAGGGCGACTCCTTGTGTCGCAGGGTCAGAGTCAAGGGTTGAACGGGCGCAAAGGGCAGCGCACGCTTGGACTCTTGACCTTCCAGACGTGGTGCCTCCGAAGGAACAAAGTGATGATGAGTCGGAATCAGACACTCCAAACATGAGTTTAGAGGAGGCGATGCAGGTCATAAGACGAGCGTCCCGACGCCTTCCGAAGGTTACACAGGCAAAACAGGATCTGCATGAGGCTGTGGTCGCTAGGGTGATGGTTGAAGACGATAAACTGGAATCTTTAGAGGGTCCAATCAAGCCTATTGATTCAAAAAGACTTTCCTTTGCCACTACCGACTTAGAGCTCACGCTAGAAGAGACGGTGGACACATTGAAGACACCTTTTGTGTCAGCAACTTTCGGCTGATAAGAATATTTTCATAATAAATTCATTCTGAAATCGCATGTATAAAAGTTAGGCTTGAGAAAAATAAATATTTAAACATTTTTATATCATTTGTTGCGTTAGTAATCAGCTTTATATGTCGTTTAAATACCAACGTAGAGTGGAAATTCACAAAAAAAAAAAAAAAAAAAAAAATCATCGTCTTTTCTTGCCTGAAAATTTGCCCTTCTTCAGGTGTTTCTTAACGCCAGGAGCATCCTCAGTATCATCATCGTCGTCTCTGCCGCCTTTCCTTTTGCCTCGGTTGCCCTTTTTATCCTCCATATCTTTTTGTTCCTAAAATGAATGTTTCATAATTTAATTGACGAGTTTTATAGCTAAAATCAACTGGTACCATTCTTGCAGTCCTCTGGGCCTCACAGACACGCTCATTCAGAACCATAACTTCCTCCTCCTCTGTTGGGTAGAGGGGAAGTTTCTTCCCAATAAGATGTTCAATCCGTTGGTACAACTCAACATCATACTGCAATTGAAAAATCATATTAGAAATTTATTTCCGGAGAATTTAGTTTTTAGAGGGGAAAAAATAGCAAATTTGCACCTGTGTCACAAAAGTAATGGACTTTCCTGAGCGTCCCGCTCTCGCAGTTCTGCCGACTCGATGAATGTAATCTTTGCTGTGTGTAGGGATGTCGTAGTTGATGACAACATCAACGTGAGGGATATCAAGGCCTCTAAAAATTTAAATTCGAGATTTAGCAGATAAAATATTTAAACTCAAAATGATTTATGAATTGGTTTAGTGAAAAAATATAATACCTTGAAGCAACATCTGTAGAGACAAGAATTTTGCTAGTCTTGGCCTTGAATTTGTTAAGGGCACCCAGACGTTTGTTTTGCGACATTTGACCATGCAGGGGCACTCCGTGGATGCCAAGGGCGCGCAGCATCAGCACCAGTCGCATTGCTCCTTGACAAGTGGAGCAGAAAACCATAACACTATTTCCAGCCAAATCGTTCAACACGGACACAAGGTAGCAGTCCTATTAAGAAGGAAAAAATAGGTCTAAAAAAGTTAAAGACTGACAAAAATAATTTAAACCTTAAATTTAGCCGGAATGAAAAGGTAATATTGCTGAAGTTTGTCCACAGTGTGATATTTGCTTGAGGCCTGAACCAGAACTGGATTGGTAAGTGACGCTCGCTGCAACTTCTCCACCTTCTTGGTCATGGTGGCTGAGAATAACAGGGTCCTTCGTTCCCTGGGAATGCACTTGAGAATTTTGTCCACCTCCTGCTCAAAGTCCATGTTTAGGATTCGGTCAGCCTCGTCCATCACCTAATTTCAATTTAATGTTAAAAATTTTGGTCTACAAAAGGATTAACATTATTACAAGAAATTTGAGCGCCCTCAGGCTGAATCCTTTTGTGTTCTCGAGGTGGTCAACCAGACGTCCCGGCGTAGCAATGATAACGTGAGGCTTTTTGGCCAAAGTCAGAGCCTGGGTGACCATGTCCATTCCACCCACAATGACACCGCATTGCACGCCAATGGTACTTCCTATGAAAACTGTTTTAGAAAACCATCTGAGCATGAAAATAAAAATTATTTTACCTAATGCCTCAAACTGTTCAGAGATTTGAAAGGCCAGTTCTCTTGTTGGCGTAAGGACAAGGGCAAAAAGGCGTTGAGGGGTTTCCAGCAGTTGTTGCAAAATTGGCATTGCAAAGGCACACGTTTTGCCAGAGCCTGTTTCTGCCAAGCCAATGACATCACGTCCTACAACATAAATTATTATGAATTTATAGCAAAATGAAAATTCGTCTGAAATGGGTGTTAAAATTGTGTTTACATAATTAAGTTTTATCCAAACCTTTTAATGCCAGGGGAATTGCCTGCTTTTGAATTGCTGTTGGTGTTTTCCATTTCAGTTGTTCACAAGCCTCGCACAGAACTTCGACAACGCCCTGCAATCAAATTGAAAATTATTTTTATTACCGAAACAATTAAATAATAGTAATACTAGATCTTTGAAGGTTGTTAGCTCCTCTTCTGCTGCAATATTCGAATCCTCGATGTCCGGCTCATGCTCTGACTCACTGGACGACATTTTCAAAAGATTCTTAAAATTGTGAGTTTTCTCAAAACTTTAGAGCTGTGGACGTGATAACGATGCAAAACCACGCAAAAACGTATTAAAGAATTCAGCAAAACCAGAAGAGATAAGGAGAGCAGAGAACCGCATGGGTTGTTTTTCCAATTTGTTTTGTTTCCGTACCATAGGTGAATCTGGGTGAATCTAAGTCGGTGAGTGCTTATTTACACCCCAGAACCTTATATTCACTGTTTAAACGCTTGACATTTTTTGCTATTTACACCATCACACGTTTCAGCCGGCCTGGCGCTTCTTGCAATCTTGCATCAGTTTTTTAGTCGTGGGGGAGGAGTCAGGACCGGCGCTTTTGCTCTCTCTCTCTCTCAATTCTCATTTCTGGAAACAAATTTAACTTGCATTGCATGAACTCTTCAAAGGTATCTTCCTAAATTTTTATTAATATTCAAATAATTTAGAATAATTTACATACATAGATGACTTTTATTAGATATGTCGTATGGCAATAATTTGGTAATGTTGCTCACCAAAGCCAAAACCTACATCAACAACAACAACTTTTGCAGGCGTTAATTGCTTTGATTTTTCCCTTATACACGAGCACAATTCAATTTCTTCATTAACCGTAAATTTTTATTTGACTGCTGGAAACAACAAGGCTGAAGATCAGCAGTATCAGCACTGGGCAAGACCGGGCAACAGTATCATAGCTTGTTATTTCATCGCTCTTTCTTTCATCTAAATAAATCAGGTTAATTAATTTTGCAATACCTCATTTTCTCTCCTCGCTTTTTTGCTTGTAATAATTCTAATAATTTATGCATCATATTATTATTAAATGTTCAATAATTTCAAATTAACTCTCCATTATTGTATATGTAATAAAATAGTACACGATAATTATTTTTTCAGACTCCATCCTACTCCTACTCACTGTGATCAAAAATGGCTTCAAAAAATAGGAAGTTAATACCAAATATTTTTACTCTAATATTTGATGTAAGTATAGCGTTAGTGTTAATGAATTATGCGGAATTATGTAGATATATTAGGAGGTTTCATGCTTCATGCACTTAAAAAGAAGTCCAAAAATTTAAATAATGTTAATGTATTTTTTCTCATAAACATGTTATATTATTTCAGCAAAACTTGAAAAGGATGAAAGTAAAGCCAAAAGCAGCAAAAGAGACACCCAAAACAAAAGTCTGTGCTCCAAAAAGAGAGAGGATCGTCAAAGAAATCAACAACTACGTGTTGAACCATTGCCCAGGAGTGTCTCCAGATGAAGTGCCATCAACTTCAAAATGCTTGAGTAGCACTCTTCCTGATAAATTGATATGCATTAACAAATCTACAGCTGGTAAAAAAATTGAACACAATAATGTTGTCACTTGTAAAATATTTAAAAATTTCCAGGCAAAATAGCTTCTGCAATTCTTGAAAACATTTCATCAGGCACTTTGAAAGATATGCCCATTTTGGATATAAGCCCTGGATTGGGCCTGTTGTCTAAGAAACTGCTGGACTTGGGCGCAAACAAATTGAGGCTCTACGAATCACGGCCTAAAATTAATGCTATGCTTCAGACATTAGCCAAAAATCACAAAACAAAAGTTCAAGTCTTTCAGCAAGATCTGTACAACCTAGGCAAGACACTTTTCTTAGACAAAATTCCTGGATCTACTTTGATGGACGATGCCATGCAAGGAATTGAGTTCAAACAACCTCCTGGTACTATATCCTTTTAAATTTTTTGGAGTGCCCCTAACCATTTTTCTTCCAGAAATCTCCTTCACAGTTGTTGGAGTATGTTCCAATTACAGTTTTCTGCATCTCATGCCACACACGATTTGTTACGACCTAGGATTCCCGCATTATGGGGCAACGGAATACTTTTTAGTAGTCCACCCATACAACTATTTAGTAAGTTGCATACAATCGTCTTTTTTGAACCCTCATATTGATTTTAAAACTATTTTAGAAATTGACGTCAGTTCCAGGAGGAAATTACTTACACTACAGATACCATACTGTTGCATATCAGATTTTTTTCAATACCCAAGTGGTTGCAAAATTAGAACGCAAAAATTTTCTTCCTTGGGAAAAATCTTGGGAACTAAATGCAAAGAAAAGTCTGAATCAAAAGAAGGTATGTTCCGCTTATTAATTAAGTCTTGTCCCAAACTCGTCTGGCCTATAATCATGTCACAGCTCTATTGTTTTGATGAAGACTTTCTCTACCTTCTACATATAACTCCAAAGAGTACCATTTACGAACTGAGTTCCTCAGAAAAGCAGCAGCTTTTGTATTTTCTGAAATTCAATTTAATGAGCAGGAGAGGAAAGATTATCCCAGCCCTTGAGTAAGTATTGATTAAAAAAAAAATTGTTTTACGACAAAAATATGTTTCCAGGAAGTGGATTTCAAATTGTGAAACTCGGCTACACAAGCTTGGTATTGGCAAGAATACTTGTTGTGGCGAAATCTCTCCTGACAAATTCCTGGCGTTGTTTCAAGAGTTCATCTCCTGGCCAGAGTTTTCACATTGTGCTTTCAACACTTCAATGCACATGTCTTTCCTCAAAAGCAATTTACAGAGAATTGAGCTATCTCCTATGGAGGAGGAAAGTCTGGAAGAAGAGGAGGAAGAGCAATATCAATAATATTTTAGATAGGGATTGAGGGCGCTCAAATAAAATGAGTTTGCAAAATTAAATGTTTTTCATTTGTTTAAAGAAATGGACAGTGGACTTTCTAGGAGATGATCATGTCATGGAACTTCGATATACGTTTTACATAAAAAATTAAAGCAGATGCTGGTGTAAATATGTTGCAAAAATTCTGTTCAGCACTAAATTTATTTTATATTTTTACCACTAATTAAAGATAAAATGAAAAGTTGCGCATAAAATGATCTGAAAATTGCAAAAAAATCTCTCTTGAGCTCTCTCTACTTTGTAAATTTTGCAAACTTTTTAAATTTCTGTTATATTTTCTTTAGTTCACATTTTCTTTTTATGACGATAATAATATATAATATTCGATTAATACAATAATATAAAATTAGGTGTTTCAAATTGAAACCGTTCAGTGTCCCCCTAGCGGAATTTTTTCAAGTCTATTCAGACGAGTGCTCGAGTCGGCGCAAGGAGAGGAGGCTCGGCGTGTGGCGTATCTTTGTTGCCGTGCCGCGGCTTTTTGCTTTTCCCCAATATCCGAAAGTTAGCTCTGTATTTTCGTCTAACCTGCTCGAAATTCTGTACAATTTTCGTGTGCAATTGGGTTGTTCAACAGTTTAATTTTAAACCATATCATAATAGACGCCAATTGTGCGCGTCCGCCGCCAGTGCGGCTGCCATAGTAAAAAGAAAGGTGACCCTCGGAGGTGTGGCAATGTAAGTCGAAATCGGCCGCATTTCTTGTATAAATTTACGTTCTCATCTCTTCTAACGGCCTTGATTTGCCTCGGTGGAAAAACTGTTTATAGTTTTTTAAATGAGGTGTGTCTGTTTCCAGAAAACATGGAGATTTTCGAAGGAGAAAAGCCGGAGGAAGAATTGGCCATGGTGTCCCCGCAAGAGGCTGCTACTGCGTCACCATCTCTGATGGATGTCGATGCGGACGTTGAGTTAGCCGTTGTGGCTCCCCAAGAAGAAGAACAACAACAAGAGGAAGAAACTGGCTCTGCGTCACCGCCTGCTCCTGAAGCTCCTGAAGAAAAAGAAAACAAACCAGATCAGCCCAACGACGAGGAGCCGGAAAAAGGCTCCCCATGCGAACAGCCATTTGAATTTTCCTCACCATCACTGCTTATGCTGGCATTAGTAAGATCCGTTGCAACTGCAGTATTCTTAATTTATGTATTCTAAATCTTTAGAAAGCTGCACCCCTGGAGGCTGCTTTTATTACGGATGACGAGAGTGACGAAGTTTTTGAAGGCTTTGGTGATTCTGTCGAGCCAAATGAAGCAGAATCAAAGGCACTGGAGGCCATGAAGGAAGAAATAAAAGGTTGATGTTTTTGATGCCCTCAGAATTTTAAAACCAATTTAAATTGTTAAAATTTTAGCGGAAGAAGCAGCTCTAGATTCTTTGTACGAGTCTGAAGAATCAGAATCCCTTCCAGGATCACCTGGTGAATTAGTGATTGCTGACTCCAGTGAAGAACCCCTTTCTCCCCTAGAAATCGGAAACAGAAATCGTCGTGCCACATCAATTGCTTCAACTGCAGATTCGGTGGTTTCGGGTGGCAGCACAGCGTCTAGTCGCACTCGCAAATTCGATCCAACACTCCCCATTTACCAGAAACCGTTCCAGCACGGTGAGATTTTGTGCTCCTTTCTTAATTATTATGTTAACTGAAACATTTGTTTTATTTTTGCTTGATTAGAAATCGCTTCCTTTGTGTTTAAAACAAACTAGGAAGTGTACTTAGAAATGGGCAATTAATTTTTGCATCATACACCTTCTCTGCCCAAAATGCACGTTTGTCGGTTCTTGAATACCTTTGCTTAGTTTTATGTGAATGTCAGTTCTGTATATAAAGTGGCCAATTTTCTTTAAAAATGCCAATCATACTCTTGGTTGGAAGGTTTTGCAAGGGAGGTCGTCTACCGCAGCACTTTTGACTTATCCAAAGCATCTAGTTATGCTGACATCTACTATTTTACTCCTCACGGAAAGAAACTCAGGTCATCGATTGACGTGTCCAAATATTGTGAGTTTCGAATCCGATTATTTGAACTTATTCAGTCAATCCTTATCTCTTACTATAACTGATGTTTCGAGAACTTGTTTTGTTGTTTGTGAACAAAACAAAAAAATTAACTAAAGGGCTATTCAGAGCAGGCAAATTTAAATTGCTATTTATGCAAAGCTTGTTTCAATAAGAAGCTCTTTAACTAAAACTGAATAGCCTTATCTTTCTGTAGTTGAATAATTCTCTTCAATTAGTGGTTAATGTTGACATAATGTACTACACAATCTAAATTTATTTATTTTAATGACAAATATAATTATTTTACAGTGGCGGACAATTCAATTCCAATTCCCGTGGAATCATTCAGTTTTGCGAGAGAGCCTCTTGGTTTGAACGATCCTAAGAAAGAAATCATCCGAAATGCAAGAGTGAAGGTTTGTTAATCATATTTGCACATTTCTTGCATACATTATCATGAAATTTAGCACTCTCCAACGCCCCCTCCTCCACCACCTCCAAAGGCTAAACGCCCTGCAGTGCCTACACCAGAGCCCAAAAAGAGTGGGTTGCCCAATGTGAATGGAAGTTCGGGAAGTAGGCCCCCGAAGAGAGCTCGCAAGAGTACCTTCCAAGACCCTGTATGGATTACAGCTGAAGCAAAGAACAAGTATTGTATTTCAAAGTTAAATTTAATGTTTTTAATAATTATTTTTTAGGTTGGCGCCGTGCGGAATCCGTTGCATTAAAGCACCAGGCCAAGTACCAAGCCTGCAGTGCAGCTCTTGCGTGTGTCTCTACCACCCTGTGTGTGTTGGTCTTACTCAGCTTGACTCGAGAATTTTAATGGGATACATCTGCAACGTTTGTTTATACCTTTAATTTTTGCCGTAAAATCAATTTTTCCTATACAGAATTGCAGACAAGAAAAGACTGCTCCCCCGAAGCCGGTGAAAGTCAGTAATGTTCAACAAGTAAAGAAAGAGCCGCAGGTTGAAGGACCGCCGCAGTCTTTGGTAACCCTTCAGGGTCGGCAGTATGTTGTTGTGCCCAAATCGATCAGCAAACCTCCTCCTCCGGAAAACCACGAACCCAGTGGAGTTCCGGCAGAGCCCACCAGAGGAGCTTCCACTGCAGCAAGTCGGCCCGAAATTAAAAAGTACATTATTTTCTCTGTACGTTGATAATATATTAACAAATCATGCCAGGGAATTTTCAAGGAGAGAAACTGTCATTTCCAATTTTTCGAGCGACTTGAATGCACGTGTCGGCGCCCTGCTTCAAGTTTTCAGTTACCTAACTGTAAAAGAGCTTCTTCGAGCCAGCAGGGTCTGTTCATCTTGGCGGCTGATAGCAGAGAGTAGATTATTGGTAAGCACCTAGTTTTTCTCACAACTTAATAATTAACTTTTATTTTAGTGGAGGAGTTTGCGCCTAAAAAATTCAGGTGTTAGTTCATGGAGTGACTGTGTCCAGTGGCTCAACTGCCACAAGACGGAGGCTGTAGATTTGAGAAAGATGATGGTGCCAGAACGAAATCCTGTCGCCGCTTGGAACGAAGCCGCAAGTTCTTTGGGTCAAGTCACTTCACTCAAAGCAATAGAATTAGGCCGTTGTTCTCCTGCAACCGTTGCACTAGTTGCTGACCGTTGCCCCAGACTGACAGGACTATCAGCTTCTTCACTTACATCTTCGTAAGTTGAAACAATTAATAACATTGTAGAAGGCAACATTTTCTATTGCTTAAATATTTTAATCTGTTTGCAGTGACGACATGTTGGATTTGAAATCATTAAGTGGAATGTCGCAGTTGCAGCGATTGAGGCTACGAGGTGCTTACTCCTTGAGAGTGGAAAACCTCACCTATCTACAATACCTGTCCAACCTGACCTGCTTGGTATTTTTGGATTTTTTACCATTTGTAAAAAATAGTCATAAAGATAAATTCATTACAGTCTGTGACATCAGTGAAAGGACTTCCAGGTATGGACATTGCTGTTGTCCTAAACGGGCTGCCAGGGTTGGAACTTCTGGAGTTGGGCGAGTGCTATGAAATGGTGCAACACGCTGAAATCCTCACTGAAGTCCTAGCAAAGCTGCAGTGCTTAAAGAGGTTGCGTTTGGAGTTCCTCGTCACCCAAAAGCCACATCATGAATCTGAACTGCTGGTTACTTTTTTCGAAAGCCTCACAGCTCTGCCTCATTTGCAACACCTCGAACTGGTGCACATTGAGGCACCCCCTGGCTGTGACCTACAGATTGCAAGGCTTTCTGCCCTTCGGTCATTGCTCCTTGTGCCCAGCTTTACTCATATGGTAGGAAATTAAAATTGCTAGATTATTGTTGACGCGCAAGCATTTTCCTCGTAATTTGTTGAGCTGTTACAAATATTTTTGTGTGTTGTAAAGAAAATAATTTATTCAGGCAAAGATTTTTTTCTAACCTCGTTTCAATATTGTAGGGTTCGGTGACCTGCCAAGTCCTTCTTCAAGGTGTGTTCCAGCTGCAAAGGCTGGAGCAACTTGTGATTGGCCTGACGCCATCCATTTGCGAGACAGCACAAAAGTTGTACCTTCAGAAGGCAGGTCGCATGTCACCTCAACGTGCACCTCCACCTCAGCCTCACGACGACTGTTTGCCAGTGGCAATTCCCATTCCCTCATCAAACGCCTTGCCCAAGACCGAGTTTGACCTGAAGCCCCCTCTTAACAAGTTGGACTCCATGGAGATCCTTCCAGCCTGGCACTTGCGAAACCTTCTGAAAGAGGGTTTGCCGGGAACTAAAGTTGATGTCCGTCGACTTCCCCACCCAGCCCGCTATTCGCTTGACGAATGGCCCTTGCTCTAGTGATACACAACCCCCAAGCTGTCCCAAAGTAAGTATTTTTTTTCAGCACATTTTTTTTAATTGTTGCTCTTGTATTTCCTTTATACTCCCTGAAAGCTGTAAGCTTGAGTAAACTTGTTAATTAAGGATCAATCATCAGCTTTTATAATTTATTTGGTCATTTGTCGATAATTGTTTAAAATTATGTTTGAATCACTTTCTTATCTGTGAAAAGAAAATGGTGGAGACTTGTTTGGAATTTTTAAAATCTGCACCTGTATAGTAAACAATAATAAATATAAATCATAACTTAATAATAGAATGTCATATTTATTTACCAATTCATATCAAACCTATTAATTTGTGCTAGAATTTTTGCAACCTCTATGAATGAAAAATATTTAAATATATATTTGACTTGAAAACAATACAAAGTTATTGTAAAAAAACAACCTTTTTATATAATTGCCTTTTTTAATCCTTTCAATCATGCCAAAGAGACAAGCAATACGATCAAAATTCATTAGAGGCAGAAGCATCGTCTGTACTATATAACGAGACTTTCTCCTATACTCTTGGAGCTAAGGATACCCCCCTCCCATAAATATTTTAATAACTGGAAAGGTTTTTGCGCGCGTCAAAAATATTAAAGGAAATACAATTAGCATTATTTAGAATTTTTATTCTTTTTGAAATTGAATCTATTGTTTACTGAAGTCAAGTTAAATTGAAAATTGCATAGAGGGGAGGTTAAAAAAGGATACAACACACAATAAGTAATTTTTCTGTCGAAATTTTTAATTTTTTAATGTTTGTTTCCAATCATTTCAATACACATTCATCACAGTGAAACAATTCGTCCAAATTTCCCATCGACATTCAAATTAATTCAGACGTCAATGAAATTATTATAATTCAATTTTCATTCTTAATGAAGGCTGTTTAGTAAACATTTCATAGCCAACAAAATGTTTTGGTCCATTTACCACAAAAGGCGTCAAGAATGATCAAAATAGGACTTGTTACTTTCAACCAATAGTAGAATTTCATAAAAACAAACTGATCTAAAATGTCTTTTACTTTTTACAGTTAATCTTAATGACTTGGCCACATGGCCCAACCTTCATATCCTTCTTACATTATGTATTTAGTTAAAATGTGTACTTTCGAGACCTTAAAATTCCATGAGTATAATTTTTTTTGCCGATTTTTGTACTTTAGTGATAATTTTGCATCTGACAAGATGTAAACAAACAAAAAACTAGAACCTACGTCAACTTCAACTGCTATTTTTTTGGAATAATAGCTGTAGAGTCTTCTTCTCCCAAAAATAAATGTTGCAGGCAGGGAATTCCTATAGTCAAAATATTATTTTCAGACAGAAATGACTGAGTATTGGTTTGAGGCATACGAGGTATTCTTGGTCGAACAATATATAATTCAACTGGCGTCAAGCCACTTTTTTGGACCATCAAGTTTCTTGATGCTCAATCTTCATCGTCAGACAAAATCGAAACGACAAGTGAACGGATTGTGATATAGTATGCACCTTATATATAGTTGGGAGCAATATATATTTTTCGAGTGCCTAACTAACTCAAATCGCGAAAGCGCGGCATAGACCAAGGCACAAAGAGGTAGAGACACCTGCTACTACTTTATAAATTAACCTTGCCTAAAGTAAATGGTGAAAGCAAAAATATTTCTGACAATATCACAGAGTGCAGGCCTGCTCGATCAGAGCTATTAACCGCCTGTAGAGGAAGCAACTCCTGAAACAATCAAAACAAACTTCAAATAAATGTTGAGCAAAAAAACTGTTTACCTGTTGCGAGGTTTGCAAATTTGTCTATGATCCAATTCGATTCCGTAAAGCTCTCCTACGTCGGGATCTGTTAAGCAAACACCGCGATTTAATATTGCAAAATGTGTGTTGAGTAAACAAAGCACACGTGTTGCTTTCATTTGTTATGGCACTTCAACCCGTTTGAAAGGATTCATATATATAAAGTTGTAGAACGGACCGTAATTAAAAAAAATGAAAGAAATTTTTAAATTATAATGTTCAAAAATAAAATACTCCAGCAGTGCCTTACCTGCCGAATCTTGAGCGACTATTCTGAGAAAAACCACAGACATGAGTGTCATTTTAGTCTCAAACAAGCTGACCATTTCGGGGTTGAAGTGCTCATGCTGGCACAGCTGCAAGAAACGATTATGCAGATCGAGCACTTCAGGCGAATCTGTGGAATTTGCATATTATTAAATTGAAGGCAATTGGATATAAATAAAATAGCTAACCTTTTGCAACTTCCATGAGCTCAATTGACCTGCGAGTGAGAGGTGTCTTAATAAGTGCCAGAGACGAGCCTCTGTGTGGAACACTATAGAAAAGGATGCCCCTGGTTCGGCAGCAAAAGGGTGGAAGGTCGGCAGTTTCACTCTTTGGCAATTCGTTTGACTCACTTTGTCGGTGCTCAAATTCTGGGAATACAAGAAGTGAGAACTAAAATTTATTTTGGACTTTCATTAAATTGCTAAAATACCGTCCACGAGCATCTGCTTCACAAAGAGCCCTCCTTTAGAATGGGCAACCCAAATAATAGGTCTACTGCCAACTCCAATTTCCCTCAGTTTTTTTGCCATCTCCTCACTGCGCTGCACCATGGTTGACCTAAGAATGAAAAATAAATCTAAATTTTATCCATTTTTAATAGCTAATTTCAGGCAAACACATCAACTTAAAAATTCAATTTTAAATCCTAAATCCTGCTTGTTTATATTGATAATTTATGAAACCAATTAAGTTTGATTTTTTTCATTTCAATTTTAATTGATCAAAAAATGAATGACGGCTTCACGACGCTCTTTGGCCTTTTCCGCGTGTGTGATTAAATTTTTATCTCTATGCTCGTTAATTATAAAAATCATAATTGAAGATTTTTGCGCTGACCTGTTGGCCTGCTGCATCCAGAGCGGACGCCAGAGGAACGGGTCGGTGGGGTAGTCGAGGGCGATGACCCTGACGCCAGGGCAGTCGCGCGGCAACCACTCCTTGGGCCAGCAGTGGGCGTAGGGCTCCTCCGGTGGGGCGGCGGAGGCGCTCCTGGAGGGCAGCTGACCTCGCAGCACCCGCCGCGCCGGGGAGGCGGTGCGCGCCCGCTGCCCCCACTCGCCCTGCCTCCACGTGTTGCGCAGCGACCCGTGCAGGCCGTGGATGAAAATGACGTCGGCGGTGGGCTCTGCCGGCTCCACCAGCACCTGGCAATGCACGCACGCCTCCGACAAGGCGCCCAACTCGCGGGCCATGGGGACTGTGGGGGTGGCGCGAGGCTTGGCCACCTCGATCGAAATACGAAGTGCGCCCAAAACCTTTGTTGAGCCATATCTGAGCAAAATTAGAAATCGTATTAATGAAAATAATAAAAAATTATTTCCTTTTTTACTATTTTAAATTATATTTCAGCCTGATTGATGTGAAAATATAAAATTATATTTTCTATTTGAGAAACCATTAAGGGTTTATTTTTTAGTAGTGCTTCATTTTGTGACTTAAAAAAGTTATCAAGACTGAATTATAAAACAATTTGGTTGCAATCATATTAAGGATATTATAACACAAAAAAGAGTACGAGTGTGGAGTTACGTTTCAACGTTATGCAACAATCCTCTTTCGCACGCCAGGCGAGTTTCATAATATAATAGTCCTAGTCGCCCCAGTCGACTAAGGTCCGTGAGAGTTTTTGATATTTGAGAAAGAAAATTCCAACCGATTTTTTATATTTAATGTAAAAAATTATATATTTTCATTGTTTTATAATAATTTTTTTAGGTTAAAAACTTTTACTTGTTATTATGGAAAATTATAAGGTTTAAAACGGATTAAAAAGTTAAAGAAGTTTAATAGTTAAATTTTAAAGTCTTTCTTAATCAAACGTACCTGGAGACTAGGGTGATGTAAGAAGTGACAAAGGCAAAGAAGCGGACGACCTGCCGCCTCCAGAGAAGCCCTAGCAGCGACTGCACCGCTGCCAAAAGCTGCACCCTAGCTGCCTTTGCGGCAGTTTCTAGCTCGGCCGAGTTGGGTCTGTCAACAGAAAAGGGTAGAAATTAAAAAAAAATTGTCAAAAAATGTAACTCGTAAAGCGCTGTGTTAAAGAGAGAAAGGTGTGATGCGTTGTCTAGACGCACACTTTAGAGCTGATCTAGCACAGGATTAATGCAATAAGGGAAAGCAGCTTGTGTCAAATTTTACGAGTTAGGATTGAACCGCTAGATGAGATGGTTTCGAAACGTAAAAAGCTTCACATTAAAAAAAAATTGCAACGGCTCCATAATTTAATAAATTTTAAATTTTTTTTACATAAATTTCACTTAAATTTGGAAAAGTGTGTGAACGTTAACACATTTTATTGCACTTTAGCCTATATGAGCCGCTCAAGTTCAAAGATAAGATAAAGCTGACCTCGAGACCGAGACATACGGTTAATGTTGGGCAGTGTTAATTTCCCACGTGTTGGACGTCCCCAACATTCGCGCTCAAACATATAACGAGGCCTCGGAAATTCACTATTCAGCCTCGGAACAGTGTTAGCATTGACATTGGAAACCACATTTGGTCGTAGTTTGAATAAGCACTACATGTAGTTTTGATTTTCTTTAATCTCTACAAAATTTGTACCAAGATGATTTTCTAATTTGTAGATTTTATCAAAAGTAATTTCAGTGCAAGAAAAGAAAAGTTGAAATTATGAAATCAGACATTGATCTCTATCTCCCATTATCTTGCTCCCACACTGAAGTGTTCAGGTGTTCTCTGAGTGCATGGACAATAAAGAAATGTGCCCTCTCATATATACCAGAATTAATATAGTGTGATAAGAATAGCGGAAAGAAAGAAAGCTGTTCAAACAAATAATAGCAAATAAAAATGGAAATTATTTTGGAACGACTATTTTTAGGATCACACTCTGCGCTTGTGCATGTTGTAATTATTATTTAATTTAAAAAATTCTAATAAATTGTAATAAATAAATTTATACTTAAATTATATTACTATTTTTATAATTATATTAAAATCTTGCAAAGAATCTGAAATTGGAAGTCAACTTGCTTTTGTTGCATATTCGCAAATCAAGAGAGACGACCGGCGCGCATAAATAGCCCGTCTTTGTTCATTGAAGATGGTGATTAAAATTTAAAATCGCTCCCCTCTATAAATTCTACACGAGCGGCGGCGGACGGAACAGATCGACGCGTCTTGCTTCACAACAAGTGATTTCCTCGATTGATCCATATACATATACAGACATATGCATGTAATCAACTGGTTCTCTCAAGCCATACGGAGACCACGTGGTTCCTCGATGGGTAGAAAGACGAAGAGCTTGTTTTTTCTTCTTCTTATCATCAGCAGGCGGGTTCATAATAATTATATTTTGGACTGAATTATAATTATAAAGATTTGTAAACAAGAAGTTTAATATATGTGAGTGGGCGTTCAAATAATTCAATTAGTTCAGCGTGATCGGGTTTGGTGCGGCTTCCAATTGTGCAAGGAAGCCGCGCTGTGTGTGAGTGCCATTCTGTCATTCGCAACAATAAAAAGTACGCAAGCGAGTCAAGGCCGCGAGCTGTCGCGTATTCGACACACACGGGAACTTTTTCAGTTGATAGGTTTCTTTGCAGAGGGTTCAAAAATAGAAGAAGACGTTCAGAATTTTGTCTTCTAGCTGTGATTATAGACTATAGACGTGGACACTACATTAAATGTATATTATGTGGTCAATGTGAGCACGTGGCGCGAATTTTCAATACAGTCCGCTCCGAGAATAATTTTGGCAGACTTGTTTGTTTGGGTGTCGACCGGACAAAAGACAAAACGGCGCACCAGAGTATTTTGAGAATGGAAAATTTGGATTCGCAGGATTCATATAAATATATGCGATTTGCGTCTCTCCTTTATCGCTAAAAATAATTCAAATTCATTATCATAGTCCAAAAGAAAAATATTGAACCTTTTTTCTGACCAAAACTGTGGAGGATTTTTAAAAAATTTTGATATTTTATTTACTACTCTGCTATATGGGATGAAAATAAAATTTAATTTAGCCAACAACTTCAATATCTACATTATTAAATTCGCCGATTCCAACGTTCTCAATTTTGTTTTTGAATTTTGATCATTCCTTCATCTCCACAAAATATATCAACTAATTTCAGTCTGGTACTTTCTTTTTGAAAAATAAAAACAAATTTTCCGCTAAGCAACATCTCTTATCTGCATTTGGACGACCAAACTCAAATAATACGTTTGAGTAGTGATAAAAAAAAAAAATAAACAGGAAGAAGACGTTAAAAAGAAAAAATTAAATACGAATTGTGAAGGACAATTAATTTTTTCCAGAGCAAGGTCGAGAATTTGACTGTAGCCCCTGCTGATGGTGAGACTTATAAGCACAAATTGGCTTGATTGCTGCATTTAAAATATTTAATTAAAATTCAATCGTTGAACTTGACAGTGATTAACAGATTAGATAATTGCGCTATGGAATAAGATCTGAATTGTTCTATTGTTGAAATTATGGAAGTAATTCAAATTTAGCCAATGTTAGTTCTAATTCTTTTGTAACATAATTTGTCATAATTATATGCAAATTATGATATTTACAATATTTATCATTTATTTATGTTTTCTAGCATTCAAAAATGTTTTGCTGGTAAAAATATTGAGTTTATAGAACTAATTTTTCAGTAAAAAATATTAAGTCCAACTCAGTCCGTGACTTATATTTGAAGCAGGGAAAAAAATAAATTTCCAAAAACATATTATGAATTTTTCTCAGTATTAATCTTGACTGATCTTGATCAATTGTTACGTCATTATTTTATAAAAATAAAAAATCACGGCGCTAATAAAACAGTTCCCAAATATCTTTTTCTACAATAAATATGTTTTCATTTGTATTAATATCTTCACATAACATACAAGACTTAATTTAACATAATATTATTTGCACAGACCAATATTATTAGCTTGTGATTATTTGAGTTGCGTATACGACGCAAAGTCAAATAGTTCATTATTTCATTATTTACGAGTGATACAAGCACCTGTCTTATTATATTTGTACGGGAAAAAACGAGCAATGAAATACTGTGTATTGTATAATAATCTGTGATATAAAAAGAAATGATTTGACAATATTGCTATACATATGACAAATTGAAATTCCTGTATTATTATTGAAGTTTAAACTACTTGTTAAAAATTATTTACTACCGTTTTATAATATAAGCAAATAATACGTATGAATATGTATTTAATTTTCAAAATAGGCGGCACAGTTTTGCATCCGAAAATAAGCAGAGAGCTTTGCAACGCGGACTGCTGTTCTGTTTTGTGTTCGCGAAATTCTAAATTGGCATCATGGGGTCCGTAACCTCGTTTGATGACATATCATCAGCACGTGCAGAACGCTATTTACTAGCACGTCAGTTTGACAACATTTTTCACTCTCGATTTGACCTGAAACGAAACTCACCCCGATAATTGGAGCGGGTTGTCGACGGGGTCAAAGTTGGTCGGAGCCGCGGTCAGCATCTTGTATCCTAGATGTATTGGCGAAACGTACGGTGGACCGAGGCGTGCCCCGCACTCGCTTGATCGCTGTGCTATCGATGACTAGAGGACCCTGCACGGGAGCAGTTTGCAACCCAGCGCTGCTGCAGCCTGCAACCGAGCGAGGGGCACCCAGCACCAGCGCGAAGGCAGGAGAACGTCCGCGAGCTGCGCAGTCGAATCCCGAATGGGCGCTTCGTGAAACTCCTCTCGCGCGCCAGCAGCATGCGATCTGCGCATCTCCTGCGCTGCACTTTTTTATATATTACGAAATTACGCCGCACTTTTACCGCAAATTAAATGCACTCGCATGGCAAGACTAATAACGCAGCATATTATCAAAAATAAATATTATATAAATTACATGTATGAATTATATATTTTTTATTTATTTTTAAATTTTCTCGGTATTTTTTGGAAAACATTTCATGAATTTTTTTCTTAGAAGGTAAATAAATAAACTGAGGGCAATCCAAACGCTTAACATAGCCTGTGCTAGTAAAACTTTCTTAGTACAGCTATATAATGACGCTGATTGTTTTTCTTCAAACCATTGGATTTAATTTCATGCTCTTGAGAGCATTTAAAAGAAGATGGAAATCATAAAAAAAAGAGCAAAATCCGAATGTTGTGGAAGAATTTTGCAATAGACAGGATTTGATTCAAAGTAAATTTAAATTTTTATTTGGCTTTTCCTCTATAAATTAATTGCTGCAGCCAAAATTTCTGAAAGAAAATTGTTCATTTAACTATAATAAAGGAAAAGTAAAACTTGAATTAAATTCAACTAACTCTAACAATTTAAATTTAACCCTGTCTAAATTAAATCCACTGCTGCTTTAATAAAAGAATTGCTCAGGCTAGGTCAGACTCTTGGAGTTCTTTTTTCACGTGATCCTTTTTAATTTCCTAATGTATTGTGTCACTTTATTTAAAATGTTCAATATAAAATTCATTTTTCACTTCTAATATTATTACGATTTTTACACTCCAGCGTATTTGACCTCGTCGAAGGCCTTTCTTGCCTTTTTCAGTTCCTCGTTCATTGTCAGCAAGTCCTTCACTCTGGCGTATTTTCTAGAATCCTTTCTCACCAAAAACACAATGTCCTCAACTTGAACGCGTCCTGTCCGGCCAATTTCCATTGCTTTGTGCGTCTATTTGAGAATTTTATAAATTCCAATAAAATTGAACGTCTTTTAATATATATTTTTTTATTTAGTTACCATTTCTGTAATATATTCTATAACCAAGTCTTCTAAGAGGTCGACACTTTCTGTGTAGGGATTCTGGTCGTCTCCAAACCCAAACATCATGCACCGAAGCTCCTTAGAGAAAAGTCTTTTCCTTCCACTCCCTGTCCCAATGGGCAGATCGTCACCCTCATCTTCAAACTGCTGAAAATTTGAGTATAGTAATTAAATCGAAAAATATGAATTATTTTCCACGTTTTTTAATAATAAATGTGATTTTTTAGAGAATAAAATCCTCCGAGATCAGAGCCGATATTAATATGATAAGCAGCCCCGCAGGATCTTCTGTTGTCTAATTGTAAGATTTAATTTATGTGCATAACAAAGCTCGTTATACCTGATCATCATCTACAGCGGCCATCACAGGTTAATTGGGGAATAGCTGAGAAAATACGGAAACTTCGACAATTGACAGTAATTATTCTTCTCGATTTGTTTATTTTGTTTTGTTTACGTTACGTACAAAGAAGATTGACGATTTGGTCGCAGCTCAAAGGCTCTCATTGGCCAGCTCCGGCGAACTTGCGCGGGAAAGATTTAAAACTTTTTAATAAATTAAGAATTATTATTATTGCTTGGCTTTATATCCTTGATACCGCTTTATACCTATGCAACCGCACTTATAATAAAAGAATTGAAATAATAATAACGTTTTAAAATTCTCAATTTAAATCTCTCTCTAAATTTGTGTAATGAAATAATTGAAAATGCATAGCCAGTGACTGAAATCTTTTACACACTCTCAAATCTATATTAAAACTGTTTAAAACAATTAAAAATAACGGTAAAAATAATTATTCACTAAAAAAACTAGATACAAAGTTGTTAAATGATAATGGTAAAATGGCTCAAAAGCATATTTTTTCACGGCCTGCAAAATTATTAACCTCACAAATAATAATATATCTTGGTAAAATTCTATTTTCACTAAGGATATTGTTCACAGCCCCTTATTTACATGTGTGTGACTATCTCTAAATGCTGCATTCACAACACATTTACATGACAAGGGCTCTTTTTGGCAAACTAATCACATATTGAAGAGTTTGCCATCATTGAAGGCAAGACTACAAGTCGGCATCGCCACAGCCAAGCCAGCTGCTTTCTTTCCTGCGCCATTTACGGTAAAGTCTTTGGGAAGCACTGGATGACTCTGCAAGTGAGGACAAGAAATTAAGCTCTAAATAAATATTAATTATTAATATACAAACCTGATGTTGTCCAATGAAATCTAAAAGTCGGAGTCCTAATATTCTACCACTCTCAGAAAGTGCGTCAAGGCTAGAAGTTTTATTTCATATTTTATTAAGTCAGATTTAAATATTTTTCAACATACCTTTCTGGGCGCCATAATCCACACTCCTGAATGGCAGTGAGGATGCTGTGGTTTGCTCCAGCATCAAAAAGAGGAACTCCAAAGCAGCAGTCCAGCAGGGTCCATTCCTCGGGCCGCTGCAATGCATCTTCAGCTGCTTCTCCGTCTCTCGAATCTTCGCCATGGATGCGAACTAATGTTATGTAGCCGCAGTTGTGCTTCAGATCAACCTCTTCGCTAACAGTCTTTACTGCTGGGTGCTCTTGCAGCTTGTTTTTGCCAGGGAATGGAACCAAAACAGTCTCTCTGCCAGCAGCCTAAATTTTATATTATTATTATAAGAAACTTTTTAATGCCAAAAGTAAAAAAAAAAATGGTGATATATTTTTATAAGGAAAAGGCTAAAAGCTAAAACGTACCTGCACCAAAACCGCAGAGTGGCATAGAGCTTCGTTTAGTGAAAATAGCGCTGCCGAGATGGGCAGAGGTGCAGGGTCATGACCCCACACAGTAATCAAAAGTCGGTCAGTGCGTCGAAGCCACGATGGAAGGCGTCTCAAGCGAGTCCCTCTAGAAAGAAGAAGTGATGGGGGTCCCTGTCCAGTCAGTCTATACAGGAAAAGTTTGAACCAGGCAGAGTTGACCTCAGGCAGTGCCGGGCCTAAATGCGGAGGACCGCAACTTGCAACTGGCCTGTAAAAAATAAATTCCAGTTTTTACATACATGTATGTTCAGGATTTTCAATTTTTGTTATATTGACCTAATTTCTCGACACAAAGGGGCCATTGACACAAGCAGGGCGTAGTTCTTGCTGAGAAGTCGGCCTCTGGTTAGGGGCTCTAGAGACTGAAGTGACTCGCAACGCACTAAGTCTAGGGCCAAACTGAGCGTCCCGAGGGCATTGTTGTGGCGAAGGGCGCGAACTGTGTGTCGCAAAACAAGAGCATGGTCAAAGTAGCGCTGTGCTTCCCCCTCTCCACCTGCCTCAACCCGCTCCAACTCGGCCAAAAGACTTGTCAGCGATTCGTCAGCCAATTTTCCAACCTGTGAAAATTATCATTTAAATAGCAATAAAATGACAAAATTATCTTACTTCAAACATGGTGACGGCGTGGCTTTTCAGCCCTGGCGACAGGTTTCCCATCATTAGAAATGCAGTCAGAGTGGAATCGAACAAAAATGCAATCCGCCGAGCCTTTGAGTGTGGCTCCAAAAGTCGATTCGTGACTTCTTCATCTGTCACAGAAGGTGATGAATCGGTGCAGGGAGTTGGGAGGCCGGGGTCAGTGATTGGCGTTGCTTCGAACCGCAGCAGCATTTCTGGTTCGGCCAAAAGTTCTTCCGTTCGAGGTCTTCCTTCACCCCGAGGGGAAGTTGCCAGCCAGGACGGATGCGGACGAGCGCCTTCACTGTCCTTCTTTTTGGCAAAGCCAAGACGACAGTAGAGCGAAACTGCTGTCCGGACACTGTCCACGTCAATTTGAAGGACATTTGCCAACTGCATATAAAAATTAAAATTTATAAATTTAAATTAATATAGAGAAAACTTGCCTCCCCAACAGAAGTATGCTCATCAATCGACACAAAAATTTTATAAAGGAGAGTCTCAAAGTAGTCACCCAAGACCCTGTTCATGACAAAACCTTCCAAAGGTGGCACCACGACATAATCTGCATCTTCTATTGGGACGTCAATGTAAATCAACCCTTTCCTGTGCACAGATTCAACATAAGGAACGGAAGATGCATATATTATAAAAAAATCTACTTGTAAAGCTTGTGAACCACTCTGAGGTCAAGGTCACCAGCTCGGAGTCCTTTCCCAGCCTGGTCCACAAGGCGGTCAACGATTTCCTTCTCGTCTGCGCCAATAGATCGTACATCGTCGTCAGTGACACAGCCAACGTGAGCGACCCACCAAGGTTCCAAAGGGACCCTGAGTGGACTCTGAGGAAGCAGCGAGCGAGGAGCTTTTCTGCGAAACAGGCGCCGACCACTACGACTTTCATTCATCAGGTCTATGTACTCATTGCGACCAATCCCAAGAAGACGAAGGCCTGGAATAATTAATATATTTTAATGACATGCAAGGTCTGTCTGGTTCAAAACTAACAGTCGGCAGCTGTGAAATTAGGAAGCGAATCGTAGCTCCGCTCTGCTTCCATTATGGACTCGAGCATGGCAAGATAGTACTGGAACGGGGTGACTCTCAACCCCTGCACAACCACATCACTCAGGTGATAGGGGTAGAGCAGCAGTTTGCTCTGACTGTATGACATGACCTCTTCATAATAACGCCTTTCTGCTGGCTGCACTTGGCGCACTGCAAAGTAGCACTGGCCGACTGGAGAAATGAACAAAATTAATTTATTTTGTTTGAAAGCAATATACAAATTATTAATATTTTATTTTACCTAGGTTTCCTCGATATCGAAGTTGATTCTTTATGCTGAAAGACACAACTGCTTTGTCGTATTCCTTTTGACTGTTTCCAACGCACTGAAAAATATATATTTAGATGTTGTATTAAAAATATACATATAAATCATGAAAAAAGATGACAAACTTGTTTGACAGAATTTGGGAGTTTGCTCCAGGGGTAATTGTGCCGAATGTGGAATTCAACTTCGCTGTCATTCATCGCGCCTCATCTGGTTTTGCAAGATCTCAAAAATTTTAAATCTGAATTTCAACCCAGAGTAAAGCAAAAAGCTAAATATGCAAGGTAAATATGTTTCTGCCGATACTTTGACAAATTTATTTTATTTTTCCCTTAACACAGCTGCTGGAGAATGGATGAAGTGGGGGACAATAATGACCAATGACCGGCGAAGGCAATGGCGAAGGTGACCGAAAGCCTGAGCGCGAAATTTAAATTTCATTTCCTTTTTGCTATTTACACCTATGGTGTTGATTTTAATTAATTCTTAAACTTTAATTGTATTTAATATTTGTTGCAACAATTATATTTTTAAAAGGCCTAAAATTATGATTGCATGAGACGCTGCAATTTTTAGCCTTAGACCCTGCTTAGACCTGCTAAAAGTTGTTTACAAATTGCACAATTGAAAGCGAAAGTCTTTGGGTCTTTCTTGGATGCGCCACGGCGCCGCGCGCAACGCGCCGCGGCGCATGCCGGAGCGGAGGCGGGGGGCGGACTTTTTGGTCCACTCGCGTTTTATCGATGCACGAATCCCGATAATTCAACATGCTAGCACCAAAACATAAAGCCGCTCTGCCCTTCAAATCTCATCTAGTTTGGTGCTGAACACGAGACTGGACGGCAGACCCGAGCAGCATGGACACGGACAGCCCTCGCACGTACATCGAGGGTGACAGGACGATGAAGGCGCGGCAGAACGGCATCGTCCAGCCGCTCCTCACAGGTCTGACCTCGACACTCGACCCCTTAACCTTGCACTTCTTGTTATCATATTTATGTATTAAAATTCTCCGAAATGCGTCGTGTTTTCCGAAAATTTTCACTGACGTTGGCTTCTGATCTGTTCACATTGAACAGGGAATTTCGGCAGATGTCATGACAAGTAATTTATCGCACTTTCTAAAAGCATCTTGACCAAAAAAGTTGCCAAATGTTTACAAAGATAAGGAAGAACGAATATTTTTAATCTTGGCCCTCTATTTTTGTAGACTAGCGACGAGAAAGTCCTGCCTTGAGAGCAGCAGGCAGGGCAGAAATAAAAATTTGGAATTAATCTCGTCCCAATTTCTTTTTTAACATACTTGCTTACAAATTTATTAATGCCTTTTTCTAAGAGTTTATTTTGGTTTAGAAAGAAACCTGGGTTAATTAATTTTTAATTAGATTAATAAAAAAATTACTGAAAAAATTATGCATAATATAGAAATATGTATTAAAAAATAAACTGCGTACACAAACTTTGGTTAAGTACCTCAATTTCGTGTTAACTCACTCGGCGCAACACTTTAGTCGTAGACTACTTTGGTCTAACAGGCCCAAATCAACGTTCAAGTATCATGTAATTGTGCCGCAATCGTACATCTTGATTATTTTTTATCTTGATTCCATTTTCCTAAATTTCGTGTACAATTTATAAACTTCAATTCTTTGGAAATAAATTTCGACCAATTTAAATTTGTTTTCAGACTTCACGCTGCTCACGAAATTTTGCCGTTTTGATAATTTTATTTTCATTGATATTATTTCAATATTTTATTTTTACTACAAGAAAAAAAAAAACAAAAAATGATTTTTTATTTTGACAATGGTTGTAACAATTAATTATCGCATAATCAATAGGATCTTACATCAGGATGATTCATTGTTTCGTCATCCGCAGATTTTTTTATTAAATAAACCGCCAAATAATTTAAGAGTATTACACATTCTCATTCTAAGGAGTTTGCAGAAATTAAATTCGCGTGACCGAAGGAATAATGTCATGTCTGAAAAGTTTTAAAACCACCATTACTACCATTAGACTTTTTTAGTATAAATCTGGCCTGATGCAAGGAAAGTTAGTTCTGCCGTTTTTAAATAAACAGAGACACCCATGTCATATAAGTAATTGCAGATAATTTGCTTTTTGTAAAATATTAAATATTTAGTTAACCTAATAAACTGAATACACAGTTAATAAAAATGAGTATTTTGCTATAATTTTTTCAGATCTTTACCAGATCACAATGGCCTATGCCTATTGGAAGGCCGAGAAAACAAGTGATCACGCCGTTTTCGACCTTTTCTTCAGGAAGAATCCCTTCCAGGGAGAATTCACCATTTTCGCAGGACTAGAGGAATGCTTGAAGTTTCTGCAAAATTTCCACTATTCCGACAGCGGTCAGTCAAATTCAACTTGGAATATATATTTATTTTCATTGTGGAAAATTAAATTTATTCTAGACATTGAGTACCTGCGAGCCACTCTTCCGAGCACAATTGAAAATGAGTTCTATCGTTTTCTGCGGAACTTGACAGCCAGCGACGTCGTGGTGTACGCAGTCGAGGAAGGTTCTGTAGTTTTCCCAAGGTGAAAACCGATTAAAACTCCTTCATGCACATAAAATTCAAATCCATAAAACAAATACAATTTTTCTTACAGGATCCCACTTCTGCGAGTGGAGGGGCCGCTGATTGTTGTGCAGTTGCTGGAAACAACGTTGCTCACTCTTGTGAATTACGCCAGGTGCTTAATTTGAATCAACCTCTCTGACCAACCTTGGATTATATGCATTCTTGAATTTTTTTCAACCTCGCAACTTATATTGTTCCAGTTTGATGGCAACAAATGCTGCTCGATACAGAATTGCTGCAGGCAACCACATGACCCTGCTTGAGTTTGGACTCCGCAGGGCCCAGGGACCGGACGGAGGACTTTCCGCTTCCAAATACGCCTATATTGGTGAGTCAAATTTTTACCACAGCATTTTTTTTTCAATTCATGTAAGCAAATTTCATTTTTGTAACTGATAAACCTTTTTTAGGACGCCTTCGTTTCATTTTCTAAGAACAATTTTACTTCACAAATCTTTGTTTTTAAATTAAATTTACTCTAATATTCCTACCGATTGGTTTAAATTTTTCTGACACCTAAAACCTATGGTACCGTAAAATGTTTCACCCTCCACTTTAAAGTGTCTTCGGTGAGAAAGTGGTTGCAAAATAACACGGAATTTTAATGACAGGGATGAAATAAAGGATGGAAAGCGAGGTAGAAAGTAGTTTGGGAATTTCGCAGCCAAGGGTTGAACAGCAAGTCACGATCGGTGGATGAGGTGTTTGGCCACCAGGCTGGCACCGGCTGGCACGAATCAATTCTGCGCCATGTACCACAAGACACCTTGTGTGAGGATGGCAGGGCGCCCTTGCAACCTATATTATTTGTGTGCCAGCCGCGTGTGTGGGCAACTTTCCACTTTTTGAGCTGTTGTCATGATTATTGGTTTCTGCACATGACACCGATGTCCGCGCACGGGCACAAGGTCAAATAAGAGTTTAACTTTGGATTTTTGTTATGACGAGCTGAACATTAAATTATATTGCATGCCCAATAAATGAAAAAAAAATCCGTGTCTGTGATGAAGCAGTTGGGAAAGTTTTGTCTTTTTTCTCTCTCGATATACATCAAACGCAATATATTATATGTAGATCATTTTTTTTACTTTATTTGGAAACTATTTTTTTATTTTGGTGCAAATTGAATTGCCTCATGTGCCGTGGGTTTCTTAAAGCAATAAATTGATCTCTCTTTGCAGGGGGTTTTGATGGCACGAGCAATGTTCTCGCCGGCAAGCTTTTCAACATTCCTGTCAAAGGCACTCACGCTCACTCTTACATAACTTCATTCACCGACTTTGCAGAGCTGAAGACAACAGTAAGTTTCACTTTCAATAGTTTATTTACTTTCTTATTCAATACATCAAATTATTTTTGGCACAAAAAAAATTATGATCATATTTTTTATACAGTTTTGTGAGTAAAAATGGCTTATCTTTTTAATAGATAAAAATAAATTATGAGTCGCATATTTTTCATCTGCGGAAATATTTTAGTTGAGAAACAAAATATAGAAGGGAATAGTTTCAGAGGAGCTTCAATTTTAATCTGACCTTTGGATGATTCAAAAGTATGAAATGATGATCTGTTTTCATAAGCGCGGTTCTCATTTTTAACCAGAGACTGAAGCATGCAGTGACAGGAGAGGAGGCAGATTTGGTGACACTGAGCCGAGATTTCCGGGCGCAGCTGTCTCAACTTTTGCTGAATACTGATCCAAACGAGGCATCTGATGGCGAGCTTGCTGCTATGATTTCATTTGCTATTGCCTTCCCTCAGGGCTTTATGGCTCTTGTGGACACGTACGATGTTCTGAGGTACCTCCTTGCGCCCCCACCCTTGTGCGTACGCTCGGGTTTATGTGTGTGTGCTTGTATGCTTTTTTGGTTTTTGGGGCCTTTCATAAAATATACCTTTTTTATTGGTGAATTAACAATTCCAATCATAAGATTTTGAACTTGGATTAAATAGAAAATTGCGACAATTAATATAATTTTGATTAACGTTGGGGCCTGATTTACTTTAAAAGCTTTTTGTATAGAAAGCTAAATGTTTATTTGGTATTATTGTGTTTGAGACTTAATATGTCTGCATGAGTTTTTCTCCAAACTTGTATAATTTTAATAATCATAATTTCAAAAATTTTAAAGTTTTATAAGTCTATATAAATTTTAAATCTGCATACAAAGATCTTAATTGACTTATGTCTACAAAAAGAAAGGAATGAAATCTCTTTATTTACGCATGCACTATACACTATCTCATATTTTTATCACATTTACAAATATTTTGCTATTTTTTGCTTCCGGTGCTGTATGTGCTGCTCTCAGTTTTTGCTTGGTGTGATGTGTGAGACTTTTCTTCTAACACGACGGCGAGAAACGTCATTCACTGAATGTTTATCCCGCATGGCTTGACCACATTGTGTTTTTAATAGTGTTGGTTGTTATTAGCTTCCGCTCTCGATACTTCCAAAACAAATTGCATATCAGTGTTTTTTCATCTGCAGAAGTGGCCTTCTCAACTTCTGTGCAGTCGCGCTGTCGCTGAACACTCTTGGCTACAAGGCTCATGGCATCCGCATCGACAGCGGTGATCTGGCGTACCTCAGCTGCAGAGCAAGGGAAACCTTTGTCAAAGTTGCACAACAGTAAATATTTAATTTCTATAAATGATGAATTTATTTACATTTGTATATCGATATAGGTACAACTTGCCTTGGTTTGCAAACATGACCATCGTTGCGTCAAATGACATAAATGAGGACACCATCCTTAGTCTCAATGAGCAAGGTCACAAGATTGACTGCTTCGGAATTGGAACGCACCTTGGTATGAAAAAAATTGTGAATAAATTTGTATAATCTTCCCTAACAAAGAACACTTGTTAAATCTTGAGTGATTTAATATTGAACAAAATTGATAACTCTTATAATTTTCAGTTACCTGCCAAAGACAACCTGCTCTTGGATGCGTCTATAAAATGGTTGAGATCAACGACCTGCCCAAAATCAAACTCAGCCAGGATGTTGGAAAGGTTACTATGCCTGGCAGGAAAAATGTTTACAGGCTCTATGGTGCTGATGGTAAGCGTTTTTTAAATTTTGCTAAAGAACCCACTTGAAATGTTTTTTTCCTGATACAGGACATGCACTGATTGACCTCCTCACACGTTCCACCGAGCCTGAACCTCAGGTTGGTGAGAAGGTTCTATGTCGTCATCCATTTCAGGAGTCTAAGCGAGCGTATGTCATTCCGACCAGAGTTGAACCACTCTACAAGGTTTGTTTTGGATGATTAGAATTTAGAATAATTGAATTATTAATTATTTGTTCACCAGGTCTATTGGAAAAATGGGAGATTGACTGATCCTCTGCCTGACTTGAAGCAGGTCAGACAACGAGTGCAAGAGTCGCTGAAAACCCTCAGGCAGGATCATAAGAGAAATCTGAATCCAACTCCTTACAAGGTAATGCCAAGATTTTGAGTTCCTCAAAATGAATGCTATAATTCAAGAACCCCCAGGTTTCTGTGAGTGGAGGACTTTACAGCTTCATGCATGATCTCTGGCTTCAAAATGCACCCATTGGAGAGCTCTCCTGATAATCATTCCCAGCGAGCGTCAACAACAGCAAACGCCACATGGGTTATTACAACTATATGGTAGTAAAATGGGCAGATATTTTTAACTTGGTTAAGAAAATTTTGGTACAATATTTGCATGAAATGCATAAATCGATTATTTTCGTGTGATTCACAGTTTTAACTAGTTAAATTTTTGGTAAATCGAGTCCTTAAAAGTAAGAGGCAAATATTCTTTCCCTTTCAAAATATTTACGCAGTTGGAATGAAATATTCTAAAATTATCAATCTTGCGAGCTCATTAAACACTTTTGAGTATTGGGTTTTTGTCAGATTGATAATATAGAAACAAAGTTATCGTTTGACATAATCAGTGGGATAATACATAACTCCTGGAATAGGCAATAATAATAAGTGGGAAATTTTTAGTTTACATGTTAAGTGTGTTAAAGGAATTTCTGTTAAGGTTTTTGGGTCACAATAATCTTGTATGACAAATATGTCGCTCTCTTTTCGGCAGAAAATTTTCAAATTTATGGAGCTTAATTTATGCACAAGATTTTTGAATTGGAAATGCATTCCTCAAATCAGAGCTATTATGTGAAATCCTTAAGACAAAGTCCTAGTCCTAAAGCTGCAAGAATATTTTAAATTGTAATTAAGTATTGAAACTGGAAACTTTATAATTATGCGCTTCTTTTTTATAACGTCACAGAATATTTAATTATCTTTGCTGACAAGTAAATACCCTTTAAAAATGACTTAATCGCACACACAAGTTCCGCCATTTATTAATGATCAATCAATAACTGTGAGTGCAGGAGAAGCATATGAGGCTCGATTTGTGTCTGTTGTAGTGTCACGCAAATTGCTTTGAATTGTGCGCCGATCTAACCAAAGGCTTGTCAGTAAAGATAAAAAGTCTACTTAACATTTGGTTGCCTCTCTCTTGTGCCCATTGACAAATAAAAGTTTTGAGGTATGAATTCTGTGTGTAAAAGTAGCATCAGAAGCGGCAAGATAATTAAATTAAATGTTCCCCTTTTTGAGTGGGTATGTGAAATTTCACGGTGCGCATAATAATTGAAATCTATCATTTTGAATATTATTATTTTTTGAGAATACATTGCAAAAGTGAAACTTTTTAGTCAATGTGCACTCTTCTGTAAACACAATTCCTTGAGAAAACGGATTGACCGAGCTTGACATTAGAAATTTTGTCTCAGAGCGAATAACAGAATTGCATTTTATTTAAGTGATTGAAATATTTCCTGTTTGTGTGCACTGTGAGTGTTCAGAATTTATGTAATATTTGAGCCATATGAGCTAAGCATCTTGCATGTGCGCAGTGCGCGCATGATCATTGTCAAGTACAATATAATTATGTCCCATAGAGCTCTCTAAAACATTTTGTTGGTTTTTTGTGTCCTACGTACTCCATGGGCGTAGTTCATATTTTAGCAGCAAAAATTTTTTAAAGTGCCTATGTACTTAGAGACAGAGATTTTATATTAGTCAATAATTAAATAGCCATAATTATTAGCGATAAAAATAATTGTAAAATGCTGTGGAAATATTTAACAAAAGGCGTGAAGTATAAACAAAATTATAGATGGGAAATTCTTAATACGGTGCTTATTTTTTTTTTTAATTGGTAGCGCCTCATTGTATAAGAAGGATTTTACTGTTACTTGATTTACTCTACGTCCACAAAGGTGTGCTATATTCTAAAAATATTAAAGAGAATTGAAATTTAAACGAGACACCACAAAATTGTTGGTCTACTTGTGCCCTGTATAATGATGCAAAAATCAAATTCTGATTTTGTGAACTTGATGTTTTTGTGACCCCTATTAATTGAGTGAGAGTAACATTTGTGCGGTCTATAGTCACTTACAATGAGTTTTGGAGATTGTTCTCTAAATTAGAGGCAGATTTGGCGCACACAAAATTGGAATGAGCATTTATAGCCAAATCTCTAGACTTCCTTCCAGCATTTGGCTTGTTGTACCTTGGATATCAAGCAATGCTTAAATATATATCCTGTGTTAATAGGGCGATTAAAATAAAAATCCAGTTGGATATGAAAGAGTTGGTTTATTTTCCTTACTTAAATATGATGCTCCATAAAACAAAAAATTGCTTTGCAGCCAAGGAGTATAAAGAACATTGCAAAATACATGATATAAAGAAAGTTTCTTAACATTAGAACTCCATTATACACAAGCCACCACATATATTACATTTTTGGTTTGGAAAATAATGATAATTGCAAAGAAACTTTAGCAGAATCAACTTTTCGATTGGCTAGTTCACATCAAAACAACTGCTCAGCATTTCTAAAAAGAAATTTGCCCAGATATTTTCCTTTCTTACATGCAGCGCAATGTGCCAATAACATTGTCCATTAAATTAAGTCAAATAAACATAGCAGTTTCCAAATTAATGAAGTGATGACTTTTTTCTTAAATTTATTCCTTCAACAAGCAAAAGGCTGCGTGTCCTGCATTATTTAACATTGAATATGTAACTACCATTTTTGCATGCTTGTGAAAGTAATGCCTTGATAAAAAGAAGTGATTCGAAGGAGAGCTTGATATATTAATGAATCTCAATAACTTTATTGATTACGCAGGCGATGCCATATTAATTTACTTGGGGGAGTTTGAGGGTCCAAACATCTAACAATAAGAAAGTGATCAATGCGTAGTTTTTCACCAAAAACAGAAAAATCATGTCTGTTTGAGAGAAAACGACAACTTTGGTCGACTATTGTTCTTGCCTAGAATTTTGCGCTGCTCTTCTCTGATTCGCCGTTCCTGCTCTCGTTCCAAGCACCGGCGCTCCTCGTCCATGAGACGTTGCTGCTCAACCATGGCCAGTCGCTCTTCGGCCAATTTCTTCTGCGCCTCTTCGATTTTGCGATTGTTCTCAGCCATTATGGCTTCGAGCTCTATTCGCTTTCTTTGCTCCTCTTCTTCACGATGCTTTTCTCTCTCGAGCTGCTCTTGCCGTCGCCTCTCTAGCTCGGCCATGAGTTCAGCTTCCATCTTTTTGCTTGCCTCTTCTACTCGTCTCCGCACCTCAGCCTCAATCTCATCCTGGATTCAAAATAATTATCATGTATTTATCATAAATGTAATTACTGAAAAGAAAAATCAGCGATTTAATTCTTCAGTAATTAAAAAAAAAAAAAAATTAATAAAATTTACAGTTAAATAAAAGATATTGATTTTTTTGGGAAACGACGAAAAGTCGTCATTATACCTTTCGTCTTTCGAGCTCTTCTTGGACACGCTGTTGGACAAGTGCCTCTATGCGTGCCGCGCTTTCTTCTTCGACCATTCGCGCCTCGATTTCCCTCTGTCGTCTTTGGCGCTCCATTTCTGCTAGTCGCTCAACTTCGTTCATTTTGCGCCTGTATTCGACTCCGCCAGTGACTGAGGAAGAGCTACTGGACGAAGACGTCGAAGCCGATCTCCTCTTTCTGCTGAAAAATTTGAGAATTGAGCACACTGCAATAAAATCTAATCCATGCCTTTTTACCTTCGCTTGTGTTTGTGTCTTTCTCGACTTTTTGACCGCTTTCTTGAATGTTTTGTTTTGTGATGTCTGCGTGGAGATCTGCTCTTGCTTCTTGAGCGGCCCATTTTTTGGCGGAGGGCCCAATGAACTATTAAAATACTAATAAATTAACTGTGTCGTGCACTCAAGCGGCCTGTCCCTCAAAAGAAAACAACATTCAACATCTGATGATTTCGATTGCAAAGGATCCGCCCAGTCTCCATGATTATTTAATTACAACTTGCTATTTGCACATTTATGTGAAAATAGCAAGTTGTAACTGGAATGGGGGGAATTAAAGTGTTTTATTTTCTTAACCCTCCTCGTGCGCTGCTCATGCGAATTTAATTACTTTTAACTATTACTTAAAATAATTACAATATTAAATTTAGTATAGATAATAAAGTGCTTGAAAAATGTCTTGAATGTGTGTAAAAACTGTAAAACACGATGAGAAATTTTCTCAATTTTAAATTTCGCGGTTTTAATTGATGAGCCAATGTGTGGCATGTGTGCAGTAGGCGAAAAATGCGCTCAAACTTGCGTTCAAAACTTCTTGCCTTCTTGCGCTCACTAGTTTTTTTACAAAGTCGTCAAAGTAAACAAATGCCGTTCCCTCACAGAAATTACAATTAGAAACTATTTTAAAATTGAAAGCTGTCCATACCATGAGACTTTTACTGAGACGTTTATTCTTGTAAATCAAAACAGGAGGAATTTAAAATTTAATCGCGAGACCAGGGAAGGAATGTCGCAGTTTCTTTAGAATAGATATGATGTTTGGGGAAAAAGCATTTGAACTTGTTCGAGAACTTCATGCAAGCGGAGCAGATACTCTGCCCTTGTACAATGTAAGTTCATTTTTCCGATTTTCTTAACATTGCATTTGACTGCTTCGCTTTTTATTCCAGGGAGAAGTCGTCCGGCAGGTTTTGGACGAAATGAAAGTTCTCTATGAACGAAACCAACGAGATGTGTAAGATGCAAAGTGATAATGAATTAAAAAAGGTAATTTTAAACTTTTTTCCAGGAATTCGTCAATGAATGAGGACTCTGGATATTTGGCCACAGTTCACTTAAGACATGCAGCCCTCGAAAGGAACAAGCGATGCCTGTTAGCTTATCTTGTTAATAGACTAAATAGAATCAGGGACCTGCGTTGGGACTTTGGCAGTGTCCTTCCAAAAGAAGTTGCTGAAAGTTTATGTGATCAGGTATACAAATTTTTTATAATAATTTTTTAAAACATTATTTACAAAAAAAAATAAAATAACCAAATTTTTTAATACAAATTTGTTCCCTTTTTGAAGTATGAATTGTTAAAAGTCTTGCGAATTCAATTATATAGAATAATTGAATTGAATGTTTGATTTTTTTTACATTTAAGCCATTTAAAAAATTCAATCTTTTAAATTTTTCAGGAAGCACATTGGCTGAACAACTACAACAAGCACTTGGCTACTTACATGAGAGGTCTGGACGGAATAGATTTGACTCAAGAACATCGACCTCCAAAAACATTGTGCCTTCAAGTTCGTTGCCTCCAAGATTATGGGTTACTTGAACTAGAGGATGGAGAACAAGTGCTACTGAAAAAAGACACCACTCATCTTTTGCCACGTTCAGAGTGTCTTCTCCTAATCCGACAAGGAGTTCTTGAACATATCACTCACTAAATATTGCATTTCAGGGGCATTTCTTCCTGTTGCAATCTATGTGTGTACAACTTTTCTCGTTAAGTCTTTTTTTTAATTGCAATTATAATGTTACTATCAATCTACAAGGAAATATTTAAATGTGGCTCAATTTGAAAAAAAAACTAAAATTATGTATTTTGAATTTTTTAGAGTTGAAATATATTTTTGGAAGAAATGAGAGAAAAAAAAATCTTAACTAATTTTGATAAAATTCTAATTCAAAACTACAGAGATTAAAAATTTTGTAGTAGAAGTTCACAATCAAGTGTTGATTCATGGTGATTTGAATTTAAAGTCGGCTTTTCCTCGATGGGTTTATGCGAGTTGTTTATTGTATAAGAAAAAAAATTGTTTTTTTTCTGAAACAATAAATAACTTACAAAAACCCATCGAGGAAAAGCTGACTTCAAATTCAAATCAGAAAACACCAGAGATTAAAAAGTTGCTATGTTGATAATTTATTATTATTTGGGATATACTAACATTTTTTAAATTGGGATATTTTTCTTAATGTAATCAAAATAAAATATAGCTACAAAATATGATATTATCCAATATTAAATTTACGCTTAGCAATTCGACTAACCAATCTGGCCGCAGGTCCTTGGCACTGAATCTAAATATATTTTTAAATTTAGCGGGCACCCTTTGCATAAAACATGGCTGCCTAGTTGATCTTTCGCACAATGTTAGTTAAATTCGATTTTCCAGCTGTTTTCATTCTTGTTTTCTATCTTGTTGGTTTTCTAGTGATACCTTCAATTACGAGACAGGCCATAGGTAAAATAATACGGAATTTTGCCAAATTTTCTCCTCTAAATTCCTAATAATTAGCATGTCTCTCGTCCGGACGACGGCGCTCCTGCGCAACGCTCTTCGGGCAAATTCCTCGCAGCCCAAACGAGCCATGAGCGGAGGACCATGGAATTACCGAATGCTGCAGCATCCACCTTCTAAGTTCTACATGACTTGGGCTACCGCAATCGGTGCTTTTACCTGGTGGTGGATTTTATGGGGAGTCCTTTCCGAGCCTGAACACCTTCTCGGCGAGTTTCCTTACCCAGACCCCTCCACTTGGACAGACCAAGAGCTTGGAATCCCCTCTGACGATGAGTAGAGTAGATGTCTGTATTTCTAGCCCTTGCTGCATTGTAAATATGAAATAATGTTGTTTAGTACATAAAATAAATGAAAATTGCTGTTATAAAAATTAATTTAGCTGCAAATTTTGATATTAAAATCTCCTTTCCTTCTGTGAACACGGTTATTTACTATGAAAAGATTGTTTTTCTTTAAGAATAAATAATTTTTTGCTTCTTAATACCGCTTGAAACTTTTAAATTTCATTTTATCAGTTACAGTCATCAATCCATGAAAGGCCAATTAAGGGCGTAAAATAAAATCCTTTGAAAAATAATAGCTTTATCATCTATTTTGATATATAATATTATTTTTAAATATTAAATTATTTTTAGCTTTTTTTTTGAGAATCAAAAAAGCTCAAAAAGTTGGTAAAATTTTGAAATTTACGGTCAAATCGATTTGTTCTTGTGGCGCAGATGATTTGACCTTTGCATTTTTTACAGCCTCAATTTCATCTAAAAAAAATTCTAGCCAACAAAAATTTAAGATTCCGATAATTATTCATGCTCTAATTAAATAAATTGAAATAATTCTGAATTAATAATCAAACACAAAATACAAACAAGTGTGACTATCTGCTCGGTTATTTTCTTCGAGCTGTCCCTTATAATAAAATGGATTCCCCCCCCCCCCCCGATGCTTTAATAATTCAAACCCACCTGAACATAAAACAAGAAATTGTAAAAAATTCTTTTATAATAACTCTTCTATCTTTTTTTTTTAGGGTCAGGCCAGGGTCAGGCCAAGACAAAGTCTTGTCGGCCTGTGCCCTTTATTAGGGGTGCAGAAGGCACCACCGCAATTTATTTTTTTAAATTATTTTTGGGTTCCTCTGGAGAGCCGAACTTTGAAACGGAACAAAATTACATCAGCATTATAATGTTATAAATAGTAATGATATTTAAAGATATTATTTTTCCAGGGGGCAAAAATATTTGGCTCGCGTTGATCTTATTTGCAATGATTTTCACTTTAATCGTTGCAGCTACCGGTACTATAATTTTCATCATAAAAAAAGGAAGACGACTGTATAAATACATATAAATAGTAATATTTATTGAAAACTAAAAAAGATTTTCTTCATTGAAAATTTTGAAATGGAAGTTAAAATAAAGTATAAACAAATACAATTATTTTTTCCACATTTGCTTATATTTTCAATTCCTTATAGGATTAGTATATTTTGGTGCATCCCAACGCACTTGGATGCATTGTGTGCCATCAACATTATAACACACAGATAGGCAGAGAGCAAGTTGCACTCGTGAGCGCATGCACTCAGAAAATCGCGTAAAATTGATTTTTATTCAACAATTAACGTCTTTGAAAAATTGATTTTTTTTCTAGGAAATGTTGAATTTCTGGAAAATCTGCATTACATATTTCAAATTGGCTGACCCTCTGATTTAACTGCTTTTAATTTCATTCAGAACACCAAGCAAGAGTGCAAAATTAAAAAAAAAAAACTTAGGAGTCGCCCACGAGTGCTTTAGTGTGGGTGAAAAATACATGTGCGTACCTCTCAATGCATATAATGATTCACTTAATCGTTAATACTTTAAATAATACATTAATCAGTTTTGAGTGTTAATGACAAGGCAGACAGAAAGTATTTGGAAATTAATTATTCCTTCTTTCCCCAGTTGAGGTAATCTGGCCCAGCAGCTGCTCTGTACTCGTCAACAAGCTCCTGCACAACATTCCTAGAGCTATCCAGCTCGTCCAAATTGTCCTCAAACATTTGCTCTTTTCGGAATTGTTCTAAGAAAGCTTCCCTCTTCCTCAATTTGTCGTACTGCAGCATGGCACGCTCAAACAACTAGAATAAATAAAACATTGATTTGCAACCAAAATAATATGGTAATAAAAAATTACTGAAGATATGTTTGTGTGGTTGGCCAACATCAAACCGGAGACTCTGTGTGTGCTGGGCAGATAGGGCGATCTCCTTGAACAGGCCACTTGAAGGGTTGCTGGGCCCCAGGGAATGAATGAAACCATTTTCCTCTCTCTGATACGCTGTCGGCTTTTGTGCACTTGTGTCGGGTCGACCTCACCCTTGATTTTGAATCATAAAATGCAACATAGACGAAATAACCTTGACAGTACCTGGATAATATTCAATATAGAGATGTACTTGTGGAAATTATTTCTGTCCGGCGCTGTTGAGACCATCATGTTCTTTGTCTGCAAAAGTCGTCGCATCACATCAAGTACCGACGTTTTGCGGACAGAAGTTTCCTGAGGATGATTGAAATTTTAATTCCATGTGTGAGAAATATATTAAAACTTGAACCTCATGATCTGAGGTGAGTGGAGTGTATCCAGTCATGAGGAAGTGCAGTCTGGGGGTTGGAATGAGAGGCGCAATCAGGCCGATCATGTCGTTGTTCATGAAGGACGGGTAGCGCAGAGTGGCGGTGCTCACGGACATAATTGTGGACACCAGTTTGTTGATTTGGGAGAAGGAAGGGTTTTGAATGTGCAGTCGGTCCGCGGCAATTCTGTTGAGTGCAGTGTTGTCCAACACGACCACACAGTCGGCGTCCAGGGTGAGTCTCTTCAGAGTAAGGATAGAGTTGTAAGGCTGGACAACGACGTCGCTCGACGTTTTATCGTCCAGGTTGGGGAAGACGCTGTACGTTTGGATGAACTTCTTTGGGAAGTGGTCAGTCAGTTTCTCGAGAATGCAAGAGCCCATACCAGAACCTGTGCCACCGGCAATGGAGTGGCAAAGGAAAAATCCCTGAAAATGAAGTTTAATTCAAATGAGACCTTTAAAAAATTCTTTCAACCAACCTCAAGACTGTCACTTCCGTCTGCTTCCCTATCGATGATGTCGAAAATCTCCTCTTGCAATCTTTCACCCTGGTGAAAACCTGTGGCCCAGTTGTTTCCAGCACCTCCTCCTTGGGCACTGACGTAGATATTTTCTGGGTTGTAGAGCTGAAATTTTATTTTGTAAATTATATTATATTAAATTTTTATGGAATTATTTTCACCTTGGCATATTCTGAATTTTTAATTGTGTTAATGACTCGAGGCTCCAAGTCGAGCAGGACAGCTCGGGGAATGTAGTGTTCATCGTCAGCCTGATTGTGAGAGCAAATTAATAAATAATTATTTTTCCCCAACTACATCATTGTTTTGGATTTACCTGATAGAAAAACACATCTTTGCGATCATGTCCTTCCGTGGCAAAATTTTCTAGCAATCCCTGAGGGCTGATTCCATGCTCAAGACAGAGCTGTTTCCAAAATTCAAAGCCAACTGTTTTGAAGATTTTATTTTTATTAGAAAATGTTTTGTGAATGCTTGCTTGTTTTAATACCTTGGTTGCCGCATTGGCCGAGCTGCAGTGTAATCATTTCACACGGCATCTTGAGATTTTTTAGTTGAAATTTAAAAAAAAAAAGAGAGAGAGATTGGAAGAGACAATTAAATAATTGAAGGTTAAAGATGAAATTCTCGTCTCTCAGTCTTCAGTGTTTTTCTTGCTGCAAATTTGTCGTAAGAAAATTTAAATTGTCAGCCATAAAAGAAAAAAAAGTCGTGTTTACGTTCTGCAGTTTCCTATTGCGGCTTATTTTTCACTCTAAAACGCTTTAAAGTCGGAGTCTCGTAACTTTGTTTGGCCGCAGAGCTGATCGATGGAAATTTCCCTCCAACTCCGCCCCACCCATTTGTTTACACCGGCAGCCAATGGAGAGGCCGGATTAAGCCGGATTTGAAGGGCGCCAAACTGACGCGTAGTTGGAAAGTTGACCCCGTGGATAGTACGGTGTGCTAGCGTGCGCCAGTATAGGAGAAGGAAACCAAAGAGGAGACACGAAGGTGCGAAAGGTAGTTAGATCCGTGAAGGAATTGCTCACGCTCTGAATCTCATTCAAAAGAGAAGATCCTCTTTCGCTATAATTCACTCCAATGTTCGTGCAGGTATTAAATTACTTTTTTAATTTTATTCATTTTTTTATATATTCTCTTGTTAACATTCTTTCTGCCTTATGAAAAAAATAACTTCTTTCCTTGTAGTAATTAATTTTCGCCTAATACGGAAATAAGATGTGCTAAACTTTTGTGCGCATTTTTCTCATTTATAGTTAAAATGGCCTTCGCAAGGTACGTGGTGTTTTTGAGCTTAGCAACGGCGGTCGTCGCGGTGAGTTTTCCGAGCCTGGGCACCAACCACGGCGACCTTTGTCAGCTACCGGATGGAGCAGCCGCCAAGTGCACTCTAATCACGGACTGCCCCACTGGACTGAAGGCCCTCAAGAGCCGCCAACCACTGCCCGCGAGATGCGGTTTTAAGGGACGCGTAGAGATAGTTTGTTGTCCTGACCTTCGAATAACCTCAAAAAAACCTGTTATTTCCTCCACTACCTCCGGGCATAACACCATCAAGCGATCTCCAATCAAAGTGGGCGCTAAATCTGCGGAAGCGTGTCAGAAATACACGAAAACCGCTTTTCCACGAATCGCGGTCTTCATAACTCACGGAGAAGAAGCAGGCGTCGGAGAATTCCCGCACATGGTCCTGCTTGGCTATAATTACAAATCCAACTCGCTGAACTCCGGGCCCACCCTGACGAAGGGTCAGAACGCGAGCTGGCTGTGTTGCGGTTCTTTGATAAGTGAGCGATTTGTCCTGACTGCGGCGCATTGCATTGAAAAAGAGGTCCCGATTGTTGTGCGCCTCGGCGACTTGGACTGGAACTCGGACGACGATGGAGCCCGGCCAAAAGAATTTGGGGTCTCAAAAGTTCATCTGCACCCCAAGTTCGATAGCTGGCCAAAATTGAGGCATGATATTGGCCTGGTGGAGCTTAAGACGGCCGTGCCCTTCAATTGGCTAATGCAGCCCGCCTGCCTGCCGAGCCCGGAAGAAACCCTGGAAGGGTCAAATCAGGACTTGATTGTAACAGGCTGGGGGGACACGGAGTTTGCAGCACTTGCGGCAACGTCCATGCTAATGAAGGCCAAACTTAAGCCAGTACCTTTCAGGATATGCAACGAAACCTTTGCAAAGAGTTTGGAGGGAGGAATTAAAGCCGAAGGCCAAATGTGCGCCTTCGACCCGAAAGGGTTGTCGGATGCTTGTCGGGGAGACTCGGGAGGGCCCCTGCAGCTTAAGATGAGGAACTCTCAGCTCTTCAAAGTGGTCGGGGTGACGAGTGGCGGGCGCGGGTGCGGAGGGCGTCCTGGACTGTATACAAGAGTGTCCGGTTATATCGAGTGGATCGAGAGCATCGTTTGGCCAACAAAATAATTAACTCGTCCGAAATATGGGTCTATGAACAAGTATCAACAATAAATTATTTTCTTATACAGACTTGGTTTTTTTTTACTCTCGATTGCATGAATATGCTCAAAATAAAATTACATAACAACTAATCTCACAAGACTATATGAATGTAGGCATGATGGGTTTGCTACATCTCTGAAGGGAACATGAGACACTTATGAGATTGAGTTTTGCTTTTGACAGTTCAGTGGGAGTTTGTTAGTTAACAAGCACATAAGCCATGTGGGTATTACAGAGACTTAAAAACAGCATCAGTAGGAAGATTTACAATAAATAGGGGAGTTTACAAAGTAAAATTAATGGTAACAGTACACGTGTTGAAAACTGGCACAATAAATTAATAGTAAAATCAACATTAAATATCACACCACGCTCTATTTCTTTTGCCATTTAGAATATTTTTCTTTGATTATTTTTCATTTTTGTGGATTCCCGACTGATATGGTGTTGCGATTTGCAGATTATCAGCAGTTGTATTATTAATTAAATTTGCAAGTGCTGAAGGCACGCCTGGATTAGTGTGTCGTTATTTATTGGTACATTTTTGTGTTCATATTAATGTGTTTGACTAGGTGTTGGACACATGCTAAGTTTTGTGCACGAAAAGCCCAAAATTTACGCAAGCAGTATTTTAAAGCTCTTCACTTCGAATTCAATAAATTGTCCAGCTGGATGATTGGTGGCTAGTTATTAAAATATAGAGCGATCGCTTCTTTCAAGTTACAATGTAAAACCTAGTTAATAAGTCGCAATATTGGCTACACTGTTGTATGGAATGCGTTGGAGTAAATTTAATACAACGTCCTTCTCAAATCCACAAGTTGCACAACAAATTGCACAGGGGACAATGGCTGGTTGTTGAGAAATTTGCATCGGCTATGGCAAAAACTCGACATAATTTTCAGGGACCAGTCCAGTCTTCCCGTTGAGAGTTCCTTCCAACCAACCAGGCTCCAGCGAACCTCGAACTATACAAGAGGAGTTAAAACAGAATCAAGTTTGCTCTTGGTAGATTACTCACCATTAGTAATAATTTGATTTGGTTCAAATGAAAGTTCACCATCGTTTTCTCCTACACAGGCGTACAATGTTCGGACTCGTCTGTAAGATTAAATATTGAGGGTAAATCCAAGAAAATTGATAATTTAATTTAAAAATAATAATCTAAAAAAACATTCACTTAAAAATGCAAACCAAATTATTTGTTACGAAGCAAAGAAATGTCAGTATCTGTGTTTAAAATCAATACCCTAATGAACATAACAAAAGAATTAATGCCAAAGTACAAAAAGGAAACAATTTATCAGTCAGTCTATCAAACACAAAAAGCAAACATGCTCGCTACACTGATCTAGGCAGCTTTTTCGAGGTGTCCCTCACCTCACGTTATTCACACTTGATGGACTAGCAGCCCGCGTACCACCTGGAGAGACCTTTGGGTGCCTACAAAAATTATTAAAGAAATCCCTGTTCCAACACCAGAAAAAGAGTGTTACAATTATGAGATTAGATTTCAGAGAGCAATATATTTACAAAAGGAATTAGTCAGAGTAAGTTGAGGAAATCCAATGAAAATACAAAATAAAAACTGCAAGACATTAGAGAGACGTCCATTGCGATACTTACATGTTATTTAATGGCTTGTACTGGGTCACATAATGGGTGTTCAGTCTTGTTCCTGATGCTGCAGCAGTAACAATCGCACAATGAGTGAAGTGCAAGAGATTTTCAAGCAGAAAATATTGGAGTTTTAAATGGGGGCAACAGTTAGTTGAACTAATTATTGATGTACAACTAGGATCAATTAATGCAAAACCCCACACTTGAAATCTATTATAAAAGTGGCAGAAGCAATAAGCAACTGTAAAAGCAAATCCTAAATTCTCCATTAAAAAAAGATTAGTACCTCTTCCTTTCGCAGGCATGACAGTGTCAAATTGATCTCTGGACGACACAGACGACATCGACTCGCTGGAACTGCTGGTGTTATTCAAACCAGCATGCTCAATTTTTCCGTCATCTCCTATAAAACAAACACACAAAGCTGACAAAAACACAGAGACACGTAGAGGAAAAACATTTCAAATAAACCACAGGTAATTGAGGCACCAACGGAGAAAAACCCAAAGCACGAAAAGCTGCTGCTCGACTCGGCAGGAAGAGAGCAACTTGCGCCACTTACTTTGAGTCCTCCACAACCCTGGCACCTTTTTCCAAGTGGCTCAGCAGATCCTCAGTGGATATTTTACCAGTCTGTCCGTAGATGCTGTTCTTCTTCTTGAGGGGCAGTGTGTTGACTGGTGGGTGGTGCAGAGGGGGACTGTTGCTTGGCGGACTCTGGGACATGGTCAGCAGATTGCTTTCAGAAGCAGCGTTGGCTGTCGTGCTCCGCAGACTGACGCCGGAATCAACTCTCATTGGAATGTTTTGACCGGCTATGAAGCCAGCGCTCTGATGCACATTGTGAAGGCTGGCACTCAGCGGGCCATCGTAATATGACTTTATCACAGCCTGACAAAATTTAACAAAAGATTATGTCAATTCAATATAATTTCACAAGAATTCAGTTTTGATAAAAAAAAACATTAAATTCCAACAAAATGAATAATTACATGGGTTACTGGAGGAGGTGCAGACTTGTTTGTGGTGCGTTGCAGGTACTGCGCGGAATGTCTCGGTTTAGGCCCAGGGTAGGAATTAGTCATGATATTTCCCTGGGGTGGCTGTGGTTTTGCTTGGGTCTGAGGGGCCTGTGCCACCTCTGATTCAGGTGAAGGGTTTTCAGGTTTCGTGCCGAAGATCTGCGAATTTTGAAGGTAAATTGCTGTACAATTTCTTTTTTCGAGTGCACTGCTGTACCTGATTGAAGTTTTCTATCATGATTTCCACAACCACGTTGCAGAATTTTATGTCCATGATTGCAGCGACGGTTTCCTCTTCTGGACGCAAGAGAGTTGGGCCGAAACATACACTTACATTGCTCACAGTCATCAAATTTTTGTCACAGTGTGACGTAACACTGAAAAATAATTATAAATTATAGTTTAATAAAAAAAAGTTTTCTAAGTCATCAACCTACTTCAATAAATGTCTAATAAGCAGCTTAAGCATGTCAAAATTAGTCTCCGGCAGTCTATGCACTAAGCTGTGGACATCGTTTATTCGTTGTGTCCTCGTCTCTTGCTCTGAAAAACAAATACAATGATTTTAAATTTATTACAGTCTAGGAAAGAAGATTTTATTACTTGCTGCAGCTATGAAAGCAAAATGATGCCTAAATGTCATAAGAGGTTCGGGTAAGCTTCGAAGATAAGTTTTCAGAGCACTAGTTATCGTTTTGCTTTCCCATTCCAGACTATCGTCCAAATTCAATTTGTCTGCTTTCCGTCTGTCCAGACCCATGCTGATGAGTTTCGTAACCTTGGAATTGACTCCCACAACTCTGTACAAACCCTGCTCCTCAAGGCCTGGCAAATCAGATTAATGACTTAAAAGTGCGCACAAGCTACTACTACAACAACAACTATACCTCTGGCCTCAAGGGCTTCAATGCACTTTGCGACAAATGAAAACCCAACATCGTCGAGTGCTCGCTCTTCACTTTTAGTCACTTTCCCTGGTGTCGTGTACTCCTAGATTAAATAAAATCAGCAAAGTCCAAGAAATAATTATTTAAGAGCAACTTACAGGTTCTTTTCCTCCCATAACATCCATCCACTTTTTTCTATCTTCTTCTGACAAAGCTTGCAAAGTATGTACAACGCCCGGTCTAATGGAAAAAAATCAGATTTGAAGTTTCTTTAATTAAATTAAACATACTTGTCTCCTGACGTTATATCAAAGCAAAACCGTTTATCAATCGAGTCAGATATCCGCCTCACACAGGAAGCAAGTTTAAAAGTCTCTGTTGGGCTCTATAAAATTCATTAATCAACATTTTAAGCAAAATTAACACAATATTACTTACAAATTTTCCAGTTATCTGATTGTAGGGAATCAAGGTAACTTCATTTGTGTCCTTTTTGTACATGCAGTACTGTTTTGACCACGCTGTAGTGCCAAACGCCTCTGTAAAATTATGAAAAAAAAAATATAAAAATTCAAACATGAAACCCCCATATGTTAAATGAAAATAAAATGGCAACAAAAATAAAACTTACTTTTTTCCATTAAATAAAGATACCCTTGTCGGGTATACATTTTATTGTAAATTCCCAAATCAACTGGATTCTGTGAATAAAAACAAGAGAAGAACATAAGTTTCAAACTGAAATAACGTGTCAAGAAGGAATAAACAGCAGCAACAGATGTGAATAAGAAACTAGAAGGTAGCATGCTCTTGATAAAGAGGTCGATTTATTCAAAAACAAAGCTCACCGCATTTCTCAGCTCAAGCATCCTTTTCATGAGCGAGTCAGTCTGGTCCCGCGTGGAATCGAAATTGCTTCTCGTCTGAAAAGTCATGTCAGATAAATACTTGATGACATAATATTCGATCATCACCCACCTTTTGTATTCTGAATTGCAGATCTAGCATGTACGGCTTGAAATCGTGATGGGTATCATGTCCTTGGTGGTAAAATGTCAGCCAGCCGTACATAAAACTCAACAACTACAACAACAAAAAGGTTAACTTTACATAAAGTAGTCGAGATAAAAATAGTTTTAGTGAAAAGAGTAAAATATTTATTTCTAAAAACAGTAAAAAAATTTAGGCAATTTAGAAAGAAAAAATTAAGAATTACCGGTTCTACGAATTCAAACTTCTTCCGTTCTTGCACTTGCTGGAGGAGACAGACGTATTGTAAACTGGCTTGGCAAAAATGCCTTTGTTCCATTTCAAGAGTTGCATCAGCCTGAGAACAAAAGCACAGTGACATCTTTTTCATTCATTAAAGCAAATAGAGTAAAAATAAAAGCGCGTCGGGATTCCCTTTCCACGCCTTCCATTATTTTAAAGGGCAGTGTCACATATTTAATCAATCGAATGTCGTAAACTTTTTACATTTATTACAAAAAAAAAATGAATAGAAAGGTCAGTAGAGGTGCAATGCAGAGTGGCTGAGTCACCGGACGCAAGGTCACTTGAGTGCGAGAAACAACGGTGTTTATTTGGCATGCACCTGATTTGCTCATCAACAATGCAAATGACACCTGCACAGGCACTCCATGCTAAATGTATACGCGCCAAGAGGGGTCGACTGAGGAGGGCGGCTTCTCCACAATTAAAAAAGGACCGCTCACCCCATGGCGGCCGAAGACCGGCACCCCCGAAAAAATTCTGCACCACCACTTCAAAATTTGAGCACACGGTCGGCGGATTTGAAATTCGGCCGAAATGCGTCCTTCGCACGTAGGGCGGATCAGGAGGACATTTTGCTTCACGTGGTGGATCAATATTGCGTCGTGACGTCACTCTCGAAAGCACCCCTGCTCTCCCGCCACCCCTGGGCGAGCCCCTCGACGCCACTTTCATTCATTGGAACGCGGCGGCGTTTGCGAAACGCACTTTGAATCGGTAAGTGAGTGCGCAATCACTCTCGGCTCACCCCTCGCGAGGGGTGGCGAGCAGGGGCTGTGAGTGTTTTGCTTGCCGTTGACAACAGTGGAAACAAAATTGCGTGCAGCCCTTTGTAATACAGTGTAATATGCATATGACAAGTTCATTATGCCCGCAGAGATTAGAAAGAAAAAATAAAACAATTTTTAACTGTAATTATTTTGGTCTAATAAAATTTGAAATAAGATTAATCAAAATACGTGATCCTGAAATTAATTAATTTTGTACCTCTTGAAGCACCGTGTCCTGTTTCTTTGTAGACAAATTTAAGTACCGCTCCTGACTTTGGCAAAATTTTAAAGAATGCTTCTCAAACTTCTTTCTGCCCTCCTGAAATGAAAGTGAAAAGATTAATTGTATATATTTTGTAGGATAAAAATACAACAGAGGATTGAAAATGTTTCAATTTGAATAATCTTTTTCCATCGTTTTTGTTATTTTTCTTCTATAAAACAATAAAGGACTAAAAAAACACAACCTATGAAAACAAGATGTTGAAATTTTGAATAAGATTTGAATTAAATTATTACACATAAGAAGCAAAACTTACTTTAACTCCTCCAATGTGCTCTTTGCGGAATTTCTCCAGAGGTTGGATTATTTGAGCGTAACACGTGTCCAACTGAAACAGAGTAGGCGGCCAATGAAACGTAATGTAGCAAGTGGGTTTGACGACTTCCTTAAAGAACAGGGCTACTTTTATATATTTCATATTTTATGTGGGTACACGATCGGTTTCAATTTTCTTGCTGCGTTAGGAGTTTGAGCAGGATATTGTCTGGCTGTGAATAAAACCGCAAAGCCGTCCAGCAGATACTTGATCATCAATTTTCCCACGCGCTCATGCATACGGTAAGTGATTTTGAGTTAACGAGTGCCACAATTGCATTCATCAAGATGAATAAATTATTATTTTTTTTACAAAGTTTTTTCCTACAAGTTTAAGAAATGAATTGATTCACGCGTAAAACGCAGTGACAATTTTATACACAATCGCGATCGATCAAATAATCAAACATCAAAACCTTGTTTCATGGGTCGGTGGAGAACAAAAGCTTGTCCTATTCTTTCTTCCACATCGTCAGTCGGGTAATTATGATTTTACAAGAAAAGGTTGAGGGCGTTTGAAGAACACGCCATATATTTTAATATCGGCGGCTGCACCGGCGGCTCAAGATAATTATTAATTTGATCGTTTACTTTTTCCTGCAGCAGCTCTCGGACACCGCGAGAGTTAATAAAAGACGGCCATTAAAACGGAGCCGAATGCAATAAACAAGAAGACTGCCGAAAATAGCTGCCGAGATGACAGAAGGCATGTGTTTTTCGACTCACTCTCTTTAAAATGAGAAGAACGAAAATTCCTCGGAGGTGCCGAGAAGCTTCTGCTTTTTTATAACTGGATCTGCTTTTTCTCACGCTGCTCGCGCTCGGAATCGAGGAGAAATGCTATTTGACTAAATTTCAGGAGCATTCCCAGCCGACAGACGGACCGACACGGCCCACTGAAATCTCGCCAGACGAAAAGAAAAGCTGCCGCAGGTGCTCTTTGTTTATTTAGGCGGCGGACGCGTGTGGAGTTGAGAAGCTTTATGAGGAGCTTTACAGGAGTTTCGTCGTGACAAAAGGCCAGATGCTTCAATTTGCAGACAAAGGAGCAATTTGCATGCTCGACAATCCAGTCAATGAGGTGCGTAAATTGCGAGTAAACGGAGGGAATGATGCTTCAAGAATTTTAATTTAAGTAAATACGAGCTCAATAAACTTACAATTATTCGATTATTTACGTAAGGATTAATTTTAAAATGACATTTAATTGTGAGCAAGATACTTTTGGAAACAAAATTCAACATGAATTATAAAATTGCATAGAACAAAAATTAAATTTGAAATAGACATAATTTCCATAGAGAAGCCTGTCTAAAATTCAAATAAGGTTGGAACCTACAAATAAAACGTTTATATCAACCTGAATTAATCAAAACTGCTTCATTACAAATTTTTGTTCAAATTTACTTGGAAGTAAATTTTTTAGCAATCTTCTTCCATCAATAATGTAATATGATACATATAATTATAGATTCATAAATGTGGACATTGCAGGTGGGATTTTTATAAATTCTAACATCCTAAAAAAAAATATTTAATTTTGGTGGGGTGTATTCTCAGTCAACCGTATATAATCGCAGGCGTTTCAAAACAGATAGTTTATTTATTTCCTAGCCGCGTGCGTCACCGGCTGCCAATTTGCAAAAAATCCTTCAGACCCCTTTGCACCCTGCGCGGCTCGAGAGTGATAAATTTCAGCACGTACAACACGAACAGAAGCGTTGATTAGGGAGCATTTTGATGTTGCCAGAGCACTCGAGGCTCGGCCGATTAGCCCTCGATAAGGCCATCTGCGAGCCATTCATGCGCGAATCTCGCTAAGTTTAGCCCCGTCAGCAGATAAGCCGCCGTTTCAACTTTTGCTGGCTCGGAGGCGAACTCCCTCCGAACGATGTGTCATTCGCCGAGAGAGCAATTAGAGACACTCACCATCTTGTTGCGCTCGTCCTCGATAAGCTCGATAAGGTTGCCGAATTTGCGCAGCGAGTTGGAAATCACCACCTCGTCGTCGGTCAGCGAGGTGCCGATGCAGTCGAAACTGAAGTTTATCAGGTTGTTGGCTAGTGATTTTTGGCATCTCGATAAGTCTGCAACAAAAATTATTCAAATATAAGAAAAAAAATTCAATAATAAATTAAGAAAACTAATGATCTAAAACTGCAAAAATATTATATTATTTAAAGGTCATTCCAAATTGGAATAAATTTTTTTTTAATTCTGTGTTCGATTTGGTCAGAGATTGCCTTGTGTGCAGCAACTAAATTTAGGACGTTAGTGAAAATTTTCAAAAGAGGCCAATAAATTTAATTTTGCAACAAAAACCTTTCATTAATCAAATCATGTTCCCTCTCCAGAAAATGCAATTAATTGACTTGAAAATGATTTTTATAATTGAGTTAAAAAACTATTGGAGTTTTTGTCCCATTTGCATTATCTGTCAAAGACCTTGAGAATGAGAACTTTCATGAAAACAAGATACTTTTATGTCAAGCTAAGCAAAGCTGGGGATTATTTTAAAACATAACTCCCGTCAGCATCAAATAAAAAGAAAGCTTCGCGGTCATTAAGTAATGAACCCAACGATGCAGCGTTGTTATTTTTACAAGGAAATTCGCGTCAGCAGGAAAAGCGCCGTTTTTCATCAAGATAAAAAAGGAAAGAAAGAGGCAAACATAAAATAGATGCCCGACCCTTGGGTGCAGCTTTTCAGACTCTCGGCGTTCATTTTTACAAGCCTCTGCAGTGATTGATAAGTGTGCTCGTTACTTGGCGCCGGCATGAAGATAAAAACGTGCTAATCGCAACAAGTACTTTATTTTCCCGCAAAGAGTCTCTCCATTAAAAAGCAGTAAACCGAGCTTCAAAATAATTTATTATTATTTAAAGAATTTAGGTAAAAAAAAAAATGCTAAATTTGTATTTTTCAAGCATCACGATTTCCGGCTAATTTTTCAAATTGAATTATCGCTAATGGTCGAACACATCACAACAGCGAGGCCCGTTATTAGAATTATTCACCATGCATCGTTAAAACAATTACAGAGTTCTCTCTAATTTTCTAGCCAACCGTCAAGAAGCGGCCATTATTCAATTTAAATTCACGCTCGGGCCTCTCCATTTAAAAAGTCTCTCGAGAATTACGCAGAAAGAATTGGGAATGACGTCAGCTCAGAAAGTGCAGGCCAAGAGGAGCTTTTTGTTGTTCGCGCGATGACACTTTGTTCAATTAGAGACGAGAGCTGGAAGACCAAAATTGGCACGGGCCGGCTAAGCGATGGCTCAAATACAAATTCAGTAAAGCCAAAAGTCGCACCAGAGGCGAGCGCACATTAACTGTTTAAGGTGCGAAACAACAACGTGTTACAGACAGATTGCGTGTTCCGCTCGGCACGTGACATCGTCTTAATTTGGACACCAGAGGTGCTAAAAAATATGAAATGGAGAATGGTTCCATATTCTAAAAGGACTTAAAGAACTTCTTTGTATTGAAAGGAAGCAAATTATTTCTTTAAATGAACTTAAGAAAATAATTTTGAACTAATTTTTTATTAATTCATTAGTTTTCTTTCCCAGCAGTCATTTAAAAACTAAATTAAAATTTATAAAATTAACAAAAATATTTAATTGGAATTTTAAGTTGAGCTGATTTTTTGAAAATTCAATTATATTTTATTTAGAGACTATTGATTTTCAGCCATTTGAGGAAAAAAATTAGAGCTGCGTCTTGTGTAAATCTCTCAACGCCAAGAGTAAATTGAATCATCGCGCCGTCTGGTACATTTCAATTCGTCACTTGGACTTCTTACAAGTCATTCCCGGCGAGATGCTTTGATCGAATCAAACCTGCTGATAAGGCAGAACGAAAAAAAAACGAGCTGCTCTCCCGCAGCGGTACACATGTTCAATGTTAATAGACCTTTTTTCGGAGCGCATTAGAAAAGGGGTGCGCATTTATTTCCATCTCCCTCAGGTCAAAACTCGGCTCCTACCCTCTTTAGAAGAAAAAAAACGAGGCAGACCACCCAAGGTATTTCGGCCGCAGCGGTTATTATATCCAATTAAGATGGTCGCGGGCACGTCCATATCGAATATCATCCACTCCTGCATGCATGCATGTGAAGTCAAGTTATTTCATTTCGAGTGCTGCGTGCATCTTTCAAAATGAGAGATAACCAGCTCAGCGAGTGAGTGGAATATGTTCCTTTTCAATTCGCGCCCGTGCTGCTGACCTGGCATTGCATGATTCACTCATTAGAGGTTTTCTTAAAACAACTTTCACAGCTTGCAAGTAACGGAAGAAAGATCTGAATAGGAAAGAATATATTTATTGACAAGGTTTCAGATTTTTTGAAAAAGAGTTTTCAATCACAATAATTGAAATCTCCTGAATTAAATTTGTGGTGGGCCAAAAACGTATATAATTTTGGGGAGTATCAAACTAAAAGAAGCTAACTCGACAAGTCTAACACAAGATCCATTAAACAAAATATTAAACATTAAAGCTTAATGGGTAAGCAAATTTTTAATCAATCTTATAGCTCAAATTCAAATTGTTTCATTGCTGCGATAGGCTATGATTTAGTTTTTCTTTCATGAAGCTGCAAGTTAAAATCCATAATTTAAGCTCATTATTGAAATAACTCTAAATAAAAATTAGAATGCAACCTAAAATTTTGTTTTTTGAGCAATAATTTTATTTTTGGTTTGTTTATCTTTTTACCAAATTATAATAAAAGGTCTCACTGTCAGAGTTTTTACGGTTAAATTTTAAAATCGAGGAAAAAAAATTTAATTTTAAAGATAAAATACTTAAAAATAATTTCTTTTAATTTACTCTAATTCTTTTATATTATTTAAAAATTTCATGCTTAAATCAGTGAAACAAAGACCAATATGGTCTTTGTATAAACGTCTATATTATAGACGTTAATAAAAAAAAAACTACTAATCGCACAATCAAACTTCAGATAAACATGGAGGAACCATTTAAGGAATCTATAAACAATCCCGCATATATTAATAGACGTTGCTTGGGCTGCATACAAATCGTATCGTTATGCCTAATCGGAATGCCATTGTCTGTGCAAAGTGTGAATGCCACGAGGAAAGAAACTGTTTTTGAAATCACCAGCGATTAAGAGAGCAAACAGAATACGCCCCTGACCGAGAGAATGTTATGTATACGCATATCCTGCATGTGCGTTTGCTTCTTATCTCCTTTTTTTACATTCTCGCTTTCTATATATCTGACAGTCGACTTCAATGCACGCACGCGGCTTTTGAGCGGGCGGATAAAAAATAGAGTGTCGTCTTTGCAGTTGCACCATCCGCCGGTTCAAATAAATTAATTATCAGGCACGTCTGCGTCACATCCTCCTTTTGCTACACGAGCGATGCTCATTGAAATCGCACGTCCCTCTCGGCGCGGCTCAATTCAAGAAAACTGCAAAGACGACATAGTCGACACAAAACACATCCTGCGAGCACTATTTTCTCAACGTGCACGTGAACTACATTTTTATACTCGCAGCCTTGCGGCCGCGGCTCGATCGGTTGCACGAGCCGTTTATGTATCATTGAATCACTTGTCTCCGTTGAAAGTGTCAACCGAGCCGCACTTTTATTCCAACTCCAACAATGTATCCTACAAATGGGTCAAACGGACAATTATAGGGTTGCAGCCTTTATTACTATAAGAACAAAAAACCTAAGGAAAATTAAAATCAAAATAAGGAAATTTCATTTTAATTAAAGCCACCAGAAAAGCCACAAAAGTTATTCAAAGAGATAAAATAATAATCTTTTTTTTTTAATTTAGTACGTTTATTTTGTAGTTTTACCTAATTTTATTTTTAAAACTTTAAAATGGCTTTAAAATGTATTATTGATGTTTCCACAAGTTTTTATCATACTTATAGAATTAATTATCTTTGTCATACTTTATAGTAGTGGTTTCCTTTGGGAACTACAGCAAATAGAATATTTTAAAAATTTATTCCTCGGAGGTTCCTTGTCATTTATAAACAAAGGGGCGAAATTTTCTTATTTGAGTGACTGAAATTCTTAAGCGTTAATTTTGCCGCAGTCATTTGATCACGCGAATTCAGCCGGGCCTTGAGCAGCTTACAATGCACAATTTATTTACCTCTCTATTTACAAAGCTTTCACCCTGACCTTCCCTAATACGTCGTCAAAAGAATATTTTAGCCGCAGATGGCCGCCGCTTGAATTCTCCAAGCCACGAAAGGCAAAGTCGATTCACTTCGCCTTCGTATTGCAGATTAATTAACGCGCTTTTCAACTAAATGAACGCGCGTGTCATTGAGACGATTATAGCTGCGTTTGATTTCTCATCGCATCGCTTTTTTTTTGTTCGCGTCCGCACGATCATTGTGGCCTGCAAGAGAAATAAAGAAAACATAATTCGTGTCACTCTCTCGGCAAATCAAGAGAGGCGAGGTCGTTTGCTCATGCACTGACCTAAAATAATAAATAAATGCGCTGCTGTGAATTCTCTCAACGTGCTCGATCGCTCAGGTGCAACAGTTATTATTGGAAAAGGAGCAGGCGGCAGCTATTAGCATAAATGAGAAGGCAATTAGAGATTCTTGTTCGTCAACAAACAGATCGTGTTTCTCACAAGAATGAAAGAAGTCGCTGGAAGAATCTAAATTACAAGTTAATAAAAAATTGTATGGGTAATCAATGACAGTACAAGTTGAAGGACAAGTAATAATTTTTTTTTCTTAAATGATTTTTTTTTAGCTGAAAACAGTTACAAAATTGGAAAAAGTTTCATATCAATAAAAAATTACCGCCTCTCTACAAAAAGATAATGAAAAAGCAAACCTAAACAAAGAAATTATTATTCTGGCAAGTTTAATTTTGTAAATTAATGAAACATTAAATTAGTTTGTGTTTTCTAGAACATTTCAGATGAAAAATTATTGAAAGAACGTTTAAGTTGTTCATGCAAGCTTCCTACTGAATTTTAACTTGAATTAAGAGACTCATATTAATATGCTATCAATTAACACACATTTTAATTAGAGCTGCCGCAGTAGGAGCCAAAACTGTTTTCATCCGTCAAAATTTCTCCCATGTTCCACTCACTGGGTGTTATTGTAAGTCACGAAAATTCAAATGAAACTCGCGCATTCTTTTCTAGCGCGACCGAAAAAGGAGTTTTTCCCACACGACGGGTGCTAATGACTTTTTAGTGTTGTGTGTTATTTCTCCGATTTCCAGCAGGGCAGTTGCTCGAGATCCTATGTGACTTGACACACATACTAATTGTCAGTGTCCTTATCGTTCAAGCAGTATCGTTGCGTGCGCGCGCCATTTGAGAATCGTGTGCTTGCACAAATTGACGGAGACTGCAGGAGTCACGAGCATTGATTGAATTACTCGCAGTATTTTAACTTGAATAATAGTTCATTCAAGTTTTTTGTTTTGTTTTTGCGCTGCTTTCAGAGTATCTATAATTTTGTATGCACATAAAAAAATGATGTTTGAATCAAAATTTTGGTAAGGTTTTATTACCTTGCGTCTTAAAACTCCATAATTTAATTTTTATTGGCACCTTTTCAAAAATTCATTTTACATAAGTATTAAAAAATATACCGCTTGAATTGATGATAGAACCTCCATCCAATTTCGATTCCAATCGCAAAGCAAAGCAATCTTCTTTTATAGCTCCGGACCCTTGATCACCTTCATTCTTCATATGTTCTTGTTTGATAACATTTCATTGCCGAAAGTAGGCATTTTGTATAAAGCCTCGGCTGTCAGCAGGTTCGCTGAACTGAGCAAAAAAGGAGCGATCGCGAGGCGCAGCGCGACTATAAATCATCGGCTCATAATTCAAGCTGATGCAGCGATAAAATCTGATATATGCAACAGGTGTCATATCCTCTTTCGTCGGCGGAAAAAGAAGAAGCCCTATGAACTAAAACGCTTCCGCTCCGCTATAGTTTATTAATTATGCACGGACTGCGCACGGTGCTCCTTTAATTAACCCTTTGGTGGCGTGGGGAGGTTAGATCCGTTGCGACCTGCGGGGCTTCGCTAACGTGGAAACAAAAAAAAAATTGCAAAAGATTGGCTGTGTTTGAGGCAGTTATTAACAACAGCAAAACTTGCTTGTAGATTAGATTTTTCCTGTTGCCCATTATTTGATAATCTAATTATGCAAAGTTTAACTATCTTTTTAGTCTAATTTTCTTTTATTTTGAAAAATTTTGGAATAGATTGTTTTTTTCCTTTAAATTTTAAAATTAAAATTTTAAGTTTGATTCGAATCTGAAAAAAGCTAAAAAAATCATAAAATATACAAAAGTTGAAGTATTATGTTTTATTTGAGTGACTCATTATCCTGCAGAATTTCATTTGGATTACGAAAGTCTCATTTTCAAGAAAATGAAATGAAATTGTTTAATAAAATTGATTATTTGTTCGAATTTGGTATCTTTTAAAGTAATTAAATTGTTTTAATTCCTTATGAATTGAAAAATTAAAATAAAAAATACTGAAAATATTATTACAGCAGTTAAATAAATTTTTAAATTCAGCGCAATAGGGAAAATTGTGAAAAAAAATTACAACATCCGTTTAAAGCAAGATTAAAATTGCAACATTTCCTTGTTATTTAATTATTTAATTTAATCTTTCTATACAAAACTGAAGTTTTTGTTTCTTAGATAAAGTATTAATAAATTTTTCCAACAAATACGGTGCTGTGGAATCACAAGTAACTATGCGAAAAAATGTCGATCTCCTCTGATGTGGCTCCGAGGCACAGTCGCGCCAGTGCATTCATTCGTCTCGCCACAAAACCAAACAAAAAGGCCAAAAAAGTCAAATCAAAGGGAGCAGAATAAACGCCACATTATTTTTTATGCACTCGAGGGCCATTAGCGTGATTGTCATAAGAGATGAGCGTCAAAGGCACTGTCCTCGTTGAAACCGCAAACAAAAGCGCCGCGACGTTTTTCATCATCAGCAATGCACTTTTTTTTGTTTTTGACTGCGCCGTCATTTTTTTTCTAATTTGCGAAGGAGACGCGCGCGCCTGAACCCGTTACCGCTGCACAGACATAACAGGACTGTTGGAGAAAAAGGCGAAAATGGCACGAAAATGATTATTTTACCATGACTTGTGGCTACGGAGGCGTGGGAGGCGGAGGAGAGGCAATTACGATCCAAAAGTCAGTCAGCAGAGTTTCGCGGAAAACGAGCGACCGGTGCCATTTGACACGCTTTTTCTGCGCGCGACCATGCTTGATGACGGCAAAAATGTTTTCGCGATGGAATTCAATGCATCAAAATGCCGATTCACTGCATCTATCACTTATTTTTTGTTTGGAAATGCGAATGATAAATAATATATTCCCTTCTGCCATTAACACAATTTTTCAAATTTTGTTTTCATTCGTTTTTTACTTGATTTGCTACAAATAAATAGATCATTAATAACCAAAGTCAATTTCAATTTAAATAGAAATGAATTTCGTCACAAGAAAAGAGAAAGACGAAGTAAATATATTTGGATAATGCAAATTTAAAAACATGATTTCCCTAGTGCTTCCTAGAATTATATGAAAGTTGAAAGGTTGAGCAAAACTCTTATTTTTTTTAAACCATACGTCACAAATTGTGTCTTGAAATTAAATTTAGAGAAGTTTAATTCATTTTTAGTTGATCTAATTCAATCGTAAGAACTTATTTTTACTGATTAACTGAAATGAAAGAGATAAGAAATCTGAAGAAATCAATATCTTAATTTGATCGATAAACACACAAGACTATTATTTTTAATATATTAAAAAATTTGAATTTGAGCACGGAAAAAATATTATATTGCATTCTCGTGCAAATTTGTGCAAAGTCAGCACTAGCCGTGCCAAATGTATCTATCGAGCGCATCTTGGCTGTCGCAATTTTTAAGCCGGCTCGAAACAATGGGCGCCACGAGACAGAGATAAATAAAGAACAAGAAAAGGATGGTCGGGCGAAACCTCGGATCATTAATTGCAGAGTTGAGTTTTCAAAGTCGTCGTCGTCGTGCACTGCTCATTTTTTTTCTTTATCTTTCGGTGCAACAACAATTTGTGGCGTAAGCGTTCGTTATTCGAAGAGCTCTCTCGCTTGATAACGAAAATACATAATATATATATTATTGTAAGAGAGCTTGGTGCTGTACTTGGAACTGGTTCGATTTGCTCGCCTGAGCGATACATTCAAGAGAGCATTGGCAGATAGAGAAAAATAGCAGTGTGCTGGGATTTGGAGCAAGTGGATTTTATTGCAGCTTGTTTGACGCAGGCGGCCCTTGTTTGACCAGTCTCACCCCTTTCCTGCTTTTGTGAGGCGATTCCGCTTCGTTCAAGGAACCACTATTTGAAGCATTTAATTCCCACGACCGAATACGAGTGTTCGGTTCATCTAACAAAACACAAATGCAATTTTTTTTTTTTACTGTTTTTGAAATTTTATAATTTCAAGAAAACAAAGTTGAATAATATACCAGCAATTCACATAAAACTAACTAATTGTAAGCATGATGTGGAAATCCCTCAAGAATATTTAAATAAAAATATTTATTATAAAAAAGAATATATCAAAAAATTATATGCATGTATAGCAAATAGTAATCATTAATTGAAAATCCCAAACAACGTACTCTGAAACACTCTGAAAAAACAATTTAATAAGAATTCATTTTATTATTAAAAAAAAATATACATATAGTTAATTTGTGTAACCCTATATTTTCCACGTTTATATTTTGAAAAACCTTCAGTGTAAGTAGGTCATACGATTTCCTATCTCTTATGTTTACAATTTTAGGAAAATTTATGAAGTTGCAGGCAAAAAGTTAATGAGTGTATCACGATAAAATTTAACTCACTTTTGGCAGCACTGATGACATTATTGACTTCCTTGATGAGTCCCTTGATCTGCTGGCTTGTCTTTTCCAACTCCTTCTCATGGGCGTGCAGATTTTCCCGGAAATAGGGACTGTCGGTGAGGCAGTCGGTGAACTCGAGCGGTAGCAGCCCCATGATCTCAACGCTCGCAGCGGAAAACGAACAGAAAATGAATTGTGTGTGAGTCTCAAGGCACGCACCGATCACTCATGGGCCGACGAAAATGGAGAAGCCGCACAAAAAACGAACCACAAAGGGGATTATTCGCCGACGGAGGACATGTATGAGGCTTTGCCACGCAAAAGTCACCTTTCTCGAGTGCCCATGCTAGCCATATGGGACACAGGAAGGTAAACAAGAGGCAAGACGAGTGAGACAAGCCCAGCTCGGTGCCCCACGGCAGTGCATCGACCAATCAGCGCCCGCCTCGCGGGAGGGGTAGACGATCATTGGCGGCCTTTCTCTTTCTTGGCCCTTCGCGCCACCTGTTGAATGAGCGACCAACTCGCTGGAATGCATTTTCTGAAAGCTGCCTTCTGCACTGATTTCGCGGCTTTTTGTAAGAAAGCATCAAGTGTCCGACTCTGTTGCTCGCATTCGCGTACAAAAATGAACGGACACGTGGACGGTGAACCGCACGACGAGCTGCAGTATCTGCAACAACTGAAACTCATCATCGATAGGGGAACCAAGAAGGGAGACAGAACTGGGGTTGGGACTTTATCTGTCTTTGGCACCCAAGCTCGATACAGCCTCAAGGATGGTTTGTATTATAAATTTTATTTTATTTTATTCTTTAATTGATGGAATAATTTTTAGGCATATTTCCGCTACTGACAACTAAGAAATTATTCTGGAGAGGAGTCGCCGAAGAGCTTCTTTGGTTCATCAAAGGGTCGACTAATGCCAAGGAGTTGAGTGCAAAGGGTGTCCGAATTTGGGACCAAAATGGTTCTAGACAGTTCCTTGATGCTCAGGGTCTGACTCACAGAGAAGAGGGTAATTTAAAACTTTAAAAAAATCGTGAATTAAAAATCTCAGCATTAAAAAAAAATATTGTTAAAAAAAGGTAATAATTATAATAATTTGCAGGTGACTTGGGACCAGTCTATGGATTCCAGTGGCGTCACTTTGGTGCCAAATACCAAGACATGCACACAGACTATGCAGGAAAAGGTGTCGACCAACTAAAACAAGTTATTGAAACTCTGCGGAAAAATCCCAACGACAGAAGAATTCTCCTATGCGCCTGGAATCCTGCTGATTTGTCCCAAATGGCTCTGCCGCCATGCCATTGTCTTGTTCAATTTTATGTGGCAGAGGAAAAATATCTTTCCTGCCAACTGTACCAAAGATCTGCTGACATGGGACTCGGAGTTCCTTTCAACATTGCCAGTTACGCTTTGTTGACATACATGGTTGCACACGTAACTGGTTTGGAGGTATTATATTTCCCATTGTTATACATATTTTTTGCTCATTTTAATTGAAATTATTCAGCCTTTTGAGTTCATCCACACACTAGGAGATGCTCATATTTACTTAAACCACATCGAGGGTTTGCGAGAACAGATAAAACGAGAGCCCAGACCTTTCCCTAAATTCAGGTTTAAGCGCCAAGTTACTGACATTGAGGATTTCAAGATAGAAGATTTTGAAATCACCAACTACAATCCACATGAGAAAATTACATTGGAAATGGCAGTTTAGCTCAAATAAAATACTCAAATTTATAGGATATATTGTGATTTATAATTATTTTGAAAGTATCCACTGTATTAACATTGGTTGAGCATTACAACCTACTTTTGTCATACAAAAATGTGTACAAACACAAATTAAACGACAAACAAGTTTTGAAGGATAATATCAAAATCACAAAGAAATAACTCAAAGCAGCTAATTGCGTTTTGCAACAAATTTCTTTCAGCGAACAATAGTAATCTCACACATTTATAGTGTTATTGAACTAATATTTTTTTAGTCCCAAAAGTAAAAATTCAATCAGATTTAAAAAATAGTCACTTTAGACACTTGGATTTGTAATTATCGCTGAGATCGGTGAGCCTAAAATTTGGTATGCAAACAAAAAATGGGATATTGGAGTGAATTTGCACAATGTGACGAATTTTAAATTTACACTACAGAAGGATTTTGAAATTTTAATTTACGATACAGTTGCTTAAAAATTTAGTGAACTGTGGAGTCCCAAAATATAACTAGCATTTGAAGCTATATTATTTAAAAGTTTAGACTTGAATTATTCTAATTATTCATATCACTTTTTGCAGGTTTTACATCATTTTTGTACAACTCTCCATAAGCCCATTGACTAAACCAGCTCAACATCATTTTCCAAAAATGCACAATCCACCTGAAACACTCACGCCACTGTTACTCTTCTTAGGCTAGCACATCCTGTTGGGATTGTCGCCAGGGTCTTGAGGAGGGACTGAGTCCTAAAAGTAGAATTGATAAGTATTTAGATCAAGTAGTGAAAAAATGGCCTTTTGTCTTACTTGGAATAAAGGTTGACTAGGCTGGTTTTGGAGGAAGGGTGTGAAGGGGTTTGGCACGTTGCTCATCCCCAGGGGAGATGAACCCAAGTCAGAGAGGTGGGTCAGTTGTTGGGTTAAGGCCAGTGTGCCTCCATCAGCCACTGTTATCACAACCCAAATGGTGTCTGAAAAATTGAAATTAAATTTATTTATAAAAATGTAATCAATTTGTACAAAAATTTATATATATATTAATTCATACCAAATTAAAAAATTGATCATTAGATACTAATAATTGAAATTAATAGTATTCCTCAATGAAAAACTGTGGCAAAGTCACCTGATCATACCGATTATGAAGCAATTGATTGTGTAATTATACGTCAAGGATTTAAGTCGACTTGAATTTAATCTTTAAGTACCTCCAAAATATGAGCCGTTGGCCGTGCAGGCCCTCCAATTGCTGTAGTAGATGTCATTTTTGGACGGACTGATGAGCTCGATGTTGATTTCAACTTCCTGGCCTGGGCTAATACTTGGCAGGGAAATTCTCTCGCTCAATCCACCCCACTGCTCGCCATAGGTGTGCTTCAAGTAGCAGCCCTCGGGCCAAGCCATGTCTCCATTATTCCTTAACTTCCACGTCTTGGTGAATCTGCCGCGAGAAAGAGAAGATACGCACGGTTATTTTCAAGGTTGACATAATAATCACAATGAAAGCAGCAGCTGTTCACCTTGTGCATGGCGGAACGCTTTCGCCATCGCCTACAGTGGCATCTTTGACCAGAGACATGGACGGCAAGTTGTTGGCTGCCTCGTAATCGAAATACGAGCCGACTGCCGCCTGCAGATTCCTGAAAAGTGTCTGCCATGAAATTTAAAAATAAAATGCGTTATTACGCAACAAAAGGGAGAGGACCACCTGAATGTGTGTCAGCACTTTAATTCGCCAGAGAAAGCTCAAAATTTAGAAAATTTTGCTGTTTAATGTTGAAAATTACCAATTGTTCATGTCCAGGAAGAAAGCAGCCGCTGTCGAGCTCAGGTTGCCCACCAATTTCTGCAACTGCGAAATCAGAGTGTCCTTATCCGTTGTTCCCATGCAGCTGAATTGCTGCAGAAGGTCTTGGTCCAAATCCCCGTCCACCTCCATTATTGCGCTGCCCAGGTCCGGCCGACGTTCTTAAAATGTCAGTCAACTTCCAGCAGTGATCAGACCTGTCTCGACCCAAACTTTGAGTCAAAAACGGAGCAATTAACTCTTTCAGATACAACTAGCAACAGAACTGCGAACTGCGTTTACGTGATCATACGGATGACAAACACAACGTGCGTGCGCATTCACTTCAGTTGCCAACCTGGCAAATTTATCCAGAGAATCATGCACAATTTTACGCTACTGTCTTCAAAAAATTATAATGTACGATGTGTATTATTTTAAAGATCAATTTAAAAAATATTCTATAATGAAATTTGAATTCCGCAAGATTTTCATTCTAAAATGTCAAATTACAAATAATAGATTCAATTTTTATTCTATTGCCAACACAACACGGTCAACACACATCTCACTTTTAAATCCCCTTGCCGCGATTCACCCGGGCTCTGCAGTCGCATGCAAGCAGGTGCGCGTATTATATGGTTTTGAGTCCACATCGCTCTTCGAATTTCTTCCTCTCGCACCAGCGGTGGTGTCTGTGCTTCCTGTGTCCACGGCAGTTCGTATCGTCGACCAGCACCATCGGGATGAATCCTTCCACTGACCTCGAATTTACAAACAACAAGTTCGAGGCTGCGAAAAAGTTACTAACAGTAACGAAGAGTGTTGATAGCACAGCGCAGGCTGTCGACTCGATCATCGCGGAATGCATTTCGGTCGCTGATTCGCAGGGAATCGAGGCATTCGACGTTTTCAACGATTTCGTCGTCACTGAGCCGAAGTCCTATTTTGAAAATTGCGAATTTATCCAGGACGCGGAACCCGCCTTGGAATGGAGCGACGAGAAAAAAAGCTACACAACCCTGGAAACGGTGACACAGACTGTCTCCAATCAAGATGCTATTCCAAAAGTTTGTGCTGAACCTACAAATAGTGCTTCTGCAAAAGAATTTGACTGGTTGATGAATTTTAAAATCGGAAAGCTGCTTGACCCTATCAAGGACGATTACGGGCCAAATGATGGTATTAAATATTTTATTGAATATAACCATATTATAACTTGGTTTCTCTAATACTACCTTAATTTTTCTACTAGAAAACAAAAATATATTCCAACTACTGAAGGCCAAAAACTCTGAGCCAACCAAGCCGGCTCCTCCGCCACCTCCTGTGGGACCAAAACCACCCTTCACATACACAGAACTAATTGAACAAGCCCTTGAGGAAAAGGGAGCCCTCACAGTCTCAGGGATATACAAATGGATTTCGTAAGTATAAATTGAATTAATTTTTCATCCCTTTTTAACTATTTTAGCACGATATTTTTCGCATTTTTGGGCTGTTTGCGCATAATATAAAACGCTTTAAAGAACATACAAAACGAGATCGGGTCAATAGACGGTGCTGGTTTTTGGATGGTACCGCGCATAGGGTGTTCGTGCTCACCCACCACCCTGTAAATGTATCGAGTCCTACCAACACCTGCAATGCCGCGCGCGCTGGGGTGAATCAAAGCTAGAGGCAGGGTGTATTTGTGGGACCGCGCCGTACCAGGCGCGGAGAGCAACGCTCACTAAGGGATGTTCACGCACGTCAGAATAATATACGTGGATAATTTTTTTTTATTAAATGGCCGTCAATGGATTGAGTACGGGGGCAAACACCATTAATCGCGTGTTAGTTATTGTACATTTGACAAGCGACCCAGGAGACTTTCATTGTTTTAATATCAATAATCTAAACGATTGTAGTATCGCGTTTATTAAATTATTTCGATTATTACAAAGATAAAATATTTTAAACGTAAATAAATTTGACAATAATTTTGTTGAAGATATTTTATTTGAAATAATTTGAATGATTTTCTTGTGCCCAATCTAGGCAACATTTTCCATACTATCGCCCCAATGATGATCGATGGAAGAATTCGGTGCGCCATAACTTATCTATAAACCCGCACTTCACAAAGGGAGGCAAAGCGTCCAAAGGTGCAGGTCACCTTTGGACAGTGGTCGCTGAGGACGAACGCACAAGGAGCTCTTGGGTATTATTATTCGTTTAAAAAAAAAAACCATTGGCTAAATTATAATATTATCTTAATATGCAGAAACGGCGGCGATTGGAGCAATATGTGAATGACAAGAGGCGCCGTGAAATGACTAACACATACGAGAATGAAACCAATCAGGCCGTGAGCCTGTTGGAGAACAGTTTGGACTACAAAGGCGATCCTGAATCGTCAAAAGAGGTATTTAAAATATTTGTTTAAAAAAAACTTTCTGAACTGTTAAAAATTAGGGGTGGGTTACAACGCACATCATTAGTCTTGAGCAAACAGCAGAGGATATTTTACTGGGAGTCCGGCGAGAGGTCGAAGTGGAATTTTTGGCAGCTGTGCCTCAAGAGGAAGCAGAGGGCTCTTGTGGATCTGCCGACTCGGGTATGCAAATATTAACTTTTGATCTAAAGCAAAAATTATAATTTTTGTCTCAGATTTCCTGAATCCCATCTCAAAACAAGAGGCAGTGCAAGAGAGCGGACTCTTGACTGATGAAACTCAGCTAAATGATCTCAATCTTGGACACTCTAACACTGATGACTTTTTCTACGATGAAGAAATGGCCCTGCAATACTACGAGTTGGCCCTTGCAAGCTCTACATAATCCAAAGATTTGGCAAACGCATGTAAAGCCCCTTGATTGTACTCAAAATCGCTTTTTGTAAAAAGTTATTCTTCCAGTCATCAGAATTTGAATGCAAAGGGGCTGTGAAATTTGTAAAAAGTGCAATTCGCCTGTACAGGTAATGAAAACTCCACGCTGTTGATGGTGGATAAATGCAGGACAATTAACGCAATAATGATTAGATAGAACTGTGTAAATAATATTCTAGTCTGCGTTGGTTGGAATTCTAGGAATCATGTCATTCTGCGACATCTTCTCCAAAATAGTTAAGACTTATCAGACTTATATGCAATTTGAACCCTTTGATGCATTTGTAGCGGTAAAAGTTGAATGTTAACAACACCCGTGTAATTAATAGATATAATAATGCACAGGTTTGGTTTGAATTGTGATTGTGATAAATCGAGTCCATGTAATGTGCAGTGATTACTTGTAAAACTCATCAGTCATTAGATTTTAAGTTACAAAATTAGGGTAATTTTGTACCATTGAAACAAACAAATAAACTTGATAATGATAGAAACACGTTTTACCTTCTTAGACAACACAAAACACAAGGAGGCTGCAAACAGACGCCGGGATGACTAGCTTGCTTCTTCAATTTAACTGCAGGCGTATTAAAAAAAAAAGGAATGGAAATTCTCGTGATTTAACGTCCACCTCCGTTTCCAGCGGCAGCTTCTGGGTTTGCAGCCGAAGATATGAGAACAAAGATCACAACTGGCACAATGTACATCCACTGCAAAAAATAATAATTTATGGCATATTTTTCAAAAAGTAATTTTGAACAACATACATATTTGGCAAAGAAACTTCTGGTGTCTTTAGTTTCTCCTCGCTCTCGAGCCTCCTTTTCTCTTTCCAGCTTTTGAATGTAGGCACTTGTGTCAGGACTGAAGTGATAATTGAATTGATTAAAAATTGGCTATTTTGCAAGAAAATCTTACATTGGAGCCTGTTCCATGTGAGAAATTAGAACAGTCGTGTTGAAGGACTGGAGATCTTTCTTGCTAATTTCACTTCCATCACACACGCCTTTGGTGGTGCTCATACTGATAGCTACAGGATGACCTGCGTGGTCAAGGCTGACCGTAAGAATGTCGGATAAAGCCGATTCATACAGTGAGCAGCCATCGACAAAAGTCAAGAAAGTCTTTTTCTTTCCAGCACCACTGGAAACTTCTGCTCGCAATCTGTAGATCCCATTCTTCAGTGCCTTAAATAAAAAATTAATCTTAATCATTCATAAAAATATTTGGAAACATACAGCAATTTTTGCAGCATCTTCAGGAGATAAGTCTTCTTGGTCAATGTCTGCAAAGCCAGTTCGAAGGCTTTTGATGTCTACAGAGCCTCTGCTGGTAAAGACTGGATCCGCGACATTGTCAAGCGCGTGTGTAAGTTCTATGGATAACTGGCCGTCATAATCAACTTCACTTTGCAAGTAAGACTGAAACAAAATTTGTTGAAAATGTTGATTTTTTGTGTTATCATGCTATTATGTATGCGCGTTTTCATAAAAAACAGACGTGGTGTTTTATTTTAACACTTACCGCTCCAAAATAAGTGGCTTCCAAGAAAACTAGAAGCCCAAGAAAAACCGGCGTAGTGTATTTTTTCATTTTTCAGATTTTAAGCAATAGAAAATCCACAAACTTTAGTGATATTTTGTGTTGTGAGAAATTTCGAACATCAACAAAGAAAAAGCTTGATTGTGTGGGCGTGTGCCGGTGTGAAGTACCCGGAGGAGACGCCCACTTTCGCAAAAAGCGAGCTTGTAGAGAGAGTTGCTGTTGGAGTTGCTGCTTGTTTTTGTTCTTTTGCCAACAATTATCCAGCCAATTTGTAACTACTTTTTAAGATTTATGTGTAATTATTTATTCTTTATATCGTTTTTAAGGTACTCTGACTCTGCATAATAGTCAACCATGAACGTGATCCAGCGCCAATTACGCCTTCTGGTTCAGCCATTAAATCAGAATTATCAGAACGTGCGGTATTTCTGGAGATACCCTAAGTTCAAGAGAGGAAATGGCGAGGATCGCAGGGTGCCTAAAGAACCTGACGAAAGAGCACCTTACGTACAACATTATGGTTTCAATTATTATCCCAGGTTTGATAATAAAATAAAACTAATAAATGCAAAAATTTTACAAAACGTTTTATCTCTAGGATTTTTTCAATGTATCATTATTTATTACATATGATTAATATATGTATTTATGTTTCCAATGAATATCATGTAGTAAATTATTTTTCCTTTCTTAGACCTAATGAGGTAGAAATTCCATATACACCAAGTAAATTGCTGATGGTTCAAAGGGTTGCACGTTGGTCCGGTAACCCTAAATGGGATAAAAAAATTCTAAAGGATTTGGGACTCAACAAAAATGTAAGTATATCATTAAAGACTATAGTAAAATTAATTTCTTACAATCAATTAATTCACTTCAGATGGGTGAGGTTGTGCTTGTGAAGAATACACCTCAGATGAACAAACTGCTTTATCAAGTCAAACACCTTATTAAAATAAAGCCAGTCGTTTTCCCTAATGGTGAACCTACAGCAGACGATGTCAAGGTCTTGGGAGCTACGGTGCTTAATGAATACGGAGAAATGGAGGTCCGAAAATCTCTCAAGCCACCAACACTTAGTTTGCCACCTCCCGAAATATCAGAAGCACCTCCAAAGTCTGCCAAAGAATTGGGGACTCCAAGCGACGAAACGATGAGGAGGCATTTACGCATGAAGTGGCTCACAGGCATGGACAATAGTGGTTTTGTTTAATGTTCGAAGGGGATTTTGTGAGATAATATATAAGAGTAGTTGTTCGATCTACAAAGTAATTGTCAGTAGATATTTAAAAATATACAAAATAAAAGTTTTGCCTTTAGGCAGGTTAAATCACATTAATAATATTTTTTTTTAATATTTTATGTACTCGAAAAAAAAATTTTAGTGCGATTTAAGTTTTTATAAATTTCAGCAAACGAAAAAGAGAAGACAATATGATATAGTGTGCTGGATTCAATTTTTATCCGCTAGGTGGAGAAAAAGAGGGAGGGGGAATGTGAGTTGGGAGGAGAGGGGAAGCTTGGGAGCGGAAGTGAAAATTGTCAACAACACGTCTTCTGTGCAACAAATCTGTTGAATTTAAATTTTTTTAATTACTGCAAACGTTCTGCTGGTAATTATGCACGCTAAGTTTCATTATTTATTATTATCTCTAAGTCTTTTGATTATGTTCTCCAAAATTTGATCATAAACCCATGTTTTGTCAAAGCTTTTTGCCACAAGAGCCGGCATGTTTTTTTATGCCGACGGGGATTAATTAATTATTACAATTTCATTTCCAGATCTTGAAGAAGTTGAAGACCAAAAATGGACTTCCAAAACCGAGCAGGAGGAAAGACGGGCGGTGGAGGCGTCGCCTCCTGGTCCGAAACAAACAGAGATCGACGAGAGCGGCTAAGGCAACTTGCTCTCGAGACCATCGACCTCCAGAAGGATCCTTACTTTATGAAAAATCACCTTGGTATGATATATTGAGCACTCATGTCAATAATTTATTCAATTTCAAAATGTCCCTTTTAAGGCTCCTATGAGTGCAAGCTGTGTCTGACCTTACACAACAATGAAGGAAGTTATCTTGCCCACACTCAGGGCAAGAAACATCAGGCCAACCTAGCGAGGAGAGCTGCCAAGGATGCTAAAGACGCCCCTGGACAGGTATTAATATTTTATTTAATTGAAAAAGGCTTTAAATTACTTCAAATTTCAGCCACAACCAGAAAAACCAAGAGTGGAACCAAAGAAGTTTGTCAAAATTGGTCGACCTGGCTACAGGGTGACAAAACAGCGAGACCCTGACATGGGACAGCAAAGTCTCTTGTTCCAGATTGATTACCCAGGTGTGTAAACTTTTTTTTTTATCAAAATTTGCATTTAAAAATGTTAAACCCTCATAGAAATTTCGGACCACATTTATCCTCGCCACCGTTTCATGTCGGCCTACGAGCAAAGGGTGGAGCCTCCAGACAGAAAGTGGCAGTACCTGCTCTTTGCTGCTGAGCCTTACGAGACAATTGGTTTTAAGGTTCGTTTTTTATTATTATTTTAAAGGTGAAATAAATATCTTTTTTGTCCAAAGGTGCCAAGTCGAGAGGTGGACAAAAACGAGGGGAAATTCTGGACGTATTGGAACAAAGACACAAAGCAGTTCTTTTTGCAGTTCAGCTTCAAGGCTGAACCGAAAAAAGCAGGACTGATGTTGGGTGCCATGCCTCCGCGGCCTCCAGGCATGCCAGCAAACTTGCCTCCACCCCCTATGCCGATGGGCATGGTGCCGCCTCCACCACCAGCTTTCAACGCTGTTCCGCCACCACCTCCAAACTAACACATCACACTCACTTTTGAATTTTTTAACTCAAATAAAAAAGAAGAATAGAAACGAAAAATATTTCAGATGTTTAAAAGATACAAAATAAAATAAATCTTCCTGAAATTTTGTTTAAAATGTAATTGAATCAAATGCACATTTTTTTCCCTTAAATTTTTATATTCCTGACCAATATGAATCAATTTTTTTTAAATTTATTTTAATAAAAAGGCAAAGAGCCGATGCATTGAATTTTCCTGGGCATTAAATTTACAATTATTTTATTCGATCCCTCCCCACTACCCATTCCCCTCACGCCCCAATGCAAAAGGCGCTGTGTTTTTGTTTTTTGTTTACAATTTGAGTCTGGTGGTTTCATCTACCGGCTTTGCAAATTTTCCTGTCTTTCCCAGCTAAATAAAAGAGTCAGTTTTAGCAATATCGGCTGAGATTCGCTTTTTATAACCTTTGACATTGGGAGCTGCAAACATATTAAGTGTGAGTTTCGTTTTGCGGTGTCTTTTGTGTGTCCATTCTGACCATATTATTTTTTCATACATTATTATTATTTTTTTTTCTAAATTTTATCTGCCTAAATTGCGTCGCCTACATAAAAATTATGAAATTATTCTTATTCAATAATCATTATTAATTTGAATGATTTTATTAAGTCGTTGTCAGGATTATTATGTACATATTAAATATATATGTATGCGTCAGTATATTATGCATAATGCGTACGTAGCATAATTACGAATATGCAAACGCAAAAACATTGAAAACTGTAAGCATTTTACAATTTCTACAAGTCTTACATCTGCATACGGTTGTATTTTTCCTACTGCCACCTACATACTGCTTTTAGTATTTTGTGTTTAAAAATCAAAACGGATTATTGGAGTCAATACAAATTCTTCAAGTTTTGCGCCCATCTCAAAATGTTTATTTGGATTGTAAAATTTTAATTAGGTATGAGAAGTAACGTTGAAGAAAATAAATATGAAATTACATTTTACTCTTCTTTGCTCAGGTCAAAACACAATAATGGATCCATCGAGCTCCTCAGGCAGTGGCCAGCTGCGGGACGTCCTTCCAAACACCAGCAAGTCCAAGTTCTATAGACCGGATAAACTCCTGCCTACGCCCGACTCTAAAACCGAAGGCCCTTCTTCGTCCAGCAAAGGGCCGGTCAGCTTTGTGCCATTGCTGGTGAATCCTCGTCAGAGGGGCAACCCTTTGCTGAAACATGTGACCAACGTTGCATGGCAGTTTGACGATGGTATTGCTGCCGACTATGTGACCTCTCGGACAGCAGGCATCCTCTTCCTAAGCCTTTGCTACCACAACCTAAACCCTGAGTACATCCACGATCGGATCAAGAACATTGCCAACAATTATGACCTGCGAGTCCTGTTGGTGCAGGTTGACTTTGCCAACAGCGAGCCTGTGCTGAGAACTCTCAACCGAATCTGTCTGCTGGCCCAAATGACCCTAATGCTGGCCTGGTCAGCCGAGCAGGCAGGAAAAATTGTCGAGACTTACAAGATGTACGAGAACAAGCCTCCAGACATGATCATGGAGAGAAACGACGACGAACCGTATTATCAACTGGTCAAGGCCCTCTGCTGCATTCCGAGCGTCAATCGTGCCGACGCCATCACCCTGCTCAGTGTATTTGGGTCGCTTGAGAAGATCGTCAAGGCTCCGCTCGAGCAGCTTGAACTCTGTCCAGGAATTGGGCCAGCAAAAGCTGAGAGACTGTGGAGAGCCCTGAGGAAGCCATTCTTGCGCCAGGGAGTGACTCAGGCAGACGCCCTGAGAGTGGAGGAAGAACTAGGTGTAGATGAGGAAGAGGAGGACTTGAACGATTTAGCAAATTAGGGCTTGAAAAAAAAACTAAATGTTCACAGAGTAAAATCAAGCCCGTGAAGTTTGAATTGAAAAAAAAATGTAATGAAGAATGTCTCAAGTGATGATTTGCACAATATATACTTTTATCACCTTTGTAATTTTTGGCTTTTTTATTTTATTTGAATCAAGAACCATACTCCATTCTTATATTGAGTTTTGTTTTTAAGAAATAATAGTGATTTTGTATAATTTGTCTTTTTTTCTACAAATTTTTAATTTACTGCTATTATTTTACTTTTTTCCAGACTCATAGAAAATACTCCTGTGAAGAATGGCTGCCATTGAAATAGACCCAGACATCCGTAAGGCAATCCGCCTAATGTTCTCTTCAGCCCCAGACTCGACAGATCTTTTGAGAGCCATGCTTGAGGATGCCATTAAAGCCAAACACGGAACATCCAGGAGCCTCGGAAATGTAGTGACTGCCTCTTCAAAGGTATGTTGAAATATTAAAATTTTTCTAATCTTATAATGTTTTTTTTAATGAAGTCTGACAGCGAAATGTGCATTATCCTGGACAGAGATTCTGAAAATTCTGGTTCCGAAAAAGATCCCGATGATGATGAAGTGCAGGCGCTGGAACTAGAAATGATGGAGGAAGATCTCAAATGCAACGTTTGCAAGTAAATTTAATTTATTTAAATATAAAGTTTGAAGTTTATTAAAAAATAAAAATAATAGGGAAATGAATGTCACCCATGGGAATCGGCTGATTGAGTGTACTGAATGCCACGAACTCTATCACCAAGAGTGTCATTCACCTACTATTCTCAATAAAGAGATTGACGATCCCAGGAAAACTTGGTATTGTTCATCTTGCAAGCAGGCCACTGCTGAAGCTGTTAAGCAGGTAATTTTTTAAAGAATTCAATTAGTACAGTTTATAAACTAAAAATTTCCTATTGCAGACAACGATTAAAGCCCTGTCACCAGGCCCGGGAGGAAAATCACTTCGATCTTCCCCCAATTTGATGAAAGACCCTTTGGCGACAAACACAAAGCCTGTTCCTGCAAAGAGCAGTGAAATGACCTCACTCTTTAAACGATCTGAACGAGCTGTAAAATCGTATGCTGTAATTATGTGGGGCTTTTTTAATTTGGATCTCTTAGGGATCATCCGGAGCTTCAAGTAGCAGTGCATCATCATCTGCAGCTAAAACATCTGGTCTGGCAGCGATGGCTGCAAGTTTGCAGAAATCAGGCTCAACTTCGAGTAAAAGCTCGAGTGGAAAAAATTCAGGGCCTGATTCGCCAGCCAAAAGTTCTTCGTCTTCAAAATCTTACTCTTCCTCCTTAGGTAAAAGTGTGTAAAATAATAATTTTTTTATTGACATTATTTTTTATTTCTGAAAATAGGCAGTGGCATTGGAAAGATTTCAAGCTCCTCGTCAGTACCGTCACCCACGAGTAGCAACGCTGCCGCTGATAAACGGTTGCAGAACATGAAAAAGAAAGCTGCTACAAAACTGCAGGAGAAAAGAAAGCACGCCAAGTGAAATTAAAAATATATATGTCTATAATTAATCTAATTTTTTAAAGTTACACTTGAAAATGTTTGAAATTGTAATGGTTTCTGGTGAATTAGTTATTCTGAATAAAATAATTAATTGCAAAAGATTAATATTGAATAATAATTATTCTCTTATGTGAAAGTATAATAACAATGCATATAATCACAATATAAATATGTTATTATTGTGTTGTGTTTCAGTTTCATTCTGTGAAATACTGTTCACGACTCAATCTTCAATCTCCATTGGACATTTTATACACATAGCATTTAAGCGCCTGCATGTTTATTAATGCGGCAACTTGCATTACACTCCTGCTTAGCGCGTTGCATAAGCTCGCCTTGATTGGTGGCAGCACTGTTGATATTGCCGGCGCCGGCGGAAAGTAAACAAAACAATTCAAGGATTGTGTTATTGTGAAGGGAAGCGAAAAAAGATATTTTTTTGATAGTTTTTAAAGACTGTATCAATACTTTCAATCTAGATAGTGTTTTCTAAATGCTCGATTGATTAGAATTGTCGTGTACATATGATATTGATATCACAGTCTTTCCGTGACAATGAAGCTGGTAATTATTAAAAAAAAAAAAAAAACGAACTAAAAACATTCATGAGGAATATTTGTTTCAGTACTGTCTAAGCGCCCATTCAAACAAACCATGCAACATTCTTCAATTCAAAGAAGTGACCATCATGCTCGACTGTGGCCTATGGGCAGCGTCGGTGATGAACTTCCTGCCTTTGCCCTTGGTTCCAAGTCAGAGATTAAACAGCCTCAGCAGCTGGATGCCTCGAGACTGCTCAGACCCTCAATTGGAAGGGGTGAGAGATTATTGACAAAAAACTGCCTGATTATGCAAATTAATAATTTATTTTATGCGCAGGAATTGAAAGAGTGTGCTGGTCGAATTTTTATCGACTCTCCTCCCGAGTTTGGAGTTCCAGCGAGCAATGTCGTCGACTATTCACAAGTTGATGTCATTCTCATCTCCAATTACTCTTGTATGTTGGCCTTGCCCTTCATAACAGAAGGAACAGGTTTTCACGGAGTTGTGTATGCTACGGAGCCAACTCTGCAAATTGGAAGGTAAAAAATATTACTTTAATTGTTTGATTTTTTTCTTCAGAAATAATATATTTGTAGACTATTCCTTGAGGAGTTGGTTCAAACAGTTGAGAGAAGTCCCAAGGCTGTTTTGGCCAAGCACTGGAAAACTCTCCAGCACCTTTTGCCAGGCCCTCTAAAGGACGCGCCTTTTCCCAAAGCTTGGAAGCAACTCTTCGACGCCAAAAGAGTTGCAGCAAGTTTGTCGAAAATCCAAATGGTCGGCTATAATGAAAAATTAGTAAGTTTTCTCCACCATAAGTTTCCAGGAAATTCAATCTTTTTTTTCCAGGACGTTTTTGGTGCATTGACTGTGACACCTGTAAGCTCAGGGTACTGCTTGGGGTCCAGCAACTGGATCATCGCCTCTCCATATGAAAAGGTTGCTTATGTGAGCGGTTCTTCCACCCTCACCACACATCCTAAGTAATAGTTTGATAAAAACGATTTGCAAAAAAAAACTAAATATATTTTTAAGGCCAATCGATCAAAATGCTTTGAAGAATGCAGATTTGTTGATTTTGTCTGGCCTTACTCAAACCCCAGCCTCGAATCCAGACTCCATGCTTGGTGACCTGTGCGTCACAGCAGGTGAAAATTATATCTCAAAGATCATATTATGCTGTTTATTTTATCTTTATTTTTTTTTTAATTTGAAAATTAATTTCAGTTATGACGTTGCGAGCTGGCGGCAATGTGCTCATTCCCTGTTACCCGAGTGGCGTTGTTTACGATTTATTTGAATGCCTTTCAATTCATCTGGACACAGTGGGACTCTCTTCCATTAAAATGTTCTTCATTTCACCAGTTGCAGATAGTTCTTTAGCTTACTCAAATATTTTGGCAGAATGGTTAGTTTCTGGAAGAATTTAAAATTTAAACTTAATTTTAATATTTGATGTAGGTTATCTTCCGGGAAACAGAGCAAAGTTTATGCCCCCGAAGAACCTTTTCCCCATGCCCACCTGGTACAAACTGGACGTCTAAAGCATTTCAAAAATCTTTGGGCTAAAGGCTTTAGCACCGAGTACAGACAAGTAAATAATTAATTCATAATTAACATGCAAAACAATGTTTACTCTTTTAATTATAGCCATGTGTTGTTTTCTGCGGACACCCCAGTCTGAGATTTGGAGATTCCGTACATTTTATGGAAATGTGGGGCTCCAATGCTTTGAATACAGTGATTTTCACAGGTACATGAAATAATATGGCAAAACTTGAGCAGCAAAAATTGATTTACATTTTGTTATGCTTAGAACCTGACTTTTCTCATGTGGACGCCGTGGCTCCTTTCCAACCACTGGCCATGAAGGTCACCCATTGCCCCATTGACACATCCTTAAACTTCTCTCAAGCCAACAAATTGGTCAAAGATTTACGACCATCCTACGTTGCCATTGCCTCAGCCCACCGAGAGCCACCTGTCACAGCACCACATAGGAGCGACTTGATCTTTGAAGCAGTAATTATTTTTATGATTATTCTTCGCCATTATTTTTACATAATTTTTTTAGGATTGTCCAATTCTCTCACTAAACAGAGGGGAAGTCATAACAGTGCCTCTCAAAAGGCACAAGGAGCAACTGAAAATTAGTCAACCTTTGGCTAAAACAATCAGACCTACTGCGATTCGACCCGGTCTCAACCTGGCCACTCTGACCTCATCTCTCTCTGCGAGAGACAATCAATTCACAGTCAATGTTTGTAAAATTGTTATTTTAATCTTACAATATTTTATAAATCAAATCCTAGGTGGTCGAAGATATTCCTCAGAAACCGATTGTGATCGAGAAGGTGATACCTTCTGGCAGCAAGCGACGAAGAGGCGTTCCGAGTGCAGTGCAGACCGTGGAATTAACTCCGCCCTCGATCAAGCACCGCAAACCTTCGTCATACACCTGGGGCTCGTTGGACGTTGATGACTTGCTGGCAAGAATGTCCAGTGAGGGAATTTTGGTTGCTAAGCCTGAGCCAGATGCAAATGGGAACTGTGTTATTCATTTGGTATGAAAAAAATAATATCATAAATTGTGGAAAAAAGTGAACAATGGATTTCTTGCAGCCAAAAGAAGACACCATTATTCAAGTCGAGGTGAACTGCACTCACATTTTCTGCCCAGACGAAGCACTGAGGCAAAAGCTGCGCTCCATTCTCATACGGAGCCTCAATAAGTTTTAACAAAACACACATCAATCTATGTTTGTAAGTACTGTGGAATATTTATTTCATTATCGTGACAGAATAATGATTTGCGACTTTGGTTTTCCTGAATGAAAAGTTGCCAAAGATTGAATGTTGAAGCTTAATAATAAGATGAATTACAATAATTTTGGGTACTGAACCTTTTTAGAATGAAACAACATTAATACTAAAACTCACGGTTATATTTATTAGAAAAAAAGAATGCACTGTACAGTTTATTATTTCATAAAGTTTGCAGTCCCTGCGTAAGCAATATCAATCAATTTTCGTGGCGCGCTTTTGTACAACAATTAACAATTTCTGATCACTACTTGGCGGGCTCTGTGATTATTTCCTTGTTATTGATGATGCTGTTGCCGTGCAGCCCCAAATCGTTCATCATGAAGCGCGACTGTTGATTCCTGAGATTAAGAATCGGTCTGTGGAATCCGTTTTTGTGGAGGTGTTTGCTGGCTGAGTTGTTACCGATGAGGGCTGGCGTCGAGTGTTGGCGCACAATGTGCGGGCGGAGTGCGTCACCGCGCCACGCTGCGTCATGGGCTTCGGCTCCAGAGTCCATGAAGTCTTTGAGCAGGCTGAATGTTTCCAGGGGCAGGGACCTGTGAATTTAATTGTTTATTGTTCAGTCTCGTAATTTTTCCTTATTTTTAGTAGAAACAAATTGAAAAAAAAGCATTCGATTAAAGTAGGTTCAAATACCACCGTGGTATGTGTATTTCATCTTCGTTTTATTTTATTTTACTATAAGAAAGTTGGAAATTTGATATAAAATTAATATTATGAGATATGAGATACTTTAACTGTTTAATTAATGTTAAATTTTAAATTCCTTGTTTTTTTTCATTATACTTAAAATGTCTTATAGACTTATTCCAAAATCCGGGACGAAAATGGCAGTAGCAAAAATATCGAAGAAACAGAACAAACGCACACAGTACGTACAGTACACCAGACCAAAAGGACAGAAGTTCAAAGTAAATAAAGAGCAGAATTTTCCACAGACTGGTGTTCGATCTGAACTTACTGATTTGATAATTAATTGGTGTTTACCGAACAATGTTGTGCAGGGGCAGCAGCCAGCCGGGCACGCTGGCCTCCCTCTCGTTGCGGCGGATCGCTTTGATGATCTCTTGGGCGGCGTACTCGGGTCTTTGAACTCCCAAGAGACGAGGGAAGCGAAGACGAGGTCGCTGCACCTGGCCGGTGTTCACAATGAACGGGTGCACGGTCGTCAGGTGAATGTTGGGACGGCGTGCGTCTTCCCGAAGCTCCGAGCCCAACGCCTGCATCAGACCTATGAATTTTAAATTTTTATTTAAATCCATTCTTAAATTATATAATTTGAAATTAATTACCTCTGACGGCAAATTTGGTCGCACTGTATGGCACCAAATTGGCCGATCCGACTAGAGAGGTCATGGAGCCGATGGCACAAACGTGGCCGTGGTTGTTTGCAATCATGTCGGGCAAGAACGCCTCCAATATCTAAAATGTCAAGTTAAAAAAGAAGATTTTTTAAAGATTTATTTTTTAATTATACCCAAAAGTGACTGATGACGTTTATTTCAAAGACGCGCTTGATTTGTTGAGGGTTGTGGTCGAGCACGGGATGAATAGGAACTATTCCCGCATTATTTATGATCAGTCCAATGACACCGACCTGCAAAATTCAACACAATCTTATCAACACAATAATTATTTTTTTTAGCACTGCTGCCTTTTTCTGATTTGTATCACTGAACGAATAAGTGTGTCTTTGAGCAGATTAAAATTCATGTGTTTTTTGCTTAATTAATTTTTTTTTTTTTTGACCATTACATTTTTGGTGGCTTTTTTTCTATCATATTTAAGTTGGAAAAAAAGTATACTGCCAGCTTCATTTTGTGAACTTCTTTTAAATCATTAATTAATTCTTTTCCGACTGAGATGCAGTACAAAGGGCAAAGATCGTCGGCCGCTCAAATATCGATTATGTTTATTTATGCACGTAGGCAGCTCACTTGTTGTGATGCGCTTTGTGCCGTTCCCCATGCAGCCAGCCAAACACCAAGAATCTCGTGACCATTTTTTTTTAAATTAAAAAAAAAATCAATAAAAATATCTTATACCAAATGGAGAAATAAATTTAACAAATACAAACATCTAATACAATTTGGTAAAAATAAAAAAAATAGGCAATAAATAATGTTGATTAAAAAAACGTGACACTCACTTCTCGGCGCACTTTAGCAGCAGTCTCGAGCACATGCGTCCGGTCCGATATGTCGCAAGAGTAGTGGACCGCCCTGCCACCCTTTGCTCTGACCTCTTTGGCCGTTTCCTCACACCTGGCCGCGTCGATGTCCCACAGGGCCAAGCGGCCACCAAGGCCTGCTAACTGGAGCGCCAGTTCGCGCCCAATTCCATGACCGGCGCCGGTTATCTGATTAAAATTTTTAAATAATTCTTTTCTGGGAGCTATTTTGAAAATATTTACCAGAATGTTCTCGTCTTTCAAAGATTTTTCCTTTGGCGGCCGAACAATTCTGAAGATTGTGTGGATGATTGAAAAAATGAGCTTGAACTGGAGGGCGAATAAATCCAGCACAACGACGAATAATGAGTAGATCGCGATGAGCACCATGTCTGTGGAAAATGTTTAATCAATATATTATCCTCGTATATGAAAAATAGGGCAAAAAATCACAAATTTTCCGCGCTCTTTTGAAATCTGAATGGTGAACAATATACACAGATTTGAGTTATCTGCGTCTCGTCTAGACAAAAAAGATACAGAGATTAAGGAGCAAAGTCTGATTTTGCTCAACGATCGTCAAATCTAGGCAAGTGGATCAATATTATAAAACGCACAACTTTTGAACCATGTGAAGAAAGTCCATTTTTCTTATTTCTGTCCGAATGGATTTTTTATACAATCGTGTAAATCCATTTATGGGCTCTCCGCGCATTTACGAGTCAAGTCCATTGTAGTAAGCGATTCGCATTTTAATTGCTAAATATGCAATTAGAGCAGAATAGTGAAGAGGTCAATGTGCAAAATACAAGTCTCTGCTATGAAATTATTCAACGCGTGCCAATATAATCTGAAATAAATTTCGTGGCAATCAGAGGCCATCCAATTATGAACGCGTCGTATGATTGTAAAATGTTTTTGTAAATAAAAAAAATTTATAGGTTTGTAATTAAGAAATAGTCTCGGCAACGCCAACTTTTTATTTCAACAGCCGTAAATTGTGCGCGCAGGCAGTGTCAGTCAATGAAAGATGCTGCTTTGCCTGCAGAAAAAGTGCTCGCGCGCTCAGAAGAATTAATTTATATCAAAATACCGCATTCAGACGACACGCCATCAAAACGTTACAGAGGTCGTGACATTTTTAAAATGTGATATCAAGAATGCTCGTTTGCGTAGCAAATGCGCAAAATATTTAAAACTCGATACAATAAAGTTTTGAGATATAAAACTTATTGAGGTGATAAATCTAAATATTAAAAAAATCCAAATTTTGTTGTTGGAAAATTTATGAGCCCGGTTTAGAATAATACATATATTAATATAAATGTGTAAATTTTAAAACGCAGCAGCGTAAAAGTTGAAATAATTCATCATTGTTAAATTTGGTTTCCGTAACAGAATAGTCAGTTAATGCGTAAATTTTTACCTTTTATAGTGTATCAAATGGAATGAACAGAAGATATTAAGCAATGGAAAGCGGAGCCGCCGTCGTTGGTGTGCAGCATGCTTGGAGCGAGGAGTGCGACTGACGGACACTCGCTGACTGTTAGTAACACTGGAGGCGGTGTGCGCCGGCGAGAATGCGGCTCGACCGCCACCGAGGTTCAAGGGCGAAATCCTCTTTCTCTTTTCTCACATTATCTTATCGGCTCCGGGGAAGGCAGAGCGTTTGTGGAATATTAGATAAATAGTCATATTAAATTTTTCGGATTTAAATGCTTAGTTTTATTATTTAAAGAAATGGAATTCACAAAAAAAATTACAATTTTATAAAACTTTTTATGTGTTTCTAGTTCTCTTAAATTTCTGGGTCTATAATATCAAGATATTTAGATGATTTTGAAATATTATCAGCCAGGTCTTAGCAGCAAAAATATAATAATCAATAATCCAACCATTTCTGCCTCAACGCTACGCAAGCACGAGTTCATTGAGAAAACTCACAAGTGCTACATTAGCTCTTTTAAATTCTTAAAAATTTTTCTTATCTTTATAATAGCTCAGATCAAGGTGTTTTAAGGACTTTGAAATTATGAGACTATAAGGAGGAATTTCTTATGAACAAAAGAAGCTGCCTAAAAAAAAAAATATTGGTTTATAATTGCTTAGTAAGGGCAGAAGTTGCTTTATTTGCCTGTTCCGCATGTATTTACTACATAAAATTAATGCAATGAATTGAAATTAATTCAAATTTTTGAATTAAAAGACCAAGAGATTTAATTTCTCCTAGCCCACTGGGATTGGCCACTGTGCATCGAACGACCAGCTTCAGCATTACTGGGTCCAGGCTGGGTAGAAATCTTCCAACGAGGATACTCAACATTTCCCATATTTTGATATTGAGAGTAATTTTGATAAGGTGCACCCTGCATGGTTTTTGGTCCCAGTTGAGGGGCCGGAGGTGCTCTTAATGGAGCCGAGGGACCCGGAGCTGAGGAAGCCGCAGATGGTGCCTTGTATGCGTTGATCTTGTAGCCTTCGTCGAGATAATCGTTGGTTGGAATAGATGCAGAAGAAGCTGTTTGAGTTGGCAAGCTCTTGGGCCACTGCTCTCTCAACTGATCATTGTAGACGTCCAAGGCGGCAGGTCTGCGCAGGCTTGAAAAATAAGAGTTTCCTTGAGGCTTATAGCTTGAAACCTCCTTTTCTGGTTCTTGCCTAATTGTAAGACTAAAAATCAAACTTTTTTTACTTGAATAGTTCTTATTATACCTAGCTCTGTTGGAGTATGATGATACGGTAGTTTGCGAAATGGCCCTCGGCAAACTTTCTGTCTGCTCACTGTAGAGTCTGGGTGGGGTGACTCCTCTCGGAGGACTGTTGCGTCTCCTTGAGTAAACATCAGGAGGGCTGCGAGACCTCTCGACATACGACGAATGCGCCCTACTTCCTTCCCAGATTTCCGTGCTACGACTTGGCCTTTGAATTTCAGCAAGCAGCTTCTTTTGCTTGATCCTCAGGGCCGTCAGAAATCCTTCCTTGAACCGCTGAACAGCCTCTTCCTCTTCCCTCTGCATGGCTTTAAAGTCGTGCAAAACCCCATCAGCAATTCTGCTGCCCCACGTAAAACCCAGATTTTCAGCTTCGTCGAACTCTTCTCTCGACATGAATTCCTTACAGTCCGTCTGAGTGGCAACTTGCCTTAAGGATGGTGGTCGAGGTGCCTGAGGCTGGGGTTGCATATTCATGAATGGCTGCATTGTAAACTGTGGATTCTGTGGTTGCTAAGAGGACAAATATCTCATATTAGCTAAGGTGATTAAAAGTGTTGAGTATATAGTTTAATTTAAAGCTTATTCATGAATTTTATTAATTTTGTTTTATCAAACTTCATCAGCTACAAAATTGTTTAAAAGTTAGAGGCAACTTGAGGTACCTGAAATTCTTGAAAATGCATTGGTATTTGAGGGTTGTTTAGAAGGGGATGAGTGTTCTGCCCCATGAATTGAAGAGCTGCCTGAGGTTGCCCAAAATCAATTCCCTGTTGAAACGGACGCCCAAAGTTAGGTCTTTGTTGACCTTGATTCCCAAAATTAGTTCCCTGACGACCCTGATGCCCAAAATTGGACCGCTGTTGACCTTGGTGGCCAAAACTGGGTTGATGTTGGCCTTGGCTGCCAAAACTTGGCCCTGGTTGGCCAAAATTTGATAGCTGCCGATCTTTCAGTCCCCTATTTTTACGCAGCTTTTGTTTTTTAAGTTTAGGAAGAGGTGGTTCTGCAGGTACAGGAGCAGGAGGTTGCTCAATTTGCAGCAATCTACGTTCTTCTTGCTCATTTATTAGTCCTTTCTCTAAACAATACAATTTTTTTTAGAACAAAAAGGATTACCTTTTCTATTGAACATACTTTTAAGTGAAAACAAATATCTCTTCCTCCCCTTCCTTGTCATCCTTGACGCAGTTTCCGCATACTCAGCATGTAGAATGTCTTTGGCCATGTCACATACGACCTCGATTTCATCCTGCGTCTCTTCTTGCTTCAGCTTGCTTTTGTCTGCATTGTCACCAGCCTTTTTTCCTCCATGGGCAGGAGGAATGTTAGCAGCATGTGTCTTCTTACCATTTTCCTCTTCCAGGGCAATGTCAGCAGCAGGAAGCAAGTCCCTCAGGGTGTCAAGGGAAATTCGCTCCAAGAGAATAACAACTTCGTACTGCTTTGCAAATGGGAACATGTCAATGGGGATGACACGGACAGGCACAAAAGGGTCGCCAGGTGTAACTTTTGACGGGTGTTTACCCAAATGGACCAAGTTTTGGTAAGATGCTTCAAAATTGCAAGCGACAAATACCAGGGTCTTGATCTTCCACGTAGCTCTAATTGTGTTCAGAACGTTTTTTCCTGTAAATTATCTCCTAAGAAAGAACTTCTTTCAATTAAAAATAATACAAACCAACGCCAGGTCTAGGTGGGTCAATTATAGCCACAATGTTGTCATGTTTGGCCCTAACCACAATAGGCTGCAGGGAATCATTAGCACAGCCAGTGAAGAAATCACACTTATCCTGAACGCTGTTACGAACTGCGTTCGTCTTTGCATTTTCCACAGCAGCCTTTACTATTTCAACACCCAGGATCTGTCCGGCATGCTATGATTTTAAATTTTGTGAGTGAAGATAACAGTCTAAAGAATTTGTCTTATACCTTTGCCATAGTAATGCCTATGGTGCCTGTACCACAGCAAATATCCAAAACGGTCATCTTTTCATTAGGAGCAGCTAGTTCGGCAATGGTTGAGTAAAGGATTTCGGCACTAGGAGTGTTTATCTAATTGAGAACAGTTTAAGTGATGGTTGATATTATAATGCTGTTCATCTTACTTGGAAGAATGATTGAGGTGAAATTTCAAACTCGTAACCAAGCAATTTTTCCACAATTATTGGCTTTCCATATATCAGAGATGAGGGACGATAAGCGTCACCTTTCTTGGTTCTAAAAAGATTTTTGTGTTTGTCAATTACAAGTTAAGGTTGATTAAGTCTTACTGCACTGTCACTTCTTTTAAGTAGAGAGAGTCAACTTCAAGCTCCTTGCCAGCACCAGTGACAAAAAACTCTTTGTAATCTTCTCGGAACTTAGCAAGTTGCTCTTCACTAAGGCCAGTTGTGCAGATGTCCAAATTGATCATCAGCTGGTCAAGAGATGTGTTTCGGACTCCGAGACATTTAAAATGACCACTGCGAGCAACTGGATCGTATGGTTCTAATTCCGAACTGGCCACAAAAGCCTCAAAAATCTTAGCACATTTCTTTGCAATGTCGCTGATATGAAGGCTGTCATTGGGTGGGAAAACAGAACAATCACCTTCTGCATAAGAGCGAAGTCGAAATCCAACAGCTCGTTCCCCAGTCACAGCATGGTGACCTGATAATATTTGAAAAGAAGCTTAATAAAATGCAGGATTTATTAAGACTGAGATTTACCAATTGTGAATTCACACCGGTTTCTGTATCCTGTGGTTACTTTGCTGGATCTGAAAGGCTCCAGAGGGCAAATCAGACCATCATGTTTAGCAAATTGTTGATCAATCCAGACTTTCATTGGTTTGTGGTTCTGGGTAAACAATCTGTTGGCATAGGTTTTCATAATTTCCTTGATTTCCTTATATTTTACATCCAACTAAAAAAAAGTTTAAAAGGTTTAAACACATGAAATACCTAGAACCACCTTATCAATCACCTGTTCGTCGTACGATTGTCTCCAATACGGAGTAGTTGAATCTTTCAGCTTTTCCGTACACTTGATGGTCATTTCTTCAATGTCTACCTTTGCCACTTTTTGCTTCGTTGTCTGCTCGGCATCATTTTTCCTCTTCAACATCAGTGGATCTTTGGCAGGCTTGGCAACCTTATGGCAACTTGAAGATAAAATCCATTCATAATTTAATTTTTTTATCCTCTTACAATAGCCTCCAAAGTTGAGCCTTTCCAAATGTACCCATTCAAGGCAGAAAGTGCTCTTTGCTTGTGGGCCTCACAAGTAAATCCAACGAAAACAGAACGACAGTTTGAGCGACTTGCGGGCTTCACTTTGGTTGCATCCAATTTTAAAATATTCAAGAGTTTTTTTATCTCCTGCAAAATTTGTATTGTAATTATTTGCATTTATGAAAAATATTGAAGGTGTTTACCCCTAAGCCAAAAAATTTAGGCAATTTCCGAATCTCAATTTTAAAAATTTCTGATGTGAAGAGATTCTGATTGGTGTAATAGTAAGGGTCATTCTTCTCTTCAAGCTCTTCAAGCTCTTCAGACTCTAGCGACTCTACAGTACCACTTTGCGTAGCGTCATTATCCTCTTCTTGCTTCTGCTTGTCTACATTTTCATCAGGGGCACTACTTGGTAAAACTTTTACTGTCTCGTCATCGATTTCTTTTTCGGGTTGTGGATCTGCCACTTCAGGCTCCTGTTGAGGATCAGACAGGGCTGCAGAGATTGCAGCCGAAATTTCAGCTGATGGAACGTCCGACAGAGACTGGGGTTCAGACATTCTGATGACACCTGAAAAAATCAATCATGTCATGATATGTATGTATATTATTTTATATGTATAGCTGTGTATATAGGCCCCAATATTAAGTACATACATAGAGCTCTATATCTGGCCTAAAGGAATAGTAAAAAAGAATGGATCTGGAATGGATACGTACAGGGTAAAAAAAATGTTTAAAAAATACATACTCACGCTTTCAAGCTGAAATTAATATGTAGTAGCGAAATTCTTTGCTGAAGATATTTATGTAAATCACGGACACGGTCAATGTGGTCATGCGGTTTTTAGAAACACGAAACACAGTTGAGAAGTTGTCTAGTCGTCGGAAATAAAAACTTATTTACATTTTTTTGTTAAAGAGTAAAAACTAATTCTGTTTTCAAACCGGCAAAGGGATCGTTTTGGACGCTAGAACCAATTTGCACAAATAAACGTGTTCGATATTTGTATCCCGTGTCCCGACTGTCCCGTGTATTTCTCGACGTTTTTCCTCAGTAGCTGCGCGAGTGGCCAAAATTGATTTTGCGCATGCTCGGTGGAAAATCGAGATTCAAGTTGATGAATTTCTGAGCACGAACCGAGGCAACTGAGGTGGGCGTGTTACAACAATTTCTGTGTGGGTGGTGGGAGTGTCAGCAGCAGACGTAATTAGAGCGAAGATAACAAAAAGTCGCACTTCTTGTCTCTTGACGAGTCCGAGGTGCTCATGGTGCGTCACTCGAGTCAAAACTCGTCCACCACCCTTCGACGGATGTAGGCAGCAGTCAAATTCTGCCGAACCCTGGAATCGCCAGCAATGTCGACCTTCCTGAAAAGCTGCCGTCGGATCCTCTCCGTGAGACCTCACTAATTTTGCATAATTATTTCTTGGTCTATAAATTTGCCTTAAACGCAGGATGTACCAACGCGGCTGTCAAACGCTGGAATTGTTTCGACCGAGGAATGCGAAAACTGCCATGCAAACTTCAACATCATTCGTAAAAAAGTATAAACCAACTCTTATTATGATTTTTATGGCATGCAAAATTAATAAAAAAGGCGCCTTGTAACAATTATTAATGCGCGACCACACCACCACACGGTGTGAAAAGCAAGCAGACGCCCTTGAGTGTATTTCTATTTCAATGCACGATTAATTCTGTTTGAGAGCGTCATTTTTTATTGGAAAGTCATACTAAGTGTGTTTGTTTAGTACATCTGCAACAAGTGCACCAGATTCTTCTGTTCGGACTGTCTAAATAAGAGGGTCACGATTTGCAACTCATGCAGGGTGCTCAGCACTTGGCCCGTCAACAGGGCACAATTACAGCCCCTGAAGGCCAGAGACATCAAGGCCTATTTGTCTGCAAACGGTGTATCTACCCATGGTTGTGTTGGTACGATCATTTACTTCAGCCTCAAAGGATATTTTGTGCCTGACAACAAAAATAATTCCAACATTAATCAAAATAATTGAGAAATAATGTATATAATTATTTTGTCTTTCGTATGCTTTTAAGCAAGTTGAAAAAATAATTGTTAGTTGCCCTAGAAAAAGTGATATCCAATATCAATAGTTTTTCTTTTTTTTTTATAAATTAATTTACAATTTTTTCTTCACTTTAATGTTTAACTATTATATTTTTAGAACTTTAAACCATTTTAAAGTGATTATTTTTTTTCAATAATATAGAACCATATTTAAGATTTAAGTCATATAATGCATAGTTTCATTTTGAAATTTATAAAATTATCATGAATATTTTTAAAATTTGAAATATTAAAATAAATTAATATTATCATGTAATATGCAAATATGATCAGGAAACCACTATTCCATTGCATACGACACTGATCAACTAAAAATATCGAGTCATCTTTCAGATGTATTGTTCTATCTTTTGTTTTATTTTTTTTTTAATGCATTTTTTAAATTTTAATGCAAAAATTTTATATAGAAAAAGAAGAACTAGTCGAGTTGGCCCTGAGTCACCTGGGAAGCCGCTACCAAACTCACCCAATTCCACCATACAGTCCTCGGCGCATGTCAACACCAGTCGTCGACGAATCTTGGGTTTTGATTAACGAACGTGGAGGCGAGCCGTCGTCCTCCTCTTCAGGAGACACCGAGGCCCATGTGCCATCAAACCATTCCAGCTCTGCAAGCAGCTCGCCCTCCTCGCACCTGCCCCCTGACCTGTCATGTCCCGCGCCGCCGCCTCCAACCATAAATGTGGTCTCACCGATCGAGGTGGCGCCAGAAGAACCCGTTGCCTCCGAAGCTGTTCCCATTCCAGGTTCTCGGGAGCCAGAACCAGAGGAGCCCATGTCAACGTCTTTGCCTCCCCAAGGTCCGCCAAACCCGTTGCTCACCAACCTGATGGGTGGAGGCTTGTCAGGGTCTCAGCCCAACCTAAATGCGTCCGGGTCATCAAGCCAAGGAGCGTCTGGCGCGTCTACTAGTGTTCCTCAACGGTCTTCATCAGAGACTATCCTTTCCATTAGCAGAACAAATGTGAGTATTGAGAGTAGGCTTTCATGTATTTCTGCCCTTTGGTTTCAAGCTGAGAATGCAAAATAAAAAACTAAATGCTCCAGCTAGAGATGAGACAGATCTGGATAGATTGAATTTGATTTTTTTTTTTTTAAATAAATATGACAAATCCAGTGAGTCGTATACAACGACTAGATTTTGCAAATTTAACCAAAGGGACCCCATGCAATAATAAAAACAAAATTTAATCATTGCATTGAGCCCCTGTGGAATTTGGATAAAATCTATATTTATAAATGAATAAAAATGTTACAGATTTTAAGGCTGACAGATGAGGAATTGGATAAACTTCCAGTTAAGAATCTAAAGGTATGAGAAGTTAAAATAAATACTTCCTAATTATTTAACAAAAAAATAAATAAACCTTCTATGTATCTTTCCTCCTTGTTCACAAATTAAAATTTTGAGCATATGTGTTCAGATCCTGCTCACAAACCACCGAGTAGACTTCAGAGGCTGCTGTGAAAAGTCAGAGCTGCAGGATCGAGTCAAGCGACTGCGGTTGCAGCTGCAGGCCCATTCAAAAATAGGTATATTTTTTTGCATCCCTTAATTCTGATGAACTGTAATTTTCTTTATTGCTGTATTTTTCAGACGTTGATGAACTGAGTGATGAAAATCTGTGCAAAGTGTGCATGGCCGCACCAATTGACTGTGTGCTGCTGGACTGTGGGCACCTGGTCACGTGCACCTCCTGCGGCAAGCAGATGAGCGAGTGTCCTATATGCAGACAGTATGTTGTGCGCTGTGTCAAAATATTCAGAGCCTAGACACATTTAAAATTCCTAGAAGAGTGGATGAAAAGATGGTGTGCAGTGCCAAACTATTATTCAGAGTTGTAAACAAGATATATTTAATTGCACGCGTTAAAATGTATTACATGTGACCAAAACAAAGCTGTATGTTCCAAAGTATATTACACGGACACATTCTTACAACTAAATGACAATATTCATGACAGTACTGGTTTTGGCAAGGCTATGCAGACATATTGTAAAATCAGGCAAATTTTGTTCTTCATTATTCAGATTTGTTGCTGTCCTTTAATTTTAACTGTTCGAAGCTGATGAGGTTTGCATTTTGAAATTTCCTGACACTGCTTGAATTTTGTGAATTAAATTAATCCCTCCTGCAATCAAGCAAACTCTTATTGATTGACTTGGAAAGACATAATCAAGTCCACATAAAAAGCTTTTATTGAATTTAGTTGAGAAAGACACAAATTGCTGTGAGTTATTTTTGCAATTTTCCTTTAAATTTTTACAAGAGTGTGATTTAGTAGGGGTAATTATGTAATTAAGCCTTTGAATTATATCATTTTTTTTAAATACGTCCTGAAGTACAAGTAACCTTTATGTAAATTTATGAAATTATTCTGTGAAAAAAATAATCCGTAAGAATCAAGTTTTGAGCCTGTGAGAATATTGTAATCTATCGAAAGGCTGGCCCTAAATTATGAAATATAAATAAAAAATATGAATTGTTGCAGTTTGAAAAAAAAGTTTTGCATACACCGAATGAATTTTATTAGTTGAATCATAATCCAATGTAGACAATAATTTAATATTCTGCCTCACTTTTTTCTTTTAAAAGTAGATGCTTAGATTAGCCTTTTGCGCTGCAGTCTCACACACCAGTCATGCAAACACTAATTTTGTTTTTTGCAAGGTTTGACCTGACCAAAAATATGGTTTCCTTTTTTATAGTAGATAATTTAAATTTAAATACACATCTTTAATTATCTGCAAATATTTTGTCATCTTTTGAACAACATTTATGTAAGTCATCTTGAGTGAAATAAAATATCTATATAATAATTTCCATACTTGTAAGGTTTTTAGTAGATACATGACATTAATTTTGTTTTCTATTCATATTATAAGCAACATTAGAAATTTTTCACGCAGAAACCTTAGACATCAATGACTCTTCTGTTATCGAAGCTCAGCTCTGACATGGTATAATAATACATATATCTTATAAAATCAACACAATATACATTTCAAGTGAAATTATCGCAGAGCCAACTTAAATAAAAATTATCACAAACTTTAAAAATTACTAAAAACGTTGCAAGATCGGATGGCATTTATCCCACGCCGACCGAAAATGCAGATTCCAGGAATAGCAATCAATCAACCGACAACAATCATTTAAAAATCATAGTAAAACTTCAGAGAGGAAATTTTCTGACAACCACAAAATCCTCTACTGCTGGGCAGCAGGGGTAGCGGGAGTTGGAGCAGGGGCAGCAGTGGCAGCCTGGTTGAGATTGAGAGTGGAACTGTAGGGCGGAGGAGGTGTTTCCGGCCTTGGGGGCATCATCGGAGGCGGTTCCTTTACAATTTTGGAGTACTCTGGAGGATTAAGGAGAGCCACATTGGCTGCAGCAGCCATATTGGCATTTCCACCATTAGAAGTTGAAGCAACTGAAGCTGCAACGGCTGCAGCAGCAGCAGGGTGCAGGTCGTAGTCAGGTCCCAGTTCGGCAAGTCCAGCAGCTCCAAGCACACTGACAGTGGCGCGGCCTGACATGCGACGTAACGTCAGGTAGCGGTAGCAACGCCAAATCACACTCAACAGATAAAGCTGAAAAATGAGGTAAATCAATTAGAAAATTCCGTTTCCAAATTAAGTATTTACGTAAACTTGGAAATAATTGATCAAATTTGACTAATTTAAATAATAAATATACCTTAATGTAGAGTGCAGCAACCAGAGCCAGAATGGTGACAAATCCAAGAGCAGAGGGGTTCATGTTGTGAAGTTGTTTCTTGACCAGTTCGTTGCCCTGTTCCTCAGCTTGTCTTGCGAGTGCGGTCAGTGAGGGAAGTGCGCACAAGTAGCTAATTGCAATCACCCTAAAAATAGAATATTGTTATATTTCCAGATTTTTTATTTCTTTTTTTTTGTCACTTACACAGCCAGACAGAAATCAAAAACTTTCAAGCAGAAGTAAGGCAGAAGGTAAAACGGACGACCTTTGGCGGCACCATAAATCAAGGCAATGGTGCTAGCGACGGCAATCAGATTGATTTGAGTGTTCATGTTGGGGTCTCCTTGGGAAACAGAATTATCCATGAGTTTAAATTAAATTCGGCAAAAAAATAATTAAATTCAATTTTTGGTTAAATAGATAATAAAATTTGAGAGCTAATTACGAGAGTAGGGTGGTGTCCTTGAGAGTGGCGTAGGCAGAGGAGTCTCAAGAGAATCGTCATCGGCAGGCGCAACAGTTATGGATTTGCTATTGTCGACCAATTCAGGGTGGCTGACCATCACAGCCATTGTGACAAGGGAGAGAACCTGCAGCATCTAGACAAAATGAGAAAAGTTTATTAAAAATCAAAATTTGTAGTTATGTTGATAAAATCCATAAAATCAATGAAAAGAAAAATCCAGAAAGGAGTAATTTTTCGATTGTGCTGCTTGTGCTTGTTTAATGTTTTACATGATTGCGTACGTCCTATCTGCAATAATACATTTTTTATCATGTTATGCTGCACTGTCACGCATTCGCAAAGTCATCAGCCTTTTTCATATTTTATGATAAAAAGAGCAGAGACAGCCCGCGAGAGACCAAAGACCTTAAAATTAGCAAAAACTCTATTTCCTCCTATTTTAATTATTTAATTTGTTTTAATTAATAAAATATCCTTATTTTTTTTTGTTTTTTAAGGAAAAAAACAAATAGATATATGACAGAAAAATAAACACAACCTACCAGCTGCCAAATTCCGATGGAAATAGTTGCTGTCCGCACATGGCAGCAGAAGAAACATATCCAATCTTCTCGCCTGTCGTCTTTTATTCGTATCACTAAAAAAGAAAAAATATAATGAGGGGATGTGGTTGTGGCTACTTCAAACTTTAGAAAATTAGTCTGTTTGTGACGGATAAATTGATATTATTAATCATATATATACTTTGTGGTTTTGACGATCGCAGTGTAGTGTACATTATGTATTTGACTTTCATATGTGCGTTTCAAATTTACATTAAATTTTTGCAAGGACGTTTTTGGGAGAGGAATTAAATACATATTTTTTTAATATTGAAAACTTTTTAAATGGCTTAGGATAACGCATTTCGTGCAAGAAATACAATGAAAAGAGGATGGCAGTTTTCTTCCAGAAACGTAATGAAAATAGCACAAAAGTAACAATAAAATGCACAGGAGGGTCAGTCAAAACATTTCGTTGCGAAAGTGGGGCAAAAACTTCGTGAAATTTCAATCGTTTCAAACAAGATCTGCGAATTTTACTCACTCTTGAAAACCTCTTCTTCGCCCTCTGACTTATTGAAGACGACAGCACCTAGAAAACTTGCAAGATACGCCCGAGAAGGAAGTAAATTACATTAGCAAGTGTTTTGACGTATTCACCAAATGGCGACCATTACTCGAATGACGTCACTCCCCTTCCATTCGTGTGTACTCGGCAGCGCCGAACGCAGGGGAAAAAAAGGACTAGAAAAATACAATAATAATTACATGACTGTAGAGTAGACTATAGCTGTCATAGCTTCATATGTTGTAAAACCGAGTACAAGACCCGACATTTTTTTACGACTTAAATTTTGAATGCAAAAATCTTTTCTTTAATATATTTACATTTTCAATTTTTAGATTTTTTTCAAAGAAACACAGTATCAGTGCTGTTAAAAGAAAAAAAAAAAATAAAAATGAAATTTATGTGTAACATGTATCATGACAAAATAATGCCAATAATTGTGTTGCAACAATTAGCTATTTAAAAGTTTAATTGATATTGGGCTTTATTTAAAATTAAATGAAAAATACAGCTGTTTAATTTGGAGAAAAATTTCAAGCATCCTCAGTGTCAGATTCCGAGTCGTCCTGGAGAGACGAATTGGCGTACCGCTCGGCCTCCTGGAACAACTCCTTGGGCACCTTTTCGTGCCTTCCCCCGGTTGCTTCACCAACCCAGCTCAATTCCAACTCAAAAGCTTTGTCCTTCAGCTCATCATGGACAAGATAGATTCTAAAAATTGAAAAAATAAATTAAGTTGATTTAAAATTTTTATGTAATTTACATTCTGGCTGCCTCCTTCACAAGTTCTCTGCAGCTAAGGTCAGACAATTTCAGCTTTTCCATCTCGGTTTTTGCAGATTGCTTTGCCTTTCCAATTGCACATCCAAAGTAGCCCTAAAAATTATTAAATAGTTTTTACTTGTTCGAGCAAAAATTTACTCCTTACATGTGAGACTCCAGAAGGATCAATGACGTACATGGCTGGGCCATCGACTTGGTCATATGAACCGATGATGGCACTGCAGCCGAAAGGCCTCACAGCGCTGTACAGTGTGTAAGCGTGCATGAACATGGAGACACGGTCATTCAAGTACTGGAAGTGGTTATAAAACTTAGAATCCAATTTTTTTTGTTCGATTAAAAGGAATCACCTTCAGAGGGATGTTGCTGCCGTACTGGCTCCTATAATCAGCACACTCAGACCTGGCAGTTTCGACGATCTGCTTGGCATCAGCAAGAAGTCCAGCGACTGACTACAGTGTCCGTAAATATTGTAAAATAAATTAACAATTTTATTTCATTTTTATTGTGTGAATTTACCATTCCGACATGGGTGTCAACAGTGAAGAGGCGTCTGTTGGCTCCAAATTCATAGAGTTTGGACTGAACTAACTTTTCAACAGCGAAAACAACCCCATCTTTTCCTTTCAGACCAATGGCAGTTCTAAAAGTATTATGAGATTAGAATGATGTGAAAGTTATCTTGAAAATAGTAAAAAGAATACATTCATACATACATAGATTATTTTATTTTAGGTCGGTTTTCATACCTCCAGACAATATGAATTTTTTTTATTTTTTTTTCTTACCCGCTGTTTTCGACTGCCTTTTGAGCGTATTCCACTTGAAAAACTCGGCCGTCAGGCGAGAACTGAGATGCTGAAAGATCGTACTGAAAGGAAAAATACATAATAAGTAGGGAAATTGAAATTCATAGCAATTTCGTGTGTGCCGAGCCGGCTTCACAAAGTCACCCAAAATCAACAGAAAGAGTATAAATGGGTATTTTTGCGATAGCATAAATCTTATCTAAACATATAAAATGTCAAAATCTTACTCCAGTTCCAATAGAACTCATTTTTGAGCTGGAAAATTATCTCTTTTCACAAATTCTTTGTAGAATTCCCAAATCGCGCTGTCATTCAACCACGATTTTGTTGTGTTTTCAGTGCAAATAGCCGAAAAGGGCGTGGCGCTACTCAATTGTTTCGTCACGCGGAAAATTTAAAATTAACCCCACAATACGAGCAGCGGCTCGATTAATTAATTATTTTGTCATGTCATATTATGATTATGACAAAATAAATAGATCAGGCTGGAAGTATGGTTTATGGTACTCACCAAAGTCACAACTTATGCTCAAATTTGCAAAATATATAGCTGCATATCACTGCATATATTGGAATAATTAAGATGATTTGATTCTTTACAATACAATATTATATGAATAGAGCTCAAGATTTTTACATATTTTTAAGGTTTCTATATATCTTGTTAAGTTGCATTATTATTAATGTAAAATAAAACAAATTAAATAGAAATCTAGCTCAATAAAAGATTGGTTATTGACGGAAATGGAAGGAGCTTTATTAGATATTTGATCCAGCTTTAATAATATTTATTCAGCACTCTTGGTCTTGATGGATTTAGCCAACGATTCAACCACCAGCTTCTTCTTAGGATTAAGTTTTACTTTCTTTTCCTTCTGCAAAAAATTCAATAATGAAAATTCACTTAAAATAAAATAAAATTTTAAATAGTAATTTTTTTTTTAAATAATATTAATTCTGGAAAAATTAGGTTACCTTCTGCACTTTTCCAGAGATAACTTTTTGTCCTTGAAAGGAATTTTCACTGTCAGCTTTCTTCGAATTTTTCTTCTTCTTAATCTTTTCAGCGTTGGCACGGTTTTCAGCTTTCTTCGTTTTGAAAGCCTTAGATTAAATTAATTAAAAAGCAATACTAAATCAAATCAAGTTTATAAACCTGATCTTTTGCTTTTAATACCATCCTCTTGTTAGCATTTATCGCATTCTTCTTACGCTTACTAGTAGTGTCTCCACATCTGTTGACTCGGATGATATTTTTTCCAATTTTGATTTCATTCTTCATCAGGGCCAACTCCACCGCATCTGATTTCTGTTGTTTAACGTAAATGCCATGAACCAAAATTCCCACAACTCTTATATTTTACTTACTTTGAAATTCACATAGCCAATACCTTTCCCAAGTCCCGTCCTCTTGTCCCTGATAATATGCACGCTTTCAATCTCACCGCAACTACTAAAAGTGTCCCACAGTTTTTCATCTTCAACTCCTGCAAATATATACAAAGTTTTGTTACTTTCCATTAGTTTTTCCAGCAAGGTAAACTGAGGTGGATTTTTAATTGATCGGAATAATGTACATAATAATTCATAAAATAATCTTGAACAAACCAAAGGGAAGGTTGCCCAGGAAAACAGCACGGTTTGTCTCAAACTTCTTTTGCTTCACAGCTGTGTCCACTCTAATGTGATGGCCTTGCACAATGCTGCCATTGAGGGCAAGAGCATTTGGGACTGTGTCCTCAGACTTGAACACGACAAATGCACTTATGCTGCTTCTGCTTTCGTGGAAGTCCTTCCTGTAATAAAATAGTTATTAACTGCAATTAACTGTTTTACACAGAGGGGTTTAATGCAACTTACTTAATGACGGCAACCTTCTTGGGCACTCGAGGATCAGCCACAGGCGCACACCGAATACGCAGCGTATCAACAGGTCCACATTTTTTGAACATCTGCTTAATTTTGGCTGCATCAAAATCTTTGGGTAAGTTGCCTACAAAAATTGTCCTGCTGTTTCTTTCAGCATCCTCCAAAGGGTCAAACTGCTTCCTCTTCTTGGGGGTTTCAGCATCTTCATCATCGTCCGAACCTAGGACGTCATCTTCAAGGACCAAGTCGCCCTCTTTCTTTACCTGCTCATCTGACTTTTTTACTTTCTTTCCCCCTTTCTTGTTTGGAAGTTTCTTCTTTTTTGACATCTTGATGTCAGTAAAAGGCTGGAGAGCCGAGTTGGATAAACCTTTCTTTTCCTTCGTTGGCGATTCAATTGTCTCAATGCTCTTCCTCCTATAGTAAAAAATAATGCGGCTTTTGAATAGAAAATATGTACATAATATTAGAATGAATGTACTTTTTAGTTTTCTTCGGAGATGGACCAGCTTCGCGTCCATCATCTCCGCTTTCAGAAGGAAGTTCTTGCTTGAGCGTTTTCTTTAGTGGGGCTATTTTCTTAGCAACGCGCTTTCTAAAAATAATAAAAACATCGTGAACAAATATTATGTTGTATGTACATTTTAAGTAGTCATACACATTATAGTAAAATCGTAAAATGTTAATATAATTATATAAAATTAAATAAAGTGATTTCATTTAAGTGCCATATTAGTTATACATACTATGTGTATAACTGTGAAAACATTGACTAGAGAAGAGATTAGAATTTCAAAACTAACTTCGTTCCACCGTCAGCATCTTCCAAAACATGGTCTTCCTTTGCAACCTCCTGTTTAACTTTGCCGGCAGATTTTCTTGCCATTTCAATAATGTGATGCTTTCACAGCAATCTAATGATTAATAGAAGAGGAAAGATGATATTTTTCTATTAATCAAGATCGTGTAAATACTTTCAAAGCAGCCTCTCTTCACCAACACGTGGGTCACCGTCCAGCATCGGCAGTAAAGGCGTCGTAGTGAAAGAGGGAGGAGCAAGGTGCATAGAAAGATAGGTGGGTTTACAGAGGGCGCTTATACATTGGTCTTATGGAAGCTAAACCTTCTAAGGGGCTTTCGCGACACCAGATGTCTCTACTGTAGCTTTCTCCCTGTTTCGACTGATTTTCCATTGCTTCAATGCAAAATTTAGTAGCAAAATAAAGACAATTGCAAGCTGATTGATCGATAAAATTTAGCATAAAAATCGAAGAAAAAATAAAGATTGATATGCTTGCCTCTAAAACAAAAAATATCAACTCTGGGTGGTTAATTTGCGTAATTGAAAATTACAACTTCAAATTGCGGCGGGAAGTCGGCACGTGATGTGGTCCAGAGTCCAGACAGGGCTGTGGGTTTGTTACTTGGCTCTGAACTCTGGACTGGAATTTGCTTTTCATCTTTAAAAATAATAATTAATTTAATTATCTATTCAGATGTATGTATCATTTTTCTAAATTATTATTTTTTATTCGCCATGATGTGTGCCTGGTGCCTGCCTATTTTGAGTGAAGTGTCAAAAATTTCCGATTAAAATAGTAAAAAATTATTTTTAATTATTAATTCTAAAATTTGCAATTTTTCCAGAAATTTAGAAAGCTGATTATTTTTAATTAGATAACCGAGATAAGTCAGATAAACAATGCATGTGTACCTAATGCATAATATGATAATAAATATTAGGGAGCAATTTTATTCAAAATAAATATTTTAAGAGATGACCAATTTACGAATTTTGATCATAAAAAATCTTAAGGTCACAGTTTGAAGATTGATGTATAAGAAAAATTCATTGTGTTTATTATTATGTATTATTACTTATATATGACCTATAAGAAGTATGATGCGCGTTGCCGCCGTTGCCTTGTATATATTATATCACGCAAAATAATGCAGGAGAAGCGGGTACCAGATACATTATAAACATTCCACTGACCTTAAAAATTTGTTAGCTTCAAATTGATTCATTATTTAAGTGGTGACAATGCAAGAAATTCGTAAAAATAAGCAAAAACCAAAGTAAACCCAGTGTTCCCCCATAAGCGCTTATGGTAAATATTGCGGCCAGTAGGGAGAAACCTATAGTAGAGACCTCTCGCGGATTGGAAGCCTCTTAGAAGCTTTCAACTCAGGGGGGCGCGGCTCAGGCCACCTATTTTTCCATGCACCTTGGGGAGGAGGGAGCCGGAGGGGAGGGATTGAAAATAAAAAACAAACAGTAGTGACATCTATCTTGCGGTCGACACGACAAACAGGATTCATTTTTGGTTTAAAAATACAATTTAGAACTAAGATTTATATACAATTTTCATTTATTTAGAAAATACATATTGCAATTGTTTACTGCAGATTGTGATTGTAGCTTATTAATTAAACTAAAATTTTCACTACAATTATAAAAAATATTTTAATCAGTGCCTATGCATGTCTACACTACATATCATAATAATATGCTAATAACAAGGCAACTAACAGATTAAATTGTAAGGGGAAAAAATAAAGTTTAGCTATTATATTTTATTTTTCCGCAAAGATCTTAAAATTAAAGCAACTTTTTGCTGATTAAGTTTATTACAAATCAGTACTTATCAAGGTCAGTGAAACTTATACCAATATTTGAATTTTAATTAGCGCCATTTCCAAGCATTAATATGTCGTAACGAGTTGAGAAAGACTTATATAAATTTTTAAAAGCCATAATGCAGAGGGCTTTAAAATTTTCTGAACCCATAGTTCACTTCTTATTGAGTAACTTTTCAACATCTGAAAACGATTCGATCGCAGCAGCTTTCAACTTTTCTTTATCTTCGTCCTGCAATGTTAATTCCCAATTTAAGACAAAAAATTTCAGATCTCTCAAATTAAATACCATGACTGCAAGCTTTACTGCAAGCTCTAACTCGAGGAACTCACGAACTGTTAGCTCTTCCTCATCTCTTCCAAACTGTGCAAAGGGACATTCGGAGCTCTCTGCCAAATGACGCTCTCTGTGGAAATAATAAATTTAAAAAAATATAAATCTGAAATTGAGCCTTTATTACTCTGGCTTGTCGTCCCTGGTCCAGTTTGCAAATTCCTTTCTGCAATAGGTACATTTGACAATTCTATTTTTTCTCTTGTCCTCGCTTGGGCAGTAAAATCCAGATTTAACCATCTGCAAATTTAAATTATGCCTAAGTTAAAGGTGGATCTAAAAATACATAAAAAGCACATACATCCTGGCGGCTCGCAGAACCGACTTCAAACCACATGCCTTTCTCGCCAAAAGTCTCGAGTCTCTGCGCGCTCATCATGATGGTGGGTTGCTCGATGGTTACTTCGTCATTCAACTCAATTTCCATATTCTCTCCACATTCTTTGACCATTTTCAAAAATAAAAAGCCTCTTCAGAAAACCAGCAAAAGTGAAAATGAAAACCAAGTATGTATGTAGTACCACGTACCACTGATTCACTGAAAACGCGGCAACAACAAAACACTAAACAAAACAAACTGTTGCCGCTCTTGTTATTGGGAAAGAATAAAGGAGACATTAACATGACTAATTTTTTTGCAACTGGTAATGGGTTCTTTGCTAATTACATACAATATTTGGATGATCAAAAAATAAATTATTCAATAAAATTAAATTTTTACATAACAAATTTTTATATTTAAACAAAAAACTAATATGAAAGTTACTCTCCTAGTTGCACACTCCTAATTCAGTTCGACGTTCGACCCCGCCCCTCAAACCAAGGATCAAGGATTCAAGCCTTGTTGATTCAAGCCGGACCCACAAGGACCCTTCTTGGACCCTTCTTGCAAGGGACCATTCCGCCGGAAACAGGGCCAGAAACCAGAGTATGTCAAAAACACGAAGCACGAGATTGGATGATCAATCAAGATTTTGATTTCTTTTTCTAGATTTTCGTTAAGTATGTATTTTCACACCTGCCGTCGGAGATAAAAATGAATAAATTTTGTGCTATGTATTATTAATAAATAATCATAGCTGATGAAAGTGATGAAGTGACGACGAGGCTGATGAATTCATATTGTGTTTATGCTTATGTACTACATAATATTACATAAAAATTTTCACTAGGAGATCCACCCGAACTAAAAAATGAGTTGCGCCTGTTCTGGAATGAGCACAGATAGTGCGGATGGAATTTCTCGTGGTTGCTGTCAAGACATTCAACCTGTCACTGCGCCAAAAGCAGGATGTTGCAAAGAAACTAAAGAAAAATATGATTCAAAAGATATTTATGGTATGGAATTTTTTCGTCTGAATGTATTGTAACCTTTACGAATGTTAAAAAAATCAAAAAAATCTTTAAGAGCAAAATGTTTTCTAATATTACATTTACTAAAGCATATGTATTTGTATTTTACAGAACTTATTCGAAATATTATGGATCCCGAACATCCCCTCACTCTTGAAGCATTGAATGTAGTTAACGAGACAGATGTGAAGGTGTGTTTCTATTGATATATCTTCACAAATTAATTTAAACGATCGTTTTATGTCACAGGTTCTTGAAGGCCGAGAAGTTTTTATTTTGTTCACACCAACCATTCCACACTGTAGCATGGCCACAATGATTGGTTTGGCAATTCGAGTCAGACTTTTAAGGGCCTTACCTCCTACCTATAAGGTATATTTAGAAAAAAAATCTAAGTCGATGGAGTAAGAGTTTTTGAATAAATTAGGTGACTGTAAGAATTTCTCCCGGAACTCATGTGTCGGAGCACCCAATCAACAAGCAACTCGCAGACAAGGAAAGAGTGGCAGCTGCCATGGAAAACCGAAACCTTCTAGAAGTCATCGAGCAATGCCTCAACTTTGATGAAGACAGTGAAGCGCACTATGACAAACCAGCAACCTGTGGAAACCCGGATGGAATATCTGGAACAGCTGCTGCTTCGTCCAGCTGAATGTCAGAGTGTGCTTGGCAGTACTGTAAGATTCGGATTGTAAACTATCGATGAAAAGGGCTATATAAATTTAAGTCTATAAAAAATTTTTTCATCAAAGTTTTCTAACAAATGTTTAGTTTGAATTTTACTTAGAGCAAATTATTGAATCAGTCAAATTATGCAAAAGGACCGGTCTTAGTTTTGAAATAATTTGTCTCGCTTCTAGGCAGCCACTATGTTTCACTGCCTGGTAGGTTCGTATCTGTATGTTTCAGGGTCGGATCTTCTCCATACAGTTGCGACACTACTCATTGAATCTATCATAAAGAGTTTCCAAAGCCCTTCTGTTGTGCGCAAGAATTTTAGCGGTAAAAAAAGCAAATTGCATTGTAAATTAATTAGTGACGATTTTGAAAAATATTAAAAATTCCATGTGTATAACAACAAATAACTCCTTATTATAAACAATGCCTTTACTTTGATTAAGACAGCGAAGCGCAACTCGACAAACCGGCTGCTGCTGTCATGCTGAATGACAGTGAGCTTGGCAAAACGGCACTATATGATTATATACAATTGTAATTTTCATTGTCGACTGTCAATGAAAGCCGGAATATGTAAATTTAAGTCTTTATACACATTTTGAGAATCTAATTTTTCCAACAAAAATTTAGTTAGGATTTTACTTTGAGTAAATTATTGAATCAGTCAAATATACAACGGGATAGGTCTTAGTTTCAAACTCATTTGTCCCGCTTCTTGGCAGCCACTGCGTTTCGCTGCCTGGTGGGATCGTATTTGTATGTTTTTGGGATCGGACCTTCTCCGTACTTCTGGAATTGTGACTCATTGAATCTTGCCCTTTCCTCCATTTCTTTGGTCACTTTCATATTGTCCCAAGCTGTGGATGCAAGATTACTTTTAAAACAAGCAGAAAACAAAATGAAAAGCTACCTACATTCTTTGAATCCTTTGACAAAACCCTTTTCTTTCCTGGGCAAACTGTTAGGGTCGTGTGTGATAAGGCGCTCGATTTTACAGTAATCGCGCACGGCAGGAATCTTCAAAATTCCTACTTGTACTAGGGAAATCAGATTTGATGACATCCAGTAACACAAAATTGCCTATTGATAGAAATATTAATAATTTTCATCGAAATTGACACAAAAACTTACAGCAGGGAAATTCATTGTGAAAGGGAAAATGATGACTGGCATGGCTCTGAGCACGTACTTCATTAAATGCATGTTTTGGCTGGACAGCTTTGCTGTGTCCGTGCCCAACTAAAATTCAGTTTAGTAATTTAAAAAAAAAATAATAATGTAAAATTTTTAATTACCTCAATTGTAGCCCAAAGGGTGACACTTGTAATGACAGGAAGAATATAATACGGGTCACAAACAGTCAAGTCCGTGAACCACAACATCCCTCCAGTGTGGAAACTTTCAACAGGGGCATTCGCCATTTTTCGAAGGCCAACAAAAAATGAGATGAAAATTGGAGCCTAGGTGAATGTTCATTAGAATGCGGAGCAAGAATATTGGCAATTGTGTTACTTGTGCCAAGGGAACCAGCATGTTCTTGAAAGGACTGATTTGCTTTTCTCTCATAAATACCATCAACTCCTGACCATACCTGGCAGCTAAAATTTAAAAATTTTTAAAAACCACTTTATTTTTAAATTTGACAAACCATCTAATTGATTTCCACTTTGTCGAGCTTCGGACATTTTCATTTGAAGCACTTGCATCTGAGGCAGATTATTGTTCATCTTGGCAGCATTTTGTTGCGCTTTTACTACCAGTGGGAACATCAATAATCTTGCTATCAGGGTACCTGTTTGATAACAATAAATAAGCAAACAATGCTTACACAGATTTCATCCTTGGACCTGTCATAATGGCACCCCACCAGGGTAGGCTGCAGTCTACATGCAGATACTCAAGGCAGTTTTGCAAAAACCCTACTGGCGTCCACCCTCCAAGTCCTATGGATGCCAGTGTTGCTTCGCCGAGGGCATTCAGCGCCTCTGGCTCAAGTACGGGGAGGTCAGGTAGTGCTGGGATACTGTCGGTTGCCGACTCTGCAGTCACCTCAGCCACGAAATTTTCTTTCTCGACGGAAGTTTGTGGAGGAGTTGTTGGGCCGCTCAACTTGACAAATGTGTTGGGGTCAGTAGTCGTGCTGGCCGCTCTCCATCCAGCAAGGAGATAAGGGGAACGAGCACAACCCGTTCGAATGAAACTGCGAGATGTGCATGCCGACAGACTGTGATGCCGTATTGAGGTGCAGGTTGTATTGCCACGAACCTACAATTAAAATAAGTATGTAGTTACATAAAAGTATTTTAAAAACAATTCAAGAAAAATTAGGAAAAATATATAAATATTTTTAATGCATTATTTATATGAAAAGAAAAGATACATAATATAATACATAAATATTTGCTCTCTATCATCTATTCGCAATAAAAGACTCCATAGGTATATACAAAAATTTACAAAAAAAGTAAGCACTAAGTACGCTACGAAATAATAACATTATTTACATTACATTGTACAAGAGAGTAGCCATGAATTTTAAATTTTCAAAAATAAATCATCACAGAAATACAAAGAGCTTCAAGCTAAAAGAAAATAGCTGAAGCGAAGTTTACACTTCACAAAAATTCACCTCATATTGGTGGAAAATGCTAACTACAGGGGTGACATGCCGAAATTTGGCAAAATTTGCCGCACGAGGAATTACGAGTGCGGCCATCTTTTCACAGCTGTAGCTGTAGTAGATTTTAGTTAAAATTCTGTCCGCATTTGTATTGCAGATCGTAGCGCTTGAGTGCCGACTGTGTTTTATGCTAAAAATGGTCAGCGACAGTCTCTTCAGGAATCTGTAATCATCGGATATTTGATACTTGCTTTTATTGTTCTGTCTAATTTACCGGACGCTCAAACTATCCAGCCATGTGGAAAGTCCGAGAGATCGCCGACAAAGTGTGAGTCTGCATAAAAAAAGACTGACTTAATTATGACCTCTTTTTGCTGCCAACCCATCCCCCAGCCGAACCCACTTTTCTGTGTTCGAGGCAATTTGTTTCCAAATTTTTTTTTGTTTTTTTTTTTGTTTCTGATTTTACGCTCACGTCTGTAAATTTTGCATCTATCCGAATTTTTAGTTAATTTATTTACTACATTAGCACGATAATAATTAACTTGGGCAACGAAATGTTGGGTTGCTGCATAATTACATATATAATAACATTTAACTTTGACATTTTTTGCGGTTTTTTGTTTGTTTCAACTTTCACTCGATCTCATTTAAATAAACCACGTAACATATTTACGTGTGTGTACCTATAACAACTCAATCATTTCAGGCAGCTACATTTAGAGCCAAAGTAAAATTTTCGTAATTTGTTCTGTCGGTTGTCACTCTACATTTCCATTAGGTAGAGAAAGATTACAAATTTAATAATTCTTGATACAGATTTTTTTAAATCATTAATACAGAACCTTTTTTTAACGATGACTTAAAGGAATATGTATAGATTTTTTTTCGTGTTAATTAGAATTAAATCAAAATTTCAGCACCAATGTCGTCATGAACTATACTGATGTTGAAGCCAAAGTCCGTGAAGCCACTAATGACGATTCTTGGGGGCCTACTGGTAAAATAATAGTACAATCTTAGATTTTCCTGATTAAAATATTTAATTTGTTCAGGCCAGCAAATGCAGGATGTTGCCCAGCACACTTTCACTTATGAACACTTTCCCGAAGTAATGACAATGCTGTGGCGGAGGATGCTACAAGACAATCGCAGAAACTGGCGAAGAACTTATAAAGTACAATCATATAAATCAATTGGAGCGCTTTAACTATTATATTTTTCATGACAGTCACTTCTCCTCCTAAACTATTTGGTGAAAAATGGATCGGAGAGGGTGGTCACTTCCGCTAGAGAGCACATTTATGACTTGAGAGGATTGGAAAACTATTCCTACTTTGATGAAAATGGCAAAGACCAGGGCATCAATGTTAGGTAATTTTAGCTTCAATTCATGCAATAAGCCTCTTACGGTAAACTTTCAGGCATAAAGTAAAGGAGTTGATAGATTTTGTCCAAGATGATGACAGATTGAGAGAAGAGAGGAAGAAGGCTAAAAAGAACAAGGATAAATATATTGGAATGTCCAGTGATTCCATGGGAATGCGACTTGGTAAAAAATGACATGCATATTCAAATAGATAGTAAAGTAATCTAATTTTAAAGGAGGTGGTGGAGGCGGCGGTGGAGGCTGGGAAGATGGTGGATCATCTTGGGGACGGAAAGATCAGTCTGATTATTCTGACTGGGGCGGCAACAACAAAAATAGTGACAGATTCAGGTGAGTTTTTTAAGCACTTGAAAGCCAATTTGATAATCATTAGCATACTTGCAGCCGAAGCGTTTTTAAAAGTCCTTTCCAGGGGCATACAATGTTTCGTTTTCAAAAGTATTTTTCATAAAATCAAACTTAATTTTGCCTATTCTCTAACTGATCAAAAAAAAATTTTGTAGTGATGAAGGTGAACGGTATGATAGTGATGGAGATGTGCCTTCTCCCAAGCAGCCTGAGAGAAGCAGCAAGAATGAATACAAAGACAGCGAGAGCATAGAGTCCCCTGAAAAATTTCCCAGCAGCGGCAATGGCTTCAAGTCTGCTGTGCCCTCAAAAAATACCTTAACCACAAAGCAGCCAACTTCGGCTCGCACCATCAAGAAAGTTGACCTTGGTGCTGCAGCAGCATTTGCCAAAGAAGCGAAAGTAAGAATTTTTAAATTTAAAATCGAAGGACGTTTATTTTGTAATACACATCTAGAAAACAAGTCCAGTCAAGTCGTCGAGTGATTTGTTTGCATCTGTTGACGACGATTTCAACCCCAGAGCTAGTGATCAGGGTGAAACGACTGCCGATTTTGGTGAATTTTACTCTGCTGTCGGAACTGATGCTCCAACTGCTAAGTCTGAAGACGACTTTGCCGACTTCCACTCGGCATTTAGCGACCAGAACAGTTCCTTGCCAGCTTTTGCAACTTCTAACATCCCAATCTCCACAGGTATTAAAATTGAGGGTTTTTTTTATTCTTGATAAATTGTGAACTAAATCACTCCTATCTTGTAGGTGCTGCGTCTAACGCTGACCTCTTGATGGGCTTGGGCAGTCAGCTGCCTACCAGTGCTCCTGTTAGTCTAATGAGTGTTGGTGCCACTACGGACCTTTTCGGGGCCAGTCCTTTTGGCGGGCCACCCAAACAGGCTCCAATGAGCAGTGGGTTTGATGACCTCTTTGGGAGTACCAACCCTCTAGATACTGGAAACATTCCTCCAGGTAAGCTTGTGCAATTTTTTTTTAAACTCCGTGCAACAACTTGAGGCATGCGATCATGAGAAAAAGAGCAAATGTATGTCCCCCGTTTATAGCCGTGCTGCGATTGCAAAAATGCCAAGACCTCTACGCGGACCTACTATTGCTTGAAGCAAATGGCTGCATCGAAGGACCAGAGACTCCTCAGAAGTTCATGGGTTTGGATAGGCCAGCTGCCCCTCGAACACAAATGTGGCCTCAGATTCTGCTAGAGAGACTATCCACTAAAGATGTCAGCCCAGAACTTGGAGAATTTTGCATGCTAGCACCTGTTGATGAAGTTTGCAAGCAGGTGCTGAGCCTCTTGTCAGCAAATAACCAACTTGCACGTGTGCTTGAAAAGTGCTTGCGGGAAGAGCTTTGGGATTTTCTGATTAAGCAGTGCAGGCATTGGCAGATTGACGAACAAGACGTTGAGTGGACGAACACAGCTCAGCTTTTTGTCTCCATACCCTCTAGGGTTGGCAATATCCTTGAAGAGAAATTGCCCACCTTTTGTCAACCAGAGAAATTCAGTTCAATTCTGTTTCACCAGTTTGGGTGGGTCATTTCATTTTTGGCCCATGCTGAGACTTTCAAGGTGCCTTGGAGAGAGGATAAATTAATGCAGTTTCTATCAAAATTGCTCATAAACTATGGAGGGACGGAGAGTGCAGAGACTTTCTTCAGGATCTTAATGAGCGTCTGTGAAAAAGATGTCAGCGTCATTAAAGTGACTTCAAAATTATGTTCTCGTCTTGAAGGAAAGGCTTGTGAGAACTTAGTTACACTGTGTCTCCTGCATGGCTCCATGAGCAAAATTTTGGACTGGAAAACTTCCGAAGAAGTGAAGAATCATATTTTGGTGGTTGTGCCATTCCTACGAAGCCACCCAAAATGCAACCTACCCTTAACGTTGATAGACACAATTGCTACATCTTTGGAGAGCAGTTTTGTAGAATTTGTTACCAAAGTGGCATCCATTTGGGCCAACAAGAGCGCTATCAGCCACACCAGCCTGGAGCAGCAAATCTATCTGTCTGAAATGCTCATCAGGGCAGCAAACCATTTGACGGGCAAGGACCTGGGTGAGAAACGATTGGCCCTCCAAAGGCATCTCATGGGTGGCGTGAGCCAAAGATTGCAAGAAACTTCAATTGAGAAAAAAGTGCTTGGCATGGTTGTGGCTGAAAAATTGTTGGCTGTCTGTTTTCCTACCCCGGAGCCACTAAAATTTGACTATGATTCCCAAACAGAACTGGCAAACCATCTGAATCACCTGCAGGTTACAGTAGAGGAAGTTACATGGGACGGACACTGGCTGGTTGCCTTGCAAGATTTGTTTGAAAGCCAAGAAGAGACATTCCTACCAACCAAAGAGCTTGAATCTACAAGAATCTCTGAACCTGAGAGCCCTAAAGGAAATCTAACCTTGGAATTAGACAGTGATGACGAAGACGACGGATTTGAGGCCTTTGACATGTCCTCCGACAAGCTGCCGAAGGAGGCCCAACCTATTTTTCTCAGGGAGTTCCTAAACAAAATCCACGAGCAGTCGGCAGACGAGGGGAGTATGTCCCTTGAAGGTGTTGCCCAAATGATCAGGTCGCAGCTACCTGACGATGACTCTTCCCTTGCATGCGAATTGCTGGACGCTCTTCTAAACTTGAACCTGAAAAAGGTGGGGGAATCTGTCGTGGCAATCATTGAAGTGCATCCCGAGGAGGCTGTGCAACACCTGGCTGGACAACTGGGTATCCCTAACAAATACTCAACCTTGTACCTGAGCTGCGTCTTGAGGAGCATTGGTGCCGCGGCTTCCAACCTTTATCAAGGCCCGTCAAGTCCTGCGCAGACGGAATTTAAAATGCTGGAGCTTCCGAAAAATACTCGTCTCATTCATTCAATCAGACCTGCAATACGCGAGACAAAAAGCGTCTTTGCCAAGGTTGCTCCTGCTTTCCTTTACCCTTTGTTGCCAATTCTCCACATGGAAAATTGGGACCCTGAGCTCAGGGTAACTTTGCTCTCCACCCTGGCAGTGGTGATGGCATGCTCAGTGAACTGTCCACGAGTGCGGAGGATGAGTCTAGCGTTAATCGAAGAGATCGTGTTAGCGCAGTGGCCATTGCAGCACCCTGATGCAAAAATCAGGGCTGCAACGCTTAAGTGCATTCTGACGGCTCTAGCCAATCTGGATATGCAGGGGATTTTTGAGTGCAATCACCGCCAAGAACTGAGAGGGCACCTCCATTCCATTGCTGGGAATGACCCTGAGCATGAGTGCCGCGAGTGGGCTTCTAAAGGACTGTCAATTCTCTTGTAATCAAAGCTTCCAGAATAATAAAACAGAATTATCAGTTACGATTTTTTTTTTATCATGTCATGCTATTCAAATATATTTAATCATGTATTTAAACTGTTCACTCTTGCTTGCTAGTGGATAAATACAAAGGTACTAATTTTTACTGAACTATTAGTTTCAAAACGTTAGTCATAAAATTGAAATGATTGATATGAATTATTTTGATTCATTTGCAGCTCTCAGCCTTGATCTGACCCCAATGCAAGCCAGCTCTTCTACAATTGCAAACAACAACGCACCATCACAAGCTCAGAAAAATTCCCAACTGGTAAGAACATTTATTTTTTAAATAAATTAAATTTATATATCCTTGTTCAAGAAATTAAAATGTTTTATTTTTCTTTGAAATACTGAGAGTAAATTAAAAAAATAATATTCAATGTTAACTTGCTACTTACAGATCGGCAGCACATGGAGCAACGTTGGTAATGTGAATATCGACTTGGACAATTTATCGCTATCTTCAAGGTCCAACAAGCAATCGCCGACCTCGGCAAAACCCATGAACCAAATGCGCAGTCCAATGAGTCCGATTTCTTCAATTCCCCCTATGAGAATGCCAGGTAAGACGCCAAACTCTTGAAATTTATCCATAATAATTATATCTAATGCCTAACTGCTATAACAAGTTGCGTTTTAATCACTTTCAAGGTATGCAAGCTCAGCAGCCAAACTTCTTCATGGGAAGCAAATGATGCCCACTGACTTCATATCACTTCAGGGCCTAAATTGCCACACAAAGTGTTTGAAGATATTGAGTCAACCTGATTTTTCCTTATGTAATAATTTCAATCAGCCCAGCATTTTGTAAGAAATTTTATTTTAAATCTGCACCGTGCGAATAAATGTGTTCAGAAATGTATTTTCTTACCAGCGAGTATTTGACGGTGCATATTTTATAACAGAAAGTGTTTGTCGTGCAGGGATGCATAAGTTCCACTCCATTTTTACCACACTGTGCTTAATTAACCCAAAAATAAGAACTGACGTAAATGAGGTTCATTCTGTTTGCTACTTGATTGATGTGCGCGGATTTGGTGTCCATTGTGTTAAAATTTATTGTGAAGTATTATATTTGCAAGATGTTAATTAATTTGTAACCTGGAGCAGAATGTTATCCAAGGGTAAACTATTAAGGAGCAGGATTTATAAGTGTTTTGATAATATGCTGGATACTGTTGTCATGAAGAAAAAACTCGCACAAATCATTGTTTGAGCAGACGAATGATATCTAGCGAGTTGAAGGATAGATTTCCTTACTAAATAATAATTGTGTATTGCTGAACCCTGAATGTGCCTTAATGCTGCAACAATATCGAAAAAATAATACTTTGTACCGGGACAAAATATGCATGGATCAGTCATGATATCAAAACCAATTTGAATTGCAAAAACTTCCTTGAGCAATAGATGTCAAGAATTTCTCCCTCTGAATGCATTAATTCTCTGCAATTTGCTCAAATGTCTGTCTCCCAACTTCAACAACATAAATTGATTGTCTCTTCACTGTGATAAGATATTTTTATTATTTTGTTGCGTCTTGAACGATTGTTACTTATTCATGATTAAATTATTAATTAAGTAGTGATGATTTATATTCTTCATGGGAAGCGAGCATTTTCTCTAGCATTCCGCGATTATACACTGCATAATTTAATTATTTTTCCATAATTATTATTATTTTTAATCAATTTCGTAATTATTTGTTATTTCTTCATGTTATAAGACCTTCTTCTATTCTCACATATCCTGCACTTCAGAGAAACTGAAAATCTAACACGAAAAACAAAAATGTTCATTGAAATCACTGAAGTTAAAGGGTTTTATTGTAGATGTTAAGAATGATTTCTAGATCGCAGTCTGTTGTCATTTGTGGAAAATAAAACCATTTATTACACATAAAATACCTTTTTTAGTGCTGTTTCATAGTTTATATCACATATTAAAATATTGTTATTTATTAACACAATTTTTATTTGACAATTTTCATAAAAATGATAAAAAAAAATTGATCAAAAGCATTTATTACTAATCAAAAATAAAATTTATAAGCCTACTTTTAAAAATCAGTAAATGTGTTAAAATAAAATCATACTATTGGGTCGGTCTAACCCAATAGCCTAATAAGCTCACGGGTGCCATAAGCAAGAAAAAAAAAATCATACTACTTCTTGTTACAAAACCCAAATAAATTATTTTTGGATTTTTGTTAGTATTGAGATTGCAAATTGCGATAAATTTTGTTTTAAAACAAAATTAATTTTAATCTTAAAAATTATATTAAATTATTATTTATATATTATATTTGATTGTGTATGTTTGACAATATTCAATTTTAATTTACGACAGTTGATTCAGTCGGCAAGCCGCGTTATTGGAAAGTCGTCGGAATAAGTATAGGGTATTATATTGTTGGTACCCCTAGCACGCTTTTTGCCTGCTTCTGGTCATTGCAGGTGCAGGGCGGTAATGTTTTGAACATCGCAAAACAGGTGGTGCGCATTCCTAAGTCCTTTCGGCGTCCGAGATGGACACGCGCGTCCAGGTGAAAATTTAAATTAAATTAAACCAGCCTTTATAAATTTTCCACACTCAGGAAGCATTACTGACGCTTCCGGGGTCGCCGTCTGCGCTGGTGGCCTGGCAGAAGTCGATGGTCGCTGTTGCCCATCAGCAGCAAGTGTTCTTGTGGGACCGGCGGGGCCGTCAGGTGGACTTAATTCAACTTTCGGGGTCAGTAAACTTATGGATACATTTTTCCAAATAATACGCAAATATGAATCCATTTTTTCTTAAATTCATTTGCAGAAATTGCAATGGACTCTGCTGGGATAGTGAAGGTGACCTGCTGGCCGCTTCCTGCGAAAAGTCTGCAAGGGTCGTTCTCTGGGACGCACAGACTCGTCGTCCTCAGCCCATTGTAAGTGGTTTGGGCGAGGGCGTTTCGTGGGTGGGCTGGGGTCCCCGTGCAGTACTTGCACTTGCAACCACTAAAGGAAACCTCGTCCTCTATGACCATCGTTCCGGCAGAAGAATGCCTGTTCTTGGCAAACACAACAGGTAGTCACTCCTACAGTAAAAATTCAGGAGAAGGATATTTATTGATACAAATATTTCAGACAAATTGTTAGTGGAGCATGGAGTAGGGCAGGTCTCTTGGCTCTGGCTGCAGAGGATCGAAGTCTGTCCGTCAGCACTGCTGACGGTGACACCCTGAGAGCAGTCGCCCTCAGGGCTGAACCTTCATTGCTCCGATTTGGAAGAATAAAGACGGAAGATAAGCCTCATGGAGATGATACGGTATAAAATATTCTTTGTATCGCCATTTAATCTCAAACACATGCCGTTCAAAAAATTTTCAATAGATTTATTTGTGTTTTAAAGAGAAATATCAACGACTGAAATTCTATAGAATTTGCCCAGTTGATTGTGCTTTTAGTGCTCATTGTTATTAATTTCTACAACTTCTTTCTGAAATTTTTTTTTCACTTTTATTTACTTTTTTATATTTATATTGATTAATTAATCGAATTAATCTCTAACTTTTTTTAAACTTCCAGGTCAGTGTTGTAGTTGGCCGTAAGACCCTTTATTTGCTTCGGGTTTCGGAAGGGGATGAGCCTGTTGAACTGGCGTTCCAGCCACGTTACGGCCAAGTGGTTTCTTATGAGTGGTTCGGAGACGGCTACATCCTCCTCGGTTTCTCGGCAGGCTTCCTCGTAGCTGTGTCCACTCACCCCAAGGAAATAGGACACGAACTTTTCCAGCTGCAGCCGCATCCGTCAGGCCTAAAACATGTAGCAGTGGCTGCAGACGCCGACTTGGCTGCCACGGCTGGCACTGATGGCCAGGTCAAGCTGCACTCCTTGGCGTCTGGGGAGACCAAGAGGGTTTTGGCTGCCCCTGGAGTCGCCACCCTTGCCTGGAGTGCAGACGGGCAACTCCTAACTGCCGCCTGCTCAGCAGGGGTGGCCATCTTCCTGGCGCGCTTGCCTGCTGTGGCCGCTGCTGATTCTATTAGAGCAGCCGTTCTTACTTCATTGTCAGAAGTTTCAGTCACAGAGCCTAATTTTCAGGTACTTTTTTATTTTCAGAAAACTAATTATTTTTATATAATTGTTGATTTAATTCATATTTAATTTTTTACCGTTGAAGGAGCCACTTACTAGTGTGCGTTTGGCCATTGAACCATCATGGGCGGCTGTTGGCCCAGCACATGTAGCCGCTGGAATGAACAACCGCGCCTGGTTCCATCGCCTGGGGGTTCCGGTGGAGGAAGCGGGCACCAAAGAATATGTTGCTTGTGTGAGCGCATTCAAACTTAGCAGTCGCGTGGCTGCTGCACTTTGTGAAGGTCGCATTCATGTGCACACCATTGAAGAAGCCTCTGCGGAAGCAGTGGTGCCAGAGGACGAGTCCGACGGGCGCGTTTCAAGTCACGATCTCACTAATGAAGCTCTTGTTTACGGAACTGACGTAAATTGCTTTTACTTGTAATTACCGCTTTTTACTTGCTTATTTTTTAGATGGGGACTCTTGCCATTTTTCACCTTCAGCAGTGGCGCCAGGTTCAACGATTCCGCCACTCTTGTGCCATCAAAGTGGTGGCTTCGGAACCAACAGGCTCGCGAGTGGCTTTTCTGGATGACCAACACCAAGTCTTTGTTTTTTGTCCAGTAGGCAGACTTTTTTATTATTTAGATTTAAATTAATTTATAAATTGATTTGATAGTTCACAGAAAGTCTGATAGCTGTGTCTGTAAGCACCTCAACAGAAGGTCTTCTTTGGGACTCATGGTCAGGCGAAGCCTCATTTCTGGCAACCTACGACGCCCAACAGGCAAGTGGCCATGTCCTCGTCCGCAATTCTGTGCGAGGTCCATACGCAGAAACTGTTTCCACGCCTACGCAGCTTCCTAGTGGACAACAGCCACTGTGGTTAGCCGGGGGAGAATTAGGCTTGAATGGCCAGGATGGTCGCCTCACCCGAGTCATGCTCGAGGGACATGCAGCTGTGCTGCGGCCAGACGACGCCTTCGACGCAATGCTTGCTCTGCGAAGGTTCAAGGAGGCTTGGTCGGCCGCCACTGAAAAGTCTCAGTGGAAAAGACTGGCAGAGGCTGCATTGCATGACATGGACTTTGAAGTAATTAAATGACTTTCATAAATTATTATTTGTAATTTTTAATTTATTTGAAGGTGGCTTCAAGAGCATATCGCCGTTTAAAAGATGCTGGAATGGTATGTTCAATCGAAGCAGCCTCTGAAGCAGAAGATCGGTTTGAGGCAGCTGGTATGGCTGCAATCAGCCTCGGCCTGTACGACTTGGCAGAACAAGCCTTTTTAAGATCTGATCGCCCAACAGCTGCGTTGGAAATGCGCAGCAGCTTACTCCAGTGGCCTCGCGCCCTTGAATTGGCCACCTCTTTAGCTCAAAACCAAGTTCCATTGCTGGCCAAACAGTTTGCGCAGCAGCTAGAATTTACGTTAGTTAACATTTTATTATTATGATTATGGCTCTTAGCTCTTAAAACAAACTTTTATTGTCTTCAGAGGCGAACACGCTCAAGCTTTGGCGCAGTATGAACGTGCATCGACGCAGGTTGATTGTAGAGCCGGTCTTGCTCGTTGCTCTCTGCGATGCGGTGACGTACGAAGGGGACTTGCTTTGCTGGACGAGGAGCCTGCAGCACCCATTGACCTTTTGCGCGAGTGCGCCACCATTCTGGAGGCAGGTCGCCACTTGCCAGAAGCTGCTGCCCTGGCTGAACGCGCTGGTCTCTTTGAACGAGCCGCTGAACTTCACGTTCGACTAAAAAATTGGCCAAAAGTGGCACAACTGTTGCCAAGAGTTTCTGCCCCGCGAGTTCACGCTCAGTTTGCGCGAGCCAAAGAAGCCGACGGACGATTTTCAGAGGCTGTGGCTGCTTATGTGACAGCTGGAGATCCAGAAGCTGCTGTTCGTTTGCTCCTCGACAAACTCAGAAGACCTGAAGAAGCTGTCAAAATTGTCAAAGAGACTCGAAACCCGGAAGCAGCAAAACAAGTTTGTTCAATTTTTTATTATTAAAATTAAAATTACGCTTACTATAATAATTACTATATATTATTTTTAAATCATGTTTCTTTCATGAAATGATTTTTTTTTCAAGGTAGCCCGATTTCTTCGCAGTGCAGGTGACGCTACATCGGCTTTGCAACTCTTGGTCTGGTGCGGCTGTGCTTCAGACGCCTTCGAGTTTGCTCGCCAAGCTGGTGAGATGGCCCTTTTAGGACGGTTGCTTGCTTCGGAGGTGGCAATTGATGGTGCGCCGCCCCAAGCCCAACTAATAGAGGTGGCTCGCTACTTTGAGGCAGAGCAAGATGCCTTTTTGGCGGGCAAATTTTTGCACTTGGCTGGTGAGAGCCAGCGAGCGGTGCAACTGTTGCTCAAGGCGGCTGCTGTCGGCCACAAGGAGGCTCTTGAAGTGGCCGTTGAGGCCGCTGCAGCTGCTGAACACGAGCCACACCTTGCTGACCAGGTCATCCAGTTCATATGTGGTGATTTGGATGGCGTTCCAAAGGTAGCAAATTCCTAAATCTGTCATTAGGATTTTCAAACTTACTTTGTTTCAGGATTTCAGCCTCGTCTTGAAACTTTATTTGGCTAAAGGGCAATTAGAAGAGGCTGCTCAAGTGGCTGTGCTAATGGCTGAAGAAGAACAGAAGGCTGGTAACTACCGAGCTGCTCATGACACTCTCCTAGCGGCCCATCAGCAGTTGAGAGTAAGAGGAGGAAATCCCCCAGAAGCTCTTCGTTCTCGACTGGCTTTGCTGCACTCATATACACTGGCCCGCTTGCATGTGAGGCGCGGGAAACACATGCTGGCCGCTCGTTTACTCTCCAGGGTTGCTGCTAATATTTCCAAATTTCCTGCGCGTGAGAAAAGAAATCCAATTTCAAATAATGGATAGAAAAAAATATTTATTAATTGCAGATGCTGTTCCAATTTTGACGTCAGCTGTCATCGAGTGCAGTCGAGCTGGACTTGCGTCCACTTCGTTCAGATTAGCCTCAATGTTGATGCGACCCTTGCATAGACCCCATCTAGATCCCAAGTACAAGCGAAAAATTGAAAGTGTTGTCAGGAAAGGTGTTCGTGACCCTGAGGCTCCAGAACCAACTTCGCCGTGCCCCCACTGTCTTCAGCCCCTACCTGAGTTTGAATTAGCCTGCAGCAGATGCAAAAACAATTTACCATTTTGCATTGCTACGGTGTGTATTTTCAGTTTTAAATTATGTATGACATCAACATTTTTCAATCCTTTTAGGGCAAGCATGTTATTAGAGATAACTTCACTCTCTGTCCACACTGCGAGTTTCCAGCAATAGCCTCTGAACTTACAGAGTACGTAAAATTCTAGTAACCAAATATGTTCCACTCTCTTTTTATTGTGTTAATTTTGAATTGCTTTTCACTGCTATTTATGAATTTACCTTTTTAGGCTGCTGGAGACTGAAAGTGTTTGTCCAATGTGTGGAACGGAAGTTGAAATCGCAGCTCTCTCTACTCTTGAAGATCTTTCCGAGCACCTCAAAGTTTGACCAAACTGCACCAAGCATTTATCTGATCTCAAAGCTCTCTACCATATATATTTATTTCTCTTTTTACCATTCCTCTACTTTACAAATTCACTGTCACATTTAAATTATATTTATTGAATTTTATAGTTAAATGTGACCGCCTCTTTAGAGGCTTAATAAAGGGAATAGTTATTGAGGCTGACAAGGATATTATTATTTATATCTTTTGAATACCCATTTGGATAATCGCTTGCAACCTTTGTCCCCTAGTGGGAAGAGGCATACTGCGTTGAGCTGTTCTTTAAGTCAAGTAATGGAGGAGCGATTTTGTCTGCTTTTTCTTTTGCTGGGTATAATAACCGAGGCCAGAGGGTTGCTATACCCCCAGAATTCACCAACCAGAGAGGCGAAGTTGTTAGATGGTCCTTGGAACTTCAGGCTTTCTCCAAAAGGTTTGCCAAATTTAGGGTTCACAGAGAGATGGTTTGATTGCAAAGCGCGGACGGGCAAAGTAAATTTTATATTAAACAAAGAAAGAATAAATAAAAACTAAACTCCATTGCAGGGTTTTAATGAAAAGTCAGAGGTTTTCTTGATGCCAGTGCCCTCGAGTTTCAATGATATAACAACCAGTGCAGAATTAAGAGATTTTGTTGGTGTTTCGTGGTACCAAAGGCAGTTTATTGTGCCTACGGAATGGTTAAAAAATACTGATCGTGCTTCACCACAAACCAGAAAGGTGGTAGTTAGGTTTGGAGGAGTTCATTACAACGCAGTTGTTGTAAGGCGCTTAATTAATTAAAATACCGATTTAAAAATCTGATATTAATTTTGGCAGTGGGTGAATGGCGCCAAAATGATTGAGCATGAAGGTGGCCACCTTCCCTTTGAGGTCGACGTATCTGATGTACTGGACGGGAGTAAAAACTGCCTTACAGTTGCAGTGAATAATACTCTATTCAACCATTCCATTCCACAGGGTGAAATCTTCCGACCAAACAATACTGATCTGTAATGATTTTTTACACCTCTTTTTTCTGTAAATTATAATCTCTGTTACTACAAAAAAAGGTATCCAGCTGATTACGTTGTTAACAAATACACATTTGACTTTTTCAATTATGCTGGAATACACCGCCCAGTCCACATTATTTCATTGCCATTGATTGGAGTAGAGGATATTTCAGTATCTACCACGAGACTGTCAAGGCGAGGCTCTGACTCTGGTCAAGGTGGGCCCATAAAAATAATACAATAACCAGCATTTACGTTTTCCGCCCTTTTCTCTAGTAACCCTAAAATACGAAGTACTGCTAACAGAACCGTCCTGGACTACAGCTTCAAAGTGCATAGTGACTATGTTGGACGCGGACGGTATAGTTAAAACGTCTGCCGAACTTGATATTTTTCAGCAAAAACAGTGCAAAGGGACTATTCAATTGGCAGAGGCCAAATTGTGGTGGCCCAGTGGCAGCAGGCCTGACCCTGGGTACAGACACACCTTTCAGGTAAATTACGATGCGAAATATAAATGGTAAAAATTAAAATTTTGATAGGTGCAAATATTTGCGGCCCATGAGCTATTTGACTATTACGAGCTCCCTTTTGGAATAAGGACCGTTACGTGGGACAATAATGAAATATACATCAACAGCGAGCCTTTTTATTTGAAAGGACTAGGTCGCCACGAAGATTTTGACGTAATTTAATTTTCAAGCGTTGGCGTTATTATTAAAAAATTCAAATAACAGATCCGCGGAAAAGGTTTTGACCTTCCCTTAGCAATTAAAGATCACAATTTGATGAAATGGTTGGGCTTGAATGGCTATCGCACTTCGCATTACCCTTATGCAGAGGAAATTCTAGACTTGTCTGATCAATATGGCTTTGTAGTTATATCCGAAAGCCCTGCAGTTAATTTAGTGTAAAAAATAAATTAATCCATAATGGAAGGAATTTAATTAAAAAAAATCAGGAATTTTGACGACGAGCTTCTGGCCAAACACAAATTGGTCATGGCTGAATTGATTGCAAGAGATAAGAATAGAGCTTGTGTAATTGCATGGTCCCTATCCAATGAAGCGAGAAGTTTTCAACCGGCTGCTGGGAAATATTATAAGTATGGATACGTTTTTCCACAAACAGAGAAAAAAGTTAATCATTAAATTCAGGGAGCTAGTAGCTTTTGCTAAGAATTTGGACACAGAGCGACCAGTAACGATGGTCACTAATGTCAAATTTGGCCAGGATCAAGGGGCACAATACATGGATATTTTGGCCCTGAATCGTTACTTTTCCTGGTACTCAGACACAGGCAGTTTGCAGCTTATAAAGCAGCAAATGATCAATGAAGTGTCGCAATGGAGGGAAGAATATCACAAGCCCTTACTCATTTCGGAGTATGGAGCAGATTGCGTTGCTGGCTACCATTCAGTAACAATTGCTTATAAAACTCGAAACAAATAAATATTTAAATTTGATACTCATGTTAGGACCCACCAGTGATTTGGACAGAGGAATACCAATCAGAGCTTTTGAAGCTGAACTTTGAGGCGTTTGACCAATTAAGACAATCAGGGAATCTGGTGGGTGAAATGGTGTGGAATTTTGCCGATTTCCAAACTGCTCAAGGTAAGAGCTTTATATTAAAAAGAAAAATCTAGAGAATAATAGCTTACAATTTTTAGGTTATAAGAGGGCTAACGGCAACAAAAAAGGTCTTTTCACCAGAGACAGAAAACCAAAATCGGCTGCTCACGTTTTAAGAGAGCGATATAATTCACTTTTATAATGTTTCCTCTAGAGTTAGCATTGGAAATGTTAAAAGTTTGAAACATTCTTTAAAAAAAATTTATTTCATAATAAAAAAGGTCGAATCTTTGTGAAGCCTCACCTTTTTTTCTTTTCTCCACAAATTAGTTCAATTCGTTACATCGTCTAAAAAATAAGCAATGGCGGTAAAAACCTGTGCTGCGCCTTATTATCGTTGGACGAATCTTCCGTGTCCTGCGCCAGGCACGTACTTGAAAGGCAGGCTTCTGCACCGCCCCCTATATGGATAAAAATAAAATTAGATTTGTCTCATTTCCTATAAAGCATTTGAGAATGTACTTGACCGGCCTGAAGAACAAGCGATGCGTGTCCATACTGAACTCTGGAGGCGCGGTGCCAGCACAGCCCAGTGCCTCCAGGAACACGTCAAAGCACACCATGAGACGCATCATTTGCGCCGAGAGCAGACCCCAACCCCAGCCAGGTCCAGCTATCAGCTCTCGCCAGTGAACGTTCACTTCTTTTTCCATGTCCTAACAGAGATATTACATTAGTGATTGTTGATCTTTGTAGGTGACACAAATCCTCACCCTTATGGCGCTATTGTTTTTACCATCCATGTCGGTGTTCCAGTGAATGCGTAGGGAAAAAATTGGCGGTGCACGTGGATAATCTGGCTTAACCACGATGAAAGCGGTCAATTTTGCTGCATTTTTAATCAAATAAATAATATTATAGCTAGATGAAATTGTGCACTAACCAAAGTTTCCGTCAGAGTTAAGTCTTGTAAAGTTCGCTTTATAAAAAGTGTCCGACTGGGAGACGACTGATTCTTCTACAAGATGCTGATTTGAGGAAATCACTTCGTAATCATCCCAAGTGAGAGTTTCCCAGGTTGCTAAGTTGCAAGCAACCTTTTTGGGGAACAATCGCTTTTGCGTTGGGTGAACGTTAACTTTGCCTTTTTCTACGAACAGAATGTTTAAGGTTAAGAACTTTTTTTACGATATGCGCTTACCAAAGTCCTGAATCTGCTTTCCGAGAGCCATCCTTGCTTTAAACCTGTTCCTCACAGTTCTGACCATTTCAGGCACACATCCACGACTTACAGCTGGATCAACTTTCATCACCATTACAGGTTCACTCTACAGATAAATAGTTATATTTTTGTACGTGTATAATTAGCAAGTCGAAGTGTTACCTTCGGCGTTTCAGTGAGGAACGAGAAGCCGCACATTTGCTGGGCCCAACGGTAAGGGAATCCTAGGTCTTTGACGTAGTTTGCAAAAGAATCCAAGCCCAGTTCACCCAATTGGAAGTAGTTTGATGCGTTGGGACTTACGAGGCCTTTATCGTCTGGATTAAGTTCACAGAGAAGTGTGCTCGGAGAAATCAAATCACTAATTAAATTATCAGTTTAAATTCTAAAAACAAGGAATTTTTTACCCTGCAAAGCTTCCCTCCAACTCCTTGTCCATGTTGACCAGGCACTTCACAGTAACCACATGAAGTTTCAGCAAATAGCTAAACGTCAGCTTGATTGAGTCCTTGTCTATTATTAATTATTTAATTAATTCATGAACAAATAAAATCCAATTATTATTACAATTTTTAAGTTTAACAAGCAGCTGCACTGAAAGCGGGTGCTTCTGCAAAAGCGTCTTGCGCTCTTCGTCCTGTCTGTCAGTTCGGGACACCCTTCGATTACTGCGCCTCGGCTGGATCAGATCTTCAAGGTCAGAATCCGAGTCTTCGTTATCCTCGTCAAAAGACGAAGTTTTCTTTAAAGCTTTTGCCTCCTCTTCGTCCCCAACGATGTTCACCTGAATCAGCTTATCTGAAGCCTCCATGTAAGCCTCAAGCTGAACAAAGAGGGCATACAATGGCTCTGGCAACAACATGGCCGTTTTGTGCAGCTTTCTAACTTTGCTGTCAGTCATTCCGAGCTGCTCTTGCACCGGGATCATTGCCTACGGTTAAAATAAAAATCATTAATAACTTATCCAAACAATATTTTTTTACTACAAACCTTGACAAGTGTCTGAAGCTGAGGACAAATGTTGTCGAGGTACTCGTTCTTCTTGGTTATTTCTGCAGCAATGTTGTCTTTGGCTTTGACGAGATCCTCGCTTTTAACAGAAAGTTGTTTCCGCTGCTCCAATTCCCATTCAAGCCTTGCAAGTTTTTGAAGGTGACTGTCTTTTTCAGTCTCATCCTATTATACAACAATGAATTTATTGCTCATAATACTGTAGGGTAAAAAATACCTTTCGAGAAATGCTAGGTGGAGCATCTTTGTAAAATTCCTCCAAGGAGACCAAATCAATATCCTTGTCTTCCGATCTAATAAAAATTGTTATCAATTGGTTATATTTACAGTTAAAATATTTATTCACTTGAATTCCAAACACTTTGTGACTGCCTTGTGCAAATGCATCGACTCATACAACAAATTCTGCAGCTGCAGGTGGTAGCTGTCAACCTGCTGTCGCACCTTGCTCAGCATCTCCCTGGAGTTCTTGGTCTTGTACTTCTCGTACCGGTTTATCCTCTTCAGTGACACAAACATCATGCAGACCTCCACTCTCTTTTTACTGATCTCTGCCTTGGCCTAATTAAAAAAAAAATTAATATTAAAAAATACTTCTTTAGTTTTGTTAAAAACCTCAGCGGAATCTTGCTTTTTCAGCTCGCCTATTTCTACCATTATTTCTTTGATCTTATTGCAAGTGTCCTTGAATTTAGCGTGATCATCCTCAGGTTTGGTCTTCATGCTCATCGACTCCTCATATTCTGTGACAATCTAAAATATATTTGCATTATTTTCCACTCCATTAAATTAAACCACATTCTCCTCCCTTCTCCTTGATTTGACAATATGTAATAATAATAACTTACTTTGTAAACATCGCCCTCATGTTCCTTCTTGGAGGGTGGTGGAGGGGCAACAGTTTTCGCTTGAGATGCATTCGACTTAGTTGGTGCAGGTTCTGTTGACTTTGCGACAGGTTTAGTCGTGGTTTTGGCGGCTTTCGCCGGTGGTGGTTTCTCAGCAGTCTCCTGCGGCGAATCGATTTTGCGACGCGAGGAAACGCGTTTCGGCGCGGGTTTCTCGGCCGAACTCTTGCCCTTTTCGCTCACCATGATTTTCGGCAATCAGGATGGAATTTTCGGTGAGTAAAAACTCGCAAGAGTAGAGAATTTCGTTATTCTCGAGAAACACCGGCGCAATATTTTTGCAAGTCGAATTGGCTACCCAAAAACAAGGCAAAATACAAACAAATTTATAGTTACAAATCAGCAAGCAGGTGGCAGCACCACTTGGAAATTGAAAACAAAAATAATTTATATTGACGTTTTAGAAAAATTAGAGTCGGTTTTGGGTAATAATTATTGATAAATTATTAATTTTAAAATTGTTTTGATTAAATTAAATTTAATACTTATTGATCCGCTATGCAGTGAATATTTATAGTTCATTTTGCCCTCCATAATGTCCATCAGCTGCGGTGTCCGAGTGGTTAAGGAGTTGGACTTGAAATCCAATGGGTTCTACCCGCACAGGTTCGAATCCTGTCCGCAGCGAATTTTTGTCAAAATTGACCTTTGAACGACTTTTTTATTTATCGTTTGTCACAATGTAATTATCTGAGCGTGTACATATACATATTAACATATTAATATAAATTATTTATTGTATTATCTATGGTCATACATAAAATTTTTGTTAACTGTATTCAACACAAAAACAGTTTGATGAACACTTTGTAGTTTATTGAAAAGATGATTCCTAAAAAATCTTCTATTTTCTAATTGTGTGATTTTTTTTACCCATCAGAGATGCAAAAAGTCGCTGTGGACAGGATTCGAACCTGTGCGGGCATAGCCCATTGGATTTCGAGTCCAACTCCTTAACCACTCGGACACCACAGCGTTGTTAGAGAGGGGAGACTTTTGACGTATATATTGGGAAAGGGTAGACGTATGGATTTGAATGAGCTGATTGTTCCAGTTTCAATGACTCTGCTTTATTAGACACAGGCAATTGTCATTTTTAAATAAATAAACATTAAAAATAAATATTCATGCGAAAAAAATTGAATATTAGGTGAAACGGACTACAATAATATGTATTGATTTTTTTTATATACCCAAGCAAATCCAAAAAGGAGTAATTGAAATTAAAAATTTAAATTACATTAATGTTCCTGCAAAAGCCTTTTGGTTATTTCTTAAATGTGTTGAAAAGGTAGTCCTCCGCAATTGCAAGCTGAGCCGAAATGAGCAGTGGCGCGAAACGACGATTCAATCGTCATTTATCTTTTGGCGCACGTGAATCCGGTTGTTTTATTCTTCTCTCAAGTCTCATATTACAATCTTCACGCTTTATTTTACTGCACTTTCCTTCTCTCTTTGGCAAGCAATAATGCAAGTAATGTTTTCTTGTAAAGCACTGAGCAAACACTTATCGCATGAATTATATCAGGTAAATTGATTGTTATTTCTTATTATTTGCGTTTGTGATTTCAAATGAATAACCAGGCCCATGGGCGTGGGGCTTCTTGACGAGCTGCCTGATCTTCTGGGGTTTACTCGAAGGGCTCGGATTGGGAGTGGGATTCAGTGGTGAGGCAATGTGCGAGAGCTGGGTCGGTTTTTGGCCTCTTTTAACTGCCTTTGCGACTGTGGATTTGGAGTATTGATGGGCCTCATTAGAAGGCGCTTTGGAAGGAGCAACTTCTTCTGGCTCCACATTTGGCTGGAAAAAAATGAAAAAGTCTAAAATAAATTTAAAAAAAAAATGAGGTATTTATGAAAGCATATATAATAATTTAATTTGTTGTTATCTTAAAATAGCAGTTTTGTATATATTTAATTACTTACTTGTGCTGCGTAGTAGACCTGTGGCTGTCTTGAAGCATCATGCTCGGTGAATTGTACAGTTTGGCCAGGGTAAACAGCTTGTGCCGTATCCTCAGGTCTATTACTGGGCTGAAGTTATATTTTGTATTATTATTTATTTTAATTTATTTAAAGAGAGTTTTGAATTTCAATTCACCTGCTGTGCATAATAAGAGTTCAGATCGATTTGATGCTGCTGCTGCTGCAATTGCTGCTGTCTAGCAGGGGTGTTGGAAATTTGCGAGTAGGCATAGCTGGAGGGCTTGGAAAATTGGTTGCTGGTGCTCTGCGGCGCGTACGGTTGTCCATACGCAGCCTGCTGCTTCAGGTAGGCGGCGACCTCGGCAGGACTAAGGGTTGGTTGTCTAATGGCAGCGTCAGGGATATAAGCAGCGGACTGCGCTGGTTTTGATCCTGGGGATTGCTGGCCAGCTTGTTGGTAGAACGAGCTTAGCTGGACAGGGGTCAAGCTGGCCGTCTTGTAGTCCTCTGAAGGAGTAATGTGGAAGTAAGTGGGCTGCTGGCCTTCCTTGGGTGGGAAGAATTCACTCAGATCCAGCAACTGGATGCCCTGAGCACCCTTCAATTGGGGCAGAACTTGCGATTGTAGAACAGCCTGAATATCGACCTTTTTTGGTCTGGTGGGCAATCCTTGCGGCTGCAGGGCTTGAGGCTGCTGAGCTGCTGCTTGAGGCTGATAAGACTGGAAGTGGTTAGCGTAGGCTGGCGGCTGCTGCGCTTGTTCCACAGGGGTCTGATATGCGTATTGGTACTGAGGAGGAAGGTTCAAATGGGCAGGATGGGCTTGCGGCTGCATAGCAATGGCTGCTGGATAGGCTGCAATGGGCTGGCGAGTCGGCTGTTCCGTTTCGTAGACGGCTGGTGCGTGCTGCTGTGGGTAGGCCAGAGCCTGTTGGTGGTGTTGGGCGATGGCTGCATATTGCGGCTGGACGGCTTGAGCGTAGGCTGGTGGCTGTGCATACTGCTGGCCGTAGTAAATTTCCTCCGAAGCCTGTTTGTTGGGCACGTTCATTGGAATGGGTGCCTCCGCCTGAGGAACCTTGACCCTGGGTCTGTTCTGCTGACGGCTGGGCTGCGATTCCTCCTTGGTGGGAAAGGTGAATGCGAAGTGTTGGTGCGGGCTTCCATATTGCGCGTAAAGGGCGTTCAGGTCGACGCCTGGGGTTTGTTTTGGGCTGACGAACTGGGGGCCGAAAAATCCGGTCAGGTCGAGATTTTCAGGTTGGAAGAGGGCAGTACTGTATGGCGCGGGGTCGAAGGTGTTGTGCACTCTGGTGGCCGACGCGTCGGAAACGGCGGCCGCACGTGGAGGTTTGCTTGACTCGGGTCGCTTGGCACATGCCGCGCCGATCTGAAATCAGAGAGGTCACGCGTCCGCGTTTTTTAATGAGCAGGTCAATCAAGACTGCAAATTGTTATTCGCAATTGTTAGTCGCACAGGAGAAATTCGCGTGCTGCTGGCATGAGAGAAAATTGACACTTTACAGTTACTTACGCGCCGTCATTTGGGGTTGTGCCAAGGAATTTAACCCGATTTAATTTTTCTCCTGTCCCATTCTGTTATAAAAGTTGACAAAAGCCAAGGAATTTAAGTGTACTATAGATTTTGAATTTTAATTAAATGGCTAAGCAGTGGAAAAAGCGTTGAAACTGTAAATTTTTATCAGGAAATAGTTGTAATAAAGTCTATAAATTTTATCGCGATTTCCTCTTTTATAAGATACCAGAAATTAAATGCAATTTTTAATGCATTTTATCTCTCTCAAGCAAAACAAACAACCTTTCAATTTTCACTTTCCTTTTCAAAGCCTGCATAAAATAATAGAAATAATAATCGGAGAGTACGCTGCTTGCCTTATCTGCGCTAATACAGCATAATGGGCCCCCATTGTATAGTTTCGTGCATACTTTTTCACTTTTTCACAACTTTCATTTGAGGAAATGAACCGCCGTTAATTCATCTATCGCCCCTCGCTGAGAGGCCAACTAATTGTGAGAGCCAGGCTATTTATTTTTGCTGTAAAATACTGAGCAATTGGTTACTCGGAATTTAAACTAGCAACAATTCAGACATTTCCTGTTAAAGATTATTCAATAAGTGCTCAACGTCATCTTGACACGGAAAATAACAAAATATTCTCGCATTTTGTGCGTATAGCATCTATTAATCCGTGACTTGTAAATTTTATTTTTAGAAGATTGTAGAGCGTCATCGCATAGTTGTAATGTTCAACATTAACAAACTAAACAATGAATATAACCATAGGATTTACAGTTTCTGAATAAAATAAAACGAGCGCGTGACCCATATTAGTTGCAAAAAAATGATCACTATTAAACTTTGTCCTCTTAAAAAAAAGCGAGAGATGGAGAGATACCAAAGTTGCAATTTATTATGTTAGTTATAGAGCGAAACGATTGGAAACATCAATCAAAATTTTTGGAACTCTGCACCTTAATTTGCTATTTCTAATCAGTCAAATTATAAAGAAAATGACTTTTTTTATCTGTGAGTTTGCAAAAAACATAATAACAAGCTAAAAGGGTGAAACTCTTTTTCTAGAAGTTTTAGCCAAAATAAGAAAAAAGGTTTAAGTGCTACTTGTGCCGGACAATGGCTTTTCTTGTCGTTTAATTCCCTGCTCGCGATATCAGGGCCAGCAGTGGCCGATGCATCTGTCGTTTCTCAGTGGCCCACTTACTTATCTGTCCGATCGTTAACGAAGGATGGAAACACAAACACACCGCAACCAACACAAATTGTTAGTGGACAACAATCGGATACTGACCAACAGAAGCGCCAACAGCCTGGCGGAGAACATGGTGCGCACTGACTGCCTGCACTCAGGTACACAGGCCTTTTATGCCTTCGCTTTGGCGGGGCACCTTTTTGAAAGTCATTCGCCGCACACCACTCCGCAGCAAAACCCTCGCCAGTTGTTGGCGATTTTTAACTCTGTCAAAAAATGGTTGGCTTTTTTTAGACAGTTTTATCTTAGCTAAATATTGAACTGATCATAATAATTTTTTTTTTTGCTTTTTAATAATTATTTAATAATTTTTATTTTAAACGTTTGAGATTTTGCTGACGCAAATATTTATGATCAGTAATATTTTAATTATTATTAATTTTTGTTGATAAATTTTAGTAATTTGAAGTTTTAACATGCCTTTAAATAAGTTTATTAATTAAATAAAACATTGTGAATTTCCACGTGCTTTTTTACTAATTCGTTTTACATACAAAACGTTGTCAATGATATAATTATTGTATTATTTTATCTTGTTAAACGCATATTTAAACTAGAGTTTGGTGGAAACTGGCTCGTTAATCTCAGTAGTAATATTATTTCTCATATATAAATTTTTTTTTAATTTTTTTAGGACATTCTAGTTTTAAAAAGGAATTGAAATTATGGACAACTTATCTAAATTTAACATTACATTATATACTTGGCCAAATCGAGAACGAAAGCAAATTTTCACTTGGCAATTGATATGCCTCGCAAGAAATTGATCTGCTCTCTTAAAAAGTTGGTATGTCTTTTCAGTGTCTGGCAAGTCTCTTCTAATTAAGTTTCACTAGCAGATGCACGCGTGTATGTAAGAGGCGTTTTAGTTTCCAAAGTTGAAATCTGCCTGCTGTGCTACTGGCAAGCAATTAAACGAATTTATTTTCCTGCTTTTGCAGAACAAGAGTGGTCCCTTTCGCTTTTCGGACTATTTTTGCATAACCACTACACATTACAGCGTAATTTCACTTCCGACTTGTTTTGCGGTAAGAGGACCGCTTTTTGCAGTTCATCCTTCCTCTCCGGTCGGACCTCAGTGCAGCATTTTTACTTTCACACGCACGCAATCAGCCGCGGATACTCTTTGAAGCTCTTTGTTATCGCCGCTTACTTGATGTGCCTATTCTCGTGTGTGCAAACAGATTATTATTGAATTTTTCACAGAGTGATGCACTTTCTCTCTTGGGGTTAAGCTGCACTGAGAGTTTGAGGATAAATTCTTCATCTTGTGGCAAGTGGCCAGTGAAAACGCAAATCGGCCGCTCCATCTCGTTTGTATTCTCGGCGAGCGCCGCACTTTTGACATTAGAAAACGGACAAAAACAACAAGAGTCAAATAACGTGCTCTCCTTCACTCGCAAATTAGCACGATAGGCGTGTCATTTGTAGTTGAAAAGCAATTGCTTCTCATCACAATAAGTCAGGCGTGAGATGAGAAAGAAAACTTTATACAGGCTCCGCGCAATGCAAAAACGTTGATGAGATTTGCGCACGTGAAATTGCTATCGGAGAGCGAAAATTCCCTATTAAATGTCCCATTAGGGTGAATTAACTGCCTTTTAAAGCTTGACTAATATGTCCGGATTCTGAACGGTTTTGTAAGAATTTTGCTAATTTAGGAAAAAATTAACAAGCGAAAAATCAAATCAGCCGGCCCGCATATTAACATTCCTGAAAGAAAAACTTTCATCTCCCTGTTTGTGTTCATAGTTTTGGGTGCACAAAACAAACAAATAGACAGAAGGTGCCGAGAAAGTGTGAATTTCAAGCACGCAGCTTTTCGAACCCGAATAATTTCTTTTCCATCGATCACTCGCCTCTTCTTCTTGGCACGGCCGCGCAAATGAAAAGTGACCCAGAATGCGCGCAGCCACAAAGACTGCGCTTTGTAATGAATTGCGATGAGCTCTCGGCGTGACTCTTTTATCCAGCCATAAAGAAGCACTCAATTTTCTATAAAGGGTGCTGCTTCCTGTGGCAAAATAGGATATGATTTGAATGCAGTGTTGATTATTTTATTGATGTTTTACATCATTATCTCCAAATATATAAATTGACGTCAAATTAAGTATGGTTTCTGCATAAATAATCCACACTTTTTATAGGATTTTGTGGTTTTTAATAGAAAATTGGGTTTGATTTTTGATTAGTCACTTTTCTAATGAAAAAAATACGCTCTTCCGTTAGAATTTTCGCTCATGCATCTCTTTGAAACTTTTATTAATAGGCCCTTCACTCGCGTTGACTCGCGAGAGAGTGATGTGTTGAGGGATTCTCATCTCGCCGTGGCAATCAGAGCAACACAGCAGACGGACACAATCGCCGAGTCTATGCGGTGGCGCGTCACCGAAAAATGAAAAGCATCCGCGACCACCTTCAACCGTAAAAATTCTTCTCATTAAAATATTTCTCCGCCAAGCGAGCTAATATTAATTATATTTAAATTCTAATTGAACTGTAATTTTCTCTTGCAATTAGATCTAATTGCTGAAATCACGCAAGCACATTGCCTGCAGCAACATAGAAGCAAAAAATCTGTTCAATTGGGAGGCTTCAAACAAAAAACATCACATCATATCATTGCTTTAAAATGATTTAATTAGCGAATGGCTCACGAAACAAAAAGTCAAGCAACAGGTGTTAGAGCAAATTAATCCTTTATTATCTATCCGTTTATTATTGCAATTAACACTTTTCATTTGCGTACAATGATAAATTTTGTTTCCAAATTACGTCTTTGATGTTTTCCTGTTCCCTAAGTTTTGAAAGGCGAATTTTCACCATGATAGGCAATTTATAATATTGCCTCAAATTTTAAAGCAGCAAAATTACGTTTGAACCATTACGATAGTTATTCAGTTCATTTCAATTACAGCAATGTTTCAGAATAATGTCTGTCCTTGAGGTCTCTTTTCTTCCGAATATAAAACGCAGTGTTGAGAGTGAACAAAACGAGAGTTGAATTCTATTATTCTACTTTTGCGTAATAACTTTTATTCGTATAAATCTTAAGCTTAATTGCACAATTACACAATAGAAGAGAACAATTGAAGCGGATCGGCGCTCCGCAGATATTCGGCGCCGCAGGCACAATTAATCAATGAGAGCAGTTGACAAACGTCATTATGTACAATAAAGAAGTTGTTGTTCAAACAATGCGGATTTTGGTGAGGAAGCAGCACTGCACCTCTTTGTCGTCGTCGTGCAGGTCCCACTTGACGTTGTAGACGCGCTGCAAAAAAATTTATCGTTAAAAGCCCTTTTTCAGTGAGAGGGTGAAATTTCGCATTATCGGATTTTCAAAGGATCTGATCTTCTCGCCAACCAGGCAGAAACAATCGATCGCGAGGGAGTAGGGCAACGAAATAAAACGAAAGCTATGAGGTGATTATGCATTGTCGTTTTTGGAAATGAAAAGTGTGCTGCAATATTGGAATGAGATCATTTTGCTGCGCCGCTCGAGCGAGTCCCAAACAGCAGCGGGCGGGCGACCGAAAACACCAGACCTCTCTTTTCTATTAATTTTTAAAAGTAATGCGCTCTCGCCACTGAAAGACGCGGAGTTACTCAAGCAGCTATTTTTACTCCCAAGGGAATATTTATTTCTTTTTAGAAACTCAACCGTGCCGTGAAAAAATTGATAAAAACGATTTTTCACACAATATTTCCAGAAAAATTAGAGTAATTTTTTATGCATATATAATATAAAAAAATCGTTAAACTCACGGATGAGGTCATCTTGGGAATGGTGAGAGAGTACGTCAGATTCTGTGGGTGATCAGCCTCCACAGGGCACTGGGTGACCGAACACGCGTCAGGGTCAAGGCCGGCGAAGGGAAGGTCGCCAGTTGCACTTGCCCAAAATACTCTTACTTCCATTTTATCCTTGGGAACGCCTGAAAATTTATGTGTAAATGTAGTAAAAATAATTTTCTTTTGTGCACTGCGTACTTGTTGCATAGTTGAATTTAATTGAAGAAACTTTTCCCTTCTTTGTCCTGCAAGGGTTTCCGGTGGCTGCTTCCGCGCAAGGATCAATTTCGACCCAGTTCACTTCGCAGTTCTTCATACCTCCTGAAATGTTGCAAATTTTAAAATTTAAAATTCACTTTTCGCTTCTTACAATTAGCTGAGAAGATGTATTTAAAAATAATGAAAATATTAATATAAGCTTTTTTTATGATTGTCCTATTTGCTATGCTTAAAGTACATCATTTTCTTCTATTTCTCTTCAGGTGCGTTTTGTGGTCAGTAAAAAATTATATACTTTCTCGCTTTGAGTGTCAGGGCACTCTCCGGTCAATTAAATTTTATGAAAATGTTTTTGCTTTGGCTTTCTATGCGCAAAGAAAAAAATCCTTCCCATTTCATTCACTCATCAGAAGACTGTTTATCGAATTAATCTTTCGCTCTCTTCATTAGCCTTTGAGAAACTAATATGTGCGCGGCAGTGAGAAATTATGCCCCATTATTGTGACTGTGAAGTGCATCTGAACGTTGCTCGCGCGTTTTCATCACGATGACGCGTGACCTTCGTGACCCTTCCGGCCTTTGCACTGCGCCCAGTGACCACGCGATGAGCAGGACGTAGTAAAGATCTGACTTTCAATGCCGACCATAAATTTCTCGCGATCTAAATTAGAGAGACACTTTCTCGGTTTTCACTTAAAAACAATTGTTCATTTAGCTCATAAAAAAGTAAAATTTTATCACTTAATTAAATTTTTAATAAAAAATTGAATAAAAAATTAAAGCGAGGGTTATTCCTAATAATAACTTAATATGAGCAATTATTTATTTGCAATTTTCATACCTGAACAAGGTTCGAACGAGACCCTCTCGGCGACTATGAGAGTGGTGAAGGCCAAAACGGCCAGCAGGACGCAAGTTGACGAGGGCACCATGTCGACTAATAGCAGCTGATGAACTGATTTGTTTGTCGCGGCGCGAACTGCCTTTTATTCACCAGCTTGGCCGTGCCCCGTAGGGCGGTCCACTGCCCCTTTTCAACGCATTGAATCAATTATCAAATAAAAGAATGACGGGTCAATGCGAGTTTGAGAAAAAATTGCCCATGATTCATGGAACAATTAAATCATAATTTTGCTGAAGAGCATTAAAAATAGATCAATAATTTCCTCTAACTACACTCCTTGTTATACTGTTTCAAAAAAATTAATTAATATAATCATTTGCGTTAAATGAAGCTCTTTCGATTTATCATTTCCTTATATAATGGTTATATTTTTGGTTATTATTTTTCTTTTTAACTTTTGTATTAAATATCTTTTAAAATTACTGAAAATTACCCAAATGAAAAGTATTAAAAAATAGTACAAATTTGCATGCAGTTGCGCAGGTTTGTAATTAATTTAAATGTTTATTATCTTTCTTTTTTTATGTCACTGTATTTATGAATATTATATTTTACATTGTAGCACACCTGTGGTGCAATGTACCATAAAAGAATTAATTCATTATAAAAATATTCGAATCATAAAATAATTTAATCTTTTGTTAATTTTGAACAATAATAATATTATTTAAATTGATTTTATATTTAATTTTTACTTGTCTGTATATCAAACCATTCTTTTAAAGTAAATCTTCAAAAAAAGGTTTTATCTTATTATTTAGTACAAGTTCTCCAAAAAAATTTGACCTTTTTTAAATGTCCATTTAATAGCTTTTTGCATATCTTTAAGTTCACCACAACAAGCTTGATAGCCGTTGAGTATTATAAATTTGTTAGAATTGCAAAAAAACAATACATTGATGCTAAATAACTTCCACAATAAATTACATTGTGTATTGCACTCTCATTTTCTATGTTCTCTCGACTCTTCGTTGAGTGCAATCCCAGCTGCGGAAATGCGCAATAATATTCAAACAAGTTAAATGTCCGCGACTCTCCTGATCAAGTGCAAGTGCCCTCGAGGATGACGGGTGCTTGTGCACTCAAATCTCACCAGTGCATGACCCTTGGCGTGAACCTTGTCTGTCGACCAAAGTTGTTGATTCAAAAATCACCACTCTTAACAGCAAAAAATCCAGTGTTTACATAATCTCTTTAAAAAGAATTGGTATTTAAAATTAATGATGGTGCAATATTTATCTCCGATTTCCTCATGTTTAAAAATTTAATTGCAAGATTATTAAGGTTAGAAGTAATTAAAATCACAAAAACATTATGAATTAAAATAATATAATTCTGAAATAATTTTATTTAGGTAATTCCAACTTTTGCAATATGTAAATTTTAAATATTTAAAAAATGAGCACTAATTTGTCTGTACAAGGTATTCATTTGGTGCTTTGGTTGCCAAGGGCTCCTTCAATTTCCCACCCTGTCTAAAACAAGTAGACGGGGGTCGAGGAGCCCGGACTTATATTTAAATGGGGTTTCATATATTTCGTTGTGTTGAAACCTTAGAAGTTCAAACGCTGCGCTTTACTTACACACTTTTTGTCTTTTGAGCACTGAATTTCACACGACATACACGCTGAAGGTAGAGTCTTGATTGGCGCACGCATTCGCGGCCACTTGCGCCTCTTGGAGGATTCGAAGTCGAGGTCCAAGAGGGATGCCCATCTTCTGCAGGCGCTCCTCACTCACATAAGGCAGCTCCATCAGACCCACTTTCTCTGACTCAAAGTTTGTTGCATATTTCTGCGCAAAAAGAAATGAAATTACCTTTTGATTTAAACTTTCAATTAAAATGTTTTACCTCATAGCCAAGTTTCCGGAGGAACAATCTGAGCAAAGGCGGTTCATCGCCGAAGAATTTGGTGAGCTTTTTTATCCTTGTGTTGGTCCCAAGTGGATTTGAGGGCTCGTAGTTCTTAAGGGAGGTGATCCTTGGGGCGGAATGAGCTCGCAAGGATGGTTGAGTGGCGCGTAAGTTTGCCACTTCTTCTCGAATGTTCTCAATTTCCTGACAAAAAAATTTGGTTAATTTTTATCCAAACATACATATTAATTTAATTTATAATTTACTTATAAAAGCAACAAAGAGTTTGAATTATAAATCATTTTAAGTTTTTCTTCTCGAGAACAAAAAATTAATTAATATATCGGTATTACCTGTAGCATTAGGTGTTGTGTCCTCATTTCCGAAGAAAGGTGAGCAACGCTTCTTGCCAATGTAACCACGTGCGATTCTAACCTTTGGAAGCGCTTATTGATTCCCTGAACAATTAATTTGTAATTATTTTGAGATCACTTTAGAGGAGAATTGAAACCAACCTTGATGTCTTTGACCTTCTTGCGTTCCTCTTGCCGCCCTCTGCGTTCTCGAACCGGTCGGCTGCTTACTGACGAGGGCAACGAGGACATTGAGCCGTAGAGTCTGCGTCGGTTGGGCCGTGTGTCTGCCACGTACCTGCCGCCTCCACCTGTGTACTTTTTCACTCCGAGCATCTTCAGCACTTCCGAGTACATGTTCTCAAGACCCTCTAACTGTCTGCGGATGGCCTGAGCGTCAGTTGTGTCCACCGTGGTGCTAATGTCATCCTCATCCTCTTCGTCGTCATCATCGTCACTTGTGTTTTCAGTCTGGCCGTCCAGGACAGAGTCCAGGTCAAGTCCAGTTGTCGTTGATGTCATGTCAGCAGTACTGTCTGGAGGCCCAAAGGTGTGAAGTGGACCTGAAGAAAAAAAATAAAAGTTCAATTTATTAAAAAATATATTATAAAAAATTTGTTCAACTTACTCATAACAATCTTTGAACTATTTTTATTTGGGGCCGCCATCTCCTTCTTTGCACTTCTGCCACCCTTCTCCATGGGAGACATTGGCATAGATTTTGGCCTATTCCAGCCCCTTTGAGGTCCATTCGGCGTAGGATTCGCCCTAGGGGCAGGGGTGTTTTTGCTGCCGCTAGCCTTGGCTGCACTTTTATTTGCACTTTGGCTTATGCTAGAATTAAAGTTTAGTCACAACTTAGCTCTGGAAATATTTTAATAAAATCACCTTTGATTTGGTTGGCTTTTGTAGTTTCTGTTTGCTTTCGGAGAGGCACAGGGAGACCCTGAGGGGCTGAGTGGAGGCAGAGGGGGAGTCATTGAGCCCACGCTCTCACTCAGATTGGAGTTGGCGCCCATCCGAGGAGCTGCTGTAGGAGGCATGGTGTGCATTGTCCTTGGGTCAAGAATTTGTCGAAGCTCACTTTCAACCATGTCAACCCATTCTGATTCTCCATCTAAAAGAAAAAGTTCTAATAAATTATAAAATAAAATTGTATAAGGTTTTAAGCGAAAAATTTTAATGGGCAGTACGTAATAGAGAAAATTTATAAATTATTTCTTACTTTGAATGTCCTGCCTGCTTTGAGGGCTGCAGCTCGATTCAGTACTTGTGTCTTTAGCTGATGGCCCTCTTCCCGAATCTCCTCCTGCGCTGCTGTGTTTCTCGTAGTCCGAACTTCCCGCCGAGGCCCTTCCGCCCCCATCTCCAGCCTCCCTGGCTTTCAATCTGTGCGCCGTGTACACACCCTGGTGATGGTAAATGGGCTCGTCGCTCTTGCCCTCGGCGGCCGGTCTGCTGAAACCTCCGTCATCCTCCTTTGGTGCCTCTTTGGCGCCAAAACGCGTCGAGATCATGTCCTTGATGGTGTGGTACGTTTTGGCCGGGAATTTCTTTGGGCTCTCGGTGGTTGGAGGCGGCGGAGGTCTGTGATGGGGCGGCTCTTGCTCAGGTTGAGGTCTCGGTCGCGGCGTCGGAGTGGAGAAAACGACGCCAGGCACCATTTCCGGTGCCCTCTGCCCAGAACTGCTCGCCTCCTGCATCCGAGGAACCCCTTCAGGTCCTCTGGGGTTGACACCCTCTGCTTGCCGGTACATGTAGGGGTTTTCTGGACCGCTGGGGTGGTAGGGGCTGCGTACGTACAGTCCGTAGGGGTCTTGCGGGGGTCCTCGAGAAACGTCATGCATGGTGTGCGCCTTGTAAAGTTGGCGCTGACGGTTGATTTCGTCCTCGGTGACGCCTCGGGACAGTAGAAGTTGCTCAGCGTCGCAACTCACCCTCTGAGAGTACAAAATAATACTTAGTTTATTTACTGAAATTTCCTTAAAGTTTAAAAATGGAAAAATAATATTAATAATAATAACTCAATTATTTTCCTTTTTAATAACTTATAAAAAAAAAAGCAATCATAAATATGATGTAATGGAAAATTTAATTAAACTAAAGCACTTTTTGGTGCTTTAATAAACGTCTTTTGCCAAATAAAATTTAATATTGTTCAATAATTATTACTTAAACAATATTTCTAAGTAACTGAGTTGCTGAGTTAATATGAAACGATTTTTCCTACTTTTTTACTTTTAATTCTACATTTCTCTTCAAATTAATCATTTTGATAAAGAATCTGTTTGCAAATATGACCAACCTTTGGAACGGAGTCAGGCGTCCACGCGAGATGTCTGGTGGGAGCGTCTGGGGCGATGGCCCCCGGCGGTGGTCTGTGCTGACCTCGGGGCGAGTGCACCGGCTGCAGGCGGGACGTCGTGGGCCCCGACTGGCCGCGGAACTCGGGCAGGATGCGCGCCTTGAAGGTGCTCGAACTCTTCTCAACGCTGCTCGTCACAATCACCTCGCGCTCAATCTGGAGAAGAACAAAGTAGAAAGAAACTAATTATTATTGTAAGAGCTCAAGGCGGCGAATGAGAGAACGAAAATAAATCCCACGTACGGTTGGTTAATTGGCCTCGGCCATTATGTTAATGAGAGTGAAATTTACATTTTCCTCGGATGATGATTGTTTTAATTCAAACGAAATGAGACAAATTTAATATCGGGACTAAGCATATGCGCCGAGTGAGAAAAATTAAAGGAGTTTAAATATAATTAAAATAAAAGGAGCGACAAAAAGTCCGTCGCACGTGTGCGATTAAAAGACAACGCCGCCGCGTCTGCTGCAATTAATCGCACGTCTGCCGGCGTTTTTTTACCTCCATCGTTGGCATGCCGGAAACGAGCGATATGCAGTGTTAAGATGGCCCTGCGTTCAACTCACCATATGGTGCCTAAGTAGCAAAAAGCGAATTACCTTTCCGAGTTTCTGTTGCGGTTTTATAAAGTTTCAGCCGCGGAAGTTGGATTAAAATTTCGTGTGCAAAAATGAAACGCCGATGTGCACCGATCGAGAGCCAGCGACGGACTGCTGGGAATTCTCTGCAGCCAGGCTATTGTACAGTCCTCCTCCGCACGGAGAAGAACGTGTTCTGTATTTGCAATTCTTTTATCTCATGGGATCAATCGCCGAGTGGAAATGATATACGCCTCGGCAGCGAATTAAAACAGCAGTACAGTCGCCGGCTAAAGTTCGCGCTTGACAGGTCGGATTTTTTGCACTGCATAATGCGGCGGAAAATTGCAATTTCATTCAAGAGCAAGAAGTATTATAAGATATAGAAAAAAAAATAGTTTTTTACTGTCTTTCTGCCTTGTAATAATTGCTCGTTTTTATATCAATTTCGCAATGACTGTCATGCGAGAGTATATAGTGCAGGCGTGGTGGTTGAGGCTGGCACATTTCAGGTTGAGAATTATTTCAAATTGGTCACTTCTAAATCGCGTGGTTTGCATCACTGTTTTTTTTTATTGCAAAAAATTTGAAAAGACAAAGATCATAACAATGAAGATATATTGTAATTTAGCATTGAATTACCAAGAGTGAAAAATTTTTTTTTTTTTTATTTTATGTATCTGAATCGAGAAAAATGAATAAATAATAAGAGAAGTATTATTAAAAAATTAAAATAAAATTTTATTCCAATATTGTACAAAGTTCTTTTTCTAAAACTGACCATTTTAAATGTTACGGAAAAGTTGATATTTAAATTTATTAGCAGATTTTGATCTTTTTGAGTACTTACGGGAAATTTGTTGGAGTGAGTTTGAAGGGCAGCAGGCCCGTGGGTCTGCTCTGGCTGCATCATTGCGCCTGGCAATTCGTGTTGCTCAGGGTGTTGAGGTGGCATGCGATAGGGAGGCGGCTGGAAGCCGGTCGGAGGCAGCGGCTTCGGAGGCGGCACTGGCTTGTAGGGCCCATAGCCGTCCAAGTCTACGCCTGAAACAGGAAAATCCAGTGTCATTAATTCGAATTAGGAGAAAAATGCGCGTGCATTAATAAAGATAAAGGGCACAATCTCGTTGGCAAATAAATTCGCAGCTCAAGGCTAAAAAAGTCCAGAGAGGAGATGGAGCGACGGCTTAATTTAATTGCAGACATGGATGGCTACTCCTCTATGACGAACAAACACCACCCACCTTGGAATTTTAATTAGCGCACCAGCCGGAAAAGGTGTTTGAGCTCAGGCAAGGGGAGGTGAAAATTCATACTCGAGCTGCCACAACGCGCTTAACGGCGTTCGAGTGGAAACTAAAACCACTCTCAGCTAGAATAATATACACTATTTTATATTTAAACTCTGGATTTTGTAAAAAAGCCAGTCCTTTTTATTTAAAATTATATTTTTTGTTATTCTTGGAGATGATTTAGTATCGAAATAAGAGGACATCGAAAAAACCAAGTATATAATAAATATTTGTTAATGTGACGGAGAACTGTTATAATGTGCGAGGTGGAGATCACTTTACAGAAATTCCCATGCTCGCGGCGTATTCCAAGCACAACAAACACGAGAAACAAGCAGAGAGTACACGAATCTCCGCTACCGGCACTCTTTGGGAACAAACTCTTTCCGCTCCTGTTTTAATTTTTTTAAGCCGAGAGAAAGGTCGGCGCGCATCTTATCTGCTCTGTACATAAATACTAGAAGGGCCAATTAATGCACTGCTCCTCTCCCGGTGGAACCAAAAAAAACAGAGACACACTTGACCCTCTTGTTTTAATAACTACTGCACTGCGACTATTCACACGATGCATCTTCCGTCGAAAGTGACACGAGAAGTGAAATTCCCGGAGGATGCAGAATTTAGCATTGTGTTGCAGAGCGATGATGATGAATCTGGAGACGTATCGCACAGATCGCGAGAACGAGGAGAAAGACCACAATGGGAGAGAAAAGCTTTTTCAAAATAAAATGGTCCAACCGTGGGAATGCCAAGCAGTAATTAAAGAAAGTATAATAATTTCTTGAAGTTCAGAAATTCAGTTTTCTCTCAATAATAATTTTGAAAAACAATATTTTAAACTAAATAAAATGACACAATGATTTTTTTTTTCATATTATATAAATAAGATAAATTATTGTGGCTAAAATTTGTATACCCCCAGCTAAAGTGAAAAGTACCTGCTAGCAATTTCTGAGCCGTCAGAAGTGCGTCCCTCTGTCTGGTCGTGAGGGTCGGCGCGGTCATCGAACGCCTCCTGCGAGCCTCACACTGCTTGACCCTGCGCATCCCTGCCCTTTGAGGCGTCCGTCGCACTTGCAGTCTCAACGCACTTTGGCCCGCGGCGCGTGCTCCTAGACTAGAGCGAGCCGTTTCGGAAGACGGAACAGGTATTGTGAGGAAGGGCCCCCTCCTCCCTCCCTGAGAGGGACAACAGTTGGTCGCGCACGGCACGCCGCAACTGCAGCTGCTCCCTGAACTCCCTGAGACTGGCCACTGCTTATCGCACTGCTCATTCAAGTCCGTTGGCTTTTCTTATAAAATTCCTCCTAATGCGTGTGACAGTGTATTTTATTGCCGACCGTTTTGCCTGGCCGCTCCTCCTTGCCTGGCCGTTTCTATTTATTTTCATCTGCCATTTTTTCCACACAAAATTTTTTTTCATTTATTATTCCGACAACGATAATCAATCAAAAATGATGAAATTTTTACTCAAATTTCAAAATCCGAAGATTGCTTGAGGGAAAAATTAAAATTCTTTGTCCCATTTAAATATTCTTTTGAGGGATTATCCAGGAAAGACGATCCTTTCTTCATTTAGCATTCATCCTCAAGTAAAAGGACGCTGATCCTTTCAGCAACAAAGCGGACCATTTCTTAAGATGAATAAATTCATTGTATTGCTGCCCCCTCACAATACAAAAGGGGTGGATCTGGACAGGATATCTTTTCAAATTTAAAGAAGCTTTTTATTCCCAACCACGGCAAAACAATTGGTGTCCGAGGAATGCAGACTACTTGTGGGATATAATTCTTGAAACATAACAAAGCCCCGCTTACGCCATAAAATGTCGGTTTTTTATTCGGAAAAGTTTATTGCCGCAGGAAAATGTTGTTTGAGTTTGTGACGTCAACAAAAATAAGGCGTTGACTATTTATTATAAGCAAGTTGCTTCTCCGCGTCACGAAGGCTGAATTCATATATTTAAAAACGCCCATCACACTTTTGCGGTTTGCTCAGAATTTGTCTTCTCCACCACACTCTCAAAAGAAATTTGCATTGCGTGAAAAAAATCTAAAAAAAGGAACCGCTATGAAAATGGATTATATAGAATAGGAGCTTGCACGGCGCATTTAATTTTCTGCTCTGCATCTTTCTCCTTCGATTTTCCTTGTCTGCCTCCATTAAAATGAGAGACGAGGCAGGAAGCGCCGTCGCTACCGGAACTAATTGACTCTGCAGCTCCACTTCCACCTGTTATTGTCACGGAGACTGCTCCCTGAGAAGCAGTTTCGAACCCTCTAAGTCGGTGGCAGCACCTGACTGCGACCTTTGCGGTTTTTATATATTTGCATTTATTTTTTATTGGATTTTTATTCATTATATAGGCATTTCACTTTTGACGCCTCCATAAAAATTTGCGCCAATTATATTTTGAGTCAAGCCCTTCGCTCAAATTGACTTGTCGATTTTTCAATCAAGCGCGAGAACCAAATCTGGATCAAGATCTTGTTCCTCCCACGCACAAAAACCGCTTAATTGGCACGCCTCTTTCATTGTGATCCAATTTTCATTGTTCTTGTAAGAGTATGTCTGTTGAAACACACGCCTCTGCAACATCCCATACTCGAAAACCAAGGGACCATTCTAATGATTTGCAGCACTCTAATTCCAATCCATTAATCCCTGAGTGCGTTTTAGTTTTACAATTCCCACAAACTATAATCAAGTCTCGTATTGTTAACATTTTTCTCTTTATTAAATATTATTACTGTAAATGGATTGAGTTTTTGTTTTTTGTGTTTCAAAATCAAGAATTATGAGGTTCCGTTGTGTCCGTATTGTTGCTTAATAACAGACTACGAGTTTTGAATTTGCGTGCGGTGCCTCTTGGCCACAGCATGAATTTTCTCACAAATCGTAATGATGTCATGTTGCCTTCCTTTCTGAACGCTGGACCGGTTTCATTCTACAGCAGATTGTAGTCCGGTACGCTATGGCCCGCAGAAGAAATGCAACAATTTCATGTCCAGCTGGATTTTCTCTGTGGAAAACTCGCGGAATCTTCGCTGAGCACTCACGAGTTTTTGATTTCACTGTGCGTAAACAGGCCGGTGTATCGATTTCATATGGGAACTTTTGCGAGTCAAAATGTGATACACTTCAATAAGCGAACCCTTTAAATGAGAAATCGTCTCCCGAGATAATTAGTTATTCTGACCACGCTACAGCTCGGGACGGAGGAATTGAATGTGCACGAAATGAATGTTTCCACTTTAAGTGTGTCACGATGCGAACGAGAAAATTTGACGTCGCGAGAGTAATGAGGACAGAATGCGCTGGACATTAAGTTACAGAGAAACCTAAATGTAAATTTAATAATTAATTTAAAATGAAAAACAAAACACAACTTTTTTATAATATTTGTTTAAAAAAAAATTTTCTGAGACGCAACAGGTGATCTGGAGGCAAAAGTCTCAAATAAAAAAGGGCAGTCTGCTTTCACGCCATTTCAATTTGCTCTCTTTGAATCTCTCATTGTTCGAGTGTTGTAAAAAAATCGACAAAAGTTAGCCGACACGCTCTGTTGGATTATTTGTTGAATTATTTCGCTATATTGCACCGCCTCTCTTTTTTTCCTTCCATCCTCCGAATTTCACTAACGAAGGTGCGAATTGAGGCGAATCTGCGCGAGATGGAGGAATTTACTTGAGAGGTGAGATAAAATCATATAATTTTTACTAGTTCCAGTAGCTCCACGGGCGGCTTGGCAGTTTTGCTGTGTAATGAAAATGCAAAGCAAGAACAATGAACCAATCAGCACAGCGTGTCGCTGATTAGAATTTTAAACAAGGGCTATTTCCTGTGCCTTCCTCGGTAACATCAGATTAGCCATCTATCTCCAGCACTGGAGCATACCAAGCGATATAATTTTATGCAGAGGGGATAAAATTCCAAACTAAGGAATGCTATTATATAAAAAATGAAAGACGAATACCGATACATAAGTTTTAAATTTTTCAAAAAGGTCTAAATGATTATTATTTTTCAATTTTTTATGTCATTTTTTTTTAATATTGCGAATTTAAAAGTGTATTTTCTTTTATAATTAATAAACGGAGCATAATTGTGTATTTTTTTTTAGCTGTTGTCTGATGAAATTTTATATTGCCACTTTATGTGACGCGCTTAAGGACAGTCGCTGTATATTTGAAAGCGATAAAATACTTTGCTCTGCGGTGCCGCGTTGTGAGAACAATAAAAATAACTTTCAGAGTCGCGGCGTGGGAACAGCCAATACGAAACGAAGAAACTTTTTATAATTTATTAATACGCGCGGGGCCGCAGACGCAGCCAGGGTATAAAAATGAGATCGCGTGCTTGGACGAGGAAAATAATAATAAGCGGCCAAATCGCTCACGACGCTCCTCCATCCGGCCATTCATGGGCGTTGCGTGAAAAGCAAAAGCGGCAGCCCAAATAAATATAAAATCACTTTCCGCGTCGCCAAACTGCTGATCATTTTATCGTCGGTCAAGACACCGAGTTATGGGCAGAAAGTGTGCAAATATTTTTTTTACAAGAGAATATATTGAGAACCATTTGCGTCGCGCGTGACTCATCTATCCATAAAAGCTTGGATGCTGAGGAATGACAAATGAGCTGCCGGCTCGCGATTATCAAAGGTGCTCATTAATCAACGCCCAAATACTTGGCCTAACATGCCGAGTTTAAAACAAAAATTCATCACAGGAACGACAAAATATTTTGATCATTTTGGGCAAAATGAAGATTTGAAATACACACTAAGTATAAAAACACTTTCCGTCCTGGGAGTTCTCCGAAATATGCAATTAAAGCAACCATAAAGTTTTTAGCGACAGTACTGACGTTTTCCCACCGCCTCAACGTCTTTTTAGCCGCCAAGGAAGTTGTAAATTAATTTGGTACTGCTAAAAACCAACACTCTTGTGTCTAATTTCGTCCTTAATTACACACTCGAGGATGAAAACTTAATGTAAAATCACACCGTCTCGTTTTTGTTTAGGTGCAATAGAAAATTACCCAGGGATAAAGAAGTGCATCTGATATTCTGACGGAAATTATAAACGCAAGAGGTTGTAAAAGAATTTTTCAAGCTCTCAAACCGCAAAACAACCGTGCTTGAGATTTTCTAGAGATTTTAATTCGAACACAATTATTGCACCTCTGGAGCTGCTCTATGGCTGCAGAGACCGACCTTTTTAATAAAGTGGAGAGAAAGCAGCCTGGGTCAGGTAGATTTATACAAAGGCCGACGGCAGGCGGGCACGTAATAATAACAATAATATGAATCACACGCGCCAGGTAAAGGAGAAAAACGCTCCCTGGGTGCAGGACGCGCCGCGGTCCCTCTCGTTTTTTCGTCGAGCCGAATTCCTTTGTTTTGGCCAAAGGCGCTTTCCACGTAAATTGTGCGATGGTCGGCGGCGGGAAACAATGTCAGTTAGTTATCCTCTCTCTCGTAAATTCAGATCGTGGCCGCTAATTATTTCGAGTCCATTATCCTAAACGGCACACTCGTCTCTATATAAGCTCTAAATCTAGCTGGGGAATGGGCGTTTTTACACACGACTGCGGACGCAATTTTCCTGATATTTCGTTTTAAGTTTCAAGGACTCAAATAGCTCCAGGCGGCAGTGACACAATAATTAATTACCTGAGAAAATAACTCATTTAAGCAAAAAATATAACAAACCAAACATCGATTAGAAATTTAAACTCCGTTTTGCCCAGTAATTAATTTTCTCCAAACAAATAGTTTCTTTATAAATTATTGCAACAATTGGAAAAATAAACTAAACAATTTGAATTAAAAAAAACATAATATTAATAAAATTAAGTCGATTTAAAAAAGATAAGAAGTTAAGATAGAAGTAAATAACTTGGTTTTTTATGTTTGGAATAATATCCAAATTAAAATGTGAAAAAAAAATGCCTGGTCACGCAGTCGTGAGTCGGCTGGCCGGATGACAAATATGTTTTTGATACAATCTGATTTGCACTCAGCCAATTTGTTTTGTGGACGCACGAGATCTCCGTCCGATATGGAAAACGAGTAGGTGCGCGCTGATTAGTTGATGAACGAGGAGGTGAACTTTTGATACTATCTTTCCTTGCACACGCAGAGGACCTGGCGCTAAATAACCCAATGGCCCCGAGATGAAATTCGATCCTCGCCACTCTATTAAATGTGAAATGGGCCGTCTGTTGACACATGAGAGGCGTCAATGACCCGTCAACACAATCCGACCAAAATTACCCACAAATTGACTCCACCTCTTAATTATGTTATTAATACACTGCGCAGAGAGAATTTCTCACAAAATATTTCGCAACTTTATTCACACACATTAAATGCTGTTTATTATCGGAATGCGCTTGTTGGCGTTAAAATATATGACGGAGATCAAGTTGCTGATCAGCGATTTGCATATAATTGTGCAGCTGATGCAAGCGGCCTCTTCGAAAAAGTGCCGCGGCCAACGTGTTTTGTATACGATTTTTCAGCAGAGCGGCAGCGGTGATTTTGAGCGACCGCGCGCGCGGCAGCAAAACTAATTGCGCTGATGACGAAACCAGTTTTCCTTCTGAGACGATTATTATACCTTATTTTCTTGCCCAGAAATGTGAATTCCGCTCTCGCATATATACCTGCGGTGCAGAGCAGAATATTCAAATCAAAATATCTGCAGATGAGAGCGAGCGGCCCAAAGGCGAGCGACACCCACCTAACTGTGAATTCCTTCTGCAGGTGGGATTTTTTCGGTTTTATTGCTCCCTCTGCGCGACGCGTCCGCGGCATGCCATCCTTTTTATTACCATTGTGCGCTTTCCAACATCGCCATGAGAAATCTACGCGCGCGGGGACAAAGGCCTCAAGAGGATTCGGTTTCTATTATTCGGCGAACGGCTCATTTGTACGCGTGGTTTCGCCTTCAGAGTTATGCATCCAAGCAATTATATATGCGTCTTCGCATCTGGCACGCACGCAAATTAATTCCCATTAATCAGCACGTTGTCTGCCTCTTCCAAAAATAGATTGGAGAGAGACGTGGTGAAGGAACCGCCAATTCTCTCAAGTAATCAAAGAGAAATTTAATTATAATTTTACGTTTATTGGCCGTGGAAACAAAATTTAATAATGAAAATAAATTGTTTACCAACTTTTGATTACTTTGGGCATTGCAAGAAATCTACACGATTTTTCTTCGTCTTAATTTTTCTAATTTTATGTCTTTCATTTTAATCGATTTGATTATTTGCACCTTTCCTTATATTTAAACAAACACCTTTACTTCTGAAACTGTTTCCTGTCTTTTTTATAAGGCAGGTGCATTATTTTTCTTATTTCTTTTTAACACGGATTTTTTCCAAGAATAATTTTTCAAAAAATCTTCTAACAAATAAAATCATTAAAAATAAACAAACCAAAATCAGTTAAATTATAATGCTCCTGAAACTTCCCTAAACCACCCCAAATTATCGCATACAAAACCCCTTTATCCCTATTCAGGACCAAATAAGGTATAATGCCTGAACAAATATGGTCACCCTGAACCCTTAGAGGATCATACCTGGGGAGTAGTGCTGTTTGGGCTCCAGTTTTATCCGTTAAGCGGCAAACAAGTTGAAAAAATCACTGTACAAAACACGCCACTCGTGGCATCATACCTGAGACTGCGGCTGCTGATGAGCCGCCCTGGCTCAGGTTCGCGGCGCCTGCGCTCTGGCCAGCGCTGGGGGCCACAATCAGGAGGCCCTGCTGCTTCGTAGGCGGCACGCGAGGGGGCAGCGGCGGAGCGGGCGTCTGAAGGTACAACGGCTGGCTCACTAGAAAATTTTACCATTTTAATTAATTTCGTTTTTTTTTTTTAAATGTTAAAACAAAAAATATTGAATTTACTTTGAATTTTTGAAATAATATAACATCTTCCTTTAAAAGGAATAAAAAAAAGCTGAAAAATTGTACCTGAGGAATATAGAGAAGGTGCAACAGGGCTGATGATGACATGCTGGGAAGTCACTGGGGAACTTTGGTGCACTTCCTTCACTGGGGTTTGATGATGATGGTGGTGGTGGTGGTGATGATGATGTTGATTGTGGTGATTTTTCTGAAGCAATTGATAGAGATCAATCTTTAAAGACATTCAAAAGACAAGTGGGAAAATTTCAAGTGTTTTAAGCTTTATTATTTTAAATAATAATAATTTTTGTTTTGATAATTTATGTAAATACTTCTGGTGTAAAATTTTATAAAATGTGATTCGTAGCTGAATCTATGCTACCCGCACAACAAGTGTGGCACGCGAGGCTGCATAATTACAAGGATGCCGCTACAACCTTTCACACTTCATGGCTTATGTGGTTGTGCAGCGGTTTAATGTTAAAACTGATTTTTTATGTTATGAGTTTGTTCTACATGATTCTGGTTTTGGGTCAGCACTGACTGCGAGTTGAGAACAGAGCTATTTACAGATTAAGAATAATTTCTATACACTGTTGGCCAACCGCGAAAATTGCCAATAAAATTTAAAGTAGACCGGCAAAGAGTAAAAAGTAAAGTAATAATATTTTAATTCTACATTAAGTTTTGAATTATAAAAGATATAGTTGCAAATTTTGTTTATTGATCTATCACAAATAGATACAAATAGATATAGCAAAAATAAATGACTTTATTATTCATCATAAATTGATTTATTGAAATTTGTATTAATTATAAAATTTTTTCTTACCTCTGGTACAACTACAGCATTATTTAGAGGAACCTGGTTAACATTTTTAGTCTGCATTGTGTCCTCCTCCTGTAACAACGTAAATTTTTTTTTGTAATTAATCTTGTCTTCAAATAGATCAGAGACAGGGACAAAAACACATATGTGCCGGTATTTGGTCGCAGCATATTTAATTTAAATGCTAATAATGAAATAAAGGTGCGTCGCAAATGGGCGGGGCGGTTATTGAATTGGCACTACTCTCATTTGACACAGGAAGTTGCTCTGTTATGTTAAAACGAACGCACAACAATCGAAGCAACAGGTCCTTCACGCGCTCTCCTCCTTAAATAGCTCGCTTGCGCGGGTGCAATAAATATCTTATTTACTCCGGAAGAGATAATGACACTCGTGAAGCAGCTCCATTTATTGCACACGCTCACAATTTTTAGTATTTTTCTCTCCCATTTATATCGTCTTGTGCGCGGCATCCTGCACTTGGGCCGTGGGAACGGGAAAAGACACCCTCAAAATCCAGCAGCACGTTTTTCATTGGGCTGCTTCTGTGTTTCCGGCTATTCCTTCATTCATAAGCTTTTTTTGTTTTACTTGAATTGGTTTTTTTTAACATATGAACAATTGTTTTGAAATTTACTAATTCTGGACCATCATTGGCCGTGGATTTAATAATTTATTAGAAAATAGAGAACAATTATTGTTTGATTTGGTAAAATATTTTCCAATATAGTTTCCAGTTTATGAAATTTTTAAAATTTAAATTATTTAGTTATATTGTTTAATTTTACTTTGGAAGATTACTTTCCATAGTTCAAAAGGAAATCTTTTCCAAAAGTTTTTACAACAAGAAGCCATTTAAATACCTGTTCATCAGGCTCTTCCAAGGTTGGGGGTAAAGTGATCAGCTGAGAAAACTCCCTGAATTCAATAAACTCCTCCGCAACACGCGCCATTCACTTGAGCTTGGCGAAATTAGTCCAACATTGAGATTTTACAAACGTCACTGAAATATTTGTGCTCCTGCCGCCGTGTTTTGGCACTGACTGAGAGAAGCTGCGAAGGAGGGTGTTTGATTTTTTCTTTGGGATGATCAGCAGCAGCTGGTCCTCTCAGGGGTTGGCGCTGTTTGTGCTTTTTTTCATCTCTCCCCCTCGGCAGCGTGGGAAAGGAGAGAGAGAGAGAGACGAATTTAAAGTGTGAGTAGTATTCTCGACTCACTCAAAGAAATCAAAAGGACTAGAAGCAGCTTTCAGTGAGCTCAGCATCATGTGCGCGGGGGCAAAAAGTTTCGTGGGAGGAGGAAATAGAAATTCACTGGCGCGGCCTAATCAAATTCGTCCGGCAGATTGCCTTTTAATACAAATCATATCTAAAAGAAAATAAACAATTTTATTCTCGAGATTTGGTTGGAAGCTTGTCTTGGCAAACGTAGAAGGTGAAATTTGGCGACCTTGGAGAGGTCACTCTATCAGCTCCCGCTTGGCAGATGTTAGTGCCAAAACTGTAAGGATTTGGAGCCCAATCAAAATACTCAGTATTAAATTCTTTTTTCCTCTTATAATTTTTTATTAAATTATTAATGTAAAATTGTAAAATATAACCATATAGGAGAATATTTTTATTATTAAAAAACAACTTTGGGGTTTTGTGAGTTTTTTTGGAAATAGAATGCTTAAACATCCTCCTCTATATATTATGTTTATATTAGATAAGTCGGTTGGACTAAGGAGTGGAGAATTATTATAGATTCGAAATTCACCTGCCGGGCGAGCTGATGGACACTGGCAATAAAACGCACCAAGTGTTTATCATGTGCAAATTCTGGCAACGCTTCAGCAGCGACTCATCTGCACGCTGGGCACGGAGACGAGCTTTGACTCGAACACATTTTATTCCGCTGCACGCCCTCCAGACTTTTATTGTGTTGTTTCAGCTTTGGCTTTGTAGTATAGCTCTTCAGAAAGAAAGAAAGAGCAACTGACACTCCACTGACCTTCGCTTGAAATTTCCATCAAATTTATTGGCAATTTCAAATTTATATAATTTTAGAGAATTCAATAGAAAAAAAAGGAAGCTAAAAGGCCTCTTTGTATACATAAAAGAATCTCGATCGAGAATTAAATTCAATGGAACCACTTCCTTTGTTGAAAGTCCATTAAAATCTCATTACACTGTTCGGTGGTTTTTTGATAAATTTCACACGGTGCCGCAGCGAGAGGAGACGACTGAAAAAAAAATAAAATTGAATTATCGCTGCGCGTCTCGTCCTGATGCGAGAGTGTTGGAGGAAACCGCACGATTTCGTTTCTGGTCAGTGCTTTTTGTTTCTGCGACCGTCGCGTTTTGAGCTTTTTGCTCGCAGGCTGCACCAAAGAGCGAAGACGCTTCTCAAAGAGATTGGATTACGCGCTCGCTCATTCAAGCCTGCATACGTCTTCCCCGAAATTTGATGCTTCACTTCAAAAGAGACAAAGCAGCGTTTTGATCTTTCTAATTAACCGAAGAGGCGTAGAGCATTGTTTTGTTTTTTGCAAAGCTTAGCAGGGTTTCCTGTCGGGACTCTGATCTATGCTCTTATTCTGATGCTTTGTGCTGCAATTATTATTCTCATGCGCCAAGATTCGACCTTCACTGCATGCGAGAGGAATTACCGTGCACGCTTAGTAATAATTTTTCACAGCATTAAGCGTCTCTATACAGCACCGAGTAATAAGTGTGCATCTCTGAAAAGAAGTAATAAAACACCTGTTGCTTCCTCGTTCGTCTCGCGCGTATTATTACTCCGGCATTTTGATTGTGCAGCAAAAGCAGCAAACCCACGGTGCTGCTGGCAGAGTCTGAAAAATGCAGTGTAATTTCATATTGCATGCGAGCAAACTGTTTGCGTTTTGTCCTCTTTCGATGGCTTTTATTTGATAATGAAATGGTGCGCTTAACTGTAAATTTGAAGAAAAAAAAACTGCTAACAACTTAAACGATGTAAGGCTTTTGATGCAATTTAATAAAAATTAAATGTTAAGTTGAATGGAGTTTTTATAAGTTTTTATAACGGTCTGAAGGTGTTAACGCATCTTCCTCTAGCTCTTATTTATTGGCGTGACAAATGGGGCGCAGTGACCCTTCTCTTTGTTTGCGCGTTAACACAATACAACAATCAATTTGAAAGCACGCAGGTTGCTCTATAATGTCTCTATACTCCAGTAAAGACCTTCTCGTTTTTTCCAAGAACTGGAGGGACACATTCCTTTACGTTTGTATTATATAATTTATGGCTGCACTTATTTGTTCCAAAAAGAGACCATCATGAAAATAAAGAATCATGCACACGCGCTCATGTTTTTCAAAAAGGGACCATTTGCAACTTAAAAATCTGCTGCCAGCAAAAGTATAATAGAGGACACAAGCAGCCGCGTGTATTTTTAAAATCTCTTAAAATGGGTTAAAATCGTGATATATGAATATTTATAGTTTTAATAGATTTTCAACGTCTATGATAAAAATTAAAAAAATTTAATTTTAAGCAGAAAAATTTTAATAATAAAGAAAATAATGAATTCAACTGAATCAAATACATTATAAATTTTTATTTTTAAATAAAAAAAACGAGAAAATTTGGTTTTGCCTGAATTATTACAGACGGACAACAATTTTTTATTAGATATTAGTTTGACATCCGGTGTTGCAGGAAAAAAACGTGGAAAGGTAAAAAAGGTATGGCTCTAGTCCAAAAGCACCAATGTGCGCTTTACATACTCGCATAAGGCGCGATCGAAAGTTCAGTGGAGCATGCCTGCGCCTGTCCGAGATGAGGCGCTTAGAACACTCGAATTTTTATATATTATGGTTTTGTTGTGGCTTTCCACTTGAGGGCACCAATTCAAGGTATCACCATTTCCATTCCGCGCCGGTATTGTTCCCTGCTTTTGTCACATTAAATTCTCTTTTTACACTTGTGCTTTGTGTATCATGTTCATCGACATGTTCACGCAGCGTATAGACTGCAACGAACTTCTTTATTCTTCTGCAAAAAAATCTAAAACGAAAGAAAAAAAGCAGGCCTATATAGCGTCTGACGCGCCCCTATAAGCATGAAAATCTACTTTTCTTTGCACTGACGCCTCTGAATTGAGCGAGAAGATAGGCAGACAAGATAATTAAGATGAATTTTGTATTATTGAAAAACAATATACAAGAAAATTGATTTAATTCCTTTTTTACTTAATAAAAACAACTTTTTATTTTCAACAAGGAATGTCCTATGGTCCATACAATTTATCACAAATTAAAGGAACTTATAAAATAGTCTTAACAAAAAATAGGGATCAGCATAGAAGAATGAAGCGGGATCACTTCTTGAGTAATCGTTCAATCAGCGAATTGTTTAAGGAGGATGTTGTTTGGATTTTGTCACGTGGACAGGGGCAGCAGTAGCACGTGTGCGCGTTCAAGAATGCTTTCTGGCAACTTCCTGTGTCGCTCATTCATTGTCACGGGCGAAACAATGCGCTGAAACAATGGTGCCGGCGAGGGGGTGCGCGCGGAAGACGAGACCTGCGGAGAGGGCATGCACCGTCACGCACCGTGCACGCGGCGCCCACCCTTGAGATCCGCATAAAAAATAATAAAATCTTGATCGGTGCACGCTTCCAAAAAAAGTATTTTTTATTAAGAGGATGCAGAGACAAGGATAAAGGTTATAAAAAAAATAAGGAGAGGATGTTGAAAATATTAAAAAAAAAAATTCATAACGACACTTCTTTCTCTACCGAAGTAACAAAAAATAAACATCCTCAAAAATCACAATTTCAAATTTATGTCCAGTTATGTGAACCAGATGGCAAAGTGATTATGTTCTGGCACTTCCCGGAGTTTTCGGAGAACAATTACACAACTCTCGCCATAAAAAGGAAACATAAAACAGCACGCACGTGCTTTTATCCGGACTATTTTTTTTTTGTACAACGAAAATACATTAAGCCGATTAGTATGTGTGAATCAGTTTTGCACGTTTGCGGCACGGTGCCAAAACAATGATTTTAGACTTTTTAATGACAATTCTTATGTAACCAAATTTATTAATTTTATTTAAACTTACCTTTGAGATTGTCGATGTATCCTTTAAAGGTTTAGACCAAATCCATAGAGCACTACTGACCGACCCGCAAGGTGCACCGTTTTGAGAATTAGCAATAATTAGTGGGTCACACACGGACTAATTTAAAGCCGAGTAATTTTTCGGAACGTCTCGAGACAGAAACTGCGCCGCTCTGAAAATCACGCCGCGAAGGGGTGCAGCACCCGTGACGGCACCTGACGAGCGGAGAGGACAGACGTCACCTGAGCTCAGGCTGGGCCCAGGTCGCACTGCTGAATGAGCAGAGCGGCGGGCGCAAAGCGCGCAGAGCGAACGCAAGAACCGCCCCCTCGGCAGTTTCGTCCTTCTTGCTCTGCGCGCACTCCACTCGCTGAGCTGCCATAATATACATATACGAGATTGGGCTTTTTGTGTAATATTAAAAGTGGACGGGAGAAGAACTGCGATTACACCTCTCTCAAGTTAACAACTTCGCATCACGCACAGGAGAGCCCAGTAATTTTTGCAAATATCGGCGCCGTGAACATCCATAAATTTAGCATTTTATTGCTCCTTTGAGGAGCAAAAAAGAATGCAATTAAATTTCAGTTTTTTATCGCTTTTCAAAACAGAAGGTCGGAAAATTATTTATTATTAGGAGAACATCCGATAAAAAGAGAATAAATATTGTAATGCAGGGTTCCAGCATCACAACAATGGATTATAATTTGATTGTTGCTTGCGATCTCTGATAAACAATCAGAGCGCTCGGCAACAATTCGAATTTTCTCCGATTGTTGTGACGCGCGAACCTTGTTATAAAGTTATTTATGATACAAACAAATTAATGAATGGCACTAAACAATAAAAAATGAAGTCGTAAATTCAGTCAATAAGTATTAAACAATTATTATGATTTTTTTTATTGCTATTAAAAAGCATATAAAACACAAGTTTTACTCTCAAATATCATTTCAATAAAATTAAATTTTAATATAAAATAATATATTTTTATTAATAATTACATAATACTTAATAAAAAATGATTTTTTTGTTTTAAATTCATTCTTCATTCAATTTTATTTATTGTATTATTGTTTATTCATAAAATCAATTTAAATTCACAATTTACAAATTCCCAATTATTCTAATGAAAACAAAATTTTTTTCACCTATTTCATTGTGTTTTCCCAAACCAAACAATTAATTATTAATTACACTTTGTTAATTATGGAACGAGGAAAAAGCCCGATAACTTCACTTCCATTATCATCTCTTCGAGTATGTCAATTTCATCAAACACCTTTAATACAACATTTAAAATTCACTACACGTTTATAGAAGAGTGGGTGCAGCAAGGCTCGAGGGAGGAAAAAGCGTCCCAAAATAAGAGGCATTCAGCGTGACTTGAGCCGCAGCACCTGTTTTTCATTTGGCAGCGTGAGAAGGAAAGGTGGATGGATGCGCGCGGGCGAGTTGTGTTGTACCTGCCGGACAGGAATATAAGAAGCGTTCCGTTCACTTGATACCCTTGCCGACTCGGGGCGGCTCAGGGGCTAAAAATATACACAAACGCGCACATCCTCGCGTGCACTTTTTGTGTGGACACATTAAAAGCTCGACGACTGTAATAACCAGCGATATAAAATTAAAATTGCCGTTCAACAAATTTGTAAAACTGTAGTATTTGAATAAAATAATATATTTAATTGCAAATAAAAATCTAGTTACGATAGTAATTTTATGGCTTTTAACTTTTTAATTCTCTGCTTAAATTGAAACGAAAATCTTTTAAAATTTTTTGGAAGTTTTTTTATCCAGTTACAGTGTTTTTTGTTCTCACCAAATTCCAGCGATTGTAGATTTGAAAATCTTTCTTTGAATAATAAAATAAAAGTTAAGAATGAACTGCACTCAATGCAAAAGAGAGTGTACTTTACTTGTTAGAGAGGAGTTTGGCGGATGTTTGGTTTCCTGTTGAACAATAATTCCAGAGAGGCCCAATGAACTCCACATACAGCACTCATTGTTGCTTAGCACGTATATAATTGCCTAATTTATTTTCAGCCGCCTCTCTTTGTTCTCCGGCGTGCTCGCTGAGCATAACAAGAGCGTTGCCGCCAACTTGCTTTAATCAGATATTAATTGAGGCAACTTTCAAGCGGCAGATTTTGTACTTTCCAAGCTCAATGAACGATCAAAGCCGGAAAGCAGATGCAAACTGTCAGTTAATTATGCCACACTATTTTTAAATCTGAAAGCGTCCCTAATTTGAGGATCCAATCAGTGAGGGAGATATGGCTTTACTTTTTTTATGGAAAGAAACGTCAAAAAAAAAAACTTCACGGACCCTAGTTGAGGGCTGTTTTTTTTTCAAGCTAGTCTAATCACGATTAGAGTATAAGCAGGGGTGCGATTTATTTTAAGAACATAATATATTATGTAGACACAGATGTGTGACAATATTTTTACCATTTAATGTATAGTGAAAAATAAATACTTCTTTCCGCAGCCGCCGTTAAGAGAGTTTTACGAATTGCAACTCAACGTGCAAATAAGCGATGTGAAAAGAAAACAATCCATTACTTCCAGACGACTAGGTGACATTGTCTCAAGGCAAAGTTTACGCGTTGCACGTCAACCACCTGGCGCAGTGTATCGGAAGTGAAACACGACACTCTTGAAAAATTTAAATGGCCTCTCCGCCCTCTAATTTTGTTACTTTTCTCTCACGCGCAGTGCCCCTTGGCTTTGCATCGTTAATTCATCTGTGGCAAATTGAGAACATTGCAAAGCAAATTTGGCGGAACAAGCTTCTTATGCTTCAAAAGTTACAAAGCCAAACAATTAATCATATGAAGATCATATTAAGACAAAAAATATTTTAAAAATATCCAACGAAATAGGATCAATGTAAAGTATATATTCGTCTTATAAATAATTTTCCTCCTTTGCAAAATATCCAAACATCTATAGCAGCTGGAATCACTGAAATTAAATGGTTTTATAAAAAAATTTAAAAATTCAAAGAGAGATAATCTGATCCAGTAGCTTTATTAAATGTATTTAGCTTTGAAATTAAAAGGGGGTTTGTAAAGATTCAATATAACTATTGTGAAAATCTTGATTAAACAGTATACTGCATTGGCACTGGATTTGGATGTTTTTGTTTATATTCCTGCAGTCGGATCAACCACCATTTCCAATAATAGTCGCATTCCGCAGAGTTCAAGCAGAACACGTCAGCTGGAGACCCGTCTGTGTAGGCAACCACCACAGTGCCTAGTTTGACCTGAATGCACAATTTAGTAGTTTTTTTAATGTTTCATTAGTTTTTGCAGAATACCTTCTGTTGGTATGAAGGATCAAAATTCATTGCTCCAATGTAGGCGACCATTTGAATAGGTGCGTCGTAGGTATATTGAATGAAAGGTTTTTTCCTATCAGATTTTTTCCATTCCACAATCATAGGTTCTTCTCTAAAAAAATTAACATTTTTTTTATGATTTTAATTCCTCAAAAATTGAAAAACGTTTTACCTGAATTCGGCCAAGCAATCGATGGCTCCTCTGTACTGCAAGCTAGGGTGGCAAACAGGGCTTTCGAGGCTGATGATTTTTCCGACGTCAGGTAGAACTTTCGAGAGACTTGTCCAGCAGCCTTCGATCTCGCTTGGTACAGAATATGGCTTTCCCAACAAATGGCTGTGAATAATCGAGTGGAATTGAGACCCTCGAAGGAACAACTCTAAAATATGAAAAGGCAATTATTTAGTTGATCTTACAAATTATTAATAGATTAAGAGTTTTACCAGCTTTGTGCTTTTGGAAACCATCCTTTCCGAGAGTTGCTGTTAAGTTGCTCTCCCATCTTTCGAGAGCTGCTTTTGATTCTTCCGACATAGTACCAGAGATGACTCTCGTGACATACGGAATGTGCTTGAGGTTGACTGTCGCTGGCAGTCTTACAATTTGGTTTGAGGAGTTAATCATGGGAAAGCGCAACATGTTATCAGTGTTGACTTCTAAAATATTAAAGCCAGAACTCTCTTCTTTCACAGATTCCTTGGGATTTTCCAGAGTTTTCTGCATTGAGAGAAATATTTCATAATGAGAATGCACAATCTTTGAATAGTATAAAAAACCTTTTTATATGAACGTTTCGGCTTTGCTGGAACTACCGATTCTGGCTTCAAATTATTGAGACTCAATACTTGGCCTTGGGAAGGAATTTCTTGATCTGGAGATTTATCTTGTTTTTTGGATTTTCTTGTACGCGGTTTCGCAACCTTTTGGGTGGCCGTCATGGGGTTCAGCAAAATGCCAAAAAGAAGTTTGTTCTCGGCGTTGATTTTGTGGATTACGTTTCTTTTTGCTAGTTTTGGTGCTTTCTGACTGAACATTCGGACCTGGCAGGCCACACTAGGCAGTGTTCGCATTACAGAATTGAGCATTGTGTACCTGGAAATAATAAAACACTTATTCAAGAATAAAAAACTTGAATTTGTCCCTAATTTACCACTTTCTTGCAGCTGAAACAAATAATAATTGCGATGAATTGTGTTTATGTTTTGTTCATGTGCTTGCCATATGGGGTAGGACGCGGGGAATCGCTAGGCCAATCAGAAGACGGTGCAGCCAGAGCCAGCCAATCAGATCATTTAAAGGCACCGGCTGGCTCAAAAGGTAAACAAAAAATTTGTTTGTGACCCTCACTCTCCTCACTCTGAGATTCCTCTACTAGAAAATTGAAAATTAGGCGAAAAGCCAACAATGAAACCAGACAAGCACAAGAAAGGGGGCCCCGCCAAAGGTCAATCGAGTCAACAGAGTTCAAATCCTCCTAAAGAGGTGCCTGCCAAGCCGGAAATGCGGAAAACTGCTCCCGAGGATTACCAACAACAGGGAAGCTCCAAAAGCTATTCGCGCCGGAAAATTGTCAGCAACTGGGACAAATACGAAGAACCGACTGTTTCCATTACTTACCAGGAGCCTTATGAACCTCAGGGCGACGACTTCAACAAACTTCTTCAAATGCCTGCTTCAGGTACTGTGTGAAAATACTAATATGTAATATGTATTTATGATTTTTTAAATAAAAATAATTATATTGCAGCTGACTCGCATCTGGTGCTGAAATCAGAGGAACTTGAGCCTCCTCCGTGTGGCAGCCTCTTTGCTCTTGATTTAAAAAATTTGGCTGATGGTCTGGCTACAATTCCATTCTACAAGCAAGTGGACATTCCTGTTGAATCACTTTCGGTTAGATCATTATTATTATTATTTTTTTTTTTTTAAATAAATATTGTTTTTTTTCTGCAGAAAACTGAGGTTGAAAATATGGACCAACATGCTGAGCTTATGAAACTGCAGCTTTCTTCATTGCCAACATAACGGTTTAAAAAAGTTTATTCAAGTTTTTAACATGACTGCGTTTACAAATAGTTGTAAAATATTTAAAACACAAATAAATAATAACAAGCTACATTATTTTCATTTTGATAGTCGAATTATTTGACTTTTGATTCAATATTATACATGCCCGCATAGCAGAATTTTATTTGCGGATTTTTTTGGCTTGTGCTTTTTTGAATTGCAAATTATTTGCGCAATCATTGCTCTGGCCATGAAGTTTTGCTTTGGCACATCGTTTTTGTTTTGGTGACTATTAAATAGTAGATTATGCACAATTTTTGTGTTGCTAGCAAGTTCTTGTTTGGAAATGAAGAGACCTAGATCCGTGTTTTTGTTATTCTGGAGAACAAAACTTGACTTTTTTTGCGATCCTTTTCTTTAGGTTGTTTGTAAACATGCTAGTTGGTCTAATTTATCATGAATGAATTTAATTATTATTCCTGACAAATTCTAATTAAAATATTGAAAATTAATTTTTAAAATTTTCTCCAAATATGGGAAAAATAATTGATTTTTTTTTTTTAAATTTATTGAGGCTGTTATTTTTGAGAAGAATTATTTATCTTCAAATATCATCATTTATTTATTATTTAAATGTTCCGAAAACACATCGATTGCTCAACTCTTGCTTAACAAGATTTAATCAATAGGTTCGAACGGCAAGAGGTCATCTCGGGAGTGCACCGACGGTGACGTTTATGCTGTTTTTCCTCGTTATCGGCAAGGTCGGTGTTGGAGATCGTCGATTGGTCGGTGCACTGGGTGTGCGTCTTTGCAAGATGTAAAACCAAGTTAGCAGGGGACAGCTCGTTCAAACCGCCAGCGTCCTCAGGTCACGATGGTCGACTCTGTGTTCAGAACTCGCTCGCTGGGCACGGCCGCCGAGGGTGTCCGCGACCAGTATGCGGATGGAAAGGCGGCCAAGGTATGGCAGGTGTACATTGGCGACAAGAACTCGCGCACGCAGCACTACAAGGACTTCCTGGTCGGTCTGCTCAGGAAGAAAGGGTGCAAAAGGGTGCTCGATGTCGCCTGTGGACAAGGGTAATTTCTGAAGAAATTTAATTTTTATTTTAACCAAAGTCATTATTTAATAACTAAAAATATAGGCTCAAGTCGGTTTAAAGAAATTTTTTCGAAATAAATATTAAAAATTGTAAAGAATATTTTTTTTTATGAAATTTAGTTTTTAAATAGCTAACATAAAGCTCAATCTCACTCACAATCAGTTAGTAACAATTATTGCTTTTTGTTTCTAATTAATTCTAATATGCATTGTGCACTACCGCTTTAATGTTATAGCGTTTGTATTTTATTGCAAAGTTTATCTGATGAAGCCAAGCAAAGTGCGTGTGATAATTTATAAATAATGAAATGTGAGAAGAGAAATGCACGTACTCAATGTCCGCGTTGACCTTCTCAAAAGAAATGGAGCATACATAATTATACTCATTTCATCAAAATCAATGACCCTTACCCTTTTATCAATAAAACCATCTTTGGATATTTTTTGCCAATTCTCGAGCATGTAGAATAATTTGAATTAACGTAAATAATTACCAAATATTTCATCAATAAAATAAATAAATTTTGAATGATATATTTATTTATTATTTTCATAACATCGGGGTCTTTCAGTGTGGACTCTATTATGCTGTTGGAAGAGGGATTTGAAGTTTTCTCTATCGATGCTTCCGACAAAATGCTCAAGTACGCACTTAAAACAAGATGGAACAGGAGAAAAGAGCCCGCTTTTGACAAATGGGGTACTATTAATTAAGCTTTAATGCATTATTTTTATCAGTCTTTAATTTAAATTGAATCAAACCAAATTGCTTGAGGCGCAAAACTCATTCATAATCTCTGCTACACTTATTCAGAGATTGAGGAGGCCAACTGGCTGACCTTAACGGACGACCTGCAAGGTCTGCAGTTTGATGCGGTCATTTGCCTCGGCAACTCATTTGCTCACCTCACCAGCTCTGTCGACGATATTAAGTTAGTAAAACGATTGTCTCAAACAAGAAAGGACACTAATTTTTTTATTTATTACATTTTAACTAGGAAAGCGTTGAAGAATTTCGAGCAATGTGTGAAGCCTGGTGGAATGTTGCTGATTGATCATCGCAACTACGATTACATCATTGACAAGGGCGCAACTCCAGCTCACAGCATTTACTACAATGTAGGTTTGATTATTAGAAAAAATTTTTTAAGTTTTTTTGTAGATTAGTTAAAAAAATTGATTACAATAATCGCAAAACACATAATTATAGATATTTTCTGAGTTTGTGGAGCTCTAGTCTGATAGTTGCAAGTCATAGGCTGTCCGCTTTGCATTGATGTCAAGCAGGTTGCCTATATCAAACACTTGCAGGCGCTCACATCAATAACGAATTCTCAATTATTAATTTTGCTGAAATCTTTTTATTTGGAGATGTTTAAAATTTGCATCTATATCTTTTTACATTTTATTTATATTTATTTTCATGACGAGAAATCAAATCAAATAATTAAATGTGAATAAATTAACGCAGAGCCTAATAAATTTAAATTATTTTAGAGCAAACATACTACTGACATCAAAACTTCTGTCCTTTTTGTCAATGGAGAAGCTCAAATGGTTACAATGGACTACGTTATGGATATTTCTGATACTGCTGGTCCTGGCGAGGAAAAAGAGAGGTGCGTGTCTCAAAAAATTCAGAGCAAAAATAAAACACACACATTGCATTTGCAGCCACTTCCGTCTCTCCTATTACCCTCATCGTCTGAAATTTTTCACTGAGATGCTAGCAGAAGTTTTCGACCCGAAGGCAAAAAATAACATTTATGGAGACTTCAAGCCTTTAAAGCAAGTCGAAGACCCTGCTTTCTTCATTCACGTTGTAGAAAAACCTTGAAATTTGAATTCAACATAAAAAAGCTTATGAGTTTTTAATTTTAATTCAAATTTGAAATGTAAAATGCTGTAGAAAAAATAAAATGGATAGACTTTAAGGAAGCCAAAAACTTTAAATTGATTTTTTGTTCAGTTCAAATCATATTAGCTAATTTTTTTTCAATATGAATTAAAGACTTCACATAATAAAATAATATTTTACTTGGCGGGCAAACAAATAATTGTTTTTAAAACACCTATCAGCTCATAAAGGTTTTACCTTGAACGCCAGGTGGCACGAGGATTAACATATCAGCTCAAGTCGGTGAACAAATGCGGCACCTACAGGTCAGAACCTGAAAGTCAGGTTTGGTGCTCACTATTGCTGCATATGTTTCAGGGGCACTGTGCGCCTCTTGGGTATGCATCCCGCTCAACTTACCTGATATACTGGTAGCAAACGTAGCTATTATTGTATTTGCATGAATTTTTTGGGACTTGATTTGACTTTTAGAGTTGAAGATATTTTAGCACTGTAAAAAATGTGCGTTGGCAATTATTTTTTCATATGATATGCAAAAAGCGAGTACTTAAAAATAATTGAAAAATGCTACGAATCACAGTTTGTGCGAGGCTTTGCATTTTACGGAAATAAAAAAGTAATAAAATAAATCATGAGCAGAGCAAGTCGTGTAATAAATCCCTCAAAAGTGCCGTTACAGGGTACGAAACATGATACATGATACGCCAACTGCAAAACAAGTTGGTATTACGCGAAAATTTAAATGTACAACCAGCGAACTTTCGAGAGAGGCGCCAGGTTGACATTTAGCCGAGAGATCGTCAATCATGCAAAAGTAGGGAAAAAGATTGTCTATTTTCGCTCTTCGGAAAGGGAACAATGCAACAATTAGAGATGACTTTATGCGCGCCAGTTTGAGAACACGATCTCTTTCACAAATGGACGAGAGCAGATCAGAGTGGAGGAGGCTGTGGTGTGTGCAGGAGCAGGGCCGGCGCACGCCAAGGTAAACAAAACGAGTGAGTCAGGTCGCTGGAGGGGCGGTAGTGGGGGTCGAAGGGTCGGCGGCGCGGCAGGCCAGGCGGCAGTCGCGCTCGAGCCGCCGGCCGCACTGGTGATGGAGCCGCGATGATGGCCAGTGGCGAGCTGCTGCTGGGCCTCCAGCCGTTGCTGCGGCTGCAGCCGCCGGACGCCAACAACAACGACAGCACCGAGCAGCCGCAAAAGCAGCCCGAGAAGTACTCGCTGCGGCCGCGCTCGTTGCAAATCCGATTGGAAACCGAACTGCGGCGCCGAGGGGCGCCGAACGCACCACCGTCCACCCTCACAAGGGCCGCGTCACCCGTCGCAGCCCCGCGGAGTCGCGGAGCCCCCGGGGGCTCCAAACACAAGCCGCCACCCTTGAGCAAGTACCGCCGCAAAACTGCCAACGCCAGGGAGCGCAGCCGAATGCGCGAAATCAACTGCGCGTTCGAAACGCTGCGTCAGGCGGTGCCGCCGTTGCCGTGTGTCGGCGCCCCTGTAGCGGCGCCGCGCGGCTGCGAGAAACTCACCAAGATCACCACCCTGCGTCTCGCGATGAACTACATCGCCGCCCTTACGCAGATCCTGAGCGAAGCCCCCCAGCAGCAAGCGCCCCCGCCGCCCCCGCTCATGGACACGGCGCCGTCAACGCTTGACCTGCTCGCTGACGCCGACCCCATGTTCGACGACATCATGGTTGCCGACGCGGCGTTCGACATGCTGCTCGAGTCGGACGGCGAGTCCCTGCACTTCCACTCGGACCTCAGCGAGCAATCCACCCCGTGACAGTAGTGCCAGACCCACCCCGCGCGCAGTGTGTGAAAAACAGAGTTGGTTGTGCCCCCGGACGGAAGGTAGCCCTCAATCGTGAGTTCCTGCTTTTTTCTTTCTTTTGGCTTGATTTAGAAATACTCGATTCCTTTTGTCAAAGTTTTTATTCAGTTTGCTTAATCTCCGGCCGAGATGACAAGATTCTCGGACCTTGCTCGGGAAAGAAAGTTTTAATTAGAAAACGGCAGGTCGTCTAATCTGCTCAGACTAACGAAATTAATAATCCCCGACGTAAAGTTCCTGAAAACTGTCTCTGATAATGAGCGTCAACTTTTTATTTTGCATCGCCAGTTTTAATATATTAAAAAATAACATATGTTTTTTTACTCTCCTCCTTTAATCAAAGAGCATCTCGCTCAATTTCTCTTCTCAGGAATTTGTAAATCTAGCGTTAAAAACTAGAAGATTTATTTTACGGAAAAATTCCCTGTTAACTTAAAAGCATGTGTATCATTTGACAAGGAATCGAATTTCCAAAGCAAGCCGCAGAGGAAAATGTGCAGGGTCTCGCCGTGCGGGCGCCGAGCGATGTCGCCCAGCAGGAATGGAAACCGGACAAGGGGGACCTCTCGCGTGAGTCCCCAGTGATTGGAATTGTGAATTGCCGCACGCTCGGCCTCCTCTGTGTTTTAGCATTCGGGGTCGAACGAGAACAATTTATTTGAAAAAAATGAAAGAAGGACAACAGAAGTGCGCGGGGGGCTTTTTGAGCAAAAAAGACACTTTTCCTGATGACTTGTAAATATATCAGAGCAGGTTGTTCTTTTAGTTTCACATATCACCGATGTTGGTTGTACAGAAAAATTCGGACCGAGGAAGTTTTGCGAGAGACAATTTTCTTCACCTTTCAAGAGTATGTACGTTTTTGAGAGCATAATTTTTTTTCTGAAAAAACCTTTTTTTTCACTCGTGTGCAATACGTGCCATGATGTTGAAATAGCAAATAAAGACACGGCTTCATTTCAACAATTAAACGGGTTTTTCATTTCGATGAGTGTGTTTGTGTGAGAGAGTGCCCCGCTGAGGATTATTCAGACGAGAGAGCCACCAACAGGTTTCAAAATGCCACCAACATTTTAATTCTGCCTCTTTCTCCGCCGCGCGTATTATTAATATTTATCTCATTAAGAAACGCGGCGGCGGCGGCCGCCGCGCGCCTCTAATCGCTTTTTATATGCTTTTGCCCCGCGTTTAATTCTCCGATTTATTCTCCGGCTGACACAATCGGCGTGTTCCGTGGCGCGCACAACTCCAATTAGGCTGATGTATGAGCGCAAAGTGCCCGCTTTTTGTCACGCTGGAATTCCTCGTTTGCGTGCGAATTAGTGCTAAATTAAAAGGCCAATTACACTTTCCTCGAAGTGAGCAGCAGTTTTTTGCTGCTGCATTCAACTGCTAATTGATTTATAAAACTTTTGGATAGCTTCATTTGCACGCGATTTTCGTGCATTAGCGGCAGAAGGAGCCAAATTGAAAGGCACTTTTTTTTTAAATTAATTTATCATATCTTGAAAAAACAGCTATAGGCAGAGGTTGGAATTTGAGTTTTCTTGAAACTTTCAGTCGCAGGTGTTTGAGAGTCACGACGAAATTCTTCTTCTTGAGTCTTTTTGCGGCAAAATGTCTGCTTTTGTGCTGATAATGGCGTCGGCAATTAGAGGTAATTGCGTCCGACCAATACACGATTGGCGGACCTACTTTTCGGGGTCCACAACGCTCACTTTCACGCAAGCCCTTGAGCCAATGGTGCTGGAGAGAAAATTATATTGCTGCAATGACACACGCCACCACTTCTTTTTCATCTCGCGCGACTGCACTTCTTCTTTCTCGCAATTGCATCAGCGAGGCAATTTCTCCAAAATTAATTCACCTTCCTTCTGACAGGCCAGATTTCTCTATTTTACCTTTTTTGGCGCATTGGGTCCGGCGCATTCAGAATAAAAATATAAATAATTTATCAACAGCGTAGCGCATATCTTGAGACACCTTTCAAGCCAAAGCACAGGTCGGTTGGCAAGGGGTCGTGGATTTATTTGCAAAAAATCAGGTGAAAAGAACACAAAATTTGACGGATTTTGGCGTGGAAAAAACTCGGAAAAGTCAAAAGCTTTCCCGGAAAAACGCTACTGTAGTTTCAACTTAAAAATGGAATATCTCGGGTTCTAATTGAGATACATAAATGCGGCTAGCACCAAAAATTTTCTTTTTACCTCCTCTTCAATCCTAAGGGGTCAAATAATCCAGAGGTCAAAGGTCAAGGTCATTTTTCAGGGGTCACAAGTACAAAAAAAATTCTAGCAAAAATATGCCACCTTCGATTGGGCTGAAATTTTTTTCCAAGATAGTCCTAACATGTAGGAACAACATATTAAAAATTCAGAATGGCATATTTTTTAGATTTTTTATAAAAAAATCACAAAGGTAAAAAAACGTGAATTTTTCGTATTTTGCCAATGGTCGGATATTGATTTTTGGAATTTTTAAGAAATTTTTTAAAAATTTAGGAATTTTTTGTCAATAAATAAATAAATTTACCCATTTTAGATACGTACTTTCTCAAAATAAATTTTTGATCATGAGCAAAATGCGAAAAATTCACGTTTTTTTACCTTTGTGACTTTTTTATAAAAAATCTAAAAAATATGCCATTCTGAATTTTTAATATGTTGTTCCTACATGTTAGGACTATCTTGGAAAAAAATTTCAGCCCAATCGAAGGTGGCATATTTTTGCTAGAATTTTTTTTGTACTTGTGACCCCTGAAAAATGACCTTGACCTTTGACCTCTGGATTATTTGACCCCTCAGGATTGAAGAGGAGGTAAAAAGAAAAGTTTTGGTGCTAGCCGCATTTCTGTATCTCAATTAGAACCCGAGATATTCCATTTTTAAGTTGAAACTACAGTAGCGTTTTTCCGGGAAAGCTTTTGACTTTTCCGAGTTTTTTCCACGCCAAAATCCGTCAAATTTTGTGTTCTTTTCACCTGATTTTTTGCAAATAAATCCACGACCCCTTGCCAACCGACCTGTGCTTTGGCTTGAAAGGTGTCTTGAGAGAGAGGAAGACGTATTTTTATTGCTTTGCGATTGACCACAGCTGATATTTCCAATTACAAAAATTTTGCTTGGTAGCCGAATATTACATAAGCTGGCACGACTCGAGCATAAAAATACAGTGATTTAATCGTAGCTCGGAATCACATAATGTAAAAATATGCAAATCAGCAATTTCACGGTGAAGGATGCTGCGGCTCTTCCCCTCGTCGCGCAGACAGACGAAAAAATAGATTAGCACGATGATAAATTTGTTTCCTCTTGAGTGGCACAGCTGGAATAATTTAACAAGCGCGACGCAATCCGTGTGTGATAATTTCTTTCCGTGAAAAGCTGCTTTATTTGTAATTACAACTATTCAAAAAAAGCACATAGCGTTTTGCTCCGCATTGAAGTCGAGGATTAGGAGATTAGCGTTTTGCCGAAAATCCGGCGAAAAGAAAATGGGTTCGGCGAATCGTGAGTTCGTTTCCCGGCGTGGATAAAAAGCTGCATGTCACGTGCGCGGCGTCTTTTTCCGGCTGGAAATCTGATCGCGGGCCGAGTCTCGCGCGTCGGAGGAAGACCAGAAGCGCGAGTATTTTTCTGCGCTGCCCACGCACCCGCCGCCCGACGGTTTCCACTTTGGTGAGCACCACAACAGCTGACGGCGCAAGCCTTGCCGCGTCCTTGGCCATTTAAGGTAAGTCCACGTGGCCCAATTCGCAACTGCGAGAGCGAGAGAGACCAGCACAGCAGCCTCCTGACCCGCAAACTGCCGCTTCTTACATCACCACCTATCATTACTCTCCGCTCAATTCTTTTTTACCCTCGTCATTCGTGACCAGCATAATTACAAAATTGTTAAATTAGCAATTAAAATTATTAAAATTTTATTTGTATGTATAATTTATTTTACCAAATATTTTAAATCTGTTAATAATTTTTTAATTAAATTTATTAAATATTATTAAAGAATAAAATGTTTTAAGCCAAGTAAAACTCTTTTTATAAATTGTGAGCTTAATTAATTTCATTATATATATAGTTTGCTACAACAGACAACTCTTTATTAATGTGTAAGCAATTGGTATGATCCTTAAGCATTCATTTTGGATAATGCAATTATTCATTCATTAGTGAAAATGAAATATAAAAATCAAAATTTCTAAATGCTGAGAACGTTTTAACCATTTAAAGTGATTATTAAAGTTTTTGAAATTTTACGAATAGCAATTAAGTTCTGTGATTTTCTTGCCAAAGTGGCGGAGGTCTGCAATTTTTTTTTTGGTCGCCGCCTGTGTTTAACGTGTTGCATAACTCATCACACATCAGAGGGCTGCCAAAAAATGGAAAGCAGATCATTTACCAGAGTTTCTTTTGCGCGCATTTGATGAACACGTTACGGCAAAAGCAGCAAGCAAGCTGTTATTAAAAGCAAAATCTATAATTTGCATGGTGCGCCCAGCCGGGCATTTCGCTTTCCACTAATAACACGCGCACCCGCGAGAACGAGGGAAAGAAAGCTCGGAGGTAGCCGCTGAAATGGTGTGATAATGAGCGGCGTTTAATAATAACGCGCGCGTACATATTGTAGCGGTGACTTTTTAATGATTTGGCTCGCGAATATACAAAATATAATTAAGGCTGCTGCAGCCATTATGTGCAAAGGCAAGACGTATCCAACAGCAGCAGCAGTCAATAGCCGGCCATAAATCAGCGCGTCGGCTGGCATTAGAAATTAATAATGGCCCGGCCAGTGTTTTATCGCATTAATTACACACACATCAGCATAAAAAGAGCGCCAGCGCATTTATCACCGCGCGGCCCGGCATACATAAATTCAAATTAAATATTCCTATGGGCCGCCAAGAGAGATGGAAGAAAAAATATATTGTGCATGGTATAGTTGATACTCGCGGCGCGGGGAATTTGTGACCGTCTTTGTTTATAATTCATCTCGCGCTAAGGAGGGTCCCGCAGGGCCCATTTCTTAATTCGCCGCTGAATATATTAGCGATCGAACGCACTTGGTTTAAAGTGCCTTCCTTTGATAGACACCTTTTTCCCTATTAACGGACAAGAGAAAGAAAGAGGGACGTGTTCCGTGTGTTTTCGGCCAATTTATTGCTTTATCTGTTTTAAACATGTCTAGAATTTCAGCGTTATTATTGTTATTTATTTGTTTGCGAAAAGCTGGTTTTGCCGATTAACACGAAGATGAGAGCGTCACGTTCCAAAACTCTATTCTAATTTATATGGGAAAGCGACCCGAGAACTTCTTATGAATGGAAACGTGATATCTGTAAAATAGAGAAAAAAAGATTACACAAACCCACGATAGCTCAAGAATTTAACTAATTAAAATGTTATAATTTATTATAATTTATCAATGTACTGGATATTCATATTGAATTTCATTCTATTTTATTTCATTAAATAATTGTAAGGAAAGTCTTAATGTGACGTTTACAGTTAAGAATTTTGCAAAATTGTATTTAGAGATCCGTGAAAAAAAATCTTGATTGCGTATAGGTATAGGAGACAAAGGACTTGTCTTCATTTGTGTGCGAGTGTATTTTTTTTTTGCAGTCAAGGGATAACGCAAATTCGCTATTCATTATACACCCGAAGACAGACTCGTTAAACAAAAAAGAATGTGAATATGCGGCGTACAGTTATTTCTTTAATAAGCTCCTTTTTGACGTGTAGCTGCTGGTGCTGTTTTGAAGATCAAATAATAGGGCCCGACGCGTTCGATCGAGAGGAGAAAGAAAGGAAGAGAAATGACTGCGGGGCCGAGAGTTCATCAGCATACACACGTATCGGAAGCGATAGGAAACAATTCGGCGCACTTTGCAATTTGGGCAGTGGCAATTTGCAGTCGGATTAGAGGTTTGGCGATTTGATTACACGGCGAGCCAAATCAAAGGGCAGCCGCG